CAGAGCCAGAGTCAGAGCCAGAGTCAGAGCCAGAGTCAGAGCCAGAGTCAGAGCCAGAGTCAGAGCCACTATCAGGGTCGCTATCAGAGTCACCGTCAGATATAGCGCTTGAAGCTGCGGAAGCAGCAGAAGCAGAGCCAGGGCCAGAGCTAGAGTCCGATGTAGCGCTCGAGCCCGCAGAAGCAGCGGAAGTGGAGGCAGAAGCAGCCACCGACGGGGATGACGTCCACTGGCTGTCATACGTCGTGCCAGAAGCAACAACGGTGCCGAAGCTAGACGGAGTCGTAGATGTCGAAGAGCCAGTAGCATCAGCAGGAATATTCAAGGTTTGCCCAATCTGCAAATCATCCCAATCAACCCCTGGGTTCGCAGCATTCAAATCATCGAAGGAGCAACCCAAGGAGCTTGCAATAGCCCAACCATAGTCGCCAGCCACGACGGTGTAGGTGTTCGATGCTTGAGGAGGAGCTGGCAATGTTGTAGTACTGCTACCGACGTCGGTCGTTGTGGAAACAGTCGAAGACACGCTTGTGCTAACAGTCGAAGTTGTCGTGGTCAAAGCGGAGGTCGACGTCGCAGTGACCGCAGACGCTGGGTCCAAGGAGGGCTGCGGCGAAGTTGTCGTGCTAGCTGCTCCAATTGCTGAGAAAGGCGTGTTTGAATAGCTTGGTGGCACGGTGGAGGAAGATGTTGCGCTCGAAGAACTTGAACTTGGGAATGCTGGCATCATCATGGAGGATGATGTTGCAGATGAGCTAGATGGGGATGTGTAGACAGACGAGGCACTCGTTGAAGTGCTCAGGCCAAAGGTCGTGGACGATGATGTTGCAGATGAGCTAGGTGCGGATGTGTAGACCGCTGATTCACTCGTAGAAGTGCTCAGGCTCGAACTGTCAGACGTACTTGAAGATGCAATGGCAGAAGACATCGTGGAAGTAACAGCAGTATCGGTAGATGTCGTGGAAGTAAACGTCGTGGTCGAAGATATTGAGGCTGCGGTTGATGTTGGACATGTCCCGCCTGGTACATTGAGCACCTGACCAACCAACAATTGATCCCAGTTGACACCCGGATTTGCCGCCTGAAGGGTGTCGAAATTGACTGTCAAGTTATTTGCAATCGTAGAGCCGTCATCACCAGCAGCAACTGTGTAAGTACAAGGTAGTGCAAGCGTTTGGTTTGTGCATTGTACAGACTGGTAGGTACCGTCAAATGGACTGGGATATTGCCAGCTTGAACAAGTGTTGTTGGTCGTGATCTTGACGGATTTGACGTACGCTGAGAACGGAGCGGCGCTGAAATTCGTGTATCCTCCGCCCCAGTACACAGTACCATAGGGAGTACTTGGGTCCCCCGAGCACCAGAGGCCAAGGTGCAGGCGGGAGGGTGTCTGAGGGTATTGGTATGACCCAGTTGTTGCGCCGTTGTTGGTCAAGGTCCTGACGGCGACACCGTCGATAGACCAAACCAATTGGTCCGGTTGCCAATCTAAGGCGTAGGTGTGGAATGTGTCTTCAGGATCGTCCACAGAAGGTTGAGACCCGCGGTCAGAATTGCCAATCTGGCCTTTGCCGAAGTAATTGGTCTGTACGGCCCCGCTGGATGAAGCAAAGTTATTTCCCGACCACTCCCAGTCTATTTCATCTAGATCGTCTGACATCATGACGGAACTTGTGATGATCCCGGCGCCAGGCGCGGCTTGAACAACCACCTCGATATGTCCAAAGAGAACATAAAAGCGAGTCCAGATATACGGGGCGTCGTATCGTTTTGCAAAGGTAAAGTTAGCACCGTTCGGAGAACCGTAGCCAACGGTAGCATAGTCGGCTAGGATCCAATCCGAAGGAGTTGAGGTCTGTTGGGTGAAATCCATGAAATACTCGCCAGTTGTCAAGCCGGGGATCGGAGGGCATGAGCCTACATTATTCGTTGTCAGCAGGAGAGTGAGTGGAAGCGAAGGGTTAATTGAACGCAAGCTCACTGACCATTTAGAGGATTGCAAGCCGAGGAGGATGATTGCGCGCTCACCAGCCTCAACAAGGCGGTGAGGATTGTTACAAGCAACGATAACAGAGTTGAGGGAGTCATCTTCGTGGACAGAAAGATGGCTACGAGATTCCGAACACTCTGGGATATGAAGATAAAGGAGCAGGGAGACTGTTTACGGATCGAGAGTAAAGTAGTAGAGCTCCCAGATATTGAGGGTGTGGCAGACAATGGAGTTCCAACCATTCACTTACCGGGTAACCCGTTGGGTGTGTTACAGAACAAAGGAAACATGACAATGGAAGGGGTCTGCTTGCGCTGCACATAGCGGGCTATATTTTTGGCATCGATGTTCATTGTTGCACATGGGCTGCATCACTGAAGAAGACATGGTCACGGCGAGACCTGTGCCTAGGTAGTCAAGCATGATGTGTTGGGGGAGTACTTCGTCGAGAGAGTGAGAGAAATGAAAGGAGAGGACGAGATGGAAAAGGCATGGATGTTGTGAAGCTCTTGGTGCGATCTTCGGGACAATCATTGTCCGTTCCGGCTCGCCGGATCCGTCCTCGCCATACCAAGTGGGCGCCAAGCTTTTCAATGACTAAAAGTTTCCCCGAAACTCTCTCCCGACAATCCCCCTTCACTGCCGAATACTATGAAGATCCCTGCCCGTCACCAATCCTTCGTCCCACAACTTGAATGGTTTCAAATAGATGATCAATGGTACAAGAAATAGACACTCTGCTGTCAAATAACTTCAAACTGCCGAATACACCATCATTTCCCACGATACCATTTTCCCTAGCTACCACATCAAGGAACAATACAAGTTCCTGTTGCAAGGGCCTCGACCAGAAACCCTGTAGCTGGAGCCACACCAATACATGGACCAGGAGAGCAAGATATCTGTGTGATGAGCCCTATACTAGTTGCCGTACTGGTTGACTCTGAGCATGTTGTCGGTGTTGCCGCACAGACTTCGATGATCTGGAGTCTGTATTCTGTGAAGGGCAAAATATTCGTCAGTGTTGTCTGACCGGCGTCAAATGTGAAGGCTCCTGCTGTGCTGGTGGTGGTCACTGGTGCCATAGATGTGGCGGGCCTCGAGCCACCATCGCTGATGTTGATGGAAGTTACGCTTGTGGTTTGAGGAGTGCTCGTAGAGCTTCCCAGGCCTCCCGTCGAGGAAGAGGTTGAGCTATACTGGCACAAAGCACTTCCCTCAACACATGACGTGACAAAGACCGTACCGGTGGAAGTAGTCGTCGTGGTGAAAACAGCATATGAAGTGCTCACGGTTGGTGAATTCGATGTCAATGCTAGCGTGCTTGTTGTTGTGGTCGCAGCTGAAGCCGTTGTGATCACAGCTAAAGTAGTTGTGGTCGAAGTAGGCACTGGAACCACGGTCGGTCCCTGGGTTGGCTCTCCAGAGAACGACGGCTCTGGCTCCGGCTGATGTGCTGTAAGCCTCGAATATCAAGGACAGGAAGTTGCATAAAAGCTCTTGAACTGCTGCAACGCCACTCGTGGGAACTTACTGTTGCGAAAATCTCTCCATCCGGACCAAGTATCAACAGAGCTGAATTCTCAACACCTGTATTTTTCAATCAGCTTGAGCACAATAAACCTCTGCACCGACCTTGCAGAGCAGTGCAGAAACAGCTCCACAAATGATTGTGCACGCAGGAAGCCTATCAAGGTCTCAACTGCGACGTGCAGCAAGCCGAGTATACTTACCTCCTTCTTCAGACGCAATCCCAACCGAATCGACTTCGCCAAATTGAGTGCAGACAGTGTCCGCAGTATCATAGGCACCGTTGAAAGTGACCGCTAAGCAAGCCCCGGGAGTATTCTGGCGATTGTAGTTGATACACTCTTCAATGCAGGATCCCAAGTCAGTTGTGTCGGTAGTTTGAGCGATGATAGCGCCGTCATATGTGTTAGCGCATTGCAATTGCCAGGTATAATTCTGTGGAGTGAGGTAGAAATATCCGTCATAAAGCGTGCAATCTGGGTCGGTCGTGATAGGAGCAGATGACTGTCGCGATACTAGCTTTTGACTGTCAGTGAGGGCCAAAGCTAGCGTGTGCAGAGACTTCCCAACCTTTTCGGTATTGCGATGAGGATAGTCGCGTCTTCCAGGGGCGTGTAATAGTCCTCCCAACCCATGCGGTGCCAAACCTTCGCGTCTGCTTGCTGCGGCCACCGCATGTGCAGCAGGTGCAATGAGCAAAAATGAGAAAAATACGGCGGAAAGCATCGTATGGGTATTGACTTGGCTCTAGGGATAGAGCAGAAGTCAGGTCTTCTCGGACAATGTAAAAGAAGGGTGGTGTTGTGGTCGCACGGTCCTTTCGAAGTATCCGATTTAGCATTGGAATGTTGCTTAACAATGTGGTCCTTACCCGCCATGCTGCTTGTATCTGCACAGTATCCTGACTTCCTCCTGCTTCAAGGTGTATCACCACCGAACTTTATGAATGGAATAGAAGTCTGGAGGAGAAGGGTCGGATGCGGTTGAAGGTATGTCCCATCGTAAGGCTGCCTCGCAGGCACCTCCCACCCTCGAGAGTACCTTGCGGTCATCGACTATAAGGACATGTTCAGAGCGACACATGACTTGCAAATTTATGCCAGTTGGCAAGACAAAGCTAAAATGCTTCTCAAGACGGGCGCGATGCAGAGAAGGAGCCAGGTTAAATAATGAACGTGTGCTGAGTTCGAGCATAATGACAAGCGAATGTTAAGGCTAGTGAGGCTGACCGCAGCGACTCAGGTCTTTCTCCTCCCTGCCTAGAAGTACCCGAGAAGTAAAACACGTGGACCATCTATTATGAGCAGACACGCCCAATCATAGATGGAACGCCCCATGGCCCCTGAACACGGCGGTGAACCACGACTTTTCTTCCCCAAAAGTCGGACCACGGCTCCAGTTTCCAGGTGCCAACGCGCATGGGCATCTCGAAAATGAGAAATCTCCTCCTCCACGCGGCCACACCTGTTTTGTGCCGAGATTATTTGACACCACTCATTTTGCAAAATCTTGGATAGGTCCACTAGGAACCAAGTCAAAGTGGTCATTGCCGACTAAAGAGATGGCGGTGTTGATCACACCAGGCCTTGAACAGCATCAAATCGACTTGCTCCCGTTTCTCGGCCTAGTTCTGAGGCTCCGAGTTTGAAGTGTTGTTGCTGGCAGTGTGGCTGTCCCAATATCTTGATATAGCCTTCCTTGCAGTCTCGTTCTGGAATTCGGCGCGTGCGCGAAAGAGGTTGAACACGGCAAATTCCAGGACGGTCATTACGTAGGTTTCTGGCTGAGCTTGAATGCGACCCCAGAGCTGGGTGAGATAGTTTTCGAGAATCTGGAGGATCTGTGGATCCAATTCGCCCGTTGGACTGTTCTGAGCCATCTGTAGCGCTTGTCGAACGGTGGTCTCATATGTCCGGGACATTGTTGGTGAGGATACACAGCGCGGTGAACAATGTGCTCTGGGATATAGCGACCTTGATGGGTGTTCTCCGTTAACGTCTTGACGATAAGAGTGGTGTCGGCTGAGGAGGCATCTCAAAGTTTCGAACACAGGTCCAAGGTCGGGGTTTTTCTAAGCTGACTCAGAGCCTCATAAAATCCTCCTCTTGGAAAATTGGGCGCGAGCAAGGACTGAGGAAGGATGGTCGCACAGAGCAGAATATGCTCCTTTGGTTGACCGACAAGAATGGAGCGACCCACAAGTGCAATGTGCCCAAAGACCTTCCTAATAGGCCCTGTCTATTAGGCTAGAGAGGCATAGGTGAGGCAACTGTCGAGTCGTATGTGATCATGCAACGTGAAGGACTACCACTCGACCACGAAGGGGGGGAGCAGCATGGCTGGGTGGCGATCTGCGCACAATCCGCCCGACACAGCCAGAGCACTGAAGCACGTAACAACGGTGTTTCTTTTTTTCCTTTGGTTTACCACGGATGATTTCCTTTCTAGACGACAGAACCTACACGAGCGTACATGGACTTTATCTGATCAGCAAACTTCCCCTTCCTCCCCGCGATAGGCGGTCAAGGACCGTCACTCTCCATGAAGGTTTGCGTTGGGATTGAGTTTTCGGATTTAAACTTCGCAAGTAGAAACACTGGGGCAGTGATGGAGCAGCGCGGCGTGACCGAGCAGCAAGGACATGCAGGCTTCTGTTCTTGTTCACGTTCACAGAGCCAACGGCTTTTCGACATTTGGTAGCGAACAACCAGACCAGAAAAGCTAGTATCGACTCTCGGATCATGCCGCAATCCTCAGGTCACGTCAGTCACGCCTCAGTAGTCAACAACTGCTGGGGTTTTCACGTCGACTGGCTTGTGGCCCCGGGTAAATTCCGACCACCATTCCCACCATGAGAACTCTATCAACGCGCTCAGGTTTGGCTTTTACAAGCCAGCAAACTTACGGCGTCATAGACTTTGGGATACCGAGTGCGATTTCTTGCAATCACAGCTCGCGAATTGGCGACAGAGTACACCTGTACCGGGGATGCCATTGTCGCACCCCCTGGCTATGCGCCTTGGTTGAACCGAAGCACACCAAATATATTCTCAAATCTGGAGTGACAAGTCAGACGCCCTACAGCCAGGCGATGGCCCTCCACGAGTTCGAGGCTCAGGTGCACGTCGCCAAAGAGTCAAGACAACGAGTAGGCCATGCCAAAAAACCAAACACTATCACACCAAGCTAATGCACGCTGCTTTTTTGGGGATGCCTATCGAAGATCGATCATACCTCGACAATCTGCTCCCACGGTCGACGAAATTACCTATCCCGAGATCGTGGTGCGCTAGTCGACCTGCCTTCAGACTTGGTCCTAGATCATGAAGCGGTATCAATGTGCTATGAGGGAAGACAAAGGAAGCCATTCTTTCGGCAGCCATCAAAGACTGGGTGGTGCCAACCGTCGCAGGAAGACTAGATTTCGAGATCAGATGAAATTTACGATTGACATGGCACCAAGTCATGGCACCGATGGCAGGGGGCGGGCCGACCAGGGTGCTTTCGGACCAAAGATGAGAAACAAAACTATCACACATTGATAGTCGCACGAGCCCGGATCCTGCATGAGAGTGACCCAGGTTCGAACGAGATAGCGAATAAAGGTGAGGGAAGGCTTGTCACCCCACACGCTACGCTGGCCTCCTGTGACCTTCGTTGGCATAGGTATGCGAGGATGCTGCACCGCCGATCCGCTTCCCGAGGATGTTCTTCTTAAATGACTTGTGGACGGCCGGACCGAACCACCCAATTGTGGTAGCTGCATGGCAAGATTCTCCTCTGCCGGGCATTGGCTGGGATGCATTTCTGTATTTGGGGCCTCGGGCTCGGGACACCGTTGGAACTTGCGAGAGGGTATCTGCCTGCAGGTGATACAAGTGGCACAGCTGAGCGACTGCTTCTCGTCAAAGCTCTGTACTGTTTCCTACATTGCAAGACTTCAAAACTAGTCACCAAGCTGTCTTCTCTCAGCTCAGCGGAGACATGCTGCTCTGGCTGATGGATGCTGACTTCGGTACCGAGTTTGGATTCTCATAGCGGAATTGCAAAACCGCCCACAAGACCCACGACCCGAGGTTTTGAGCCCCAGAATTTTGTCGACTTGGTCATGGGATTCCGTCACAACGCATATCCCGGCTATGCTCTATAGCCAATCGTATGATTTACCAAGGCAAATCCAGTTGGCTAACCGGATCTGCATCCAGCACGAGGAGAGTTCACCAGCTATGAGTACTACTCTTGTAAGAACGCATGGATGATTACGAGGCAATGAGAAGGTTTTCTGGGTGTTGCCAGCCCATTGGAGGGCTCGCACCGGTGGATGCTGGAATACGAGTAATCGACACCTCGACCCAGGTAATCCCGGTGATAGTTTCTCGGCGTACGCATTTACTCTGCTTTTGACAGGTACTATGGAGTGCAGGACACAACTCGGGCGCAAAGTCAACAGGGGTTTGTGCAGAAGAGCTAACGCGGAGGCCGGGACTTCTGCACCTGTACGCGGGAGCCAGAAACACAGCCACACTGGCGCTCTGTTTATACGCATTGGGATGTCAGTGACAAAAGTCAAGAACGTGCGCTCCGGCACGCCAACCGATGATGGTGATGAGGATCAGACGCATGGACCTCTCTTATTTGCCGCCTTCTGCAGTGGAACCTGGGAAAGTGAGCATCCGTGGGGCGCCCGGCGACATGGTGTGTGCTTCACCAGCCTAGGGGAAACCCGGGTGTCCGTCGGTTTATTCTGAGCTGCTCGAACATGACTAACTACTCTTTTGGATCGAGGTTCGTTGACAATCAACCCCGTGAAAAAGCCATAAGTTCATGGGTCAGAGCTGAACTCACTCCACAGCTGGCATGGGCGGAGGAGGGTTTGAAGCTTTTGCCCTAACTGGTCAATGGAGGAGGCACCCAAGAGGTACGGATATTCATGGCTGCCGTCCGCACCAACAGATAAGTTAGCTCGTCAGGCTATCAAGGGGAAGCTGGTGGTCGTGAGAGGCTGCCCCATCTGCAACTACTCCGAGCACAATGCCACATCCCTCAGCTCCCACCACCAACCTACCATTGGACGGCAACCTCCTGCCCTATTTGACTTATGCGGCTCTATCTGCGTCTGTCCATCCCTCTTCTCGTGCTATTCAGCTTGAGCTCTTCTAATTTGTGCCACAGACCAATCAGTTATCCCAAAGTCAGCCCTCGATTCGCCGGCCCACACTTCCAGACGTCCAGCTGTCATGCATTGCTCGCTCTTGCACCACTACTTATGGTCAACCTCCTGGAGACGTCACTCCACCTGGACCAGCTTGACCGGTTCCTTTTGACCTGATGCTTCAGTCTCTGGGCTGCCCGTTATAGCCGATTTCAAAGCTTAACAGGGGGTTCAACCGGGATTCTGGGGGTTGACCGAATCGTGATGCTGTGTGAAATCGGCTTGAACCCACCATGGAGAAAACAGAATACGACAATTTGAGGCAGACAGTCTGCAGATTGACAAATATTGATGCTGCAGATCCAATTTTCGACGCACCAGACCTTGAAGCTGGATCCAATGCCTGTGTGAAGAGCCCCGACCACACTAAAACCCACGCTGCAGCTTCTGGGCCACGTACTCATTCCATCCTTGGAATTCGAACCGAGAGCTGCATAGGCTCCCGACATTGAGTACTGTCGTCTCTGTTTATATCTTAGGGTCAAACCTTCACAGATCCAATACCAAACCATATTTCGCCGACGCCATCGGACGTCTGCACATAGCCCACCTTTCTTGTGAAGATCCCATATGGCATCCAAGTCTGTGCTCAGACACACTTGGAGAGAAAGTTCGTGATTGGGACATAAGGAACGCGGCTTGGAACATGAACTAACCATGCAAAAGAGCTCTGGCGAGCTTGGCTACCTGGGTAGTCTGGAATGATGGTCGTTCCAGTTTCTCGCATGACTCCGTGGTCTCTCTCAACAATGCCATCAGTCAGCTCTTCGTGTTGCGGGCCGATATTCCGCAATCGCACCTTCACGAGCTTAGACAACAACTTGCAGTGGTCACTGGTGGGGAGCTGAAGTTTCCTTGCCGTTTTGCCGATGCGAAGGCCGATCCCTCTGCGATTGCTTTGATCGAGCACCAGGATCGAAATTTGGTGCTTAGTCCTTGATTATGTACACGCATCTCTACTGAGATGCACACGAGTGAAGTGCATTGAAATTGGGGAGCCCTCGGTGACGGCGGCAAGGCTGATATACTTCTCCTTTCTTCAGGCAAGACTTCCGCGGAGCCAAACGCCTGAGTCGTACTGGTTGTGCACAGGATGTCCACGTGGTGCTTGCCGGTTCTTTCCTGGTACTATGGGACTCTCCATAGCGACTACGAGTCGAGGAAGTTGCGTATCCCGACGCTTAGACACCTGGGCCGGAACACGAAATGTGGCATGACCTGGGCTTGGGATCTGGATAACAATGAGAAGCCAAGCTTCAAGCTCACTCGAACGACCTCTCAAGCTCACGAGATATCTCTAGAGACCTGACCTACGAAGGCTTACACTTCCATGCTTCTCTCTCAAGGCCGAGTGCCTCTCCTATCGCTTTCCCAGCTCAACGTTGACCGCGACCGAAGAATGGAGAATACGATGCGGGAAGTTCTTCCTCCTCCCATGTCAAGACTCATACAGTGTCAATGGCAACATTGCTTGGATAAGCTATCAACTTGGACTAGTTGTCACTCCCTTACCACCCCGGACAACGGGTGCTTCGCTAAGTCATGTTCTGACTTGTATCATTTTTTACCATGAAAACGGAAATTTTGGCCACTGAAATTCTCGAATCTATGCCACAAATCAAGCACAAGTTCGGTACCATGAGATGATACTCTCCCAATGGCTAGCAGAACAGTCTTGATAGGGTTGATGTGCACTGGCGTCGATATGGTCGAACGACGAGCGATCAATGAGGCTCGCGAATGCGTCGATGTAGAAATTATTCTTTCGACCGAACCGACGATGTCGACATGATATCTGGATTTCTATGGCTTGATGAGGTGCTGTTGAGTCACTGCACTTTGCGAGAGCTCATGAACAGGCAAGTGGTGATATGAATCCATCGTCTGGTGTGGGAAAACGTACTTTTCCCTTTCCCGTCTATCGTGTCGAATTGAATCCCAAGAGCTTCACTGAATCATTCGGCGGACTTCGTGAATACCTTGCTTGCGGATTTCCCACCGACAAAGCTCTTCTGTCCAGACCACTTGGTATGCTGCTTCGCAACACAATTCAAGCTGTTTGGTATGATCCTGTTCTCTCTTCCGAGTGGAGCAAGTTGACAGACATATAAGGACATCAGAAACACACAGCAACGAACACCTTCATTGGTGCCATTGCTGAGGTTCAAGAGACTGAAATGGAGGCTAACCTAGAGGTTTGCTACACACTGTGCCATCTGTGGACATGGTGGGCATAGATGAGTTGGATTACCACCTATTATGCGTAGCTTATGAGCATATCTGTTCAACCCCAGTAGGTCTGTTGAGTGGAATTGCCGGACCACATCCGGCGCTTTTAATCTGTATGGACTTGTCGCCCTTCTTTTCGCAAAGATGTAGCTATGAATTGAATCACGGCTAGTGAGGACGACAACAACAACAACAACAGCACCAACGCAAAGTTGAAGAATTGCTCCACCGGATTCGTGATGGTACGGAGAACCAGACAGTCGTATCACGCATCTCTTTCCTCGAAGAAATCTCGAGATGGCCGTGTGATTCGATCCCGTCTTCAGAACAGAGTCAATAACCTTTATGACCCTTCATCCTGGCAAACTATCGATAGGGAGCTCGAGCCAGTCTACCTCCGAGTGAAACAGGCGCTTTGAATCCCAATCTGGTACAGGCTACAAGCCAACTGTGCTCCTATCGAAGAACGGCGAGATGGTGTACTATTTCAAGTCGTCGGCAGTCGATCCGCCAGCCTTTATTTACGTTGGCAAAGACAAGGTTGAGAGTGTGCATTGCGTCCTACAACCACGCAATACAAATGTCTGACCGTAGATACAGATGAGGATTTGATCAAGTTCGGCTGGGACGAGGATGTTTGGTGAGGCTTCCCACCCACATGGCTATCAGAGGAAGACTTACTCTAGCAAGGGTACTACTGTTGCATTCGGCTGAACTCGGGGACACGGTTCGCTGATACTGCGTAGTTTCACGTTGACAACCTATCGAGTGCCCATGTCTACCTGAGGTTAAAACCTGGTGAATCGTGGACATCGATTCCACAAGCTTTACTCGAGGACTGTGCCCAATTGACCAAAGCGAACTCGATCGAAGGTAGGCAGAGGAGGTCACTTGCCGCACGGTGTCACTCGCAATGAGTTGACCATCTTTAGGCAACAAGAAAGACAATATCACAGTCATTTACACGCCTTGGTCGAATCTGCGAAAGGATGCCTCCATGGCTACAGGTCAAGTATCGTTCCACGACCCGAAGATGGTCAAGAAGGTCCACGTGCCGGCGAGGCAAAATCCCATCGTCAATAGATTGAATAAGACTCGAGAAGAGAAGTTCCCAGATCTGAGGGCCGAGAGGGAAGCAGACCAAAGGGAGAGACGAAAGGTCGAGAGAATCGCGCGGGAACAGCAAAAGGCCAAAGATCGCGAGGAGAGACAGCGACGGGAAGAGCTGAGATGGCAGAAGGATCATGCCTATGACGACATGATGAGGGAGGAGAACATGGTGAGCAACCAGGACAGGGACCCGACCTTCTTTGAGGACGACTTCATGTAATAGAGAAAGAATGGGGCCACCGCAGCCTGCCACGCGGGGAATGAGGCTGAGCATGAAACAGCCGAACGCCTTTCAAGCGAGAAGCTTTTGCGATGCCCCGGATCATTTCATTTCCACCAAAACTCAATGGTCCGTAAAGACCCATGTTGATCTGGATCTCCTTTTCTCTTCAGTCTAGTTTGTCTGTTATACTCCTTTTATGCGTTTATTGAGACTGTCTTTATCGGAGTCTTCGGGTAGATGTCTCTTTGTACAACACACACATAATTTCTGGGGCGCCCACTCAGGCATCTGGCTGCCTGACCTCATTGACTCTCACCTCCCACCAACCTCACCTTCTGCGCACCTCAGAGCCTCTGCGAGCTTCTTCTAGCGACCGTCCTCTCGTCCATATCGCCATAGAGTCGCATTCTTTGCTTCTATGGCTTCTACTGAGGCGCCTCCTAGGCCTCACGGTAAGCATTGGCCCATCTGCGACTCCCACCGTTCTAACTTGACCCGAATCAGACCGACATGGCCGCCGACGACCGTTCACCACCTGGATGCGCCGGCTCGCGAGTCTCAAGACTCTTCATACCGACTCCAGCGCCGAGGCTGGCGCAAGTTCACGGCGCTACGCAACCCTCCCCATGACCATCAAGTCGAAAAAGGGCAACATTGCGAAGAACAATCCCTATCCTCTCTCCTCGCGCATCAGCGAGCCTCACAGTCACAGTAATACCACAAATGGCCATCTGTCATTCTCCACGCACATGACCTCCTCCCAACGATCCAGACACAGCTCCTTCTCCCAGTCTCACAGTAAACACTCAGTTTCCATCTCCCACGACAGCCAGACCGGCGGCAACAAATCGAGGGCGCCCACGCTGGCCACACAAGCAGAGACGGCTCTTTCAGATGCAGCCCCTTCAGGAGCAGGAACAAGTGCCACAGCAGCTACAAAGACCGATGGCGGCAGAGACAGCACATTTTCCTCCCCTGCGCCGTCTATCAGGTCCATGGCTACAACCCTGACCACAGTCCAATCGATTGCCGCTCCATCGCACCACAATAACAACAACTACAACAATCCCGGTGGAACGCCCATGCTCACGCATACTTCGACTGCAGCAAGCAATCCTGTTTACTATGGCGGACAACCCGCCACGGCGGTCCCAGCGCACCTTGCTCCACATTCGCATCCGACAACCTACCACTCCGCAATAGCCAACAATGTACTCACAGACGACGCCTCAATCCTCACACTCGCGTCTTCCTCCAAACGCCGACGAAGGAACTCGGTAGACACCAATGCATCTATAAAGGCACTCGCTCCGGCGTCCATGTTCGGAGGAAGTCGCGAGTCTCTTCCTCTATCCGTGCTGTCCGGTACGGTCATTCACCCCAGTGCTGCAGCAGACACGGCGTCCCTTCGCGGAGATGCCGCGGCGCACAATACACGCTCAAACTTGAACGCCGAACGGTCCAGTCTGATCTCAGCCAGCGGAGTGACGGCGCCCGCGCTGGCGAGCGAGCGGAATAGTTACATTGGGAGCAAATACGGAGGCGATACCGCGAGTGTGAGAAGTAATCTCTTGGGCGGCGCAAATGCGGGCGGCCACGGGCGAAACGACAGCCTGAGCGGGAGCATAGGAGGCGTGTACAGAGAAAAAGAGCAGCAGCGCGACAAGGAAAAGGAAAAAGAGAGGGATAATCGAGGCATGGAAAAGGTTGGGGAATCAGAGAACGAGAACAGAAACAATATACCCGGGATGGTCACCGCGCCGACGAGTCCGCTTGTTGATGGGCAGCATCGCGATGGCGCAGGTGAAACCGTGTATACCAGTGCCTCGGCGGTGGAAGAAATGACGCAAGCTTTGGAGAAGGAGAAGGACAAGGACAACACGACTGCGGAGGAGGAGGAGGAGGAGGATGATGATGAGGAGGAGAAGTGAGAGGGTGGTCGAATGAGTTACGGTGCATGATTTGTATGTGGACGAGAGACCGAAAGCGGCGCGGGCGAGGATGAACAGTCAAACGACGGATGCTTTTCGCGGGTTGATATTGATACGGGTTTACATGATTATGCGTGGAGTTTTCAGCGCTGCTGTTGTGGTGGCGGAGCGAGCAGATAGATACTACATGATACCCCCCTCCTGCACCTGCATGTGAGCTGTCGAGACAAATTGCATTGCATGACGAGTCCGTTTGGACGTTGGGATTGCTTCGCGGGTTCCTTTTCTTGGCTGTTAACATTTTCGCACAGTGATATAGTAACGGCCCCAACAGGCCCGTCCATTAATTCTAGTTCTGGGAGGCAACGAATGCATCAATTTCCGGCGTAGGACTTTGGTATGATATTAAATGTTCCATGAATGCATTGCTTTCGTTCTATACACGTGGCAAGGGCAGTCCTGTTTATACTCATAAACCCCAAGGGGGAGGGCAAGAGCAGGCCAAACCGAGCCCAGGCAAGCAGGCAGGTAATACGAGTTCAAAAGTGTTACCTCGCAAGTTGCCTCCTTAAAACCGGGCCTGGACTTTGCTCTGCACATCCTGCACGGCCCAATCCGAAAACTGCTTCTGGCTGACGGTCCTTCGAACCTGCTCGGTCGTGAAGCCCTTGGCCTCGGTGGCCGGGTTGTATCCCAGGCCGTTGAGGCGGCCTACTGCTTCGTCCGAGACCGGGGAGGCCGCCTTGCCGTCGGCGCGCTTGTAGACGGTCACGACGACGGCGCCGCCCAGCCCCAGGTTGTGTTGTAGGCAGTACTTGGTGTCCTTGACGAGCCGGTTGTTGGCCCAGCCGCGCAGGTGCCATGTCAATTCGGCGCATTGGGCGAGGCCGGTGGCTCCTGTTTCAGCATTTGTTAGGACTGGGTGGGAAAAGAAAACGAGAGGGGAATATATAGGTTATGTACCTAGCGGGTGACCCTTGGAAATGAGACCTCCAGAAGGGTTGATGACATATTTTCCTCCATAGGTGATGTCGCCGTTCCGAACGAGCTCGTGGGCTTTACCCTTGGGGCACAGTCCCAGAGCATCAATCACGCACATCTCGTTGGCGCTGAAGCAGTCGTGCACCTCGACAACTTGGACATCGTTGGGGGTAATGCCTGCCTCATCCAGTGCGCGTTTGCCGGCGAAGACGGACATTTGATATCCGACGAGATCCATGCTGGAGCGGCTGAACAGATCTGGCGAGTCGGTGGCGAGCTGTTGGCCGGCGATCAAGACGGCCTGGGACTTGAGGTGAGGTCGCTTGTCGAGGAACTCCTGGGAGACGACCACCACGGCGGCGCCGCCGTCCGAGGTCGGGCAGCACTGGAGCTTTGTCAAGGGAGGGTGGATCATGGGGGATTTCATGATTTGTTCGAGCGTGTATTCATCCTTGAACTGCGAGTACGGGTTCCTCTTGCTGTGCTCGTGGTTGACACGGGCAATCTCGGCAAAGTCTTCAGCCTTTGCGCCGTACTTCTCCATGTACTCGCGACCGGCGTTGCCAAAGAGCTGAGCAGCGCCCGGGGCATTTGTGATTCCGCGCGTGGCCTTCATCATGGCGTTCGTGGTGGAAGTGGGGTTCTCGCGGTCGTTGAAGTATGCTTGGAGACTGCCGGGGGACATTTTCTCGAAGCCGATGACGAGGACGCAGTCGGCGGCACCGTAGGCGATGGCTTGTCTGGCCATGTTTAGACCGGTCGAGCCCGTGGAGCAGTTGTTGTTGACGTTGTATATGGGGATCTGGGTCATGCCGAATTGGTAGAAGACGCGCTGGCCGCAGGTGGAATCGCCGTAGCAGTAGCAGGCGACGCCCTGGTCGACATCGTCGTAGTTGATCTGGGCGTCCAGCATGGCTTTGATGCCCGCCTCGAACCCAAGTTCATGGTAGTCCACCTTGCCGCGTGGCTTGATGAACTTGGTCATCCCGACGCCTAGCACGTAGGCGGGAGCTGGCTTGCGAGGCATCGTGTCTGGTCGTGTGTGGAGGTGGCGACGGTGATCTGGAGCAAGAACGGTCTGGGGGAAATCTGGGGGGTTACAGACGGAGGGTGTTGACACTTGACGGCTGGATGGCACAGATAAGCGGCGGAGGGACAACCAGGAGCAAAGAGGCAGGACGAGGCAGCCCAGTATGATATAGATTCAATGTTTTGTGATCAAAAAAAAGATACCTCGTAGATTCTGGTGAGATGGGAGAGATAGCCTCGTTTCGTCTTCGGCATCTTTTGACCCAGGAACCTCGGCACTGAGACAACGGACCGACAGGGCGCCCCATTGCGGGGTCCAGGGCGAGGGAGCCAAGTCTCCAAGTTGGAGAACGAGGACCGCGTAGTGCGAGTCAGTGGCAGTAGCACACAAGTTCCAAGGTTGTGTTAGGCGTGTTTGGTGGTGTCTGGGTGACCCCATATTCAGAACCTGCCCTCCCTGGACCGGGTGCCTAGGCACTCTCTCAGGTACTCGGTGGATGCTCGGAGGGCCTATCTCACCTTCTCGCTAGGCACCTAGGTACATACCTACAGAATGGTCCCCAATATGTGTGCATCTTGTGTGTTGGCTTCTTGGCTCACCGTCTCCCTTGTCCTGTCTCCTTTCCACATCCCTTCCTCTTCTTCCACCTCTTTCTTTGCTTCACCTGAATAGCAAGGCACGCTATCCGCTCCGCTCAGCTCGCACTGCTAGACTTCGTCAGCACCATCTCTTCCGAGCTCCCTTCCTCCCTCACATCTGGACCACTGCTCCCTGAGTGCCCACGGTCCTTTCCGTCTGCTGATCGATCCAATCCACAATTTTCGAATAGTCCTTGCATACGTGTACACTCCCCCAGCCTTCGCCGTACTCTGTGGAATTTCCTTCGAGACTGGTATCAACCGAACACATCAAACCCTGCCTCAAGTAATCGAAGCAATGAGCCAGATGCGCATCGTCGACGTCATTTTTGCCCTCCAGCCGAAGCATCCCATATGTGCTGAGAATGACCCGAAGGCAGTGTAGCTGATGGATCCCAGCTATCATGTATGCGTCTTGTCCTTCCGGCAAGGTGATGCTGGTTTGATACGGCGGGTTTTCGATGTACCTTTGTCCATTGTTTACAGGAATCATACCCATTGCCGCTGTGGGTTCGCATGAATGTTAGCTGAGGCTGCACCTTCAGGAGAGCTAGCATTGCCTTCTAAGTAAGTAGGGGCGACTTACAAGGAAACAGATTGCCCCAACCTCGATAGACCTCAGCGAAGGCGTTGCGGTCCGAGAACATGTACTTGTGTGCGTAACGTTGATCCGGCACCCAGGTTCGCTCGACGTTAAGAACTGTTTATACAAGGTAAGTAACAGTGACCTGCATCTGCCCTTCTTACCTACATTCAGGTACCGGCGTTTGCCGAATCAGCAAATGCGTCTTGCATTGGTACAACGCAATGGCTTCAGCGAGAACCACCAAAACCAGTACCAAACTGATAGCTCGTTGCACGAAGAGCAGTCTTCGAGATCTCACGTCAACATTCGGCCGTGCATTTTGCTGAGGGAGTAGCGTTTCTTTCAGATACGATGCTTGTTGCGATTCGAACTCGTCATCAGGTGAAGTCGCGCTGTAAGACACTTCTTTATGGCCTGTGAACGACCACGGAAACCCCATTTTCCGCCTGGCCAAGAAGGTGAAAAGCTCGGATACGCTGCCAGGCTTCAATATGGAGACGAAATCACACGGCCGCAGAGTTGCAGTATCTGAGTTGTCTCAACGCCTCGCCGTCAGTAAGTCTGGCACGGACCGTCGTGAAGGGCAGGTCGGTACACTCAAGTTCATATGATGAACACAAACTGAAGATGACGAGTTCTTGAATGCTCCTGAAGGTGAAATCGACGTGTATTCAGAGATTTTAGCCTTGCATTCTGGTTATGGCTTGCCGAGAATTTGGTTTTGTGAACTGCTTCCCTCGGATTTCAGACAGGGTCTCGCATTCGCATCGGAACATCACACCACACCACACCACACTACCCAGAAGAACATGACATAGTTCGGAACCGTGCTGCAGTGATTGGAATCTTATCCTGAGGTGCATTCAATGTTCCAAATGACGAAGTTGTCGGTTTCCGCCGTGGTTATCTCTTATGCCATCATTCCCAGACCAACTTGGAATTGCAGAAGCAGACAGATCTTGGCCTTAATTTCCTTCGGCGACGAAAGAGGGAGAACCCTCCAAACTTCTCATATATTGGGAGAGCTAAAGTTTCTGTGCCTCGTGCCATCGACAGGCCCGAGGCTACCAACAAGAGAGCTTACCAGAGCAACAACGTCCTGTCTCACCGACAAGCGATTCTCACAGGTACCAGACAACGATATGAAACAGCATAACTGGCTGAGAGTCGACGAGACAGCTACATTAACAAAAAACTCCCTTCCCGGCCGGGAATGGAAGGATGACACTCCACGGCGAAACATCGCTCTCTGGATTTGCGCTTTGCTGATGACGAATCTCATAACGGCATTGAATACGTGGGCTTTGTTTCATGTCCGATCGACGTCGGTGTATTGTAAGTCACCTTCATGCATGGAGCACCTAATTTAGATATGTTTGATGACCTGTGCGAAGCGCCTGCGAACGAAGCAATCGAATACGAGATCCGCACGTTCAGCTCCAGCTCTGCGCAAGAGCCGACGATTTATCTGGGTCCGCCAGATGACAAGGTGGACAAAGCATGGGAGGACATCTATGGAGGTCAGAGTAGGATGGTGAGAGTCTGTTGTTCGCTAACAATTACGCAGCTTATCAACGAACACGAATCGACGGTGCTGAGGCTGCGAGGCTTCCAAATCAAACGGCCAGCATCACCAATGATCCAGGGCATTACTTGATCACAATCGATGTGTTTCACCAGTTACATTGCCTTGACTTTGTCAGGAAGCGCTTGTACCCTTCAAGGTACGACACGGTAGCGGACCTGGCGAAAGACCGGAACGGATCCAGGGCACTTGAAATTGAACACACTGGTATGTATACTCCCATTATACAAACCATGTACTTGATCAGGATACCAACTCAATCCACCATAGAACACTGCATTGATAGCATCCGCCAGTCTCTTCAGTGCTCGGCCGATGTCACTCCTGTGCTCTACAAATGGGATGGATATGTGGGAGAAATAAAAGGGGACGCCAGGACAATACATACGTGTCGCAACTTTACCAAGATTCAGGAGTGGGCGGCGACTCATAGTGTGAAAGAGTGATTGCATTAAAATACATACGTTTAACCAAACTACCTAGCTATCGTTGAGCATGAAGTCTACGCTTCCAGGTTGGGATCTCCTATGAACCTGATCGTGATTGTATGACACCTTGTCAGACATAGTGTATAGCACGAAAATGTACCTCAAACGACCCAATTCTAGTGTCATTTGAGACGTAGTAATATTTGTAGTCACATGAATTCCGCCGTCAAATGCGCTTAGGCACTACCGGAGACTTTAAAACTTGAGCAGCAATAGTCAATCATTTCATTGTGACACTCTCGACTCTCCTCAGACCCAACATTTACCAGCAGCTTGGACCCTCACCGTGAAGCTCTCCTGGTGCTTGCATTCATCTTCCCAAAGCGAAACACCCATTGAACTACATTGACCGGCGATGGAGAAGTTTGCTATCTGCTATCCGACCACGACATTGAGTGCCTCGCTCGGGAGGGTTGGGCGTAGCATAGCAACCCCGAGGTCTCCTTCAACTGTACACGCTCAAGTTTCCGCGTGCTGGAGATTCGTCGAGCAAGACGATGTCTTCCCGACGCAAGAGTCTGATACGAATGAAGGCACGCGAGTTCGGGCACTCGGGAGTATTCGCTTTTTTCGGCTTAACGCAGTAAGCCGATCGATCGGTCGCTTTATGCATCCTGGTATGCTACCAAGTTCGGATCCAAACCCTTGGTGACTTGTGTGGGTCCATCTCGTATGTCTTTTGCGAAGAACGAGGAATCGCTTTCGCATTTCCTCTCACGCGTGGTGCGATGGCTTTCGCTTCCATCCCTCCTGCCAGCTTCCGATTGCGAATGATACCGAAGGGAAACGAGATATTTGGTACGAAATTCACATGAATGCAGAGACCTGTCTTTCGTACTCCACGAATATAAATATGTCACAGATGTCCAGTTCATTCAGAAAGTCATCAGCCTGCAAATCAGCTCAACAAAGCAACCAACAGCAGCCTGCAGCCCAGTCATCAAAGCAACCTACAAAAGAAGCAAAACACCGAGTGCTCAGCACAAGCGACAAACTTAATATCAACCGCCAGCCCTCCTAAAGAAACTAACCTCGAACGAATCACAGCTCCAACTCAATTCAAAATGAAGGGACTTTTCGCCGTTCTCTCCGCCACCGCGGCACTCTCTGCCTTCTCTGTTCTCGCCGCCCCTGTCGACGGACCTGTCATGGCTCGTGCCCTTATGGCCAGAGATCCAGAAACGGGTGAAGGTCCCGCTGGTATTTGCTTTGGTGGCTGCGGTCCGGGTGTCATCAAGCGCGAGCCTGAGCCCGAACCGGAGCCAGTGGCCGAGCCCGAGACTGGCGAGGGCCCCGCTGGCATCTGCTTCGGTGGCTGCGGACCAGGTGTCATCAAGCGCGACCCCGAGCCAGTTCCTGAGCCTGAGCCCGTGGCTGAGCCCGAAACCGGCGAGGGTCCCGCTGGCATTTGCTTCGGTGGCTGTGGCCCCGGTGTTATCAAGCGCGATCCTGCCAGCGAAACTCCGGTCGCGACAATCTACCATCTGCCAAACCCGACCCCCATTGCGACTGCCTTCAGCGTCGTCGCACCAAAGCCCACCCACGCGCACATGGCGAGAGACCCGGCCCCAGTGACTGTCTGGGACCACCCCACTCCCACTCCAATTGCAACAGTCTACTCGGTTGCCCCGGCCAAGCCAATTCACACCGCTGCCTAGGTGCCTCACAGCGCCTTTGACCAGGTGAGTCCCTTTTCTCTCTCACTTCATTCGATTCCCGCCAGTCGAGCATGGGCTAACGATCACTAACAGGTGTATTGACGACGCCCGTCACATGTGGACTCTGGACAGTCCGATTCATGCTGGCAATGACCAACGAAGTGGAAGCAAAAATAAAGAATGGATAATTGGGAACCGCTGGGCGAGATGGAGCCGAAAATCAAAAGATGGAAAAAGGGGGAAATTCGCAAGAAATCATAGAGGGGAACAAAAATTTGATGGATCTTTTACAGGGAGGGAGGATTATCGTCCGCGCCCTTGCCCTTGGGAGAACTCTAATAATCTGGCGTTATCTGTCTTACAAGTCTTTCGTTAGCAAAATATGGATACATCAAGATAGATGAAATAGATCGGAATACAAATAATATGGATGCAGCTTTGATTTTCGGACTTTTCCCAACAGAAAGAGAGAAACAGGAGAGAACAAAAAGAGAAGGAACGGTCAACTTGCCCCTTACCCCCCTTGAGAGCATTTTTCGTAACCTGCCCTGGCCATTTGCAGCAGTTGGGAGGGGAGCATCTGGGATCCCATTCCTTGCCCACTGTCAATAAATCTTCCTCGGTCCAACGAGGGAATTTGTTCTGGAGAGATACAGTGAAACCGCACCAGAAAACGTCCTCCAAGGCCTTCACGGAGCGGGGACAGAAGAGTCTGTCGCGCGCTGTCAGTCGCTAAAATGATCCGGCCCCAGTCGTAGAGTGCGAAGCGCATCAATACAAAATAAGCGTCGTGCAAGAGGACAAGACGGCAGCCATCACGACAATCCTTTCTGAAAACGGACGAGATCCAAGCTGTAGGGTTGTGCGGGTTTGCTTTGCTGCTCGGTTCACGAAGAGCCCTCCCCGCTGTTGTTATGGTGCTGGTATGAAAGTTCTTTCTGGTCAGAGCGAACTACAGTTTTTACAAGAGGAATCAAGCATCTCTCAATGCTGGAGCGACTATGCGGGGCGTCAAGAGATTGCGGCCGTCACAGAGACGGACCCGACAACGAGGTATGTAGTATTTGGGCAAAAATTACAAATACCAGTATTTGGAAGATGCAGAATGCTGTCAGTTGTCTAGGATCTCGAGAACTGATAGCATAGTAGCAGTTGCAACTTTGCGGAGGAGGTTGTCGCCGCCGGGCCGCCCCTTGATCTCTTTGGACCCAATCAGTCCCCTTAGGAGAGTGGCGAGAACCAGAAACAATTCTGCGGCTAAGATTCTGGGATTTGAAATCGTCGACAGCCCTAGGGTATCATTTCCTGGAGTTGGCGAAGGCGCAGCCCTTAGAAGCCACGAGTGATGGGAGGAGGAGGGCAAGAGCGAAAACTGATAATGAGCTTTCACCCCAGGCTTGTCGTGTTTGCTGTTTGGTGGTCCAGGAATTGACAACCAAGCCGTTCCTTTCGAGCCTCAGTGGGGCTGGCCACTAGTGGTACGGGTTTGTGGGAATGTCAGGACAACCCCACAAATCCAGCCACGTCGGCGTTTGCCGAGGAGGAATCTTTGGACAACACATCCTGATGTATGTCATGCTGTGAGAATGCCACCTGGTGCCACCTTCGTTCACGTGTACCTCGTAGTACCTGCTCCTCGAACAGATCCCTCCAGGTTGCCTCCTCCTGCCATTTGTTCCTCCGTGAGTCAGCTGAATACCTCTTCGAGACCAATGTTGTTCTGATCTATACAGTCTTCCCGCTCCACGGTTCCGCCAAGACCCAGTTGTAGTTGGTATGTGACCTTTACCCCGTCGTAAGTAGTCCACACTCTCAGATACACTCTCCTCGAGTTCGAATTCATTTCATTACTGCTGTAACGCTTTGTGCTGTGCTCGTGCCGTGACATTCTCATATCTCACGCCCAGCGGCCACAGGTCTTCAAGTCCTGGATGGCTCCGTGATTAGAGACCCCCCACGTTTTGGTCTGTGATAGATTCCGTTTTCCTTTTTTGGCCGTTTCTGTGGCGAAAGGGTTTCCATATCTCGCGATTCACAACCTGGGTATGCATCCCTCGAGTCAACGGTCCTTCAACCAATGGACCAGGAAATACAGCCTCGAAGACCCCTGTCAGAGGCTCCACATTGGGGAGAACTCGAGATGGTTATCGTTTGTGCCTATCAGAGATAGTCATGCTGTGTGCTCATAGAAATACGTTACAATATCAGTGACAGACAATGCTCAGAGTGGAGCTTTGCGGCGCTCCTGCCTATTCTGCACCTACCTTGCGGGTGGGCAAGGCCTGGAGTCTTAGCATGTACTGTCATATAGGCCAGAGCCTGGCGCTCTGTAGGTACCGTAGAGACATGCACGGCATTCATACAGCTCTCTTCTGCGTCTCCACAAGCTTCCCGTCGGCTTTCAGGCTCAGAGGCAGTCTGGTCCCCAATCATGCCCAATGTGCCGTAGATTTGGGTCATTAGGCTCGCTGACAGTACGATGATGGGAATCCTGCAGGATTTTAGTTAGCTGTTAGGGGGTACTTTCTTCTGGCCACAGAAGGAAGCTGTCGAGATGCCGCTTTAGGACCAACCAAAGGCTAACAGAGAGAAGGCAGCTATTGGAGATGTTCAACGTCATGATCCACTCCGTTGGAAAGGGATCGACAGCGAGCCTGCCCCCAGCGTGCGATAAGTACCGAGTAATAGTGCTGACTTGGCAGCTTTCCACTTCGGTGAAAGCTTGCGTAAAGTTTAGTAAGACTGGCATGGAGCTGACTCGCGATCAGAATGAGCTCCTGAAGGCAAGGCCTGCCTCGGCTGCACGGACTGTTCAGCGAAGTACCTACTCACCTACTGTAAGTATTTGCAATGTTGTCTCGGCGAGCTGGCTGAGCGTCATTGAGCCGCGCCCTTTAAGCTCGATTCGTCCCGAGCAATTTCCCATGCCGGTTTTCGCCGTGGCCACCTTTGAGTGTAACAGAGAGCACTTGGTACTCATCGCGGTGAACCTCGAGCTGTACGGTGTCCTGCGTAGACGGCTTCGCGCACAGTTCGAGCCACTGGAGATGGAGGCGCTGTTGGTGGCAGCGACTTTATTTCACGTGATTGGCAACCACAGGTAAATCCCCGAGCCTAGCACGTACTAGTGCCGATGAAGAAAATGCGTTCGAGTAAAATTGCCATTTGACGTCCGCTCATCCGCCCGCGGCAGAATTCTCGCGATATCAACTTTCTTGTCACAGACTGCTTGCTCCTTGCGTAATGGTCCGCTCGAGGCTGATCAATTGATCTATATTCGGCTCTCCAGAGACCTGGTCCTGGCCGTCTCCCTGGTCATCTCTCTGCTTCTGCGCTGATACTGCCATACTGGAGTTGTCTTCTTAGCCAGCTGATCTCCGATCCTGAAACCGACTATGTTCACTGAGGACGTTGGTGGAACCCATCAATCGCTAGGCCATTTACGTGGCCACGTTTCGAATTTGGGAAGATCGATAGATCGCGTCAGACCACTCCCGTTCATGCTGTGCTTGGTCCGCAGGAGCTTTCCCATCGCTGATCGAGATCAATAATCATGAGGAGACCCGAAGGATGCTGACCGCAGTGCAATACAACATCACTATCGGTCTGTGGGGAAAGCTTCTTCAAAAGCTTGTTGAATCTTGAGACATGAACTCTGGACGCCGGTGACTTGGTCGCTCGAACGGCTTGTCCCCTTTGAGGGCAGCTAGGTGCCACCACGCGTCCGACTCTCGCGCCTCTGCTGAGCAACATCTGACAACGGATTAGTCTGAGTACACGCTCCGGGGCGACCAATATGGCTGCTGGTATCTCTGGGGAACTTGGACATCTCGACCTTCTGACTTATGTCTAGTCGGTCCGAGCACGTGCTAATCAGCTAATCATAAGGAGTCCGTTCTGAGTGGTCAGGGTGGCTGACCTTTCTCACTAGTTTGGCTTTCTTCTCAGTCGTGGTTCTGAGCCTTGGTTTTGATGCACTAACGTTGCAGAAGTTGCGTGTTTTGAGCCTTTTAAAAGTGCTTGCGTTGCCGTTGTCGAAAGCGAGGGATGGTTATGCCCTCTATCTGCCGACTTCTCTTGCGACCCAGGACCGGTTGGCTACTATGCGAGAGAGGCTCGTGGCAGAATTTAGAAGCTGTGCTCGCGTTCACAAGCTTATCTAACCTTGGGAAGGGCAGATAGGAGGCAAGATACGATCGCTAAGTCGAACCTCCCGGCCTCTATCCAACTCTAGGAAGGCCAGGAAGGAGGCAAAATACGTTCTCCAAGTCCAATATCCCGGCTCTCTTTCAGCAGGGATCTGCAATGTCGCGGGCAGAAGCTTGAACATGGCTTCAGCGCCTATGAGGCGACACGTTTCCCGCGGTCGAGTGTTGCTTTTTCACAATGCGACATCGGTAAAGTATGTATTCCACTCCCCAATCCGAGGACTTGGGTCCATCCAACCCCCCACCGCAGCTGCAGCAAAACTACAACACAGCAAAACTGTACTAGTCGCTCCTTCTCTTCCTGGTAAGAAGCATTCGCATCTCGCTCGCGTTTGCTCGGAAACTTTGAAGACACTCTTTGATATGAAGACCCTGGATGATCACTGCCTCACGAGGCAGCGACCAAGGGTTGTACTCCAATGGTATTAAATGCTCTCCAGGATAACCTCGAGGATCACCATGCTCCATCCTACTTCAGACAAGATATTCATGCCTCACTTTTGATCAACATGTCTTCAGACGCCCAAAGCCTTGCACTTGGCCCAAAAAAGACACACAGAAAGAGTAAGAATGGTTGCAGAACATGCAAACAGAGAAAGATCAAGGTATTCGTCTTTCCTTGATGAGGTCTTCTCTATCCCCCACATCGATATATTGACAAAGCCGCGTAGTGTGACGAGGCGAGACCGGTATGCAACAACTGTATACGCAGATATGGAGAGAATGCGAGTTTTTGCGACTACAGACACAACAGGCGGACCGTGTCCTCTTCTGCTGTGTCGACAGAGTCATCACAGTCTCCCGGGGCAAGCCATCCTGCGCTTTCAAGGAGCCATTCGGATCCGGGAAATCCAGATCTTCTCGAAAGACTCTCACACGACATTCTTGACGTAAACATGCTGGACGAACAGATGATTACCGGACTTTGTGCGAGCGACATGTTAACCCTTGGCTCGACCTCGAGTGAAGACTTCATCGTGCCGGATGATGTCCCATTGCTTTGCACTTCAGGCCTTAAGTCGGACCCGAATATAGTATCTCATCTCAACACACCTCCTCGGCTCCGCTCACTTGCTACCTGCGACCCGTCTTTCCAATCGCAATCGGAACTGGAGTTGTTTCAGCATTTTATGACCTCAACATCTAAAACAATGCCGTTAAGCGATGACCCAGATATTTGCCAGTTATGGACGGTCAAAGTCCCACAAATGGCGTTACGCTGCTCCTTTCTGCTCGAATCAGTTGCTATGGTCGCAGCCTTCCACCTGAGGTCTCAGAACCCAGCTGACGAAAGTCTGGTTGTTCAATCACACCATTTCTATGGCCTCGCGCTGAGGAGTACTCGAGATGAATTGAGCCGGATCTCTCCAAGTAACGCAGAACAGCTTGTGATATCGTCACTCCTTCTGAGCATTGCCTCCTGGCGGTTTCGGACAACCTCAACGGAGGCCTACACCGTGCCGAACGAGGCACTCCAGACCTCGATTGCTGCTGTGCAGGTCTATCTAAGCACCTGGTCGTGGCTTGATAGTATCAACTCGAGTGTGCACAGGCTCTTCAGCTCCCTGGACATTACTGGGAAGTGGAGTGAAGTCCACAATAAGCGGCGTTACAGCGACGTTGTCGCCATGCTTGACGGATTAGAAGATACCAGCTCCGAAGGCAACAACGGAGAAGAGTTCATTCGTCACCTTATGGTGGTCCATTCTTGCCTTTATCAAGCAGAGTCCAAGGACGCGATCCGGCACCGAGTGGTCCAGGCGGCGTTCAACCCTCCCCAGTCCTTGACCCAAGGTCTTCAAGAGAAGGATCCTCGAGCGCTAGCTGTCTGGGCGCGCATCATGTCTCTTTGGACGGAGATCGAAGAGACATGGTGGACTGCCGATATCGCAGAATATGAGATGAGCGGTGTCCAGCAGATCTTCGAGGATTGTGGCTATGACGAGGAGCTGTTGACTTGGCCACTAGCACGCTTCGCGTGGGACCAAGAATAACTCAGACAGCCTGGAGCTCGTCGAGTTCGATGCAATTCGGGTGAGCCTGTGGAAACACGGATTTGGCCCCCTCGCGCACCTGGGATATGGAGTTCGGGATTCGAAGACCGTCGGGTGACTTCGGGTTGGAGTTGGTATTCTCAAGTACGTGCTCCAGGTCACATTAATGCACGACAAAGTTGTGCCGTTCACATACTCCACGGGAACGGACGTTGTGACCAAGGCGAGCCTGGCGCGTTTCCAGGGGCACCGGCGTGAATCCTACGAGGGATTGTCATACGCAACAGACCCCTAGCCTGGCGCCGTGTACTCGGTTCTTGGTATTGTGCATGGCTATGCACGGTGGTGGGCTCTATATAGCCTAGCCTTCTTGTACCTAGCTTGCTTTAAGGTTATTAAAACGGCCCCCAACGATTATTACGAGGACAATGACAACGCTCCGTAAGCCTTTCCAATTTGGCCTGTTGACCACCCAGGTAATTTTGCGTTTTGACTTTGTAGAATGATTTCGAGGCAAACTTCACAGGAAGTGTTCCAGGTTGGCAGGCCATGCGAGGTTCCTGCCTACAGCTGACACTGTCTGACACACAATTGATTTTACCACCATATCGTCTGGATGCCAAATAGTATAGCTGTATCCTCGGTCATCCTACAAGTGTACAGAGAGTATCTCCACCTTGTGCTAAAGGCTAGTCTTTCGAGGCCGACGTCATTATGGCGACTGTCACCCTCCTACTCTGAAATGACACCGTGATACATCGAGGATTAGGGGGGCCAAAAAGCGCATGTAAAAGCAGCAATTTGTCGCTTTTTTTCAACAAGCGCTTGTGAAGAAGTTGTATTTTTGGCCTTTCTTAAGGGTCTGACACGTCACGCTATTATCCAATTCTTGGTCAGCTAGACTGGCCAGAAAAGGACAGACAGTACCGGGTACGGACTAGACTTAATAACTCCTTGATATAACCCACCTTGGTATAGTTTGGAGAGGCCCATCAAGCGCGCTCACAAAAGCAATCAAAAGCAATCAAGCCCAAACAGGCCCAGAACCTGGGTTGATCATCCTCTTATTGGAACGTTTGACAACGCCACGCGCTATCTCCCACTACCTCGAGTTGGTTTAGAGGTAGGCAAATCGCTTGTCCCTCTCGGCACCATGGTCCTCAACTAGAGGAAGAACAGATCATGGCTCGTGCGCAAGAATACAGAACCATCCTTTGGGGCTCTTACATTTCCTCGATTTAGCAGCCATGGAGAGACCAGGAAACAATTCTCGTGAGGATCGGTTCGTGGGACTCTTACACACTGACGAGGTACTGGGGACAAGTATCGAGTAACATGGGTAACGAACTTTCTGCCTCGCCTCGGGAAAGTACCTTGGTACCTTCCCGGTCATCGATTGGAAATGATTATTAACCAGCTCGTTCTGGTCATTCAAGTGAGGGCAGAAACACAGCGAGGGAATTCAGAAGCGTAACATGCCCCCGGTCCCTCATGACCTGGGTGCACACGGACTGCGGGTGATGGGGGGTCACGGCCCGTTGCCAGTCGGGAGAACAACACACACCTGGTACCCAGATTGGCAGTCTACGAGTAGAGGACCTCGTCCTCAGTGTCTCCGATCGCGATTTCTCCACGAAGCTTGTCACTATAAGCACAAGTATCCCTCTTCTCGGCTCCACCGATAATGCATCACATGGTTGGTGGGATACAGGCTATAACCCTTGATCTGTCCGGGATCTGTCCGAATCTCGGATCCCGCAGTCCTGAACGTTATCGCTTCGCTTTTTCTTTCTGAACCATCATCATTCGCTTCTCTCTGGAACCACCATCGTTCGCTTTTCTCTACAATTCACATATAACGCTCTGAAGGACCCGAGGAACCCTTTGCTTGTCGCAACCCTGCTATGCGACGCTTGTGTGCGAGAAATGCTTCTCGTCAACGTCGCTCGTTCTTCCGAGCTCGCTGTCACGGCCGGTAACGTAGAGATGCGAGCTCGGATTCGGCATGTCGACTCCCTTGATGCCTCGAGGGATGCGAGTGATCAGAACTACGAAAGGTCTGTTGCCGTGACCTGAGATCGAGCTCACCTGAAGGATAGCAAGAAGATGGGAGATGGCCCTGCGCGTCTCTTGCTGCCGATATCGAACTGCATCGAACTTTCTCCTTTTTCGCCACAGTTACACAAGTGTCGTGGAAGTGTGTGTGTGTGTGTGTTCAAGACTGTTATGCAGGAAACTAAGTATTTTTTTCTCTATTGCAACCACTTCAGTATTTTCTGGTGAATTGCTGTCCAAGCGCGATCAACAACTCCGGCAATGAATCGTCAAAACCTCATCAAGAACGACCGTGATTCATACTACGCTTCGAGATACGAGGACGCCGAGGTCGTAACCGTCCTCTTCGATCAGGATGACTACCACGACAACGACGACGACGACGAGCAACTACCTGCCTACTACGCCGGACCCAGGAAATATCTAGCTTCACTTGCGGTTCCCGTGGTGCTGTTCGTGGTCTTCCTGACCCTCCTCCTCGTCTGCGCAGCAGCGGTGCTCCTGACGATGAGAACCATCGCCATCAGCAGCAGCGACAGCGGCGTGGGCGGTTTTGCCGCCGCTGGCCCCGAAGTGCTCGACTGCGGAGAGAGCCCCGAAGAAGCAGTAACCCGGGGCTGCCGCTTCGACGTCATGAGCTTCACGTGGTCTCCGGCGCCGTGCTTCGACGAGGCCCTGGTGACCGAGTTCCTGGAATCCGCGCCCTCGTCCCCAGGCTACTGGCAATGGTGGACCGGGACGAATCTGACCACGGCGACGGCGTTGGGCCTGGGGGACGTCCAGGGCGGCACGTTCCCCCAGCTCTACGTCACCAACGAATACCACCAGTACCACTGCATGTACATGTACAAGAAGCTGCACCGGGCCCTCCGCGCCGGAGCGGGATACCTGGACAGCTACATCGGCAGCTACGAGCATACCCTCCACTGCGAGCATATCCTGCTGTCGAGGGACTTCAACCCGGATAGAGTGGAGACCACAATTCGGCGCAAGTTTGTGACTTGTGGACGCATAAGCAGCTAAGTCTAAGCCAAAGCCGAGCGGCCATGGCTGGAGTTTCAAGACGGATAGATCTCGAGGCGGAGATAGATCAATTACTGACAGGCGTCATCAGAGAAAGGGAAACTGTGTTCAAGTGTCCGATGTCAGATACAAGCCTTCAAAACCTAAAATATAGTGAAGAAGAGTAGTAGCTATCTACCTAGGACCGAGGCGTTAAGGGCGTTATAAATTCTCCCTAGCGCACCAGCTCAATCTAGAAACGTGTTCTCAAACCAAGGGGATGATGGGGAAAAATAAAGCATGGTGGAAACCCTCGTCACAAGACAGACTTCGGACGACACCTGCACGCGGAGGTGCAGTGAAGGCAATGGGCAGCGTTTCCCTTCCCCGCGAGCCAGAGAAGAAATGTCATCCCCTGTAGCAACGGCAGGACATCATCCGAGCTCATCTTGGTGCATAGACGGGAGAGCATCCGCAGTCTGTCCGGTATCATAGTGTCTCAGGTTAGGGAAAGCGGATTTCAAGGTGATGAGAGTGAAACATCTAGATACAAGGGCCCCTTTCCCTACCTCCGGGCGCCGGAAAAAAAGAAAATTCCTGTTCTATCGAGGCGATTGCCGCGTGTGGAAGTAAGCGCGAAGCCAGTTGCCGCGTTATTTCCATTAGGAGAGGAACAAAAGGAGGAAAAAGGATTGAATGAGGTAAATCAAGTGCGCGCCCGATTCTCGCGTCAATCACCACTGCATGGCCCCAAGCTCCAATATCGGTCCCTTTCGGGGATTCTCATGGCGACAGTGATATATCAACAGTCCCAGCTGGGGGAAAATCATTGAGCGCACTCAATGCAAGCTCCAGAGACTCGAGCTTTTGCCGCAAGACGCCCACCTCGGTCTTGATATCCTCCAAAGCTTTGACCCGGTCAACCGCAGTTTCAATGTCCTTGTCTGCTGCAACCGCGACCTTGCTAGGGTTGCTTTGGCTCGTAAGAGCCGTAGATGCGCGGCTGCTGAAGCTCGATAGGCGGCTTTGAGGAGGGGGAGAACCGCTGCCGCTGCTGGAAGACGACTCGGAGCCTTGTCGGAACATCCGGGCAAAGAACGACGGCCGACGCCCCTGACCGCCAGACGCGCTGCTGAATGAAGCAGTGCTGGACTGTCGGTAGTATCTCGGGGCTGCATAGCTGGTTGACTCTCGACGGCTTCCATCGTTGTTGTTGAAGCTTACTTCAGACCTGTTCAGTCCCGGGATGCTGGACATGCGTCGATGGGTGTTCTCGTTGAGGGGAGGGTAGACGCGGTTCAAGCCATCGAGCTTGTGCTGAAAGGCTTCTTCCTCCTCTTCTCGTCGCATCTCCTTTTCCTTGCCCAGTTCTTGTCCGAGCTGCAGGATGGCGTTTTCTTGCTCACTGATCCGGGCGGTCAGAGACATCATCCTTCTGGCAACCGACTCATTCCATATCTCTGAATCTTGCAGCTGAGAGGCCTGGTCGTCGACTTGCTTCTCCAACTGGTGAACGGACATGGCGCGCGTCTTGTAAGCACTCTGGAATTGGATCAGCAACTTCTCCGCCTCTTGTAAGCGCTCTTCAGCTGATTTATCCGGGGACTGAAGAATCTTGACGTCAAGCTCGAGCAAACGTTTCTCTTCCGGGACCGGAATCACAGGCGTGATCGTTGCCGAAGGCCATTTCTCCTTGTCCACAGAGGTCAAGGACGCCTTCTTGACTCGCACGCTCTTCACTTCGGTGAAGGGCCAGATTTCGTTGATATCAGCTTTTGCGTCGTCGAAGGAAATTGTACGCGGCTTAGAGGGCCTTATCTCTGACTTGGCAGGTTCGCAAGGCTTGAAATCCTGGGGTGTGGGTTCCTTGAGATTCAAGAAGCTCTCGACTGCAGCACTGTACAACGGCTGATCCGACTCAGAGCCACTGTCAATGTTCTCCTCATCTGACTCGGTGAGGGTGTGTAGCAGCCGTCTCGGTGAAGATGTCCCAGAGGCAACGGATTGCGCTGGAGATGTTGGACCAACCATGGACAGCTGGCGTTTGGTAGATGGCGCATTATTGACGTCCCATCCTTCTTTCCTTGGTGGAATGGTCAGTAACAGTTGGTCGTTCGCGCTTGTTCAACATACCAGATGATCGGTTGGCTGGGAGCGACCGATGGAAATTGGTTTTGGAAGTAGTCTGAAGCAGTCGGTGGCTGTTGTACGACCGCCATCCTGTTGAGCGGGAAGCCAACTGCGACGAAGAGGATGGAAGTTCAGCTGATGGCTTGTGAATTTCCTTATGATCTCACACTGGATCTCGACATTTCTTATAGCCATCTCGTGCTCCTGGGATGCGGGTAGAGTTCCAGAATGCTACCTCGCATCCAAAGAGAAGAGAGCGAGCATCGTAAGACGTCTTGAGCGCGATCATCGCGATCATCCACCGTGAAAGCTCGGCCCGACTTGCACGATCCTCAGGTTCGTGAAGAGGCGGTTAACTGTAAGCTGCACGTGTAGTCAGGAATGAACGCTTTAGATCAGCCTCGCTTTGTGTCGCAAAAAGCGATATCAGTAGCAGGGTGATCAAACACATGGTGCTTGGCACGGGTATTGAAGTTCTGTTGTCTATTACTTCGGTTGCAGTGGGTCCCGTGTCGGGACGTTGCCGAGCTTTCGGATTTGACAGCCTCGTGGGATTTTCATGCTCGGGTCTGACTTGGTGCAGAGAGCAGAGAGCCTGAGGCGCGGTCTTCGAATTCTAGCTCGAGAATACCTGGAAGAGTTAGTGGTGGCAAGAACGATGTGTTCCAGAGCAGTTAGTTGACCATTCCAAGGGTGTCGCGATGATCCGAGCGAAGAGGGAGAATGAAAATTGTGAAGCAGTATCAAGTCGTTTTTGGCGAAGCTTACAGCAGCTGGTAAAGCAGAGGAGCCGAGGCGAGGCGAGGCTCTGGGCAATACATCCAATCATACATGGACGGGGGTGGTCCTTCAAAGGAATACGCCTGCCAGTAGAGCAGCAACTGTTACCGCACTTTTTCGAGCCAACGAGATAATATCGAGTATCATACAAAGAGAAATCTATGCTTGAATTTGCATCTACACAATTCCACTGAAATTCTGACCTCGGTGTTGGACGGCGTACTGCCAGATAGTGTCCCAGTTCCGGCACAAATGCCAATCGCCCCAGCCGTCCACCCCATTGACCAGTTTTCCACTGGGTAGGACAATGGCAGACTCGTATGAGACATCTCCTGCACACATGATACTTTGACGGAGGTAGTCGAAACAATGCCTTGCATGGCCTAGAAGGTGGTGATGTGCCGCGAGACCCTGCGCCTCGTGCTCTTGCCTTTGACTGCCTGAGAGGTTGTCGTAGAAGATGCTCCGAATGATGTACTTTGGGCGCAATAACATCGGGTTAGCCATCACAATGCTCCTCGCACTTCGCCAGAGATTCAAAAGCCGATGCTGCTCGGCATGTACAGAAGCAAGAGGAGGAGAAACAGAAACCTTACTTACCAGGCAATGTAGCTGGTGGAATACAGAGAGTCCAAATGACTCCTTGCCAGCAACCGTGGCACTAGGTATTCCTGGTCTAGCTGAAATCCGTCGCGGATTGTCCACGTTTACAAATCCTTGACCATCTGTTTCTCGTCAAGGACGGAAAGGTCGCGTTAGTGGAAAAAACTGGCTAGGTAGCGGAGGGCACGGCCCGGCAACGTACATGGCAGCAATTCGCTCCAAGCCGTGTCCGATTGATTCGAAGGCGGCTCGGCATAGCGAACATCTTCAGCGAATTGTCTCCAGATCAGTGGAACTGTTGGCGAGATTAATCTTTGATCGACGAAAAGAGAAAGGTATCCTCACTCTTTGTGCCGTCGATGGAATCGTCTCGCATCACAAGATGGTCGTTTGAATTGCTGGTGAGAATGGTCAAGACGACTGCAGCGACCAGACTTATTGCGAATGAACTGATGACGAGAAGCCGGCATGGTTGAGATCTTAGCGCAGGAGTCTCACTTTCTTTCTTGTGCGTCAAAGTCCAACGCATCTGCAGCGCTTCTGCTTCTGAGTAATCTAAATGATCAGCCATGTTGACGCGAGAGATTCAATTAACCAGTTTGGAGGCCGCTCGAGAGAATATGATGCCTACCACGGGGGAAGTTAACAGGCACATCTGTCAACAGCATGGAATGTGTACCATGTGAATGGCTCTGCTGAGGTTCACTCGCCGGGCTTGAGTCGCAACATTGACATTGGTGAGGACTCGCATAAGCTCGGGTTCGTGGTGGGTAGAGCCGAAATCGCATGGTTTTTTGATGCGAGAAGAAAGCGAGGGATGAGCTTTTAATACCCACAGTCGGATACAGGTGGTAGAAGAAGATGCGAGGATCCTTGGGTTGTCGAGCGATACTGTGATCTTGAATAAAATAGTTCTAAGCCAACTCTTCGCGCTCACCTGCGCCCAGCGGCTTGGATGAAATAGTTTTGCACTCCAGTCAGTATGCTCTTGTCAAAATCCAGCGAATATTCAGATGTCAGATTGGACGATGAAGAAATCATAATCAACCATCCTGAAAACAGAGTCTGCAAAGGGCCGTGGCCGTATCTGCCGTGGGCCTTGGCCATTTTCCTCTCGCTCCTATTGATACGGAACATATGGGGACAGAGCGAAGAGTCCAGAGAACGGCAAGCTTGGGGTTCCTATGAAGCAGGCTTTGCAACAGACATAGGTCCGCCCTGCAAAAGGTTGTCCGAGGTCGATTTGTTGAGCTGACGTTCGTGGGCAGATCAGACCAGGCCCCTGATTCGACTGAAGCAAGTCCAATTCTACGGTTCATTTCGCGTCAATGATGAAGGCATCTGGCACTTGAGTCGCAACGACAGCGAGCCGGTGTATGTGGGAAAGCCAAGCCCAGAGATCGATCTTGCCTGGGATGCATTGATCATACGTGAGTGTGTGTGCAAAACAGAATGAAGACAGCGACTGATGAGATTTGGGGCGCAGCTCGGTTCGCAGGATTGTACCGAGAGGATGCCGAGCGCCTGGGGTTGACGTTGAGCGGTGACGACTACGAGCATGACCGCATTTGGATCGAGTACGGCCCAATCCATCTTCACTGTTCAAGTTGTTCAGTCCGGAGGGACCGCCACTAACTATTGTCACGTCAATGGCCAGACCAAGCGGATATCATGATTTGCACTGTCTGAATTACATCCGAAGAGCGCTGGATCGCGAATACTACACAGAAATCGTCTTCGACCGCACGACGCCCGTCATGCCTGGCATGGCAAGCGACCGGCTACACTTGGGTGAGGCGTGCCTGTCTGAAGGTGAACTACTTGGGCCGTGAGGACTGACTGTTGAGATCTAGACCACTGTATTGAGCTATTGAGGCAGTCCCTTCTCTGTCACATGGATCTGACGCCCATACCCAAACGATGGCTCGTCAACGGGAATATGCTGCATGCGGATCAGGATCAGATGCATACTTGCAGAGACGCCAGGCCCATTCACGATTGGATTGATGGGAAGTCGATTTCGAAGAATCCTGCTTGAACTTGTTGTTCATATAGCATCGAATCGTATGTGATAGATAGGGTTTTCGTTGGCGAGTAATATAGGTATTCAGCTGAAAGGAGCCTGCAAACCCCAGCGAAAGAAGTTACCTACCTAAGGTGCCTAGGTATAATCCAAGAGACTCACTCATCGTAAACGAATCCACGCACACTTGCTACTGTAGCTCGGGTGCGAATGACGGACAAGCATCAGCTAAGGCCCAGGGTTGCCTAACAGTCCAATTAGGCGACGCCTAGACAGCATTCGACGTCACGGTCTGGGGCTGGCGATAGTGGATTGGGTAGAGAGACTGGGGCAAACCCCCACCAGCAGCGTCTTTCCAATAGCAAGTTAGCATCCCACGGCCAGATGCATTCATTTCCTCACAATCCTTACCAAAATGCCCGCACTGCCAGTTGCCCAATCCACCTCTGGGAGAACTTGGTGCAGCCAGACTCATTGCACATGGCATTCTCATCCTCATCCTCATCCTCGCCCTTGCTTGGCCCTTGATGCTCTAGCCATTGCTTTGTTCTCCTCTTTCTTTGCTCTTGTGCAAACGTCCTCACCTATTACCACAAGTCCTCGATCCCAACAACAAGCTTCCACCTCGCCTGAACCTCCAGCTGTTCGAACCTAAACAGTGAGGTCAACATCTTCCTTGGTCTGCCCCTCTCAAAGATCGCCGTCTGCACCATCGTCCGCTCCCACAGTCACCCCCTGACCTCACAAAGATCCGTCCCTGATCTCTGTTCAATTGCTAAAGGAGCTACCTCCTGTCGGCTGTCAAAGCACGCCATTCTCCTCCTGAACGCTTCGGTGCCGTTTCCAGGAAGTGGTCTTGTGCTTTGACAGAACCCGCCCCCGTCAGCATTGTTGCGAGGGAGAAAGAGTTCGAACAACCACGGACCTGTGATGGAGTGTGGAACGCAGAGGGATCTTCTCAGTCGCACCGATTGAGAGATCTATCTTGCGTTCCATCGGGTTCCGCAGCCCATTGTGCGTATAGGCGAGCAGGACTGGGACACTGGTGAAAATAATATTGTGCTCGCCGGCCGCGCCCGCGATAGGAGGAGACAAGAAAAGTCACACGCCCGTCGATTTTTCTGCCCGTCCTGTGGTCAGTAAACGACCACCATCGCTGGGGCGATGAATCATGCCAGCAAAACCGCTGACGATACCTCGCCCCTTGTCCACGACCCAACATCCAAACTTCCGTCAAAATCATCGCAACCTCCGATAGCCATGGGTGCCAAATCGAAGGTGGACACCACCTGGACTTCGCCCGATACTCGAATCTACTACGCCAAAAAGTACAGGCAGGTTCTCTCGTCCGCTCCCGCATGCGCCTTTGCCGTGATCGCAGGGGTGAGTGGCCTGGAAATGACCTCGTTGAACGCATCATTTGACAAGTCTCCAGGCCCCTCTTGAAAATGTCAAAGTTCGAATGCAATCGTAAGCGAAGCCATTCAAACCGCATAGCAGCCGTGCTAATAACCATTAGGCGTCATTTTGCCCATGCCTTGGAAGCTACCAAGTACACTTACCGTACCGAAGGCATTCGTGGGTTCTGGGCTGGTAAGAGCCAGACGCGAGTGAGATAGAACACAAAAACTGACATCTTCAGGCACATTTAATCCACTAGTCTCCATCACCTTTTCCCGCGCCCTTGGTTTCTCCATCTATCGGAAAGCAAAGTACACGTTTGACAGCTGGATCGAAAAGGCCACCGGGCGATCTCCTCTTCAACATGTCAATAAGCCTGGCACTTATCCAGATATCTACACCATGACATGCTTTACTGGAGCAGGAATGGTCTCGGGTGCCGTTACCGCTGTCGCCTTGAGTATGCCTTTCCGCCACAGAATCTTTCAGTCGAGGCAATGCTGATAAATGTACAGCTCCGGTCGAACTCATCAAGAATGCAACTCAGACATCAGTCCTCATGGCCTCTCAGGCTGATCATACCTCGGCCTCACCAACGCCAGCCGCGCCCAAGAACGCAGGCCGAGTCAGCTCCTGGACGTCCATGAAGCGAATCATCGCCCGACAAGGCCCTCTGGGTCTTTGGACCGGATTCCGATTGCATTTGGTTCGAGATGTCATTGGCAGTGGCATCTATTTCGGGGTATATGAGACAACGAAGCAGTCACTCAACTCATACTATGGGGCTGAGAAGGCTAACTCTGCGGGCGCGATTGCGATGGCGGGGGCTCTTTGTGGCGTTGGTGCTTGGGTTGTGGTATGTTTTTCTTACACGGCTGTTTTCTTGGTTCTCAACTCTCTTTGTCTCTTTTGGCTCTGACACGCTGTCCCCTAGACCTACCCGCTCGACACGATGAAAACTCGCGCACAGAACAATCTCGTGGGCTCTTCTCTCCCCTCTTCCACTTCCAGTCAGAGTCTCGGCGCGGCCATCGGATCCACGGCCAAATCCGCCATCCAACGTGTCCCCAGCAATTGGAAAGGCGTGGAAATGATCATTATACGTTCGTGTCTCCAGAACATGATCCAGATGTCGTTTTTCGAGCAGGCAAAGGTGTGGATTGACAAGCTGGAGTTTTCCGATGGAAGCAGAACCCTGCCGGAGGTGGAGAGGCATTTTGGACGAGATAGCAAGATTGTCCACAAAAATGACAAGTTGTGATGGACGGACGCTTGGACAGCAAATTGACAGGATAGTGAATGTTTTTGCCGGCCTTGTCTTGGCCAGAAAATGAAAGGAAATGCGCATCTGATGAAGCCGGCCCGTTCCTTGTTTCGCAATGCCTTCTCCATTTCGTCTTTCCAGGCTACCCACTGCCCTCATATCCTCAACTCTTTGATTGAGAACGGAGGCTTCCAGCCCATCATAGTCAGCAGGAGCACGGCACAATCGAAAAGGAGAGGGACCTAAGCGCGGAATTGACGCTGGACAACGCTGCGACCACTTGCCTGCCTGCCTACCTAGATAGATACAGACCGTTTCTGCTCCTGTTGGATCACTGCGCCAAACCCTCGCGCGGTAAGAGGATACCAGCAGCCAAACACCTTCATCACCGTTCAGGGGTTTGCAATTGACTCGGAGGGCGGGCTTCATTGTCCTCGGAAGGAGTTCGCATGCCAGTTTTGCGGTGTTTCTGATCCGGGATCACTACGGTGAGTACCCTGATTCCAAGCCGATGATACGCGCTGGAGCCCTCACCTCACCCATCTATCTACCCACCATACACTTCCGGCCATGTCGCTTCTCGGTGCGGGCTGGACGTCACGCAGGCGCCAAGGACCAAGGATCCCAAGAACGAAATTTTGGTCACTGAAGCCAATCAAAGCAAGGGAGGCGCATATGGAAGGGAAGAAGTCGTTGGAGTCGCGGTGCCAGATTCTCCTGTACCACTATTGATTCTCGAAGACGCCCCGGGGGAAGGGGGTTGGTTCAATCCTGCGCGGCAGTCGTCTATTTTTCCATCACTGACATACTTCTCATCTGGGTTCTTCTTTTTCTCACTCAAACGTGAAACAGTCCGCTCGTAAGGCGACAGCCTGCCGCATGGGGGGAAGTGTTAGATTACCTACCTACCTACCTAGGTACCTAGATAGTCCACTCCGCCACCGTCTGTCTTCTGTTGGTGTTGTCGTTTATATCTCGCTGTCTTATCGAGGCCGGGGTCTTCTTCAGCTTGTTTCTCTCGGGTCCCTTTTTCGTTTCTGAAAATGACATTATTCCCCCCTTTTTCGAGAGGGTTTCTCCCAGCGACGAGATTGAGAAATAGGGTTGATGGATCGACCTAGTTCCGAGAGGCTGGACAGGCGCCCCGGGGGAAGAGAGATGTCGGTGATGGCACAGTTGATTTATCATCATCGTCACATATGCATCCTGCACAAATCTGCCTGCCCATGGAAATTTCTTACGGGACACTGCAACGGGCGAACTTGGCAAGAGGACAGATGGTCAGAGACTTCAGAAGTCGGGCCTTGGAGCTGGGGTCCCAGATAGATGGATAGCTCGATGAGAGACGGGGTCCGGCGATTGCATATCATTCCATAGGTGCCAAAGAGAAGGTTCCCTTTGGGGAAGGGAGGCCCCATACGCGCTCGAACACAGCAAAAGCCAACCGAAAAACATATCGCGGTACCCAGATCTGTGCCTTACGGCTGGCGCTGGTGCGGTGCCGGATATCGGGCTTGGATTCATTACCCAGATTTGCTCCGAGCGAACGAAGCGACGACAACAACAACAAACCGGCGTTGAGCGGCATCTTGTATTATCCCGCGGATCAGGCCTCTAACCTGATATTATATAAGTGTAAAGGGGGTGGCCACCCAGATTTCCAATCACCAAAGTATAAAAAGCAGTAAGATGCGCCCATTTAGGGGGTGCCAGTACCCCCCTCGTGGAGTTGTGTTGGGCTGGCTGAGTAATTGCTAAAGGTTCCCCCGGCATTCGATTTCCCGCCTTGTGGCTTTTGGGGGGAATGGGACATTGAAAATGCCGGCATCCGTCTGGTTTGGGCATCAGGGCCGACCGGCCAGAGTCCCAAATTGGAGGAAGAAGAAAAAAAAAGGAACCATTGAACGAGGGTCCAAGGGGGCCCCAACGGACGAAAAATCCCATTGGAATGGGACCTGATGATCTGTTATGACGAAGGACAAAATTGAGGGTCGACGAGGAAGATTTCATCCGAAGCGTTCGGCATGTTGTTTAGTGGAGTTTCTGGGTCAGTCATGACGTGACGACGACGACTACGACGACGGGATTTTCTCATTGCTGTCCCTGTGCTGTGAGATGTTGTGTGTGGTGCTGTTGGTCGTCTTGCCTGTGTTCGTCGTCCTATAATTACACATTACAAAGGCGTTTTGTCGGCTTAGAGTGGGGTTTGGTGGTCGGGTCTCTGGCCGTCTCTTTTGCCGGGAGTATAAAGTGATACTGGGTGTACAGCACTCTGTCCATCTATCCAATCTCTCCCTTTCCCAACCAAGTCTCACCATAGACATTTAGATCCCCTTGAAGACGAAAAAAGACATTAGAAGAAAGAACTCATAGAGTAAAGAACAAGAGAAAGAGACATACGATTTGCCCTTGATCAAAGACACTTCCCTTTTTTCACTTCACCGCGGCAAAATGAGCGACAGATTCCCGTCCGAGATCAAGGATGCTTCCCCGCTGGGCCAGCCCTTGAAGTTCGAGTTCAGCGGCAAGACGGCCCCGAACCGCTTCCTCAAGGCCGCTATGACGGAACGTCTATCGTCGTGGGATCCCGTCAACAAGGAGAAACGCGGTGTGCCGTCCAAGGAGCTCATCCGGGTCTACCAGCGATGGGGAGAAGGTGGTCTCGGGTTGATTCTGACGGGGAATATCATGGTCGACTACACGAGTTTGGAAGCCCGTACGTGCTCTCTCTCTCACACACCACAGGGTCAACCAACACGCTAACACCCATCCTCAGCTGGGAACCCAATCATTCCCCCGGGATCCCCATTCGAGGGAACCCGGTTCGAAGCATTCAAGGAGCTTGCGAGCCAGGCCAAAGCTCACGGAAGTCTTGTCGTTGGCCAGGTCAGCCACCCCGGTCGCCAAGTTGAAGCCAGACTCGAGCCTCATCCCATCTCTGCCAGTGATATTCAACTAGAAGGGGATATCATGGGGATGAGATTCGCCAAACCTCATGCAGCCTCGCTTGACGACATCAAGGACATCATCAACCGTTTTACCCATGCTGCCGAGTATCTGGCCAAGGCTGGCTACGACGGCATCGAGCTTCGTAAGCTCCCTTGCCCATAAATGTTTGTTGTGCTAACGACACGTCTAGATGGTGCCCATGGCTACCTCTTGGCCCAATTTCTCAGTCAGACAACCAATAAGAGGACCGACCAATATGGCGGCTCTTTGCACAACCGTGCTCGGCTCACTCTCGAGATCGCTCAGTCCATTCGCCAGAAGCTGCCGGCATCCTCGGGCTTCGTGCTTGGAATCAAGATCAATTCCACCGAATTCCAGGAGGGCGGATTCACAGGTGATGAAGCCAAAGAACTCTGCGTCCTGCTAGAGCAGAATGAGTTCGATTTTGTCGAGCTTTCGGGCGGGACGTATCAATCCCTCGCATTTCACCACAAGAGAGAATCGACCAGGAAGAGGGAGGCGTTTTTCATCGAGTTCGCAGAAATGATCACTCCAGCGTTGACGAAAACAAAGACGTATGTCACCGGCGGCTTCAAGACCCTGGATGGTATGGTCAGCGCCTTGAAGAGTGTCGATGGCGTTGGGCTTGCTCGGCCCGTTTGCCAGGAGTTCCATCTGGCAAAGGACTTGTTGGACGGCAAGGTCTCAGCTGCCATCAATCAAAAGGTCGATCAAGACAACTTTGGTCTCACCAACGTCATTGCCGGCTCCCAGATAAGGCAAGTTGGCAGAGACCAGGAGCCGATCGATATGTCGGTTCCAGAGAACGTCGAAGCCTTCATGAAAGACATGGGTGCCTGGGCTGAGAAGATGGGGAAGGGCGATGCCGCCAACTATGGATACGTCGACATCGAGTCTGCCCAAGCAAAGCCGTACGGCACAGTATAGTCGGCTGCGAAGTTGGAGAGTGGGGTGTTTGTTCCGCTTCAGCCGTGATGTGTCGATAGATAACTAGACCGATAGACTCGGGCGTGCTGAACTTATAGATCGCGGGACTCTATTGTATCAGATCTTTTGCTTCTCTTTCTCTTTCTCTTGATCCTTGGTCTTTTCTGCTTCATTTTCGATGACCAGAATACTTCCAGCCACTGCAATCCCGATGCAAGTCAATGCCATGAGACTTATCCCGCCCGTGTTGGGTCTGAACTTTCCTTGTTGTATGTCGCGCAGAGTCGAGAAGTAGCGCAGCGTTCCGTGGCCGACGCACAAGCTCCCGCTCGCGACGAGGACGCCTGCGGCAATCTTGGTTCTCGAGTCTGACAAGTGAAGCAAAGTGGGCGACAGAGCCGCAAGGGCTTCCACTTTCTCGAGAGCGACACCCAGAGCAATAAATCCGAGGCCCGTTCGGGCCCAAGCAAGGAAGGTTCTCTCAGAGGCAAGGAGATCGCGAGCCACAGAGCCCGTATTGGGAATGGGAGCGACCCTGATAAAACGTGTGAGTCGAGACAGCATCTCTAGTCGGAGGTCTTAGACCTCGTGGAATCTGTGTATCATCAATTTCATAAGGGTTCCTGGCGAGTACAACTTGGAGCATAAGGCCCCTCGCGGCTACTATTAGTACCTGATGAACCGAAAACGAGGCTGCGTCGTCTTCACGGAGGAAAGTGCGCCGAGTATACGAAACCACCTGCAGTGTTTGGTGCCCACAGTGTCTACAGACTCCATTTCTATTCCCTAAGGTAAGTGTTGTTCGACACCGCAAGACACATGACTGTCTGCTAACATCCAATGCAGGGCTGATAATGAATCATGTCATCTTCGGCAGACCTTGACAATGACGACGACTACGTCGCTAAGCTTCTCGTCGACGATGCGAGGAAGAGTTCGGTGCGCTATGCTTCCCAAGGCCTGTCCGCCTTGCTGCCCCAAAGACCGACCGCCCCCTGGCCGAAACCGAATACTCGCTTCCTGAAAACCTTGGTCCGTGAAGCCGATAGCCACAATGCAAAACTGAAGGAAAAGGAAGAACTGGAGGCAAGAATCCGTCTAAGAAGGATCGTAGGCGCCGGGCCAGCCACCAGAAACCCTAAACGGGACCGGGACAACGAAGGTCACAAGCGGGAGCGGAAGAGACGACGGTTAAGTGACGACGCTGAAGACGCACAGAGCCCCCAGAGAGACAGACGTGACAGAGCCCGAGTGTCCAGACATAGCCAGAGCCCTGAGCAGCGCGGAAAGCGAGACGATGAGCACAGACGGCGGCGGCGGCGGCACCGGCAGAAGAGTGACGAATCCAATGAAGACCACGACTATAGAAGATCTCGACTTGACCGCTCTCCTCGCCGAAGCAGGTCTCATTCACGGACCAGGTCCAGAAGCAGGGAGAGAAAGGAGCACAGGGAGACACGCAAAAGAGACAGACACGAACGAAAATCCCGCCGACTTTCTCCACCCACCGACACGAAACCAGAGTGGCAGAAGGATGCCAGGGACCACACTCGCACGCATATGCCTTCGAGATCCTCCTCCACCTCATCCGACCCTCTCGCCTCACTGATCGGCCCACACCCAACATCGGCTGACGCAGAGCAACCTCCGCAGCGCCGTGGCCGGGGCTTCAACCACCATGCCTCGCACCGGTCCCGCTCAAACATCGACGCCCACTTCTCCCCAACATATAATCCCACCACACCGCACGACGAGGGTCTCGACTCTGACACTCTGAACCTGGGGGACGAAGGAGGTGACCTGGACGAATGGACATCCGCGCTCTCAGCGCTTCGAGATCGGAGAGCCTGGCGCGCGAAGCAGGCCGAGCGCATGAAAGACGCCGGCTTCACCGACGCGGAGATCGAGCGGTGGGAGAAGTCCTCCTCCCGGACCCTCCTGGGCGGCGGTTCAGGAAAAGACGAGGGCGACGTCCGCGACGTCAAGTGGCGCAAGAAGGGCGAAGAGCGGGAGTGGGACATTGGCAAGGAGAGAAGTCCCAGCCCCAGTGTATCCGGCGGCGACATGCCTGGACCTGCCGTTGTTGGCAGGGCAAAGTCACCGGCAAGAGAGGGTAATGCGACGAGGACCTCGAGCGAAGGAAAGAAGACTGCTAGAGGGAAAGGGGTTGACTCCGCATGGCGCCGACCCGAGAGCGGCCTTCTGAAGCAGTTCAAGAGCGCTCTTCGTTGAGTTGGCGCCTCCAAGTCCCAGCCCGCCCAGTTCCTCCTCACTCGATTCAAGCTGCATCACTACCTACCTAGGTATATAATATGTATATGCGGGTAGCTTCGTTCCGAAATGCGAAGGAATCGAGCTCATCTTGTCTTTGCACCTGGGCACATTGTTCCTGTTCCTGCTTGAGACGAGAGGAGCCCTTTCTATCTTATCTGCCAAATCGTCATCTTCACATCTTCATCTTATAAACCGGACAAGTGTCGCTCATTGTACACTATATCTATACCCCTACCTAGTGGTATAGTCTGCTTCAGATCGCTCAGCTTCGCCCCCGGCTCAGCCCTCGCCATTCGCTGCTGGTCCTCTCCCGGGCCTTTTCAGACCCCATTTCTTCATGCCTGTCAACCCTTCCAGCTATTTTCCTTCCATGAGTTACATCATAAGAAGCGGCCATGCGTATTCATTCCTCCTTCGTGCTCTGGATCGTCCATCCCGTTCGTGAATCAAGTTCAAATCTGTGGCAACCAAAAGGCCCCCAATGGAAAAAAGAGCTCCCAACTCGTCGACCCCAAACTCCCATATTCTTCCACAATGCCGCATTTTGATCGACGGTGCCCCCCAAGCCGACTCTCAAGATCCAGACAAATGCCATTCACAGCGCTATAAATCAAAGCTCCCCCTCCCTGTTGACGGCTCTCACCCTCACCCTCCGCTCCCCTCACTATCCGGCCGCATCGTCTCGCCTTCGATGCTCTTTTCGCTTCGGTTTCTCTTCCAGAATGCGAGCCCCAGCTTTAATCGACTCCTCCTCCTGCCCATAGTCTTGGTACTGGCTTTTCTGTCTTTCGCACTCGATTCATCCACGTCTCCGTTGCTCAAAATGGTCGTATGTATGTCATATTTGCTGCTTTCTCTGCTGGTGGCGCTATTACTGCCCATGCTAAAACTGGGTCTCAGTACCGGACTTCCTGAGTGCATCGGTGCACTTACTGTCCGGTTTCGTATGGCCTGAAGACTGTTTCGAAGCCTTGTCAATTCCTCACTCTTGTCTGAGGTGTAGCTTGTAGCTTCAGTGCTTTCACTAGGGGTCAATACGTGCTCGCCACCCCCACCGCCTCTCGGCACACTACTTGTCACGTTGTCGCTCTGAGGCGACTTAGTCGGCGGTGATGCGTCTATCGCTTCGATCTTCGACTGCTTCGACTCAACGTCGCTTGCTGGTGCACTCGCACGTAGGGCGGGATGCGAAGGATTGTAAAGTTGTTGCGGATCGTAGGTTCGCACTGGTTCATCCTTCTTCGAGGTCGCAAAATTGAATTTATGCATGTCGGCCGCTTCTGAGGTGTCGTTTTCTTCCAGAGCTTCCCGAGGGATGGCCTCCGTTCCTGCACGCATTGATACCGCGTTATCTCTTCTTGTGTCATGTAGGGGGTCTAGAGACTCTGCAGCGTCATTTGCTGCTGCTGCCAGCCGTGGAGTGCTGCTGGAAGTATTGGCATTATTCTTCTCACCGCCATGAGAGCCATCGAGCGTAAGTTCCACCGGAATGTGTTCACCATTGACGAGGGCTGAGCCCGACCGTTCGCGATCCGACACATTCAAGTTCTGCCTGGAATCCGAGGCTGATTGTCGACGAGTGGTGGTATCAGCGCCCGGAACAGCGATGCCTGCAGCGGCTGCTAATGACGACTGATGAGAACTGTCTTGCGGAGGAGTGTTACTACTCTTCCGGCCACGCGCAGACTCAGGGAGCGGCTTCTCTGGTACAGGGTCCAGAGCACGGAGCGGAGATGTCGGCAACTGCTTTTCCTTCCCATGATCCTGCGATCGCCCGACAGGACTTTGGGTCCTGGGACTGACTGAACCGCCATCACCAAGCCCAGTTCCCCTTCTGACAAGCAGAAGTTTCTTTTCGTGCTCGGCTCTTGTAAACCAAACGCCCTTGTTCGTGAGGATCTCGTCGGCGGCAAACCGCATGGCAGGAATTATGTCAGCAACATTCGCGAAAAGCGGATGAGCAAAGATGGTCATGAAGCCAATCTGGCCATTAGCAAGCTTCAACATGTTGCCCAGCTCGGGAGGGCCGCCAAAGAGTGTCGTCTCCATTCCGACTGCTTGCTCCATCTCTCCTTGATGCGCAAACTCCTTCTGCAGTAGATGGGTCCATTTTTCGGCCACCAACCATGGTCGCGCCTGTTACGGTGAGCACAAGGAATGGATTAGAAGTTGGGTGATGTGACATACCACATTGCTGATGTCAGCGCATTTAATCAACAGTCCACAAGCCAAGGTCCGTGCCCAATCAATGTCCTTCGGAGTCCATCCATCGGTCGCTCCGCTTTCGTGAATCTTTTCCTGTAGATTTCCCAGTTGTTGCATATAGTCGGAATGGATGCCCATGTCCGTGGCGAGGATGGTACTGATCATCAGTTTCCGAAGAGCTTTGTCCTGAAATGCTATGTGCCAGTGGCGCCGGAGAATCTGAGAGTAAGCCGCACAATGGAAGGCCTCTAGAACCGACTGGTCGTTGTACAGTTGTGCGAGAGGTGCGTTTAGTTTGACCAGAAACATGTTATTGACGCCAGGATGGCCGACGTCGTGACCAATGGCTGAAACCAGCAGAGTCAGCGCTTCAAAAGGCCCTAAGAGGCGCGCTATTGGTGATTTTCTGTCTGCGAAAGGAGATGGTTCGGCACCGGCAGGATATGGCGGTAGTGTGCCTATCTGGAGGAGGAAGTAGAATACGGATTGCAAGACGTCGACAGCATGCCTGAAGTTGTGATAGAGGACGAAGGAGTTGTACGCGATCCGGCAGCCTTGCATGAAGTGAAGTAGGTCGCCTGTTTCGTGGGTAAGCGAGCTGCAACGACATCATTTGAAGACGGGACTCACGTTGATTCATGCTCCATTGCTCACACTCTTCCATTTCAAGACAATGGTTAAGCATAAAATAACCAGCATAGACGAGTTCATCTTCGGTAAAATCATGGGCAGAAAAGTCCCACCGGCCCACAGCTTCTGCCACGGCCTCTTTTCGCGACTCTTGCACATATAAGTCGCGATGCTGGTAATCCTCGATAAGATTTTGCGGCTCGCAAATCCCTTTGAGCAGTTTCTTCACCATGGCTTCGCGAAGATAAGCATAAGGTTTCTCCTCTTCCATGCCGACCCATGATTGCTTGCGATTCCTCCGAGCCATGGCCATGAAGCCTGCTTGTTCCTTTTTCGCATTTTTGTATATTCGGTAAGCGTGGACTGTCAAACCCATGATCCCGGCTTTGTCCAATGGGCTCTTTACAACATCGAGCGCGCCAGCATCCAGACACTGTAACATTAATTGGGCATCGATAATATCGGACTTGTCTTCGATTGCGACGGGTTTGGACTCAGGGCCAAAGGGTGCCCGAGACACCTCCGGTTGAGGCTCGACGTCCACAGCCTGGTCCTGAGGATCATTCCGCTTGGGCTGGACAATCGCTACCGGTATTATCAGCTTGACCCCCTCGTCAACTTGTAGATCGGACGCTATTCGGGATAGAAGTTGAAGGCCGTATGACTCGTCGGATTCGGAAGAGAAGGTGATCTCCTTCCTCAGCAAGCTTGGGGACGGTAATGGAGAGTCGGAGGACGGGAAGAATCTAGGTCTCGCTTTCGTGTGCTCATGCTTTGACTCGGAGCCGACGTCGAAGCAGGCGAGAATTGGAGTACAATCGAGCTTGACCTGATCGTGAAGTTCGGACAACTTTGTGGAAAACGCCCTCCCAGAATTACATACATACACTGGATATGTCGACGTCAGCCGGCGATGGAGCTTGAAGTCTCAAGCTCTGCTTACCTTGGTTGAACACAGTCAGAAAGGCGTTGACGTTAGTCTGCAAGTCGAGGGGCAGGTCCGAGAATTCCACCTGCGAACCTGCTCTTGCGGGCGTGCTAGGAGACAACCCCTCTCTAGAAATCCATCTTTCTGTGTTGAATCTTTCGTCAATGTATATCACTCGACAGGCGGAAGGGTCCATGGCGTCAGCGGAGGGTTGTATAGCAGGAAGGAAACACCGTCGCGTCAAGAGGCTTTACGGGCCCATAATGCGATCAAACGGCCGTCGGGACGATTTGTGAGACCTCGATTTTGCCTTTTCCTCCTTTGGTGACGTTATGGAACTCTGGACAAGTTTACAACGGAGCCGACAGGAAAACTTGACGAGAAATGTGCGCTTATTGGGGGCCCATTTCGCGACGACGATGGTCCACGAACGAGCGGGCGAGCAAAGTGCTCTTTTCACCTGCAGTCGGCGAGAAGAGTTGTCTCAGCAGCTCGACGGGCCGACCAGAGCTAGTGAGAGAGGAGCCGAATACGCTCAGCCTGCGCCGATTCAATGCCGTCGAGAGTCGGGGAGTGTGGATGGGGAGGATGGCAAGGCAAGCTGCGAGTGGGTGGCAGGTCGCAGCTGTCAAGTTTTTCGAGTCTTCGGGTAGTCGCAGACGCCGCCGGGGAAGGTGACTGAAGCTGCAGACAGGCGAAACACAGACAGCTCTCGGATGAGAAGGTGAGAGTGACCTGGCGGGTTACCCGATCGGATAATGAAGCAGACAACTAGAAGGAGTGATGTTTGGCAGGCAAATGAAGAGAGAGGATCGAGCTCGGTCGGTCGCAGGAGGTCAGGGTAAGTGGTAGTAGTGGTGATAGTGTAGTAGTAGTGGTAGACACTTGCGAGTTGGCTTTGCTGGGGGCGACAGAGGGTGAAATCGAAAGGCCGAGCCCTCAGAGGTTTAGGGCGAACCCCCAAGGATTAGTTGGCCTAGTGGCCCTGTGGCACCAAGCACCAAGCACAATTGGGTCTGGCAATGGGGTGGATCTGGGATGGAAGGAAAAAGGAAGCGCAAGGGAAGCCGAAGAGAAGCGCGAGCGAAGGTGCAATCGAAGTGCGGAGCAGGCCAATGCATGCCAACGAGAGCCAATAAGGCCCCATAAGTGCCGGTCAGAGCGAGTAAGGGCCATTCGGAACCCCTCAAGGGCCAATGGGCTGGCGAGCGGCAGTCAAACGGCAGGCCCTTCTAAGTAGAGTTAGGGGTCCTCGAGTCCCCAATGCTCACCCTTCCCCCCCTCTCTGTTACCTGCCTAATCATTCTTTGGGGGCAAGTGACCTGTGCTCTTCTTGTCACCTCAGGTAGGTAGGTTATTCTGCCAGCTAATAGTATGTCAGCCTGCTCGGTACTTACCTGGAGCTACCTGGTTTGCGGTGTGAAGAAAGAAGGTATCCAGTTTCTTCTCATCATCCACTACTAGCTTACATACCGACTGCCCCGTCCCGTAAATGACTTTCCCTCTTCTCGGGAGCGATGTGCAACAATAACCTCTTTCATCCAGGCACACGGGAAGCTGGGTCTTTGGTAGCCCCCCATCTTGCTTGACCCTCTCAGGCTTCCATCAGCCTTCTAGAAGCCGCCCATCATTTGTCGTACCACAATCGCCTTTCTCCAGCAAAGTAGAGAAGGCAGATGATCACTGTTTTACTTTCTTGGCCTTCATCACTTCGTCATCCCTTCTCATCATTGTACACGTCACTGGCAGCAATTAGACAAAAAAGACGCATGGGTGGGGGATAGACATTCGACGACAACTCTCCAGGCACCCAGGAGGGCAATCAATTCATGGCGCAGCTGACCAGATACCTGGGCTCGCTGGATATGATATCAACACAACAGCAGCCTACGATGCTGCTCCTCCTGGAGCCCTGTTCCCGGGATATGTTTCTGTTGTCAACTTCATTCTGGGCCTGGCGTCCGTCGATCGTCGACTCGACTTTTGTCGATCATACTGAGGGGCCATCTCCCTCTTGGCCATTTGATTGTTTTCTTTGGCTGTGCCCTCTAGACTTCTGCATGCCGATCCAAACGGGCATTATCTCCTCTGGCAGTGATTCCCAGATTGACATATTTCTCCACCGGGGCTCGGACGCTTGTCATTCACATCATCCACTAAGTCCCGGCATATCCTCGTAATTTAATTGTACAGAACCAACCCATGCTATGCAGCTCCCATTGTGAGGGTCATTGACCGGTACCTGGCACCAACCCGACACGCCTGGGTGAACGCTCCCCATCCGCCACGCACAAGACTTGCTGGAATTTAGACCAAGTCGGGGACTGGAATTCGGTCGGTCTCCGCGCTCTCAAATGCTGTCCTCAGCGGTCGAGACTAGCCGCCTGTTTGAATCGCTTAGCCAGATTTTCTGACGGGCTGCCAGGGTCGAGAGATTCATCCTCTGTCTGTGAATGCCACGGACGCTTCAAGGGCCGCTCACCATATGTCTCGAGTATCGCCAACAGGGTTCCCCATCCGGGTGATTCCGTCAAATGGATCGCGTCCACCTGGTCCCGCGTAGTTGCCACTCGACATAAAATCTGTTCCTCTTCCTGCAATCATGGTCAAAGAAAATGCCGCCTCTCGAAAAGGGTCGACTTACCTTGCTGAATACGCCCATACCATGCAGAAAGCATAACAGATGGAAATCGGAAACTGCGTCCACCGATTGTGACGAGCGCAATTGTTTCGCCACGTCCGAGGGATCCTGGCCTTCGGCGACAGCTTCCCGATTCTCAACAGGAAATTTGCCATTCTTGAAGAGAGGATTGGGCTTGATGGGCATTCCCGCTGTCAGAGATACCAGCAAGTATTCCACGGGAAAGCTGGGCTTGGCGTTCTCCTGCACATTGGCACCGTACTCATTGATCCGGCGGTAGAAAACTTCGGGTATGTATCGAGTCCTGCCGTTCGGGCCTTCATCGTCTTCAGATTGGACCAACATCACAGAGGGGTCGGCTGAGGGCTCCACGATATCTGCGCGAACCATCTCGACAGCAGCATTTGATGCCTGGTAAGCTCGAATTGTGATACTCTCGTCCTCGTCTCCGGTGACGACGCAGGTCACAAAGTTTGAGCCGAACCGGCCCGTCTCACTCCATTTCGAAGGCTTTGGATATTGAGCTTGCAGCCGTGCTGCGAATACGATCTCCAGAGACGAAAGAAAATAAGAATCGATGTGTCGCTTGCAAACGGCTTGACCCTCTCCTTCCTCGGGCGCCAGTAGATCGGTGAAGATAACTCCCACCCGCTCGAGCCCGCAAAGCCTGGCAACCTCATCAACATCCTTTTCATTAGGCCACTCCAGGAGTGTGAGGCCGTCAACTTCGCACATTTGAGGTGGCTCGTAGATGGCTTCAACCACAGCTTTCACCCCCAGGGGTACTTCTGTATACTCTTCGTATCGCCCGAATAGAAAACCCAGCCGTTGACTACCAGACTTCCTCCAGAAATCGATCAGCTTATCCACCATATCTGCTGAGGCAAACTCAACATGATCCACCATTCGGAATTCTTGCGGTTGTAATGTGATAGCACTTGGTTGGCATTTCGTACAGATTCCTTCAGGCCAGGGAGGATGACCGGCCGGGCAGTCTTTCTTGACTCGGTAGTAGGGTTCGGACAGTGGCGGCATGTAGGAACTTTTCAACTCGGGCTTGTTGGTGGCGGAATTGATTTTGCGCAGGTAGCTGTGGAAGGAGAGATGCTTTATTTTCCTCTCGTCGAGATATTTCTTGTCATAGGGTTCCAGTGGCTGACAATAATCGCACATGCCCTTGGGCCCATGTCGACACATCTTGAGGTCTCTGGGTCTTGAGATCTTCCCATCCAGCTTGTCTAACCTGTCATCTAAGGCAGACTGTTTGACAACTTCCCACGGGTTCTTAACGAGAGTTGGAGAAGTGACCGTCGGGGCAGTCACGGGGCCGGCAGGTTCTGGTAGGGCGATTGTGCCGTTCAAACGTCGAGCAGCGGAGGGGCCATCGCCGTTGGTGTGATGACCGTTGGACATGGTTTCGTGTTCTGAGAACCCGATGTACAACTTGTCTCCATGCTTAAGTCCGACCTGCCGCAGTTCTACCCCGGGAAGGTCGACCAGGCGCCGCTCTCTTTCCGGGTCCGGTTTCGAGCTGACGGGCTTGTTGCTAAGTACTATAGAGGATGCATCGGTATTCGGAGGGAGGTTGTCAAGGATCTAGAGGATACCCCATCATAATCAGCCAACTCAGTTTTCCCCCTTCTCCAGACACGCGCAGCTTCGGGATTTACCTTGGGAGTTAGCGACGAGAAATGTTGGGTAGGCTCGACGTTCAGGCGGAACTGGCCCCATTTGGACTCAAATCGTAGCAACATGGCGTAAAGTAATAATAATGGGTGCGGGGAGTCCGCACGAGGATGGCGGGATGGCGACTCAGATCCAGTGATAAGATGAAGAAGTAGAGATGTCTGAGACCTGGTGGAAGATAGAAGGAGAGATAGAGGAAGGGACTAGTGTGGGACAGATCGAGTGCGAGAAGAAGTGAGGTGGACGACAACAAAGAAAGCAAACGCAGAGGTTGAAGTGGCCTCGAGAGCTGCCGTGCCTTGTACCTGAAGGGAGCGAGGCTCTAGATGGCAAGCAGATGATGGTTGGCTCGGTCTTTCATGCGAGGATGATCACAGAACTTCTCCGAAAGCGCCTTGTGGCCAGGCTGCAAAACTTACGTCATGCAGGGCTGTGGCTGGTGAGGTTTACCCAGCGAGCAGCACGTCTAGGCAGCACGTACCACTTTATACCTGTTCACAAGTGCCTCTAATTATATACCTACCTGCTTACCTGGTACCTAGGTAGGTACCCGTATAGCCCTGTCTCTGGTTCAAAGGATGCCAGGAGGATAACAGAACACATCTCTTTCTGCTTCTCTCCCACCAAAGAACAAGGGTCCAACTACGTTCACTCTGACAAACTACTACCTCCCTTTGAACTACTTCCTGCGCTTCATCATTTCAAGATTCGTCAAGGAGACATGTGTAGATGAAACGCTAACTGGCCCCGGCAACATGCCAGAAATCAAACTCCTGAGTCCGGGGTGATGGCTATCGTATGCTGGTCATTCAAACAGCATCCAGATTATATGTGCTCTCTGAAACGCCCTCAATGCTTCGAATATCAATTGTTCCCACCTCGTGACTTCGTGTACATCAAACCAAAGATTGCCATGCTCATCATTTGCCCTTGTACAATTGCCCAAGCCGCTTTTCCAGGATCTTGCGTCCTTCCTCTGACCTCCACACCTCTTCTGCAGGTGCTCCTTTCACCACGTCCCAGGCGATCAACTTGTCTGTCACCTTTGTCAAGTCGTCTTGCTTCCGCTCCCAATCCTTGTCCTTTTTCAAATGGACCCCAGAAGTGACCACAACAAGAGGCACGCTGCGATCTTGGATATTGCGGGCGCTGACAACCTCGTTCTTGGTCAATGAATCGGCTACCAGGTTTTCCTGCAGCTTGTTCTTGATAAACTTGCCACCCTGGTAGGAGGATTTGCCAAAGACGCGATCTTCCTTGGTGCGACCCCGGAACAAAGCTCCCGCCAAGCGGTCGAGGCCGAGCGGAGATATGATCCCTCGTCCCCACAGAATGAATCCACGACCAGGTGCGCCGACTTTGTAGAGGAGGTCTTCGTGTAGACCATCGATGAACATCATGCCCCTGATGTCACGTGGATGTCTAGCAGAAAAGACTCTGCTGTAGACACTACCAATGCCAGCAGACACAAGGATCCATGGGCCTTCTTCACCTGCAATCGCCAGCGCCTCAGAGATTGCATCTGCGGACATGCCAGCCGAGTGTGGAGATGGTGCGTTATCCGACCATGCAATCCCAGGTCGATCCCAGTAGCAGTAACGGTCGACAGTACCATTCATCCACGCATCATAAACCCATCCCTCGAAGCTGTCCTCCACAGGCATGTAGCCTCCCTCAAGCAGGACGGTGGGTTTCGGCTTACCGTCTGCGTCAAAGGTCTGGTTGCCAACGCAAGCGAAGTGGACGGCGTACTTGTCACCATCCACCAAATACCGCGTCCCAGGAGCCGGCAGGGTAGCGTCCCTCGAGCGCAATACCAGGACAGCCGTAAGCAAGACAACAATGATCACGTAGATGACCATAAGGATGGTCGCGGTAAAGACAGCACACCATTCTCGGAGAGAACGGCGCGTCTCCTGGCGACCGGTAAGGCGGACTTCCTCTTCCGCTTTACCCCACTGAACCGTTCTGTTGGTCAAGACATTATATAGACCGATCAATGCTGCCCATATGACCGATGCAACACCAATCCAGCCTTCTTCAAGCCTGATACGAGGGACTGCGAGGATGATGATCATGTCAATCAACAGAATGACCGAGATTGCCATGCTCAGAATGCTCATGGCTGTGGATGGAGTGGCAAAGAAGAGAAGAGCCGTCAGGATGTTGCCAATGGTGAGGGTGGTCCAAGCGACGTCGAAGAAGCCCGAGCCCCTCGAATTGAAACGTGGAGGACTAACGAAGATGGAGATGAAGAGCAGGGTCCACCATAGGAAGGTTATCATCAAGAAGAAGACTTCGAGGTACCGTAAGGCTCTCACGGAGAAGAGGTTGTAAGGTGTGACCTAGAACGACAATCAGCTTTTTGATGAGTTGGGCGGTTGAGGGTCACTTACAGCAGGGTCATCAGGGCTGAGATAGCCTGGGCCTCGATCACGGCGAGGCAATAGGCGTGTTCTCTCATTGGCATCGTCCGAAGGTCCATTGGATTGAGGATGGGATGCGGTGGCTGCGTGACTGTCTTCGTCCTCCTCTTGAGGGGCCTGGCCGTTGTCCTTCTTGTTACTCCCCCAAAGGGAAACCATGGTGACCAATCTGGATCAGTCCGAGTTAAAGCACCGAGGGTTGAAACTGGCAAGGCTTTAGGTTCGGATCACGAGGAGTAGAGATTGTGGGAAAGCTGTTAGACACGCTCCCATCGGTTCTCTGAGTGAAAGGGGGTTGCGAGAGAAGGAGAGGTATCAGAACCGAGCGACGGAGATGAAAACATTCAAGGGTTGGTAGAGGAAAAAAAGAAGAGCTCAGCTTGAAGCTTGCAAGCCCAGGCCGTGGTGTGGTGGTGTCACCTGCACTGACCTGCACTCACCTGGGCTGCCTGCCAAACGGGCATCTCACGACGTCATGGAACCTCGACTGCGGGATTCTCTTCCACGAGATCGTCAACAAACTTTCTGCTGCTGGAGCTGCTGGAGCTGCCACTGGCACCCAACTGGCTGCCTAGCTCGCTAGCTATGGCTGATCCCCATCTTGATCTCGCATTTCTCATCCAGTTGTTGGCCCCCATGATTCGTCAAATGGGATGTTGAGCCTTTGCACGCTCTCTCAATGAGAGAGTTGCCGTCTCGATTGAAGTTGTGGGGAGACGGGAAGCCAAGGTGAGAGAAAACTGCGGTGCAGCAAAGCAAATGCGTCAACGGCTGCGCTCTAGAAAAAAGAGTGACCAGCATCGCCCTGTCTTGACCAGAGTCTTAACAATTGATAGGGTGATGGGGTGGTGCGGCCAGGCCGACTGCTCTCTTGGTTCTTCTCTCTCCCGTCTGCCGCAGCTGCGCCTAACCAACCGAACTCATTCCCGCTCATCCTTGCCACTACCTAAGCTATGCATTCCATCACAAGACACCGCCACACACCCCTCCACACTCTCTCCATCCCACGGACTGGAACCACTTGCATGAGCCACACCTAATTCGTCCCTCTTATCAGAGTCCTCCCGAGTCCATGAACCGAATTGACAGCCTTGTCTCGACTTTCGAAATTCCGTAATGAGTGACCTGCAGAAGTCTTTTGCCCGGGCACGCTTGTCTCATCTCCCTCCGGAGCCACCGACCCTTGCAGAGGAACAAGATGAAGAAGGCGATGACTTGACCGAGTTGAGGCCAGGGTCTCCAAATGATTCTTCCTCGTCGGCTTCTTCAACATCCTCTACGGGCACCATCGTCCCGTCGCCCAGCCGGAATCTGTTTGAGAAACCTAAAGGGTAATTTGAAGGTCACGTCCCAGCCCGGATCAAGATGACCACTGACGAACATGATAGTGCTGCCATAAGATCCCGTACCGCACCCCTTCCTTGGGATGATTTCTTTGCTCAAGACCTCGCTTTTGATCAGAAGACACCCTCAGAGACAATCCACCATCACGTTTATCTAACTCCTCCCTCTGCTTCTGGCCCGCTCATTGTTACACATCATGGAGCTGGCTCGTCAGGCTTGTCATTTGCTGCCTTCACGATAGAGTTGCTGAAGATCCTTCCCAATGCTGGTGTTCTCTCATTAGACGCACGAGGGCATGGACAGACCACAACAACCACTTCCTCTGGTAGCTCCCCACCTTCTCAAGACCTCAGCTTAACCACTCTAGCAGAGGATGTGGCCTTCGTTGTCAATGCTGTCAAAGCATATATGAAGTGGTCAACCTTGCCAGATATCGTGTTGATCGGACACAGTCTAGGAGGTGCCGTCGTGACCGAAGTGGCTCACGAGAGACTTCTCGGCAACACCTTACTAGCATACGGTGTCCTCGACGTAGTAGAAGGTTCGGCTATGGATGCTTTGAAAAGCATGGACACATATCTCTCCACGAGGCCGAAATCCTTTCCTTCACTTGCTTCGGGTATTGAGTGGCACACAAAATCTCGAACGATCCGAAACACCACCTCGGCTCGAGTCTCGGTTCCATCACTACTTCAAGAATCCAAAACAAACAAAGACACATGGCTCTGGCGGACTGATTTAGCTGCTACCAAACCCTTCTGGGAAGACTGGTTTGTCGGGCTGTCCAAGAAGTTCCTGGAGTCTCGTGGAGGTAAATTACTGCTGCTGGCGGGGACGGACCGACTTGACAAGGAGCTCACGATTGGGCAGATGCAAGGTAGGCCATTCTGGAATCATCTCATTTTCTCTTCTTCAGCCCCATCGACGCTCGTGCTCACACTGTGCGCAGGAAAATACCAACTCCAAGTGTTTCCTGAAGCCGGCCATTTTATACAAGAAGATCAACCAGCCAAAACCGCCCAGATTGTGGCGGACTTTTACAAAAGGAATGACCGCACCGGCCTCGTCCTACCTCCAAAAGTAGACGATCTGATCAGACAGGGGAAGTTGAAACCTGCTGGTATGAAGTGAGTCCACTGCTGCTGAATAAAAAAGGACCGGAGGCTGAAGGTTGGTGCCAATGTTTGACTTTTCAATGCTTTCGGTTCCCGAGCCTCTAGTCCTTAGCTGGCTGTCTTAGGAGCTGTGTCACTCACCGGAAGCATGTCCATATATTATTAGCGAGGTGACCATCACAATATAGATTCGAAACTCTCACAGCAACCGCCACAGCCGAGCTAGATATAGTTGATTGATGTTTAGAGCCTCAGACAGGTTGGGACCTGAGCCTCAAGTCGGAAAAGGCACTGAAATATAAGGCTTCTTACACGGGAAGCGCTTTCAAGTGGAAGAATCGGGCTTTCATTAGAGCTCGCCCACACATATTTGCGCGATGGGAAGACAGGGTTACAAGTATCTTGGGTCTCTGTAGACTGACCAACGGGTATACGCACGTCGCTCTTTACCTCTTACCCTTCATCCTTCCACCGTGCTTTTTATTCTTCTTCTTTCCCTTCTCCTTCATCATCCGCTTTACCGCATCCTCACTGCCCTTGCCCTTCCTCCACATCTTCCCCTCCTTCCGCTCACGCGCATCATCCAAACGCTTCTTATCTTTATTACTCAACTTTTTCTTCTCTGTCCGCACTTTCACACTTCCCACCCCGTCCGGCCCGTTCAACTCCATCCGCCCCTTATTCTTGGCATCACGTTTCTCTCTCTCAGTCTCGAACCACGTCCTCTTTGGCCGAGCCATGATTTCGGACTCGTGCTTGATGATGTTCTCTCCACGCGTGATTTCGGCCTCGGTAGCGGCGAGCTGCTTTTCTTCTTTCTCTTCTTTCAGGATCTCTTCGACCTCCGGCTCTAGGTCTTCAAGCCGTCGATTCATAGCGTCGACCTCTTGGACATCCATGACTCGGGACACCACTTTCGCGCCCTGTTGTCTTGCGCTCTTCACAGCCGCCTTGACCACTTTCCGATCGGGTTCTGCGGCAATTGTGCACGCACGGCCCGAGCGGCCCGCTCTGGCCGTACGACCCACTCGATGCAAATAGATCTCATGTGTCTGCGGTGCTTCATAGTTGACGACTGTCATGACATTCTTGATGTCGAGACCTCGACTGGCAAGGTCCGTGGCAAGGAGGTGCGTGGTTTTCCCGTCTCGAAAGGCATTGACTGCACTGATGCGTTGTTCTTGCGTCATGCTTCCATGCAGTTCGCCGGCCTTCAGGCCCAGTAGACCAAACACAACACGTACACGATGGGCTTCCTTCTTCTGACGAAAGAAGACGATTGTGCGTTCGGTGAAGAACTTCAGGCACAGTACGCATAAAGTAGCCAGACGCAGACCCTCTCGTCCTTGGCGGAGACGGACGAATTCCTGAACTAGACCTGCTGTTGTAGACTTCTTGGCGTCGACGGATAAGCGCACAGGACGATTCATGCCGACCCTTACCAATTTATCCACGCTGTCGGTCATGGTGGCAGAGAAGAGCATCGTCTGTCTCCCTTTGGGGATGGTCCTCAAGATCTCGTTCAGCTCGTCTTCAAATCCGGTTTCGAGCATCCGATCTGCTTCGTCCAGCACCAGGATTTCGATGTTCTCGACGGCAAAGCTGGCCGAGTTGCGCATGTGGTCGATAAATCTACCTGGCGTAGCAATCACGATATCGGGCCGCTTTTTCAGAATTGTTTCTTGTTCGCGCAAGGAGAAGCCACCCACGACTTGCGCAAATGTGATATCTGTGAATCGAGCCAGTGCAGTGGCCACACTGTAGCATTGGACTGCAAGTTCGCGGGTCGGCATAAGGATGGCGACTCGCGTCGTGGGGACTTTTCTGGGCCGGTACAGCAAGCGCTCGAGGATGGGGAGGAGGAACGCCGCGGTTTTGCCTGAGCCTGTCACGGCGGACCCGACCACATCTAAGCCTTGCAAGGCGACGGGAATGGCGCGGACTTGAATGGGTGTTGGGGTAGTGAATGAGAGAGCGGCTAAGCCGCGCAAGATGGGCCGCGACAGAGAGAATTGTTGGAAAGAGGATGCAGATTTGATGTCGCGCTGTTGTGTTGCTTTGTCCTCAGGAGCGAAGAACGCAGCACGTTTAGCCTTCTCGTCAGGATCTTCCGAGACAGTCGTTTGCGATTCAGCATCGGACTGATCAGAGGCTAGATCCTCTGGATGAGCCGTGGGAGATGCCACTGAGTCGCTGTCGGAAGCATTGTCGGCGTCCTCGTCCTCATCCTCTTCTTGCTCGTTGTTTGCCTCGGACTCTGCCTCGTCTTCCTCGTCTTCAGAGACAGCATCCGCACCGAAAGTATCTGGAGCTAGAAGTTCGTCGTCTTCAAAGTCGGGGATCTCCACATCGTCTTCGTCACTCCCTTCACCACCATGTGATTCTTCGACTTTCTCTCCCGATTTCTTGGACCCAATGGATCTTGCCTTCTTCTCTGTGCGACGAGCAATGATGGCGTCAATGTCGACTCCTCTTTTCTTTTGCTCTCGATTCTTTGCTGCTATGTTATCCTCGCCCCATCCGTCAAATTCTTCGAGGTCCTCTTGCAGCTGGTTCGCTCCGATGTCAAACTCGAAATCGGGATCGAGGGCACCATCTTGGACACCCGTTTCTTCTCCACTTTCTGAACTGTCGTCTGGTGCAATGCGCTCCTCGTCATGCTGATCTCCCCCTCTTTGAACCTTTTGTTTCTTATTCTTGCGGATGGGTTCCTTTTCTTCCCGCTTGCGCTTGGTGCTGGAGCGGCGGAGCTCTACCGTTTCCGAGTCGTCCGTGTCGATGTCGCTGACAGGCAGATCCTCATTGTCGGAGATTGTAAGAACGAATTCGTCCTCGTCTACGGCACGGGCCATTGCAGGGTAGAAGAGGTCTTGAGCGTATGGCTGCGCTTTCTGAGATGGTCGAGGTTTGACTGCAACTTTTTTTTTTGTGTATGACCGGCAGAATTTCCAAAGGCGGTGAAGGCGACGACAGCCAACGGGGGTTGAGCCGAGCCATTCGCCTGCGGGCACCACAACCACCATCCATTTACACCTGCTGGTTGATTCACTCTACAAGGTCTATAGAGCACCCAGCGGACCAATCTGATACTTGAAATTGCATTTCCGTTGAACGAACTATGAGCAACTTCCATGCACGCTACGTGTTTCACTGCACATCTGATCTGTGGCGGCTAATCAAGAGACGCGGATGGATAGGTTGCAAGTCCTAGTCAACCAGAACAATGCATCCGCGGAATCTGTCCATGTCCTTTTGTGGCCTGCAACTCAGAGGCTTTGAGACTGCCGATATCCTCGGCCGTTCAAGGTCCTCGTAATGATGACAGGATTTCCCGCAGCGAACTCTCTTGATCTGGACGGGCGGGCCATGACTAGAGGTGAGCAAGTTCCATGTCATGGCCTCCAAATGCATGTGAATTGTTTGTGTACTGCAAGCATTGGAGAAACCATCTGGAGACTTGTCGAGTATTTCTCCCACCCCCACCGCAGGTGCGTTTGGGATGCAAGCCGTGGGAGAAGGGGATGATGCAACATGAGCGAGAGATGGAAAAGGGTGACAGTTAATTATTGCTTTGCGGTTGAACACCTATTTGACATGTTTCTTCTGGTGCAAACAGCCGTCCACCTGCTAGTTTCACATTACGAGGACTCGGGCTGAGATATACCTATTGCTTGCCACAGGCATACGAGTACAAGATGGTTGTGGAGATGTCACAGACGTCTGATGGTGTCAGTCCACATTGACGCAAGGCACGGCGGAAGTCAAGCTCTGATGGAGTCAACAGTAAGTCCCATATATATACAAGTATTATTCATCGCGCAAGTAGGTGGGCTTGCAACGGTTGCCTCCGGAAGCCTGGAGGGTTGCTGTCGTGTAACGGGACCCAGGGATCAAGGGTTGGATTTCTGGAAAGGTGGCTTGCAGTAGCTCCATGAGAGTACCCCTGTTCAGCAAGAAGGTGTCTGTCACCGCTTCTTTGAATGCATCGAGAAATCGCATCATCCGTCGGCATTTTGGATGCAGTTTGCCTCAAAATGGGTCTTTGAACTTTCGAGGCCCAGGAGCACCTAGAATCGAGCCTTGTGATTGTCGCCGGGACAAAGAGACGCAGATCACAATTTTTGATCGTCGATGGTCGCTAAGGCTGGATCTTCACGTCTAGAACATGTCCTGTTAAAGGGCAGGCCTAGAAGTGCCCGTGTCGAGGCTCAGGGAGCCACAGGAGCCACCTCGATGCGACGAGGCGGGTCCCGCTGAGGTGATCGAAAGAAATCGCGGATTCACGGTGCCTCTCTTGCTCCAACACGTATTGGGGTGGAGGGGAAGTCCAACAGGAAAATGGCTCAGCGAGCCAGAGCTGGACAGAGCACAGGCATTGCGCTTCGCCCGTTCGTATTGGCGCTCCGTTTGAGCACTTGGTCCTTCGGGTTTGCTGGCGGAGATGGCCCACGAATCCCAGAGAGAGGAGCCATGACAGGAGCTTCTGCTCTTCTGCCCACGGCCAGCTAGCATTTCAGCAAATGCTCTGTCGTTGCACGAATCGACAAATGCAGCACAAGCCAGCGCCACAAAGGGCTCGGACGTCTCCACTCCCTCAGACGGGTTACCGGGTAAAGAAAGGTAAGAAGGCAGCGGGCGAGGGGTGGATCAGGTCGATAGGGTCGAAGCTACAGGGCTGTCCCATGTCAACAGCGTGGCATGGCATGGCGGAACCGGGGACTCGTTGATGGTCGTGTTAAGAGCACGGGAGGGATGATGAGGCCTTCTTCTCCCTCTTCCCTCTTGGAATCTCGACATGCATCAAACATCCACCCCACCAAAGGCATTTGCTTCACGACCCTCGAAGGAGTCATCGTTCAGCCCACGCTCGCTCCGCCCCTCCCTGGACAAGTCGAGTATCAGCCTACCACGCCTGGCTACTCGGATTCCACTAGGTTATCGTGGATTATCCCTCAAACGTTATCTTCCAAACCATCCCACTCTGTCAACACCCACTGACCCTAGCGTCCTGGATCGGGATATTTCAAGCCTGGGAGGGAGGACCCTAGAACCTATCCCAATTCTCCTTTGACTCGGATCGGCTACTTGGCTACTTAGCAGGATATACAAATCACGGCAGTACACATGCCACGTCCCTTTTAGTTAATGCTCGCCTCTGGTGGTTGAACCTTGAGCAGGAATCCCGAGTGGATCGCTTGTGGACACACACCGCCGCGCAGAAGGGAAAAGCAGAAACGAAACAAGTCGCCTACTTCACGACCTACACTACTGGGCCTACTGGGCCTACTGGGCCTACTGGGCCTCCTGGAGCTCCTGGACCTGCTGGGGCCCAGCAGCCAAAGCGAGGATTCTCGGCTGCAATCACGTCAGTTCCGGCTTGCGCAGGCTGACTGCTGTTTGTAACATAACACCACATGCAACCGACAGCCAGGCCTGTCAACTAAGCTGGCCTGTTTGTTGAACCCGTCTGCTTGCTCCCTACTTGCTACTAGCTAGTGCTGGATACGCTCGGAGGCCACAGGCGACTGTGGAATAGCGCCGCAAGCTACACCTGGATTCCCACCAGATCCCTCCCGAAGGGTGGACGGCCCTTGCATGCGCAACTGATTCGCCCTGCGCCCTCGTTTCTTGTGCCACGGCTCTTTGTTGTCATCTTTTTTTTTCCTCGCTCGTACCCATATTTATCCTATCATCCCGCCTTTCTTCTGACCGTCTTCCTTCTCAGCATGACCCTTCCCGCAGACACTGACAGCAGTCATGGCGCCGCGCGATCAGAGCCCAATGCCACCGCCTCCAGTATGTCTCGCCCCGCGTCCCAGCCCAAAAATGAAGAGGGGCAGGGGGGAAAAATATCTGGTTTCAGCCTTACTAACCCACTGATAGCCTCCCAACTCGCCCGTCCTGAAGCGCTGTCGGAATTAAAAGCTCGCATCAAGGCGGGCCTGAAGACATATCCCGATTTCCCAAAGGTAAGAAATCCACCTTGGCCTCTCGAAGCATTTGTGCTAAGTGCCTGGGTGAAGAAAGGCATCCTCTTCGAAGACATCCTCCCACTCTTTGCCTCGCACACCCTCCATGAGGACTTGATACGAGCATTCGAACTACAGATCGCCGAATCGCTCGGTCCGAACAACATTCCTGATGTGATTGTCGGCCTCGATGCGAGGGGTTTCCTCTTTGGTCCGACATTAGCCCTACGATTCGGAGCCGGCTTTGTTCCTGTCAGAAAAGCGGGCAAACTCCCCGGCGAGATCGAAACAGCAGAGTATCAGAAAGAATATGGCACCGACACCTTTGCCATGCAGACTTGCGCCATTCAGCCTGGCCAGAAAGTCCTTGTGGTCGACGACCTGATCGCAACAGGCGGCTCGGCAGCGGCAGCAGGTACACTGGTCGAGAAATGCGGCGGGCACCTGCTCGGATACATCTTCATCATCGAACTCACTTTTCTCAATGGTCGAGACAAGCTAAATGCCCCGGTTTTCACGCTCCTTGAGAGTCAAGAAGCATGACCAGCGGCCGGCATCCGCTGGTTCTCCATGAACAATGTCGCAACTCGAGATGTCCAAAGCGGCCATCGCGATGGACGAGGTTTTACCACCAAACATCCCAGGACGATTTCGACTACATACCACCCCACAGTCCTATGTGTATGTCGATCGACATCTTGGGGCCCGGCGGCGAACACAATATGTCAAACGAGAAACGGGTCTCTTTGACTTGCTCCGTAATGAGAGCAAAAATTCCTTCATTTTCTGTGTTGTTTTTGAAAGATTCAATTACGTTACAGATGAAATATTGCACGAAGAACCTAATGTCTGCATTCAACTTGGTTCGATCAGTCCAACACTGCTTCGAGGTTTGAAATTCGTGAGCAAGCGGCAGAGAGCTCTTCTCGGACGTTGCTCGAGGGGAAGGCTGATCTCAGAGAGAGCTCGGTCAGACAAGGTGCGCAGATATGATGACTTCAGGGAGATGTGGTGAGCGCAGGTCTAGGGATTCATTGACCCTCATCGCTCCCAGTCAGCCACTAGTGACGGGCAACATATTCTTGATCCAAGGCTCACGATTCGAAGCCCGGTGTTTTCTTTTGAGGGCTCTGACAGAAGGGATAGAGATAGACTCCAAAAGCATCTTCAATGATACCATCAAATAATCACCTAGTCGACAACATGGTCAAAGCTGTTCCTTGTTTCATTTGTAGGTTGTGTTGTTTTTTCGCGGCTTAGGCTATATCTTACCTGGTAGATGTACCTCGATAAGCATTGACCACCCGCCTGGTGCCGCCTAACCGAGCTTTAAGTACCAGGACCTAGCTAGGTATCTACCTAGGTAGGTAGGTAGGAAGGCAGGCCATTATTATTGAAGGGGACGTGGCCCAGCAAACGGGGAGCACGGGCAGCCATCGAACGATCGTTCCACTGACCAGATGCTTGAAATCGCTCTATCCCCAATCCCCACATGCGGCACCCGCAACCACCCAACCACACACCACGAGGCCCATGTTTCGGACTCGTCTGAAACTGCGTTGCATTTTGGTTCTCAATCCTCGACTTCACTGCGTTCTCCGTGGTGCCCCGGCTGCTGTATGCTTCTGCTGTCACTCGCTTAGTTCGTCATTTTTCCTTCAAACAGTTCTGCCGCCAGTGTCTCCAGCACCCAGCGCCTCGGTCTCTCTCGCAGGCCCTTCTCGGTCCTCGACTTTTTCGCGCCAAAAACAAAGGGGACAAGCCAATACATGAAGGGTTGCAGAAATGTCGGGCATACCTGAGCTGGAAGAGGCCCTGCGCAAGCTCGACGAAGAGCTCGAGGAAGGCGACATCACCCGCAAAGGCTATGAAAAGAGACGGACTCTCATTCTTTCGCAGTACATCAGTTCTCCCCCACTGAACCTACAATCACACTCACAATCACAATCACAATCGCAACCCCAACCCCAGCCTCAGTCTCGAGGGCTTCGCATACACTCGCCTGACGATAGCGATCATCCTGTCTCTAATGAGGAATCCAGAGCAGCTTCGCTTGCTGCCCTCACCGGTCGACCGGTGGGCAGCGCCTCGAGAGATGGGACAATGACCGAGGGCCATCCCAGCATGACCCGGCGAGCCTCTGTGCCCAGGGATGAATACAACGATTCCAGGAGAAGCATCACCCCCCAAAGCCACATTCAAAGATTCCAAGAGAGGGAAGCGGGAAATCTACCGCATGGTTCAATGTCGGGGTCCTCATTCGATGGCCGGCGCGAAACCTTCATGACTGCCAACGACCAGTCCCGTACCGAGACGCTGCTGAGCCAGAACTACGCGTTCAATCCCGACACCCAACAAAATTATGGCGGCGGCGGCATAGACACTCGCAACTCTACTATGCTGGACTCGCAGCAAGGCTATTTCTCGGATTTTGCCGGTCAACAACGAGAAGAGCACCAAGAGAATTATGGGGGCAATGTGCACAGATATTCGCAGAGCGAAGTGACTTCGCCCACGGCTCAGGTGGCGCCACCGTTTCTCGGTGCCGGAGAGCTTGCTGGAGGTGCGGCTATCCACCAAATGCCCCTGGAGCCGCGCGAAGTACCTTTCGCCATTTGTGACCCACATGATTCGCACATCGAGATGTCCAGGTTTGAGAACATTGCTGCAGTCCTCAGACATCGAGCAAAGACAAATCCTCAGCAGGCCGCCTACTGGGTGTTGGACCAAAAGGGTAAAGAGCTCGTCTCTATCACCTGGGTGAAGCTATGCAGCCGCGCGGAAAAGGTTGCTCAGGTCATTCGCGACAAAAGCAGTCTTTATAAGGGGGACCGAGTTGCGTTGATCTACACTGAGAATGAAATCATCGAATATGCCGTGGCGCTGCTAGGCTGCTTCATCGCCGGCGTGGTGGCTGTACCGATCAACGACCCGAAGAATTATGCCAGATTGAACGTTGTATTGACGTCTACGCAGGCGCATCTCGCTCTGACTACGGAGGCCAACCTCAAGAATTTCCAGCGAGATATCACCGCCGCCAAGCTGAACTGGCCCCGCGGAGTGGAATGGTGGAAGACCAACGAATTCGGCAGCTATCATCCTAAGAAAAAGGGCGAGGAAGTTCCCCTTGTGGTTCCGGACCTCGCCTATATTGAGTTCTCTATGGCACCGACTGGTGACCTCCGGGGTGTCGTGATGAGCCACAAGACAATCATGCATCAAATGGCGACACTCAGTGCCATGATTACGTCGGCGACAAGCAACACCAAAGCAGACACCTTCAATCCTTCCCTGCGCGACAAGCAGGGTCACTTGATCACCGGCTCGAGACATGGCGAAATCATGCTGAGCTATCTCGATCCGAGACAGAGCATTGGAATGATCCTGGGAGTTTTGTTAAACATCTATGGCGGCCACACGGTGATTTACATTGACCAACGAACCATCGAGACACCTGGTCTTTACGCCAACCTCATAACGAAGTACAAGACAACACTCCTTGTAGCAGATTACCCGGGACTCAAACGTGCCGTGTACAACTACCAGGCGGATCCCATGACGACGAGGAATTTCAAACGGAACTTTGAACCCAACTTCTCTAGTGTCAAGTTGTGTATGATCGACACCTTGACCGTTGACGTTGAATTCCACGAATTACTCGCAGATCGTTGGCTGAAACCACTTCGCAATCCCAGGGCAAGGGACATCGTGGCCCCTATGCTCTGTTTACCCGAACATGGCGGAATGGTGATTAGCATGAGAGACTGGCTGGGAGGAGAGGAACGCATGGGTTGCTCGTTGACCCATGAGATGGATCGTGACCACGAGACAGAGGAGAAAAAGGAAGAACAACTTGCGATTACAAAATCCAGCTTCGGCAGTAGCCTCATTGGTGGCGGAACTAAGCCTTCTTCCAAGGAACGTTCGACGGAGGACTTAGGGGAAGTGCTACTGTCGAAAGAGGCTCTGAAGACAAATGACATCCTGGTGCTGGCTATGGGCGCCGAAGCAAGAGCGAGGGCGACTTCATTTCCCAGCGCAGTCCGATGTGGAGCGTTCGGATACCCCATACCCGACGCCACTCTTGCAGTGGTTGATCCTGAATCCGGTTTGCTGTGCGCGCCAAACTCGATAGGTGAGATTTGGGTAGACTCACCCTCTCTGTCTGGAGGCTTTTGGGCTCTGCCGAAGCATACTGAAACGATCTTTCATGCTCGGCCATTTTGTTTCAAAGAAGGCAACCCGACGCCTACTGCCATCGACCCCGAATTTCTTCGTACCGGTCTACTTGGATGTGTCATAGAAGGCAAGATCTATGTTTTGGGACTGTATGAGGATCGACTCAGGCAGCGGGTGGAGTGGGTCGAGCACGGTCTGGCGGTGCAGGAACATCGCTATTTCTTCGTCCAGCATCTAATCCTCAGCATCATGAGAAATGTCCCCAAGATCCACGACTGCTCCGCTTTTGACTGCTTTGTGAACGATGAACATCTTCCCATAGTCCTTTTGGAATCTCCATCGGCTTCAACGGCGCCATTATCCTCAGGCGGTCCACCACAGCAGCTTGATATTGCATTACTCGACTCTTTGGCGGAGAAAACGATGGATGTCCTGTACCAAGAGCACCACCTCAGAGTATACTGCGTCTTGATCACGGCTCCAGGAATCCTCCCGCGGGTGACTAAGAACGGCCGGCGAGAGATTGGTAACATGCTCTGTCGCAAAGAATTCGATAATGGAGCACTCCCTTGTGTCCACGTCAAATTTGGCGTCGAGCGAGCTGTGAAAAATCTTCCCGTTGGAGAGGACATCAACGGTGGCATCTGGTCCGCCAACTCAAGTGCGGCGAGAACCGATCTTCTGTACGGCCAGGAAACTCAGTGGTCGGGTGTCGACCCTCGCGAGGTTGTCATCGACGACCGAACATCAACCGCTCTGAGCAATTTCACAAATATTTTCGACTTGATGCAATGGCGGGTGGCGCGACAAGCAGACGAGCTTGCATACTGCACTATCGACGGGCGAGGAAAGGAAGGCAAAGGGCTGACATGGAAGAAATTTGACCATAGGGTGGCAGCCGTCGCCTTGTACCTACGGAACAAGGTCAAGGTGAAGCCCAGCGATCATCTTATTTTGATGTACACTCACTCGGAAGACTATGTGTTTGCCATATATGCATGTATGGCTCTAGGAGCGATCGCTATCCCTGTTGCTCCTTTGGACGCCAACAGACTGTCGGAAGACGCTCCAGCATTCCTTCACATTGTGGCCGACATGGGTGTGAAGGCCGTACTGTGCAACACAGACGTCGACCACCTATTCAAACAAAAAATCGTCTCGCAGCACCTCAAACAGTCCGCACAGTATCTGAAAACACATATTCCAAGCGTCTATAACACAGCGAAACCGGCGAAGCAGTCTCATGGTTGCAGAGAACTCGGTTTGACGATAAATCGTTCTTGGATATCTCCAACAAACCCTGTGATTATCTGGACATATTGGACGCCGGACCAACGTCGAGTCTCTGTTCAGCTTGGCCACGACACCATTTTGGGCATGTGCAAGGTTCAGAAAGAGACGTGCCAAATGACAAGCTCAAAACCGGTACTCGCCTGTGTGCGAAGCACGATCGGCATAGGGTTCCTTCATACGGTGCTCATGGGCGTCTACAATGGAAGCACCACCTATCTCATCTCGCCGCTCGACTTTGCTCAGAATCCAGGTCAGTTGTTTCAGGCGTTGTCCCGTTACAAAGTCAAGGATACTTACGCAACCAGCCAAATGCTGGATTTTGCCATGGGTCACGTCGTTGGCAAAGGCTTTTCTCTGCATGAGTTGAAGAATCTCATGGTGACGACTGAATCGAGACCTCGGCTTGATCTATTCTCGAAGGCGAGACTGCATTTTGCTCAGACGGGGCTCGAAAGGACCGCCATCAACACGATATATGCACATGTCCTCAACCCCATGATCGCGTCTCGCAGCTATATGTCGATTGAACCGATCGAGCTCTGGCTTGACGTGCGCGCGTTGAGAAGAGGTCTCATCTATCCGGTCGATCCAGACACCGATCCGACGGCTCTGTGTGTTCAAGATTCGGGCATGGTACCAGTGTCTACTCGCATCGCGGTTGTCAACCCCGAAACTTGTCAATTATGCCATGTGGGAGAATTTGGCGAAATCTGGGTTCAGTCAGAAGCATGCGCCAAATCGTTCTACATGTCGAAAGAGGTGTTTGATGAAGAACGGTTCAACGGACGGATCTTGGGTGGGGACCCAAATGCGACCTACGTCCGAACAGGGGACTTGGGATTTCTGCACAACGTCACCCGACCTATCGGACCTGGGGGCCAGCCTGTGGAGATGCAGATATTGTTCGTGTTGGGCAGCATTGGCGAGACGTTTGAAGTCAACGGCCTCAACCACTTTCCGATCGACATCGAAAGTACCATCGAAAAGTGTCATCGGAACATTACTCCTGGTGGGTGTGCCGTCTTCCAGGCTGGTGGGATGGTTGTCGTTTTGGTGGAAGTCTTCCGAAAATCATATCTGGCGTCCATTGTGCCGGTCATTGTCAATGCCGTCCTCCATGAACACCAAATTATTGTCGACATTGTTGCGTTTGTCGGCGACGGCGATTTCCCCAGAAGCAGACTGTCCGAGAAGCAGAGAGGCAAGATCTTAGCTTCATGGGTGACGAGAAAATTACGCACCATTGCGCAGTTCGGCATCCGAGACGCAGACGGGCAGATGTCTTCAGCACCTGGTGAGCGCAAAGCGCCTAGCATGGTGAGCAAAACTCTATCAGTGAGTCAACCAGACCAGCGGCGTGCCTCTACCGCGTCAGAGTCCAGGGGAAATGCTCAAGGAGACCAAATGTCCAACCGATCGAGCATTGTGCCAGAACTGCCCTTCACGTTGCCCCCTAACCATTATCAGATTGACCCCACCGGCCTATATGACCCTGGTGCATCTGACAGCAACCGGACCGGAGTATCGCTTAGCGACAAGCCTTATACTCTTCCTGAAGGGCTAGTTGAGATGCCGAGTTCTAATTTCGACGATATGGACGAAAAGTCCAATCCCTACCTTACGGACGAGAAATTCTTCGACCCAAACGCTGACCCAGACCACCAACTTGACGATTACACCCCTCAGGGCTCGCAACTTGACCTTGCTCCGGGAGGACCGCCAAAACTGTCTCTGGTCAACCCGACTGAGTACTCATTGCAGGGCAGCAACGACAACACCCCGACTTCGTACACGGCAAGCGCCACGCCGACGTCTGCCATCCCGAACGCATTGAAGACGCCCGTGGATCAAGGTCAAGACAGCCCCTACGAGGACCAAGGCAATCCATTCCGAAACTCCATCCCAGCATCGGTGCCCAGCTTTGATTTCATCACTCATTCTTTCTCCGGGCCTTCAGCGGCGACGAGAAACCCCGCCTCAGCCCGAGATCAAATGGCCAGCGCCAGCGCGGCATTCAACCAGGTGACCTCTCCAACCCCAACCAGCCCAACAGCAACAGGTGGCCGTGCGCTTCTTCCTAGCCAGCAAGCACGATTTCCCAATTACCAGGCGAATCCCAAGCCGCTGCCTGTACGACAGTCGAGCGACAATTTATATGAGGTCAAAGACCTGCCACAGGAGGCCTTGACATACGCTGCGTCGACGCACAGCCGGAGATCCGGGTCTTCCACATACCAGGGCGATCAGAATCAGGATTCCAACTCGCTACATGCTAATGACGGACGGCAGAGCACAGACTTGCGCAGTTATCCGCCAAGCATCCGGAGAAGGTATGACGGGAGTGGGTATGATGGGTTTGATTACTGAGCGGCGTGGGAACAAATGATGTCGGCGCTGGCGGTATGGACAATGGCAGCGGGCTCGAATTCTTTGTGATATAGTGTGACTTTAGGTACTATTGGTTAAAGGAGAGTAAAAGTTGGCTACAGAGGATGACCCGTATGATAATGCAGCATGACCACGACCCACCAGTATGCTGTTTGATGTATCGTGTATGATATATTTAGCCGTGCAAGGCTGTATTGGAGAAGTGGGCAAGAGGGGCATTCAGCCTCGTCGCTTTCTGACTTTCTCCTTTTTCCCCCGCATGTTCGCCGCCAGCTTCGATTGCCGCGGCCCTTGTTGCAAGGGCGGGGAAGTAGATTCGCTTGCGCACACAATGGAGGAATCCCCCGCTTCTCCGAGAGCTGGATCGGATGTGGGATTTGCCCAAACGGCATACCTAGGTAGGTAGGTGGCCAAGGAATTGGGAAGAAAAGAGACGAGGAGAAATGCAAGTCTCATGACGATTCAATTTCTATCCGGACGACCAACTCACCACACATCATACCATATCATATCGGTTACTTTGTCGACGTTCGACGACTCACAACTTCCTGAAACGAGAGTAAATACGCTTGTATTTGCCCTTCCGCACAAGCACTTCTCGGCTCTCGCTCCGGTCATTTTTCTATTCCCCCTCCTCCTATCAAGTAAGACACCGTTGTGTGATCGAAAGAGCCAAAAGGTAGAGAAGTCGGGATAGCCTTGCCTTGTTCGCCATCGCCGTCGCCATCGCCAATATGCCTCCCGCTACAATGCGTGCCGTTGTCCTCAAGGGCGATTACCATGTAAGTACTTGGGCACTGATTGATGCTCCCTCGCTTCTAGAGACTTCCTAGTTGCAGATCTGGCTGCCGAAAACCTGTGTTAAGCGACAAGCAATGCAAAGGCTGACTGGGCCAATTCTAGGTCGAAGTGGAAGATAGACCCTACCCGAAGCTGCAAAAACCCACCGACGCCGTGCTCAAGGTGACTTCGACTGCTCTCTGCGTGAGTATCCTACCTTTTTCCTTCTTTGATGTTCTCGCGTCTTTATCCCACTTTTCCGACTCTGTCATGTAGACAATTGGGGGTCTCAAAACTTACATCTCCCTCCTTTATCCTCCCAATGAACAGACCACCCCTACGCGATCTCCCCTCCTGAACGATGTGTGATCCAGCCTCGTTAAACACTTATTTGTGGTACAGGGATCCGACCTCCATTTCTACCGCGGGCACCTGAAATGTCCTCCTGGATTCATCTGCGGTCACGAGTTCGTGGGCACGATTGCCGAAAAGGGCGACGCCGTCACCAATTTCGAGATTGGCGACAAGGTCGTCGTCCCCTTCTACACGGCCTGCCAGGAATGCTACTACTGCGTGCGCGGCCAGGCCAGCCGGTGCAGCAAGGGCGAGTTGTTTGGCAATTCCGTCCCCGCGAACACGGTCGACGGTGGGCAGGCCGAGTATGTGAGGGTGCCGCTGGCGAGTACCACGCTGGTCAAGGCCCCGTCTGGTGAGTAAAACCCAGCGTAAAACCCAAACTGAAGCCGGGGGTGGGGGGGAAGGGCCACTTCCTGGACCCCCCCATTGGAGGTTATGTTCAAGAGACCTCTCTCTCCGGCTTTACTGGAATTCCTTATTGACGTGGGGGGGTGTTTGTGTGTACAGGGATTCCCGAGGAAATGCTCGTGCTCATGGCCGACATCTTCCCGACGGGCTACTTCGCGGCGCAGCGCTTCTTGAAGGACCTCCCGCAGCGCGACCGCGACGAGTTCACCACCGTGGTCATCGGGTGCGGGCCCGTGGGCATCTGCGCCATCACCTGCGCGCTGACCATGGTCAAGACGGTGTACGCGATCGACTCGATTCCCGAGCGACTGGCCGAGGCCGAGAAGATCGGCGCCATCCCGATCAACCTGAACGACAGTCCCGTGGACAAGATCAAGGCCGCGACGGGCGGGCGTGGCGCCGACGTCGTGCTCGAGGTCGTCGGCCACACCGACGCCTTCATGCTGGCCTTTGACATGATCCGCCCCTTTGGCCAGATCTCCTCCATCGGCGTGCACACCGAGATGATCCCGCTCAACGGCCTGTTGTGCTACGGCAAGAACGTCACCATGGCCTTCGGCCGCTGCCCCGTGCGCAGCATCTTCGAGGACGCCCTCGACATCCTGGTCAAGGAGCAGAAAAAGGTCGCCTTCCTCTGCGGCCGCACCATGTCCCTCGAGGACGCGCCCCAGGCGTACAAGGACTTTGAGCAGCGCAAGGTCCACAAGATCGTCTTCAAGATGCCGGGCGAGAAGACTGGTCAGGCCGTTGCGGATAAGGTGTAGGAAAACCGGGAAAGGAGATGTTGCCTCTTTTTGTTCCAGTCCGATATGGGGTGATTGTGGGCATCATATCAATTGATTATGGCCCATCACTGCCACCTAAATAGCTGTCAAAAATCCCAGTAATGGATGGGACCAATATATGTGTGTGTGTTCTTGGACAGGAGCTGGGGGCACAAAATGCCCAGTGAAAACCGCCTCTCCTAGCTGTTATTTCTTCCTCTCCCGCCCTTCAAGAACCCTCCCTCCCTCTCCTTTCACAAATCCACCTATAAGACAATACGGAGACAACATCACAAGTGACAAGTTCACCCGGTTTTGCTCGACCAACTACATTCATCCACACATGAGTGTAACCTCTGTGTGTCATGCGTGTCGAGTCAAATCGAGTAACGTCATCGCATCCCCAGCTGTCAATGAGCAGTGGTGGCTGATATTCTCTGTGCTCGGTACTTATTGGCATATTCCGTACTCGGTATATCCATCGAATCTGGTTCTAGATGCCCAGTATTAAGTGTTTGGGAGATTTCCAGCCGCATGATGACTTATCTACTTTCATAAGGATGCAGGGGCACGGCTCGCCCAGCTTGCTGCGCAATTAGTTAATCAGCTGGGCGCGTGGCGAGGACGAAAAGAGGCAATAGCCTAATCGGTAGCTAGCTGGGCCTTAATACTGGCCCAACAGTATTGGTCTAAAGGGCCTCCCGTGATGCGCGGAAATTTGGTACACAAAGGGCCTCTTTTCCGGAGATGCGACTTTCCCGCTTTCGGGCCATGGTCCTTTCTCCCCGTCTTGGAGCGGAGGCTTCCTGGTGCTCGTATATATATCCCAGATTCAACATGGAGATATATTTTTCACTTTCGAGCATTGCCTGAATTGGCATTGGCGTCTCCTCCAGGCCAGCAAAAGGGGAACAAATCTCGAGGGCTTTTACCGAAAAGCGGCCATGCCAGGAGGACTTGGTTTTCATACCAGTTCTTGCATGTTGTGTGCCCGTGAAACGATGAAAGGTCTGGCTGTGCCAGACCACGGCAAGGGACGCAGACAATGACATGTCGACGACGCAAGCGCAGAAAGCTTGCGCGGGATTGAAATCGATGGCACGGGCGGAGCGGCTCTGATAAAAGAGGCCTTCCTCTCTCGAAGGACACATACGCATGGGCTGCTGGGCGTAAGGGACGTAACGCCTCTTGAATTCTGATATACCGCCATGACCGGGCCCGCGAACAGCGCCGGCAATCTTCGAGACTGTCCAGAGGGAGAAATGAGCGACCAGCTCCCTTGGACAAAGATAGAAGATCCTGCTGAGCGGCGAAAGGTCCAGAACCGTCTGAACAAGCGAGCCTCCAGTGTGTCTGCTGTTTGTCGATCATGGCACAAGTGAGAAGCTGACAACGGATCGAACCAGGAGCTCGGAAGAACCTTCAGAATTCCGACAGTCTGTCCGCTCCACAAGCCGATGGCGACACTACCTCACCATGGGATCCTGTCTTGGCTGTTCTCCCACGATCGGCGAACCGTGATCTTCTAAAGGAAGGGCTCTCGGCTAACGGAGCCCGTGCCTTCTCCAGCACCTTAGCCTCTGGCTCGATCCTGGATCAAGCGAAAGTCCTCTCGCCGCTCATGGAAAACCAACTGCTGCGTCAGATTTGGTGGACAGGTGCGAAGAATCCCCTTTCTGGCGCTGCCGTACAGTTCTAGCGTGTCAGGATAGGAGCTGAAGAGCTCATGGCTTTTAATGTTAGGAGCCAACATCCTGTGGCCAAGTCTCGAGGAAGGTGAAGGACCCCCAAACAAAGCCGTCCCATCTTCCTGGGCCTGGTCCTATACTCGCCATGCGTTTGCCGATCCGTTGTTGTTCAGCTCCCTCGCCCAGGCGACAGGAAAAGCCATGTGTGTCATGGGTCATGCAAGTGACAGGCAACTCCAGCGCTCGATCCTCGAATACGAGACAAAGGCCCTACAGCACCTGAGGGAGGAGCTCGACTCAATGGCGCCCACACCAAGAGATGAATTGCTGTTCGCTGTGCTCATGATATTCCCTCGGCCAAGGAAGAATAATGTGGTCAGGGAGAAGGACCGCATTGGAGCCTTTCGACCTTGTCTGATGACACTCCAGCATATTAATCATGGCAGCACTGGGTGGTCATATGACACACCGCATTGGGGAGCTCTGCAAAGGCTGATGCAGGAAAAAGGCGGGCTAGACAAGGTTACCATGACTGGGCTGGGGGAGTTCATGCAGTTGTATGTCCTTGGACCTTTCTTCCGTCACTCTTGGAGGCTAATTTATCCCCCGCAGAATCGACCTGTGGCAAGCTAGCGTGCATCTGGACCGTCCATCTTTTGGTCTTTGCCGTGTATACCTGGAGTGCGAACAGGAGGTTCTCCCGCTCTTGCGCCTGTACGAGCAGGAGCAGGGCGAAGAATTCGCATTCCCAGCAGGCGCCATAGGCCACGACTTGCTGGATGTGATATGGGACATCCGTAGCTATCTCCGGTTGCTGCATATATTGAGGACCGACACTGGCGCTATCGATGCGTCTTCGAAGCCACTGGCCCGATATCGAAATGTCATTCAACACCGACTCTTATCGTTGAGGAAGATCGAGTCCAACTCCACCCACGAGGCTTGTCGCATGGGCGTCTCGATCTTTGCTTACGGTGTTACCTTTCCCTTCCAGGATATGGCACCCATGGTCCACTATGCAGGAACCCTGCGCCAGTTGTTGGTAGGCATGAAAATGCTCCAACTTGCGAATGAGTTCCGTTTGTGGCTGTTGATGATGGGCGCCATGGCCATGTATGACACAGAAGCCGTCCATTGGTATGTCCAAGAGATCAGAACGTTGGCATCGGAGATGGCGGTCAGGACGTGGCCTGAGCTGAAGGGAATAATGCGACAGTTCCTGTGGTTTGAACCCAGCTGCAACGAAGGCGCTCTGGAAGTTTGGGTGCTGTGCCTAACAGGAGACTGAGCAGCCCAGGTGGTTCAATGATGGTGATCTGCGCGGGTCTGAAGGCGTTGACCTCGCCAGCTCAGTCCTGAGACGGTATACAAGCCTTGCCAGGTGTCGTCGTGCCTGTGGGTTCTTGTACTGGCTATTTCGCTGCGAAGTTGCTCCAGTGGCAGCGGTAGTCCGCTCTTCAGGACCGAGCCGACGAGTCCACTGGCATTTTCAGTCAAAGCCACACGTCTCTCAAACCATATCCTTAAGCTCTCTGCTTCTGGTAGTACCGTGGCCTGGAGGCAGCCGACGAGCGTGGCCCAAGTCTTGTAAGCTGTTAGTGCATTGCCTGGTTCTTCTTCGGTTTCAATGTCGCTTGACAGCAATGCTGACTGTAAATTGAGCAACAACTTCGCGCCCAAGCGGACAGGTTCAGGACAACCAAACACTAGAAAAGCCCATAATAGCATGGCTTCGTAGATTCCGAGCTGGGTTTGTGGGCATGCATGGCTGTCAGGATTTGAGCGCAGGTCGTGGCGAGCTTGAACGATCCGGGAGATGCAGCTAAGCCTTTGCACCAAGAGCGAGTGGATTTTGCCGTCATCTTGGCTCGGTCCGAATGTTTGCACAGAGCCATCAGTGTTCTGCACATGTGCAAGACTATGGAAGAGTTCTCGCAGAGAGGTCCAAGCATGGTGTGTTCCGGGCTGTACTGAGAAGTCTGTCGTCGTAGTAGCAGCCATCGAGCTTGCCGCAGCTGGCTCTTCTCCCTTGGCAAATATCCCAGATGCTGCAAAAATGGGCACCGTATCGGAAGACACGGCCAAGTACACATCGCAGCTGACCACATTCGCAGCAATCCATGCTTCGAGGTTCTGTTGCAACCCTGGTGACTGGGCCACAAGGTTCGGGATCGCGCTCAGATGGATCCGTGCATGATTTGGCCGGCCATTCATGGTCTCAAACACGGAGAACCAAAAGATCGTCAGCAACAAGACGTTGCCGATAGCCTGACTGGCCTGGATTCTGTTGCGGACAAGGGCGAGAGCTTGCCCGTAGGACCTGAATGCATGTGCCCGGAGGGTAGAAGCCTTCATCTCTCGACTCATCATGAGAGCGAGCACCGCAGAAACGGCAGAAAGAGCCGCGGAGTAGCTTTCGTCCTGCCGTATAAGGTGGAACTCCCCGAGGGACCGAGTGAAGGCGCACTGTTGAATCAGTGCCAGGGAAGGACCATCGTGCGACCAAAGCTCCGGGACTACGCGCGTGACAGCATAATCCCAGAGTTGGTCCTGGATGGCTGTCTGACCCTCTGATGTGACCGGAAGAGTCCAATGAGGTGGAAAAGGGATGGATATACGTTGACCTGCTGTGGTTGCCTCTATGATATTGTCATCAACCTGGGCCATAGACGGAACATGGATGGCGTCGTCGTCGTAGGTGGCCATGAATGGGCTCGACGACCGTCCAGCACCACCCGCCTCTGGAGCCTACGGATCAAAGTTAACACGCCATTATCCTCCCAGGGGATATATTGAGTCAAGGGAGACATACTGTCCGGCCCAGCCTCCATCGTAGGCGCCCTGCTCGTGGAGAGGGTGGTCGGTCATCACCCATTGCCGATGATTGCTTTCCTCGCCCTTTTCTCCATCTCCGGTACTCTTGGACCTGACTTGCTACCCTGGTGCGGTGAGTGGTGTCGTCAATGCTTTCCACGTCAAGATTGACCCAGGTGACACTTCCGTCATATTGTCCAGACATGCCACCCAAAATGCAACACCCTCTGCAACTAATATCGCCGATACTGGTGGCAGAAGTCTTCTTGTCTGCAGAACACAAGGCATGGGACGAGAGGGAGGAAGAGCAAGAGGAGGGAGAGCGCGAAGGCCCAACAACGATATCTTGAGTTCAGGCATGGTGGTTCAGTTCCAGACATTCATAGTAGCAGCTATTATCAGCGTTCTTGAAAGAACCCTTGGTCGTTTGGCCACCACCGACTTCACATATCAACCCATCTCGGGTGCCTTCCCAGTTTGGGCGCTACGTTGAGATTCAAATGTGATTGGCTCCATGTCTCCGGAGAAGCTGACCTTGCAGGGTCAGCATGTCAAGACTAGACTGCATCGGTGGTGCATTTGCCGGTTCTTTTGGACCAAGCCACACCATGGATCGGGCCACTTACGCAGTTGAAGGCATGGAAGAGGCTTCCGCCCCTTGCAGAAGCGCTATGGGAACACGTAAGAAGGACCCCGGGATGCTTGCATGCTCGACCAAGAGAGCGATCAGCCCTCCCCTGTATAAGGCACAAAAGTGTCAAGGCGCGATTATCTAAACTTGGAGGCAAGTGCAGGATAGGCAGGAGCGCCACAAGCGTCTTGGTGGCTAGGCAGCTTTTCGGAGACCCAAATACCGGATATAGGTTACCTACCCAATTAGGTACCACGGACTGGGCCACCATTATACGAAAGGAAAAACATATATGAATGCACATCCCCTTGCTGCTGAGCTGTAAGAAGTAACATACTGGCTCATCTCATCTCGTGTGGCAAAACAATCTCTCTACCCACGTCCCCGAAGACGCATTGACAATTCTATGTCGAGTCAGTCGACTACCGCTTCAGAGCATCCATCACACGTCGACATGTTGCGGCACATACGTGCTAAACACCATCCCGTCTGGTACGTGCTTCCACTCCTTGGTCTGTGGATCCAAAAACTTGGCCTCGGCATCCGCCCACTCTCTACGCATCAGGTCCGCCCTCTCCTTAGCCCGGGGCTTGATGACAGCCTCGAAGGGGGCTGGCGTGATGGCGGCGCCTCCCCTCAAGTCGTCAATGTCTGGAATGGTGATGGGCTGGCCATTCTCGTCCAAAGGCAATGAGAAGTCGAACCCCCACAACATGCGCGAGACACCGAGAAAGAGAGAGCGTTCTGCGATATGCATCCCCTGGCATAGGCGCCGTCCAGCACCGAAAACAAAATTATGCCGTTTGCCGACGTCGGAGCTCTTGGCGGACTCGAACTCGCTCTCTAGATTGTTCAAGTGGCGCGTCGGATCAAAAGCTCGCGGGTGAGGAGTTCGTTTGGGATCCTGGGTGATGTACCTGGGTCATCTCAGCATCAGAAGTCTATCTTGTTTTGTAGGCCATTGTCTTTGGTCTTTTTGGGTGGAGGGAGGAAATATCAATTCATACCAGACGTTGGGGATAACAGAAGCCCCGGCTGGAATTCTGTAACCCATGTAATGGTCGTCTACCGTGGTCGCATGAGGAGCTGCAAAGACCGTAGTAGGCATCCACCGCAGACTCTCTTTGGCACAGGCGTGCACGTAGGGTAGTTCAGGCAAGTCGTCCATCGTTGGCAGTCGATCAGACCCGACAACTTCGTCGAGCTCTCGTTGTGCTTTTTTCTGGACTTCGGGAAACATCATCATGGCCAGGATAAAGCCTTGGAGAGTAGAGGCTGTGGTGTCGAAACCTGCTTCAAGGAGAGATCCGGATATATAGGCTGCCTGGTCGTCGTCGAACTTCTCGCGCTCTTGCGCTTTAAGGAGGTCGTTGCAAAAGCAAGGCTAGTTTAGTACATATATTAGTCTCACACAAGCTCTCTGGAGTCCCCCTTTTAGCAAAGTACAGGCCCACTTACTCTGCCTGTGCCGGTGAGGGCCCTTTCCTTTGCTGCGAGCCAGTGGCTGCGGTACAGCTCTTTCTCCTTTTCGTGCAGCTTTCTGGCATATTCGTAGTTTGGAGCCAAGAACCTGGGCAGTCTCCGCAGCAAGGGATACAGATCCAAAAGCTGGGCGCTCGCACTTCCCACTAACATGGTCCACTTCTTGAATCCCTGTTCACATCCAACTATGAGCTTCAGCACGGGACTGGTGGAAAATGAATGCTTACTTGATACAACTGTTGGAATTTAGGATCTTCAACGCTAGTAAATCGGAAGCCAAAGATTATTTGAGTTGTGAGGGCATGAGTGAACAGTTTAATGTGAGTTTCAAACTCTTCGGGTCGATCGAGCAGATTGACCAGCATGAATTTGTTCTCGAGGTCTTGATAAGGGATATAGCTTGTGGCGGCCTTTATGTTGAGAATGCTGTGGGTAACCGTGTGCATCATCCGCCATTGGGACCCATAGGGCTTGTCTAGTGTGAGTGAAACCAGACAAATCAAAGAGGGGGGTTTGAGGATACCATGGTTACTGTCCTCAAACCACCACTTGCAATATCATGCGCCATGTACATCTCTGGTCTTGAAGAGTACATCGCGCTTCGCTTGTCCAAGAGATCTTTGACTGCCGCGTCCGTGTTCAGGACAATATAAGTCTTGGTGCCGAGGATGAGGGAATAGATGGGCCTAAGCAAGAGAGACATGTCAACTGTACAGAGCGGAAGCACTGTGGTCGAAAGTGGTGATACCCATATTCTTCCGCCCATTTCTGAAATCGACGATGGCCGTACTCCCCCACTCCCGAGAGCTTGCAGCCTCTTAGTAAATGGTCTGAGCCCGACTATGGACTCGTCCCTCACCTGATGAAGATTTCCAAGAATTGGAAGCGTTGGTGGACCTGGCGGAAGATCTTTGGCTCGCTTCCCAATCTGGAGCAGAGGACGGAAAATATAAACGATCGCCAGCAGAAGAGTCAGCGCGAGGAAGACAGTCCTGATCTGCAGGTTGTAGTCATCCATCATAGCGTTCGACTTGTCGATGAGAGATTGAATTCTAGGCTCCTTCTCAATGGAAAAGAGACCCATTATAGTCCTCATTATCGGGTGGTAGCGACGCCAAGGTTTGGGAGAAAGGGTTAAGAAATGGAAATAAGCGTATTTCTGTCGATGTAGAAGGAGCTTGCGTGGACAGTTGAAAGTTTAGTTCAAGACTCAAACGATCAAGTTCTGAGCCGGAAACACTTCAGCATAGCCCGGGACTCGGTTCGGTCCCATCTGGTCTGGAAATACAAAGTGCATTCATATTCATCGGAGATACCTCCGCCTCCAAGCAGTGTATCTTTCCGGATGAGGAGCTTTCCTCCGCTGTTATGCAAGTCTATAAGGGCTGGTTGATGACATGTAGCCGGATGGTGTGCAGCCCAACAAAGACATTCAGATAAAAAATAGGAGTTGTCGATGCGGAGGGAAAGGATATCCAAACATTGTCCTGATGGGCTCGGGATAAGAACCCCGGAACCCCGAAGTTTGTTTGTATCAGCAGGATGAGTAGAAGATAGTACCTAGGTATGGCGTAGATGGCTACGTTAGGAAAGAGACAGTTCTTAGTGATCGCGAAACGAGATGCAGGATGGTGTTTGAGCTTGCAGCTCGAGCTACTCCAGGCATGCATTGTGCAAGTCCAAATTATTCGATCGCCTGTTCCTTTTGAGGTCGATAATATATGATTATCAATATATTTATCCATCTCGAAGGCCAATCTTTTGTCTATAGCCATCTATGACCGTAGGGTGAAATACCACTGCGACGGAACCACAAAACCAGGCAGCCATGGGCGTTGGCTTATCGACGTTAACGCAGAAATGGCCTGGGCTCAGCGAGAGAGTTCTGAGACATCACCGCTTCTCACCCAGCTTCACCTTCTCAAGATCTTCGAAGTACTTAGCTACAGTATCTAGGTCGACATATTCTTTCACTCCAATCACTTTACCATTCTCCACCTCGAAGATACAACCCATATGATTCTCATAGCTCGGCTTTCCCTCACTAGTCCCCACGGGCGAGATCTCGGCGACAACTGTGTTGTCCTGAATTGTCAGTCTCTCGAGGGTCACTTGGAAGTTGTCGAAAGTGGTGATCAGTTGGTTAAACTCTTTCGTCCGTGCCTCCCAGGGCTGTATACCCGCGATAGGATTGTATTGGGGATTGCCCGAAACCCACCACGGGGCTTTTGGAGCGAAAACTTCTGACAACAAGGCTAGGTTGCGCGAGCGCATAATGTCCAGAAATCGCTGCACTACTCGCTCTTGCTCTGTGTGATTCGCCATCTAGTCGGTTTTGTGATTTGTCAGGCTGCTGTCTCGGTACCAGGGATGACCTTGGAGAATGTTTGATTGCGTGTGAACCCCAGTGTGGCAATATCTATCGTATTGACTCGGACAGGAGGCGGAGGATCTGTTCTGGCACCAAACCTGGGGACTTCAAATGACGGGTCGAGTTATTGTTGCCAAATAACCCTTTTTCTGAATTGCTTTATCTTTTGTTCGACACGGGTGGGAGCGATCTCGCTGGATTCAGGAAATAGCCAACCTCAGAGAAATGTCGACTGTGCCCTGGGATGATCTAAACCTTTTTTGAGTCATTTCCTTCGAAGAGGCAGATGTGCAGACCCTTGTTTGTCGCAAGGGCTGGTAATTTTATCGGGCTGGTGGTGCTGAGTTTCGGGAAACGAATGACATTGTCCGAATGTGAGAAATCCAGATGCCCGAAGTGGATCCACTAATACGTCTCAAAGATCAACCTGCACAACGCATCCATCAATTTTCTGACTATATACAACAGCTGGGAAGGAATGGGATTTATAAGCGAACCATGTGCACGGCCTTTGAGCTCTTTCGGACGAGCATCGCATCGTGTAACGTGATCATGATCTTTCGGCATCGATGGCTCTGTCACGGTTTGAAGAAAGTTCACCTGACGCAGCAACTCGTACATGATTCTCCGCCTCTAATCTCTGTTGAAAGAGAAATACAGCAGTAAGGAACCTATATTCTTGCACCCCCAATACAGACGCAGGCGCGAGCAATGACCCTTCCACAAGCACCGACACCGCCACGGCCGCTTCCTACGGGTCCGTTGGCCGCGATACCAACATTCTTCAAGGTCGACACGGAGGATGTTGATCACGACAGCATTGGAGCCCATGCAATCAGGCTGGTAAAAAGCGGCATTGTTGGAATTGTAACTATCGGCTCGAATGGCGAAGCGCCCCATCTGAGCCACGACGAACGTATCGCGGTCACTGAGACTACTCGCAAAGCACTGGACGAAGCAGGTTTCGGCCAGATTCCCATCATCATGGGCGCTTCTGACGCCTCCGTTCGAGGCACACTCAGCCTAATCCGAGGGGCGGCCAAAGCAGGGGCCGACTATGTCCTTGTCCTCCCGCCAAGCTACTTTCGTGGGGCCATGACTGGCTCTGTCATTTCAGACTTCTACGGGCGAGTGGCCGACTCTTCACCGCTGCCTCTGCTGGTATATAGCTTTCCGGCGGTTGCAGCGGGCATCGAGATGGACTCGGACTTGATTACCATAATCTCACGCCATCCAAATGTCGTAGGTACCAAGTTCACATGTGGCGACACGGGCAAGTTGGCCCGTGTCGCGCGTGCCATGGACGCAATGACTCCTCATGCCACCAATTCGGGGTACGTGTGCTATGGAGGGCTGGCTGATTTTGGCCTGATGGCGCTTGTCGCTGGAGGGTCGGGGTTCATTGCCGGCGGAGCAAATATCTTTCCCAAGACCTGTGCGCGGCTGTGCGAAGCTTTCAAACTGGGGGGTCTACCAAAGGCGATGGAATTTCAGAGACTGTTGTCTGCTGGTGATTGGCCGCATACCGCTGCTGGCATCGCGGGCACCAAGGGGGTTCTCGAGAGGTTCAATGGCTACGGTGGTGTTCCCAGGCTGCCGCTACAGCCCTTAAATGCAAGTCAGTTGAACTCGATCATTAATCTCACGATGGAGGTGATTAAAGTGGAGGACAACTTAGAGCCTCCCCAACATAGCTGAGGCAGAGGCTCGGAGCAAGTACAGAAGAATTATAGCTATCAGAATAGAGAGCTTCGTTTCTGGGTAGCGTATTAAGTTGTGACATAAAGTTCTGTCTTGAAATGCATCCAGGCTGAAATACAGGAAATAATAGTATATCGAGTAAGAGTTCAACTGCTGCATCGATCAAACCAGTTGTTTCGATCTTCTTCATCCGATGTATCCTCAACGACCACGGTAGACTTCTTGACGCGCTTCGGCTTGCTCACCGACACCCTCTCAATCCTAGCTTTAGCTAACGCCTCACCCGCGAGATGATGGGCCGACTTCATATGCGTATTGTAGGCTGAGGCCGTAGTCCAAACCTCACCACATCGAGGGTATGCCTTCGGCTCTGGTAGCTTTCCTAACCCTTTATGCTCGTCTAATAAGTGAACTCTCTAGGCTGAGATAGTCGGATAGATCTTTTCACTAGTATAATGCTCTCGTGGGTATTTCTCATTCGCCTTAAACTTATGTGTCTCCAAATGCTGGATAGAATTCGAAGCGCTAAGCGGGCCTACTTGATAAGCGCCTGGTCCGGGACCGCCGTATAGATAAGCCTTATCCTTTGACTTGGTTATGTTCTTCTGCTTTTTGATACCTATAGCGGCGTCCTTAGTAGCTTTCGTCTGTCGCCATAAGTATACTTCTCGGTGTCGCTAATATCCCGTAAGTTAATTAAATTCCCTTCCCGGATAGTCCGGATATATCTATTTGAAAGGGGACGGCGAGTCTCTAGAGTTTCCTAATGCTATACGACCTTCGTAAAGAGTCGAGTCGCCTAATCTAGATGCGTAGTTCTTAATAATATTATATCTAGTAAGGTACTACATAAAGTTAGTGGGATCCTCTCCTTCGAGAAGGTGGATAATAGTATTAGAGTTAAGCTTATTATATCTATGCTAGATATCTTCAAGAGCTAGGTGTAACTCTGATAGCGAAGCGAGATCATTATCCGGATCTCCGGTCGTTCTAGGCTCAATCGTTTTAGGCCCATTAAGAAGATCCCAAAAGCTTTCAGAGACATTATGCTCCTTAATGAGCTGGAGCTCCTCAATTTCTTCAACATCCAGCTCCTGTACGAGAGTATCCCTATCAAGATCATCAATGGGTATGGCCAGAGAAAGCTGAGGATCGATCGGGATGTCGCTCATCTTGTCCGAGGTGGAGGTGGAGGTGGATGAAGTACCATTGCGGACGTTTTGTTTAGACTGCCCAAGAGATCGTAAAGGCGTAGGGCTAATGGAGATATAGTCCGAGAGCTTCTGTCTCTTGGTTTGTGGTAGCTCTGCTGATTTGACGGCCTCAGCCTATGTATCGAAGTGCTCATTTAGTACTCGACGCCCGATAACTTCACGAAGGGCACGGTGCTTATGAAAACCGTCCTTATTCTTTCCAGGTCGGGGACCGAGGAAGAACTGGAGACCGCGGGTACTATTTTGTATGATCTCGTCACCTTTGGCGATGAGTTCCTTTTGAACCATTTCGTGTATCTTATGCCTATTGGGCCTTGGATAGGTAGTCGGTGCTTGAAACAGTCTCTGATCGATACGGGAGATTTCGATTTGCGGCTTGAGAATATTGAGTGCTTGATCCTTATCGTTGTTGTAGTATTTGCCTATCGATTTATCTGAGTGGCCTATTGCGCGTGCTACACTAGAAGTGTGAGTGTGAATCGCCTTTTTGGGGATCCTCGCTAGATCCTTCGCCGCGCCGCGGCGGATATTATGCGAAACAAGACGAGTTGTGAATCCTGCTTGCTGGCTTATGGAAGAGACTGTTAATAGGACCTGACCTACTGTGGCCGCCTTGTTGACGATGAGGAGGCCCTTATTGGTCATATTAATCTGGGAGATAGCGGGATAGTCCGGATATTTGTACTTAATCCGGCGGTCAGGTCTCTTCGATGCAATAGTAAGGACTTCGGGGAGACTGGAGCCGGCGACGAAGAAGCCATGGCGGAGGCAATGAGTAACCTAGAGTAGAATGAAATCTACACTGTTGTATGCCGGGCTATTGAATGATTCGACTCTTCGAACACGTTCCTCGTGTGAGCGTCTGAAGAAAAGTCAGTAATTGAGACATACGAAGTGGTTAAAGTGGAAGACGACTTAGAGCCTCCCCAAAACTCCTGATGCAGAGGCTGGGAGCAAGTACAGAAGAATCATGGGTATCATAAAGAGAAGAGCGTCCCTAGACCAAAGTGCCAGGGTATGGAATTGCTCCTTGGCTCAAGTAGATTTGCGCATTTTCCGCCGAATGAGGTCGTGAAAATAGACAGTTATGAATTCCCACTGTCATTTTCGGTCCCCTTCCGCCGGTAGCACATCCGTACTACTTAGTACAAGACCAGAAATATCTCTGCAGTCACGCCTCACTACTATCAACATGGCTTTTAGAGAGCCAACCTTCGTTTCGCTGGAGCAAAGGAAGCCACTGAACTTCATGAACAATTGAAAGTCTAGTCTCAGTCTGAAGAATGGATCTGTTAAGACTCTTTGAGTCACCATTTCCGTGCCAGATCCGGCTCAGCGCGCTCGTTGAAGGGCAACCGCTTCCAAAGCACGAAGACATTTCTGGTCTCGCCTCGCACCTTGATTGGTTGCGGGAGTCCAAGGACCAAATACCTGTTCCCATCACTCCTATCTTCAAACTGGAAGGTTCTCTCTTGCACGTCCGTCACCATGTAAGGTAAGCTGGCGCATCGCATGTGGTGTTTGATGACAGGTTGTTGGTTGTCGACGTCAATATAGAATTCCCCCGTGTAGGCCACGTAGTTCCGTCCGACCTTGGCCCATTCGGCCTCGGCGGCCGCCGCTTCCTCAGCACTAACAGAGCGCTCAAAGGGTTGTTCGCCTTCAAAAGGCTTCTGGCCCGGAATGTGCAGTTGTGCCGACATGTACCCGTCTTCGGTGTAGAGTATAATCCCCTTGACGTGGGCAGTCATCGGGTACAATTTGTTTGATGGGTCCGTCGCAAGTTGCAAGCTGTATTCAATAAGCTCCCAGCTTCCTGTAAGCTGGGACCGCACTTGTCTTGAAGCATCCGAGGACATTGTTATGGCTAAGGTAGCTAGATATGCTCCAGATGGCCCGACTTAGAGGAAAAGCCAGAAGCAGGCTAAAGGGCTTTGAGGGCATAGAAACAACTCGTGAGCTGGGCTGGTGACGGTGAAAGACAAAGGCTAAGCGCTACCAGCTACGCCTTGCTTATATCTTGTTGGGCTTGAGAAATTAGTACATTCTCTGGCTTCGTCGCCCGCTCCTTTTCCCGGAAGACCTTCAATTACAGCCTCCGGTGCCGTGCTCTCCGGGCTCCGAGCACTTGGACCGCTAGCCCACATGTGGAAGTCATCAAATTCTAGCCCGAAGAATGATTTGAGTCACATTACCGAGTACAGGCAGCAAATTAACTCAGTGTAGTTGGCGTTTTCCAGTGAGTCGTATTTTGTCCGGCGATAAAGTTCCTTGTCGTGGGGTACATGGCTACAAGACGACCAATCCTTATGGTTCTAAGGCTCCCGCTGTGCGCGCAAAAGAAATCAGCTTCAATTCCAAAGCACGCCATTACAGAGCCCAGTGGCAGTTCTGTTTCTACAGCACCTTTCCACTACTGAAACCGTCGCCATCCGAATCAACTGACATCCAATCATTAGTACAAATTGCAGAAGTCCATCCACAAGCTGCCCAAATCAGAGGCTAGGAGGGACATGGTTATCAAAACTCCATGCTCTCCGAAGTAAGTCCATCCCCCAGGACAGGCAAATCGAAACTCGGCATCTCACCAGAGAGAAACTCGTCGCCCAAGTCGCCAAAATCCCCTCCCTGTTGCGATGCAATATCCTGCTCCACGACGGCTCGGGCAATGCTGGCGAACTCCCCAATCCTGGTCAGCGCTAGGCGACCTTGCGTTATGAACTCGAGCCGGCCAAACGTCCCCGTCACGATCTCCATTATTGCTATGTCGCTTGAGGCGGTCGGAGCTGCCGGATTGGAGACAACGTTGATGAAAAGAGTCAAGACTCCCATGATAGGAAAGTACAGTATCAACCTGCAGAGACTCCACGCGTCAGTGCTCAAGACTTCATCAGGAGCTTGCAAGGCGAAAGTCGATATGCTGATGTGACAAACATAGCTTACCACATCGGTGTCTGAGGCTCAATCTTGAGCTGTTGAACCAAGAGGCACAACGATCGAGCTGCTGCAACTCCGTCTTCCGCGATCTGTTTTAATTTCATCTCATGTTCTGGACTAATGTCGGCTACCATTTTCTCCAGTATGACGAACCCTGACACTCGACATGCTCGGTGCAGAGAGAAAAGTGAGGTGTAGTACCACATGCGTAAGATGACGTGCCGCGTCCCATCTGGTCCCGTCAATGTGCCGGACACATTGGGGAGTTGGTCGATATCCAGAGGATCCTCACACACCTCGGCCGCGACCCACCACCGCTTGAGTTCGTCGTACAAAGCAACGATTCTGCTGACTATCTCCTTAGGCTCTCGCGTCAGGGAACTCGCTGAAAAGAGCTGTTTGGTTATTCTGGCGCAGTGTCTGGAATATCTGGCAATACTGAGGAATAGGTCACCCTTGTCCGGAACAGCGTTGGTGCTTATGCCAGATTTCTCAAACACCTTCCGCGGAAAAGGGCAGGTGACTTCATCGTCATCAATCACCTAAATGAGGGGGTTTGGTCGTTAGACTGCTTCAATTGTATTCCTAGTATAAACAGACAGGAAAAGTGGGTGGAAAAGATACCGAAGGACGCCCAGAGTGGTAGGCGAAAATCTGCTCGAAGGAGTATAGCGACCAGTAGACCCGGTTTCTTTCCTCGACTTCGCTAGCGGTCAGGTTCCAAACTTTGAGTGGTGTTCTATGCATCCCTAGTCCCTGAGCTAGACGGATGGCGATTGCAGAATATATATACTCGGTCCTTTGTCCTGCAATGCCTTGGGCGAAAATTGCCTGTGGTACAAAGAGGTGGTCAGAGCTTAACACAAAACCTGCGTGTTTAAGATTGGTGGGAAAGATATCTACCATGAGTGCAAATGCCTGTTGGGCCACCGATGAGATTAGTGATTAAGTTATCAAAGAGAAGGTTCATTCTGAACATTCCTTACCTGAACCGTGTGCAGAGTCGTGCGCTGCTGCAACATCTCCTGCTGAACGGATAGCGCGTTTTCCATATACTTGGTTGCTGTCTCCTGCGCCTGTTTGAAGAGTAACGGCGAGCCCGTGCGGAGTTGCGATCGTACTCCGGTCGCTAGAACCATATTGTAGACAGCGTACCATTGGGGACCCACTCGGGAAGGGTCTCTCCAGAATCTTTCACAATCTTTCAAAAACACTTTCCTATCAAGAATTGGCCAGATACTGGAGATAGTGGTTAGATCTCGGTCGCATAGGGTCTCAAAGACCGTCACGAAACGGGGTACTGGTGAACAGCAAGTCCTTCAGGGACATGGAAGAGAAGGATGGGCATGAGGGACGATACCATTGATTTTGGTCAAAATACGCTGCCGTCGTTCGGTCACTGGTCAGGTAAGAACGACAGAGGGCTTCATTTGTTGTCGAACACTGGGAATACTTACCTTGGACATATTTCCTCCCCGTCTCCTCGGACGGAAGTGGTGTCCGCGACAATTTCATCTCTGATGGAATCTCGCCACGGAAGTCCGGGTCCGGAAGTTTCAACAAGGACATGACTGAAGACATCAGGTTTCGCAAGGACTCCAAGCTCTTGGAGTTATTGACGGACTGGGAAATCCACTGCAGTCCCTGGTCTGTGAAAAGAGCCATGGCACAGGAGGATCCTACCGAGAGACATCTTTGAGTGACCATGTAAGGATACAGTGTGGTTGGCCATCGCTTACCAATGAACTCTTGCCCATTCTGATTGCCACATAGAGGGCTTGATTAGCCAAGGAGTGTAATACAAGCAATCTACTCACTTGGCCAGTGACTAAAATCGAGCGTTGGTCCTCAAGAGCCTTGCTAGCCTCATCCATTCCCCAAAGGATCGAGTCTACCGTCTTCCCCTGATGGCTGCATGCGCATGATGTAGTCGATTTGGGAAGCTCGGGGAAGACAGGAGCGGTCGTGACGCTGAACGGTGGAGCACAGAGAGAAGGCCAGCCTAGCTCTGCTGAGCCGTGGTATAGAAGATTCTCATGGGCAGATGAAGCGAGTGGGACTGTCGTTGGAGAACTCTCCGACGTCCTTGGTTGATCAAATTGCGCCTCGGTCTGCGGTGTCTGGCTCGTCTTCTGTTGAATATTCCCCAGTAGACTTTCGAGATGTCGAATCCGAGCCTCGAGCGCTGAGTGCATGGCGAGTCAGCGATATTTGGAGGGAGTACTTGCTCCTCCGACCCGTGGAGCCCAAATGTCGCGTCGACAGAGTACTCGCGTGAGGGAAACTCACCTTCAGGATCCCGAACTTTGGATCTTCGTTTCACCCTTGGTGGGTAGACGCAGCAGATGTCATGGTCCTGAATAGATGTCAGTTTTCCCTTCAGCTGCCGACCAGGCTAGATCCAAAAACTCCCCACCCTACAATATGAACATGTTGGCCTTGCATTGTCGCCTGCAAGACACGTTACCACAGCCCTTCAAGCGCTTCTCTTTAACAGGTTTTGTCGAGTCCCGCTCAGTCCACACTCACATTTGACCTTCTTCGCGCGACAATTGTCGCAGGCCATAGGTATTCGCCCGCTCATTTGTGATTTCCAAGTAATTGACATAGACTGGAGGGAAGGACCTCCAGTCGCGCGTAGAAGTGCGTGTGGAATGGGTTTAAAATCGACAGGCCCAACTTCCAAAGAATAGCAGCTTAAGCTGTTCCCCGCTTTCCACAGAATCTGGGGGATCCTTGGGGTACCGCTCCTCATGTTGACCCACAACCTTCCAAAGATATCGCTGCACTCCACGCACCGTTTAGAGGCACCACGCCTTTCGTGGAGTTGATTGGGCACAAGTATTGTCGGCCGATATCACACGTGAATCTGCTAGCCACATTTAAAATAGATCTTGCCGTTGTTTTACTACCAAGGGTTTCGGAGCGTGGCTCTCTGCGGAGCGAAAAGCTGGAGTTCGGGGTGGGCGGACGATTTTCCCGAAGTACGCTGGAGGCATGTCCTGTTACTCCTAGATTGAGGATTTCCGTGGCCGCAGTGAGTAAAATGTTGCTGCCTGTTGTTCTGTCTCTCTGTGCCAGAATTTGTCTGATATTTTCCACAGCGCATCCTCCCCGTTCATATAACAGGTTCAATGTCTACAAGCGGCGTTGCCCGCTCCAGTCATGTATTTAGATCGATGGATGGGTCCTTTACATCATTGGGACGAGCTGGCGCCGACAACTGCATGTCAAAGCCATGAAAGCGTCAACAGAAGCACGATTTGGAATGTTCTGTTCGTCGAAAAGGAAATGTCTATGGTGTTCTAACTCGACAGAGACTATGGAACCCTCGTTTCAAGAATGACATAGGACAGGATAGATAGGATAAAGAAGACTCCATAAGAGTCAATGCGGATTTCAGCTAACAGAAAACTATGAGATTTGGAAAGCTCGGAGAAGAAAGGCAAGAGTTGCCATAGCGAGCTCAAGGATCCAAGCCTTTGGGCACTTCATAACAATATCTCTGTTTACTGGACTCAGATGAGACTGGAGCTGTAGGCATTGATAAATATCTAGAGCTTTTGGTAGAACAGTGGAAATTTGGCGACATACTCGGACGTGGTGCCCTAAATGACTATGCATTGAGCGAACACGAGTCAATAAGCGTACCAGAAAAATCTTTGTTCGATGCAACTAACACTTTCACAAGAAACATCTAGTTGCGCTTGCTCGCTAATTTAAATATATTGACATCAGGAAGATAACCAGCTTCGGCCCTACTGCCATCAACGACCATGCCTCAATTCCGGAGAATCAAGGGTGGCTTTCCGCGAAGGAGAACGGACAGGCGCCGTCTACCAAAGAAGCTTTGTCCAAGATTGGGATAGGGTTCGACCAAAAACGGCGAGCTGTGGCGAGATTCGATCTCCGACGAATGTCAACGCGGTACTTTGAACGCAGTTGGATGCATAAGACCTCACAAGAATCTCTATAGAAGGCCGTCAGCCTTCTGTTGCCTTAGCCTTGGACCGTATAGACGAATAGCAAACGAGTCACAGTAAGGAGTCGCATGCCAATGCGGACTTACACATCGCAACAAGCACTTGGTTTAGGCTTCACAAACGCGACGGCAGATTTCTTCCAACTCTGTTGAATCCTAGTCATGCTAGACGTAACCCAGTTCGGCACTGAAAGTCTGACTCACAATTACTTAAATATCAAGAGCCTGGATCAGGGTGCTAAGTACTCGGTATGCCGCTACGAATGACCTTGCTACTTCGCCATCTCGAGGCTTGTCATCTTTCCACTTGACCAGTCGTGGCTTTGTGTTTCTGGGGTTCTGCGCCGACGCCCTAATCCTAAATCACATGGGTATCGTTGAGAGTTCAACCCCGGGAAGCACCGGGTGATTTTTTAAGGCTAGTCGACGCCCCCTTCTCTACCTAGATAGGTACCTAGGCAGTAATGCCGCTGCTAACTGCGAGTGCTTGGCTTTTTCAGGCATAAGCTTCCTGGAATTACCTGGTCCAGGACTTTCTAATCTTCCTCCACCCCTCATCATTGCCCATGCTCTTAGCACGAATGTCACAACTTTGTATTCTCAACCTGCTCCTCTGCGATTGAGCAAGTTCGTATAGCCCAATCGCTCCATACATGGCAGTGACACAGCGAAGACAATTCACCAGCTGTGACGCCTGCAGAAAGTCTCGAGTGGGCTGCGATGCCGCTGCTTGCAACGGTCCGTGTACAAATTGCGTGCGGCGCCACAAAGTTTGCAGCTCGAAGGTATGTATTTGAATCTGTGAGTTAATCCTGAATACAACGCCTGACACCTGTAGTGGATTGAGCAGAGCCACGGCGGCCGGAGCAAGCGCCAGCGTATGAAAAAGAATGATGGCGGAGTTCGACAACACGTTCAACAACACGTTCACACAACAAGCGTTCCAGCATCAGACACTGCACATACTGACAATGCAGGGAGGGTGCCGTCCTCGCGAACTACAACCACGACTTTGTCGGAAGCTGATCCAGCAACTGCCATCAGTCGTCGGCAGCAGGCATTAACCCTGCATAATGTTCTATGGGACATTTTCACAACTCTATTCGAGCCTCAGTTAGGATTATGGATAGGGAATGATTGCAACCCCCTCAAAACTCTTGATACGGTACCTCCTCTCCCCTCACATAGATTTAGCAGAGCTGACAGAGGCAGGCTCCAAAAACATTGGTGTCAAGGCTAATGGTAACCCTCGACAGCCTTACGCCTTCTCGCCTCGACGATTCCACGACACATATCACTGCTTTCCCTAACATGCTACTCAATGATGAAGATACAGACGACCAGAATGCCATCATCAATCAGGCCCTAATCAGTGCAGTACATGCATTCTCTGCTCGATGGTTATCCCTCAGTCGCTTCGGCAGGGAGACCGCAACGGATGTCCGAGCATTGACCTTGGCAAAGGAATATTTTCTAGAGCGCATCTGGGAAAGAGCCCATAGGGATGTTCTCCGAGTGCTCACCCGACCAAGTTACCGTTCAATATTGGCTATGTACCTCTTTGGAACTACTCCGACTACAATTAAGAACAAAGAACGATGCATCGCTGACCATTGTTTTGAAATGTCATTGCGCCAATATCTACAACTTAGAGGCAGATCGTCTGCCATTGCAAGACAACCTGGGAGAAGAAATGAGAACACTTTGCAGTTGCAAGATACTTCGGCTAAAGTGCAAGCTTATAAGGAATTGAAGCATCTCGAGGACACGGCATACTGGTTTGGTGTCGTAATAGATGGATCTAGGTCCCTAACCAGGTGCCAGCCATCTGTACTACTTCCTGGACTTCAGGGGGAAGCTCTGGTGTGGCGTTCAATCAAGGAGCAGACCGAGACTTTTCGCACCACCTACAGGTCGATCCATACCTCGAAGGCGCCTCTAACAGATGAAATAGTGATGACCATGATCCAACACGGAGCTGCCTGCAAGACCCTTTTTTGGAAATCGGTTTCTCGCATTCAGGATTATTTATTCTATCAAACAGTCGAATCAACCTTGGAAGTTCTTGTGAAGAATGCAGCCGAAGAGATGGCACGGTTCGAAGAAGTCTTCGACCCTTTCTTTAATCAGTGTGCAAGGGATTGGATTCTTCTTTCGCAAAGGTCGCGACTGAGCTATTGTAAGACATGCTCCTGCACCTAAGTCTTGTGCTAACTTCTTCTTGCAAAGTCATTTTAGCCTTGCATTTCCACTTAGGGGTGCTCATCCTAGTCGATGTCCTTGAAACCCAGCACGAAGCGACCACGGACACTTTCATCGATATTGGAGCCTGCAAGCTCGCATCTACTCGAGCTATTATCAATCTCACCAATCTCATGTTGCTACAAGGCGACGCTGATACTGGAGCTGAGACAAGCAGTATCTTCCTCAAAGATCCGTACCCTGAACACACAAGGAACGGACTTTCAAGGGCAGCATACTCTGTGCTACATCTGTTCCGGGAAATGTCAGTCACAGAGCAGGTTGCGGAAATCATGGCGGCTCCTCTGTTTGCCGCACTGGGCATACTGAGCCAGGTATCATACACGGCAGAAGAGTCACTTCGCGCCCTTCGCAAGTCGTTTTCCGAGGCCGATTTGACTGTTATGCGATTACGCACAGAGTTTTCAACATATCTAGTAACTGCGCCGCCAGATCTCGATCTGTCAATCACACCTGAAATGTTTGAGGAGGAGACAGTCAGAGAGCTCGACCTGGCGGAAGAAGATCCAAATTTGGTAGACAAGACCATCGGACGCCACGAAGGTCTGGAAATGTCTTACGACTTCGACTGGTTTGACCTGGAAGGTATCGATTTTACTTCTGTAATGCATGAATGGGATTTTGAGGTACGTGGATCCGGAGGCAAGTATTGTCTTCATTAAATAACGCAAGAAACCTAGGGTTGCTTTTCAAGCGGATGAGCCAACCAAATCGCGATGAAAAATACGATCATGACCAGGCTTCCACATCGTTCACTCCTCGTGGTCAAAGTCCGTGCTATGGGAGAAGTCCTTCAACGCTGTATACGACTGATACTCCTGGAGCTTCTCCATGACAACTTGATATGCATCGGATCCCAGGGCAACCCTCAAGGGCGGGTTCTCCATCACAGCTAATTTGTACAGCGCCCTGCCAGCTTTGGCAGGATTACCAATCTGGGTGCCATGCCGTTTCCGCATCCTCTCCTTAGCGTCAAGATGGTCATAAGCTGCAAGTCGCAACTTTGGGAAGCTCATCGATGGTCCGGCCCAGTTCGTGCTAAGGAATAGAGTCAGCTTCTTGTGCATTGTATAGCAAAATGGATCCGCTTACCGGAAGCCTCCGGGCTCGACGATCATAATCTTGATGCCCCATTCCGGTTTCATTTCAGCAGCAACTGCCTCCGAAAATCCTTCCAGCGCCCATTTCGTCGCACAGTATATGCTGAACGTTGGCATACCCTTTTGCCCCGCCATACTGGAGATCTGCTGGATCAACCCGCCGCTTGGTGTCTGTTCGCGCATTATCCTGACGGCTGTTCTTGTGACGTTGAGGCATCCAAAGAAATTCACCTCCATTTGCTGACGAATCTGCTCGTCATCAAGCTCTTCCAGGGGCCCACAGAGGCCGAAGCCAGCGTTATTGACCACGACGTCGATGCGACCAAAAGAAGACAAAGCCTTGCTGAAGGCGTTCTCGACGGAAGCCGGATTGGTGACGTCCAAGGGAATGGCTAGAAGGTTGTTCGACTCGGCGTTAGCGAAGTTCAACTGTGTCACGTCCCGAGATGTTGCGACGACATTATCGCGTTGGCGGAGGATCTCCTGTACCAAATTGTTGCCGAAACCGCTGGACGTGCCAGTCACTAAGAACGTTCGCGGAGCCATTTTCGTGTCAATCTTCAGGACTAGAAATACTGATGAACTGTAGCCGGGCTTGAGTATTGCTTAGCAGAGCTTGGGGATACTGATTATTTCTAGGATTTACATACACTGTCCTGGTTATGAGGTAGTCGTGGGGTTAAGGTCGGTCTTTGCTCGGTTCCGTGCTGCTCCCTGTCCGCGTATTTGGGTAGCATGACAAGCGCAACATCAGGCAAAAGCGATCCGTCGTATCCCTGGCAGCTTGCGATCTGCAACTTGTGACCCAGGAGGCAAGGCTTGCGAGAAGCGGGTTTTACCATTTAACCTGCGCTCAAGAGATCCGAGAAAGTTTGATGCAGTCACCAGACTGGCTGGCGGCTGCATCGTCACGTCCCGAAGGGGCCTTGGTATTAAGGATTCAAGGATGCTGATACTCAAGCACGACAATCGAATATATTAGACAAGCACTCGCAGAACTCCTCTCCCGCCACCGTGCTACCCTTCAAAGCCATCTCGGCTCATCAGAGCCTGGTATGCAAGACCCGTTTTCGAACCTGAACCAAACCCCATCGTCCCCATCATCATTTTTTACTACCACGATTCTCCTCCAGTCAAGGTATTTGGCTATCTCTCCTTCTTTACCCCATCTAATAGAACCCGTGGTGAACTTCGCTGGGTCGAAGAGTTGACCCTTTCCATCTCCGTTCACAGTCTTGGTGGCTTCCAGTGTCCTCGAGATTAACTCGAAAATGTCCATGTCATGCCTAGGCAGAAAGCCCGGGTACAGAGCTCGTATTGTGGCTTGAGTCTCTTCATCGTGCTGACCCACAGATCGAAGGTACCAGTTGTTGAACTGGTTGAGGGAGACGAAAACGTTGTAGGAACCTCCTGAAGAAGCTCTTTTCATAAGAGATTGCATGATTGCTATTCCTCCCACGAGTCCCGTTCTGGAGGAAAGAAAAAGTCTTGTCACTAATTGTCGGCCGAGGGTAAGGCTGTGTGACTTACTGGTAATCAGAATTGGGAAGTAGTGGGATGACTGGTTCGTCAAGCTCAAGGAATTTGCCCTGCTCCCATGCAGCTCCCGTCACCTAGTTATCAATCAGCAATGCCAGCATAGCCTAGGATGATAGACTCATACACAGTCGGAAATCTGCTGGTACCCGGCACGGCTGCTCCATTCGCCCTTCCAGCCATAGCAGTTCTCTCTGCAATAGATGATGCCTTTTCCTCGACGCCGCGCCAACTCTTGTATCCACGTGCTACTAAAACCCAGCCTTTCAAGAACTCCGGGCCTATATCCATCCACGACGACATCGGCATCTTTCAGAAGGGCTGTGAAGCTAGCCTTCCCTTGGCGGGTTTTCAGGTCGAGATCGGTGTCTCGTTTGCCGAGTTGACCATCGTACAGAGCGAATCCCGCATCGGGCTTTGTGTTTGTGGAAACCCGCAGGACATCCGCACCAAGAAGTGCGAGGATCCGCGTTATGGTTGGTCCGGCGATCACTTTTGTAAGATCTAGGACTTTGATTCCAGCCAGAGGACCAAGATGACGTTCCTTGTCTGGCCACCCAACGGGCGGGAGGGAATCGTGTACAACATCGATGGTGTATAGAGGCTCCTGGATATTCGACTGTCCATGCGAGGTTTCGGCGTATTCCTGCAGGGTAAGGCATGTCACACCTGGCTGACGCCATCGCTCATTGACTTCGATTTCGAGGGATGCACTGTCCTTTTCCGCAACCGCAGCTCTGTAAACTTCCTTGGATTTTTCACGAAACTGTGCTCCTTCCAAATCAGGGCGGTTTTGGGCCAAGCCAAGCATATGGAGCACAGGCGTTGTGTCGAGGCTCCCATGAAGTTGGAAATATCGGCCATCTGCTGTTTTGTATCTGCGCAAGGTCAGCATGATGCTCTTCTTGACTCAAGAGAGTTTCCCACATATTTGTCGCCATAGCCCTATACGTTTCAGAAATTCGGCCCTTGTCAATGTACTTGACTCTCTGCGCTGCTTCGCCTTGGTCACAACGCTCGATCTCAAAGAGAGCTAATGACATCAACATTAGAGTAGCTGAGTACACATTCACTTCTATACTCTTTGGCATTGGCACCCCGTAGCGCCCTTGCGATATAGCAGTGGCAAACAGTCCAATGCATGCCCAGAGTGCAGAAACAGATTCAGTCATCTTCATGGGCGTGGGCATGAAAGGGCTGACATTTGGAGTGAACGTGACAGCCGATACATTTCCGGACACCTCAGATGGTATACCCAGGCTTGCATTTTCGAGGAGATGTCTGATGAGTATTTGTTTCGCCTCCTTGGGGACTGAGCCGGACGGGTGGAGACTGTGATGGAAGGCGTTGCCATTCACGGTGTCTGGAGAGAGTCTGCTCTCGTATGTTGATGAGATGGTAATGGCTTCAGTAGACATGGCTTCAGCTGGGTCTTGCAGGCCACACTGGAGGTTGAGCAGCTGTGCGGAAGCCATCGCTGCATATGTCTCTCGCCTCGATCTTATCAGTTGCAGGCGCCTACCTGCGTCGATCGACCGAGGCCATTGTCAATCTCGGAATCGGGTGAGACTGGGTCCCCAGGCTGCCCAACAAGGGGGTAGACATTGATGATGGATTCCCCCGGCCGGGGCCCGACACTCAGCATGCTCGCTCTGGAGCATCGCGTTGAAAACCACTCTGCAGTTCAACCACCAGCAGGAACAGGAGAATGAGAAGGAGGGTTTGATGGGGGTTCAGCTCAACCCCTGAGCAGGAACCGATCACGTGGACGCTTCCGAGGCCGTCAGCGGAAGCGACGTTCACCCAGTCGACATTTCTCCATCGCCTGTAAAGTCAAGGGTTAGTCTGCCGTGCTTGCCCCCAGATGCTCGCTTCCGACAATATTCACACCTCGACTATCGAGTGGCAGAAGTCAAATCGTCCAAGACTGCCAGAGACCCGGAACAGAGCATCGGGCCTGGGCCATGGCTCGCTTTTCGCGGCCCATACTTCCTTCCCCAGTGTGGAGGAGGGAGAGGTCCCCAGATTCGAGCTTGCTGGAAGCAAAGGCACTTCCTGAGTTGGAAGACCACGTTATAAATACATCGCGATCTGCAGCCTCGCAGCTCCTCTGATTCTCCTACCATTCGAGCTGGAGCCAACTTTGCGACCTCTCATCAAGTTTTCAGTCATTGTCATGTGGCATCCAAGCTTCCTCGGTGTGAAAAGCCTGCGGGGCGATGCGCTTGTCACAGCTTATATGGTTGTCTGCGGCATTGCCTTTATCATGTTTGGTTATGATCAAGCTGTTTTGGGGGCTTTGTCGAGCAATCCGTCGTTCCTCGAACATATGGGTGTAATTGATGTCTGCCTCACTGATTGACTCTCCCAGCTAATTGGAGAACAGACCACCGATCCTCTCATTATAGGATGCATCATCGCCATATTCTCCATCGGCGCCATCGTTGGCAGCATTGTCACACTGGTCTTTGGCTATCGCCTTGGTCGACGGTGGCTTATTTGTAGGTGCAGAACATTGGAAGAGAGAAGATTTCGAGCTGACTTCTTCCCATAGTTATCGGATGCTGTTTGCTCATACTTGGTGCAGCCCTGCAAGCCGCATCTTTCAGCCTTGGCCAGATGATCGCTGGCCGAGTGGTCGCGGGCGTCGGGGTCGGCTTCATCAGCTGCACAATCCCTCTGTTGATTTCCGAGATTGCAAGGCCCAACAGACGTGGCATTCTGATAGCTGCACTGTTCACTCTCGCAGTGGTAAGCATTGTGTGCACATTTGATTGAACAGGTCGATAATCCAATGCAGATTGGCATCGTGATAGCCGATTGGATGATATTCGGGCTTCTTAAGCACACTACGAATCAGGAGCTCGTGTGGCGCTTTCCGGTTGCTTTCCAGGGAGCCTTCGGCATTTTCACTGCGGTACGAACCCAAATTATCCCTGACAGGCTCCTCAGATGCCTGGAATCTGAAAATGTGCTAATTCCGATACAGCTTACGATCTTTTTACTCCCCGAATCGCCCAGATGGTTGTATGCCCAAGGCTACAACAAAGAGGCCACCAACGTGCTTGCACGTGTGTACAACGCATCTGAGCGTTCGCAACTGGTCCAGGATACTTATGATGCTCTCAAAGCAGAGGTAGATGACGAGGAGAAACGCGAGGAGAAAGGCTTTGCTCTGTTCACACAGTGCATGGGGGCATTGTTCTGGGATACGACCGATTTGAAGCTGGGAAGGCGGCTGCGCTTATGCTTCTTCATTATGATGCTGCAGGAGATGAGTGGTCTCAACATTGTATGTCCATGCATTCTGGCACGGTTCCTCATATTGACGCTCTCAGATCGTGCCATATACGAATACCCTATTCGGCATTGACCTGAAATTTGACGCTCTGACGTCTATTATGGTTGCTTCCATCATCCAGGTGGCTTGGGCTATATTCACTACCTGCGAAATGTTCACAATCGAACGCTGGGGCCGGAGACCTACGCTCATGATTGGTACCGTGATATGCACTGTTGGGTAAATCCTTTTGCATCAGTAGTTCAAGTGCGCAGCAAACTCACTTCTCTCAGAATGACAGGCTTCACCATTTCCATCTCCATCGGCACCAAAGCGGCAGGATGGGCTGGCATGGTGATGTTGATCGTCGTCTTCTTTGGTTTCGCCTTCGGCATGCTCCCGATGAGTTGGCTCTATCCGTCCGAAATCCTGCCACTACACATGCGGCATGTCGGACTCGGCGTCGCGGGTATCACGACTTGGCTCTTTACATTCCTGACAGTTTTTACAGGCCCAATATCGTTCGAGGCCACAGGGTATAGAATCTTCATTCTCTACATCCTCTTCAATGCACTTGCGTTTCCATATGGTGAGTTCTTCCCACATGGCAGCAGGGACTATGCGGTGTGAAGTTGGGGGAAATGCTGATCTCTTCTCATACAGCGTATTTTCTGATGGAGGAGACAAAAGACAAGACCTTGGAGGAGATCAACCTCATGTTCAGCCCGATCGCTGCTGCCAGTATCCGTGCTGCGCAAGTAGAAATTCCTATAAACGGAAAAAAGGATCTAGGGGCGCAAGTCATCGAACAAGAGTAGCGCGTCCGCTGCCTGACAGGTGGATCCCGAGATGTTGATAGTCGACGTTGGATTGACAGTAACGCCGGCCCTCGACAACTGCACAGCCTCCCTTGGCTCTTTGTGCTCCTCAAATTACGAACAAGCCCCCATCCTGATCGCTCCAGAAATCACTAGGAATTATATTGATTCGAATGGCTCGTTGCTGAGATACGTTGCCGGTCTTCAATCTACCAAGCGTCCCATTAAGGCGTAGACAGTTTCATTCTTCAGAAGCTCGAGATTATCTACCTTCCGCATTGGCAATCCAAGTTGGACAGAAGAAATGTAAGTGTCTCTGTGAAATATAATAGAATTGAACTGCAACTAGATCCACGGTGACCGGGCTGCTAGCATCAAAAATATATCTGAAGCCCCCGCGAACATAAGATTACCCTTGGCTTACAACATGATGCAAGCCAATAGCCGGACTGCTATGGTGCAGCCATGGACAGTAGTAGTGAGTAGAGAAAATCCCATTAGCCCTGCATGCTTCATGTTGTGGCGCTTGAGCCCGCCTGTAATTCTGCAATTTCAGTTGCCTGAAGCGCGGACCTATTCACTTCGCCGATCTCGTTCAATGGACCGGAAGTCCACGAGGTCCAATTTCGATACGCTTCTTGATTGACGCGTGGTCCTCCCCAGCATTCAGTCGCTTGATCAGCTCGCTTGGATCGAAATCTGTTCCGATAGGATTCTCGTGGAAGTACGGCGAGGCCATGAACTCACTGGCCGCTTCTGGAGTATCAAAATTGTCAACCTGAATCTCGGTACGGTTTCCATCCGGATCGTCGTAGTACATGCTGGTAGTAGGCCCGTGGTTGACGCACCAAACAGGTTCAATCCCGTTGGCCTTGCGCTGGAGGTAGGCGTTGGCGAAGTCCTCCAGGGAGTAATATGTAAAAGCCATGTGCTGCAGGCCTGAGCGTTTTGGGTCTCTTGGACCCAGGGAAGGGATCTGGACGATGGCGATGCGATGATGTTCTTCGTCATAAGTGAGGAAGCTGGCAAAGTCATTTTCATAGCTTGCATGGGCGTTCAAGAATTTCTTGTAATAGTCAACCATCGGCTTGAGATTGTTCGTCTGCAGAACGACATGGGCGAAGTGATTTGGCGGCTTAACCGTCTTTCCGGCGCTTTGGGGATCAACGACCATGATGGAAAAGGTATATTTGGGTGCGAGTGGACAAATAATTGGAGGCGTGCTGGTAAAGGCGTGGGGTGAGCTGGTCGATCTCCTTCTAAACTCTCAGACGCAAACACATATACTTCTTCAATATTATCGAGATCATGCCCTACTCACAACTTCAGTTAATCAGTATCCCGGAGATGCGCTCTTCGGAGATTCGGGTTAGCGAAACCCCGGACGGGATCCAATCGCCACAGCTTCGGGGAAAGTGGATGTACACAGCTCAAAAAGATATGCACGAAGTTGGTGAGCATGAAAGCCCAGTCCGTCAGTCGTGTGCTTCACAAAAATTCCGGAAAGCTCGCTCTGGCAGGAAAGACAGTGGTACAAGATACTCTGCTTCTTGGACTGTACCGCTGTAATCATTCTGTAAACTACAACAAGACCAGCAACTCAAAGAAACGCTTCTTCGACTCTTGTCCATGCCTCGATTTGAGCGACTCGTGCGCTTTCGGGACTCCCAGGGGCAGATTCAGCAGGGTGAAGCTTCCAAAATATCGTGGGATTCGGAGCTGGTTGGGAAAGTAGTACCAATCTACAAAGGCACCAACCCTTGGGATGACGACTTCCATCTGACCGAACAGACTGCAACAATATCTGAGGTAAACTCCAGACTTTCAGTGTCCTGTCAATAGAGCTCATGTCACTGGCAGGTCTTGTCTCCTTTGGCATCCGTGCCTATGATTGATGGCATTGGGCTCAACTATCGAGAGCATGCGAAGGAAGGAAATGTATGTGGCAAATACTTTAGAAAAATCCAAGCTTACGATCTAACATCGAGACTAACGATTTACCCTAGATGCCCATTCCTCCATATCCTGTTGTTTTTGTGAAGTATCCTGGTACGTCGCGACCCTTGTTGACAATCCTTGGTCCTGGCTCTGATTCACACATCCAGACGCGCTTGCGGGACCCTTCGAGGATATCCCAATCCACAAAGACGCCACCCTACTCGACTACGAGGGAGAGCTCTGTGTTGTGATTGAGAGGGATGTAAAAGACCTTTCCCCTGATGATGACCCAATCGAGTACGTTCTGGGTTATACAGCTGGCAACGACGTGTCCTCTCGCTTTTGGCAGGGACAGAACCAAGGCGGTGGACAACACGGCTACGCAAAGTCTTTTGATAAGTTCGCACCCTTAGGACCTGTCCTTGTCTCACGGCATGTCATCAAAGACCCTGGAAGTATGCACCTCAAGACCTGGGTGAACGGTGATCTAAGACAAAATGGGAGGACAGACGATTTGATCTTTGATGTGCCAACTATTATCAGGCACTTGTCTCGTGGGATGACCCTTCGGAAGGGTACAGTCATCATGACGGGAACCCCCAGCGGTGTAGGCATTGTCCGAAACCCTCCGGCCCCGCTTCAAGACGGCGATATCGTTGAGGTTGAGATCTCTGAGATTGGGCGAATAAGGAACAAAATGGTGTTTATTAAATAGATCAATATCTCCATCGTGACTGGTCGGAGCAGAACTCCTACACTTAATAGTTGAAACTACATGCAATCCTGTCGCTTACCAACCAGAAGTGGTGGACGGTTGTATTCCTGGCTCCAAGTGATTAGGTTAACTTGTCAAGGTCACTTCACCCCAAATATCCCAAGAGGCGAGATGCACAAAACACTGAAAATCAAGATCAAAGGAGCCTTTCATTGCTGAGAGGTCAGAAAGAATCACTCTGTGAGCTGCCTATTTGTTATTGAAATTCTCCCTTCTTGGCTAACTTATAGTCTGGATATTGCACAAAGAGTTCGTTCGTCCCTGAGTAGGGTTGGCGTTGCTTCTCTTTTTCAAGATCAGTCTCCAAAGGGGGTCCGTTCTCCACGCTGCGAAGTCCAACAGCAACTTCGATAATGTACACAGCATCGGCCTTGGTGTTGATCGAATCTCCTCTCCATGCAACATGGCCGTCTGGTCGAACAAGGACAAGATCCTTCTGCCACACTTTCCGCGCGTGGTCTTCCCCTCGCAACTCGAGATGCTTGAGCGGGACTTTGTGCTCCTCTGCGCTCGTGACTAGGAAGTTGGCGCCATGGTTGCCTCCGTCTGCGAAGTGAACCAGAGTGTAATGCATGCCATAGAGGTCAAATATGGCTGTCCCATCTCGCAGGAAGATATGAGGAGCACGCAGTCCCGGCCAAGTCGACGGGACATATCTCCTAGGATCGAACTTTGGCTCTGCCGCAGGATCCTCAGGAATGATCACCTTGGAGTGGTAAAGGTATCCATACTCGACCCCGACGTCCAGATTCTCGCCATTGTGGGTCTGATAGTGCTCATGGATCTTCCTCCTAACCTCCTCGCCCTTTTCTGAATCCTCATCGAGGTGCTCGGGACCGTTTTTCGCCAGCATCTCGTTCATCTTCTGGTGTATCTTTAGGTGATAGCCCGCACGCTCGACACTCATCAGGGCGACCTCTCGTCTTTCCTGCTGATATGAATCCAGGAGATGGATGCCCCCATAGCCATGGATCACACCTTCCAGCTTGGTTGCGAGCGTAAAAGCATCTCCTAAGCCCATGTTCATCCCATAGCCCCCGGTGGGAACATTCTGATGTGCTGAATCCCCAGCTAGGAAAAGGCGGCGCTTAGGACCCATATACTGGGTCGCCACGACAAGGTTAGGTCGATAGGTGGAACGAACCAAGATTTTGTCGACATCAATCCACAAAGGCTCTCCATTGCCGCTCGAAATCCGGGAGATAGCTTCTTCTGGAGTTACGTGGTCCGTATCCATGCCAACGGGGTAGTGGGAGTGGATGGTCCAGGTGTCGTTCTCGTCCTGGGAAATGAAGGCACCGATAAAACCGTCCTTGGAGATGACATAATTATGCCAGAATATGCCATGGCTATGCAATGCCCTGGTGTCATTCGACGTGAAGTGTACGAGGATGGAGTATCCTGGCCTGTCTTGCGGTTAGCCTGTGTGCCATATCCTTGCGTACATGTGCCTTCTATACTTACGATGGTCCTCCAACGACTGGAATTCCAAGCCCTCGACGGACTCTGCTGGAGCCACCATCACACCCGACTCCATACTTGGCTTTAAACGTGTGGGTCTTTCCATCCTTGTCTGTGGCGGTCGCTATAATTCCTTCGTCGGTTTCTCGAGTGGTTTCCACCTTCCACCCGAAGCGGAGGTCAATTAAAGGGTCCTTGTCGTTGATTTCTCTCAACCAGGCTTCGAAGATGATTTGTGATAGCCTCAGCCACGGCTCCAGAGGCTGTTCCCCATCGTTCTGCTCCCGTATCCTCTGACGCCATTCGTCGACAGTGCCAAAGTCCCACTGTGTCACTAGCTTACCATGGACGCCAGTGGTGAAAAGACTGCGATAGGGCATATTTGAAGGCACACCTGCCAGCGACACAGGTGTCAGGCTGTCAGCTCTCCTAAGTCGCTCGGATGAGGCCAAATATACCTTGTTCACGGAGCGAATCTACCAGTCCTAGCTTTCGAAAATATTCCATAGACCGAGAGTTCGTCAGATCCATTTTTGGCCATCTGTGTAAAATTTAGTGGTGCACTTGAAATCTGGATATAGCTGATTACCTTGTCGTTGTCTCGTTCCGTTCAAGAATAACCGACTTGATGCCGTAGTAGGACAATGTGGCAGCCAATGTTAAGCCCACTGGGCCTCCACCGGCAATGAAAACGCAGTCGTCTGGGAGGATGTGCTCGACGCCTTCAGTTTCGCTAAAGTGAAAGGCCGCTGTCGAATCCCCGTTGGATTGCTTCGTCATCCTGATGGCTACCCAGAACGGGTCCGACAGGCATACAGAGGAGACACTTGTGGTGACTACATGAAGATCGAAGAACTTCAGCCTTTCTTTATGGGGCCAAGTCTGGCGTTTGGCACACGCACAACTTACCGAACGTAAGTCAATATACTCGGTACAGATAACAGCATCAAGCCCGAAACAAGTCGCACGGAATTCAATATCACTCCAGGATTTTGCAGAAGGTGGATCTTCACAATTTCGGGACTTCGGGGACTGGTCATGGTTTCCGCCGTACCGCCCGCCCGGGCATTCAATCTTGTATCTCGTGTGAGCGAACTTGTACATGGCGCAGGCAGCTTCACCTGTGCAGAGTATTAGTGTAATGCTACCTGGATCCGGCCCGATCAGCAACGATGACTCGGGAGCTGGCTCATAATTCGGGCTTATAGTACATGAAACGGCTGTGCTTCGGAAAACCATGTGCAGCCCGAAAGTCAATGATTTTGCTTCCTGATTGTGGGCTGAAGAGGGGTCCTGATGGGTTGTCCACTCAGTATGTTCTATTTTATTGACTGACGGTGCAGAGCCAGGTGCTGCTGAGGACTGTTCTCTTTGTAGAATACGAGGCTCGCTTTGGTGTTGATTTGACTTTAGCTGCTGAGACTTTTGAACGCTACCACATGGCTGCCGCTACCGCACACACAAAATGGCCAGATGTCGGAGACGTACCACAGTGGTTGAAGAGCTGGCTGGACAAGTACTTCAGACTGGCAGATACTCAAGGGGACGAAGCGAGTAATCGCGAGTTCGCCACTCAGTTTGCTGAGAACGGCGTCCAGCATGGCTTGGGCGCTCCGCTACAGGGTAGAGAAGGTATGACTCTCTGCAGCATGAGCGTTTTACAGAGTGAAGCTGAACAAAAGACCTTGGCTAAAGCAATTGCCAAAAGTCGACCAGGTGGATGGAAACACTTAGACTGGCGTAAGCATGAGGTGGTCCAAGTCTTCACAGCCCGAAAGGACTACAGCGACGTCTTGATGCAGGGCAAGATTACGGCTATCTTCAAAAACAAACAAGAATTGTCGGCTGAGTTCACAGCACAAATTGTATTCGAAGATGTCTCTGCGGCTGAACCCAAGGCTCTCTTATACAAGACCTGGGCTGTGAGCATCAATGAGACTATTATTCTCAATGGAAGCTGTGTTGCTAATATGCTCTTAGGATACCGCTCCATGGGTCAAGGCTATGGAGGCCAACAAGTAGTTAGATTGGTAGAGACGTATTAATCGTGGTCTCCAAATATTCAGTTTTATGGTCTACTTGCTGTTGCTTGTACTGTTTCCGCCCCTACTTGCTTGTAAACTCGCGATAGAGCTTCTGCGTCCTCGCTGCGCTGGGTATTCGTGAAAACAATCGGCACCTACGCTTTCTCCTGGCTAGCCAAAGAAACCTGCTCGAACTTAGTACAGAAAGACCTTGAAGGTCGGAGATGGGACAATCGGAAAGGTCGGGCTTGGGGTTGCTTTCTGCTTCTGCTTTACCCAATCGATGAGATTCAACCAAGCAGGCTTTGGTCGCTGCTCTTGAGATGCTTTACCACCTAACATTATTTTCTGACGGAAGCCGTGCGGTTAGATACCTGCCACCTTCGCCCCCAAGATCTCAAGTACCAATGACTTGCCGGGAAGCAGTGCCGTTTGAATTGTGATTGTTGTTTGCCCGTTGGCTAGAAGTATTGTGGTTATCATTTATTCCTGGTTCCAGCCAACCTAGGTCAAGGTTGACGTACTGCTCTTCATGCGAGTTGATACCCTCAATTTCCATAGGTCGTAGGTACAATGTCAAGAACAAGATGGTACAGAATGCAGATGGAGAATCAAGGGTATTATTTTGCCCTGTATATAATACTCAAACCTTTCGCCACAGGACTGGGGATAGAAAGCACAATACCAAGTCTGGTGGCAGGTACGTGGCGAGCTGAGTCCTCTAAACAATGGGACAATGACCATTACCCAGGACCAAAATAGCTTCTCGAAGATCTGTCTGTGGAACTTGACTTACGCGGCCAGCGCCACGGAGTCTTCATATCGAACACACTTTGTAGCATTACTGAATGAAGCTTGGTATTGACGTGGTCAAGGGCCGAAGACACAAGTCAGTAGCATATATGGGCTTTTATGAGGTAATACCCAATGTGTTCCGTGTGCCTTTGTCTCATTTCTTCCGGCGTGTATCACCCTTTTGGAAATCCCCGACATTTGGTGCTTTCAAAAGGAGGGGAAATGTCCATGAGATTCCCTGTAGTGCCTATGTCACAAGATCGGCTTTTCCGGAGGAGGTCATCCGGGCTTTCAGCCCCTTTTCTCTTTCTTCAACCTTGTGCGAATCAGAATTGGTGTTACTGGGGCCGAAATCGCCTCTACTCCACCAAGGTCGTTACTGGACCTTTGCATTCTTCAGGTGTAGTCGGCCTACCAAGGCAGACACCAATATTGCTGCCAACCTCGGGATCCTGTTCGACCTCCTTGGGATGGATATTCTCTTGACGGTCCTTGATCCTGTAGATTTGGCGAGGCACATGATTGGTCAGATACTGGTCATAATCTCTCATGCAGAAGCATGCTATGAGTCCGACACCTCCGAAGGCAATCGCGGCATAGTAGACATAGGAGTATGCGGCAGTATATGCGACTACAAGAGCAGCCCCGACTGCTTCGTTGACTGAAGCTGTTACGCCTGGCACCTTGCTCAGTGTATCGGGTGTGCCGCCAGCAGCAATTGCCACCAGAAGTTGGGCAACAGATGAATCCGGTAAGCCCGCCTTGACTGCGGCGTCTGGGACGTACTTCAAAATCTCTGATGTAATCTTGCTGGAAAGAATAGCAAGATACACAGCTGTCATGATAGATCCCACGATGGCGCGTGACGAATAGATAATTGCTGCACATTTTAGATGGTTAGCGAAGGTTTTGGATCCTCAAAAAATGTAGCACAAGCTACTCACCATATACCGTGCCCAGGTCAACATCATTTGATTCCAACTGAATCAGCAGAGCTGGCACGAGCTCAAGCCACGCGGCTGGGAACCCTGCAAAAAAAGAAAAGGCCGCACTCCTTGAGAGATTGGACGGCTTACAAGACGCCATGGCTCCAGTAAATGTGACTAGTATCGTCATCATGACAATAAGCTGGATCCGAATGTGTTTGATGATACTGATCCAGGGCCCACAGAATATAAAACCAGAGTAGACTCCAAAGGCGATAGTTGTCTTTTCCCCGGTCAGTTATACGTAGGACATATTTAAATCTTCAAACATACCGAGAGCCATGCGGACTGTTGCCAACTGGTGACAGTGGAGCCATAGATTCGGGCAACCTCTGCTGACCGTCAGCTCGTGCCCAGTCCTTCAATGATTCTTCCTATACTCACGAGATGGCCAGATAATACTCAGTGCAACGAAGGAAGTCGCGGCCACTGAGCAGATCACTATGGCGCAAACGAACCCGCGAAGATCCTTAAAGAAGTACATCGGTACAATAGGATTGGGATGCGGCCCGTATATTTCTAGCCCGTTAGCAGGATTTGAGAAAGCTGTTCTCCATTTAGGCATACCCCAGAAGATGAAGACGATAATTATGCAACCTCCGACACTCAGGAGCGAGATGATAGTGGCGGAATTCCACGGCAAAGGCTGGCCACCTTGTATTTGTTAGATGTGTAACCCTCGACAGGCATGGTTTCCAACTCACCCCAGGATACTCCCAGCAGGAAGAGTAGTATGCCTGCGACCATCAAAAATATTCCAACATAGTCGATTCTTCGAAGCTCCTCCATCCGTGTTCGAGTGCCGTGTAGTTGCCGAAAGCTTGGAGGTCGATAACATAGGAATTGTAATAGTAGACAAAAGGCCATGCAAGGAATGAAAATGTAGTAAATGTATCTTTCCGAAAGGATTATTAGCAAACGTAGCACATTCATAGATTAGTAATTTCTTACCTCCAGTTGTAGTCACGAACGAGCTTCAGGGCTGCAAGGTTGTTAGTGCAGTAAAACGAGCCCAGAAACCTAAGTAACACATACCTAGAAATGCTCCAAATCCTGTTGGAAGGATATTGGAGATCGAGGCTGTCGCAACGCCCAGAAATTTCCATTTATTCGGCACTACCTCGCCGACGGTAAGTCCGTGGCAGGTATGCACGCCTCCTGCCAGCCCTAGGAAAACATTTGCAACTATCAACGTGTTCATAGTCTTGGCCGTAGCAGCGATAATTGCTAATGAGCATCAGTGAGCCCATTACCAGGAGAAAATGAAGTGTGAAGATGACGAGTACCTCCGACCAACGCGGTACTTGATGCTGTAATGACAAACCATCTTCGCCCAAACTTATCGGAGAGTCTGCCAAAGACGAGGATGCCAATAGCGCAACAAATGGACCAAATGATGGAGAAAAGGCTTGCATTGTCGCTCGGCCCTTTTAAGCCGTCGTTAGAGCTTGATCTGCCAGAAGGGATAGCATGGCTTTTACCAATGTCAGCGTTGATAGTTTCCAAGACTGCAGCGGGTGGCGAGAAACCCCAATAGCTGATTGCCAGGGCTAGGCCAAGGCCAGCTATAGTCCCGATGATTCGCAGGCTGGCGAAATAGCCAGTCTCAGTCTCGGCCGTGGTTGTAGCAAGAGCATTAGAATGTTCTATATCCTCGAGTGTGCCTTGATCGGCATGAACAAACTCAAGCTGCTGAAGCTTGGACTCGGGAGCATACATAGTGGAGCTTGAGGGGAGCTTGAGGGAAGCAGACACAATAAGTAAGCAACAGGTGCTGGATGGGCAGAAGGAGATCAGTACCAGGCCATGCAGAGCAACCTGTTCAACCTGAAGACCTTTATACAGCAACGTGATGACTATCAATCACGATATTCCGTAGTGCATTTCCCCCGGATTCATGGCTCGAAGCCTCGCCCCCATCTCCACAAGTATTGTCGAAAGTGGAGATGCTGAAGCGAAAGCGTGGAGATGCGTCTCTTTCGTCCCGCGGTCCCCCAGATGTGGAGAGGTATGTCCCGCCGGTGGATTCGGGCTCCCGGAAAACAATCACCGAGACCCAGTTTGCAAGCTAAGCTCGCCGTTGCCCTGAAGAGCTGGCCTGTACCCTCGTAGTCGAGTCGGCACTCCACCTCTTCCAGATGAGGTATGGCGGCTTGGGCGTCCGAGAATTGCTGAGTCCGAAAAAGAGGAGCAACATCTTGATCCTTTAGATGGAAATAGTTCGTCAAGTGAGTCGGAAGGTGTCCGACTCACAGAAGGGCACGTTGTTCCGATGCGAAGAGTCTATGCAGCCGTTTCAAGCAGCCTTGAGAAGATTGAGGCGCGGACCTGTCGCAATCGGAGCAAGTCCGCGACATGGAACCAAAGTATATGCGCCAAGCAACTCTAGGAACCAGGTAAGCCTTTGTTCTGAACACCGACTGCTCACTACAACCCAGGACCTGTGGTTGTAGGTTCAGGACGACAAATGCACAGGTCTCTCGCCTTTTCAGAACGCGGACAATTGAGGCACCTGAAGCTCCGCGTGGCAGAGGTGGTGTAACTCGACCAAGACCTCCGGCCGAGGCCCACTAGCAAAGCTCGGGGGTCATTTGATACATAACTTGGTGTAGTATCCAGATAGCACGCGAGAGAGAGAGGTGGCCGCAGTGATAGCTTGCTAGCAGAGCCGCTTCGTGAATCTGTCTATCTGAGAGTGTTAAGAGAGAATGAGAGTCTGAGGATCGACCTATTTGGAAGATCAAGCGTTCCTTAGGCTAGTGCTAAAATACTGTAGCATACCTAGGTAGTGCATACGGCCCAGCTGCCTTCGCATCAAAGCTTGGCATTTTTGCGATCAAAAGGAGTGCCAAGCCTTTAGGCCGAAGGGGCTACAGAGAAAGACCTCCTGGCACCAAGAAGCCTGGCTATGCAACTCTGGCACGTTTGCAGATTCTTAAGCCATGCCTGCTGTTGCAAGCACAGGTGGTCGTCCCCCTTATCGAATGTCGTCTCCCATGTACAGCTCTCTCACGGTAGTGAGGCACATCTTACTGGTATGCTGACAGTGCAAATAGTTCCGAAAATTGTCCAGTCTATTACAGGTGCTGGTGACCCTGCCGGGTTCGGCACGCGTTACAGTGAAACAACCTCTGACTGTTGAAGAATGACTTAGATGTTCATGAGTCTTTGCTCCCGCATAGTCAACTTACTTTCGCTCAAAATCCTTGGCGTCGGTTTTGCTATCCATCTTGAGATGGATAAATATACAAATAGACATGAAAGTTGAGGTCCTCACGTTCGCAAAGCAACTTGTGGTACAAATTCAATAACAACTCTCCATCCAGCAGCCCCGAAGTCCTAGATATCAAGTGTCCGAGGGACCGGAACCCGTCTCCGAGGGGTGTCCGAAGAGTTGACGGAGCCTCGTGGCTGGTCCAAGTCTCCGCGTGTCACATGTTCCAGATTGCGCCGTTCAAGATACAGCATGAGAAGTTGTCACACATAAAGAGTGCATAGTCGTACATCTTCCATCATGCTCAAAAAGGTGGTACAACGGATCACTCCCAAAGAGTTATCTTAAGAGGTATCCTGGCTTTCTATTTTGAGAAATGGTGACCCTTTTTCAATTCGGCGTATGTATGCTAACTTCCATCGAAGAAGTACTATTCCTGCTGACAGAATCTCGCAGCTTATCGTGTTCACCGGCCTTGGAAGCCTCACATATGGCTATTGTAGCAGCATCATTGCGACTACCTTGGGACAGCCGTCATTTATTGCTTATTTTGACCTTGCGACGCGCTCCAATGCCAATAGCCTCATCGGTGCAATCAATGGCCTTTATCAATCAGGCGGACTCTTTGGAGCGGTATCGGTGCTTTTCATCCCGGACAAAGTTGGTCGTCGGTGGGCTCTCTTCATAGGCGGAGTATGCTGTATCGTTGGTGGAGCTCTGCAGGCTGGCAGCGTTCATATAGCCATGTTCCTGATAGCAAGGTTTCTTGTTGGCTATGGCATAGGTATGCTTGGAATGGTATCGACTGTACGAGAGAGCAACGTGTTGCCTGACGTCCATCACTCTAGGCTCTCTTGTCACCCTTGTCCCACTTTACCAAAGTGAGGTGTCGCCAACCAGTATCCGTGGATTTCTAGTCGGAATGGGTGGCGTTATGATCTGCATTGGATATATCACCGCGAGTTGGGTTGGTCTGGGATTCTATTTTGTTCCAGGACACAAGCAGTGGAGAGGCCCTCTCGCTATTCAAGTTCTACCCCCTCTGCTGCTTTGTCTGGGTTTGAATTGGGTTCCAGAGTCCCCCCGATGGCGTCAGTTGAGCTCACTTCCACGATGAGAATGAGTGTTTCTAACCGCACATTAGTCCTTCTCCGAGATCAGAGCGAGCGGGCTCGCGCTCAATTTCGAAGGATTCATGCTGATGTCGCCAAATCTCTCGGAGAGCATGTTCTCGAGGAAGAGTTTCTCCTTCTTCGTGCCCAAGTTGCTCAAGAGATCAAGCACCACGTGCCACTGAAGCAGTTTTGGACGCAGAGGTCTCTCCGGAAGCGATGTATCATAGGATGGCTTACATACGCCGCGGGTCAAGGAACTGGAACGTTGGTCATCAACAGTAAGCTGTTCTAGATATTGGCGAGACGATAACAGCCGCTAATCCCTTGATTCACCCCAGATTACGGGCCTCTGCTCTACTCGAACCTCGGATTCAACACTGTCCAACAACTTCTGATTCAGTGTGGTTGGATCACGGTTGCCCCATTCGTCGGCACTATCAACTCTTTGATCGTCGACCGGGTGGGTCGTGTCAGACTATTGAGTAAGTTTATTTCGCTGGGTTTCGGTTTCGAGGCAGAAAACTAACATACTGGAGTGTTCGGTCTCGCCGGCACCCTAGTTGCCCTGGTCGGGGAATGCATCACTTTGAGCATCTTCCAGAGAACCGGAAACCGAGGGGTCGCCGGAGGTGCAGTCTTTTTCCTGTTCCTTCACGTTTTCCTTTTTGGCGGGTCGTATGACTCGACAAGCTATATCTACGGCAGCGAAATCTTTCCCAATCCTGTTCGTGCCCGTGGTCTTGGGATATCGATAACTGGGCTTTTCGCCTCCACCATCGTCTTTCTGCAGTGTGCTCCAACCGCATTTGCGAGCATTGGCTGGAAATACTACCTCCTCTTTATCGCCTTGGACGCAGTGATGTTCGTCGTCATGTGGTTATACTTCCCGGAGGTATGTTCTGAATCACCAAAATACCTCTCTCCTAAAGGAGACTGACTGCCGTAACAGACCAAGGGAATCTCCTTAGAAGATATTGGGGAAGTCTTTGGCGATGATATCGTTCTGGAGGATCCAAGTGTCGAAGCCGTCCACCGACGTTTCAAAGAGTCCCATTATAGAGAAGAGGCACTCGTTAACTTGGAGGGAGACGAGGAAAAAAGGGCGGAGTTCGGAGAAGTCGAGCGAAGCACTATCGCTGTCAAGGAGTGAAGGAGTCACGAGGACCAAGAAGCCATGAAGATGCGGATAAGGACGAAGCGCGCAATCTGGATTGTCTGAGCTAGTAATGATCTCCAGCATCTGTGGCATTATCTGGAGCGCGAGCGCATAGCTGCATTGGAAGATGCTGCCGAGCAGTGGAGGGCCTGGGTGCCCGAGACAGAACTGTTGGCAATAGAGGGTAATTGACGGCAAACATATCAGAAACCTTGTCAGTGCTGTAAATCTTTGAAATACTTCCTTATTGACACGACGAGGACTATAGAAGGAATCTTGGGAGTCAAAACTGCGAATCGAGGGAAACGGATTGCGGCATGGTCTTCGATGAAGTCTAGCTAGATGGACTGTGCGGAACAGAGTAGAGCAGCTCCACGTTTTCAGGGGGACAGTCGGCATAGAGGGCTTCTGATAAAGTAAGTCAATGCTTTGCCAGGTACTTGATGACAGATATCTCAAAAAATGGTCTCCCGGACTACGTTAGAAAGGTGATTATGGTAGTATGTGCAGCTTCGTCACGGACCGAACCGAGGCTGCCATTGCAATTATTTCGCCTTCGTCACATCTCGCGACCAAAGAACTACTTAGTTACAAACTCCAATCTTGCGGCAAAGCTATGAAACGACGTCCTTTATCCCACGCAGTATATCGTGGCCAGGGCGCTTTTTACCTATTCCTGTGAAAGTCCGACTTTGCCAATCGCGCCTCAGAGACATGATAGTCTCCAGAGAGCGAGTTGCGATGTTGAAATATGACATTTCTCCGAGAGCGCTGTAGCAAAGGGATATGTTCTCCTGTGCCTGCATCCCTTTGTCTCTTGAGTAAATGCAACAGTTGTGGACGTGAATCATTGCCGCAGTCAAGATGATAGAGACGATTTGTGGATGCATAAACCTCATTCCCCACTGGTGTCGATACGCCACCAGCAGTCGACATATTGCTATAGCTGAGGCTTCGCAAATTTCGGCACTGTCTTTCAGCATCCCATCGTGCGAAATATTTGGGACTGATGGTGAGATAAAGGGCCGACGAAGCATGATCATGACTTCATGGAACTGCATACTACGCGGAGGTAAGCGAGGCCATGGAAGGAAGGCTGTTGATCAGAATGCCGAAATAAAGGCGTCAACTTACTGAAGCACCAAAACCGCTGGCAATACTGGCTTGTTTCTGTCAAAGGAAGCGTCAACTTTCAATTTATCTGGCAGGCTATGATGCCAACTTTGAAGTTCCCGCGTCATATTGTCTGCGAAAAAGAAGCTAGTGTCTGTGAGAGTCGTCTGCAGTCCCGTGTACCTAATTGAATGATTAGTTTCTTGAGAGGGAGATGACAGGTGACCAAATACAGAATCCTGGATATCTTTCGAAGTTTACCGCATAGTTGCGCAAGGTAAATATGAGTATGACCCACAGCGTATGGGTCTAGGCTTTCGGCAATATTCAGGGTGCTGTTGTGATCAATGTAAGGCTTCCATAGAATTGTCCTGACTGGTTGAGCAGCAGGGACGGGTGCATCGTCGTAGCGCATCGAACATGGGCGACCACTATAGACACTCCACAAGCTGGTAGGCAGTCAGCTTTCCTGGTCGCCACCACGCACCATATTATTCATATTGAGTAACCCACGTATCGAGAGCCTGCGTGGACCAGAATATGGTTCGACGCAGATTGGTGTGCTCTTCCGAGTCTTTCTTCGAATCGAAAGTAGCATCAAGATCGAGGTGTAGTCCTAAGTCCGACAGGAGTTGGACAGCCATCCCTACATACAGCCAGCCTCGAGAATCACGGGCGTATGCCGCCTCGTGGGCCGACAGAGTTCCCAATGCTTGTACAGTGGCCATACTTGGGCTGTCCATTTCAATCTCGAGTAGTACCTTTGCACGGGATGCGAAGAACTCCGGTGGGTCATCGACATCAGGAAGCCTTCGATTGGAGTAAGAGGCGCCCACAGCCATGACAGCGTTTTGCAACGTTTCTGAGAAGTATGCTGTCGAAACTCCCGAGCGATACAATGCGCGGTGATGGTAATACACGGTCTCATTGACAATATTGAGGAATGAGTTGTGCCATGCAAAGAACAAGTTGGTAAGATGGTCTTCATATGTAGCGTCGCTCTGCCACTGCAGTCCAGCACGCAAAAGCTCCGTCTCTCCATGAAAAGGAATAGTTCGTATAGTTGGCTGAAAACAATAGACCAAAGGGCTTTGTGTGAGGTGAAGGTTGCTCGTGGCACCGTAGTATCTTCGGTACCCGTCTTCAGCGACGCGCAATCGACCGAAGCGACTGATTAGTTGCTCGGTTGGGTCATTCTCTGTCTGTTCAGAGTACCTTGTGTTATCTGATAGAGCATTTTCTGACATCACTTGGTTTGCGGAGTTCTCATTTGACCGTCGGTTGCCACTCTGCCCATTCATGGCACCTGGTATCCTGGTATCTCCCTGATCAGTAAGCGTGTTAAATTGGTCCGCGAAAGAACCAGATGCTATAGTGTCGGAAAGTGTGTCGGTCGATAGAGGTGCAAGTAGTGAAGTACTATGGTCCGTTTCCACGTCTATGTCGGAGCCTGTCATGTCAAACCAGAGCCCTAGATTTTCAACGTCTCCATTGCAACCTGCGTCTGAGTAGTTGAGTAGTCCTGCGTCGGTCACATCCAAGTCCTGAGCACAACCCGATGGCAGGTAACGCTGTAGGAAATCGTCTTGGTGATCAACCAGGGTGGTGCAAGTGCCGGAAACCAGTGCAGGTCCTGGACTAGAAGCCTGCGCAGCGCTGAATTGCTGGCTATGACTTGGATCTCGAGCGACAGTGCTCTTCATGGGCCTGGTCGCGTTGGAGGAAGACCTGTCATGAACTGCCTGTAAGAGCAATAAACAAACGAAATAGCAATATACTAACCTGCGCCGGTCTTCGCCAATCACACAGTCGATATTGCGGGAGGTACAGTTGGAGCAACGTGGGTGGCCATTATTGCACTACCAAATATCAGATGCCGAGGTTTCCTTAGAAGCGAGCTTGTGCACAGGGCAGGATGCAAATGAGAACGCATGCTCAAGACTTGCCTTGATTTTGGATCTGCGGCATGCGAGGCATGCGCGGGGGGAGTACTTCCGTCTCGCTGGCTCATTCCGAGGCGGGAGTATGTCCCTGGAGGAGTTCGAAGACTGCATAATAATCCAATGTCGACTGGCAGGATGCTGTAGTAGGAGATGCAGACTTCGACGAGCTGGAACTGGGTAGGGCGAACAGCGAGAGCATCCACGGTACGGAATTGAAGGCACAAGCGTATCATGAGTCACCCATATGGTTCCAGGGTACTGGCGTAAAGTGTTTCCAAGCACCGAAACACCAAAAATCGCCTGAATAAAGTACTCCCTCGCGACTTGTCAAAGAACGGAGGCTTGAAGAGAATGCGGGGTGGCTACACCCATACCACGACGCCAAGATCTTCCCGCCCTTTGCACCAACTGGATACTAGTACAGCTCCAGGTAGAATAGAAGACACCCCACTCTTACACCCTATGAGTACCTGAGACGATCGGAATTAGAGATAAAATTCCGGCCGGTGATGTGCTAGTCAAACCCGAAGAGCGCTGTGGCCCCTACATTCACAGTCGACAGGTACACCCTTCGTCCGAGTCCGTATTCGGGGTGGAGACTTGGATTTCCGTGGCAAGCCTTTGCCCCACTGCGCAACCATGATTAATCTGAAATCGAGACACGTACGAGGTACACCGTGAGGAATAATTCCTAGCTCCTGCGATTCGTTCTCTAACATGGAGCCGCGAGAGCTTTACCCGTTGTGGACACCCATACTTTTTGAAGAACTTGTTGCACAGGTATGCACTGGTGAATATTATGATAGACAATTACATGTCTCCCTAGAAGAGGCCCATATGAGACGCCATGTCGACATCTCAGAATCCACCTCCTGAGACTGCAGGGCCCAACTTATATCTAGCAAAGCCAAGAACCGATAAAGAGCGACATATCCGCCGTTTACTGGTTGCGAACCGTGGGGAAATAGCATGCAGAGTCGTGAAAACCGCCCAGACCCTCGGCATTGCCTGCATTGTCATCTACACAGAAGAAGATCGCGACAGCTTGCACGCAACTGCAGGTCAGGAAGCTGTTTGCCTTGGGCACATATCTCACGGCCGGCAGAACCCATATCAGGACAAAGACTTACTAGTGCAGACAGCTCTCGATGTCCGCGCTGACGCAGTTCACCCGGGCTACGGCTATCTCAGCGAAAATGCTGACTTTGCCCGCGCTATTGTGGCCGCTGGTTTGATCTTTGTTGGACCTTCACCCGAATCCATATTGGCATTGGGAGACAAGCGTGAAGCTAAGAAGTTCTTATCTATGCATGTGCCCGGTGTCCCTCTAATTCCAGGGTATAATGGATCGAGTCAAGATGAGGCGGTGTTGGCTGCTGAGGCGGACAGAATTGGATATCCCATTCTGATCAAAGCCGCCGCCGGCGGAGGAGGTCGTGGGATGAGAATCGTGCATCACGCCGAAGATCTCCACGAAGAACTTAACCGTGCCCAGTCAGAAGCTCTACATTCATTCGGCTCGCCGGATTGCCTCTTGGAAAAGTACATCGAGAATGGCAAACACATAGAGATTCAGATTGTGGGGGACGCGAGTGGTGACATCTTATCGTTATATGAGCGAGAATGTTCCATCCAAAGAAGACATCAGAAAGTGATTGAAGAGGCGCCTTCCCTGTGGTTACTAGACACGGTTCGGGGCCAGATGGCTGAAACGGCGCGGTTAATCGCCAAGTCAATGGCATATGAAAATGCCGGCACTGTCGAATTCATGGTTGACATCCGAACGGGTGCATTTTACTTCCTGGAAGTCAACACGAGGATTCAAGTTGAACATCCGGTCACTGAAATGATCACAGGAGTCGACATTGTTGCCCTACAGCTCTACGTTGCTTCCGGCGGCCTTTGGATGGAAGATGAAATCCTCAAGCACGGGATCAAATCAACTTTCGGCCATGCGATCGAGTGTCGTCTGTGTGCTGAAGATCCGGCACAGGATTTCTTACCAGATTCCGGTCTCATACTTCGCTGGACTCCAGGAACAGTGTTTCTGGATCTCTCTGAGCGGCAAGGCGTGCGATTTGAGACAGCACTGCAGACTGGTGCGAAAATCAGTGTCTTTTTCGATTCCATGATTGCAAAGATTGTGGTTTGGGCGACTACCCGTCAGGAGGCTATTTCCAAGATGCTCGCTGTTCTCAAGCACACGGTTTGTATTGGAGTCAAGACCAATCAGCACTTCCTGCAGCGATGTTTGTTGCAACCGGATTTCGCGAATGGTGTCTACTCAACCCAATTCATCTCCGGGCAAGAGCAGGCGTTGTTACATTTCGTGTTACCAGAGCCATTCTTAGATCATGCGATGGGGGCAAGCATTGTGCCTACTATTCTGTCACGAAGTGTGACTACCAAGGGGCGATATCGGCCTTTCAGCAACGTTCGTACCGGGTTTCGCAATCAAATCTATGATCAGAGCAACAGAATTACAGATATTGTGTCTGTTCAGAATAGATCGACCACTTCTATTGATAATCCGTCGTTATGGTTCCACATCAACTGGCTTCAAAGAGACAACTCAGCAGACGTTGACTTGTACAACATTCAGCCCTTCAGCACTACAGCCACCACACTAGAAGCGAAGACAAGTCATCGAGACGGCGAAAGCAACAGTGCTCCTCTCATTAGACACTTTCATCAGATTTTTGCGAACATGCCTGGCTGCCAGGACTCGGAGTCACCTCGAACTCGCACAGTACGCGTGATACAATCCTCGCATCATCATGCAGCTGGGAACATCACAACCGGTTCAAAAAGCCCCAGCAAGTTGGAGTGGGCAATTGCTGACTTGGTCGTTGAGAATGATAATAGAAGACAGTCCTATTATATTGCGACCAACCCGTTGAGCAGAACCCCACTTGACAAGGAGCGACCACATCGTGTGTGGTGCCACATTCCAGCCTTGGGTACAAATATAATGCTCGAGCAGTACTCGAAGCTTTCGTTTGCAGAGTCTCATCGGAAGTATTTTAGGAATGGAGATGCTCCGCATTCTGATCCAGAGCGCACATACAAGGCTCTCATGCCGTGCAAAGTGCTCAAGGTTTTGAAGCAGAACGGTGAGGCGGTGAAGGCTGGCGACGTTCTTCTGGTAATTGAGTCGATGAAGATGGAAATGAAGGTTTCTGCCATGACAGACGGTCTATTTCAGTGCGCGCTGGGTACGGGCGATGCTGTTGAGGAAGAATCTGTATTATGCCAGGTTCTACAAGAACAAAGCCTCAATCAGCGTGGAACGTGTTGCGAAAATTAGGTGAAAGGCGCGCAAGGATCACATATGTTTTCACATTTTTGCGCCCCTTTTCTCCTTAGTCAACCAAGCATTTCCAAATTTACGAAGCTCGGCCTTCTTAATTTTCCCACTAGCAGTAGTAGGGAACGTAGCAAGGCCCGTTTCATTGCCATGATGTCCTGAAAAGCAACTGCTCCCAATCTCGCCAATCCATAAGAACCTGGTGGGTGTTTTGTGCCTCCCCAGGGTCTGGCGGACCCATTCGGAGAGCTCTTCGTCGGTGGGGCGCTTGGTAGACAACCGCTGCTCGACAAAAGCTGCTACAATCTCTTGATATCTGTCGTCCTCCAGGCCCACAACACTGCTTTGAGCAATAGCAGGATGCTCACTCAGACGCTCTTCGATTTCTGTGGGATAGATGTTCTCGCCGCCTGAGAAAAGCAGACAGACAAATGATCAGCCTCAGGACTCCAGTCACCCAATAACGCCACGTGTTGGGCCGCATGGAAAAAAACACGTCTCTGTGCTGTGAGTGGATATACGCACCTCTGATGATGATATCCTTCAGCCGTCCTGTGATTCTACAATACCCTTGCCCGTCCAACGTCGCTTCATCACCGGTATGCAACCACGTCAACCCATTTCCATCAGTGATGAGGGTCTCATTTGTCTTTTCCGAGTTACGAAAGTATCCCTTCATGATGCTATAGCCTGCAATGCAAAGCTCACCGCGTACACCGCGCGGCAATATATCTCCACCAGGCCCAATGACCTTGGCAGATGTATGCGCGCAGATAGTACCAACTGTTCTCAGCTTATGCGGTGAATTATCCTCTGGCGAGGTCATGAACACCGCTCCAGTTGTCTCTGTCAGGCCTGCGGTGGTCAGAACAAAGTCGCATGGTAACTGTTAACTTGTTGTATCAAGACGCACGAACCATATATAATAGTGAAGTCGGGCATGTCGAACACTTGTTTGAAATCTTGCATCAGGGAACTGGGTACTGGAGCTCCAGAGCTGATTCCCGTTCGCACCTTTGCGGATATAAGATTTCTCTTCCTGGCCTCTTCGAGGACAGCCCCGAACATCGTAGGCACCCCATTAAAACCAGTACACTTTTCGTCCAAGATCGCCTTAAGGGTGGCTCGCGCGTCAAAGACATCGTTCGGGAACACAAGGTATGAGCCGCGATTTATGCTCGTCATGAGACACAAGAAGATGCCAAAGCCATGAAAAAGGGGATGTGGACTGCAGAGGATGTCCCTTTCAGTGATACGCATGCGATGACCTATAATGCGACCGTTGTTGACCAAAGCACTATTTCCAGACGAAGAAGTCAATCCGTGTGTTTCAGTCTTTCGGGTACTGGCATGCAGTTGTTAAACTTACCGATGAGTCAACATTGCAGCCTTGGGAGCTCCTGTCGTTCCGCTGGTGAATTGGAGATTGCAGATTGTATCCGGCCTCAACGACTCTGTCAGCTGAGTGATCCTGGCAGCTGACACATTATGGCCTCTATCAACAACAGTCTGGTAATCCAAGAACAAGCGCGGAGCTGGGTTCTCCCCTCTAATGATTACTCTGCATCTTTGGCAGCAAAGGAGACCCCATTTCTAGAGCCTGTCCAAGGTGCTGTAGAAGCGGCCTCATGTTTTGTCGTCCTATTTGAGCCACGGTGAACAGGATCCTGCAACCTATCGCCCATTAGCCGACCATGTGCTAGAGGAGCTGACATGTGTATGCATAGCCGAGTTGATGGATACCCACCCGTATGTCGAAGGGCATGTTCGCACTCAACCACCGTATACGCGGGGTTGAGAACTAAGACCGTCGCGCCAATGCGACATATAGCGAAAAAGAGCTCAACATATCTGGCGCAATTCCCAGACGAGATTCCAACTCGGTCACCAGGTTTGATCCCCAGTGAGAGAATCCCCCTGGCGATCGCCTTTGACTGTTGATTGAGCTGGTCATAGGTCAACCTCTCTCCAGTCCATGGCACGACAATAGCCTCGCGATTTGGATGCGTGCGTGCCTGTTCCTCCAGGAGCTGGCCGATTGTGCACTCTGCTAAAGCAGGCTCCGTAGAACCCTTTAGCAGTGAGAGGTTATAATCGTCGAATCTCGGTTCAGTCGTACGATCTGTGTGAGAGAGAATTCCCATGGCGCTTTGGAATATTTTGTGCCAGCATGCGTTTTGACGCCGAATTAATTTGTCACGCTCAGTCAGAACTTGGTAGGTTTTTGCAACACTCATAGTATTTGGCAGGGTGTGAAAAAGACCGGAACTGTATATTGCCCGCCATCTGCCGTCCTATTCAGCGTCATGCCTGTCGAGGGGCATTGAAGAATAGAATTCCGCATCCGGCCAGTCACTGCAGCTAATATTTCCGAGCCACCAATTGACGCTAACCACTCTACTCCTCATAATCTAGACCAGGCCCGTTTTAAGGCAAGGAATGCCTTCCAGTCAGCAGCGACTATTGGGAACAGGATCGACATCAATGGTCTCCAACAGTCGGATCATGGCGACTTCTGCTCTAACACCACATGTTAATTCATTCCCCCAGATCACAACAAAGGTCAATAAGCGGTCAAACGAGTTCGCAGAGAACGTTAAGCTGTGGAAGCCGATCCTGGAGAAATACCAAAATGCCCTCAAGTTGAGTGCATCCGAGGGTAGCGAGCAAAGCATTTTGAAGCACACCAGACGAGGACAGTTGCGAGGTACAATTTTCTACATTATATGACAAGAGGCAATCAGGAATGTTAACGTTGGTCTTGTGCAAAAGCTCGTGAACGGGTGGCTCTTCTCCTAGACGAGGACTCCCCTTTTCTGGAGCTCCAGCCATTCGCAGGTTATGAGAATCCAAGCTCCTCCCCAGCTGCAAGCCTAGTAACGGGTATTGGTCTGATCCAGTACGAGCATCTGGTTGAATGGATCAAATGCCAGGAGAATGCTGAAAGGACAATTGCAGTAACGTTCCGACAATGATAATAGCCCATATTCCTTCTTTAAAAGGCGGCGCATGGAACTATTTCACTGGTCAGCACAATCTTTCCTTTTACGTTGCCCTTCTCACGAATACTTAGTGCAAAAACAAAATCGCGCGACAAACATTGCCACTAAAAACGGCCTTCCCATTGTCGCACTCGTCCACTCGGTAGGTCGGCAAGGAGAATACTCCAGTAGATTGGCATGCGCTGAGCTCATCTTCCTTCATATCTAGGCCGGTATCTATCTGCCACTTCAGTTTCATGTCTTTCCGTATGGAGGAAAGCTGTTTCGAGATCTCTCAGTCCGCACCAGAAAGGGTCATCAGTCTTGCGCTGTCGTCTTTGGAGGCTCGACCGCTGGGGGAGCCTATCATCCCGCACTTTCGGATTACACGATATTCGTGAAAGGTCAAGCTAATGTCTTCCTCGGCGGCCCACCGTTGGTCAAAATGGCTACAGGCGAGATCGTAGAGGCCGAGGATCTTGGGGGCGCAGAAATGCATGCCACTGTGACAGGTTTAGCTGATCAGCTGGCTGTCGATGAGTATGAACCATCCATTGCACTCCTTATTGTCAGGCACTAGCTGTGTGCTAACAACAACACCCCATTGGCGCAGATTCGATGCAATTCGCAAAGCAAGACAATGGATCCTGACAACAACAGCAGCAAGACTCGTAGGACGATATAGTCAACCTGATGTACCCCCACAGCCACCACTCTATGATCCGGAAGAATTGTATGGAGTCATGAACCCCGATATCCGTCAGCCGCTGGACATGATGGAGGTCATTCTACGGATTGTCGACGATGGGAGGCTGGATTCTTTCAAACCTTTATGGGGCAAAGCAATGATAACGACCTGGGCTTATATTCATGGTACGTTTGGAATTTCCCAGACCAATCAACTTTATATCAAAAGCCCATCTATACCATTTAGCTAAGACTGCAACGATGCTTGCTCCCAGGCCATCTCACTGGACTTATCGCCAACCATCTGCCGATAATCAGCCCAGACGAGTCGGACAAGTCTACGCAATTCGTTCATGTCTGCAACCAAATGTAAGAAGAGGATACAGATCTCACGTTTCGGTCTTTTGAAGACTAATTTGGCTGCGGCCCCTACAGGAGGGTTCCGATTGTCTTCCTCCACAACGTGACGGGGTTTATGGTCGGCTTGAAAGCTGAACGAGCTGGATTGATAAAGAAAGGTGCTAAATTTGTCAGCGCCATCAGTACCAGCCTCGTCCCTCACATCAGCATCCTTATTGGCGCATCGTACGGGGCAGGAAACTACGCCATGTGCGGGCGGGCCTTTAAGCCACGGTTCTTGTTCGCATGGCCAACCAGCCGCTGCTCAGCCATGGGGCCGGAACAGCTGTCTGGGGTCATGGACAGTATCACACGAACCTCTGCAGAGCGATCAGCTCGACCGGTAGACGAGTCTCGTCTGTCAGCGCAAACAGAAGCCCTGAGGGCCCGAGTTGAACGAGATTCGTCAGCGTACAAATACTCGTCGTACCTCCATGACGATGGTATTATCGACCCGCGAGACACACGAGACGTTCTGGGAATATGTCTAGAGGTTGTGAAGAACACACAAATCAAGTCTAATCCAGGGTCGAGGAATCTGGCAAGGATCTAGAATACTTAGCAGCATGGCTAAACAACTGGGCGGCGTAATTAATTTTGCCCAGAGCGCGGGTGGGCCAGTGAACAAGTGGCTGTCTCTGGGCGAGAACTCCTGTCATTGGACCCTCTGGGAATGCACGCAGAAGTTGAATAGGCACAACTGGATTTAGTCCTCGCAATAATAGTTCGCCTGATGCTGGACGGGCACCCAGCGGGGCTTTACGTACCTAGATAACTTTGCATCCATTTGTATACTGAACGAAATACCGCTGATTCAGTCTGTTGACCTGCCTTAATACCGACCTGACGCTTTTGGCGGCCTAGCGTCCAATGTGGACTCTCAGACCCTCAATCAATTCGCAGACGCGGCTCGGCTTACGACAAATCCGAAAGGTAACGGCTTGATCTGTTCTAGGCACGGCATTCAACTGCGATGATATAGTTTGAGGCATTGCCCCGGAACCGAGACCAGAAGAGGAGCTCGCGATAAGGTGCTTCCAGAAAGGCGAGAGATTCGTGAAAACTCATAGCTCCTCGACAACGTGATGGAGACTCCAGCCGTACGTATTGTCGAAGTGGGTCCACGAGATGGTCTACAAGCCGTTGAAGAGATTGTTCCGACAGAACTCAAAATCCAGCTCATTCAAAGACTCTCCAAGACTGGCCTGCGATGTATAGAAGCCACTTCGTTCGTACCGTGGCGATGGATTCCTCAACTAGCCGATCACCGAGCGGTCATGCAAGCGATCAAAGAAATCCAAGACGCTGCCAGTACCCAGATCAGATACTCCGTGTTAGTCCCGAACCTCAGAGGATTTCTGGCTGCCGCTGAGGCAGGTGCGCGGGAAGTAGGAGTCTTCGTATCGGCTACTGAGAGGTTCAGCCACAGCAACAGCAATTGCAGCGTCAAGGAGGGCTTAGCGCGTGCCAAAGAGATTGTAAAGAAGGCCGGGAATATGGGAATACACGTACGAGGGTAAGTCATCCGCTCTGCAAAAGAGATCGGAGTGGCAGCATGGTGCTTATGGATGTACGCAATATTTGGTTTGACTTACACGAATCGGGCCGCTAGGTACATCTCTTGTGTCTTCTCGTGCCCATTTGAAGGCCCAACAGATCCACAGGATGTGTTGACGGTCGCGCAGGAGCTGCTCAACATGGGATGCTACGAAGTCAGTCTCGGCGACACTACGGGAACTGGTACTCCAGCCCATGTTCGACGTTTGCTCGACGTCCTTCTGAAATCCATCCCTACCTCTCGACTGGCGGGTCATTTCCATGACACGTACGGTCAAGCTGTGGCCAATGCTGTCACAGCCTACAAGCTAGGTCTGCGCACGTTCGATAGTAGCGTGGGCGGCCTGGGGGGGTGTCCCTACAGCCCAGGGGCAAAGGGTAATCTAGCCACCGAAGATCTCGTCTACACTTTCCAAGAGATGGGGATTGCAACGGGCGTGGATTTGCACAAGCTGGCAGAAATTGGGCATTGGATAAACGAAAAGCTGGGGAAGCCAAATGGCAGCCGAGCGGGTGCAGCCATCTATTCTAAACATGACGCCGCACCAGCTAAAGGCACCCCCAAGTGTCAACCTGCAGTTTGGACCATGGTCAAAATAGACCCAGAGTACGAGCTGCTCCGAAATGTGTCAACAGTCAAGATAGTGCTGAATCGACCCCGCAATGGCAACGCTCTGACCCGGACAATGCTCACACACCTGACCACGCTCTTCGAGACGCTGTCCAAAGACTCTTCGGTGTTTCATATTGTTCTCACAGGTACGGGCAAGTATTTTTGCACGGGAATGGATCTCAGCAGCGGTGGCGCCACAGCTACTGGGGCGGACGTGGCTTCGAAACAGGACCAGTTCGAAGGGCTGTACCAGCTATTCGAGGCTATCGACAGAACTCCTCAAACAACCATCGCACTAATCAATGGACCAACATTTGGGGGCGGAACCGGACTTGCCTTTGTCTGTGACATCCGCCTGGCTCAAGCCAATGCCACGTTCACCATGACCGAGGTCAAGCTAGGGCTTTGCCCTGCAACTATCTCCAAGTTTGTCGTTCGCGAGTGGGGGATAGCCATTGCTCGTGAGGCTATGTTGACAAGTCGACCGGTCACCGCGCAAGAACTGCATCGTTTTGGAGTGGTACATGCCATAGCCGCTTCACCTTCGTTACCGTTGTCCGGGGTCGTGGATGAATCGCGCCAAAACCTTGATCAATTATTGCAACAATATTGCGACAAATTCCTCCACCGTGCTGCCCCGCAAGCATCTGCACGTACGAAGGAGCTCGTCTCCGCTGCATGGCGGTATGCCGGTGATGAGCGTCAAGACAAGGTCATCAAAGACGTGTTCGAGTGGATGATTGCTCCTAGCAAGGAAGCTCAGATCGGCACGGACGCATTTCGAGCGGGAAAAAAGGAAGTGGACTGGTACATGGAGTATCAAAAGGGTAAACTGACCAAAGGTAACGGCCGGAGCCTTAAGCCCAAGTTGTAGCTAGAGACACTCTCAGTTACGGCTATTGAGCCTCTGCCACACAGTAAGTTTGCAGTGAAGTGAAACGAGGAGGTGCTAGCTCTCCCCTCAATTCCGTCCTGCAAACTCCCTGTCTCCTGACGACGAGCCTTACAAGCACCGCTAGGGCATGATTTGGTGCCTCTCAAACTCCTGAGAGGGTGTGTAGCCTGTGGTCTCATAGAATCTGTGGTTGCACAAAGTCCGAAGGAGATGGTCACGAAGGAGTGGTGCTCTGAGGCTAGCAGCTAGTTTTGCAATTCCGAGCATTTCCGATTCCGTAGCCCTCGAAAGCCGAACTTCTTCACCGTGGGAGGAATAGCCTCGTTGTGTCAGAACATGCCGATGTGAAACACAGTTTGACCCCTGGCCTTGGTTACGACTTCGACGCCGGGCCGATCTGGGCATGTTGTCTATTGCTGGTGGCTCGCAATCTTTGTAACCCGTTGGAGCTACAATGAAAGTACCGGCTGTTGGCTCAGCGCGAACGAAAACTTATATTCTGCCGCTCAGAATCGACGCTCGATGCTCGCACATTTACATCGCACGCTATCTGCAGACGGAAGCTTATGTAACACCGATCAAATATAAACGATGGCAGAGATCTTTGGTTCGCCTCTCCCTTATGCTGACCCTCTGTGGTACTCTCGTGGCGTGTCTCCGTACTACAATGAGAGCCATAGACAGCTGAGAAAGGACGTCCGCCAGTACGTGGACAACTATCTTGCTCCACATTGCGAGCAGTGGGAGAAACAAGGCCACGTGCCCGCAGAGGTGCGTTCCAAGCTGCTTGCTGTTCTTAAGACTCTGTCGAATGGCTGTCGAACTATCATGTGCTTACAATCCGCTTGTAGGTAATTAGGAAGCATTCAGAACTTGGCTATACGGCAGTGTCAGTATTCCCTCTAGACAAAGAATACGCTCAAGGCATCCGGCTGCCTGGAGATATATCGTTGGATAAATGGGACGCCTTTCACGACTTAATCTGTATCGACGAGATTGTGCGGTGCGGCTATCTCGGGGTTGTTTGGGGCTTGACAGGGGGAAATATTTACGGCGCACCACCTCTCGTCAACTATGGGACTGCACGACAAAAGCGCCAATTCCTTCCGGACATCTTGAGGGGAAATATACGTTTCGCCCTCGCTATCACCGAGCCTGACGGTATGTAAAATTCTTTCGTGTGTCGAATGTACTATATTCGTTGTTACGTCAAACTAAATGAATACGGTATCCTAGCTGGCTCTGATGTCGCCGGTATCCAGACAACTGCGATGAGGAAGGGAAACGTGTATGTGGTGAATGGTGCGAAGAAATGGATCACCAATGGCTTGTGGGCAGACTACTGCACGACTGCTGTGCGAACCGGTGGCTCTGGGGCCAGCGGCATCTCTGTACTAATAGTTCCCATGAGAAGCAAGGGCGTCACATGTCGTCGGATGGAAAACTCTGGTGTATCAGCGAGTGGTAAGTTCCTGGCTGCGCTCCGAAAAGATATTGGTCCTCGAACACTAATTGCGCACTGAGTACAACAGGATCGACATATATTGAATTTGATGAAGTGGAAGTGCCAACGGAAAATCTGCTTGGCTTGGAAAACCAGGGATTTTCGATGATTATGTCCAGTACGCTGCCAAAGCCCTCGAGACTTTTATGTGTTATGACACTAAGCTCATCCCGTGAATAGATTTCAACCACGAGCGTCTCTGGCTTGCTTGTGCGAGTCTTCGACTGGCGAGAGTTTGCGCTGAAGATGCATTTAGACATGCTGTCACACGAGAAACATTTGGCCACAAACTAATTGAGAGCCCAGTCATACGCTGGAAGTTCTCATCTTTCGGTAGACTGCTCAACTCCGCACACGCGCATATGGAGGAACTCACATATATGCTACATACCATGGACAAATCAGAGGTCCAGGCAGCACGCTTAGGAGGTCAATTGGCGAATCTCAAAGTCCTGGCTGGCCGCATTTTAGAGCATGTCAACCGCCAAGCTCAACAAGTGCTAGGAGGGGCGGGGTACAACAAAACTGGTAAAGGAGCCCGGATCGAACAAATCAGTCGAGATCTAAGGCCGCTGGTGGTAGGAGGAGGAAGTGATGAGATCTTGTCGGACTTGGCTATCAGAGAAGAGATCAAGCGAGCAGGTGTTCCTGCTAATCTCAGCAGACTTTGAATCTGGACCAGCAAAAGTTGACGAGGCTTTACAGACAATCTTATCGTTCACTGTTTGAGTTGAGAAGATATCATAAGCTTGGCACTACCTTCTCTTGGCTGTCCTCTTCAAATGCCTATAATGATGTATTTTCTCTGCTATGTGACTTAGCGAGCTTCCTTTTCTTCTCAATCCATCCCGTCAATTCCACCGGGCTCATATTGTGCATCGACACTACCCTGGGTTTGCGCCATGCAGTCACACTCGCTTCGGCATAGTTGGTCTCGGAAGCATAGAGTTCTTGAAAGCTTCCAAAGTGCCTCTGACATTCGAGCATCATACTGTGAAGTTAAATAGCTATGAAGACCCCTGCTGCTGACGGGCTCAGCAGTCCGTCTCTCAACGCCTCCTCGTCCACACCCTACAAGAGATGTTAGTGCCGCTACATCTGAGTGCTGTACTAGTGGGGTGCATCATTATTCAAGTCCGCCACGTTTCGGAATTGGGAGTAGTCGGACACAACTGCTGCCTGTTGGCATTGAGCGGCAGTATGTCCCACCGCGGTGAGCTCATTTCCTTTTCCGCGATTCCAAGTGATGTCTCCCATGCTTGGGCTGGTCTCTTCAACAGAGTAAGTTGAGACGAACATCTCACTCAATAGATTCAGTGGCCTTCATCCACTTCTGCTCGCAACCGTACAAAGACAATATTGGTCTGGCCATGCCTATCTTTAAATCTTCACTACCTCCGATTGAGGTACCATCGCACCTACCAATATGGAAATGGCTATTTGACTCTGAATACAGTCCATTACGACGGTACAAGCTCGAGGAGCTCGGAGGCTATACGAACGCTATCACGAAAGAGCACCTTAGTTACAGTGATTTGAGGTTACACACCATCCATCTCTCCACGGCACTTGTGAAGAGATATGGCCTACAGGAAGGCCAAACAGTCAGCATATTCTCTCCCAACACCGTCTGGTACCCCTGCGTCATGTTTGGCACTCTACGTGCTGGCGGGATTGTGTCTGGAGCCTCGCCCGCATATAATGTTGAGGAATTAGCATTTGCACTCAAAACTGCTGAAGCCAGATTTCTCTTCACGGCGCCGAGTATCTTACCAACCGCGGTGGCCGCGGCTAGGACTGTGGGAATACCACAGGACCATATCTTCCTCATCTACGGCGAGGCGCAGAACTTCACCACGTTGAATGAATTACTGGAAATCGGCAGGTCGTATGACACTTGGGGACAAGTCGAGCAGTTCAGGGTGCCACCGAATAAGCAAAACAAGGACATCTGCGCTTTTCTCTCCTTTTCGAGCGGAACCACAGGTCTTCCCAAGGCTGTCATGGTGGCGCATTCGAATATAATCGCTCAGTGCCTACAAGTGAGCCAGATGACCCCGGGCTCTCTACGCCGAATCCTTGCAGTCCTACCTCTTTTCCACATAACTGGTCTTGTGCATCATCTGCATTTGCCTTTTCTACTCAATGCCAACGTATATCTACTGCCTAGCTTCACAATGGAGTCGACACTACAGAGTATACAAGATTATCAGCTCGAAGAAGTGCTCCTAGTGCCACCGATATTAATCCGTATGGTACGCGATACGACGCTACTTCAAAGATACAACCTCACCTCGTTGCGGCGACTTATGTCAGGTGCAGCGCCCTTGTCTGCAGAGATTCTTGCATTACTCCAGCAACATTTCCCCAACACGGGGTTCAAGCAGGGCTATGGAATGACAGAGTCCTGCTCATGTATCACTCTCCACCCACCGGATAAATATGATTATAAATACGCGACTCGAGTGGGAACGATCGTACCTTCGACAGAGATAAAACTGGTTGATCCGCAAAAGGGCACAGAGTGCGGAATAAACGAGCCTGGAGAGATATGGGCTCGCGGACCTCAAGTTGTTATGGGATACCTGAATAACAAAAAGGCTACCGAAGAAACCTTCGACAAAGATGGGTTCCTCCACACAGGTGATATCGGAAGTATTGACGAAGAGGGAATGGTTACCATTACAGACCGTCTAAAAGAGATGATCAAGGTTAACGGTATCGGAGTGGCTCCTGCCGAGCTTGAAGATCTGCTTTTGGGTCATGAAGATGTCGAGGACGTGGCTGTTCTGGGTGTCAAGGACGACTACGTGGGTGAGCGTCCTAAAGCGTATGTCGTCGCAAAGCCGCTCATGCAAAAGCACGAAAGTCTCGATGCCTTGCGCAAACGGCTCTTTCAGTACGTCCAAGAGAGAAAGGCGCGATATAAATGGATCACCGAAATCGAGTTCACGGACGAAATCCCCAAGTCGGCCTCCGGAAAGATCCTAAGAAGAGTCCTTAGAGACACAATGTCTCGACGTGGGAGTGGCCTCAGAAGTCAAGGTAGTCCGCGAGCAACCAAGATGTAGGTAGTATGAGGTCGTTTTATAAAGCAGGAAAGTTTAACATTTCACAACCTACTTCACTCAAATCACGACGGCAGCGGTCGAACCTATCGCCGTTCTTTTTAGGCCGACGGAGAGAATGTTTCTCGGAGTTTTCCGTTGTAGGCTTTTGTTCCATTTCCCATCTTTAATTATCAAAACGGTTTGTTGATCTAGCACTCTGCCATCGGCATTCGCGGCTGGGAGTCGCAACGACTTTTCAATGTATTCCGAAGCTCCTCACTTTGTCCTCAATTCTCTCAAGTTGCTCGCGTGCTACACCAGGGAGTTCAGCCGCGTTTTCAACCACGGACGTGGTCTGACTTACTTGATAAGGATTGTTTTCGTCTCTGTGAATGATCGGAGAACCTGGGACTTGTCAGCAAAAACATTCGTCTATGTCACGATGTTGAAGTGTGCTACATACGTCCATTCCAAACTCGCGGCCCATTCCGGACTGTTTCACGCCGCCAAAGGGGGCTTGAATATTGAGCTAATCTCGTCAGTATCATGCAGTCTTGGAGGCCTTGCCTCTACTTACTATGCTGGCACAGTTAACCCCCACGATTCCTGTCTCAAGCTTCGATGAGAGACGGAGTGCCCGGCTTATATCTCTCGTGAATACTCCGGACATCAGCCCATATTCTGTGTCGTTGGCTTTCTGAATGACCTCTTCCTCAGTGTCAAATGTGCTGACTACGGAAACTGGGCCGAAGACTTCGTCGGTCAGAATCTCAGCCTTGGGCTTGGGATTCACGAACACAGTGGGCTCAATGAAGCAGCCGGTCGTGCCGATCGAATCTCCTCCTACCAAGAGCTCGGCCTCTCCTGCCTTAGCCCTGTTGATCATACCTCGGACTTTTTCAAAAGCAATCTTGTCTACCAGAGGGCCGTAGGCTGTGTCAGGGTCGAAAGGGTCTCCCATATACTTGGCCGCTTCTCTCATTTTCTCAACATATCGTCTGACGAATTCATCAGCGACTGATCTTTGGACGTAAAGGCGTGAAGCAGCAATGCATATCTGGCCACTTCGAGCCATGATAGCTCTGAGGGCCCATTCGACAGCGTTGTCCAAGTTAGCGTCCTCGAAAATGACGTTTGGCCCTTTTCCGCCTGGTCATAGTCAGGATATCTTGGTTTCCATACATTACCAAAGAGAGAGGACTCACCAAGTTCCAAAGTCACACGCTTAAGGTTACTTTGAGCAGCAGCTGCTTGAATCTTCTTACCGGTGGCAATGCTGCCAGTGAAGCTAATTTTGCGGACCCGCATGTGCCTGGAAAAGAGCTCGCCCGTCTTCCCCGGTCCGGTGACAACCTGGACAACACCCTTGGGGATTCCTGCCTGCTCAATGAGTGGAGCCAGCGCAAGAGACGCAAGGGGTGTCTTCTCCGAAGGTTTGATAATCATGACATTTCCTGTGACTAACGCAGGTGCGACTTTATGAAAGAACGTTGCCACTGGAGAATTGAAGGGACAGATGCCCACGCAAACCCTGTTGTCAAGTCTCAGTAAGGTGTCTCTCCTTGAAAATGTTTTCGGAGCAAAAGATCAACACTACCCGAGGGGCTCATTTTTGACAATCTTCACAAAACCGTCGTCATCAGGAAAATAATCACCCTTGAACTTGTCGCACCAACCGGCTTTCACCCTATCAGTAGGCCAGTTGATACGGATCAGAGCTCGAAATGTACTCACACATGTAGCGAAGTCCGTTGACAATGTAATTCTTCTCTCGCGTCGGAATAAGAGACACAGGGTGTCCACCAGTGAGGGTGTCAAGGCGAAGTAGGTCTCCTAGGTGCTCGTCCAAGATTTCGGACAGCCTGTACAGACAACGAGCCCTTTCTGCCGATGTAAATGTGCTCCATTCGCCTCTGAATGCGGCCTCAGCATGGCGAACTGCCGCGTCGACATCTTCTTGGGCCCCAACCGGCACGCGGTCTGACACTACCGTGTCGTCTTTTGGATTGCGAACGGTGAATACTTCGTCGGTGCTGGGCTTGACGTACTCGCCGTTGATATAGAACTTGGTTAGCTCCGTTGGCTTAGGAGCCTTGAAAGACGTCATCTTGCTTTTTGCAGAGCTACATGAACATGCCATAGGTCGTTTCCGTGCGCTCTACGTGTGTATTAGAGGAGTACCAGCTATGTATTTGGGGACAGCCCCCGATACCCCAGACTTCCGGCTAGTCGACACTAGCATCAAACGCTTTGCTCTGCCTGTAGGAGGAAATGTTGATTCACCGAGGCGTCGGGGTCTGGGGTTACCAGTGGGGTAGGCATGGGTGGGAGTCGTCGGACGAGGCGGAATGTTCAAACATACGTTTCGGACGGACTGCGGACTCCGCTCCGAAATGGCGTGCTCCCGTTGTCTGTGTCTGCTTGTCTCTTTACTCGTCCGACAGAGCACAATTCGGAGTCTCCTTGGTCACATGCCCTGAGCTCTGAGCAGGTCTGTTGTGCGGATGGCGAAGCTAGGCTGCACCAGGGCCAAGGTTCGTGGAGTCATTTGAGGGTTTCCGAGGGTTTTTGTCTGGCTCTTCGTGAATAGAGTGTCCTTCCAATCGACCTACTCACCCGAGTGCGAACATGAATGCGCTACTGGACCCGATACGATATGCAACCTCCACTACAAATACAACTATCGTCGGCAATGTCTGTGGAACTGGTGCTTCCCTTCAGCTACCATTAATGACGCGAGTCTGGCTGCGCACTTTGGGAGCAGTCAGCATTGCAGCGGCCCAGTAAGAAGGTGTGCCGGGCATATTTCGTTCACGGCACAAATGATGATTATTACAATCAGAGTGTGGGAGGCAGGAAAATGATCACAAGGGCAAGATAACAAGAACACGGCTGCTATAAGTCATCGAAGCGGCCAGTAGACGCCCATTCTTTCCACAGGAAGGCCCACGCTTTAGCTACCTAGACACCTAGTGGAAAGCGCCTTCTTCGCAACTCCGGGTGATGTACGCGGTATAGGAAGAGTGGAGAGGTCCAAATTCCAAAGGACCAAGTCGGCGTCTCCTGGTGCGCCATTGTGCATTTTGGCCTCCTTCGCAGCTCTATCTTGAAGGTAAACGACAAGCTCTGCCAGCTCTACAAATTAACAACTACTGCAAGGGCAGCCATTTGATAGCTGCACTTAGACTTCCATTGAGCCGACTGAAGTGGCATGGGGCCTTGTAGGCCCTTCATAGCCCATCTGGAGACCCCGCATTCCCCCCGGGCTAGGGTCTTTCTGGGGGACGTATCGCCAAAGCGAAGCTACATAATGAACCAAGGAGCCTTCGTTAACCCCCCTGCTGAACCCTATGGTCCACCTCATTCCTTGGTCTTGACGCCTGAAATTCTGACCACTTTCTTCTCCACATCCAAACACCTGCTAGAAACTGTTGGGGTAAATTGTCATCTCTTGGTTAAGAGCGAGCATCCCTCGACGCCCGGGTTTGCTCCGTGGAGTGTGATTGTCTCCGCTGGCCGCCTCTGTCCGTCCTGGCGGCTGATAAAATGCAGGAGGATCAACTGTCTCGGTTGGCATGCGATCGTTGCTATCGGCGTAAGGCACGGTGTGACAAGGTTCTGCCCGCGTGCTCCACGTGCATACATGCTGGGACGGCGTGCTGTTATAACGCGCGAGGGGGTTTGGGCCGTGGCGACATCCCAGAGGCCCTTGGGCGTCGTCTGCGGCAGCTGGAGAACAAAAACCGCCTCTTGTCAAAACAGCTTCGCGAAGCACAAAATGTCGCGAGAGCCGCTGGCGAGTCCGCTTCTGGCGAGGACTTGGACGCGGCTGCCGAGATGATGGAAATACCGGACGAGAGCCACGACGGAGCAGATAAAAGCGAGTCAGAGAACGACAACGAGGTCGCTAAGGAAGTCTACTCCCTCTCGCTGCACGCTGGCAGGCCTCGGCAGTACCTGGGCTCGGCCAGTGGTGCCATCTTGGCAAACCTCTTCCCCCTTGGCGGCCGACCGAGACGCATCGCTGGCGACAGCAACAACAACGACGACGAAGACGAAGACTATTTTCGCCGATTTGCCACGGCTGGCGTACAGAGGTACAGCAGTCCTGAGATGGCCAAAAGCGTTTTGCCAGCCGAACCACTTGCACGGAGTCTTTTGGCAGCGTATCTGTCGCATGATCACCTGGCCTTCCCGTATCTCCATCCAAAAAAGTTGATCAACAACCTGACCTCGATGTACGCAGAAGAAAAGTACTATGAGTCTCATCCAGTGGAGGCATTTGCCCTCGACATGATCTTCGCCATTGCGACCGTCCAAGTCCACAGATTCTCCTGGCAATCGCTGCCCGATGCAGAGACGTACCATGAGCGCGCGATCTCGAAATTGGGGGTTGTTCTAGAGTCCGGAGGCTTGGTTGCTTTGCAGACCATCATGCTTCTTTGCCAATACAGGTTGTTGAGCGTATCCTACAGCACTTCGGCGAGTCTGTGGCATTTGCTGGGCATGGCAACGAGACTAGGTATTGAGCTAGGTCTCCATCGAGAGGCTGTCTATCGTCTCCCAGTTGGCCTATCACCCGCTGATGAGGAACACGTCAAGCAGGAACTCGGCATCAAACGCCGTTGCTTCTGGTCTCTTTTTCAGATGGACAGAATCGTCAGCAACACCTTAGGTCGTCCCGTGTCGATCAATCTTCTCGAGATCGACACAGAACATCCAGAAGTCGAGGAAGACCGGGACGCTTCCTGGGGTCCGTCGCCATCTCTAGAAGACTTGTTGCAGTATCCACACTGGCCGGCGAATACCAGAATCTTCAATCACATCACCTGGCATCGCATCATTACTGGCAAAATTCTGTCAAACCTACATAATGTGCCCAAGAGTCGGATGCCGGACCCCCAGACCTGCCTTGCCATCAAGCAGCAGCTTGCCGAAGAATTGGATCAGTGGAGAGCTGGCGTTGCCTTATTGCCCCTGGTCGATGTCTCTGCAACGAAAGGCAAAGACAAATCGAACTACAGGACACGGGAGTGGTACAACCTACTGTATCACAATTGCATTCTGATGTTACATCGCCCCATCCATTCCTTACAGGACATCCCGCAAACATCGGAAATTCTGACCCAGATTTATTACTCTTCCCAACAATCCATCTCCTCATACGCAGAGCTCCACAAAGCTCGTAAGATTAACTATGCCTGGGTCACCTTACATGCCGTCTTCCTCGTAGGACTCTCATACGTGTACGCGCTGCGGACTCATTTCCGGAACAGACGACGTCAAATGGAGGGGCCGGTGGACGGGTTGCCTCCGCCTCCTCAAGCGCTACTAACCCCGGAGCCGAGTATCAGTCAGATTGTGAGTGACATGAGGGCATGCTCGACGGTGTTGGTTGCCATCTCGGAACGCTGGAACACAGGCAGAGGTTGCCACGAAATCTTTGCCAGGCTTTCAGACGCCGTGCTGACCGATGCCTCCGAGTATTTTATGGGCACGAAAATACAGAGCATGTCCTCGTCAAACCAGGAGGGAGGACAGGACAGACATCCCCTGGCTGGCGAGCAAGTCTCTCAGCAGGCTCTGTGGCCTATCGGCAGCAATGACTTCGACCACAGCTATCAAGATTACTTTGGAGGGTTTCCGGAGCTTTTTGGTGACCATTTCGACGACAACATCTTGCTCCAACAGCCTTTTGGCTGGAACTTTGAGTCATAGTCAGAAACGTACACATGAAAAACCCTTGCTAAGGGGTGTTTGAGGAGTGGCAATTTCGGAACAGAGAACCAAAAAACGAGGAAATCGGGATGACGTGCAGGGCCTGCTCTGCCCGTATTTCAGCACGATGAAGATACTTCTTAATCAAGTCACGGGACTGTTTCTTCATTGCAAGTTTTCCTGGTCTATGATATGCGACCGCGGTCAAGAAACTTCAGAGGCACATCAACTAAGCGACTCCTCAAGAATTCGCCAATACCTTTGCCCAGCCCGTCAATGCGCTCTGAGGAGGCGATTCCTCCGGACAGATTATCTAGTATTCGACTGTAAAGAGGTACGTGTGTTAGTAAGGAAGGAGGAGATCATTTTAAGGGATCTGGGCTGGTCGGAGAGACTTACAAGTGCACGGCCTTAATAACGGTGAATTCCACGCGTTCTACACGTCGAGAAGTGTCACCATTGTACCAGTCGTCCCCAAGGAGGAGCTTGAGTCTCTCAACGGTCAAGAAGGTCTTGAGCCATTCGTATTCATCGTCGTACTGGGAGCGAGAAAAGAAGCCGATGTTCGAATTGTCAGCTTTGTCGCCTGATCGAGCGTGCACTATAGATCCCAGTGGCACCTTCCTTGTCCGCCCGAAGCTCGTCAAGTCCACTGGGTTGGCCGTCTCGTATGATGGGCGGATCCGGGGATATTCAGCCGTGCGCTGGGGAGGAGGGATATCGATCAGCCTACCAGAGTCTTCCAGCTCAACTTGGACTTTGATGGCGTCCTGGGGGATGAGAGCCGGAAAGATCTCCATGAACGGCCTTGGGTCCATGGTCCGGAAATCTAAGTTCATGTGGTATCCCGGGTAAGCCTGCATTCGGAGGGCGTAGATCGGGATCTTGAACTTGGCAGCACTGATGTCCTCTAGTCGTCGAGCTTGCGCGAAGATGCGAAAGAAGACCGTCCCGGCCTGTTGGCTTACAGGGTCCTCGGGTGACGTCCCGTATAGTTCGATACTGAGCTTGCTGAATTTATGGTCTTTGAAGATATGGTCGAGCTGGCGTCTCATCATTTTCACTTTGTCTTCGATGTCGAGGCCGTTGAGGTAGAATGTTGCTTCGGCCTGGTAGCCTCCTGGGGCGGTGAACATAACTTTCGTCGTCGGTGGGGGTGGTAGGCCCTTGACCCCGGATATGCGAATGCGGTCTCGCGTGCCGGGCTCCGCTTCGACTTTGATTTGCGACAGGTCAGCAACCACATCTGGGTTCAGATACAGGTGGCCCTGGAGCTCGTAGAGGATCTGCGCACGAACAGTGTCTTCCGTTACGCGACCGCCACCGACGGATAGAGTCGTCACAACACACTCCCCCTTACTGTTGATCTCGGCAATCGGAAAGGTCAGGTCCACCAAGTCGTCCAGGATCTCCTTGAACCCGGTAAAGTTAGCACCCGTCACGTACGGCCCGCACTCGGTGAGATGTCCTGCTACCAAGGCGCCTGCCAGGGCGTTATAGTCTTCCTCGGCCCACTGGAAACGCCAGGCCGCAACCCCCATGAGTGGCGAAGCGTCCGTGCATCGACCGCAGATGACGATCTGCGCCCCCGAGTGCAGGGCTTCCACGATCCCTCGGCACCCAATATAGGCCGCGCCGCAGACAGGCTTGAGCTCCCAGTCGTCCAGCTGCTTCTCCTCATGGTCGAGGTGCCTGAAATCATTCCTGTGCTGCCCCAGCTGGCTAATGACCTCGGGTACATCATCACCTAGCACGGCCGCAACGGGGACATCATATCCTCTTGACTTGCAAAGCTTGCGGACCTCGCGGGCGAGCGACCGAGTGTTCAGCGCACCGGCGTTAGTGACCACTTTGAGCCCCTGCGCGACAATATCGTCCAGGCACTCTTCCAGCTGGTCTAGGAATCCTTTCTCATAGCCCAGCTCAGGGTTCTGCTGTTTCACGATGGCATTCCAAGCAATGTTCATCTCCGAGAGCCAATCCCCGATTATTACGTCGACGTTACCGTGCTGCACCATGCGGGCCATTGCATGCGGATTGTCACCCGTCGTGGATGAGACGCTGCCGATGCGAAGGGTTGGTTTCGAGATCATCTTGGGAGCTGGTGTCGTTGGCGTCGTTGGGATTCTGTTGTGTTGCTAAAGGCTTTGCAACTCTATAATCGGATGTGTCGGCACGAGGACTTGGGACAGAGGAACAGAGGTAGTTTCCGCAGACCTGGCTGCGAAAGTTAGGAATATGAATCTAGGCACAAAGCTTCCCTGGGGCCTACTGTACCGTGCAGGTCTCTGGTGCAGGGTTATGCCCGAAGACACAGGCCAAGGTCGGTTGCCGGGCTCTGCGAGTGACACTGCCTCGCCTGGAGTATTGTTCAACATTCCCAGTCCAAGGCGATAGAGACCATCTCCTGGGGCTTCGGATTCGTTTCCATCCATTCCGCCAGCCAGGTTTCGGACGCTTAATGACTGGTTGGCAACAGAATGATCATTCGGACTCATGACAAGGCCACAGACTCAAAGGAGGCAACCCGCGGAGGACGCTCCGACGAAGGTCCGTCCCACCCTAATTCGCAAGTCTTCTCCCTTGGGAGCGCTTTATTGTTCGTTGGAGATTCCCGGATCTACTGGGCCGCAGTGCCTGCTTCTCACGAACGTGGAGTGAAGGAGCACCCAGAACAAGACTTTGGGTAGCTTCCCGCCTGAAGGACCGAACTGGATTTGCCAGATGCCGCCAGATGCCGCCAGTCCTGGATTGCCACGACAAGGGGCTGTTCAACGCTTATCCTTTTTTGTCTATTCTAAGCATAAAGGTGGGGAATTGTCGAGGGAGTGGGAAAGCGTTTAGCTATTGGCAACCTTGGACCTAGGGGCCACGGCGGTGGGGCATCTCGATTTATCCCTCGAACGGTTCGGTCCAAGTCCAGATCCATTGTCCGAAATCCCGACACGCGAACGAGAATAATGAGTGACCGGGGGGACTTTCCTCTCTTTTCTTTGAATCAGTCTTGCCATCACTTCCTGTATCGATGACGTACGACCCAGGACGCTCAGATATGAGCTAATTAAGAGGAAAACTGCGCACTGCTGAACTTTTATAATCGAACCAAGACTCCCAAGTGCGTAGTGTGAGTCTGAAGTTCTTCGAAGCACCTGGTACCCTCTTCTTCTTCGATCATGAACGTCGATGGCAAGGTCTTTGCGGTCACGGGCGCAGGCTCGGGGATGGGAGCCGCCATTGTTCGCCTCCTGGCTCGACGGGGCGCGCGCGCCGTGGCCGCCAGCGACATCTCGGCGAAGGGTCTGGAGGCCATCAAGGATTCTATCGCCCAACTCAATCTAAAGACTGAGATTCGGACGACCGTCCTGGACGTCACGTCGTCATCAGCCGTCGAGGGTTGGATCCAGGATACTGTTACAGCCTTCGGAGATCTGCATGGCGCTGTGAACTCAGCAGGCTTGCCGCAAACAATCGGTGTCAGACAATCCCCGGCCATTCTGGAAGAAACAGACGAGTCATGGAAGCAAGTCTGGGGAGTCAATCTCGACGGGGTCTTCTATTGTACGCGGGCCCAGATTCGGGCCATGAAGGCGTTGGGAACACCCAATAGCGATCGCGCGATCGTGAATATTGCCAGTATGGCTTCGCTGAAACACGACCCGGACGTCTACGCGTACCGGTCCTCCAAAGCTGCCAATGCGCATTTCACGCAGAGTGTGGCCAAGGACGTCTCCAAGTTTGGGATACGGGTCAATGCCGTGTCTCCGGGTAGGTCATGTCACCAGTGACCTTCTGTCCGAGATGTGAAAATGTCCTAACGCCCTTTTGTTACAATATAGGATCAACTGCAACTCCCATGTTGAGAGAATTCACTGGAGGGAAAGACGCACAATTAGAAGATTGGAAAAGCCGAGGGTGGGAGATCATCGAGCCGGACGATGTCGCCCGCGTGGTTGTTTGGCTCCTTAGTGAGGACTCGAGATCCGTGTTTGGAGCCAACATCAACATTGGGGCAGCGCCACCATAGACTTGGGCAAACGTTGAGCAAGGCGGCGACCATGTAAAGATGCAGTTCTACAAGCTTAGCGAGCCCCTATAACATACCAGATTGCCCTCTGTATAGACGGCCACTGTGGCTGACTTGGAAATGCGAGAAGCACTAACGGTGGGGGATTGTCATTCTGCACCAGAAATATCAATATTCGCGCTTGAAAACGCACCCATCTGGAAGCGGGGTTTTCCTTTGGAAGGATTCCGGCCAAGGAGCGGTTCAAGAAAATCTTAAGAAACATTCTCGTTCGTCGATACGGCGCTTGCTGTCCATACGCCTCTGTTGTGATTGTCAGCTTGCCTCAAGAACCCATTGTTGAGGCCGAGAGCACAGCTCGCATCGTCCGATAGCCCTTTCGACGCAACCTACCTATGCTTCTGCTGTCCGAAGTCACTTTGATCCGAGGTTCGCCGAAGTCAAGCGACAGTGATTGGACTAGATCCATCGAAGCCCATCCCGGTTGTTTACTTCCGTCCTTCCCCCACACAAGATTCGGAGGACAAACGCCGAAAACGGGCCGCAATCTGAAGCACGCTGCTCCCTGCCGAGTACATTATTTCACTTCCCCGTGGTTGCCAACTCAATGAGCATCTTTGGACGTCGAGTCCTTCCGAAGAAGCACCAACCATCACCAATACCCATACAACGAATACTAACCAACATGCCTCTCTCACTCGATCCAGAGTACTACCAAGTAGTGGAGCCGCTGCTGCCAGCGATGGCGAATGCGCCGAAATTGGCTGTAGGAGATGTCGCGGGAAGGCGACAGATGATGGATGCCTTTTTCGGTCCGGTCTTTCGCGCATACAATGACCCCGAAGATGTGGCTGAGGAGAAGTTTCCTGTCAAGTCCAGCGACGGCTTCGAAGTCCCGGTCTATCGCTTCACAAAGAAGGATACACCCGCCACAGGTTCGAATCCAGCCGTCTATTACCTGCATGGCGGAGGCTACATTGGGCTGGACGTGCCGCTCTACCGTAAGAAGATCAAGGACCTCGTTTCACGCTCCGGAGTCCAGATATTTGCTCCCGAATATAGATATGCGCCGGAATCACCCTACCCGATTCCAATTGAAGATGTCTGGGCCGGTTTACAGGATCTGAGCCAGAACGCGAAGAAGTATGGCGTTGACCCTGCTCGGATCGCGATCATGGGCGACAGTGGTGGTGGTGGTCTTGCCGCGGGCCTTGGGTTGAAGGCGAGAGATGAGGCCTTGACCCCACCATTGGCGAAACAAATCCTGGTCTATCCCATGGTGGATGACAGAAACATCAAACCGATGAAGGCGCTCGAGCCATTTGCGACATGGACAATTGACGACAACGCCACTGGCTGGCAGGCATATCTGAGCGGCAAGGCAGGAGCACCAGATGTTCCATATTACGCTGCGGCAGCACGAGTGCCATCAGTCGAAGGCCTACCCCCGACCTACATCGATACGGGAGATCTGGACATCTTCCGTGACGAGGACATCGAATATGCACGCCGCCTCGCTGCCGCCAACATCCACATCGAGCTCCATGTGTACCCAGGCGTGCCACATGGGTTCGATCTAATTGCTCCCAACATCTCTGTCACCACCTTCGCACTGGCCAACCGGGTCAAAGCTATTAAGTCAATCTAATGGATAGGATCAAAGCTGGTGATCACATAGAATTATGTACGCTCAACAAGCCGAATGATTAAACAAACCAACAGTCTACTATTGAGCATTTCAGCTTAATGAATGGCTGTGGAAACTCCAGGTTTTCGCTGTTGGCATCTTGGAACGTAACATCTACTGCTCGCCAAACAAAGTTGTTAAAAATAATAGAGCCACTGAACTGTGAATTTTCTATCACACAGCATTCACACTGCATGGAGGATCTATAACCCCCTTTCCAGGTCGACATCTTCCCAGCTACAAAATCGCGATTGCATTGGGCGGCGTGCCGACTCCGCCATACACATGAAGCGGGGCGCTTGTTAAGAAAAAAGACCACTGTTTCCTTTCCCGACAGACCTCTGCCAACCGCTCGAGATCCCAAAGCTCACCGATCGGGGTCCCCCAGTGAACCAGAAGCCATTCGTGAAGGCGAACCGCACCGGGATCCATAAACGGTATGGGAGTGACTTCGAAGCCGAGCGTGTCGGTTGCCACGGCGGCGAAATGGTGATTCCACAGCCACTTGACACTCTTTTCCGTCGCCTCAAGACCAATAAATGCACCTCGCTTGGAAGCCTCCTCTTGCTCCTTTTTACTCGCCTGAAGATGCCAGTCTGTGAAGCCCGTGCGAAGGATGAGGATGTCTCCGTCGCGTAACTGTGTGTTTTGATGCTTGATCACTGCTTCCAGTTCTTCCGTGGTGATGATCGTGTTCGAAGGGATGGGGACCGAGGCTTGCCCGGTTTGTTGGCGCCATCCATGGTAGTCCAAGAGAACGCCGCGGCCAACTATGCCACCGCGCTGTACCCATTCTACAGGGGCGGAAGAGAAAAAAGAATGTGGTGTTATCATCCAATGCCGGTCTTCGTTTTCTCCGAGCAAAATGCAACAGAGAGGGACTTACTCTGAATCCCCAGCCTTCCATCTGCCCGGTTCTCGTCGATGTCTCGGTGCTTGACTCCACCATAGTAGATGCCAGACTCTTGTAGTCCGATATGTCGTAGACCGTCCCACTGAGAGCTACTCTGCGTATTCAAGGTCAATACATCATCGTGAGCAACGATCTCCAAATCGGTGCCTTTGAGTCGCTCCTTGAAGTCGATGATCTGGTGGGTGAACCCTTGTCGCCCGGCGCCAAGGTGGTCGAAATGGTTTAACGGGAGATCCAATTGCACTGTGACGCCTGTCTTGATCTCTTTGGTTGCCTGTAATATCACTTCGGGAGTCAAGTAGTTGAGGGCTACGTGTTCCTGTCAGTGGACACTCGCTAGTATGTCTCCAAGGCCTTAGACTCACTTCCTAATTCGTCTTTCTCGCCCCAAAGAGCCCAGGCATTCCCTTGAGGCTGCCCTGCAGTTTTTGGCACGGAGTCAAAATCCGGATAAGTGGGCATAGTGGCAGGAAATGGTCCAAGATACCTGACGGCCTGATGGATATTTTGGACATCAAACGACAATCAAACGAAGATGTCTAATCCGTCCCAGAGGAAGGCTGCACCGTGATGCTATATCACGCTAGAACAAAGACCTCCGACTGTCGCAGAACTCGTGAGGGCTCGTGCCGCCTCCACCCACGGACGGAACATGGTTGCTATCTCTCAAGCACCTGAATCGAAGTTGTTGGCAAAGCAACCTATGCTTCTGCCCCTGCAGCACTCAAGGAGGCCACGAACGATTTCCGATCCGACTTTTGCATCCACCGAACGAAAAGGCGTCCGGAGATTCGGACTACGCCGTCCGAAGCCCTTGGGACCTCCCCCACTTCTCGGAATCTCCAAATGGACTGTACCTAGGTACTTCTCATAGCAGTCAACCGACGTGCTGAGTTCGCACGAAGCTTCTGTGTGTACGTGGTAGACCATGCCGCACCGTTTCGCAACTGGCCCCGAGCTCGATTTTGAGGAGTCAGGCGGTTCGAGATACGGACGGCAAGGGCGAGCCATATGTCACGCCAGTTGTATGTACAACAAAGTCCTATTCAAGTAGTATCTAGTCTCGATATATTCGGCCCTTCACCGAGGCTCTGACCACAGGAGTTGATGGTCTCTGCTGACCGGCCTGGCCACTGGTGGCCGGACGCTTGAGGCTCTGATAGCCTGCAAGTTTACCTTCACGCGATGTGTTCACCACTCAATGAGGCAGAGCGCAATGATATATACAATATGTTTTCATTTCGATATCTTTCCAGAGGACTTTATTTGTCCGTGTCTCCGACTAGCTCAGTTTGAACCCTTCATAGCCAGCTGCGGTACAATCTTTCAGGAGCTTCTCGTAGAGTCCCAACCCGCCCATATAGTTGAGGGCTTCACGGGGCTTCCCTGGCACATTGTCGCCCATGTACCAGGTCTTAGCCTTGACCATGAGGGTTTCGGCCGTTGCGTCGTTATTGATCTTTCTCCATTTCTCCTCCGCCGCACGGGTCGGTTCGATCTTGGTGTAATGATGTCGCTTCATCTCCTCAAGGAGACCGACAATCCAGTCGCCCTGGATTTCTGAGATGCGGGGCCCGATGGCGAACCCAGTTGGCGCCTGAGGGCCGTACATGAAGATCATGTTAGGAAACCCCGTGGTCGCTACACCCAAGTGGGTGTATGTGCCTCCCGCCCACTTATCCACCAGCTTCTGGCCGCCAGCGCCGGTGATGTCAATCTTCAGTAGGCTGCCCGTCACCGCATCGAAGCCGGTGGCGAGGACCAAAAGATCAATCTCGATCTCTTGGCCTCCGGTCATCTTAACACCCTTTGGTGCGATCTCGGCAATCGGGTTCTTCTTGATGTTATATAGGTCGATGTTGTTCCGATGGAAGCTCTCGTAAAAGTGGGTTTCCAACGAGGGTCGCTTCGTCCCCCACGGATTTTCTGGCTCCAACGGGGCTAGATTTTCGATCAATTCTGGATCTAATCCCGCAAGCCGGGCGCGGGTCTTGTCCACCCAGAAGTCGTACATTGCTCGGTTCACCACGGGGTTCTTCAGGATGTCTTTGTAGTTGTGGAGCCAGAGAGTGAAACCCCCGACCTTCCATTGTGACTCCCAGTACGCAATGCGCTCTTCCGGCGTGTCGTCTTCAGAGGTTTTATCCAGAAATTCATAGTCGAAGCCACCGAAAGTGTTTCGGATGTACTTGAACAGGGCTGGGTAATCTTTCTTTGCGTCAATTTGCTTTTGGACCGTCTTATCGTCGTACTTCTCCTGAACCATGGGGAGGGCGAGATTGGCGGTGCGCTGGAAGATCGTGAGATGCTCGACAATTGGCGCAATCTCTTGAATGACTTGGACACCGCTCGCTCCGGTACCGATGATACCGACTTTCTTCCCCTTCACGTCGACCCCTTCTTTAGGCCATAGTGCAGTATGATAAGCCTGACCCTTGAAGGTCTCCAGTCCCTTGATGTTGGGGATAAATGTCTTGGCGGCGAAGCCAGTAGCCAGCAGAAAAAATGGTGCCTTTGCGACATACCCTTTGTCCGTGACGGCTGTCCAGGTGTTGGAGCTCTCGTCGAAATCGGCCTTGACGACCGGGTTGTCGAAGAGAATATCCTTTTGGAGATTCCACTTCTTGTCAACGTGCTCAAAATACCTGACTATCTCATCGCGACGGGGGAAGCGCTCCTCCCACGTCCAGTCTTCCCATAGTTCCGGTGCGTTGAACTCATAAAACGGCCAGTGAGTGTCGACGCGAGCTCCAGGGTACGAGTTCCACCACCAAATTCCACCAAACCATTTCCCGGCTTCCAGGACCTTTACCTTGTATCCCAATTTACGCAGTGAGTGCAGGAGATAGATACCGCCAAAGCCCGCGCCGACAATGATGGCGTCAAACTCCTCTGGCTTTGAGTGCCCATTCACGGTCGCAGTTCCATTAACGGACATTTCGAGACAGAGGTCGCACGAAGGTGGGGACGTCTCGAACAAAATCTTGGCGTTGGCCGTCAAAACGAGAGAGAAGCGCAACTTTAGCACGGCGTCTGAATCTCTCCTCTGTAACAGTCAGTTGGATGGACAAGACACACTACGGAGTGTAAATGCATTCTATATAGCCTACCAAGAACCCGTCAAAGTATGTCACTCGATCTTTCATCGTCCGGTAAATGCTCGTCCGACACATCTTCTGTGGAATAAACTGTGTCGGCCTAAACAACATGGGCCTCCGAACATGTCGGAATTCCTGGACCAAGGCTTCTGAGTGCGAACTACCACTGGCAACCACAAGAAGGATTTCCGAGGTTCGACTAACGCACCGCACGCAATACCAGCCTCGTATCCTCGTCTGGCGGCTTTACATGGTGGGCGCGGAGCTGAATGCTTCGGAACCCGACTCCGAAAGCAAGAGTGTATTCCTGAGAAGAATTTACGAGACGATGACTGGAGGTTCGAGATTTGGGTTGGACTCTCCCAGAGTATGTTTCTCGTGTCATGAGGAGCAATGGCGACTCTGAGCGCCGCGACTGGCCCTAGACACCCTTCGGAGGTAACTCCGCCCAGAAAGAAATTGCTCCGATACACGACCCAGTACGCTTAGTCGACTCTTGAGCGATTGGCAGGCTGAAAGGACACCAGCCTCCGCCATCCCCAGATCCAACCTCCGACGAGTCCGGGGAAGCCAGCCTTGCTGACCTAGAGGCATGTAAAGGGGCAACTATTGCGATGTGGACCATCATATATGGCTACGAAACTTCACATTAGACGGATCATAGTGATACGTGTGCATGCTTGATCTCTTTCCTAAGGGGGCACTCTACAGCAGTCATGGCAACCGAAGAATTCTCGACGGCGCACACAGCGGCCAACACCAAGCTCCAGGAGCTTGCGCTTGCTCACGCCGATGAAGGCGCTCTCCAAGATATCACGCTCTCGAACACTCTGTCGACCAGTGTCGATAAGGTCGAGCAAGGCTATTTCATGAGTCTCCGCTTGATTGGAGCCATCTTCTCACTGGGCACCGCCGTGGCCGTCAGCTATTGGGGCTTTGCTCCCCCAGCAGCGGTCTTGACGGTTATCAATGCAGACATTGGTGAGTTGCGCGCAACCTACCCTGCTTCCTGAGACGTTTGAACATAGTCTGATGCCAATGCCTGCAAAAGGACCGAGTAACAATGCTAGTCTGTTCTCTATCATCTGGACTATCTCTTGCGGCATCGGTTCTCTCCTCTTTGGAAGGATCTCTGATAAGTTTGGGCGCCGTTGGTTTGTTATCGGGGCGTCCTCAACCGCTCTAGTTGGAGGTATGTATGGCAGCAGCAGAGCAGCAGAGCTTAAACGCAGACCCAGCTCACAAATGTGTGCAGGAATTATTGCTGCTACAGCCCAGGCCATGAATACCTTGATTGGCGCCAATGTGAGTGCACAGGGACACCTATCGTACTAATTTCCTCATGGCTAATCTGTATTCGCAGGTCTTGATGGGCCTTGCAGCCGGAGTCCATACATGCTACGGTTTGACAGTTGGCGAGATCTGTCCCAACCGCTTCAAATTCGTAGGCGTTGCATTTGCATGCCTTCCGAACATTATCTCCACTGGATTTGGGCAGTACCTGGGTACGGTGCTTCTGAGATCCTCTAATATGGCGCTGACAGTGTATCTAGCGCTTCGAATTGTCCATTACTACAACTGGAGGTGAACAAATTTCTGCCCCCTGTCTCTTTCACACACACACACGTACAAGGACCATGGACTGACGAGAGTCATAGATATATCTACTACATCTTCATCCCACTCATGGTCTTGGTCCTAGTCATGCAAGTGGTCTTCTATCGGCCACCAAACTTCGAACAGCTACACCGCGGCACCCGCACGAGAATGGGAGAACTCAAACGAGTCGACTTTCTGGGCTGCTTCTTGATTGTTGCGGGCCTCGTCCTTTTCTTACTGGGCGTTTCATGGGGTCAGTGAAAGAAAGTCCTTGGCTAACAATCTCAGGTAGTTTGACTGACAGAACCACAGGCGGCCAACCTCTTTCGTGGACATCCGGAACCATTCTAGGACTTATCATTACCGGAGGCTGTGTGGTAATCATATTCGTCTTCTGGGGTAAGCGGCTGCTCCCTTGCTCTCGTCTTTTCACTCCAGGCTTCATGCTAAAGAGTTTGAACAGAAGCCTACGGGCCGCATCCCAATCCCATCGTCCCGGTCCATTTCTTCAAAGATCTCAGGGGATTCGTCTGCCTGATCATCATAGAGTCCGTGGCAGGGACATCTTACGTCGCGTTGAGCATTATCTGGCCGTCGCGTAAGTTTTCATCATCAAACGGGGTCGTTGAAGTCCTTCAAAGCTGACAGCAAGCTTGCCAGAGGTTGCACGGCTTTACAGCTCTCCCACGACCAGTTGGCAGACCACAGCATGGCTATCGGTAAGGCTCTCGCAGCGGATACTCGGAAGATGTTTGGAAACAGCTGACAAAAGGGGGGGGTTTTGGGACAGACAACAATCGCCCTCGCCATATATTCGTCCATCGTCTGCTGGGGAGCCCTGGTGGCGATCCTGAAACACATCCGGCTGCAGCTCATCTTCCTCATGTCGGTCATGTTGGCGTTTCTGGGCTCCATGGCATCCTGCACTCCAAATAGCCTTGCGCGCAGCGCCGTGCTCTCCGTGTTCGCCGCCTTCCCTGCAGGCATCCTGGAAATCATGCCTGGTCTGCTCGTGCAGATGGACACCAACGATGCAGATCTCGGGACCACCTTCTGTATGTACCCAACCCCAAGCGCAGGTTTTTTTTTTCTTTTTTCAAGAATATCTACTGACTACGCACTCCGAACAGCCATCCTATACGCGATGCGGCCCATCGTCGGGGCCATCATGACAGCCATCTATCTCGCCGTCCTCAGCAGCAAGACCACATCCAAGCTCTCATCCCATATTCCCCCTGTGGCCATGCAAGCGGGTCTCCCTGAGCGCTCCGTGCCCGCGCTCCTCGAAGCCATCGTCGCCGGCACGCCCGACGCTCTGGCAAAAGTTCCCGGCATCACCACCAAGATCGAAGCCGCCGTGGCGGCGGAGCTCCCGTACGCGTACGCCGCAGCCTACGCGTACGTGTATTACTCGGCCGTGGCGGTCGCCGGGGTTGGCCTGATCGCCTGCTTCTGCGTCAAGGACTACGATCCCTACCTGACCAACCACGTGCCGCGCCAGATCTACAAGCTCGGGGACGAAGGAAAGGTCGGTAGTGGCGAAAGTGATGAGAAGCAGCAGCAGCAGCAGCAGCAGCACCCTGAGGTCTGGGAACATGAAGACGTGGAGAAAAGGCCAGCCACCGAGCATGTCGGCCCTGCTGCCGACGCGGTCGAAATTGCTACTACCGAAGCTTAGGTAGCTGGGGGGCTTTGCACAGCTTGAGAGCTGAGTAACGACGTGAGATTCCATCACGGCTAGGACCGACAGGTGTATTACCTGTGACAGGCTGTTCCTTGAATGTGTCCTGTTGGGCGAAGCCAAACAGTATGTCAGGGCCAAAAGGGTTATGCATAATATGGACAAAGGCTAAAGCTTGCTTCCAAAATGTCCCGTAAGAAGTTCCAAAGCCAATTTTACAAATCAAAGAACGTGGTACAGGTTGTATCACTACAAAACTCCCATTAGGTGCTTCACGAATGTCGCCTGGTCGCGTGCGTCATGAATACAGAAAACCTCAGAGATATGATGCCAACGAGGACATTTTTATGGTTTGAGGACTCCTATCAAAACAGGGGCGCAGAACTTGGCTAGAAAGCGGTGCAGATGATCCACCAGCAAGCGCCGATGTCTGTCTCTAGAACCCTGCTCAACCTCGCTTGTCACGGTGATACTCAGAGCTGTCCTAATATACATCTCTACAGCCTCGATAGCACAGAAAGAGAACACCGTTTCTGTGTGACTAGGTCCTTCCTACTGTAAAAGCAACATGGATACCGGGATTAGATTTTGGTCGAAAGCCCACTATAGACCCAAGAAACGAGCATTGAAACACGTAAGCCGGAGAGTCAGCCTCCCTTTCGCGCTCGGGAAGGCATCCAGCCTTCTGCTAACCCGCCGTTCAGTCGTCCCACGCCTTCAAAAACTTTAAGGCCGCACTCATCTCACGCTTAATAACATCGACATGATCCTTGCTTCTGGGCTTGAACACCACCGAGAACGGCTTCGGGCAATGGGCCATGCCCTCATCATAAGCCTTCAAGTCAATCGGGATGGGTTTCTTCGTCACCGGGTCGACTTGCTGATCGATCTCGAACGCCCAGAGGAGCCGGGCTGTGAGTCGCCACTGTGTGCGCTCCGCCAGGTGGATTCCGGGGCAGATACGCCGACCTGCTCCGTACCCGTAATGGTCGCGGTGCTCGTAGTCAGGGCTGCCGGCGTAGACATCGGCAAACTTGTTGAAGCCGACGAAGCGGTCCGGGTTATAAGCTTCGGGGTCTTTGTAGCCTCTGGACTCGCTCATGTGGAGGGCCCAGCTTGGGAGAATCACGGTTGAGTCCTTCGGAATGAGGTACCCATCATAGTAGTCATCCTGGAGGACACGGTGCGGGATCGCCTGAGGAAGGCTGGGGAACAATGAGCTCGCGTCTCGACTCTAATTTGAAGACTGACTTACACCGGGTGGATGCGCATGCCTTCTTTGACTATGCAATTGATGTAAGGACATTGGTCCATGTCCGAAAGTTGGGGAAGCCTATTGATGATTAGCCAGAGCCGTCCTCCCGCCTTTTCCTCGGAAGCCTTACCGGGACGTGCCACAGATAGCATCGAGCTCTTTACGAGCCTTCTCCTGATACTGGGGATGCATTGCCAGGAACATGATCGAGGTCAACATGGCTGACGCAGTCGTATCCGCACCTCCTTCCACCAAGACCCCCATGAAGTGATTCAACTGATGGTCGTTGAGCTCCAGCTCGCCGTGTTTCTCCCCGTCCAGGATGGCGTCGATGATGCAGTCACGCTTGATGCCTTTCTGTCGGCGAACGTTGACCAGCCTACGGGCTTCGTTCCACGTGTCGTCCATGCACTTGAATGAGCCCTTGGCGCGTCGTTTCCAGTAAGCCATCGAGTCAGGTATATACCGAAGGAATGGAAACTCATCAACCGGCGGGTTAGCCCCTACTTCAAGAGAAGCATTATAGTTATCCATTGCGTCGTACACGGCCTGCCTCCAAGTTAGTTTCTCAGCGTCCGGACGGTAACCCACATTTCATTGACTTACATGTGCCCAGAAATTGTTGGCATCAGGGCCTCGGTGACCAAATACCACCGTCGAAGCTACCGAAGCTGTCATTCGCTTGATGTGGGAGTAGTATCCTTCAGGGTTGTTCAGCAGGTCCGACAGGAGGACGACAGACCTATGGTGTTTCGTTAGCAGTGAAAAGCCATCGAAAAGACGTATCTGGCCTACTCGGCATGCTGAATTTCACCAACTTGTCCTTCCAGCGCACGAGGCTGCAGGATCAGACGTCAGCTAATATGAATGTCACCTCACGTGGACAGGCGCTATCTTACAGAGAGGTTGTGGACTGCCACCTTTCTTTCATGCCTCCAGAGTGGCGTCGTGTTCATAAACGCAAGGCTATCCCCGCCCGTAACCAGCTTCGGAACATAGTTGAAAGGGCGTTCGGAGTATATAGCTCCCTTTTTATCCAGGAGATGGTTGACGGCTTTGCGGTCGAAGAGCACGATAACAGTGGAGGGGCCGAACTTCAGGGAGTAGATGCCACCATACTGCTCGCCCCAGACTTTCAACCTGCATGGCTTTCGTTAAGTCTTGCCATGCTTCAAACGGTTAGAGAACAACAAGACAAGATTTTCCTCACTTCAGAGCTAAACTCGTCTTGGGAACCAAATGCAAATTCCCAAGGATGGGCAGCGTAGGAGGCCCAGGCGGGAGTCCCTTGTCCCTGCTCCCTATCCTCAGCAGAAAGTATAGCGCACAGAGGAGGAGACCTGTGACGAGAAGGCCTGTAACTGGCACCGGCTGTCCTTTGAAGACGCGCAAGTCAAACACCAGTGCCATTGCACAAACGTGAGTAAAGCCCAAGATGAAGACTTCCGGGAGCCAGGAAACGAGATTTGACCAGGACGGAACAAGCTGTCTAACAGGAGATATGGAAGACGCACAGGCCAAAAGAGATATAATGATGCCTTGTGTATCAGTTCTTCGTCATTGTATAGCGGTCGGAGCGCACCGAAGCGATGGGACTGCTTCGAAAAGGATGCTCGGAGCCTTGCTTCCAGTGGTTTTCTTTGGGGCAGCTATTTTCCGAATCGGTCGGAGTCCGATCCATTTGGCATCGGAATATGACCTCTCTCCGGAGACGGCCCACCCACCAGTGTGCAGATGAATATGGTCCTAAGTCTTCATTCTGCTTGTGCGCAGATATGAAGATTTATGCTGGTGCTATGAACGCAGTAAGACAAGTGTTCCATGCCTCAATAGGCAAATTGGGGGGCTTCGAGCGTGGTTCGGAGGCATTCTCCGATGGCGATCCTGCAACAGTGGAACAACAGGATCGTAGGATTCTGTGCATAGCTTACCTCTAGGGTGCTTGTACCGACACCAGACTCGGCAAGTCCAAAAGGCTGACCATGGTGTGTGTATTCAAACATGGTCCAGGAGACGAATGTGCGCTTCTCAGAATTTGAGTTAATAGTATCATTGTTGGACCCGAAATGTCTTATCCAGACCTCAAGGGGAATACCTATGTGGTCACAGGGGCGGCTTCAGGGATAGGACGGTCCACTTCCACACTCCTGGCACAACAAGGAGCAAACGTCGCTCTCATCGATCTCCGCAAGCCTCAGGATGTCTTGGAAGAAGTGGAGAGGCTCGGTGGGAAAGCGCTCGCCTTTTCGTGTGACGTCCAAGATGGAGACGCCCTCGAAGCGGTCATGAAGGAAGTTGTGCAACATCTTGGTGCCATCCATGGAGCGGCAAACATGGCCGGAATTCTGGGCACAGAAGGAACCAAGGGTAAAAATAACACGGTCGACCGGGTGCCTGATGATGAGTGGAATAAGATCTTGGGAGTCAATTTGAACGGCGTCAAGAATTCCATGCGCGCCGAATTGCGTCACATGAAAGATGGCGGGGCCCTGGTCAATGCTGGGAGCATTGCAGGACAGCTGGGACTGCCCTATATGGCTCCCTATTGCGCCAGCAAATGGGCGGTCTTGGGCCTGACGAAAGTCGCCGCCCAGGAAGCAGGAAGTCGTGGAATCCGCATCAATGCTGTAGCTCCGTAAGTGGTGCTTGTTGGATAGTGTGCCATTCACTTACGAGAGAGCAGAGGCGTCATCCGAACACCTATGACCCAAGCGGGGGCAACCGATGAGGAGCTCTACGACTCATTGGGCTTCAAGGCTGCTTTGAAGCGACTAGGCGAGCCCGACGAAATTGCGAGAGTCATCGTGTTTCTGCTGAGCAAGGAGGCCAGCTACATAGCCGGAGCGGTAAGTACGTGATACCACGAACACAGCGAGGTCACTGAGATTTCCAGGTCATTAACATCGACGGAGGCTTTTCTTAGGAAGCCAGACAGCGCTAGCAGAGGGGGATGGCCATTCTTAAATACTGCTCCCGGGTAGAATTGTCAAGAGTTGACCTGGAAGGGCCCAGCCAAAAAGGCAGGCGTGCCACGTATATTGTGACTCAACGGCATTCGCAAATGCCGGAAGCAGGCATGGCCACCGGCGCGTCTGATAGGGATGCAACAGGCAAGGTCAGATACAGTGCATTGGAAGTGGTATACAACCGTTCAACCATGTTGTAACAACCGATCATAGACAATGAAGCTAGAATTTCTCGGGCGGCAGTGGCCACCGATAACGGAGTTTCGAGACGGCAGCTGCCAGCCCTTGCCGTCTGCTGATTGGTTGTATCGAAACAGCGACCTCGGTCTCGTGAAGACCAGGCTCCACTGTGCCAGTTTCCGAGATGGCTGCCGCTTCTCGTGCCGGCGAGGTTTCCCGCAGCACATTACTCTTCTATTCGAAGCTGGACCACGAATCCAAGCAGAATTCAAAACAATACATTTACATATATGTCTCATCAAGAGCTCGGCCATTGCAGACACGCCCGAATGATTGTTCAAAAGGCCTCGTCGCCCCGATATTCGTAGTCTTTGTTCCACGCACCCATTTTCCAAACACAGGGGCCGCTATTGATATATCCGCCAATACATCTGTATGCACGGAAGGATGCTGAGTGTTTTGCGAACCAGAAGTGCCGGCCTAGCTTCGGGCGCGGTCCAAAGTCGACAGGTAGTACTCAATGGAAGACAAATAAAGAATGTTGCAGGATACAGGCGCCCCTTGACACCGATTGCGAGCACAAGTCCCGGCAGCAGGATATTTCACGTCGAGTACCAACGCAGATTTGCATCAACAGCAACAGACAAAGCTGGAGTTCAATCAACGAGACCCCTTGACGGCATTACAGTTGTCAGCATTGAGCAAGCCATTGCCGCCCCGTTCTGCACTAGACAGCTCGCGGATCTTGGTGCTCGTGTCATCAAAGTCGAGAGGCCGGGGGTAGGCGACTTTGCGCGAGACTATGACACCAGGGTCGACGGACTTGCCTCGCATTTTGTCTGGACGAACCGATCCAAGGAGAGCCTGGCACTGGATCTGAAGCAGCCAAGGGATCTGGAGATACTGAAGAAGCTTCTCCACAAGACCGACGTGCTCGTGCAGAACCTGGCCCCGGGCGCTTCTGCCCGACTGGGGCTTTCATATGAAACTCTGAAAGACAACCACCCGCGTCTGATTGTCTGCGACATATCTGGCTACGGCCAGGACGGGCCATACGCGAACAAAAAAGCATACGACTTGCTCGTCCAGAGCGAAGGAGGGATGCTCTCCGTCACAGGCACCAAGGACGAACCCGCAAAAGTAGGCATATCCATTGCCGATATCTCGGCGGGCATGTACGCCTACAGCAACATCCTGGCGGCGTTGATGCAGCGACAGAGGACTGGGAAGGGAAGCAAGATTGACATTTCTTTGCTGGAAAGTCTGGTGGAGTGGATGAGCTTCCCACTATATTATACTTATAAAGGTGCGCCGGCACCAACACCGACTGGCGCCTCCCATGCAGCGATATATCCTTATGGCCCCTTCGAGACAGGCGATGGCGGCTCGGTCATGCTGGGAATCCAGAACGAACGAGAGTTTGCAAGATTTTGCGACATTGTCCTAGACAACCCGAGTTTGGCCAGCGATGCACGCTTTGTGAACAATTCTCTCCGTGTGCAGAACCGAGACGAACTGCGAAGTATTATCTGCAAGGCTCTGGAGAAGTATTCAGTGTCCGAGGCTGTCGACAAACTTGACGAGGCACAGATTGCAAATGCTGCAGTAAACAACATGCAGGGCGTCTGGGAGCATCCTCAGTTGCGCGCCAGACGCCGATGGACCGAGGTCGAGACGTCCAAAGGCGTGATTCCGGCACTTTTACCGCCCGGGTGCGTTCCTGAAGGCGAGGACACGGACGGTTTGCGTGCCAGGATGGACAAGGTTCCAGACATTGGTGAGCATAATGAGAAGATATTGAAGGAATTGGGAATGTAGGATTCAAGGGAAGCTCGAGTCGGTAGAGTCAAGAATCCAGATCAGGAGAGAAAGCTCTCACCACGAAGTATTGAAGACAGAGGAAGAAGCCACCATGCCGAGTCAGCGGTATCACTTCAGCCGGTGTTGGAAAGGACTGCATGCCTTCTTTGGACGAGAAGACTCGTTTGAGCTTGTCCACGAAGCTATCGGAGTCTCCCATTGTGAGGCATATCCGTCATGGAACACTGTCAGCGATTGAAACCCACGAGGCATCGGCTTTTGGGTTGCATCTCTCCATGATCACAGCAACAGCTCAAATCTCATGTCCACAGGGTGTCCCAACATGATACCTCTCAGCCACGATCTGCTGTCTTGGATTGGGCATGTGCTTTGAATACACTGCATGACGCACACTTAGTCAGGGTTTGCCCAGGCATATCTTGTCAAAGTGCCAATCTTTGAATGCCTGGTCTGGCTGTGAATACACGCGGGCCCAATGTGACCATGACAAAGCAGCAACGGCTTTTACGCGTAGAGCAGCGGCAAGACTATGGTTGTGGGTGAGTGGAGTTGTCCTGCATTGGAAGTAGAGCCGCAAAAAAAAAGAAGAAAATAACAAGAATTGATCGGGGAAAGCAACGCAAACTCGATCCGCGCACCTGTACCTGGGATCCATCGCGGGGCAATATCTACTGGTCTGACAGAACAATTATCGGCAGCTTCCGGTGAAAATGCCTTCCAAGGCTGTGCGCACATCGTAGACTGATTCTGTCAGACGACATTCTTGCCGTCGACAATCCATCTGTGTCATCTCGGTTTTCTCGGTGAATTGTGCTGCTTCTGGTGGGTTTTTTTGGATTAAATATTACAGAATCAATATCGCGCCCTTGCGGACATCTCCCCTTCCAGTCCTCATGTCCACACACTGTCGAAGCATCTTTGTTCGTCTCAACCACTCTCCGCGGTATATCAATCCTTTGCTTTCCACTTCATTGCTCAGTCAACAACAGCATCGCCATTTCCGCATCTACCCCGCCAAAATGTCGTCCGGAATGACCACTGTTTTCACAAAAGACGCCTGCCCTCGTAAGACCAGCACCACGTCAATGTGTGTTGAGATTGCGAAATTGAAGCTGACCATCACGTCTCGTTCTCAGCTGCTGGCCCCTACAGCCAGGCGATCAAGGCTGCTGGCCAGATCTGGGTAGCCGGACAGATTCCCGCCGATTCGACTGGAAAACTGGTCGAGGGGTCTATCACGGACAAGACTGAGCAGTGTTGCAAGAACATCAAGGCCATCCTCGAGGCCGGCGGAAGTGAGCTGGGCAAGGTCGTCAGAGCCGGGGTGAGTTCTGTCACATTGCAACGAGCTACGTCAGGAGACTCACATCAGTCATCTAGGTCTTCCTGTCCGACATGAAGCACTTCGGAGAGATGAACGCTGTGTATGAGAAGTACTTCTCGCACAAACCCGCGAGGACGTGCGTTGCTGTACGGGAGCTACCCAAGGGCGTCGACGTCGAGATCGAAGCAATTGCTCTTCAATGAACCATTGGCTACGAACCACCTTTACACATGTACAAAGCCTCTCCAGGGAGCTCCATATAAGTCATCGAATAACGCCATAGCATTCGAATTGGTAGACCAATCCGCTCCTTGACAACCGACCGTACCTTTGGAGGTCGTCAGAGCTTACTCCTGCCTTCCTCACCATAGTGTTCATCTAGCTCAACCACCACCTTACCCCATGTATCGCGTGCACCCAAGGCAATCAGTGCTTGGGGGACCTCTTCTAGACCCTTGTAGTGCTTATCGGTATATGTGATGCCCTTCAATTTGCCCGAGTTGATGAGATCAAAGATGCCTTTCCACACTTTCGGAATTGTTTCTCGCTCATGCTGGCTGTATGCGCCCCAGTGCAGACCAACGATACTGATATTCTTGAGGAGGACTCGGTTCATGGCAACTTTCTCGATGCTGCCGCCGGCGAAGCCGATGACAAGGAGTCGGCCGTTCCATGCTATGCATTTGATGGAGGGATCGATCATGCCTATGGCCAGCTTGTTAGAAGGAGCCCGGTGCGTGGAGAGTCGCGAGCACTTACCGACGGGATCGTATACCACGTCCACTCCTTTCTTGCCGTTACCTGTTCTGTGCTGCTCACACAGCCCAATGACTCTCTGCGGCCAGCTCTTATCGCGATAGTCCACCACGTAGTCTGCTCCGTAATCCAAGCAGACCTGCCTCTTGCGCTCCGACCCAGCCGTGGCAACGACAGTTGCTCCCAAAGCTTTTGCGATTTGTACAGCTGACAGACCAACACCTCCAGCTCCGGCATGCACAAGCACCCACTCGCCCGGCTGCACATTCGCTCGGACAACTAGTGCGCCGTAAGCTGTGGGAGTGGTCACATACACACCCGCAGCGTCGGCAAAGCTCCAGCCATGAGGGACCGGGAACAACGAGTCCTCGGACGCCAGGATGTGACTTGAATATGCTCCATGTGTGGCACCAAACACTCTGTCCCCAACCTTGAATTGGTGGTCCGTCTGCGTGCTGACGGTGCCATCCAGGCTGCTCGCAACTGCGCTCTTGGACCCCTCACGAGTGGTGGGTGTTGCGACGACCACGCCCGCAAACTCCATGCCTGCAATCCATGGCAAGGGCGGTTGATGCTGATATTTGCCCTGTATCTGGAGGAGGTCGAAGAAGTTTGTGCCGCAGGCGCGGATTTTGATCAGGTATTTGGTGGGATGAGGAGAGGGCGTGGGAAGGGTGGTCACAAAGAGGTCCTGGGGTCCGGAGACGTATTTGGTCACTTGAATGGCTTTCATGGTGGAAGATGGGGTCTCTTTCTCAGCCTGCTAGATCTGAGCTTACAACTGGGAATCAAAGTATGGTATCGAAGAGGACCTGGTCGTAGAATCATAACTCAAGCATTATGGGGAGTTCGGTCCATGGACGCAAGAAGGCACTTGAGCCTCGGCTGTGAGCGGGAAACTAGAACTCTGCACAGGCACCACGGCGCGGTGGCGGAGAGTCCCAAGTCCGCCTCTACCTAGTAGCAACGTATTTCACGTGTGCTACTAGCCAGTGGAGCCTCCAGGGACCTCGACATAAGATGCAGTGGAGTGAAAAAGAAGAAGAGGAAGAATATTGCAACAACATTGCAGCTGTTATCACGCCAGCAACACCATGGTGGACGCCATAAATGTACCAAGTGAGTGTGAATATTGTCCCGCCAAGCAGAGTTCCCGAAGCTGGGAGGTGATGCTTCACTGCGGACATTGACCAGTTGTACGACCACGGCATGGTTGCCTTGCATGGCGTTAAACGGCCTCACCTGGCCTCACCTGGCCGCGCCTGACCCTGCCTCAAACAAAACCTCTTGCAAACCTTTTCTTTCTCTTTCATTATTCCCAAAAACAAATCCTTGAAGCATCTCATTCGCCTCTTCGTCGGAAAACCCTCGCCATATCAAAATTCCATCCGGCACCATGTCCTTCGAGGCTCTGGCAGAAAAAGCGGCCAGCCTAGCTGTTACTGCGGGTAAATCTGCGGCTGAAGCCATTACGCAACACGGGCCCCAGGCTGCAGGAGTGGTATGTCGTCTTGTCGTCTCTCGACTTTGTGAGCATCGTCAATCGCTGACCCCAGACTGTGAAACCTCTAGGCTGCTGCGTGGACCGCTCAAAATCCAGGGCTGGCTGCTTGCGGGGCGGCTGGGCTTGTTCTCGTTGCTGCACCTGGCATCGTTGTTGCACCGGTGCTCTCTGTCGTCGGGTTTGGAGCCGGCGGCGTTGGAGCAGGTAAGTAGGAGTTGTATCAGAACACTCGTGTCTCGAGGACTCCTTTCCTCTCAGCTTCTTCGTCCCAGAATCGGCAAATTGCTTACTTGTGACTTTCACTACAGCGACCTCTGCTGCTGCCATCCAATCTGGAATCGGAAACGTTGCAGCCGGTAGTGCTTTCGCCATTGCGCAAAGTGCAGGAGCTGCAGGCGCGGGTCTGGCCGTCATCAATGGAGCTGTCCAAGGAGCCGGCGTTGCTATTGCCGCTGGTAGTGGAGGACTTGCGTGGATTCAATCGAGGCTCTGAACATGTCGGGATTCAGGCGCAAGTCTAGGGCCACCCCGACCGCAGATACCGACTAGAAGAAGAGGTTACCCGTCCGGGAAAAGACAGTGTGCAGCAGGATACAGGCGTGCAGATGAGCGATGGCAGCATCCGCAATCAATACAGTGGACCGGGTTCCGTGACAGGCTGAACTGTGGTCTTTCGTTGTATGGACTTTCGAAAGTTGGGGTCTTTCATAAAACCAGCTGGAAGTTGCCTTGGAAAAGATCGAGTCTAGCATGGACGCAACTAACACATTGACTGGGTCTTGTCCCGGCAAGATGCGTTGTCGCAAGTCAAGAAGATACTTGCTCTAACCACAAGAACTTTCTGACACGGAACTTCTCTCGAGTATTCCAGGTTGAAACTGGCGTGGAGGAAAATGACGATTCTCAGCCCGCCATATCTGATTCATCAGCTTCATAGCTTCGGCTCATTGACGAGCATCACACTCCCCAGCCGCAGTTTCTCTACTGCACCGTCCACGATCTCATCCACAATCTCCCTCGCGCTACTCCTATGGTTCACCGTGCCCGCCACAATGCCCATGAGATATGGGTGCTGATTGTCCAGAACCTCTTCATCATCTGGATGTGTCTCTGCATCGTTTTGGACAGGGAGGATGCCTTGTCCGGTCAATGATTTGATCTCGTGCTGCCGGTTCTCCTCCCAGTTGAGGATGTATGGAGTTTTCCGTATCCGCAAAGGGCGTCCCTAGACCTCATTGTTAGCACAAGGGTAACCCGTGATTTTGCACAAGCAAGGATACATACCGAGAATATGACACTCCTAATAGTGTCGTCGACAGTCGCAGTCAAGACCGCTTCCTGGTGGGCCTTGGAGGCACCCGCTTCGTGAGCAACAATGAACCGTGTCCCGACCCAGACACCGGAAGCCCCCAACATCAATGCAGCAGCCAAGCTCTCACCACCGGAGACACCTCCAGCGGCCACGAGTTGAACGTCCACACCAGTAAAAGCACTCTTTCTTCCCTTGAGCAGTCTTGCCACAGAGGGGATCAGGACTGAAAAGGGAATATCACCGGTATGGCCGCCGGCTTCTCCGCCCTGGGCACACAGAATATCCACATCGAGATCCAGACACTTCTGAACATGCTTGGGATGGCCGATCATGTTCATGTACAAGACTCCGCCGGCATGGAGCCGGTCCACCGCCTGCCTTGGGGGTACTCCAATCGCAGAGACGAAGACGCGTGCTTTGGACTCAACAACGACCTCAATCAGCTCCATCAGTTTCCCTTTTGTGTAGTCGTAACTTTTTACAACAAATGTTAGCAATCTCGAGCATCCGCCCGGCGTCCAGAATTCTTTTGGTCTTTACCTACTTTGTCTTGCGTGCGTTGCCTCCAACCTGAGGAAGCAGAATGTCGACTCCAAAAGGTGCATCCTTGTCATTCAAATAGGACTTGAGCTCGTCAATTTGTTCACGAAGCCCCTCCGGACTGTATCCGTGGCCCCCAATGACGCCGATGCCGCCCGCATTGGTGACTGCGGCCGCCAGCTTGGGTCCTGCAGCGACGCCCATGCCGGCGAGCATTACAGGATGCTTCACGCCGAACAGATCGGTCAGAGTCGTCCGTATTTTCTCTGTGCATTCTTTCTCAGTACAGGCGTATCTGCCAAGGATGGATCGATTACCTACGTCGAGAGCTCATCTTGGCCAGCAATCTCGTTTGAACCGTTGGTATCTGCTAGAGAATGGTATGATTCTGGAGGATAGGTTCAATCCCTACGGTGTTTGCGAGATCAACATATCAAGTCGAGGATGCCTGGATGGTTGCATTCCCCACGACAGTCATGGAGACGAGTTCAACTTACCGAGGACGTTGCGAGTCGTCCCCGTCCCTGCGCGGCTGGGCCTCGGCTAGTCATGTTTTTCTACGGTAACGAACATGGCTGTGGTGCCAGACACAGCTGGCCAAGCTGAGCGCTGAGCATCGAGCATCATTGTTGTGGCGACCATACCAAGTCAGAGAACCATCTGCTTCGTATAAATGTCGGCCCTGCTGGTCGGCTCGAATTTTCTATCCTTACATATTGGCGGCTTCTGAAACTCTGCTTGGCGGCAAAAGACGGTGTCAATTGACACCGAGCGTACTTCGACGCGCACCCAACTTGACTTTTCCAAGCGCCACTGATATGAAGCAAACCCCTTTAGCAAGGAATTCCAGCGTTGGGCAGCTTGCTTGCTTGTTTGCCCGCTCATATACTCAGCGCGGGGACTATGGGTGGTAGGGAGATAATGAACAACTGGTCCACCCCTGCTTCTAGCCTCTGTCTTGTTTGGAAGTATATCCATAACCTGCGCCCAGACGTGTTGTGCTCTCTTTCAGACAGGAGGCCGCTAGGGGCCACACTCAGTACTATAGGTGTCGGTCTAATCTTCCCGATCTCAGTCCAAGCGTGTGTCGACTAGTCCTCATGAAACGACAGTCCATCGAGATCACTGGGGGGTGGCCACATCCTTCCATCATGGGCCTAACTTTGCGGCTACTTCGTGAACTTCACAAGGATGTGGCTGCCCATCTCCTTGTCCGACGTCAGACGAGTGTTCCTCTCGCAATGATTGTCTCGTTCTATCCGTGAACAGGAAATCAATTTCCTCGAGTGTCAAGTTGGCAGTCTCCGGGTAACAGAAGTACACAAGCTAGGAAAAGGGATTAGATGACTGGCCTCAAGACAAGGGTGATGAGAAGAACTCACAGGCACAAAGGCGAAGTTCAGGCACATGAAAATAAGGTAACCTTTCCATGCCAGGTTCGAGATGAGAGTGGGTGTGATCATCACCACAATGAAATTCCAGAACCAGTTCGCTGAAATGCCGATTGCCTGCCTGTACGGGGAACGTGGTGTTATCTCTCGTGTTTTTCTGTCTCGTGGAATATGGGATATGGAATATCATTCACGTAATGACTTACCCTCTGACGCGAACATGCAAGGGAAGAATCTCCGGGCCGTATACCCAAGGCACGCAGTTCAGAGAAGCCCCATCGATGACCATGAACAGAAAGAAGAAGGCAACGGCTGCTTCCGAGGTAGGCTTCTCGTGAGAAGTGCCTAGCGAAGACTGTTAGCACGGCCATGTTGGACCAGGCCACGGGATGACAGAGTATCCTACCTTGGAAGGACAGCAGTATGGCAATCATCATCATGCAAATGAACAAACCGAAGGATCCCCAGATCATCGGTTGGCGCCGGCCAAACCTATCGCTGTAGAATGTCGGGTATAGAGAGCCTTTTCAATGGATCATTTAGAGACTGTGATCGAGAATCGAGTCGCCAACAACAAAGGAGACTTACCGAGCAAGAAAGCAATCTGAATCACTCCTCCCAGGAGCAAGCTAAGCTCTCGGTCGAGGCCGACATTATATTGGAACACTGCATCACGATGTCAGAACAAACATGTACTAGAATCCCCTTTTGTCTTTCTTACCTGAAGTCACGTAGTACTGGTCGACGGATTACTTGATCAGTATCTGCTGTCCGAGCTGGGAAGAGGACCATGATCTTTGGACAAACTAATCAGACTTACCACGACCAGATTGATGCCTCCCATTTGATTCATGAATTGCATGCCGTAGGCCAGGAGGATACGTCGGCCGGTCTGCACCTCGTCTCGCCTCAGGATTTGTGACCACTTGTACTGGCCGTGCAAAGTTTCAAGCTCGATGACCTCGAGAATGTCTTGGGACTCTCGGGCCACTTTCTCATCATTGGGTCCTTGGTCGTAGACGTCGCATAGCACTTGCAAGGCCTCTTCATTCCGGCCCCTTTTATATAGATATCGAGGACTCTCTGGCAGTCTGGGATAGAATCCTTTTTGTCAGCCTCGCATGGCAGTCACGCATGAAGATCTGTTCTTACCCGAAAACAATCACGATAACTAGCAAGGCGAAGAAGATCTGACACGCTATAGGTATGCGCCAGCTGACTGACCCGTGGACGTAGCTGATGCCAAAGTCAAACCAGTAGGCGATAACAATTCCTGGCCCTCGCGGTGAGCACACTGAGACATGGTGGCGGGAAACACAGATAGAGAAAGGCTGATTTTACTCACCCAAAGCTACATAGCAAGGCTCGCTGCAGACGTATTTGCCTCGCTTCTTGGCCTCACAGAGCTCAGATTGGTAGACAGGAACAGTGCAGGTCTCGATCCCGGTGCCAATGCCCGTAAAGAAGCGTGCAACCAGCATCTGCGCCCGCGAATATGCACAAGCCTGCATTGTTGCTCCGGCCTATGATCGGGACGAACTCAGGCTTAGCCAATTCGCTGCCAGTGTGTATACATTTGTCGACAAAGAGGACTCACAATGATGATGACCTGGGATAACCACAACGACTTTCGTGGACCGAGGGGCTCGGAAGTCCAGAAGGACACGATGGTTCCCGTGAATGCTCCCAAGGTGTAGATGGATACAATGATCCCCAGGATGATTGCGCTGGGATTGCCCATGGTGTCGAGGAAGTTCTCGTTTCCAACTATTCCAGAGAAAACACCTTGGTCGTAACCTGTACACCTTGGGGCGCGCCATTACCCAATGTCAAAAATTATGATCTCAAACGCTGCAAACACGTGCAAGGGGGCCGCGGGCTCTCATACGTACCGAACAAGATGAAGGCAATTTGGCAAGCAGCCATTATAGCCATGCGAAGGGGAAGTCCCCTGCCAAACATGTCTATCTTGACCATGGTGGGAGGGTGGCAGTAGGGTACGAGACAGGTGCTAGCAGGACCAGTCGAACTTGTGGGATATTGACGCTGCTCACTGTCGATTCACAGCGGACGTCTTTCTTCTGTTTTCAAACATGTCCATCTCCAGGTTTTCAGGCTTGATATATGAGGCTTATGCACCCCAGACAAGCAGTCCCCACACGAACCAATGCGGAGTCGCTTGAAAAATTGACCATTCCCAGGGAGGAAAGTCGCGACGATGTCTCGATGCGGAGGTGGTTTCCGTAAAGTCTAACCAGCTTCCCAAGAGACTAGGGGCTAACTTTGTGCAGATTTGCGGTGATCAGGGACCGGCGGATAGAGACCCTCCCGAGAAATGCTGCTCCTCATCCACCTTCAGGCAACGTGGATACATTTGTTGGAGAGCCGTTCGATGTTCGTACCTGATGATGGCCGGCAGATGCGAATGGACGGAACCCCAGACACACCGGAAAGAGTCTGGAAAAGGAACCCTGGGCTGGTGCGTAATGATATCTGCGAGACCAGTCGCTATTCTACATCTCTCTTTTCCCCTTCTATGTCTTTGACTGCCTTTACACCCGAGGGAAGTCTCATCAAACCGACCCCCTTCGACTGGCCTGGGACAGAACATGTCGACTCCCATTCCGACAGATAGTCCCGCGAACTCGTCTGTCGACAGCCGCGAGAGATCATATGTAGACTCTTTGAGCCTTTCAGGGAAGGTTATAGTCGTTACAGGTGACGGCTTTCTTCACTCCGGGACTGCAAATGGTTGACTAAACATGATTATAGGAGGAGCCCGTGGGATAGGACAAGAGTTGACTCGAGGCATCGCAAAACTCGGAGGTCATGTTGCGGTGCTGGACAGAGCGAAGGAACCATCCTTCGACTTATCAGAGCTGAGACGTGTTTATGACATACAAGCCCGGTATTTTGAGTACGTTGTGCCCTTCGACTTACACCGGACAGAATAAGTAATGTGGTTTCTATGAGTAGGACCGATGTCACCGACAAGAACAGCCTGGAAGATGCTTTCATAAATGTCATTAAGGCATATGGACAAATCAATGGATGGTACGTTTGACACCACCGTTTGGTCACAGAATGCTCGACGACACTTCCTAACACGGATGATCATTTAGTGTCACAGCAGCCGGAGTCATGTTCGTCGAAGATTTCCTCAGCCACGGGTGGGATGATGCTGTCAACACCCAAATGGTCAACGTAGGTCATAACTTTCTGTCAATCAAGAAGTCTCGATTATCCAAGTGGGGTGCTGACCTAAACACTCGCTCAGGTCATAGGGACCTTCAAGACGGTCCAACTAACAGCACGGCAGATGAAAGCCCAAGGCACTGGGGGGAGCATTGTGATGGTTTCCTCCGTGGCATCACATCAAAGCTCACCAGCTCTGCCTATATCTGCATATGCCGCGTCCAAAGGCGCAATCCAAGGACTAAGGCATGCTCTTGCCGTTGAACTTGGCCCCCTGGATATCAGAGTCAATACAATATCTCCGGGGTATAGTACAGCCTGGTCAGCCCTGTACTCAAATGTGGCGAGCTGACAGCAGTGCTTGAACCAGGTATATCAGAACAGACATGACTGAGAAGGCAGCAGCTCATGAACCTCAGCTAATTACTCGTTTTGGGCGAGAACCACCTTTAGGACGCATGGGTGAGACTAATGATCTGACCGGAATTGTGACGTTCCTGCTGAGTGAACTGTCTTCCTATATATCAGGGACCGATATTCTGGTCACAGGTGGTTTACATGCTGGACGATACACATGAGAGAAATTGAGCTTTTGAAGATGGTTCCCTCAATGCATATATCCAGTGCCCAATCAGCATTGCAAAAAGGCCACTAGAAGTATTGCTTGACATCATTTTGAGGAAGTCATAACATCTGTAACGATCGGTCCAAAGCTTCTGTTAAAGGGGAGCTTAACAAACCCGAGCACTGCAACCACATGTTATTCGTTTACATCATGTACATTCTCGCCTCAAAGTTGCACCTCCCTTCGCGCTTAGCCCGAGGAACTAGTGCTGGAAACTGCAAATCCGAGACATACACCGTGCGGTGAAGGATCTAAGTGGGACTGGGTCCGCCGTATGTGGCCCTGGGATCCTGAGGGAATTTGGAGATCGAGACGAGTGCCCATGGTAGGTAATACAGCACGGTGGACGCGGCCGAGCTTTGCTGATCAAGTGTTGATTTTCGAGGAAAGGGACGCTATGGAGAGGCGAGTAGATGAATTGAAATATCGACAACTAGAGATTTCTATTTCCTGCCTCGAAGTTTCTGCCGATAGTGGTTCAACCTCCTAAATATTGTGGAAAGGACCTTTACAATGACCAAAGCAAAGGTTCTTCTTTTGGGTGCGACGGGCTACATGTAAATAGCTCCCCTTTCCACCGTGGGCCGGACAGTTCGCTAACCGGGGATATTAGAGGAGGAAGCATTCTCAGGGAACTTTGTGAAGCATCCACATGCTCGATAACATGTTTTGTCCGCACAGAAGACCAGGTGGTGCAATTGGCGACGAAAGGCATCAATGCCGTGCGGTTCAATGGCCTCGACGATCTAGAGAGGCTAGAGGAGGAAGCTCGTGAGTACGATGTGGTCTTGAATGCTGCATCGGCAAGCCATGCCAAAGCACCGGTGGCCATCATCCGAGGCCTGGCCGAGAGGAAGATCCAAACCGGCCGACTTGTGCACTATATTCACACCTCCGGGACGTCGATATTGTCGGATCAGCCTGTGTCGGGCAAGTTCGTAGACACGAAGCGATACTCTGATAATGACGACATATATAACTATGAGAAGAAACGAGGCCCATACCGTCAACGGATCACGGACATTGCAGTTGTCGAGGCCGGGGAACAATTCAAAGTGCCCGTGTACATTGTTGTGCCTCCAACCATCTATGGCAAAGGCACGGGTTATTTCTCGACAATATCTCAGCAAGTCCCATACATCATCCGTGAGTCGATCAAGAGGGGACAAGCTGTCGTGGTTGGCAAAGGAGACGCACACTGGAACCATGTCCATATCTGTGACCTGGTCACCTTCTATATGTTGTTGTTGGAAGAGATCCTCGCAAGCCGCAAGCAAGTCCCCTCGGGAAAGGAAGGCTTCTATTTCTGTGAGGCTGGCGAGCATACCTGGCTAGAATCTTCCCAGAACATTGCGAATGCTTTGTACAAGCAGGGTTTGGTTGCCACCACGGCAGTTAAGAGTATCAGTCTCCAGGAAGCAGCACCAATTCTGGAGAACGACGAAGACTTGGTCGAGATTGTTTTGGCCAGCAAGTAGGTTTTCCATTCTTGAGAGTGTCCTCGAGTTTACATACATTACTGACGCCTCACGAACCCGTAGCTCAAGATGCAGCGCGGACAAGGGCAGAGGTCTAGGTTGGAAACCCCAAAGAGACAACGCCCATTTCTACAGCCATTTCGAGGACGAGGTTGCTATCGTGGCTCAAGAGTTCAAGTGAACACATAGAGGCTGGAATACCATTTCCATAGACAGGAACAGAGAGTGACTTAGATCCATTTAAATATCTGCTGGGCCCACGAAATAGCGTGCAAGTCCTTGCTGATGGTCTTGACCCGAGCCTTCCTCATTTCCAGGCAAAATTGCCATTCAGGCTGATAAACTGCTAGTTCGTAGGCCCTGAATGGTAAATGCTGAAACCTACGCTTCCCTATCCCTTTGCATGGCCGCCATAAGTGCGAGAGTACGTAATTATCCACTTAGAGCTGTCTCCAACCAGCTCTTCGTGCATCTCGACCATCCAAATCCCCCAAATACTGTATCACTTTGGCGGTGATGGCACTTTCATTGAGACCAAATCGCTCATAGTTACTCTCATTTGAGGCGGAGTATCCGTATCCTTTCATGCCAATGCTTGCAGTGACATATCGAGCCCAAACAAGCGGCACATATTCTTCGGCACTGACAATCGGTGAACCATCCAGCGGAAGTACCGATGACCGATACACGTCTGTTTGTTGGTCGAAAAGGTCGAGTGACGGTGCAGATACGACGCGAGACTCAATACCTTTCAGTTTCAGAGATTCGGCGGCGGCAACAACGTAGTGCAGTTCTGAGCCACACGAGACCAGTGTGATATGGGCGTTTGTATTTTCGGTGAGAACGTACGCTCCGTATGACACGCCTCCTCGACGAGTCGAGGGCACTGGGGCCACGGGGTCGCGTGCAACAGAGATCATTACGGGGCCAGCCCTTGCGCGAAGAGCGTACTGGTATGCCCCGATTACCTCTTCACTGTTGTTCTTTCAGCTTTGACATGACAGCACTCAGGGAGAGAACTTACGCATTGCAAGGCCGAATGTGGATCAAATTTGGCATTGCCCGGAAAAGAGAGTCGAGCTCAACCGGCTGATGAGTTGGGCCGTTTTGGCCCTCTTGGAAAGAATCGTGGGTTGCAATGTGAAGGACATGCAACTTGCTGAGCGCGCCAATACGCACTGCAGGGGCAGCCTGGCCGGGATCAGCAAAAAGCTGCTCTCCCAATATCAAAGATTTGGGTACATACGTAGAGATAAAACATGGAGAAGGTGGCAGTCACAGGGAGAAATGTCCCTGGATGGTAAGCCGCAAGCCCGTTGGCTATAGCAGCCATTGCGTGCTCTCGAATGCCATGACGTATATACCGGCCTGCAAATGACTAGGTTCTCGTTCAGTCGACAGCATTCTTTCCCGGCAACTTGAGAATGGAATATTGGAATAGACTGTACCTTTGCCGGGTGAAACCAGTCATCTTCAGAATATCGAAACTTGTTCGAATTCACTAGATCCGCGCCACCGCCACACATTGCTGGATTTAGCTTCCACAGCATCTCTAGGATAAGGCCGTTGGATTCCCGAGTGGCAAGCCTGCAGAAACGACTGCTGTCAAGGCTGTCGAGTGCGGAAGCCCAGTGGCCAAACCACCCATTGACCCGCGCAAGCAACCTTTCGGCATCAACAGCATACTTTGACTGATACTGACCAAGCATCTCACTCCACTGTTCTTGCAGCTTTCCACCCGAGGTTTTGGTGTCTCTGAAGAAAGCCAATACTTTGTCTGGAACCTCATGGGTTGCTCCAGGATTCAAGCCAGCCATGGATTTCGATCTGGCGACACTCTCCACATCAAAGGTTCCGTGGTGAGCTTTTGCCGTACCCGCCACCCGTGTCCCTGCACCAATCGTCGTCCGAATGTTGATAAAGCTCGGTTTCCCGGGGTGTTGCTCTCTTAAAGCCGCCACAATTGCCTGGACATTATGTGTTCCGTCGTAGACGTCAGCCACATGCCAGCCGCAGGCCTGCATTTTCATGTTGGTATCCTCCTGGTTGATCCAAGATAATGGCCCATCGCAAGTCACTTGGTTGTTGTCGTAGATGAGCGTTAGATTGTCCAGCTGCAAGTTCCCAGCAAGCGAGATGGCTGCAGGCAGATGAGCGTCAACAAAAACGGTGCTTCCCACAGACTCTCTGAACTCACGTACCTTCCATGGCGACACCCTCCATAAGACACCCATCCCCTGTCATACAGTAAATGTGCGATTGAATGAGGGGGAATCCCGGCTTGTTGAAATTTGCTGCCAAGTGTTTCGAGGCCACAGCCAGGCCAACTGCATTGGCAACTCCCTGGCCCAAAGGCCCTGTTGTTACCTCGACGGCAGGGCACCCGATCTCTGGGTGTGCGTGCGCAAGCGTGGTATAGCTTCCTTGCTTGTCTGCTCCATATCCTTTCAATTGCTCCATGGTCCAGGCCTTGTACCCGACCAGGTAATTCATAACGTACAAAAACATGCTTGCATGTCCGTTGGACAGAACAAAGCGATCACGATCAAACCAGGTGGGATCTTCGGGGTTGAATCGCATTACATATTTCCAGAGTGCCACCCCGATGGCTGCCATGCCGACAGCAGATCCGCCGTGGCCCAGGCCATGCTGCATCGTCATATCGTAAACCAAGTTTCGGATGCCCAAGCATGCAGCCTCGTCGTCCGACATGGATCTCTGTGCGCTCAAAGAGCTCTCCTCCTGGAATGCAGGTCCCTCCAGCACACCGCTTGGAGTTTTCTTGATGTCCGTTGCCATTGCGGCCATCCCTCTAGTTGGCATCGACAACCACTTCGAACATCTGCCGCAATCGCTGCTACTGCTATCAGAAAAACAGAGATGTCGGCTGGAGCTGAGGACTAGCCCATCGCCAAAGTCTCATGGAACATTGATATGCCCTCATGGACTGTCTGCATATCTGACCGCGAACCTCGCTGATCCGCGCGGTTGCTGGAGAAGCCTCGAAGTGGCCCTTCGTTAGATCACCCCTGCCAGACGCCGCCGCCTCGGCAATACTTTCTCAGAGAGGCGAACGAGCCGAGTGTGCATACGAAGTACCTCTTACGCCGCCTGTAAGCTGGTGGGCCCTCCAATGGCGGCGTGCATCAATCACTACCCAGGTACCTAGTACGTACTGCGTATCTTGTGCGGTTACCACAGAACGGACGCGGCTGGTGGTGGAGCTGTATCCGAGGCCAAATGAGCATCTTGACACACACAATCGGGTCTCGTCTCGATCTAAAGCTTGGCCACATTCACCTCCAAGACCGCGTGAGGTACCATGTCCTCCCCCGGACTGGTTTGCGGGGGCGTTGCGGGGGATTCAGGGCTGCCGAGCCACGAGATGAGGCATGGCTGCTCACACCATTGTTGCTGTTTCGCTCGCCCGCAGAACTACTTTGTTTGTTCTCCGTCCAAGGACGATTGTAAATAACAGCACTCATTGTCAATATCTCCTTTGAACCGCCATAACTCATTTCAACTCCATGGTTTGCGAGCAGAATTAGCTAAGTTGTCTCCCGGAAACGACAACAAAGCCAAACGAGGAAGGAGAATGGTAGAAAGCTCGGTGAGGACGAGAACCGGCTGGCAAGTTTGTGCAGCACCGTTGATAAGATGGCCACTGACTGACAGTTCACTTGCACCGCAGCACGACATGCAAGTCGCGTCACCTCAAATGTGAGTATGTCCGGTGCCAGCCTCCGTGGACTGTGATGTGTGCTGATTAACGTGTCACAGGTGATGAGCGGAAACCAGAGTGTGATCGTTGTAAGCGCGGCAGAAGAAAATGCATTCCAGCGGATACTTCGGTGAACTTCCGATATATCTATGTCCCTGACACCAAGCGCACATTGCCAAAGAAGCCCGAGTATGGATCTCGAATGATTCAGAAAAAGGCAGGATTGACCAGAGGTCTTCTTTTTCCGGCGCAGACGGCTAGTCCTCTCCCTTCCCCTCCAACAAGGGATATCCCCGACTCAGCGTCTGTACCTTTTGCGGCAACTCCTGACCACTATCTTGGCTCGAGCGAAGGACAATACCTTCCCACGGAGCAATTGGACTTGGCCGCATCAGTTAAATCCCCGCCTCTTCGACCATCACCTCATATGGTGGCTAGGGTGGCTGATGTACCCAGTGACTCCTGTTTGTCCTTCTCAGGAGCCGACACTCAACAGACCGGCATCCAGCTGCAGTCACTGAGCTGCCAAATATCTGAAACAACCGACTCTTGCTGGTCGGGGGACGCCACAGAGCCATGTCATCTTTCCCGCGCCTGTGAGCCGGTCAAAGGGTATCAGCAGGCACAGTTGCTTCGCTACTACAGGGAGTATTGGGCTGTCGGTGTAAGCATGTCTCCGTGTCGTCACACTTCGCAAGGCTCAAACTAGATCATGAATATGGCTTACGTTGAGGGGTTTTAGTTAGATACACAGGACAGTGAGCGACACTTCCACCTCGACATCCCTTTGCGAGCTTTGGACACATCCGTTCTTCGTTATGCGCTCTTTGCTATTGCTTCGCTACATCAAAGCAGACTGTCAAGCTCCTCAACACTAGTCGCCGAAGCATACCATGAGAGCTGCATTGCGCTGGTAGTCGGCATGCTTGACAACCAAGAGGCCCTTCCTGGGGATGTTCTCCTCGCTACAATAGTTATGCTGCGCATCTATGAGCAGATGAACGGTAAGAGAGAGTGCATTATCTGTTGTGAAGTGCTTTTCTGACTTCTGGGATGCCATAGACTCCAGTGATGACGAAGAGTGTCATATCTCCGGGGCATCTGCTTTGCTGTCATCGTTGCCGACGTTTGAATCGCTAGGGAGAGCCGCCCTCTGGGTATACCTTCGACAAGATGTCTACATGGCAGTGCTGAACCATCGCCCCATCAAGACTGATGTTGCCTTGTGCTGGCAGTGGATGAATCAAACTCCCTCAAACGATTGTGAATGGAGTCACCTCATCGTCCTTATCATTGTGGATATTATTCAATTCTGTTTCTCCTCCCCCAGCACAGGGAAGCTGCCGGAACGGTGGCACGTGTTGAGGGATAAGATCCAGCAGTGGCAATCGATGCGCCCAGTCTCATTCGATCCGTATTTCTTCAAAGAGAGAAATGGGAGCATGCGACGGTACTTTCCAGAGATATGGCTCTGGGACCAATGCCACGGTAGGCACGACGTCGGGAAAACACCTGGTCCGGACACCCCTGGCTGACACCGATCCTAGTCCTCGCGAACATTTACTACCATATGGGCTCGACCCTCTTGCTGGCATATGAGCCAGTATGTGTGATCGGAATCGCAGCTCGCCGAAAACAGAAGATGCTCGAGGTTTGTCGTGTCAATTCGTTTCCATTACATTTAGATTTTGATAAGATCTGTGTCTAACCCGTTGGTAGTTGCAAGCAAAGGAACATGCTCGTGCAGTATGTGGCATCTGCCTTTCAAATCCGACTTCCGAAACACGCCGGACTGCATCGTATGCAATGCACCTCTGCTGCCGCTACATAACTGATCCGAACGAGCAAGAGGCCGTAGTGCAGCTCCTAGAGCGAATTGAGACTGAAGAAGCATGGCCGACAAGCAGGGTCATTGAAGCCCTGAATGAGGAATGGGCTGGTCTTAGCGATTAGTAACAGACCTCTGTGACATCTAAAGGATTCTAGTGATCGAAGACGAATTTGAAGTGCGTTCTCTGTCGGGTGTTTTGCATTTCTTCCTGTATGGTCCAACTCTGACATTACCGACCCGGGGTTTACTGGGAATACCAAGTCGTGCTGTTTTCGGCCATAGTTCGCGCGTATAGCTCTATTTATGGGTAATAGAATGAAGCAATTAAATTATGCTTTCTTCCACTAGGACTAGGAAGGTTTGTGGTCTCAGATTCCTGAAGTGAGTCGCCCGAAGATTGCGTCTCTTGGTTCGTAACAGGAAAGCTTGTTAGATGATTTGACGAGACAACTTTTGGATATCGCCCTGGACCGGTACTTCGCGCTCAAGCTTTCCTCTATTGGGCATGTCGGGACGAGTTTCATCCCCCCGGGAAGAGGCGCCGGATCTTTTCGAAATGCACCGGTCGAGTCGACAATGCTCCTAGTGTTGCCTCTGCAGTGACACGTTGATCATGTCAATTACATGAAATGGCCCCATGATTGAGACGTAAAGGCTCCCCCAGTCGAAGAGAAATTTGGTGACGAGATATCTGCATCTCATGCCTTTGTAAGGAAGTTCGGATCGAGCATGCCTTTGCGGAGGATCTCGCGACCAGTCGGATACGTGTCTAGACTTGAACGGCAGTACGATTAACAAGATCCATAGAACGAGAAAACCTTTGGTCATTATGAGAAGCCTTGCTGCTCCACGGTTGGATTCAATGGTTGTCCGAAGTCAAGCACGCTTCATACAGTATGACGCTTCCAATGCCCAACACGAACGGGACTGCGTCGAAACACTCAGCATGTGAAGAGACAATCGAGAAGCGGCCTCCATATTGGATCCCTATCTACGAAGAAGTCGCATGGACACCGACGCAAAGATTAAGGGTTATCAGTATCGGAGCTGGATTCAGCGGTGAGCCTCAGTCTGATTGACACACCAGGCTTTTTCAGAACTGATCTTCATTTTCAAAGGGCTCACGATGGCGAACAAAATCCAGAACAAGTACAAGCTGGACAGTATAATCGAACATGTCATTTATGAGAAGAACTGTGACATTGGAGGGACCTGGCTGGAGAACCGCTACCCCGGCGTCATGTGCGATGTACCAGCGCATATGTACACCCTTCTGGATCTCCCCAACCCAGAATGGCCTTCATTTTATGCGACTGGGGCGGAAATCCAAGCTTATTTGCACCGCATTACTCGAGTACACTCGCTGGACAGAGACATTCGGCTCAATTCTAGGGTTACGGAAGCAATATGGGAGGAAAGGAGCGGGACCTGGAAAGTCCAGGTGCAACAGGGCGAGAAGGTCCTCGAGGACTGGTGTCATGTTCTTCTAAATGGCTCTGGAGTCTTGAAGTGAGTTCTTCCTGCTCTACGCTTTCTTCCGGCCCAGGAGCTGAAAGCCAGTGTCAGTGGCTGGTCGTGGCCAAAGATCCAAGGTCTTGATCAATTTCAAGGCCACCTTTGCCATTCAGCAGATTGGAAGAACGACTACGACTTCTCTGGGAAAAGAGTCGCCGTCATCGGCAATGGGTCTTCCGGCATCCAAATCGTGCCCCAGCTTCAGAAAACGGCGGCCAAAGTCTTGAACTATGCTCGGTCACCAACCTGGATTGTGAGTCTCATTTCCCCCTTTCGAGCACGGCATTGGTCTACCATGTAAGAGGCATAACTTCGTCCTCGTCTTAGTTCATCCGTCCTAATGACAAACATCCACCGCCCTAGTCTGCGCCTTACCTCGAGGACCTTAAAGGACCCGAGCCAAACCCGAAATACTCGGAGGAACAAAAGAACTTCTACCGCGAAAACCCTGGTGGTCTCAGAGAATATAGAAAGAAGATGACGCACGAGTTCAATAAGTTCTATGAAGCCCTTATTGAGGGGTCGATTCCTAATCAAAAAGCTCGCGAGAGGGCACATACTTCAATGATCGAGGCCCTTCAGAACTCTCCGGACCTGATTGACAAATTAGTCCCAACTTGGAGCCTTGGATGTAAGGAACATGCCACATGATATGAGTTTCACCCCTCATGCAGAAACATGTTTCCTAACGCAGAATATTCGCAGGTCGACGGATTACCCCGGGCAACGGATATCTGGCGGCGCTCTCGGAGAAGAATGTTGAACTGATGACAACGCCGATCGAGAAGATTACGGCCACGGGGATCGTGACATCTGACGGTAGATTTGAACAACTGGACGCCATCGTCTGCGCCACAGGATTCGATGTCTCGTTTCGACCCCGCTGGCGACAGCTCGGTCGGGATGGTAGGGACCTCGCACGCGAATGGGATGAGCACGCTACGAGCTACTTCTCCCTCTGCGTGTCGGGTCAGCCGAATTATTTCATGTACAACGGACCCGCGTCTCCCGTGGCCCATGGAAGTCTTCCCTCTGCGATCGACTGGGAGGCCGAGTATATGATCAAATGGATCACCAAGATGGCTCGGGAAGATATCAAAAGTTTCGAACCCAGGGCCGAGGTCCAAGAGGCATGGAATACTTGGGGCGATGAGCTGCTCAAGCGGACCGTCTGGAACAGCGGCTGCAGCAGCTGGTACAAGCGGAGTGGCCGAATCTCAGCATTGTACCCGGGTTCCATCTTACATTTCAAGGATTGCATTGAGAATATCAGGGGCGAAGACTTCGACGTTCGCTACCGAAGCCGAAACCGTTGGCGGTTCCTCGGAAACGGATTCACTGAGCTCGAGAGGCAGGGCGGAGATTTAGCCTACTACCTGGAGCATTAGCCTAGCTCTTGGGTGAACGGTGCCTCTAGGGTTCAATGATAGATCCAAGGATAGATCAGTTACCTGCTCGCTAGGTAGGTAGTTAGTTGGCAAGTTAGGGGGAATAACCCCGCAAGGCTGTTGGCGCGGGGTATCCAAATAGGGGAATCGCGTCTCCACTGGGGATGTACCCTGAATCCTTAATGAAAAGTACGGTAGAGCAACTATAGATCTCCGAGGTAGCGTTACGGTAGAGCATACTATAAAGTGACGACAATGCCAAAGCGGCGCGAGTGTCTTCCGATTAGGTGTTAGCCTGGGCCTTCTTTCCCCTCTTGGCAGCCCGCGTGCGGCTTCCGATTTTCGACCTGCTCGGCATCTTGTTTTTGCTGATGCCTTGCACAACTTGTTGTCAGTCCACCACCAAATCAACTTCCCCCCTTATCACTGCCTTCAAGTCCAATGAACGCGCCTCCCCCTGATGCCAGTCAGTCGGCAATTCTCGACGCCGTAATATCTGGATTTGATGCCCTGCTATCAACTGTCCGCGCGCACATCGAACACGAGAAGGTCTTGAGGGAGAGGCTGCAGTTTGCAGCAAACGAGGTGAGTCCAATATATCGCCGTTCTTTGCCTTTTCCAGACTGCGTTGTGATGAGAATCTTTTGATTAGCTCTAGATCAAGAGCTGCAATCTTTTTGTAGCGATGAGCGAGATATTGCATGTATTACCTGAACCGCGAAATACCCGAATAATGTTGCCTCATGCCCTGAAAGTTGGGAGAGGTGTGCTGATTGAAATCGTGCAGTATGAGAAGGTATTAGCTGCTGACAGCAGTCCCTCGGCATCCTCCAGTGCTTCGAGCGAAGCGGTCCGCCGGTTCTCAAAACCTCGTACCATCCTCCAATTCTTACCACCTCCTGCCCTCGACAACGACGTCGAATTCTCTCTCCCTGTCCGCGCAGCACAAAAAGCCATACAAACGTACAAGATGTCTAACACACAGAGACCTCAGACAAGCGGGGCGCGGTGCCCAATAGCGCACCGAAATGGCGATCCCGAAGACCTTGAGCGGGATTTTACCACTCTGGGAGTCGAGGGAACACTGGGATGTCCCTTTGCGAAAATGGCCAATGGACCCGCATCGTCTGTTCGTGACGATCCTATAGCAGCCGAGTTTCACCAAGACACGTACTCAGCACGCTCTCCAAACGTGGATCAACGTCCAGGTCAATGTCCTATCCGGTTCCTCGATCAACATTCCCCCGAAGAGGTTGCCAAATATTTCGAGAACCACAAGCACGAAATTCCTCGAAGTCACGAAATCTGCGTACGAAGATATCAGGGCAATGAAAGCGGTGCCCGACAACTAGATGCCAAGTACGGCAATTTGGTGAACATGATACAAGGCTTGGGAGTCAAGCACAAAGCATACCTGCCCGAGCGAGATAGGATTGAAGAACATTCAACTGTGGCAGTTGAGAAATGGGCCGAGGATATCAGCGAACATGCTACCGGGCCTCCGGGTCAGGACGACACGGTCGAAGATGAAGAGCCGAGAATATCACATTTTGATAAACCGCTGCGGGAGGTCCGGGTTGGCGAATCGCCCAGTCGGCCATGGGGGATCTCGGTGCCCGCCGATAAAGAACCGACGCCCAGCGCCCTCCAAGAGGAAGATGGCGTGGCACATCTCAAGGTTCACTCTACGAGTTCACATCCTGCTCCAGCAGCGTCTCGGCATGATCACTCGCAAGAGCAGGGTCAGAAGACGTCTCCGCCAAAGAGACGAACAGATGACTTTGCTGAGGGCAAAGAGCCCCGGACCCAGATCATTTTCAACGGGCCCGTCTTCTTTGGATATTCTGCCGAGGAAATGTCAGCCTTGTTGCAGAACACTAATCTGGGTAATGTAAAGCCTGGTGGCGGATAAACCACACCCGGTCAAGGCTCGGGCTGTCGACTTTTTTTTCAGCGTTCAGAGCGAAGCGATCGAAGACATGATGTGATGAATTGTCGTTATAGAAATGGTGTACTAGTAGTATACACTGTGTATGTACAAGTAGAAAGTAGTATTTCATGTAGGCACGCAAGGAGTCAACCAATCCAATGTGTAGACGGGGACAGGTTGAACTATGAAGGTCCAATACATTCGATCTTGCAACCAAAGTGTGTGAAGAATATCCACCAGCTCTAGCCATGCAGGTCCGCATGACGCGAAACTTGCAGACCGTGACTTCGGCGACGAAGAGCTTGTGGGAAGAGCCAAGCAGCTGGAAAGTGATGTGTTGCGTGGGAGAGGGCTATCTCAAGAGTCTATCTCATGACAGAGAGGCAGATTTGAAGGTTGTTGCACGGCGGAAGCGCCGCAAATCATTTTCATTCACAGGATGTCATCGTGACTACCTGCTCAGGCTTGAAGACATTGAATGAACTCGTTTTGAATGAGCGAGTGGAAGACGAAATTCGAGAGCAGTGGAATTTTTAAGGAGAACAAGAAATCTCTGCGGGGAAACTTCACCGATGGGCTGGTTGTTGGCTCCCGGCAAACTTGCCCAGAGGAGCATGGGCTTAGGAAGGCTCAGCCTTGCCGCGAATTCTTGACTGGGGCAATGCTAAGCATATATACCTCGTATATACAGCAACTTATGGTTTTCCTTGCCAAACTTCTTCAAGAAACTCCTCCAGCCTCTTGGGTCTCCAGTCTGGAAACCGCGCCGAAAATTGTGGTGCCCTCGAGAGATCCAACACCCCAGAGACATAGAAACTCCCAAACAAGATCAACAGATCTCTCCTCTCTTGCGTCTCTGCAGACGTCGCATTCCACACCGTGTTGCCCGGGTTTGGCAGTATCGTCACCTTATCATGTTCCAGGTCCTCACGACTGTTGTAAGCGAGCTCGAACTTGGACCCTAGGAGGCATTAACATACTACGATTTACGTCGACGATCAACAGGCAACCAGGCCTGAGAGGGCGGCTGACCTCTAACTCTTTCTGCAATTCTCAAGAAGTCGTTGAATGTGACGCTGTCAGCGATTGCGAACGTCCATTCCGGCCAATCCTCCGCTTCCAGCAATAACAGAACAGCTCGAGCCACGTCGCCAATCAAGGTCAAGCTGATCACGTTTCCGCCGTCTCCTGGTATTGCGGCATTGCGATTGAAGAGATCCACTCCCCATGAGAAGTCGGATAGGTGAGACTTGACATACGGCATTCCCCAGTCTGCAGGATACCCAGGTGATTAGAATGTGCATGTTGCCCAATCTGACTTTGTAAGACTGGGTCGCGTGCGCAATCCCAAAAGGCCTCGGGGTAGCAGAATAGAACAACTTACAGTCCATAAACCAGCCACAAGCAATCCTTGTATACTCCAGTGAGCTGGACTGGAGCAGTGAAGCCGCATCGAGCCACCACTGCACGGTGAGGTCTAGAGGCAAAAGTCTGACATTAGGAAAGCTGTTGTGTTAGCGTTCGCTGATGAAGTCAAATGCAAGTTAGGGAACGACCGCGGACGCTGCCTCTGAGGTGCAACGTACTCAGGAACCGTCTTTGCCCAGTATTCGCTAGGCATTAGACGCTTTGTGGCACTGGACCTGTCCGCTGCTCGGATCAGATTGCATTGAGCCTGACTCGTTTCGGCAGAGCTGATGCCGATAGTCGAAATAACTGTGTGGACGTTGTTCTCGCTCAGCGCGTTGGCCAGTCCATCCACGTCATTGTAATCGACTTGAAGGGATTTCGTGGCCGCTGCAGATACTGTGGCTTCTGGTGGCTTGCGGCTCAGGACAACGACCTTGAACCCGTCGCTGAGTTCAAGGTGGTCCAGTATTGTTCGACCCACACCGCCAGTCGCTCCGGCGAGGGCAACCGTAATCATTTTGTATTCCTCGAAGACGGTGCACAGCACAATGAAAAGCCCACTTCGACATGTTTTGGCTTGGAGTCAGAATCGACGCTTGCCCCCGGGCGAACGGTGGGGCTTGATTTGGCAAATGGCCAGGCGACATTCTAAAATACCTAGTTATTTATCGCTGACACCTCGCCGACCTAGACTGAAAGTGGGGATGTCGGTGCTTAAGCAGTCCAAACGGGCAAAATTGTACCTAACATGCTCTGTAGCCCCTCTCCCAGGCTGCATTTAAACTCCACAAAGGACCCAAGTTTCCCCATCTATTTCTGAGCATCGACCTTTAAAACTCCGCGTTCGTCTCATGATTCTTACCTTGCCTTAGTGACTGCGTGATCATTTGCCATTATCCTTGCAGACCTGCGGAGATGGCCAGCGTTGGCCACGCGCGGCCGACGCGGCCGCTCGAGCTCGAGCCCTGGATAGCTACTACCGCTTCAATAAAGGTTCCTAAATTCCTCGGGATTTTTGGCATTCGATCAGTAAATCCACATGCTGGTTGTCTCCGGTTACCAGCTGATTACATGAATAATTATTATGCCTGGCTTGCCATTGCCCTTTTTGGACGTCGTGCTACCCAATTACCGCCGGCAACTTGGCCAGCATTGAGTTGTTTTCAAGGCTCTCGATCCACAAAATCATGCGACCTTTTTCGGCATTTCTCTAACAGAAACTCCAGCAGGAACAGTATCACAATGCTGAATGGCTGACTGTTGCTGCGCTAGTCCCTATGTCTGAGATGGACGATTCAAATACAAAACACGTCAGGTACCTCGATCATAAGGCAACAGAATAAAAGCCCATTCATTCTCGGATTCTATCTTCTTCCTTCCTTCCACGAGGGCTTACTATCGCAAGCTATCTACTGATCTTGGTACCTCGACCTGCTTCCCCTTGAACTTCCAGCCCTCTCTTATAAGGGGACCAACATGTCAAATTTCAAAGTTTGGTTCATCACGGGAACCTCTTCTGGCTTTGGGAAGGCGTTGACGCTCGAAGTCCTCAGTCGCGGTGATAAGGTCATCGCCTCTGCGCGGAATGCCAGCAAGCTCGAGGATCTCAAGAACGCCGGGGCTGACACGATGAGCCTGGACGTGACCTTGCCCCTCGAGAAGCTGAAAAGCCTCGCCGATGAGGCCCACGGTCTCTATGGGCGGATTGACTTCCTCATCAACAACGCCGGATATTGTCAAGTAGGAGGCTTGGAAGAGCTCACGTATGTTGTTGCTCTTGTAGACAACTGACCACATCAAACGCTAAGCTGACATCCACAGCCCGGAAGAAACTCAGGCTCAGTTCGCGACCAACGTCTTTGGCCCTCTGAATGTCACGAGATCCATCCTGCCGTATATGCGTGCCAGACGCTCAGGGGTCATTGCCAACTTCTCCAGCATCGGCGCATGGCGCGGAACACCGGCTGTGGGTATCTACGAAGCTTCGAAATGGGCCGTCAGCGGCATCACAGAGACGTTACATCTCGAGCTGGCCGAGTTCAACATTAAAGTCTGCAGTATCGAACCAGGCTACTTTCGATCCAACTTCTTGAGCAGCGGCCACAAGATCCTCCACGTCAACCACATATCAGACTACGACGGCACAGCGGTGCGGAAGACCGAGGAAAGGGTAGAGCGCACCAACCAGAATCAGCCCGGCGATCCCACAAAGGGCGCCAAAGTGATTGTCGACGTCCTCACTGGTGCTACCGGCAAGGAGATCCCCATGAGGCTCGCACTGGGGGGGGATGCCTACAGAATCATTAGGGGCAAATGCGAAGAGACCATCAAAGGCCTGGACGAGTGGAGAGAAATCACTTCCTCGACGGATATTGATGCTAAATAGATCGGGGACAGCCGTCCCTCGGCATCAGGGATTTGAATATTCTCGCTGGTATTCGATGCTGAAGCGAGACCCATTCATCGAAGAAGTACGGACCCTCAATGGCGGGGTGGTGCATCTGTTGGAGCCATGAGGTGTCAGTGGCAGCTGCCGCTGTCGGAGTAGGCCTTGATGGCTTCGAGGCCCGTCTGTCAATGTCCCTATCCTTGACAGCGGTTGGAAGATCTGTGCACAAGTCTTCGAATGAAGAGTCGGGCCCATATTTGCGTCCAATGCCGCTGGATATTCTATTCTGAGGACTTCTCCTCATTTTCCCCTGTCTACTCCATCGGTCATTGGTCTTCTCGTCGTTCCGACCCCATTCTCGTGTAATGGCAGCTCGAAGTTCTCAAGCTGAGATCTCCATACACACAGTCCAGAGAGTAATAGTGACCTGCTGCTTTCTACCTTTCCGTATCAAAAGCACAATGGCCAAGCCCATATTGAAACAAGTCAATCCCACTTTGATGGTGGCAAAAAACGTTTTATTTATACTTCGGTTAGTTGATAGATCTCAGTGAGCCTGGCCACAGCCCCGGATCAGGCAGATCAACTCGGGGTCCGCAACCGCCATCCTGCTTTCCATGGCTCGCGGTGTAGTCTTCGGAGTGGACAACACTGAAATACCTAGGTACTTGCCCTGCCCATCACTTGGCAGTGTTCTGCCTTTTTTCGATTCTTCTTAGCCAAGTACAGAATCGATACCGGTCTCCATTTCGGACTGATCGTAAGCCTAGCTTTGGTGAGCGGGTTGAGGAAGCTGAATTGTGCCGAGAGTCCTTATTACCAGAGCTGTTTGATGCAGAAGCAACAGAGCATGGGATTCGTGACTGTTCCTGGCAAAGCCATGGTTGTGCTTGTATCGCAAAAGCATTGCTCTAGCTGGAATTGACGCATTCCAATCATGTCGAAAACATGACGGGATCATGGCAGCCAACAATGCTGAGTATACCCCACAACTTAGCATTTGACTTCATGGGCGACAAACACTGATTGTGAACAGAAATTTCCTCAGCAAAGGAAAGTTTCTGGGCAAATAAGACGTGATCTGCGCATTGTACTCAGTACTCCCCTCAAAACTAACATATTGCGCATGGACCTCGCAGCAGCTTCGCCAGTGCCTGAGGTCTAATTGAAGAGGATCGTGCAGGGAATGGTTATCGACTAACTCAACAAAGATGCTGCGGGAATAAAGGACGCCTGATGCTTCACTCCGCTGCGGCAGCAGCGTGGCTGGTGCACCATATGAAAGATACGGGGAAGCTGTGGGTGTCTGCCTCCGAGTAACGAAACCTCGGAACGGGTGTGCTGGCATCTTGGATGACACAAAGCGTCAAAAACATAACTTCTGGCTGTCCGATCCCGATATTGGTGTGTGCACCCCATTGGTTGGTAATATTAAACATCAAAAGGACATCCTGAAGATCATGGCGAGACGAGGGGATTGGTCTGGCGGCGCGGGAGAATTCGTATCGAGTGCCTCACCCATTAAGCCACCACTTTTCGAGCATGATCGCGTGCTCTCAACGCCTCCCACGTCTTTTAATCTTCCTCGTGGTTCAAAACAACAACGCCAGTAGACACTAGATACTTTAGATGCATTCGGGGATGCCGAGTATCCCGTTCAGACCTCCATTTCGATACCCGGCTGGGCAGGTAGGCTCCCCATACCGAGGGCCAGATGCTCAGTCAACCACGCAGTTAACATTGTCATAGCTGGCCAAGATTTTGATGGAGATTGTTCGCAATGAGAGTAGGATGTCCTTGGATCAATCAACCACCTTTGTGTGAGGCACAAGCCGCAACAGAGGAAAACTTCACAAGGTTGTGGCTATCTCGCCAATGCATAATTGAGATGAGGCGTAATGAAAATTTCTCGGCAAAAAGAGGCCGAAATGCAAGCCCAGCCGTCCGTATCATTCAAGACGCACGCGTCGTCAAGGATGAAGAAGAAAGCCTCACACAAGGTTCCGGGCTCAGCAGTCCTTGCATCTGGCATGATAAGGCTCCCCCAGACGAGATTTTCTTTTGATGGCGCTAACGAACAAGTACTTTGACTAGCCGCTGGCGCCGAAGAAGTTTGTCAGCTACTTTACGTATTTCGCTTATCGTGGCTCGAGATTGTTACTATCGTATCCTATTACATTCATCCATTTGATGCAATCCTGCCGAAATGATCTTGGTTAGTATAACCGTCGCCATCGTATACATCCAGTGGCCGAACTTCGGTCAGGGTTCGATGTCAAAGATTTGACCCTGACCATTTTGATTTGCCAATGTTTTGAGGGGTGGCCCAGTCTTACGAACGGGCGCCATCATCCTCGTGGCCTTGAAGAAGAAAGCTCCCGCGTTGTTGTTCGCTATCCTATTGGATTCCGTTCTGCCTTTTTGGCTATTGGCCCTTATCTTGTGGCCACCATCAGTCATAGGCTTGACAGCCAGTCTGAGAGCCGCTAGGTGAACCTTCCGGTGCTTATCAGCCGGAGCCGACAGGGCACAAGCTGAAATGCGGGCGGGAGGCGGCGATCCCAACGTCACAGGGATCTGTCGAGGGAAAATATTCGGGTGGAGACGTTAACCTCGAAACATACTTCATTGTCTTCCCGTCCTTCTATGTCTCCTCTGGATTGAGACTCGTATACCACCACCGCGGCCATCACCTATCCCGCCCAGCATGTCGTCCTCCGATGAGAAAAACGTCTACGATGAGAAGAATGTCTCTTCCGTTGTCGAGCCTCCCGGTGTCGAGCAAGTCGGGGTTGGTCGTGTGACCGGCCTCAAGAGACGCCTGCCTCATTTCAGCCTCGAGGTCCGTCAGGAGGAAAGCAGCTTTGCTACCACAAAGGCCGCCTCCAATGCGGACTTCGATCCAATTCCTCCATCAAAGCGCACATGGAACTGGGGTGCGTATGTCGCCTACTGGATGGCCGACGCCTGGGCCGTGTCGAACTGGGAAGTTGGTGAGTCGCCCCGCGAAGAGATCCTTCTCGAGACTGTGTGTGAGTGAGAGAAAGAGAGAGAGCACCAGTTCTGAAACCTTTGTTACACAGCTTCTTCCATGATCGCCGTCGGCCTTAGCTGGAGAATGGCAGTCGGCGCCTGTGTCCTGGGCAATTTTATCATGGGTCTCGTCATCACCATCAACGGCAGAATGGGTGCCACAGTGGGTTGAGTCCTCCAAAGAGCCGAGCTGCTGCTTATCTGGTACAGCTACACACTCCGTTCCCCGTCCTGGCACGCATGCCCTTTGGCTATTACTTCAGCTACTTTGTCGTCGTGTCTCGCTGCGTCCTCGCCATTGTATGGCTCGGGTTAGTTTTTCCAACCATCCATTAACTCTATCACATCAAGGGCTCACCATGAACAAGTGTCCAAACCACCACTGGCGGTCAATGCATGACCGTGTTGATCACAGCCATCTGGCCCAGTTTTGCCAACCTTCCCAACCACATACCTGCTAGCGAGGGCATCACCACCGCCGGAATGATTGGCTTCTTGATCTACTTCCTGCTTCAGCTTCCCTTCTTGTGCATCCCCTACACAAAGGTATGACCTGGGCAGCTGAGCCCCTCCTGGTTCTCGCCCTCGACTAACAACATCAAGGTCCAATACTTTTTCGCCTTCAAGAGTATTATTGCACCGATCATCTTCTTGGCCATTTTCGGAGACACATTGCGCAGGGCTGGCGGTACCATCAGCCATAGCACAGTCATCACTCAGGGCAACACATTGAGCGGTTCGACCCTTGCGTGGGCCTTTTTCGGCAGTAAGTGAAGCTCGGCATCTGCATAATCGCTGGTTTCCCTCCTGACCAGAATCTCTCTTGTAGATCTCAACGGAGTCTTGGGCAACTACGCCACCTTGGGCCTCAACATCGCCGACTTTGCGAGGTACGCCAACAAACCCAGCGCGCAGAACGTCCAAGCGCTCGTCATCCCCGTCATCTTTAGTGAGTCCCTCCACTGGCCAATTCGCGGGTCTATTTTGTTAATCATCTGGATACACAGCTATTGTTGGTCTGCTTGGAATTTTCACTGCCGCAGCCGCTCAGACTGCTTATAACGATGTCATCTGGAACCCCATCGTCATCATCAATCTCTGGATGAAGTCTGGGTCCCACGGTGGCCGTGCTGCCGCCGCCTTTGGCGCCATCGGCTTGATCATCGTCACCCTCGGTATCAACATTTCGGCCAACTCTATAAGCGCGGCCAACGACCTCATGTCCTTCTGTCCCAAGTACATCAACATTCGCCGTGGCCAACTTCTCGCCGCCGTCATCGGTAGCTGGGGTTTTGTTCCGGTAAGTTCTCCTCTGACCCTTTTGCAAATCTACCATGACCCTGCTGACCACAGCCCCGCAGTGGAAAATCCTCGCATCGGCCGCGAAATTCCTCGCTTTCCTCGGTGGCTACACCATTTTCCTGGGCCCCATGACATCCATTCTCATGACTGAGTTCGTACTCACGGTTCCTCACAGCTCCCACACACGAAGTCCAGAACACTAACTTGATTGTCTCGTGCCTTAGTTACTACATCGTGCGGCGCGGCAACGTGTCCGTGCCCGACATGTACAACTTCCACGGCATTTACCGCTACTCGCCTCGATTCGCGACCAACTGGCGCGCCGTCGCCGCCTTCTTCATCGGCTGCACTCCCCCACTCCCTGGTTTCGTCAACAATATCGTTGTGGCAGGTAACGGCAAGACGAGTGTCTCTCTGGGCGGTCAACATCTGTGAGCCTCTCCTCCTTTGTTCCCTGCGTTCCCAAATCCACCTTTCTCGCCTAGAGGTTTGCACGAAATAGCATTGAGCGCAACTATGGCTTGGAACTATGCTAACAAACTCAACTTGGACAGGTTCGCCATCGGCTATATCTATTCCTTTGTCGCTGCCGGCGTCTTCTACTGGGGCTTCAATCGCTTCTTCCCGCACAACGCCTCCAAGATGGACCATCCTGAGACGGGTGAGGACATTATCGCGGCAAACGATGCCAAGAATCTCCAGGAGCGTCGCGCCAGTTGGGCGGAGCGCAGACCGAGTGCCGTGTCAAGGTTCTTCCAAGTTTAGGGCGGTTCTGGTACGATTTTCACTCTCGGAGGATCACTCGCAGTTTGGAGCTATGGGTGCGTCCAGCAGCATTCCATGGTTGTGCTGCAGATGGACAGTTTTCCTCCTGCAAGGAAAAACAAATGGTGCGACGATTTGATGAGAGCAAACCAAAATGTGTTACTGTGTTAAACTGTGCGGTCGCCTGACACCGTGAATCATCGTCTACACATTGTCCTGGGGTTCTTATGCCCAGGCAGTTTTAGGCAGCAATTTACGGACAGGGATTGGCCAGGCTTGCTGGGGAACTTCTAGAACTAGTCTCTAGTCTACAGTAAAGAGCTAGAGGAGGCCCTCGTTGCCAGCTCTGCGTGCTGCTCAGCCAATGCTCAGAGACGCTTGAAAAAAGCCACATATCAAGTGTCCAAATTTCTAACTTGCACTATCAGCCTAGTGGCGCTCTAGGGCTGTATATGATCGGTATACGAGGGTATATATGATAAACAAGATAGACCCTTATTGCTATCAAGCATCTGCTCTATCTCCTGGATCCCACGAGGCTGGCCGTAGTGGGAAGTCCCCTCTCCACTTTTGGCTAGCCGAGGCCGACTTGTCTCCGTTTGAGGAAGCAGACAAGGTGGCCCCGGAGTCAAGCTTCTCCAGCAATAATTCGACTTGCTCATGTCGGTAGCCCCTTCGGTTGACCATCCTTTAGTTTGCTTTACTTCAAAGGACGAGTCGTGTCAGATGGCCGTGATCAGCACCATGGCTGATTTATAAACGGTGGGCCCTGAAATGCTTCTGCCGGTTAGTTATTCGCAGCATCATGTCCTTTGAAGCCTCGTGACAGCGTTCAGAGTTTCCGATATGTACGAAACACCAACTGCTTCCTTGTCAAGTAAGTGTGTGCAGAGTTGCCAGATGAACCAAGATGCGAGAGATTGGCCATGAAAGCGGCACCCTGTGACAGCGCATTGTGTACCGAGCGGACAATCAAGAAATAGCTCGAGGCTCACAAGCCTTCCTCGAGGCCCTATGTCGTTTGAACGCACCTCTATCTTACGGCTCATTTCATCTCTGGCTACCAGTCCAGCATTCAAGACCCCCAAAGAATCGCACGAAACGTCTCGTGCCTTCACCATCGCCGACACCGATCTCAATCCGTCGATCCTTGTCACAAACTCCGCGGCTACCAGAGTGAGCTATTCTACAGCATTGATTCAATGTGCGATTCGCAGATGAGGACTGGCGTCCTTGAAGCAAAGACGCGTCTTCTGCCTCTCTCCCAACAGCCTGGAGAGTCTAATAATATGCAGATGCGCAGATATCGCTCTATCACCTGGCTCTGGAAGTGGCTATTATTCTTGAAGACAAAGACAAGGCTAGTGTTTATCAGAGAGATCTCGAAATCTAGTCCAACAGGTAGACTGTTACGTACTGTTATGCGAGAGGGACTGTTTCACAAAGCAACTGAATAGTTCTAACCTCAGCTGTGGAGAGCAAGGGGGAAGTAGTCGCCACGGGATGATACTGATACTACTCTAGTGGTGACTAGGATCTCAAGTTTCTATACTCGACGAACTTGTCTCAAATATATACTTGGTATAAGTTACAGAGTAATCTGTCGATAGCCTCAATTCCCCGAAGGCAGATAACGGGCGATGGCTCCAGAACCCTCCTTAGCGCCCGTCGAGTCCCGGCACCAGCCTCCACAAAAACGGGTATCTTTTAGGGAATCAAAAAGCCAAACAAGACCAGACTTACTCGTACTGTATTCCATCCATCAGCTCGGCGCCAAGTGACCGAGACAATCATGTTCCAAGGGGAGGACTTTACAACGACCGCATGTCAGGAGCTGGCATCAAGGTCTCATTTGACATGATGCTGGTGCCATCCATGGGCTTCAACTCGGCCCGCGCAAGCCAAAGCAGTGGATCATCTGCATCTCCCATCGCCTAATGCCCACCCGCTAGGGGACCAGGCCCCCAGAAGGCCTACTTATCCTTTTGACAACAGTCCCCGTAACGGTGTGCAAGTGCCCACGAATCAACATTCGTCGGAACTGACAGCACACCATCAAGTCGAACAAAAACAAACAATGGGGGTCTTTCAGCTTTCGTTGAAGCTGAAGAACACTATGCAGGGCACGCTCGATTGACCAAAATGATAGGCTCTGGTGCGGTAAGTCAAACTGAAGGGCACGTCTATCTTTGCTGCTCACATGCACGTTCCCTACGCTCGCTTTCGTCCCTAAACTCCTCGATGCATTAGCGTAGCCTAACACGGTCAACCGTCGACTATTTAGGCGATTCCAGCTGCACGACCTTCGTCAAATGGTGTGAGCGGGGGATGCCATTGACCGAATCCCAACCCCAGCTTCGGTATAGCCGTTGAAGATCGCTCACGAGCACAACGGTTTTACGTGAAAGCCGATGGTACCACATATGTGCCCGTACGTTTGGGAGCTGCTTCAAAAATCCCGGCGCATCTCAGGATACGCCACGAGCTCGTCTCCTCTTCATTGATGCAGCGTCGAGGATATCAAAATGGATGACAGTGGGCCTCTTTACAACGTGCGCATGAAGCGCGGCCAAGGGTACAATTCTTACATTCAAGAAGTTCGAATCGACAATGCCGTCTCAATCAACAAAATCAAGAAATCGGGACGTACAGGTTCCTCAGTCAGCGACGCCGACACCCTTACGCCGGAGCATGCGAGGAGTGATTCGATATCAATCGCAGCGCCAGTGCCAGCAGCGGCGCCACCGCCAGCGGCGAAGCAGGGCCTGGACATGAACGATATCCTGGCAGCACTGACGGAAAGCTTGAAGAAAACCAGCGCCGAAGCTCCACAGCAACCGAAACTGCCATACCTGCTCAAATTGGACCCTAACGCGCGGCACAACCAGACAGTGACGTTTTCCTCCAAACAGGTCAAGAGTATTGTTGAAATGAACAATGCCATGGGATTCAATGCTTCAGCTGCAATCAAAGCCACCAGCTTAGGTCCAGGTGCAGAGGCTCGAAGCAGCCTTGCAACCCGAGATGATCTCAACACCAACGATGTCAATTTCCTGGTCCATGTCAAGGTCGTCAACGAGGCTGATGATCGCAAGGAAGAATGGTCGTTCAACGAAGTTCCAGGTCTAAATGAAGCCCTGGGAGACGACAAGGTACCAGGCGGGATGAAAGAGGCACACGCCAGGAGTGTCGAATTCACGCGGATCTATGGCGATTGTTTCATATCTGATTTCGTCGAAGGAGGTGAAATCTATGCCTGGGTAGGCATCAAGTCTCAAGATCGCAAGAACTCCAGACAGCTGGCTGTCCATGCTTCAGCGCAATTGACACCCATGGGTCTGCCGGTGCAGGCTTCGGGTGAAATGGATGCCTCGCAGGAACGCAATCGGCTCTTTTCCCAAGCGACGACTTCCATTCGGATCCAGTGGCGAGGTGGCGGCCAGATCAAGAACCATGACTTCCCCTGGGGCATGGACAGCTTGATCCTGATTGCCAATGCTTTCCCTTCGATGGTGGCAGTGAAGCCTGCGAAAATCCGAGCTGTCTTGACACCATACACGGCTCTGAAAAGCTTCCATGACCACCGGCTGGCCAATCCACGAATACCTCTGCCGTTAACTTACGATCATTGCGCCATCTATACCAGCACGCTGTATGAAGACTTCATGGCGTTTCAAGACCTGTGTGAGAAGCTGAACGCCATGATCAAGGACCCACAGGACTACCGGAATCGCGACGATGACAAAACCAAAATGAACACCCAGAAGGCTGCTCTTCAGAATGGAGAAGCCCCTCCTGGTACGAGACGCAATACCATCGTCTCTCTGGACATGAATGACCCAGCTTCAGACGCCTGGACAGATCAGAAGACTCGGGCGCTCATGGATCTCGACGTCATCCTCAGAGATACAAGCCCAAAGCTCACTAACATGGACCCCGATCCACAGAAACTTAGCATGATGAGACTCCTCTGTCGCTCTTCCATGATCTATATCCAGGAACAGGCTGCTGCGCTGGTCGTCGACCCGGAGAAATCCATCACCAAACACGACGAAAAGCATCGACATGTGTACAGTCTTCCCAAGTATATCTGCCCGGGTGTCATTCAAAGCATATTGCCAGTCCCCAAGCTTGATAATAGTGGAAGGGAGTGGCGCGATAAGGAGATTGAAGACTTGCAAGGCGTGGAGCATATCGCCAACGACCCGGTGAACTACTGGTGGGATGTGATCGGAGAGCCACTGTCTCCATACAAGAGTTACGAACACTTCGCAATTGGCAACTTTGACCTCGACGACGAAGAGTACCCTCAGCGAGTTGCTGTGCAGCCTTTTGCAGCCGGATGGTATCACAGCCAGCGTATTAGGGACAGTAATAACGCCATCAGCGGCATCGGCATCGGGTATGCAAACAGAAAATCACCTTCCCACCACAATACCAAGTCAGTCGAGGCCGAGGAGTCCAGAGGAGTGAAAAAAGCCAGTGTAGAAGAACGCTCCACCATGTTCGCGAACATGTATGTCGGGTCCAAACCGGCGGAAGCACGCTGGAAACCGATTGAAGACCGCAACCTCAGCGCTTCCTCCATCAATCGCGTCCATGTCTACTACCGTCCGGGTGCTGGCCGGATTGAAGGCCTCGAGTTCTTGTCCGATCCTAATCCCGCGGATTTCAACGACGACGCCAAGAGAGTGATCCCGGTGTTCATCCACAAAGCATGGGATCCAGATGCGACTGCAGAAGGCAGCATGACAGCGAAATTGCCGGATAAGATGGAGAAGCAGGCGCTATTTCCGGGCGATAATGTCTTGGATGAGAATATGGACAAGAATTGGATGTTTGCCGGGTTGATGGGCGCATTTGAGAAGGTCGGACCTCCGGGAATGGGGAGGTTAAAGAGTGGCAGGGTTTTGGTCAAAGTTGCAGTCGTGTGGAAGAAGCGGCCGGGAAATTCTTGATCCTTCTTGCGAGGTACTTCGAATTGGGCTGATTTCCCAGAATGGGCCAGACTATACGAGATTGTTGGATTGCTTGTGTGCGTTTGAGCGGAGCTTTTGCATTTTCAACTTCTAACCGTAGTCTGATGAGCGTTATTCAAGTCATAGGAGACAGTATCTAATGATGGACGGTATACTGAGAGCCATTAACACTTCAAGCGTGACTGGGCAGACACTGGATTTTGGTTCCTTTACAGCATCTGGTAACGTGTTAGAGTGTCTATCTCCCGTCCCCTCTTAGCGAGCCTTGTTCTGATGATACTCAAAAAGGGCGTTGTAAAAGCGGCGTCAGAGAAATGCTTGAGTTGGTTCTGTCGCGGGACGGAACAATAGGGCGGCATCATATCCACCTTAAAGGGGTCGAACTTAGCTCATGAATTTAGCGGAGCGCTTGGCATGGATCTGGTGACAGCGAGATGCAGCTCGCCTTTCGTCCTGCACTCAATTGCGCAGTTGATGCATCTCATCCAGTTGGCTTTGACACTTGCCCACCTTTAGTAGGCAATGGAAGGCCTGTTTACCTGCTTGAGATGTGCGAGAGCACTTTCAGGTGCAGCTCGACAACGGCCCAGTGCAAGATTCGTCCAGCAGATCCCCAGCCGTCGAAGCTTTACCTCCAGCACCTCGTTGAAGCACACGCCGCGAGATCAATCGAGAACGGAACAAGCCCGAAGCTCCAAAAGGTCAATCCGGTCTGCGTCTACCGCCACTGCTCCTGCAGAAGAACCAGACAACTTCGAGCGACACAACATTCCCCCTACCGATTACGGCGAGTGGCGTGCCCATGGTCGAGTAGTCCTAGGACCCAATAATCTCTTCCATCCCTTCTCCAGGTCGCCAATCCCTGAGATCCGGCAAAGAGCACGGTTCATCAAGCAACATGCCTTGTGCCCACACCCCGTGCATCAACAGACACGCGTACCGATTTCACCGCACGATCCGGAAGCAAGGAAAATTGAGGGTGTGAGCACGGAACCTCCAGCTCACGTTTCGTTTGAGTGCCCGGATTGCGGCATAGCGACATACTGCTCGGAGGCACATTGGGCGGATGACTTTGAGGCACATCTAGAAATATGCGACACGCTGAGACAAATCAATGAGGACGACCATGATCTTAGATCAGGAAGATGGTTCCCAGAGTTCGAGTATCCTGGGCCGCAGATGGATGAAGCTTTGGTGAATATGACCAACTGGGATACCTATCTCTATACGCGGCAGTATGAGGCAGTGAACGACGAGAGGAGCATGCGACAAGTAACGAAATTGTTGACGTATCCTCTCACGATTGGGAGTGTTTTGCATGAGCTGAGCCCATACAACATCAGGCCTGGTGGGCGATTAACTGCCGAGGGACTGAAGAGTTTGTCAGGTGAGTCTCATTTTCGCCATAGCCCTGCGCTACGCTGACCCCAACAGCACTACGATATACTCTGCATCCGCCCAAAACGGGCCAAGGCAAAGACGTCAAAGGTCTCAGGCTGTCGAGTCCTCCCATCCGGATATTCGTTCTTGGTGCACGAGCCGAGTCATCTCTACCCCGCGAAGTGTGGACGCAGCTGTCCTACCTTTTCCCACTTTCCCTGATTCATCTCATCTTCATTGGGCCCGAGGCAATGATGAATCGAGATGCCGAGTTTCCTCTACCAGAGAGAACAGCGCAAAATCCATTCGGCGCCATTGTGGAGGATCGGGTATCGCCAAAGATGAAAATCACCACCTATGTGGATTATTTCCACACTCTGCATGAGGCAAACGTTTTCTATCCTTACGACCCATATTTCGATTGCTTCATGTTATTTCACCCTGGCCTAGGGCACCCTGCGTCTTCAATGGAGTGGGAAAGCACCTTGCCTCGACTGCTTGAGACCAAAATCCCTGTGTTGTGTACAGGATATACAGAATGGGACATGACCCGCGACTGGCAATGGGTCATGGAAAAATGTGCGGGCGAGGTCGACCTGCTGATGGAACCCGGGGAGAACAGATTCCGGTCTCTGAGATGGGACTTGAATGACCTTGACCCTCAGGATATTAGCTGTGGAAACTGGGGTGTGTGGGCCTTCAGAGGAAAGAGGTATGTGATTTGTTTGCTGTTCTTGGAGCGGTTGCGACTGTCGATCTGTCCGTGCCCTCTTACTGACGATACATAATTCCAGATACGAAGCAACTCGTCGCGACTTGACCTGAAGGAGAGCAAGGCGTCCTCAAACACTGTACCATTACAAAAGTAGGATGATGGTGGAATGAACGACTAGCGACAGTTCGCCCATCAACGCGCCGTTATGGATTCTCAGGTGCCTAACCCGAGACCTTTAGCAACTGCGCAGAATTTCTCCTCTTGCAGATACGAAGGTTTTCCAAGCATTGATGCCAAGTTGGACCAGGCGCTTCGTACAGATAGTCCCTAGAATGGCTATCAAGCTTTCCCTATATTCCATCCCGAAGACTTTTGAGGGGATTTTGCATAAGCAAAGTGATATCAGGCTCACACGGGGCAGACTGATTCATTGAGGTCGGCCAATTAATATACGCCGTGTGGCCCGACGTTTATGGATGGAAAATCATACCGGATCGCTTATAGTAAAGGGGTTCGGGCACTGCCTCACCAAGTCATCTTGACGTATCGAATGCGCGGATACGCACCTTGGCGCGTGGCAAGGCGTTTCTGCGGACCAATGCATGTTCGGCGCGAGATGCGCCTTCGCCCAGACGATCCCGGGGAAAGGAGGAGTTGATGATTCAACACTCCGCTCTCTGTTTGTGTACTGGATAGAAGGGGTGTCAGTGTCACCTGGGGACAGGGCTGTGCATGGTCGCCTTCACATCTACTTCTTTGTCATCATCGTACTCACCGGGTATATACCTGCGAAAAGCATCGACTCGTATCTGTTGAATTGCGCCCGGCGCGTTTGTTGCAACAGACCAAATAACTACCTGGTAATCGCCGGCTCGATACCGAAGGGTTGTCCTTACCTAGGCCAATATCTCTAAACTCGACATCACAGTCACCAGAAGAAAGTCGCTTCAACAAGCAACCATGAAGTTTTTCCAAATAACCATCCTGCTCTACCTCTCCTCCTTTGTCACCGCCGCCCCGCCTTCATCCCCCTCTACCGATCTCTCAGTTCGCGACGCTTCCCCTCTGGACTCGTTCACCCATCTCGAGAAGCGCAAAGGTGGCGGCGGCGGTAAAGGAGGTGGAGGGGGCGGTGGCTCCTCCTCTGGCGGATCGAGCGGCGGACGGAGCGGTTCTGGGTCGTCGTCGTCAGGCGGTTCATCTACAAGACCAAATGGACAACCATATTCGTTCTCCCCTTCGTCCAACGCCGGCGGCCGCACGCGCGACGGGTCGGGCACACCCAAGGCGTTCGGAGGCAACCGATACACGGGCGGCGCGGTGGTGCCGTACACCGCGGGCGCACGCTCGCCGACTTTGGGGGTTGCGCCGTTCTTCATCGGCGCGGGCGCGCTGGCGTTTTTCCCGGGCCTCTGGCTCTACGGGAATGTCTGGGCGTACCCCTACGGCATCCCCTACCACTGGACCGACGACGACGGGCGCAACCGCACCTCCAACGTGACCTGCCTGTGCCAGCAGTACCAGGTCTGCGGCTGCGATCCCAGCGACAACTCGACGTTCCTGACCCAGGTGGTCACCAACGGTAGCTCGACGCCCATCGCGCCCGTCAACACCAGCACCGTCAGGACCGTGTCCTTCGCCAATGGCTCTACGGATACGTACGTCAACGGCAGTCTGGCAAACGGCACCACCGCCAGCGGAGGCACCGATCCCAGCGATTCCTCCGAGGTCAGTGGCAGTGTCCGCACGGTCGTGGAGTTGAGCGGCTATTGGGCCATGCTTGTCATTGTGGGCTGGGGCATGTGGATGGCTGCCTAGACACACATTCACAGAGAGTGAGGGCGAACGAGACTCGGACGGACGAAGGATGTCCACTGAGAAGGCAGCGATGTCGCTGAGGGTGAGATCTCGATATTGTTTCGCTGTGCTTCCGAGAGAAGTCGTCGCGCCTCGATTGAATCCTGGAGACGATGATTTTTTATCACATTAGTATCGAAGCATTTTGGAAATCAGAGCGGCTGTGTCCTTCGTTAAGCGGACTCACTACATTCTATACGTTGCCATCTAGGATTTTTGTCTACTAGGTGTAGATACTTATTTATGTCCACGGTGGATTTGGTCTTCGGGGATGCAGACTTGGATAGATCGACGAATGGTGCGAACCTGCTACACGTTGCCACCTGAAGGGTATCTCTCACTTGACCAAAAGTAAATTTAACCTGTCAGAAGCCGCATTTGGGACTATGTACACTCCTTTCCCCCAGCTGTACGAGGTCTACACGAGCAATGTTATGGGGCAAGAATATCCTTGATCAATTGTCGCCGTCCATCGCAGGTGAGAATTGTCGATAACGCTTTTCATTTCCAGCCCTCTCATACCATTCAATTTTGGTTCAGCTTGACGTCCCGAGATATCTGCGGGTCTGGTTCGAGATCGCCACTGACTTGTTCGCCGTCGACCGAATCTCCAGCCATATGTGCCTGTGACATTGATTAGCTCAATCATAAAGTCGCAACAGCTGAGTGTCCGCTCACCCTAACAGCTCCTGGGCCTCCAAGCTCCTCAAATAGTCCTCCTTCAAGTTCCCGTGGGGCACTCGGTTTGCCGGGATATGTGTATGCGACGCCATAATACACCCCCAGCACGCAAGTGATGAAGCCTGCCCACATCAGGAGGCCTCGTGAACTGGACATGAATGTATAATCCTCCAAGGCGAAGATGCCGAGAACATCATTGTCTTCGTGGACGGGTTCGCCAAAGTTGCGCCGTTCTTGCTTGTCGTCCCAATCGGCATAAGGGTCACGGTGTTGTCGCTTGATTCGAGGTGGGTTAATGTAGTTGTTGTTCTTGCAACCTCGAGATTAGCATCCTCCTCGAATCTGTAACTGCAGATCAATGTACCATTTCAGGATCGTCTATCTCTTCTCCAGCAGCCTTGAGACATCTTGCAACAGAGAACTGGGCGCGAGGGAGGCGGAATTGAGCTTGAATTTGAGGTTGAGGTCGGGGGCGGGCAAAGGATCGAGCGGAGGCTGCGGCCAAAATCAGGGCTCGTCTCGAGAGCATCTCGGTGTGTATGCGGCTCCAGTGAGCCGGACGATGAGAGAAGCAAATTCCAGGTCAAGTCATTCAAGTTGATTGCACAGCCGGCTGTGAAGAGTTGACGTGTGTGTGGAGTGAGAGGATGAGGGATGCTTTGAGGATGAAGAATGGCGGGCCATGATTGGTCTGGGCAGGAGCTCTCACTGCCTGGGCGGGATTCTTCAGTGGCTTGCGCCCTAAACTCGCCTGTTCCCCCCTGCGCTCACTTTCTTCCCATCTCGATATTTTCACGGTTTGCTGCAAACTTCAATCGCCCGCCGACAGCCCAACTCTGTCGCAGGCTACCGCAAACTCCGCGAGGTGACTCGTCTCGGTCATTTCTACAACCTGACCTGCGATTTGACCCATTTGGCGCCCTCCCCGTGGAGAATTCCCGTTGTCAATTTGGCGTTTTTCTGAGAATCTCGATTTTGCCATGCCAGGCGCAACAGCAGTGACCGCGCCAGATGCCGATTCCTTCTCCGACCGGCGACTTTCAAGTTCAATCAGACTCCAACCACCAACATCATGGTATGTTCCCTCACTAAACCCAACATCACAGCAGTCAGCTAAATGCCTTTTAGAGTTGCTCGATAAGAGATCCCCGTCGCCCAGACGCAATCAAGAAAGCCCTCTAAGATCCTCTGTCGAACCCCATGACAGTCACGGCAACAACGATGGCCCACCCGCGAAGAGACAGAAAGTTGCAGGCGCTGACCACAGACCGTCTCCTCGACTCATCTCCCCCCCATGGAAACGAGTCCTCGCAGAAGGTCCGACGTCCTTCATCCAGGATGGTCGTCGAAAGTCCGGGAGAACAAACGTAGTGCCCCTCGACCTGCAGCCGCAGTCAAACAAAAGGCAGACACGCGCTGCTTTTGATAAGGTCAAGGAAGAGCGTCAAAAACATGCGAAACCTATTTATAATATATCGGCTCGCAAGTCCAAAGCCGAATCGCACATTTCGCCGTCGTCGACTACCAAGCGTGGTTCCATTCCTCCTCCCAAGAGTCGCGATGTATCCCATTCACAGCACCCCGCCAAGGCTGAATCCTCACAGAGGCATCTCAGAGACTCAAACACCACCTCAAAAAACCAGGCCAAGTTGCCTCGGCGTCCTACCGTTACGAGTCATCGTCCACGGATTACTTCGCCGCAGGTCAACGGTGTACATGACAAAAAACCGCAGACAAATGGGATAGTCAAGACCGAGCAAGATAGCGGTGACGACGACCTTGACGCCTCTAGCGCACTCTCCTCCAGAGGCCCGACTCCTCCGTTGACCCTGCGCAGGGTTACTTTCCGAGTTCGATTACCCCCGCCCTCCGTTGCTAGTCCCGCCAATGTGCCGTTACCAAAGAAGTATGCGTCCTTCGGCGAATTCCTGGAAAAAGATGAGACGGAACCGAGGACAGGAGAGGACACACTAACACCTGATCAAATTATGAAGGAGGCCTTAGCTCGGCGAAGAGTGAGAGACGCTCAAAAGCGAGGCGGTGCCCTTGACAAGAAGCTCGTCGATGCTTTGCCACAGAAGCAAGATGAACCAAGGAGACAGTACGCGCATCGTGATCACCTCCTGGCTCATGTATGCCACTTCAGGGCACTTTTAAGGGCAGAGCAGAAAGACCATAAGAAAAAGGCCGAGGCACTGGCGCACGAGGCAAAACGATACGTTGAAGAAAAGCGGAAGCGCAACAAGGTGAAGACTGCTGAAGAAATCGAGCAAGAGAAACGAGAGGCCAGCCTGGCGCTATATCGAACAGTGGTCAAAGACGTCGACAAGCTTTGGGCTGCGGTCAGACTTGAAGTCAATGCCATCCGGCAGAAGGAATACGAAGAGCAGCAACAGGCGAAGATGAAAGGACACCTGGCGCGCGTCCTGGATCGAACGGATCAAATACTCAGTCGACTTAATGAACAAGACGATTCTGTGATGGACAGTGGAACCGAGGTTTCGTCCAACGAGACCACCGAATCCGAATCGGAAAACAGCGAGCAGATGTCAGAAAGCGAGACAGAATCGGAGTCAGAACCAGACGACAAGGACCTTGACGCTGAGATGTCCGTTGAAGAATTGAAAAAGAAGTACGGCAATCTGCCAGAGCTACCGGTTGAGGACGAAGGAGACTTCGCCGAAGGCCAAGACGAAGACGAAGAAGGCCCAGATCAGTCCGATGAAGATTCAGATCCTGAAACTGAAATGGACTCTGAGTTTGACACAGAGGGAACCAGTGACGAGGATGAGGATGGGGACGAGGATGCAGAAAGCGAAGAGGATGACACAGGTGGCGGACTCCTTTCTATGCTGTTCTCAAAGAAGCAGATCGCCGGCATGACGGTCGAAGCCGATGATGCGAGTGCCATTCAGGAAGACAAGTCCGAGAGCCGCGACGCTCCCCTTGTGGAAGTCGTTGAAGAACCGGCTGAACAGCCTTGCACACCCGCGCAAAATGCTACTGAGGAACCGAAAGCTGACGCAATTGGCGAAACAAACGTACAAACAGAAACGCCAACAACTCTAGAGATTGACGACGTCAAAATACTGGACGCAATACCACCCATTCACCCTCAAGTTGCCCGACTTGCTTCTGAAGACCCCGGAAGTCAAGAGCCTAGCACTCATACATCTCCTCATACAACTGCAACGAAAGTGTCCGAGCCCGAGTCTGTCTCCTCTATCGATGCTCAAGTAGACTCTGCGCCGCCCGTTACACCGTCAGAGACAAAGCCGGTCATCAAGACGCCCGTTCCCTCCTTGTTGCGAGGTACTCTCCGTGAATATCAACACGAAGGTCTGGATTGGCTTGCAGATCTGTATGCTCATGGAAGAAGTGGAATTCTGGCCGACGAGATGGGTCTCGGCAAGACAATTCAAAGCATTGCGCTCTTAGCTCACCTTGCTGAGGTTTACGAAGTTTGGGGCCCCCATCTTATCGTTGTACCGACGAGTGTCATGCTGAACTGGGAAATGGAGTTCAAAAAGTTCTTGCCTGGATTCAAGGTTCTGACATACTACGGCAACCTTGAAGAACGGAAGCAGAAGAGGAGGGGCTGGATGGCGGACGACAGCTTCAATGTCTGCATCACATCGTACCAGTTGGTTTTGCAAGATGCCAACTCCTTCAAGAGACGACGGTGGCATTACATGATTCTGGATGAAGCTCACAACATCAAAAATTTTCGTTCAGAACGTTGGCAGACCATGATGACGTTCAACACTAGAGCCCGACTTCTTTTGACTGGAACACCTCTTCAGAACAACTTGACCGAACTGTGGTCCCTTCTATTCTTTCTTCATTATGGTCAGGAAAATGAGGGCGAGGACGACGCATTCGCTGGTCTGAAAGAGTGGTCGGAATGGTTCAAGAGGCCCGTCGAGTCGATTCTGGAGCATGGTCGCCAGGTTCTGGACGAGGAGGATCGAGAACAGGTTGCGAAGCTTCACAAAGTGATCCGACCCTTCCTCCTCCGTCGATTGAAAGCGGACGTCGAGAAACAGATGCCAGCAAAATATGAACACGTTGAGATGTGTCGTTTATCCAAGCGTCAGCGACAATTGTACGATGGCTTCATGTCAAGAGCGCAGACGAAGGAAACGTTGGCTTCGGGCAATTATTTGTCGATCATCAACGCCTTGATGCAGCTGCGCAAAGTTTGCAATCACCCTGACCTTTTTGAGACACGACCGATCAATACATCGTTTGCAATGCACAAATCTGCGGCAGCTGACTTCGAGGTTAAGGATCTTTTGGTGCGTCGGAGACTAATGTTGGACGCCTCAAACGATCTAGACCTCGACTTTTTACGGTTGGCGCCCATTTCGGAAGAGCGGATGTCCATGATTGAGGTAATCGAGACTACTAAACGACATGCCTTCAACAAATTCAAGACCTTGAGGGAAGCTCAGTCTCGAAGGGTCTTATCGTCGTCCCACATCAGAGTCCGGACCGATAATGCCACCTTGTGGCGCGGCGAGACTCGGCTGGGTGTGCTCGGATCGCTTGAGAATGTCGGTCGGAGAGCCCGGCTTCAGGAGTTGGACCGTACAATGTATTACGAAGCATACAAGCACCATCAACATCCAATTTACGGCCGTGGACTGATTGAACAGTTGACCATAAATACAACTTACGAGAGACTGTCCAGACTGTCGCCGCGCAGGGGTTTGAGCCGCTTCTGGGATAAAGGCCAACCGATGCAGTCTATTGATCTTGTTCATTCTGTGCAGTCGAGGTCTGAGCAGATGCAATCCTTTGTTGACAAGTTTGCGTGTCTCACTCCGGCTGTGGTGGCCACGGATCTCTATGCCAGAACTGTAACAGATGCCGGCGCCCAAGCGATCCGGGAATCGACCGTGAGGGCTGACGAGGAGGACCCATTCCACCTTGCGCGCATGAAACTCTCCATCGCCTTCCCCGACAAACGCCTTCTTCAATACGACTGTGGCAAATTGCAGAGACTGGACAAATTACTTCGCCAACTCCAAGCGGGGGGCCACCGAGCATTGATCTTTACTCAGATGACCAAAGTTCTCGATATCCTTGAACAATTCCTCAACATTCACGGCCATCGATACTTGCGACTCGACGGCGCTACAAAAATCGAGCAGCGACAGATCCTCACCGAGAGATTCAACAACGACACGCGCATCTTGTGTTTCATTCTTTCTTCCCGTTCCGGTGGACTCGGCATCAACTTGACAGGGGCAGACACCGTTATCTTTTACGACCTCGATTGGAACCCGGCCATGGACAAGCAATGCACTGACCGGGCGCACCGTATCGGTCAAACACGAGACGTCCACATTTACCGTTTCGTCTCCGAGCATACCATTGAATCGAACATTCTCAGAAAAGCCAACCAAAAGCAGTTGCTCGATGATGTGGTCATTCAGGAGGGCGATTTCACCACGGACTACATGAATAGGATGACTTATCGAGATATGCTTGATGAGAATGCCGAGGAGGACGAGGCCGGCAAGGCGATGGATCGTGTGTTGGGCAATGACAAAACTAGTATCGGCGTGCTGGAGCAAGCTGAAGACCAAGAGGATCGCGCGGCGGCTAAAGTCGCGGCGAGAGAATTGCAGCATGCCGATGAGGGTGATTTTGAGGACGGGAGAGCCAGTGCCACGCCGAGAACCCAGACGGGCGATGCCAGAAGCACACCTGCACCTGGTGGTGTATCGAATGGACCTTTTGGAGCCACCGACACAGCCATCATCGAGTCGCAACAAGACGAAGAGAGGATCCATCACATTGATGAGTATTTCATCCAACTGCAAAAGTACCTGATGAAGGACATTCCGCTCGGACCGGGTAAGGACTCGAAGAAAGGCAAGAAGGGGAGGAGAGGACGCGACGAACACCGCGTTCGGAGAGTGCGATAATTGTACGTCAAGTTGGGTGAGAGGTGCTGCCAGCTTTTGTGTTGTTTGGGAAGGGGCGAACGGAAACATTCGAAGATGGTCCAAGGGACGGACTGATTGATTGTCATCAACGTGTAAGAACAGCTTCCAGATGATTAAAATTCTTGGGTTTGTGGGAGTCTACAAGACCGGGAACGGGCGATGGCTGCGGTTCTCGTGTGTACTGTGTGCAAACGCCCTCATGTGAAGGGGTTGAGGCTTGAGAAAGCACCGATGTAACAAAAAATTAACTGATTTAAACTCCCACATGCGTCCCTTCTCCCGTTTTTCTTGTGATGTTCTTCAATGAAGGGGATGGTTCGAACACCTTGCGCACATTCAACGACTGATGACCTTTGCTTTGCCTTCAATTCACCCGTTGCGTTGCGAAGGATTCAGTTCCAGAGTATATGAAGATACCTAGATATGAGATGGAAGAGACTGCGGGCTTGACCTTCATAGTTGCCGTTTAAGTGGTTCTTGCAGGCGGTCTACCCAAGTATCTGAAAAGTATCTGCTTACCTACATGTAATGACAAGCACAGCTCTCGTGACCCTCTCTGGCGCTACATTTCTCTGGACTCGTGACGGGAACAGTCCAAGTCCACCGTCGTTGAAAGGCGCAGACTTAGCGGGTGGGTGAATGAGCGCTGTTATTGTGCTTTGGGCATACGTGAGAATGCGGTGTGTCGGTAGAGCAGAGCACACCCAGTGACCAAGCGCAGAGTGCCAGAGAGAGAGGGGGAGGGAGATGTCGCCAGACCGTGGCCACTTCCCTGCTGTCATGAGTTCGGATTTTCAAGCAGATTTTGTTGGGAGTCATCACCCAAGAATAAAGGTGGTGTGATACCAGCGTTCTACCTACCTGATCTTTTCGATTGGAGCCGTACCGTACCTAGCGCATGACCGCCGATGCGGGTACGTTCCCACAGCCTGGTGCTGAACTCAGCTCAGATCTAGAATTGGACGGGGTTCGGTTCGATCCACATGGCTCGGTCGCTGGGGGGAGACTTGGAGGGATCAAATGCTCGAAATAGGATAATTCTTGAAGCGCCTGCCTCCGCGTATGGTGTAAGTACCCGGCTGTGGGAAGGAAGCCACCTCGTGAATCGAGTAAGATTTGAGTGTTCTTCCTAAAATAGTGGCGGCGACAGTGTCAACATCTGGGGAATGCTCTACCTGTGGTTCTCTCCGGTACGCTTCTTTGAACACGCCTCTTGAGATTTGAGGAACATCTAGAGACATTGATTAAGAGCCTGCAGTTCTCTGGACTCGTTAGTGTAGTCAACCATCTGTACCTCGTACTCGCATCCGAAATAGTTCCATAAACCGGTGGGAGGGAGGTGGGACGGCACAAATGAGACTGTGGACGTTGAATTGAGTTACTGAGTCCTTTCCCCTCGGCGGTTTGCCTTTCGAGTGGTAATGGTGATCTGGGAATTGTCTATATCAGTCTAGAAGATCTCACTCGTCTCGTGTTGGAAGCATGTATTCGTCAGGAGGACACGTTGACCGTTGTTTCTGAAAAGAGGCAAGGATACTCATTGGTCCGGCAAGCCCGAAGACTCCGTACAATGTAGGGATGCCGTCATCTTGTGCCGTGTTCTGGGACCACTTCATCTGCGTGCTGCATACCGGGGTCGCATTTTCATTGTTGAGCAGAGTGGTTTCGGCTGGAATGCGCTGTTTGAGGGAAAGGCTAGGACAGGGTGTGAGGCGAGGCTGGAGAAGAACAAGATGTGGGATGCAATGGGGACGCCTTCAACTTCGTGATTCACGATAAGTCAATGGCTTTCATCTCCGCCGTCAATCGACGCTCTACCGGGAAGTTCCTTGTATTGTGCTTGTTAGCAACATTGTATTAGCCCAAAGAGGATATATGCATGGCCAGAAGGACTCAGAAAGTTTGTCGCAATGAATGTGGTGGCCACCAGTGCGGCATTTTCCATTCTGTTTCCAAGCGACGATGCTAGCAACCTGGTAGAGTTGATAACTTTGCTAGACATGGCATAGGAGCGCGACAAGCTGCAGAATGTGGTGGATTGTGCGCAAGACCAGTCTCCAGTGCTGAGTCACAGCCAGTGTTCGTCGTTGGAAAGAGGGGAAAATAAGATGCGCCCGCATCTCCACGATCCCACACTGTGGCGTTGGCCAAGACGGCAACAAGGCTTCTTGCGCGATCAGATGGCCTGTTCGTAGAGGGAAATGTTCGAGAAAAGTCAGCCCAACTACGCTCTCTGGTTTAGCGTTGTCCGTGTCCTTGGTTGGGAAGGGGTTAGTCGAAACTGACTCGATGCGCCCAGCTCAAGCCACCACCTCCTCAGGTCGATGCGATCTCCACTCTTGCTGCTTCCAGGAGCGTATTTGCGCAGGTAGAGCGATGATAGCTGGCTGGCCTAAACCACGGTGGCCCCGTAAGAAGTCCGAAGCCCTGTGGCAACTCTGATGGGTCTATTTTTCGTGTGGCTCGGTGCAAATTGTCCCTTTGTCAAGGCACAAGGCACAAGGCACACAAGTCTCCGCCCTCTTTGGCCGGTAATCGGGGACCGGGGTGTCCCAGTACCACCTTGGTCCACAAAGTCGTGCATTTGTTGAATAGAAGGCCTTTTGTCAAAGATTTTCACTTGGGCCAAAGTTGCCTCGTTCTAGAATTCAGCGGAATGGCCTTTGCAAACGAGCAGTCGTAGCCCCGGGTTGCCATCAGTTCAACCACTTGGCCTATGTCATAGAGCAGGATGATGGTGTCAAGCCCAATACGATGTTTGGTCCTTCGTAGGCGATTTAGTCTGTGCTCAATCCTTTGCTCCGATTGCTCTTTAGCCAGCCACCAAGAGATGATGAGTTTGAGTTTGGAATAGCATGTCATCTGCCGATCGTTGGCTGGGCGGATTGGAAACCCAGGGCTAACGACGCCACTTGGGTGCCACTAACCTTGGCCGCGGTGTTTGAGCCGTCAGCCCATCAGACGGATCCCCCAGATTGTCTACGGGTTGGCCGATCACGAGGCGGAATCCCAGTCCGACGCCGCGCCAAAAGTCCGTTCCACCTCTTGAGCAAGGCGTTTTTCGTGTTGATTCTTGTTGTCACCCAAGCCTTCTGAAGCTTTTGAGGAGCCAGGGCTTGGCCTGTTGGTCGCGAGGAGGTCTGTGAGACTGCAGGTGGGGAGCGCAGGCAGATGGTCCGGTGGACGTAGATAGGGCGTTGGGGCAGCATTGCAAGGATAGAAGCAACTAGTCGTCATTCAGCCGTGTCGACTATTTGCAGAAAGTCGAAATGATGATTGGTAAGTGGTGGCCAAGTGCCCGAAGAGGACTGACCGTAGCGACAGCAAAGGCATCTCGGGGCGACGAGAGGGCGAGTGGGCAAGGAGGTGTCGAGGACAAGGTGCTAACTTAGTTTCCTCTAGAAGGTGGAGGAAGTGCGAAAGAGGTGAGGTGTCAGTAGTGAGGTGAGGTGAGGGTGAGGGCGAGGGTGAAGGCGAGGGCGAAGACGAGGGTGACTGGCATTGACTGCGCGCGCAGCCCCAGTTGTGGGAGGATCCTGGTTCCTATCCCACCAGCCCATTCATTGGCTTCCTCTCACGTCAAAGCTATTTCCTGCATCTGCAACTCCTCGTTGGCCCCAAGCCTTGCTGTTGTACGGTATTGACGTTGCACGAACCACCTCGTTGCCGCTTGCCCCTCCCTGCTCCCTTGCATCCACCCCTGGTCGTGTCGTGTGATGGCACTGATGGCCTCCCCTCCCATGCCTCCCATGCTTCCCATGCCCTTCTCTCGGCCCAACAATGTTCCTATTTCCGAATCACGCTGCGATCAGCGTCTCTCCAGACTCGGGCCTTGAACTTGGCTCCCCCAGCAAATCCATTCCTCCACATGCTGATGCTCCGACGCAATGTGCCACAGGGTACTAACACCCCCTGGGGAGTGACCAGGGTTGCGAGATGAGGAGGAGGAGGAGACCAAACCATACCTGGGGCTGATCTTCGCTCTTCGCTCTTCTTCACCTACTCTGCTAGTGAAGCTTCCTCGCCCTGCAAAAGTTCATAAGAGCTGGTCCCTCCCCTTCCTGCTCAGCTTGTCCTTTCTGTCCCCCCTCCCTGTGTCATCTTGACTTGTACACCCATCATCCCTGAAGATCTTGACTCCCACCATGGCGGACCACAAAGATGGCATTTCTCAGGAGCATCGGAGAACTAGTGTACTCTTCGCCGATGAGTCCAAACGCAAGGCCAGTGTAGCTCAACTGACGTCCAACACCAGCGGAGAGTGAGTTTCCCACCCAGCTGTCAGGGGTGTCGTCCTCGCTAACACCTGGTGCAGAGTCCGCAATCCTCTCGTTGGCATTCCGCGCGAGCAGATGCTTCAAGATGTCGAGAACTTCGCCAACGAGAACGAGCTGACCGACATTCTGCCCCTCTTGAAAAAGGGTGCCCTGGTTGCTCAGAGTCCCCATGCTATCGAGCATATTCCCGAACTGGACGAGACCGACCGTGTATTGCTCCGTGAGGAAGTCACTCATCGCTGGAGACACCCCAAGACTCTCTATTTCACCATCATCCTCAACTCGATCGCTGCAGCCATTCAGGGCTGGGATCAAACAGGTTCCAATGGCGCCAACTTGACCTTCCCGATCGCCTTCGGTATTCCTGACTCTGGCCCGGTTTGTCAAGCCAAAGGCAACTGCGAAGCCAACTCGTGGCTCATTGGTTTCATCAACTCCTGCCCTTACATCGCCATCGCCTTTTTGTATGTCCCGTCCTTCTTCTTGGCGGCTGGCCTTGCTAACTTTTAAAGTGCGGGATGGATATCCGATCCCTTGAACGATGTCCTCGGCCGTCGTGGAACCATTTTCGTTGGTGCCATCTTCTCCCTCCTCTCGCCTATCGGTTCAGCCTGCACTCAACACTGGGGCCAATTGGTCGCAACTCGTATTCTGTTGGGTATTGGCATGGGTCTCAAAGAAGTGACGGTCCCTGTCTTCTCGGCCGAAAACGTAAGTCTCGCTCGACTCTCTGAGTCTTTGCCGAGACGGTTTTTGATGGCTAACAACCGGCACAGTCCCCAACAAACATCCGTGGCGGTCTCGTCATGTCCTGGCAAGTTTGGACCGCGTTTGGTATCTTTTTGGGTACTTGCGCCAATCTGGCGGTCAAGGACACTGGTGACATAGCATGGCGCCTTCAACTGGGCTCTGCCTTTATTCCAGCTGTGCCCTTGGTCCTTGGTATCTGGTTCTGCCCCGAGGTAAGTCCGAAAGCACAGCCTTTTTGAGGGCTCTCGACTGACCTGTCATAAGTCTCCTCGTTGGTTGATGAAGAAAGGTCGCCACGCCAAAGCCTACCGAGCTCTCCTCCGACTCCGGAGAAGTCCTCTACAAGCTGCTCGAGATCTTTACTACATTCATGCACAACTTGTCCAGGAAGATATTCTTGTCGAGGAGTCTGCGGTTGCCACTCACGGCAACATTGTCACCCGCTTCATTGAACTGTTCACCATCCCACGTATTCGACGCGCAACTCAAGCTTCGGGTATCGTCATGATTGCGCAGCAGATGTGTGGGATCAACATTATAGCCTTCTACTCATCCACTGTCTTCTCGAATGCAGGAGCGAGCGTGACTGGCTCGTTGCTCGCATCCTGGGGCTTTGGTCTGGTCAATTTCCTCTTTGCCTGGCCCGCGGTCTGGACGATCGATACTTTTGGCCGAAGAGCCTTGTTGCTCTTTACATTCCCCAACATGTGCTGGACGCTGTTAGCCGCAGGATTTTGCTTCTGGATCCCCGAGAGCAGCTCCGCCCATCTCGGTCTCATTGCGCTGTTCATTTTCTTGTTCGACGCGTTCTACTCGCCTGGCGAAGGACCTGTACCGTTTACCTACTCGGCCGAAGTGTTCCCGCTGTCCCATCGTGAAGTTGGCATGTCCTGGGCCGTGGCCACCAATAACTTCTGGGCTTCGGTCTTGTCACTTACATTCCCGCGTATGCTCCAAGCCATGAGACCACAGGGTGCATTTGGATTCTACGCTGCACTCAACATCATCGCGTTCGTCATGATCTTCTTGTGGCTTCCAGAGACCAAACAACGAACCCTCGAAGAATTGGATTACGTCTTTGCGGTGCCCACCCGCACACATATGCATTATCAACTCAACCAGGTCATGCCATATTGGATCAAGACTCAAGTTCTTCGGCGCAAGGGCCTTACTCCTCCACAGCTGTACAAGTTCGATTCGGATGAGTTGAACTTTGTCGGCTCTGATCACGAGGAGGTCACCGAGAAGTCGGCTGAAGCTTGAGCCGTCACTGATATCATCGCCAGAAAGGGCACATGGAGGGGGTTTTCCAGACGATTTTGACGAGTATGAGTTGAGAGCATGGTTACGAATATTCCAAAGATTGAATTAGTCGATCGCTAAACGCCACGAGACACTATTGCAGCTCCATTGGAGGCTAACAGGCTATTCAGTCTATCCTTGTGCCGGACATATACCCCCTTAACGTCCTGGCACACAAGTAGATACTTAGTCTAAGCAGTTTCGCAATCAAGCCTTTAATTCCATCACGACCACCTGCAGACTCTCTCCTATTCTGAGCCTGAGCAGTAATTACTCGATACCTCGTTCTCCTCACCCTATTTCGCTTGCGATCCTGATTCTCCACACCGAACGTCATCACTGGGATCAACCGCAGCCCACCTGCAGTGCCCAGCGCGAGATCTGCACGGGTGCCACCCAGTTGCATGGAAATGGGATTTCTTACCTCAGCACCTTAAGTTTCGGCACCGGGGTGGCACTGGGGAGGGATCTCTAGGTAGGTAGGTAGGTACCTAGGTAGGTAGTGGGAAGGGATCGAAGCCGCGTGCCTTGTCGATCGTTTTGGGGGCTTTTGTCGTTCCCGTTCCCAATTTTGACGTCGGGTGATGGGGGGGATGGATATACCTAACCTTGATAAACCCCAGAGTGGAGGATGAGGAGGAGGAGGAGGAGGAGCAGGAAGGGGTATTTTGGGCCAACTGTCTGGCTAGGTACATACTGGGGTTCTGAGGTAGCTGGCGACTCGAGCTACTGTAGATACCTAGGGTAGCTAGCAGTGAAAGAGGGAATGTGAATGGGAATGGGAATGGGTCTACCCTGTGGGAAGAGGAATGGTGTGAAGCACGAAGCCCGAAGCACGAGGACCACCTACTCCCACTCCCACTCCCACAGGCGGTCTCTGTTTTCTACCTACCTATCTGCCTACCTACCTACCTAATGTACTGTATCAACTTCTCCACTCTTATCAATCATACCTAGGTATGGCATCTCGCGTGGGCCGCCCAACTCGCCTCACGTCTGGCACCCCATCTGGCACGAAATCTACAAAAGCGGTAGTGGGTCGGTGGGTACGTTCCGCACACTCAGTATACAGTTCTTCGCGGCAGCAGCAGCAGCAGCAGCAGGGACAGGTGTTGTTTGATATTTGATGTAGTGTTCCTAGGGAGGTAAGAGTATCTCATATGTACTCGGAATAATAATGATAAACCGCAAGGATACTCGCTGCAGGTGGTGACGCCGTTGCGGTACGTCCCTAATAAACGTTTATGGGGATGCAAAGCTCGACCGCTGAAAGGACGTCGCTGTAGCTGAATTGTAGATTACAGTAGGTAATTAACAATTGATAATGCCGCAGAACAAAACATCCCAAGGTAGTTCCATCGCTATGCTGAAACATGCAGAACAACCCATAGGCTAACTAGGCATGTCCTCATTTACCGCTCTTGATACGGAACAAACAATCCATTTCGTCAAAAAACATTCGAATTAACTGGAAAACAAACACATTCATTCAGTTTGTTCTCACACCAACTCCCCCTCACTGCCTGGGCTGCTAAACTCATGCTTTTGTTGTTGTCGTGGGCTTGGTTCGCGGCTCCAGTTTGGGCGGCTTTCTTCGAGTGGCGGCGGGCTGACTTGACTGTGACGTTGACGTGGTTCTTGTCGGCTTGTTCTCCAGCTTCTTCGGTTGCGGCCTCCTCGGCGTGGTTTCGATTGTCTTTGGCGGGGATTGTGTCTTGGGCGTCTGACTTGGAGCTTTTTGAGGTGGAGGAGGACGAGAAGGTGTAGGTTGAGGCTTGGAGGGCGTCTGACTAGGTGCTTGGGGAGGTGGAGGAGCAGCTTGAGGTTTGGAGGGTGCCTGGGCTTTTGGAGATGTTCTTGGTTTCTGGGTCTGGTTTGCTGCTGTCGTGGTCTTTGACTTGTCTCCAGCTGGTGGACTAGATCTGGCCCTATTGGATGATCCCCCCAGTCCCGGAATCGACGACATTCCAGGTACCGAAGGCATTGAGGGCATCTTGGGCATCTTAGGCATTTTGGGCATCGATGGCATGCTGGGGATGTAGCTTGTCAAATCCTTGACCCATTGCTGGTAGTCTTCCTGACCGCCACCTCCGTTATCGCGGCGCATCTCCTCGAGTTCTTCTTGGCTTGGGGCATTGGTCTGCCGGGCCTGCATCACCATCTTCTCTAGGGCCTTTTTCTGACTCGAAGTAGCTTCCCAGTTGGGGAAATCGCCCACAATACTTCTGACGCCCTGGCTGGCCATCTGGCCCAGATCCCAGAACGGACCACTGATTGCACCGTACGCAGAGCCGACACCACCTCCCAGTAAAGCGCCTACCGAAGATACCAAGCCACCAACCAGCGCGCCGGTCAATTTGCCCAGAGTCACGCCGGGCTGGACACCCAGGCCCGCGCCGGCCGCAAGGCCCTGGAACGTGCCCGACCGAGTATACTTGGCGGCCTTGCCAAAGGACTCGGCCTCGATCTCCTTGTTGACGGCTTTGGCCAGGATTTCTTCGCGGGCGTTGGGGTCCGCGGCGCCATAGGCTGCTTGCCGGAGTTCATAGGCTTTCTTTGCCGCTTCCAGCGCGAGGCCGGCGCTCACGGACGAGCTCTGTTTCACGTCAGCCTCGGGGATGGCTGGTTTGCTGGTGGGAGCGGGGAATGCATTGCTGCCTTGGGGCTTTGGGGCCGTCTGTGGTGGGCGCTGTTGCTGTGGCCGTTGCTGTTTCTGTGGCGGCTGCTGTTTCTGTGGCTGTTGCTGTTGCTGTTGCTGTTTCTGTGACGGTTGCTTTTGCTGTGGCGTCCGTGGTTGCGGCTTCTGCTGCGACGCCGACGTCTTTGGTGGCAGCTTCTTGGGTGGCATCTGAACTGATGGGCAACTCTGGCAGTAGACGTTGGTGATGGCAGAGTTCTATCGTCCACGCGAATGTGGGACTGTGAGAAAGTTCGGTGCCCCGTGTGTTTGACGTTTGATCCTGGCATCCTTGCATCTGTACGTCATTGTTACTCGCAGTTGCTGGGCTAGTGAGGCTGTGCCACAGTCGGTGGTAAACATTGACGTCAAGCAAGACGGAGATCGGGCACCTCGTAATCCGGAATCTGGGGGATAGATCTTCGTGATCGTACTGCGGATCGTGCCACAAGTCCAACCCTACATACCGAGATACATACCTAGGTACCTAGGTACCTGGGTAGGTACTCGGTAGGCAGATAGGTAGATATACTCGGTACAGTTGCCCCTCCTATCTGTCTGGAATGCGAGTTACACACACACAGAAAATGGCCCCAGTCATGGGTCTTTCTCCTACAAAACAATGACATTCCCGGTGTTGCTTCTGTCCCCTATGCAAGCACAGCGGGCGCGAAACACAGGATCCCACCGCCCGATCTAGACCGTCCTTCATGAGAGAGATCACACAAGAGCTCGTTCATGATGTTTCGACCAAATACGCCTCCAATGCCTGTGATACAGGAAGAGGCGCGCCAACTTCAGCTGTTGGAATTCATAAGCTCCTCCAAATTGCACATGCAGGCTCTATAACATTCAAGTCGTGTTCATCCGGGACCAAGTCGACTTTCATCAGCGTCAAGACACAAATTCCCACACGTTAGCTGGCTCTCATACACATGGGATCCGAGGAGACACTTGGACGCGAGAGTGAGGTCGTGACAACTAGCGCCGCGCCGACCGCTAACCAGATGAAGCTGATGCAAGCATGCCGGTGTCAATCATGGCCATATATCGATACATGGTCCTCGGCCCATACTTTGGACTTCATACAAGAAATCCAGACGCGTTGCCAATGCATTCCGTCGTGCTCTCTGTGTTCCATTTGGTACAGGCCTTCTGCATCATCGTTTTCGCCAAAGTTGCCTTGAGCAATGCTTCCCAATACTTGCTTTAGTCCCTGGGTGCCTGTGGTATCGAAATAGGATCGACCTTGGGCTGAGAGAAACACCCCAACAGGCGGACACGGGCCATCTTCTGTATCTTTGCATCGCTTACCAGATGAATGCTCACTTGGCTTCGGTCTTCCGCTTCCCATCCTTTGGAAGGTTTCGATAATGGCAAACTCTGGTCGCTGGGTAAGGATGGAAGGCTAAATCGATTTCTGAAGCCTTGGATCCGTTGTGGCCGCAGCTGCGGAAGGCTCAGAATCATCGGCATCCATCACCTCGAGCGGACTTGGATCATGACCCCCACCATCGGCTATTTCCTCTCACACCCTCGGTTTCGTACGCTGACTCTTCCTCCTCAAATTTCAATCTTTCCACGATCTGTCGGGCTCGGAAACTCTTCACAAACTTCCACGCCTCTGTGTCGGCTAGATTCCATGCCTCTGCCACGCTGCGGATTTTGAGCACGGCCTCATCTTTACTATTGATGGTTCTCCTTGCCTTCCGTAAGAGTTCGACCTCAATTTGAGCCTGTTCTTCTGAAGGCGGATCGGGATCGGAGGACTTCTTCCGTTCGGCAGGAAGACCAGCAGGAGATTTGGCCCAACGCTCAGGTCCGGGTACTGGAGGCAGAGACTCACCATGAGACACTGTCGTTCTTGGGATGGGAAAGCCAAAGTGCCAGTCAAGATGCGTGAGCCAATCTTCTGGGAATGGCGCAACTTCCTCCCTTGCTGGACGGGCATCATTAGTGGGCGACTTTGGTGGAGGAGGCGGTGGGTTGAAAGACGCAGGGAAATGTTCGGTAGTAAACCACAAGGAGCGACTACTGCCATATTCTGATGCCACCGCATCCTTCAAGGCCACTACCCGACTCGGGCCTCCACGGCCGTCTCCCAATAGATCCCGCGTGACTGCAGTTATCCAAGGATCTCGATCAGTGTGCCGCCTGATATGAGCGACGGATACGGTATCAGATTGGTTTGTCAGTGCGATCATCGTATAAGGGTGAGGCACAACAGCAATCGTAAACAAGGACGACGTGTTCCTGAAGGAAGGGGCAGTGGTGATTCTCAGCTTCGAGCCAGTGCACGGAGAGCACTTCGGCCGGTTCGGCGGACAGGAAGATTGCAACATAGTGCTGGGACATTCCGCAAGCAGACGGGCTAGATCCTTGGAGGGTTGAACAAGCGTGAAGGTGTGAGCTGCCAGAGGCTGCAGGACCGCAATGCCGGCACTGAAAGTGTTTTGCCATATGACATGAAGATGAGCAATCATGAGTTTGTTGAGCGCACGTCGACCCTTGTTTACATCTTTGGCAATCAATTCTGCTAGAATAGGGTATTTGGAAGCTATTGTCTTGGGATCGTAATGGGCGATGGATGTTGGCTGTTCGACTGTAAAGCGCTCCGAGTCGATGGCGTCGGTGATGGTCTTGTAAGAGCTCAATTTGACACTGTCGAGGGCGGATTTGATGGCATCTTCGATTTGGGTCTTTTCCCCTGCAAACAGGCCTGAACCTAAGTCCTTAAACTTGGTAAGTTGAGGAAACTGCCCTCTTCGCAGGTGAGATAAAAGATCATCGTCAACGGGGGCCATAGGCAAGCAGTTCCAGCTGGCAAGCAAGCCAGTCCCCATATGAGCCCAAGCCAACCACTGCCGAAACTCTTGCTCCAGGACTATGGGCATGCCCTTTGCCTGTAAGGTCTGGTAGAGCGGATGGCTCATGGCCTCTGCATCCGTCAGAACCACTGGTCGAAACCCATGAGCCCACCAAGCACGCCTCCACGTCAATAGAAACTCCTTGTCGATGCTCTTGGTCTCGTCATCTCTTTTGATCGAAGTATCGTAGAACGTGTAGACTGGTGGCCGTTCCGCCAGAGGAGGCAGCACGACTCGATCCTCGTCGAGCGTTACAGAGGAGGAAAAAGGATTGAGCCATTTCCAATCGCTGTACCATGAGCTGTCTCCATGGGTGCTATTCTTTTGTTCAGGAGGTTTGTGCGCAGAGCTCTGGAACGACCAGCGGAGGGTGGGGACAGTGAGTTTGGGGATCACTTCTCGGAGGGCTTCTGGGTACGATAGTGCGTCGATAACGGCAGCGGTAGAGGGACTCGACGTCGAGGTGAATATTATGAGGCCGCAGATGAAGACTGCCGCGGTGACAAGATAGCGGATGAAATGGCGCGGAGGCATTGCGCTCAAGATAGAAGCGAGTGACTGGTTGAAAGTGGAAACCGGAAAGAAGCAGAAAAGCAAAGCCAAGGGCTTGAACGCGCCAAAGGAAATCTATTGCGAGCACAGAAACATTTTGCGAAGATGGAGGTGTTGCAGGATCGAGAGACCCGTCAACGGATTGAGGCTGCTGTTTGGTGATTGCGCAATCTGAAATTGTGACAAGTCCGAGTCGTTAGAGTCCGGGGAAACAAGCACCACAAGGCTACATAAGCTGACCAATAGGACCACGGTCTACTGCCAAGGCCGATGTCGGGCCCACAGTCTTGCTTCTCCGGCGGAGCGTCTGCCCAGGAACCGCAAAGATAATTTTTCCTTTTCCTTTTCCCTCTGCAAGCCCAGAGCCTGGTTGACTCACTCGGTGCTCATCTGTGTTTTGCATATATCCTCGAGCCATGGCTACGGGTGCTGCTCACGACGAGCGCCTGGCTTGGTGGACCCAGCACCTGCAAGACCAAACGATTTCGCCGTTGACTAGAGATTACCCTGAGGCCACCGCGGAGAATGTACCCAAACGGCCCATCGAGGCGGCCGAGTCGCTTGCTGCTCCAGTGACCACCAGAAATGCCTTGAAGACACTGTCCGGTCTCGCATCGTTCACCACTATCATTCAGACGGCTCTCATCGTTCTGGTGAGCAGACTCACGGGCGATGAGGACATCAGCATCGGCACGAATGCAAAGACTAACGGTCCTCCATTTGTCCTCAAAACAGCTGTTGTCGCCTCAGAGCCATTCTCGCAGCTCCTCAAAAAGGTGCAAGATTTATCAGCCCAGGCGGCAGAGAAGATTGTCTCTTTGGCGGATCTTCAGGCGAGCTTAAAGAGACCAATCCTATTTCGCTTTGGTGTTTTTGACAGCAATGACGATGGTGCTAGCCTCCCCGGCAGTGCTGAAACAACTGACTTCTTGCTGTCTTATTCATGCTCTGCTGCAGGGGAACTTCGGATGACTGCGCGGTACAATCAGCGTCTTGTGTCGAGCGCAAGGATAGCCTGTATCCTCGCCCAAATGACGCAGCTGTTGGAAAATATTGCGCTTGATGTCAATGCTCCAGTTGGTGGCATCGTGTTCGCCACTCCTCAAGAGCAAGCTCTTATACCCAACCCGACCAGCGATTTGGAGTGGTCGTCTTTTCGTGGCGCTATCCACGATATCTTTGCTGCGAATGCAGAAGCACATCCTGATCGAACGTGTGTAATAGAGACAAAATCCGAGGATGGGCCGGAAAGGAAATTTACTTACCAGCAAATACACGAATCCTCCAATATCCTAGCGCATCATCTTGTCCAATCTGGACTGGAAAGGGGTGATGTCGTTATGATATACTCTTATCGAGGAGTTGACCTAGTAGTCGCCATCATGGGCATCTTGAAGGCAGGCGGCACGTTTTCAGTCTTGGACCCTGCCTATCCACCTGATAGACAAAACATCTACCTCGATGTCTCAAGACCAAGAGCGCTTGTCATTATAGATAAAGCTACCCAGGATGCTGGTGAGCTTTCAGAAAAGGTACGAGGCTTCATCAAGGACAATCTGGACCTCAAGACAGAAGTTCCGGCTTTGCGCTTACAGGATGACGGCTTTCTTCATGGTGGTGAAGTTGCTGGAAAAGACGTTTTTGAATCTCTGCGGCAGCTCAAAGCCAAAGGTCCCGGAGTCGTGGTTGGGCCCGACTCGGTTCCCACCCTCTCTTTCACATCTGGTTCTGAAGGTAAACCGAAAGGTGTCAGGGGCCGCCATTATTCATTGGCGTTCTACTTTGACTGGATGGCAAAGAGGTTCAACTTATCCGAGAAAGACAGATTCACCATGCTCAGCGGCATCGCACACGATCCTATTCAAAGAGACATTTTTACACCTCTGTTCCTGGGCGCACAGCTTCTTGTACCATCCAAGAACGATATCCAGAATGAGCTGCTAGCCGAGTGGATGAAAGAATATGGCGCAACCGTGACACATCTTACACCAGCAATGGGTCAAATCTTGGTCGGAGGTGCAACTGCAAAGTTTGAAGAACTTCATCACGCCTTTTTCGTGGGTGACATCTTGATCAAGAGAGACTGCCGATCCCTTCAGAATCTGGCACCCAACGTTCGGATCGTCAATATGTGGGGGACGACAGAGACTCAGAGGGCGGTGAGTTACTATGAGATACCGTCGTGGAACGAGAATGAAGGCTTCCTCGATGGCTTGAAAGACGTCATCCCCGTCGGCAGAGGAATGCATAACGCTCAGATGCTTGTCGTAAACCGTTTCGACCCGACCAAGCTGTGTGCAGTTGGCGAAATCGGAGAGATATATATCAGAGCAGGAGGACTTGCAGAAGGATATCTGGGAACGCCAGAGCTGACGGCCAAGAAATTCGTTAATAACTGGTTCCCGGGCCATGAAAAAGGTTTGGAGTCGGACAAAGCCAGGTTTGAACAGAAATATAAAAAAGAACCCTGGGCGCAGTATTACCTTGGCCCCAGAGACCGCCTCTATCGAAGTGGAGATCTCGGCCGTTACACACCGACAGGAGATGTGGAATGCTCTGGCAGGGCTGATGATCAGGTAAAGATTAGAGGTTTCCGCATCGAATTGGGAGAAATTGACACTCACCTGTCCCGACATCCACTTGTGCGCGAAAATATCACGCTTGTGCGAAGAGACAAGTTTGAAGAACAGACACTTGTCAGCTATATTGTGCCCCAAATGAAAGCGTGGTCCCAGTTTCTCGCCGAGAAGGGTAAAGAGGATCTCCCCGATGATGGAACCCTGATTGGGAGAGTCGAAAGGTTTCAACTGCTCCAGACCGACGTGCAAGAGTACCTGCGAACGAAGCTGCCTGCGTACGCTGTTCCTTCTGTCATCGTGCCAATGAAAGCGATGCCTTTGAATCCCAACGGCAAGATCGACAAGCCAAAGCTGCCATTCCCGGACGCAGGAATCCTCTCGGCACGGACTCGGCGGAAGTCTTCTATGCTGCAACAGCTCACGGAAGGGGAACTAGCGCTTGCACATATCTGGGCCAAACTTGTTCCAGGGCTGATTCCCAAAACCATCAGGCCAACCGACTCTTTCTTCGCCATCGGTGGCGAAAGTATGAAAGCTCAGCAGCTCGCATATCAAGTCAGAAGAACGATTGGGGTGAATCTCCCCATCAGCAAGATATACAATCGACATACGCTAAAGGAGATGGCCGCTGTCATTGATCATTTGCGAGCAGCTGATTCCTTGAGTGGTGGAGGATCAGTCGAGGCTAACGAAGCTGCAGACAGCAGTCAAGCCAACGGTGTTAAGTCTGAGGACCAATACGGTGACGATGCCTCGATTATGGTCAAGACGCTGCCTTCCTCGTTCCCTTCTGCATCTTCCGATGTTCCTTCAGCACCAGTGGTATTCCTTACTGGAGCAACAGGATTCCTGGGCTCATTTATCTTGAAAGACCTGTTGGATCGCAAAAATCCTCAAGTGCAGAAAGTCTTTGTCCTGGTCAGATCCAAAGATGAGGCAACAGCACTATGCCGAATTAAAACCACCTGCCAGGCTTACGGTGTCTGGGATGATTCCTGGCAATCCCGAATCCAGTGCGTTACAGGCGAACTAGGACCGACGCAACTTGGCATTTCTGATACAGCATGGAAGCAAATTGTTGACGAAGTTGACGTTGTCGTCCACAATGGCGCCCAGGTCCACTGGATCAATACGTACGAAATGCTCAAGCCTGCCAACGTTCTCGGCACTATTGAAACAATGAAAATCTGCGCCCAAGGCAAACCTAAACTTTTTGCGTTTGTTTCCTCCACCAGCGTGCTCGACCACGAGCACTTTGTCTTCGAATCAGAACGGATAATTGCCGCTGGAGGTGAAGGCATAAGTGAAGAGGATGACTTGATGGGAAGCCGGAAAGGACTAGGTACCGGCTATGGCCAGAGCAAGTGGGTAGCAGAATACCTCTGTCGCGAAGCCGGACGGCGAGGTTTACGTGGATGCATCATCAGACCCGGTTACGTGCTTGGGTCCTCCAAGACTGGCGTCACAAACACGGACGACTTCTTGATTCGCATGCTCAAGGGCTGCATCCAGCTTGGTACGCGGCCCAACATCAACAACACCGTGAACATGGTCCCAGTGAATCATGTTGCTCGCACGGTTGTGGCATGTGCTTTCCACCCCCCATCTCCTCAGGCAGTTAGTGTAGCCCAGATCACGGGCCACCCAAGACTTCGTTTCAATCAGTACCTCGCGGCACTCCAAACCTATGGTTACAAGGCGAACCTAACGGATTATGTCCCTTGGGCATCTTCGCTCGAGCACTACGTGAGTACGCACGCAGATTTTGCGCTCATGCCACTCTTCACCTTCGTCGCCAATGACCTTCCCTCAAATACACGTGCACCAGAGCTGGACGACAGCAATGCGGAGAAAGCACTTTACGCAGATGAAAGATGGACTCGAGAAGATGTCAGTGCGGGAAGTGGTGTCACAAAGCGTGAGATCGGCCTGTATTTGGCTTATCTGGTCCAGATAGGATTCCTCCCGCCTCCAAATGCTGGCAGTGACCAGAATGGTGTCAAGAGCTTGCCAGAGGTGACAGTGTCGGACGCACAGCGCAAGGCTTTGTCGAGCGTCGGTGGGAGAGGCGGCTTGGCCTGAGGTGGCATTGAATGTGAATGTTATTGACATGCTCATAGATTTGGTTAGAGCCCGCAAAGCCTGAGGCCCAAAAGTGTCTATTTCTCGCAGAAAATCTCACGAAAGGGCTCCTACTATGCTCGAACCGCCAATGATAAGCTTACTTTTTCCAAAACGTTATGCGAAGACACCACTCTGCGGTATTTCTGAATTTCGCTTACAATAGTTGCACAGCCTGACCCTAGGCAGCTTCAGTCCAGTCCCTTGAGCCTTGCAAACAACTATCCGACCGGGATCCATTCTAGCTTTACGGGCTATCAGGATGAGGGGTATTCTCGTGCTACCACAAGAACAGCCAATCCTACCGAGGGTAGCCAGGGTCACCAACAAGTCACCAAGTCTCGCTGGGACTTCTATACGGAGTGTTTCTAGACTCAAGCAGACAGCAACTACTAGACCTGTTAAAGAGGGCGACCCGAGGCCCGAGGAGCGCAAATGGAATAGCTTCGAGACCCTTGCAGAGTCGCTCCGCGCGCGCGGATGGGCATTTTCATCATGCCAGTTCCTGAGAGGACGTGCGGAGAAGCATTTATCGAAAAGGGGCCTAATGTGTCAGTGGAGACAACCGTCCTCGAGGAGACTGTCTGATAACACCCTGCTCAGGTACAGCCCCCAGTCCTCCATGCCTGTTCCAGGTTCTTGAGTGTCTCGAACTCCAGACCACCGATGGCAATACCCTTTTACTGTGTATATTCGACTCCATCCGAGGCCCAAGACTTGGTGACAATGCTTCGACTAGATGTGTTGGATAGAAGCCTGCCGGTGAGACGGCTATCTACTGCTTATGCACTTTACTTGTTTCGTCAACACCGAGGCTGTACACGGTTAAATGTTGTTTCGTTCATCTCCTCCCCCTAAGGGTTCCGAATCCATGGTACTTGAAAGTCTTGGTATATCTTTGGTTTTGCGCAGCACTCTTCACACTGGCATGTAAACCTCTTCCGTCTTCCGTTAGAGCAAAAATGTCTGTCGAAACGCTTTCGGTTTCTCAAGTGGCTGAACCACTCCTTACCAAGTCCAGCAACCTCACGGTCAAAGAAGTTGAAGACGATTTGGGATTCGATCCGGATGCTCTCAAGGCAAAATATCTTGCTGAACGGGAGAAGCGTATCCGCGCCAATCCTAATGGAGTGGAACAGTATCGTGCAATTGAAGGCTCGCTGTCCCACTACCTCGACGACCCATGGGCTGGACAAGATGACAAACGCGATCCACTGACGATAAGCACTGAAGTTGTGATTATTGGCGCTGGGTACGGCGGGGAACTGATGGCGCACAACCTCAAGCAGAACGGAATTGAAGATTTCAAGATCATTGAGAAAGGCGCAGACTTTGGCGGGGTTTGGTGGGCACAACCTTACTATCTCGTCATGAAATTTCAGCTCTGACTGACGGTGTTCTAGGTACTGGAACCGATATCCAGGGGTACAATGCGACATTGAGTCCTACGTCTACATGCCCATGTTGGACCACGTTGGATATGTCCCCACGGAAAAGTATGCACGCGGACCCGAACTCTTGCAACACGCACAGAAACTGGCGAGAGAACTGGGACTCTACGAAAAGGCCGTCTTCAAGACGGAGATTCTAAGCATCCACTGGCAAGAAGAGACTGCGACTTACTCGATCAAAACAAACCACAACGACAACATCCAGGCACGCTTCGTGGTAGGCGTTGCCGGGTCGCTCCATCGACCGAAACTACCAGGCTTCCCAGGAATCGAAACTTTTAAAGGGCACAGTTTCCACTCCAGCCGTTGGGACTACAAGTATACCGGCGGCGACGCCACCGGAGGAGGACTCGTGAACCTTACTGACAAGAGAGTTGCGATTGTTGGCACAGGGGCGACCGCCGTGCAGATCGTGCCAAACATCGCACCCTGGTGCAAGAAACTGTACGTCTTCCAACGGACGCCCTCGTCGATCGACGTGCGCAACAATAGACCAACAGATCCCGGATGGGCGAAAACTCTTACGGGAAGATGGCAGAAGGAGCGAATGGACAACTTCAACACGATCGTCTGCGGCGGACACCAGGACATTGATTTGGTCAACGACGGCTGGACGGACATTATCCGCAACCTGTACCCTTCCCGAGAAGCCGCGGGAACCATGGGCAAAGAGGAGATGGCCAGACGACGACAAATCCTGGACTTTCAGAAAATGGAACAGATCCGCAAACGCGTCAATGCGATCGTCAAGGACCCCGCGACGGCCGAGAGCTTGAAGCCGTACTACAATCAATTCTGCAAGCGGCCCTGCTTCCACGACGAGTATCTCGCGGCCTTCAACCGGCCTAATGTACAACTAGTCGACACCAAAGGCCAAGGGATCGAACGGCTGACCGAGACCGGGGTGGTCGCCAACGGCGAGGAGTTTGAGATTGACTGCCTGATTTACGCCACGGGGTTTGAGCGTGCCACCAGCTGGAGCCACCGCGCCGGGATGGAGGTGTATGGCCGGGACGGCAAGATCCTGGGCGAGAAGTTCTCGGACGGGCCCAGCACGTTCCAGGGCTGGGTCAGTCGGGACTTCCCCAACTTCTTCATGATCACGACGCTGCAGGCGTTTGTGACGGCCAACTTCCTGCACACCACGGCCATCCAGGCCGAGCATCTGGCGTATGTGGTGGCCGAGTGCAAGAAGCGCAACATCCGCTCCATCGAGCCCACCCAGGAGGCTGAAGACAAGTGGGTCGAGACCATCGTCGAGTCCGGTGTCAACTCCAGAGCCTTCCACACGGAATGCACACCAGGGTATTACAATAACGAGGGCCAGATCACCCGCAAGCTAGCCAAGAACCAGTGGTACGGAGGCAGTCCGTTGTGGGTCATCAATATGCTGAGGGAATGGCGCGAGGCGGGCCAGCTCGAGGGTCTCGCGGCAACGTTTTACCCCGAATCCGACGGCTCCTAGGACTTGTTCTGGTTGGATGTTGGCATGTCTTTCTTCATTATCTTCTCCTTTTTGAGGCTCTGTCTTCATAGTCTTCGGGGAGCCTGGGCGCGATTTAGCTACTTGTATCAAATGAATCATTCATGCTTTTCTAATCCTTCCAAATGGTGAAAAAAGAAACCCGGCTTCTTGGTCCAGAGTGTGCTTTACGCTTCGTGATTTAGAATCCTAGAAAATTCCCTTCCTCCGTGTGGTAAGTCAAAGGCTTGGAAACAGCCGTTGCCTCGTGGAGGGCGTAGGGGGGAGATAAAATTCATAGTTTCCACGACTTATATCGTTTTTTCGGGCTTCAAATATCTCCGATTACCGACATAGTCCCCGTCATGACAAAGTCTCAATAGAGCTTGACATTCAACTTCGACATGGCCTCACCCAGTCCACCGCCACAGATGAAGGCGGCCTTGTCATCGCTAAACTCTGGCCTCTGCCTGTAATGAACGTTTTCGCCGCTGCATTCCGCAGCCTGTCCGGTCAAGCTGACATCGTCGATGAAGCTCATGAAAGCCTTGACGATGGTAGAGGTAGGCGTAATGTACTCCTCTGGGCAGGTGAAGGAGTAGATCTTTGTCAGGGCCGTGTGCACGAGACCTAGAAGCAGCGAGCGAGAGTCAGCCTATTGGCCAGCGAGCATGGGGCAAATTGGTAGATGACCGACCTGGACATATGCAGTTCACAGTAATGGGCTCTCCGAGCTCCTTGAGCCGTTGGCCCAGAGATCTTGTCAATCCGACGACCTGCGAAGGAAAGTAGGTCAGTCACGAGTCCGGCGACAAGAACATCCATTATCAGCCCCATTTTGGGAGGAGAGAGCTTGAATGATTTACCCCAGCCTTTGCAGCCGAATACAGTGGAACGGTGCTCCCCGTGTAGATGCCCGCCATGCTGGACGTGAAGATGAGCTTGCCGGCCTTGTCTGGGTTCTTGCGGAAGTAGTGGAACGCCAGCCATGCGCAGTAGATGGGCCCGTAGAGGTCAATGTCAATCACGGCTGTGTTGGGCTTGGGAGGCGTGCCGTCTTCTCGGTCCTCCTGTTGCGCGTAGAAGTTGATCCGGTCGCCGATGCCCTGTCAGGTCCAAATCATTAGACACTTCATTTAATGCATGTATATTCTCCTTGCTGGGGGTGCTGAGAGCGAGAGAGAGAGTGAATCATTACAGCATTTCCATAGACCGCGTCAAGACGCTTCCATTCCTTCCAGGTTCGGGCAAAGGCAGCTGCTATCTCTTCGTACTCTGCCACGTTTGCTTTGATGAAGATTACCTGGGGTCCGCGGGAATTCGCCACCGCTTGCCCGGTTGCTTCGTTGTAGTCGACGATAGCTATGTTCCAGCCCTGCTTCAGCAGATGCTCGACCACGGCAAGGCCCATGCCCGATGCGCCTCCTGTGACGAGACAAACCGGTGCACTGCTACGTGCATCACCATTGAGAGTGGCCATTGTTCTTGGATACCACGAGCTGAAAGAAAGGCAAAGTGTCTGAAAAGGGGAGTGTTGCTGGGCACTTCCTCATGCTCTTGCGCTCTCATTTCCCCAGAGTTATCAAGCCACAGCACATGCTAGACGCGTTTACGTGATCACCAGGACGGGCGCATCAGGCCGAGGGCCTTTGCGAAAAAGGGGTTAACCGGACCCAAGGTGGGGTAGAAGTCATTGTACGCCAATGCACACCCCAGACGACTGCACATGCCGAAACTCTGTTACAACGGTCAGGGACAGTGGAGGGTGGAGGTGGCCAAGGGTATGTTACTTGCTTCTTTTGCACCTCAGATAACCGAGGGATGTGCTTTGGATGCCGCGGCCACCCACAGCGACATGCTCTTTAACCCAGGTTGTCGCCGACCGCTTTGATCTGCCCACGGTGATGCATTGCAACATTTGACTGTCTGAACGGCTTGAATGGCTGGCGCAGGGCAACCCTTCGCCGCAGGCACAGCCTTGGGTTTAGTCCTTGCCATAACTATCCGGGAGTGGACTCAGGAAATCAGTCTTCGCGCACCACGTCGGCCCCGCGCATTCCTCTGCAATGCAAGGTCGGAGCTGGCTCGAACTTGCGCCTCCCCCGATGTTGAAGATATACACCCACTGCTCTGCTCGCATGTGGAAGCACTCCGCCGTCAAAGCAATCGATGTTGGGCTTGCGGAGACCATAGCACGGGGAATGGAGCACACATGGTCTCGGCCAGCAAGTACGCGAAGCGAATCACGAAGCGCAAGTGCTGGCAATATTTGAAGAACAAGATGTTGCCGACTTCAAACATGACGAACATTTAAGGATCTTGTCTGAATGCCCTTGGTGACTAGTCCGGTCTAGCGATAATAAGTCAGGCAAGACGAACGGGCCGCCGCGGCAGAGCACTTATTGTTTTTGTCAGGAGCCACTAAAGTCATAAAATTGAAGGCGGACGCCAAGAGACCGTTAAACTTAGTGCTGTCCCCTTATGCTGTTGACGACTGCGTCCCAGGTTGAAGATGTCGATGTCTTTGGCGAAATGTAATCTTCCTTGTAATTCCATCGTAGAGCAATTCACCCAGCTGAAGCTTGCGAGATTTCCGCAGAAGAGGCTCCTAAACTCAATGGTGTATTTGACCCGTCTCAGCTCCTTGTTCAAGGCAGTACCAGGCTGTGCTCGAATAAACTGCACATACCCCCATGGTGGATCTTAGTGGGGTTGTGTTATACACAGCCTTGCCTTGACCAGGCTATACAGGCATGCGCGTTGATTGGCTGGGAGGCAGGGGTCCTCTATGGTTAATGATCCTCTGGGCTAACGCTAGCCTTACTAGGTATGTTAGCACGGTTAGCTCTCGAGTTTCCGGTGGAACTTGCTTCTTAACCGACAATCCCCGCATTCCCATGGTGGCGCAAACCTGAGAGTAACCCGAGGATAACTCGAACTATTGACATTGCTAAGCTCCCTTTTCATCAAGAAGAAGACAAGCTTGGCCGCTTCTTGAGAACGCGACTTCAAGTATCAACTTCGTCGCCATGCATCCAGCAGAGTCACCGCCGTCGACCCTGTCGCCGCTGTCAGTTTCGGATCGGCAGAGAGCCGGCCAGCAAAGCCAAGCCGCAGATGCGATCCGGGCACAATCGCGCGCAAAGAAAGGAGTCACCCATCGTCGAGCCACCCAGGCATGTCTGCGCTGTCGCTCGCGCAAGGTCAGATGTGACGTGACGCACAAGGCTGGCTATTGCACCAACTGTTTGCTGGACGGTGCCGAATGCCGAGTCATCAAGTGCAGGCGTCGCGGCCACCGAACAAGTGAGCACTATGCTCTGCAAGCTTCACGGAATTCTGAACTCAATGGATCGGCGAATGTCAGATCGACGGCGATTGCCGGAGAAGGGGCGTTTTTGATCGAACGGCGTCCCGAGACACCTGAAGAAACAAGGCACTCAGCAAATGAATGGGAAGATCGAGATAGCACCCAAGCAGGTCCCGGTCTCGGTGGCCTGCAGCAATCTAGACTGACTCGCGACGGTTCCATGCCGAAGGCCCAAGAGCCACAAGGCTTTATACTGTCCTTGTCGGAGCAGCCAGAGCTTCCAGCCACGAACGATACTGCTGAGCAGGATGAAAGCCCTGTCGATAGAAACGACGGTATGCTTTCAGCTCCATCGACACCACCGCCCCTTCCGCAGAATGACCAAGGGTCGCACACAGCCTTGCCGGACTTTATAGAAGCATTTCCTCTGCGCAGTCCCAGCGATCTAGAATTCTTGAGGCAGAGGTCGGTTTTTGTCTTGCCGCCGCCGCCGCTACAACGCGTGATAATGGACAGGTTCACCGAGTTTGTGCATCCACTTCTTCCAGTCTTAGATCTAGCGACGTTCCGAGGCGCATTATTCGGTGAAAAGCCAGGACAGAGGGTGTCTTTGCTTCTCTTCCATGCAGTCATGTTCGCTGGAGTGGGAGCCGTGGAAAGCGAGGTCGTCCTCCGGCAAGCTTATATGAGTAAAACCACGGCCAGACAAACGTTTTACGAAAAAGCCAAGGTGAGAATGCCAAAGTCGCCTCCTGAATGCAGAAAGCTGACCGGATTGACCAGACACTTTTCGAATTGGAGACGGAGAAAGATCGCATCGTCATCTGCCAGGCATCGCTCTTTCTCATCGGATGGGCAAGCAGGAGCAACTTGAAGGACGCCACTTACTGGCTCGGCACGGCTATCTCTCAGGCCCATGTTCTGAAATTGCACCGATCAGAGCACGTCACCTCGATGAATCCGCCCAAGCAGCAGCGGAAGAGGAATCTGCGCCGGATATTGTGGTGGAGTATCCTCATGAAAGAATGCGACCTTTGCATGTCGATAGGTCAGCCACCGCGTGTATGGCCGTTCGGCACGCCAATGCTGACCATGAGCGATCTTGGCCTGGACGAGAGTGGAGTTCTCGGGATCGATAGCCTGGCTCCCGAATCTCAACAAGCCTTTGATCCACTTCCCCCAGTGCTCGCGACGGTGTGTATCTTAAAGGCTAAGCTATGCTGGCACATCTATCGCATCATGCGCAATATCCACGAGGACCTTTCTCCCGGGGATGCTCAGCCGTACGCCAACCCATTGCCTTTTCTGAGACAGTACATGGTCCAGGAGCTTTACCGCTGGCGGTCGGAGATCCCCATCGAATTGAACAGCAAAAGTCTGCTCCGAGACGGTCTGGGTGGTCTTCCGCGCAGTGTCGCGTGGGCCGTGTCTGTGGTTGAGATGATATATTGCGCCGCACACTTCCTCGTCCACCGGGACGGTATGCTCTTGGACGATATGTCGGAGCACGTCAGCCCAGACTCTGTAACTGATCGCTGTCCGCCCACCGACTATAGCCGGTGTTTTCTGCGCCAGGCAGCCAACGAAACGACTGAGGTGCTGGAAGGGCTGGTCAACTGTGGACTGGCGAGGTTCTTGCCTCCCTCTTCGATGATCAACATCTGCCTGGCTGCCTCGACCTTGTTTCGAGACGCCAACTCCGCCGACGCAAGCACGCGCAAGACCAGCCTCCAGAAGGTGGATGTGTGTATTAAAGTCTCGAAATTGCTTGCTGACATGGCTCCGAGCATGAGGGAGGTTGTGACCAAGATGCAGGATGCCAGAATAGGATTCCAAGGCCGGCCATCTCGTGCAGCGCCGCCTTTGAATTCAGGCTACGCGCAAATATCGAACACGACCCTCACACACGCGAGCTTGGAGGACCGAAGTGAGATCGACCACCAATCGCTGTCTGGGAGCACCCTGGAAGTCAGCAACACTGGGGCTGAGGATAGCAATGCTTCACATGGCTATTCAGCTCCAGTTTCGTACGAATGGAACTTGGAGGAAGACTTTGGTCTTGCGGGGCATGCACTGTTGGACTTTGATCTCAATGGTTACACTTGGGCATAGGGGTTTGGTTAATGACGGCAGATTATAACGAGCCAAAATGACCCCTGCTGACATGGGGCTGTTGGATGTAACAAAGGAGTATATACGGTTCATCTGAGACGAACTCCTCCAGCTCGTACGAGAGAAACAACAATTTTAATGATAAATCATCCTGGACGACCGTGCCGAGCATTGAGCCCGAGTCTGTATATTCATTTCACCTTCCAGGATTGTAGGTCCGACGGAGCGAGGAGGGGACGGACCACCGTTCGTAGAACGATTCGTATCCCAGGTCCCGTACAAAATTACCAGATTCGGCCCGAGGTCGGTGCACCCATTTGGGCAGCAGAAGCAACGGGCTTTCGAGGCGCCTCGTACATTTTTGATAATAAAGCGGGGGAAACGCAACACATGGGAAGCACATGTGTATCACCTTCCATGGGGGCTCTTGAATGAAGCGTTGATTTGTGTGAAGACTGCGATATCTTTACCTAGGAGAATCTGCCGGAAATCAAAGAAATCCTCCCACGAGACTGTGGTTTTGTTTTTATTTGGTGGTTTGGGCGACGATGACTGATTTGAATATCACGGACGCCGATATAGGTAAGTCAGCAAGCAAGCCAGAACGTTCCCATTTCTTCCCGGAAGGATATCAAGGCGAAAGGTGGTCGTCGGAGGAGGAAGGTCACTTTTCACCCTACCTACAGCCTCCCTAGCTGACACAAACAACCGGCAAAGGCGACAAGCTCCGGGGCAAGACTGCCGTTGTCACGGGCGGCTCTTCGGGGATTGGGCTCAGCATTGTCCAGAAACTTGCGGCGTCGGGGGTGAAGATCCTGGTCGGGGATGTGCAACCGTTGCGGGAAGCCGTGGACGGCGTGCAGTACATGAAGACGGACACGAGCCGGTGGGAAGACCTCCTGGCTCTGTTCAAGCGCGCGGTGCAGGAGTGGGGACGGATCGACATCGTGATCCCCAACGCCGGGATCGGCGACAAGGGCGACTTCTTCGACGTGGTCGACGAGCAGGGCGACCCCGTCAAGCCGGCCTTTGATTGCCTGCGCGTCACGCTCATCGGGCAGATGTACACGGTCAAGCTGGCCATGCACTACATGCGATGGCAGACGCCGCAGGGCGGGGTGATTGTGTCGACGGTGTCGCGCGCGGGCTACGTCGCCGAGAGCATCCCCGTCTACGGCGCCGCGAAGCACGGCATGGTCGGGCTGATGCGCGCGCTGCGCCCGCTCACCAAGACGTGGAACATTCGCATCAACAGTATCGCGCCGGGTATTACCGACACACCTGCGCTGCGCACGCTGCCGGACCTGGTTCCCAAGCTGTGGAGCAGCGGCGTTATCCCCATGAACACCAGCGACGACTGCGCACTGGCGGCGGTGTTCCTGTGTGCCAACGACGACTTCAACGGCAGCACCATCTTCATCAACGGCGGGAAATACCGCGAGGTCGAGAGTGGCTATCAGCGCCATCTGAAGGACATCATGGGCAATGATCCGCGCTTGAGCATGACGCCGGAGGAGAAGAAGATACTAGGTGAGCACATCTGTGACTGCCGTGCGGAAAATGGGTGCTGACGCTCCCACGCAGAGGACATCTTTACACCAAGCAGTAAATATTGAGGCAAGGAGTAGCCGGGTTGGATTGGAACCGGACAACCCAGTGCTGCACTGAGCTTGCAAGCTTCAAAGGTCTATGTATTCAGGGCGAGAACGCTGTCCCAACTCAAGGAGATGCTACATCGTTGCCCAAAGGGCCCCGGGCTTTGCTGGACGACGTACAGAAAAGTCTTTTCGTGCCTAAGATCAGGAAGGCAAACAATTCAACCTCGATGCTTCGACCCTTCTACATTCCTATGGTCATGGTTTGTGTAGACGTTGTTGCTAGAGCATGAATTTCTTTCTCCTGGTTGGACTGGTCGCTCCCTGCACACTGAATAGGCATAACATACGCTTCTTCGTTTTGATAGCTCACGAGAGACAAGCGTTCGAATTGCAAGCATATAAAGTTAGTGGAGCTTACTTGCACCACAGACCGCACGGCCGATGCCAGAGCCCAGGAGAATTTCAGACGCTAGTGACCAGTCGAGAAGCTCACCACAAAGCCGACGGCTGCAGCGAGACCAAGGAGCCAGACCTTTCCCCATAAAGGCACTTTTCACCAGGAAATCAAAAGCCGAAGACTTCAGCCGGAGAGGAGCTTGGCCCCTAGACTGAGGCAGCACCGGATGAAGAGGGAGGCTTCTTATCTCCCCTGAGCTGGCCCGCTGCCCTCATATACCTCAACCTTGCCGAGTTCAAGTTTGATCTTGTCAATTTTAACTTTTAGTTCTCATGCCCTCCTCCTTTGCGTTGCTCTTTGTCCATCATCGAGACAAGCCGTCCTGAATGGCTGGCGAGCTGCAAGTCCAGCTTTCAGGATATGGCCAACAAATCGTTCAAAGACGTTGACAAGCTCTTTGGGGATATTGTACCTTGTGAATGGAAGAGTTCTCCGGGACTGATTAAGTGGGTCGATAGGAAGCTGGTCACCATTGCAGAGCACTACGAGAACACAGTCTGAAGTGAACTCGCAAACATCACTCCACATAGAGTCCAGGATGATATCCTACGAGTGTGAAGTGTCCCTAGCGCAGTTCAAGACGCTCATACCCTCGGCCATGGTTCCGCCCATGTTCAGGCACGAAGGGGAGGAATGGTAAGGATGTCAAGTATTGTGCTCAGACCGAGGCAAGGCTGTCTCTAAGGGGGGTTGTGTCGGACCGCGGCAACTCGGCCCCTGCTGGGAACGGGTGACTGCAGTGCATCTATTGAGGCGAAACAAAAGCACAGACTACCTACCTAGGTATTCAGATTTGTGGAGCCTTTAGCGGTAAAGCATCTGTTTGAATGAATCTCGGGGTACTATTGGTAAACGTGGGCTACATGGGAGGCACATACCGCAGAGTAGCATCCTCGCCTCGCAGCCTTACTTTTACCAGGAGCTGTCCCTGCTTCGCCGTGCATCATGTCCATGAATATCATAATCAAGCAACTGACCGGGAGTAATATTAGAAAAGACTCCGACTGTGGCAGGGTGCAAAAGAATCACTGATAAGAACAGACCTTGGATTTTCTGGGGTGTTCAGCATTTGGTGCTCACCACTCCTAGCGAGATAGCTTGCTTGAGTAATCTGAGACTGCCGAGAACCCCATACCTTCGATTTCGAAATCGCTTCCGCTGGCCTACTTGGCAATAAAGGGAGCGGTCTTCCCACTTATTAGATATGTGCGATAAAGAAAGCCGCACGGGGAATTGATTAATGGATCTGCTGTTCGGAAAAGCAAGTCGCCGAGGGACACGAAGAAGCCTTGCTTGACACGTCCATATTGACTCGGCCACATGCACCTACAGCGCCAATCTAGGTAGCTAACCGACGTTTGGCTGGGTGAAATAACTTCCGATAATCATTTGACTCCCTAGACATTGTAAACCACCCTGGAGACATCTTCTCCAAGCCCGAGCTAGACTGGCTAAGGCACGTCGATTCAACTTAATCGGCTATTGCCACGTTTTCATTGGGCGTCGACCACAATTCCCAGGACATCTCTGAATCCTTCCCATCAACGACGCTCGCATTTTGTCGTTGTACATACAATCCAAAAATCATCTTTCACAGGGAGGACGCAAGCTTGAGCGTCAGCAAGACATGGCTACCAGCAGGACGACCAGTCAGCAAATGTATGTATTCGCTCGTGCCGTGTAGCAACGTTGGCAATATCTTCTGTTAACAAATCGTCGTGCAGCTCCTCGCCGTACTACGATCCAACGCGAGCCGACTCCTCATCAGTGGATCCGCGATATGTGATGAAGGGGATCGACTTCTCTCTCCCACTTAAAGAACGGGTGATCGAGTACCAGAAGAACTTCCTCGAAGACCCCAACTTCGACGGCTTCGATGCGTACGCCCTCAGAAACAACGTGCGGTGCATCTCGGTGACGCCGACCCGGACGGAGTGGGAGCTCGATATCCTGCCGCATCTGTGCAACAAGGGCGGCAAACTCCACGGCGGCGCTGCCGCGACCATCATGGACAACTTGACGACCACGGCACTGGTGGCGGGTGCTAGGCCGGGGTTTATGGACGTCGGACATGTGAGCCGCAATATCAACATGACCTATCTCCGGCCGGTCTTGGAGGGTGCGACCGTGAGGGTCGTCTGCGAGCTGGTGTCGGGAGGGAGGACGCTCGTCAACATGAGAGGGGAGATTATCATGGACGGCAAGGTCTGTGTGACGTGTCTCCATGACAAGGTCTTCTTGCGTCCGCCGCCGGAATCCTCCAAGCTGTGACACCCATCGCCGGTAAATTTTCAAGGGCAAGGGCGATGCGTTGGGTGGCGAATAGACGGATATGGAGCTCACGACTGAATGGATTTTGGCTTCTGAGATCGACGGGAGACCGGTTGGTGGAAGGGATAGACCGCCAATTTCCCTGGGAGGCTTTGCTAGCCACAGGGACTGAGATATAGAGTTGCGATAGACCATATCATGATATCTTGACCACTGGGGCGTCTGAATGTTATTGTCACCAGGAGACAAATTTCGAGCACAGAATGTATGTTGCACGTCTATTCCCCATGAGTGCGTAATATCCACGGATATCAGGAGGCTCAAGCACCTCGCGTTGCGGCTCCTCAGCAAGCCATCAGCACTTGTCACTACAGGCTCCTTTCAGGCTCCTCGAACGATTTTTAACGGGAGCAGAACTTGAGCTGCCAGTCAACAAGGATTCATCCTCTTGGTCCACGACTGAAAAATTAAGTCTCTCACGGCGCCTCACCACTTAAGTTTGGTCAACTTTGGACGCGCCTCCACTTTCCAAGAGGTTGGCCGTGAACCAAACATGAAAAGGGCTCATAAGGTTACCTTTGGCATGGGACTCAAGGGCATCGCTAGAGAGGATCTGAGCCACGCCACGCGTTCTGAAGGTCTCGTACGGCTACAGAATAAATAGGTAGTTCTTGCTGTTTCCTCAAATTTTCGCATCTAAGAAAATTCCCTCCCTCACCTGCTCGTGTCGCTCCCTCTCTTCTGGCGACCTCGCATGTGAATCAGCTGCAGGCCTCGACGAAAGAACCCGAATTCCCTAATCACCACATTTGCAATGGGCACAGGCTACTCGGTGGCCAGGGGTGCAGCGGCGGTGGGGGCAGAAGTCGCTGCTGCCGGTGCTAAGGCCGGCGCTGCCGTCGGCGCTGAGGCCGCAGAGGCATATATGATGTCCGGAGGGGTGGCACCAGCAGACGCCTGGCTTATAGGCCGGACTCATGGCAGCTCGTTTTCAGGCGAAATCGCCGCGGGTTCAGGCAGAACCGCCTCGTCTTCAGGGTCAACCGAATTCTTTTCGGCACGAGGAAGCGCCGCCTCAGATTCTTCAGGCTCGCGAGGCATGAGCCTGCCAGAGGCATCAGATTTTGGGGTTGAAGGACCCCTGGATCCTCCACCCTCACCTGAATTGCCCGGCTCACCTGAGTTGCCCGGCTCCCCAGGATCCACCGGAACTGTAATTCGTCACCCGCCAGCAGAAGGAGCGGCGAGAGGGGCGGCGGCTGAAGACGCGGCGGCAGAAGGAGCAGCGGCAGAAGCAGAAGCAGAAGCAGCAGCACCAAAGAAACCACAGAAGCCAACGGACCCGAAGATCCATCGATGGCAAGACTGGTACACGGTAGACGAGATCTTAGCAGCACCGGAGGCAGACAGATTCCACATACTCAGAGGGTCGGACGTCTTCATAAAGGTTCCCTACTTTCATCAGGACCATATACCAGTAAAGTTGAGAAATACTGATGGCTTTGGAAGAGTGGTCCGGCGTTTTATCAGAAGGGAGGGAGCCTTCACAGGAGAGGATGTTTGCCTCCTTTTCAAGCGAAGGCCCGGGCAGCTGACGGGCAAAGAGTTCCTGGACAGGGTAGGCAGGCCGGCACGCGCCAGTAAGGCTGCACAGCTCGACGCCATGTCAGGAAGAGAGTTTGCCAAATTGACCGGGCCGGAACTGCAAAAGATGATGCCAGGCCCTACGAGGCAAGATGTCGGGGAGCGCGTGTATTCTACCACCAGCTTCGGTCTCATGGGCACAGGGGCTACCTGGGGGACCATAGCGTCCAAACTCGAGGAAGAAAAAGCGAAAGAGAAGTACAAGAACGTCCACAAGCGCGCCGAGAGCGACCATGCTTCGCCTGCCATGGCCCGGCCACACCAGGCGCAGACCACCCTCGTCGTCACCCAAGGGCTGACATGGATGTATACGGACCCACTGCCGGCACTGGGCATATACACGGCCAACGACACCACATCCTCAGTGTTTGACGGCGATTATATCACCGTGCCCATGTCGACAGGCGCCGAGTACACGCTCACCTTTCCGCCCGAGGTGCAGCAGATTCACCTTACCAATGCCAGCCCCCGGCCAATCTGTGTGGCAGGAGTCAACCTCACGACCTTGGACAGTTACTGGATGAGTTTGAGTGACAATCAGGTCATGAATGAGTCGACGTCGTGCACCTGGATTGACAACAGCGCAGAAGGCATCGGTATTGCTGGGTTGACTTTTGAGTTGGTCCCTGATGACAATGTTCCGGGGGAGGTCGATGGGGGCAATGAGGAGGAAGTGCAAGAGATTCGCGGCTCTTTTACCAAGCGGCGGGTGGAGAAGGCGAGAAAGATCAAGGAGTTTGAGAGCTTGAAGCTGTAGTGTATTATAAGATACCTAGGTACCTAGCGAGCCGACGTCAGGAATAAATGGCACAGTCTGACAATTAACGATGAGGATGCTACCGTGTAAGAAACAGCCAATACTCCATACTTGGTGATAATTGTAGGGATCCGCTCATCAACAGTAGATGGGATGACCCTTCTAAGTGATGCTACCCTATGACTAGTGGTTAGTTACTTCTATTTTACTACTATATCCTTGCTCTTCTCGTTGTCCCTGTGCCACTTCTAGGTACCTAGGTATGTAATGATATAGATTACCGGCGCTCTCCGTCTCCGTGACATATCACTAAGTACCTAATAGTCCCCACTAGGAAGCTTGACAATAGAGGCGTCAGGGTCTCTCCGCGCCAGTGGCGGCCCCGGTGACTTCATCGTGCTCAGTGGCATTGGATGGCATTGGACGGCGTTGGATGACGGTGACGATGGCATAGCATGGCATGATGTTTTCTTTTCTCCAGGCAGCATTCAATTCTCTTCCTTCCAATACCTTACAACCAACTCATTCGACATCAAGCCTGGAACTCTTTGAATTCCTCTCTCTTTCTTCGCCTTTTATTTTATTTTCTCCTCATCAAAGACCCTCTCCCTGACGCCTATTCTGTTTCTGCCTACATCGCCAAAACTCCTCAAGATGTCGGCCACACCCTATGTCTATTCCGACGAAAAGGTCCCTGAGGTTGAGGTCCTTCCCGCCCCAGCCACGTCCACACCTCCACCGAAACGAACCAGCTTCACCACCCGTCTGCTCCGACTCGTGGTGACCGTCCTAGGCGCCCTCGTGGTTTTCAAGGTCCTTTGCTCCGTCGTTGGTTTCCGGTCTGGTGGTCTTTCGAGACCGTGTCACGGCATGAAACACAAAGTCCCCGGCTATGGCCCGTTGTTCGACGACGATGGCAATCCTCAACACCCGTTCCCTCCCATTGACAAGTGGGAACCGTTCAACGGCACCACGCACTTCGAGTTCGAGCCCGCCCAAGCCAGCGGCCTCTCCGTCCGAGGGGCGCGTGTGTTCGGGAAAGTCGTCTTCGAGACGTCCAAGTTCTCCAACAAGATCGTGATCGATCTGGACATCAAGACCAACAAGAAGGACAAGCGCGGCGACGTCACGATCAAGGAAGACAACGGCTATCTCACCATCGACACCCCGTCCACGGGCAAGCTCAAGACCCACACGGCCGCCACCATCCAGATCCCATCCAACATCATCGGCGAATTTGCTCTTCCAAAATTCGAAGTCGACGTCCCCCGCCACATGGTCGACTTCAGCCAACTGCCCGAGTCGCTGGAAATCGGCGCCTTCGCCGTCCGGGTGGGCAGGGGCTTCGTCAAGCCCGGGCCCGTGCACACCAACACGACCACCATCTCGATCGGCAACGGCGCCCTGCGCGGCACGCTGACCCACGCGCGCAACGAAACCAACGTCGACATCGGCCACGGCAACGCGACACTCAACATCCCCTCCATCTCCTCGGGCAACGAAGGCTCCACCCACATCCACCTGGGCCACGGGCATCTGAACGGCACCTTGGCCATCTACAACGCGACCTCGATCGACGTGGGCAGCGGCGGCATCTACGTCAACGTGGCGTACAAGTCGGCCTCGCCGCGCGCCACGCTGTCGACGCGCATCGCCTCGGGCAACTCGCGCGTCTTCGTCGACTCCATCGCCGCGGAGCGCGTCTTCGACGCCTCCCACGCCTCCGTCGCCGGCGACCAGCTGATCACCTACCCGGCCAACTTCCAGGGCACCGTCGACGCGCGCGGCATTGTCGGGGACATCAAGCTCGAGGGCAAGGAGCTGGCCGTGGAGAAAGTCGTCGGCGGCATGGTGGGCCGCCAGGGTGACAGCGAGAGGAACTCGATCAGCGTCAAGACCGTCCGCGGCAAGTTGGACATTCTTGTCGGGGACGAGTCCGCGCCGGACAACGACAGCCACAGCTGCTAAAGGGGCATTTCAACCGTCCCTGAATTTGCCAGGCCCCCCCAACCAACTTTGCAGGGAGAGCTGCGCGCAGCAAGCCCTTTGACGACATCCCCCTGCGAGGGGACATGATGGAAGGGATGTAGTGATCCAGGCCCTGCCCTGGGGATATCAAAAATGGGGGGGTAAACATTGCTGTTAAAAGAAAGGGGGAAAGCCATCAATGGAAACCAATGGGTAGGGGGAAAATTCATTCAACCAACTACCTATATGGTTAGCTAGCTAGACCTGGGGGTAACTAGGGAGATAATACCACAGGCATCATCAGCGTCGTCCAAAAAGTTTCCATGCGGCTGTAAGCTGTCATCATGCAGACATAGCCCTTACATACATATCGAGGTCCTTTAGCTGGAGTCTCATTAAAATTTTTGTTTCACATATCCCATTGCCATAGTTCGTTCGACAAAGGTACCTAGGTCCTTCTCATTTCCCCCCAATTTTTCCAGAACGTGACTTCTCGCCAAAAATGGCCCCTTCGATTATAAGAAGAGGAAGCGTATGGCGAGGCTCTCAAGTATTTTGCTTTCCCGGTCCAGCCCAGTTAAAGTCCCGATCAGCTATCTCCCGAACCCAACCGTCCGCCCGAGGCCAGAGACCATACCACCGCCCGTCCTCAGCGCGCTGCCTGTCGCGCTCTTCCCGGCCTCGCTGGCCTTGCTGGCCGCTTCTGTCGCGGAGGAGGTCATGCCCTTGGCAGTACTGGCTCCGGGGAGCGAAGGCATGGCTGCCGCGCTTGAAGTGTCTTCGACTCCCTTATCCCTCTCCTTATCTGTATCCTTCGTAGCATTCTCCCCTCCGTACCCCGTCGCCGCACCGGTGGCCGCGTTCCCAGCCCGCTTAGCCGCCGACGTGGCGTCCTGGGGGAGACTCGCCAGCCTCTCGCCGATGGCCGCCGGAGTTGGGACCGCGGGAGTTTGGACCGCGGGAGTTTGGACCTGTTGACTTGAGCTCCTCCTCGGCCCCAGCTTGGGGGGTGGCGATCTCACACCGCCACCACCACTGCTGACCTGCCGTATGAGACTCGGTGTTGGGACCGAGGTGGACGGGGTGGGAACTCCCGATTGAAATTGCGGCGGACCGAGTTTTGGTGGAGGAGACTTGACACCCGACGGGGTCCTGTCCAGCTTTGGTGGCGGCGACTTGACACCCGATGGAAGTCTGTCTAGCTTTGGCGGCGGCGACTTGACTCCTGAGGGGATCCGGTCGAGTTTCGGTGGCGGCGACTTGATCGCACCTGAGGGGAGTCGGTCCAGCCTGGGTGGCGGCGACTTGACACCTGACGGCGTCTTGTCGAGTTTTGGCGGCTTGGTCGTGACGCTCTGCTTCGACTCGGACGGTTTCTTCGCGAGTTTCGGTGGCGCTGCTTTCTTCCCGCCGCCCCCAAATCCCATGCTCGGCATGCTAGGCAGATACGCCGCCGCGCGGGAGGTATAGCTCTGCCCGGTCTTCGCTGCCCCCTGAGCAGCATCCGTTGCACTTTTCCCAGCGTCCTGGGTCGCTTTGGCCGCATCACCGGCTTTCCCTGTCGACGTGTCCAACCCCTTTTGTACGGTCTGAGTCGTATTCTGCACGGTCGTGCCCGTCGCTTCGGCTACTTCGCCCGTTTTATCCTTGACAGGAGCGGGCGTGCGGTCTTTGGCTTGATGGATGATTGGCGGCTCACGTTTAGTAGACTTGGCTGCAGGGTTGTCCTTGGGATTCAACGCGTTCTTGACAGTCGGCGTGACCACGTCGGACACCGTGCCTGCTGTGCGCTTGGCAGCAGCCGAAGTCGTCTCTGCTGCTTTGTTTCCGGTGTCTGTCGCCTTTTCAGTCGCTGATTTCGGTGCTGCTTTGGATTGTCCTTTGCCGCCGCTGGAGAGGGAAGGCATGCTGGGCAAGGAAGGGAGATATTGCGAGGCTTGCTGGACATAGCTTTGCCCTTGGCTTGTTGCGCCCTCTGCTTTCTCGGTTGCCTGGCCCGTGAGTTTGCTCGCGTTGGTGGCATCACCAGGTCTCTGGACAGCGCTGGGACTGGATCGGTTGATGTGTGGCATACTCGGCAGGTGTTTGTAGATGTAGGTAGCATAGCTCTCAGTGGAAGCTTGTGCGTCCTTGACCGTCTGATCTGCGACATTGCCGGCCTGGCTGGGGTCCTGTCCAGCCTTTTTGAGATTACTCGCGACCTTTTGCGCATCTTTCGCACTGGGCACACTCGGCACGTAGAAATACTCAATCGCCCTAGTCACCAGGCTCTTCTTGGTCTGCTCCTGGACCTTCTTCTCCAACTCCTCGGCTTCTTCTTCTCCCTCGGCGGCCTCGTCCACCTTGCCGCCATGGGACTCTCTCCTCATCAGCCATCTTCTCTGAGCAGCACGAGACTGTCTCTCCTCTTCCTTTTCCATCTCGACCAGCTCTTGCCTTTCGCGTTCGACGGCCGCCATGTCAATGTCCTCAAACCCGATTTTCTTGAGAATGGCGCCGATCAGGTAGCGATAGCGCTGGTGGCTGCTGACATCCTCCGAGACATCGAAGTTTTCGACCGAACTCAGGCCCTCAACCTTTTGTAGTCCGGCCACGCCATACTGGATGGCTGACGTGCGGTACATGAACCCAAGCACGTAGTCGTTGACCGAAAAGACATTGACGAGTCGTCCAGCGACGACACTGCGGAGGACTCTCCAGTCGCTGGTGTCGCTGGGAGTTGGCGAGCCAATCATGACTGCATTTTCAATGATTCCAAACTCTTTTCTCTTCGCCAGGCTCATGAGACACGTGTAGATGACGCGAGCCCCAAGCGAGTATCCGATGAGGGTGACCGGCCGCTCACCTTGGGCGCGGTTGACCAAGGCATCGGCCAGGACCTCACCGGCCTTGTCGGCACGACTTTTCGCAACACTGAAGGGATTGTCAATGACTCTTGCGACCTTCATCAAAGCCATCGGCCACATCGCCGCAGCAAGTTCTGCGAAGATGGTCCGTGATATGATTTCTTTCTGCGCATATCCCCAGGCCGCCGACTGGACCATGCCGTTCATTGCGTTTCCCAAGTTCAGTAAGGCCTCCAGTTCGTACTTCAGTGCAAACACTTCGGCGCCTGTACCAAGGGAGCGCCACGGCTTGACCACCTCCTCTTTCTCGGTCAACCAACCCGAGATGCCAAGGGTGACGCGAAGTTTGTGGTCATGTTCGCTCGCCTCTTGTGCACCTTGGGCCTCGTCTTCGCTAGTCTTCTTGTCACTGCTGCCATGGACGGGCAGGAACTGGAAGTCTTCGACTTGACGCGCATACGAGTCCATCATTTGGCCCGTCATCCGTCCACCATATGCACCAAACAATCCACCAACCAGGACAGAGCTTCCTGCCACAGTGCCCAGATATGCCGCCGCAGATGTAGCACCAAGTCCGAGTCCGCCCATGACAGAGCCAACACCTGCAGCGACAAGCGGGGCTGCCATGCCACCAGTGACACCGAGGATCGCAGCTCCGGCCGCTGTTGCATAGCGAACTCTCCACTTTCGAGTCTCTTCATTCTCCTTGATCTTCTTCATCTTCTCCTCGTCGGCGGTCAGCTCTTTAGCCGCTTCAAGCAGACCTTTGGCAGTTGCGTACTCGTCCTGCTCAAAGGTCTTCAGCGGCAGCTTCAGCGAGGACGTCAAGTTGAGCAGCAAAATGCGAGAATAGGCATTGTAGTGCTCCAAGGACAGAAGCAGCAACAGCAGAGAATGAAGGACCAGCGTTCGCTTGTCCATGGGCAGTTTCGTCAAGGGAGTCCTTGTGGGTGGGAACAGGTCTTTAAATTTCAGGTTGACAACCCTGGACCCAGCCTCCATGACTTTGGCAGTGCTTATTGGCGCTTGAGGCTTCGACAAGGAAGCATTGGCACCCTTCCGGACTTGTTCTTGAGCAGTGCTTTTACTATTGACGACTTGACCCACCCGCTCGATGACTTGCTCGCGCCATTCGTCATAGGCCTTTAGGGAATTCTTCTTGAGGTTCTTCATCTTCAACGTTGCCAGATCCTTGTCGATTTCCGCCTTCATTTTCCGTTCGCGGTCGTAGGCAGAGACATCGACTTTTGCTGGGTCCACCGCCATCATCTTCTCCTCGTCGGTCATGCCTTCCCGGAGAAGGGTCTTGTCCAGTCCTGCCGTGGAGCTGAAGTTATCGACAACCACTTTGCGCATTGACTCGGTGATGTTGGCAATGAGTAGTGTTAGATCTGCGCGTTGGCCCGGATCTAGGATGCTGGTGAGATCTACCTCATCTGCACTGTTCGCCGGGACTTTCGTGGCCGCCTCGGAGGCAGTTTGTTCAGCCATGGTGGCCGCTGATGCTTTGGTTGACTCTGGAACACAATCGCACAATCAGAAGGACATGTTCTAGCTCCAGGCGGACTTCAACCTACTCACGCTCAACGTATAGGAACAAGGGGATGGGCAGCAGCAGCGATAAGCGAAGTCGCGCGCACAGTCAGAGACATACAATGAAGCACAATAAACAAAAGACTTCGGGGAAATCGAAGTGTGGCGGTGCAAGTCGTCTTCATGTCGATGATCCAAGCTGGCGACGGCTGAAGGTGAAGCGGCATATGACGTAAATGATACTTGTTCTTCCGTGTCTTGGGCCCCTGTTCCCTGCCACACACACGCACGCAAATGAACGATTCGATGGCTGGGATTGGCGCTGCTGGCTGGTCGAGGGGAAAAAAGGGGACCTAGAAAACATAGCAAAAGAAAGCAGCCAAACCAAAAACATGTTGTCTTACTTTTCGTGTAACGTTGCGTTCAGTCGTATTGAAATCTTGTCCGTGCGTGGGCTCGTTTTCTTAGGCTTTTCCGCCCCAAGAAGTCTAGAATGGTACAAAGTGACCTATAATATGCAATTGCTGGCCGATCCTCATCACTCCGGTCGCCTTGCTTTTTATAAAGATGCTGCAGGAAGGCCTGACGAGCAGTAGCAACCTAAAGAATGGTTCCAAAGCTGTGAAGATGGTTAGCAAGACGCCTACAAACAATTCAACCAGCCTGAAACACGTACCCAAATGTCTGCTTGATGCTGCGAACGTAGTAGCCCTCCCAATTTCTCTGCACCACCTCTTCTTGTCCCACCGGTACTCCAGTCCAAGTCACGCGCATGTTAGTCACTCGGTCGACATCGTTCTGGTCGAAGAAGATTTCCTGGGTGCTCATGTGTCCTTCCGGCCACTGCGCTAGTCTCCATTTCTGGATAAGCTTCTTGGGTGGCTCTAGTTCGACGAACTCCCCAGTGACATTGCCATCGAAGATGGCGAACTTCCCGCCCACCTTAGCGCCTTCGAATAGTCGAGGAGGTGCCCGCGTGAAGGCTGCGAGTCGCTGGGGATCGGTAAACGTCTGGTACATCTCTTCTGCAGTCGTGCGAAATTCATCCGTAGCCGTGACGGTCGTTGTGTTGATGGACGATGCGCCGCTCGTGGAGGTTGTGGTGGGTGCGGGAGACAAAGGCTTGCGTTCTTTTTCAGGATGCCACGTGGGAGTTGCGAAGCCGCTCGAAGGGTTCGAGCCAGGCGCGTGTTGAAGGTCTTTGCCATGCTCTTCGACCAGGGCAGGCCCGAATTTCGAAAACACTTGTCGTAGTTGAGGGACCAATTTCGACCGGACGAGATCTTTAACGGGCTGTTTCTCCTTCTTCTCGGAATAGATGTCAATCTCAAACTGTGAAAGCTTGTCAGTCGTGGTTGCGCGGGTTTCGCACGCTGCATCATCAATGTGAAGACATACCACGTAGTCATCGGGTTCCGTGTCATAAGCACATTCTGGAACTCTGATACTCCCACTGACATCGGTGCCTTCTTGAGTCTTGCCTGCCATAATGAATGAGCAACCGCGCTTCCCATCCTCATTTTGTGCAGGCTCGTACCTTCATATTCTAATTGTAACGCAACATCAAATATTGTGATGACTTTGCCCTTCCGCTGACTCACTTCCACATCGCCGTCCATTGAGATCAGCCTTGTGATCTTTGCCGACACTCCATCCTCTTCCGCCGAGACCTTCTTGACTTCAGTGTCTAAATATTCTCTGGCCCAGGGCCCGGCGTCTTTATTGACCCAATGCCAGTTGTTCGGGTTGTGGAGGACCATTGTGGGAGGAATTGGTAGTAATATCAGACTTCAGAGGAGGGTTCCTGTGGTTGTTGCAGCACACATCAGTCTCAAGTCTCACACAATCAAATTCGTTGAATCTTAACTTGGCTGGTTGAAATTGTTTCAGGTTGTAGGCTCAAGGCCATGTAAAGCTGATCCGCATGTAAAGAGTACAAGTCTTCTCAGACTGGTGCCAGCTGGATTCTCATCATAACAAGCGCGAGGAGGGGCAGGGACAACATCTACACACACATACCTTTGGACAGCAGCTTCAAGGAGGAGGCATCAGTGGCTGTGAGAAAGAGGATCGCGTGTCAGGAACAAGGAAAAGATTGTCGACTTCGAGACAACGGAATTGGAGAGAATTGGAGAGAAAAGCAGCCTGACTCGCTGGCTGCGGGTTCGGCATCGAAAAAGGAAAAGAAACAAAACGAAATCAAATGAAGTGGAATTCCATGCCAAGCTTCTGCGAAGAGGCACCATTTACTTGTATCAACTACCAGGTACCATCTTCAGGCAGCCTTGCCCGCCTTGCCCACCAATCTCGACGCTGAGAATCTAGGACAATGAGAATGGAGTAGGTAGCGCTGTCTACTCGGTACCAGGTAGCCAGTCTTTGTCATCCACCGCCATGAGCATGCTATGACCACGCTTTGATGAAGTCCCTTCGTTCTGGGAGCTGCAAAACCCAACACCCATTCAGTATCCTCTCAACCCCAGAGTGCCCAGTAGCCATAATGGAAGAAACTCCATGCTCCGGTACGATGTGCAGTCGTCAACATCCCAAACCACCATGATGAGCTCTTTCAAAGACCTCAGCTTCGCACTCGCATCCTCCAAGTCGGTGTCATCTCATTCGCAGTGCATCCGTTCCTATCGGGCTTGCTCGATGTATTCCGCACTTGGTTTCTCGTATTTCGCACAGAAATATTTCGTGCTATTCCTCGACAGCCAGAGGCTGAACTTGCTGAGTTCGGTTTTCAAGCGAGCGACGGCCTCGGCATCCATATTCGTCTGGGCAATCATCTCCGGCAGGTTGACAATCATGCGTGTGAGATGTTCGGCGCCGTAGCAGTCACCAGGGCCCTTGCCCTCCCATTCCTTGTGACGACCGGACTCCCAGAGCTTCCGTACCTGTCCACAATGTAGCAATCAGTACGAGGACGCGAAAGGGGTGGATGGCGCTCAGGGAGGACTTACCTCTGCTAGTTGACTTCTCTCGAATCGATACAATAAGATCTTACCAACCGCTTTCTCAAAGTACATCTTCAATCCGGCACAGAACTCCTCCAGAATGTCCGCGTCGGGCGAACACAAGCGGCGATTCATCTTTTCTTGGTTGAAGTATTCGTCAATGATGTAGTTTGCTGGAGCTTGACTCGGCAGGGGGACGAGAAGCAGTGATTTCGTAACGTTCTCCCAATCGTCGACAAGGAGATTCTTCAAGTGATCGGGGACGTTGATGCGAATGGATGGACGGGTGTAAAATGCGTCTTCCTGTATATGTGCGGTCAAGTAAGCACGTATTCTTCGTTCAAAGTCAAAATCATGGGGAAGAGATTGTGCAGTCCTAGCGAGTTGTTGCATTGGGGCAAGTGCGCGGAGCAGAGGTCCATTTCCACGTCCTGGGTCCTAGGACTGTCCTGAAAGGTATCTTTGAGCGAGAACGGGTGGTGCGAACTCGACCACTTCTGCCGCCAGTGCCAGAACATCCAGCGCTGTCACTGCTCGCGTAGCAGGGACCCTAACACGCAAGGCAGATTCGAGGTTGTCGACACTAAAGTTCGCCAACTCCTGTTGTCTGTCATAATCACTCCCATGGCTTGTTTCGATGCCCTTGGGAATGGGCCCAGACGTGGACTTCACAATGGATCTGGACTTGCCCATAAAAACCGCCGCTGCAGTCCCAGGGCTCGTCTTGAGAGAAGTGACAACATTTTTTCCACCGCCTCTCTTTTCCTCGGTGTCTGCAACTTTGGCTTGCGACCCTGTGTCGGCGTTGCTCGACTTGGGCCCATCTTGCCCAGTTGGTGGCTGTTCCTGACTCTTGTCCACCGATTCAGATCCAAATATGGAGACAATACTCGTTACTGAATCGCCGTCCATAGGGTTCCGGATAGCAAGGTTTGGTGGGGGAATATTTTTGATCTTTTTAACCCTCTTCCGGACTTCCTTCTCTAGTTTGCATGATGCAATGATCCATGGCATCACATCGAAACGGGGAAATTCATCGTCACGGGTCACAGCGCGCCGGCGTTTGCGTTTGTGGGACGGGGAATCACCACTAACCTTTTCCAGATCGTTATCTCTCGCACGCTTGGATCCCCTACCGCCGGCAGCAGGGACAGAAGACGTGCGCTCCTCTGATCCTCTGCCAGATCCAATCTCTGAGTCTTGCCCTCGACGCATCTTGCTCGCCATTTTGGGATTGGCCTTGAGCAAAGCTTGGTGACGCAGTGTTGCTTGCAGCTCTCGGTTTTCCTCTGTGATTTTTTTAAGCCGATCTTGGGTCACCCAATCGTCCCAGCTAGAAAGGGTACGGATTAGCTATTGAACATCTGGATGATTTGGGAGATAGCTGAGAGGATGCAAAGAACTTGATCTCTGTGAAGAAATTCGTGCGATGGCGAAGAAGTGCAACAAGGGACGTGAATGTACAAAATTCACGTTTGGCCCCGTCAGCTGCCAACACGATCTATGCACCCGCCACATAACATCGAAGAATGGACAGCTAGAGGCCATCGACCTCCATGGACACAGGAAGATTGGTAGATCGAGAGGACAAGGACGCGACGAAGGCAAGCGAGGATAATGAGATGAGAACTCACGAAGTCTTCCAGCCTTTGTAGTGGACCTTGTAATGGAAGGGGGATTTGGTGTCTTTGGGATCAGTTCTCTCTACGTCTGTGATTTTGGCGTCATACAACATCTCTCCGTGGAAGCAGAGTGCCTTCTCGTCCTTGTGGAACAGCATTTTGTTGTCATTTGACTGCGGAGCCATGATATCGATGAATCAGACGAGGCGTTCAAGTTGTGGTTTCGAGGATAAAGGGGGATGGATGTCGAGGCGGGTTTGATGAGAAGGAAGTTTGGAGGAATTCCCCCGACAGGACTGTTCGAGAAGGAGGAGATGCTATCAACTCAATCGTTTAATCTGCAAGGAGATGAAGGAAGAAGAAGAGAGCAGAATAGGGACAAGATAGTTGTCGTGGCATCCAGAGCAGCGGCAGCGGCATCGACTTGCCATGCGATTCGGAACCCAGTCTCTGAGCCAAGGCAAAGGCAACGCTGATTGGCTGGCCAGAACGCGTCGTTCATCCGACGTTTTTCCGAGTTTGGAGGTCGTGAGCATGGCTCGACCTCGAAAAGAACTGACTAACATCGTATTCCCAGGGTGAGCCTGAACAGGTATCTTGTTGGCTTTTGCTTTGAAAGTGTTGGGCAAGGTGAGGAACAAAATCCACGGGCAGCCTGCTGGATGTGCTGATTGTGCACTATTACGGTCTCTAAAGGATATTTTCACTGCTTACACGCGTTTGCTACCAAAGAACAACAAGACGAGGTGGCTTTCCAGTGATTCTATGTACACTGAAACAATTAGGCCATTCCTGTGACATCCACTGGGTACCAATTGTTTCATGAACAAGACACAATCTTTGCAAATACAACCGACAAAGACGTTTGCAACAAGCCGCCCAGTGTCGACATTCTGTTAGTCCCTCCTGGGGTGGGTGGCCCAGGAAGTAAACAGCCACTGTCTACTACTAGGGGTTGCTCTGTGCGCTGCTGGTATATCAGTTGCACGTCTATCCGAGAGAGCAGAGACAGGAATCATTAGCCATCATCACCACCGACAAGGCTACCGTTTCAGGGGTTTCCATAGCAGGACTATCACGAGAACCACTCTAAAGAGCTGGTCTGCTTTCTTAGTGCCGAGAAACCAAGGACGATAATATCCTGATATTCACGTTGCTGGCGATAAGGAAAGGAGACAGGGCTGAAAGTCGAGGAAACCACAACAGACACCGCCAAAGTACTGGATAGATCACCACCACCACTTGTCCAGCCATGCCGCTTCAACCACCCTCCGAGTCAGAGATTCTCACATCCTACCTCCTGCACCCCTCTCCCCTCCCGACAATCCTACCCTACAAATCCTTCCTCGCACTTCTACCGCCCGGCGCGTCGGCGGCCTCTGCACGACAGCACCCGACCGAACTGAAGCGTCTGTACCGAGACCTGCAATACCAGAGGGACGTCATCGTTCACGATGTGAGTCAACGGATTGAAGACGAGTGTCGACGCAGCGTGGAGCTCACGGCGCGGCTGGGGAGGCAGATTCGACGGGAGGAGGAGCAGCGAGGCAGGAAGAGGAAAAGGAATGGTGAGGACGAGGGCGTAGACAATAGCGATGTCGACGCAGAGGAACAGGAACAAGAAACACACTTCGACACAGCCCTCCACGGTGGACAACCCCTAGGCACCACCCTCCCCACCGCAACGGCAAAGCACAACCACACCACAACCACGCTCCTCGAGGCCATGGCCAGCGCCACCCGGTCCCTCTCCGACGAGATCGCAGATCTGGAGAAAGAGATCGCCGCGCTGCACAAGGAGAGCCAGGACATGATCGGGAATCTGAGTGATTTACCTTACGACGGACGGTCTGCCAGAGAGGTCAGCCCCACCGCCACGGAATTCACCATCGAAACTACGGAGGAGGAGCGGCACGAGCAGGAGGAGCAGTACCAGAGAGCACTCGAGATTGAACGCTCAAACAAGAAGTTTACGGACTGGCTGCAGAAGTTAATGACGGAAGGACGCCCAGCCAGAAGATCCCACGAGGGGTCAAAGACGATCGAGACACAGGCTATTGATTGACCGAGGAGGAGTTATGTTGGAACAGACCTCTGCTTTGGTCCGTGAAGCAGAGTGCTCGGGGGAATCCGGTTCGATGCCACGCCTTGAGACCGGTCATGTCCAACCTATATAAGTCTGACGGGATCTCAAGATCTATCAGATACCGATCCCTCAGTTCGCCCAACGAAGGGTCAACATGTCTAGGTCGGATAGTAGCAGGCAGCCCAAAAGTGGCAGAGGACAAACAAATTGCATTCGAATGACAGTTTCCTGATTCTCGTAGATGATGCGCTACATGGCAGGTAATAGACATATGCCGTAAAGACCAAATCCGTTCCATGATTGTCAGTTAGTTTCCACTCAGCAAACTCCTGTTGTGTCGTTGTTGGCCCAGTGCCGCCTTCTCCCCCAAGAGCCATCTCATCCACCTGCGTGACCCTGCTTCACTCCAAGCTGCCGCAATTTACTGGTGCGCCGCAATGACCTTCTCCATCTCCTCTTTGCTTCCCATGAAAATTCCACTTCGGTCGTGGATGCCTTCCGGCTTCACCTCCAACATCCTCTCCATCTTGCTGTTCACGGCCATGCCACCGGCGTTCTCCATGACCAGTGCCATAGGCGCACACTCGTACAGAATCCTCAGTTTTCCTTTAGGAGATTTCTTATCAGCTGGGTACGCGAAAATGCCTCCGTATAGCAAAGTGCGATATGCGTCGGCAACCATGGACCCAATGTAGCGGGAGCTGTAAGGCTTGCCGCCCTTTTCAGTTGGGTATTTGAGCGACTCGAAGTATGCCTTTGTCTTGTCGGTCCAGTAGAGAGAGTTTCCTTCGTTCACAGAGTAGATGGCACGCTTCTTGGGAATGCGCATGTTGGGATGTGTGAGAATGAACTCTCCCAGGGCATTGTCCTGCGTGTCGTCTATATTAGCACGGGGATAACTTGCCGTGTATACGAAGGAAGGAAAGGGGTCTCCTTACCAGTGTGAATCCATTGACAGATCCACCTTTCATGGTGATGACGAGTTGCGCGGAGGCGCCATACATGGTGAACCTACTTCCGTTAGGATTGCTCCATCCTTCCATAGCATCATATTTCAAGCTTCGACTTACCCAGCAGCAAGCAATTCCGTGCCCGGCATGAGAAGATCTTCCGGAGTAGGTTTCTTGCCAACGACACTGTCTGGCAGCTTCATGATCCCAAAAATGGTCCCTACACTGACACCGGCATCCAAATTGCTCGATCCGTCAATGGGATCGCAGGCCACAACATATCTGGCATCTTTGGCTTCGTCAAAGTATATCACATCCTCCTCTTCTTCCGAGACAAGAGCTCTGCACTTTCCAGAACCCCGCATGGCGGCCACAAAGAGGTCATTGCCAATCACGTCGAGCTTTTTCTGGTCATCGCCTGTCGTGTTGGAAGAGCCAGCTAGACCGGTGAGGTTGATCAAAGTAGCACGACGGATATAGTAGGCAATGGATTTGAAGGAGAATTGAAGGGCATGGCAAAGCAGTCTGCAAGCACAGACAATGTTAGCTCTATGAAACTATGCGTGAGAGGAATGGATTGGCAAACTGACGTAAAGTCCCCGGTAGCTTCCTTGTGCTTTGACTGTTCTTCCGTCAGGAATCGAGTGAGGGTGACGATATCTGTGTTGATTTTCTCCTCGCCAGTACCGGTAGTTTGGCCATTGGTATCTCCGTTGGTTGCCATGTTTGCAAGCTCCTTCTCTCGCAGTGCTTCAGGACAGAGAAAGAATCGTGAAGTCTGTAAAGTTGGAAAGGGTGATGTAGGGCACGCGATGGGTATATTGGCCCTCGGTAGAATGGAAGACGGACGTCAGAGGAAAGCGCCCGACGAAAACTGAGGAGACAGAAGCCTAGGCGAGCAATGAGAATGAACCAGGTGCAAACAGGTATCAGGAAGAAAGAACAGAAGCCAGATATCTCAGGAAAAGCCAGTGGGTTTTAAGGAGAATGAATTGCTGTCAGTTCCGACAGCCCCATATCGGGTGGCTCGAAGGCAGTGGTGGCAGGAGGGAAGAGCATTGTCAACATCATTGTTTGGCCCCCCTGGTGGCCGGTATGCGGGAGATGATGGCACTGGGAAACGGGCAGTGGATGCTTCTCCGCATCAGACAGTCGATCCGAGTCGACTCCCTCTACAAATGAGAGGCGTGGGAAAAAGCAGGAGAGCGATGTGTTGAGTGGGTGGAGGGATGGAGGGGCAAAAACTGCGCTGCGCATTGACAAGTGACGGGAGCCGAGGGATCAATCATCCCGACTTCTTCCGGCGGGCCATCTTCTGCACGTGATATCACGTGGGCGCGAGGCTGAGATTTTGTGTGCACGCAGAGGGCATGCAGAAGGCATAGTAGCAGAGCAATGATTTTTTTCCATGTTCTAAATCACGGGCACTCACAAGTCTCCCCGACTTCTGAGTGATGGAGATGCAGGGCTGTCGCAATCGTCAATCCCCGACTGGCAGAGCTCGGTAAATATCAGCCCGAGCAACAGCCATCGGGCACTTTCGGAATGGGTCGACAGCAAGGTCCTGAATTCAGATTATTCCCCGTACCCATTTTCTACTTGTGTTTGTCCAGCATTTCCAGACACTTCATACTTGCCCAGACTTGCTTCGGATAATAGTTCAGCAGCGACAACAAATCTGCCCCCCGGAACGGAAACCAGGTATCGTAACAATTACTCAGCCAAGCCCTCATCACCTTGACCAAGCAATGACTTCATATATCACGCCTCGTTCAGCTTCTCTGCTCGGTGATAAAACGGTGGCAAGGGCTCGAGTTTCTGCCTCAAAATCCACACGCGGAAATGCCACACAGCATTCTTCATCTGGTAGCTCATATGCTTACGAGTGCTGACACTGAACACTTGATCCAATTCTTCGAGGGTGAGAGCCTAAAAGGAGCCAGTCAGGATCATGTACAAAATCGAAGTATCTTCAGTCAAGCCTACCTTGGTTTCGGGGACAAATAGGAGAATCAAGCACCACAGGATGAGACACCATGCCCCGTACCACCCAAATGCACCCTGAGGCTTGAAAGCGGTCAAGAGATGAGGCCAGGAGAAGCTGAGAATGAAGTTGAAGCACCATGTTGTGGCCGTCGCAAAGCTCATACCAACATCTCGAACATGCACAGGGAATGCTTCTGCTGAGTAGGTAAATGGGACGGGACCTTCGCCGGGCGAGTAGAAGATCTGCGGAATGACCGTCAGCAGATTTGCGGACTAAGAAAACACTCTACTCACCTCAAACAAGTACATCCCCGTTGTGACCATGCCGACTTTGGTCTTGTTGTCATGGAACCAGAAACTGAAGCCGGTCCATAGTAGGCAGATCGCTAAGAAAGGAAACGTGAAGAGCAGGAGATTGCGGCGTCCCCAACGGTCGATCGTAAACACCGCAGGCAAGGCGAAAACCCAGTTCAGGATGCCCGTACCCATGGACGCCAACAAAGCTGATGTAGTCGAATAGCCTGATTGTATGAAAATCGTCGTACTGTAGTACGCAATGACGTTGACTCTAAGCAGAACACCGTCAGTATCGGCATCAGGTTCGGTATCATCTAGAATTTTTCCAGTAACGACGGATGGTGCAAGTGCAAGTGTAAACTCAGTATAGCTTCGTACTCACCCACAGAATTGCTGGAGTTTTGCGTCAGCCATAATGTAAGATGACATCTCAAGCAGGGAATAGTCTTACCTGGCCGAACATGACAATCCATGACGCCCACGTGGCTCGTCGATTGCGAGGAACCGTGAAAAGCTCAATGAATTGGGTGAACAAGTTCTTGCCCTTGTGAGCCTTGCGCTCGAGTTCCACGCCAATAAAGGTGTAGTAGGTATCCCTGGCAGCTTGTAGGTCTGTGTGTCTCAGGCGTTGGAAGGATCGGAACGCCTTTTCTGGACGGTTGTGCTGAATGTACCATCTATGGAAAAAACATTGTTAGAAAGTCCTCCGTCGAAAGGGCATTCCTAGGTGAAAGTCTTGGATGCTTTCGTTCTACATACCTGGGGCTTTCCGGGCAGAAGTAGACTTGAGCACAGACGATGAGTGGAAGGACAACAGTGCTGCCGAGCATGAGTCTCCAGCCAAGGTTGGGGGACAATCCGCCGAATGCAACGCCCATGATGTTTCCAAGCATGATACCTAGAAAGCCGTCAGAGAACTGGACTTCCGCGTATTGTCGCAAGAGGCTTACCAAAAGCGGTCCACATTTGCCACATCATAACCAGCGCGCCACGGATAGGGGCTGGAGCACACTCGGCAGAGTAAACTGGCACCGTGGAGGATTTGGGGCCAATACCAAGGCCTTGGAGGAGTATTAGCGCAGCTCCATGTGGTAATACAACAACCAAAACAAGAGACTCGACTTACCCAGAACGAATCGTGCCAGAAATAGATTAACCCAGGAATTAGCAACCCCTTCCCAAATCGAGGCAACCGCAGCAATGAAACAGGAGATGAAGATCGTTCCTCGACGGGCAAGGACCTTATTGCACGGCTCTGTGAGCCAGCAACCCAGAACCGCACAGCATACTGGAATATATGTCAGTCTGTGGACAGAGGAATATCGCACATTTCGCAAGAGTCTTTTTTCGGGGAAGGAGCGAAGGGGGTCCTTACAATATGGTGCGCCGACAACCAGGCCAGTCAGGTTATCGACCATGCTTTGGCTGAATCGGTGGGTGGTGATGTTAAGTTGCTTGAGATAGAGTGCCTGTGCACCGTTGTTCACTGTCTCGTCCATGCCCTGCACAGCAGCCGCCAGCGAACACATGATGACCAACCAGTAGAGGGTAAATGGTTGAGACCAACGGTGTGTGTGCTCTCGCTCAAGAACTTGACGGTCTTCAGGCGACAGTTCGACAATACTATCCGTGGCATTTGGAGATTGAGCCACCAACGCACCCTTGCGGAATACATCGAGATACTCCATGAGATTGTGATCTCGGCAGAAGACCTCGACTTCTTCCAAGAGCTGCTCCTTGGGGATACCGGACAACGGATTCTCAAATGCGGCGCTCAGTTTGCTCATGTCGACGTCCGTGAAGGACTTCTTGCGGGGTGGAGCATTTTCGACGTTAGTGGCAGTACGCTCACTGTCACCAGATCGTCTGTCGTAGACAGCCTTTTCTTTTTCAGCCATGTTGGATTAGCTATTAGCTAGTGCAATAAATTGATCCAAATGAATAGTCCAAGGTTGCTCCAAAAACTCGACGCAGAAGGGCACCAGAAGCAAGCGCCAGTTGTGTCCGGGTGAAACAAGCAAACGAGACCAGAAATGTCAAGAGATGTCAAGCCATTCTTGTACATCTTGTCGCAACCCACCTTCAGGGCAGGCCTGCTCCTGTATCAATGCGCCGGACACTCAGTGGACACGCGGGAAGATAGAGATCAACAATCGACGTCATATCGTCCATAGGGCCACCGACAGGACCATGTGGCCAGAGGGGACACCCAGGTAGAGTTCGGTTTGGATGCCGCGCCCAGGTCTGGAGTAGTCCAATGATATCCCACTGATAGCTGCACAGATAGAATGTAGAAGCGGACCGTTCACTTGCCCCTTGCTACAGGCGACACAGTCGTAACGGCACCCTTGCGCGGTAGACGTCAGAGCGGCAAGTCGATCATCTGTGCTAACTTGGTGGTGTCGGAGCTTTTCAGGTTGCAACGTGGGCGATGTGGAGGATGCTGGCGCCGATCGAGATCGAGCTCCCAATCGAGGGAGGAGAGAGTCCGAGAGACAGGAGAGACAACAGGCCCGGGCGCCGATCTTGGCCCCCTTGGGTCTTGGGGTTCCCTGCCAAGACGCCGGCCCCATTCTCCTCCCCTCCCGTATTTTACCGTGTCACGTGGGATGCCGACTATCCTTAAGCCTTCAGTGTATCCTCCCGCCCTCCGGAAGCATTCTCCAGCTACAGTAAAATCCCCCTAACCTCCCACCCACGTCCCGCTCGTATGCCTCGCACCGAGGTATTATTCCCCAACGCGCACGAGTCCTCCAACCTGCAAACCCCACTTGTGACTCTCCCGTTCGTGGTCACACGAAGCCTCCAGGTTGGTTGACGTGGGGTCAGAGACACTAACTGTTGACCCTTAACGACTATGTTGAAGTCCGGGGTTATTGTGGTAGCGACATGCGTCGATGACGTGTTCAGGCGGACTCTTTTCGACTCCCTCTACACCCGGGGCAGAAACAAGGACTCCTCGTGTTCATGTCGTACAGGCGACAGCCACCAGGATAGGATCAAATGCAGGGTTAGTGAGAGTACAACATGGGAAATGGCCAGTCCATTCATTAACTCATTATTCGTAGCTATACAAACTAGTGATTCGCTCAGTGGTATCATCTCAGTGCCCTGTATGGAAATTCCCGCACAAACGCTCCCAAGCTATTCAGCGGCCTGTATAGATTCATCCCATCCACCGACACTTTCCAAAAACATCTTTACCTGTCCTTGCTTTCCTTGCAAGGCACTCCCCAGCGCCTCGAGCCACTGCTCTTCAATCATAGCCACTTGCTGCTTCAACTCTGCGGTAGCCGCCTTCTCTTGCTCGTCTCGAATTTTCTTGGGATCCTCTCCTGACGTGGGCCCATCCAGTTCGGCGCGAGCTCGCTTTGCTTCGGCAGCTCGACATGTTGCCGCAATTAAGCCGAGTTTGACTTCATGGAGCAGACAATGGAGATTGCTTTGGGATTCAATGAACTGATACGTCGATTTCTCCGCGTGATCGAGCAATGTGAAAAGGTATTGTTGTGGAAACTGACGGTATTCGGGGTTCTCTTCATATTCGGCATCAGGAATCAAAATGGCGCCCATTCGATCCAGGTCATCGGGAATCTTGTGGATCAGATCCAGCAGTCCTGGCGCGATGTCCCAAAATGCAGACGACTGCAGTTGGACTTCGTCCCGAACATGTTCTGCAACGAGATCGACGAAGCTCTGATAGCGTACCAGTGCTTCTTCATAAAAGGCTTTGTGTCGCTCCGCACTGTCGCGATTGAAGAAATCCTCCGTGTCTCGAATCTTTTCGAGATTGCTGACCTGGTGGTAAGGCAGAAGCACAATGGCTTTGTATTTGTCGTTTCGAGCGGTGAGTAGGTCGAATATTTCCTTATGGACAGTTTCCCGCGTCTCAAACAACCACTTCAACTGGGTCAGATATTCCAATATTTCAGGCATGGCATCCCCCTCCTGCTGTGGTCGATCGAGGTCGGAGGCCTGCATGTCTGCCACTAGCTGCTCGGTCAATGCCGTCATGTGGGCACTGAGCTGCGTTGCACGATCATGGAGCATTTCATGCATCGGGTTGATTACCACATCCTGCAACGTATCAAACTCCGCTTGCAGGCAGGCTTTCTCGGACAAATTCTCCTCCATTTTGAGCGCCTGCTCGGCTTCTGCGGCTTCGGCATACGTGATACTGCCCTCATTGATCTGGGCTGAGATATTGGTCCTGAAGTTCTTCTGTCCCTCGGCAATCTTGCGCTTGTGTTCGGTCCTCAGAGCCTCCACGCTTAAGTTATGTCGTGATCTCCTATTCTGTAACTCACTCAAGTCGCTGAGTGTCCGGACGAGCTTGCGATACGAGGCCAAATTTGGATGACTGTTGTTGACCGCAGGGTAGTGTCGCGGATATGGTGGAGGCAGAGTGATGAACCGTGAAATATCGAGGCCCGCTGGAGATAATGGATTTGGTGGGGTCGTCTCCTGCACCGGTAGAGGCTCGGAGTCCTCGTAGAAGCCGAACGTCTGCGGATTGGCCTTCTCATCGGGATAGCCTTCTGTCGAACTGTATACTTCGTTGATATTGGTTGGTGTGGCGGCCTCGGACAACACTTCCTGCACCGAGATGGTAGAGAGACCCATATATTTGGATTCCCGCTTCGACCTCTTCATCTTATTCGGCGCAAAATCTGTTTCCGAACCAGTCTGTGACTGCCACCATCGGCTAGCCGTTCGACCACGGGAACTGAGTTCATCGTTACTCATACTAGCAATCGGTGAGAGTTCTGGGCGGTATTCCTTTGACCACATTTCCCCGTGTTGAGGCGGATCTATCCGCATCCCGTGCATAGGTGATCGCATTCTGCGGGGTGTCGTAGCTCGTACCTCGACATGACCGGTCTTCCCAAGATCACTGAAAAGCCGCTGTTTCGCTTCCTCCGGGTTAAAGGTCCCATCGGCAAATGGAGTTGGACAATGTTGCCGGCGGATCTTCGACTCCTCAACAATATACTCCATGAAAATTTGCAGTCTCTCTAGCTCAGTGTTTGCTTGGCTCTCTTTTACGAGGAATTGTTGATGCCGTCGCGAAGCATCTTGCATGAAGGGATCATATTCCAGTTGGGCGAGTTCAGCCACCGAAGATGCTGTTGAAGGAAGATTACTGTGCGCAGAAGTGGGGTTCTTCTGACTCAGTGGCGGTGTGGGCAGCGACTTTGGTGGAACAAGTGGCGTGCGGCTATTCCTCCTCGACAGAGATGGAGGAAAGGGTGAATCAAGAGATTGGTAGTCAGAATCTCCACCACGAAGTCGACTCCTGGTTCTGCTGCTGGTCCGTAAACCTCTTCGAGCGGTTTCAGGGCTGGCTCGTTCCGGAGCCAATGGGCCTAACGTTGGTGAATGTTCAGGACTGATGCCAGTCGGGCTGAAGTTGTTGAACCAAGGGTCAGTGTCGATGGTCAACGCGCTGAGGTCAGCCAATTGACCCTCGTGAAGACTCCGACGTTGCTTCCGACGTTCCAGCAGACCTTTAGCGGAAGAGACACGGAGGGCAGCGCTCCTCGACAAGCCTGCAGGGGTCGAGCCCGGTCGATCGAGGTTCGTGGTCTCAATATGTAACGGCATTGGCGTTCGGGAGCTAGATCGATGAGTAGACTCATCCCTCCAATTAGCAGGCGTAGGGGGCATGGGACTGAGAAGAGGCGCTTGTAAAGGAACGCGGTGATTTGATCGACTGTTGGTTCCAGTCGCCGGTGGTTGAGCAAGACTCCGACTTCCACCTGCACTCTGTGATCTCGAGGCCGCAGGAGGTGGACCTGGTGGCGGACCAGGCAGAGGCATCCCTGGAAACCAACTTCTCTGTTTGGACGATGATCTCGAGGATGATCCCTCGTGATTCTGAACGGATGGTGTTTGAGAAGCATAAGCATCGGCGGATGCTGCTCTCCTCGATGCTGGTGGTGGTGGTTGTCCAAGATTTGCGTCAATTGGTGGATAGAGAGGCAGACTCTGTTGTGCTGCCACCGTGTTTATCGACAAAGTGGTCCCCTGGGGGAGTCTCGATGATCCATGTTGTTGTGAGGAAACACTCAAGCGGCCAGGGTGGTGATCGAAACCACCAGGTCGCCCTGAAGGACTGAAATATTTTGGTCCATTCGTGTCGGTCATGGTCTGGCCGCTATCACCTAGAGAATGAGATCCTTGATTAAGGGGCGACAACACTCCTACAGTGCTAGTCGGAGTGTTTAACTGGGATTGATTTCCAGTAGTTGTGAACGTTGAGTCTGCAGGTGAGATAGTCGACCCAGCACTGGTGGCCTCACGAACAGCAACGCCTGTGGACGCAGCCGTGGCAGCAGAGTATGGCGGAGGTGGATGGGAGAGCCCTTCTGCACAGGGGGTCAGACACATCTCTTCGCCCACGAAATACCAACATACCTTCTGCTTGAGACCCCGGATTTCGACCATCTGAGAACGACGTTCGTCGACTCCCTCCCACCCACTCCCTAGGGTCATAAGGCACATTGTAGTTCCCCGACACTCTTGCAGCCATTGGTACAGCACTTTGCGGACTGGGCACGGGTGAATTGATGTATGTCGGCGAGAAGGGACCGTGGGTGCCGTGCAGCAATGGAGCGGAGACGGGACCTGAGGACGACAGACCACGCGCAGAAGCAACGTTGATGTTCAATGGCGGTGGGAAGGGGACATGGCCGAGGCGCACTGGAGAGGCCGCAGGCTGGCCATCCCTCGGTGGTGGTGGAGGGAGAGGAACAATGACCGTGGGAGTCCTCGGGGAGTGTTGATATTGAGCCTGGGCATGTTCAGCCGCAGACAATGGTCGGCTTTCGAAACATTGTTAGCCCGCCCTGCATAGGAGCTCTAGACTGTGACAAGGAGCCACAGTCTTCGCTGTAAACATACAAGGACATATTGTGAAGAGACAGTCTTGTCCAACCGCCAAGTTGAGATTGGTGGATTAAGCGCCCACACGGTTCAAGTCACATTGGCGCATGGTGGCCATCGCATCCTCTCTGGCACCGGCGGCCGTACTGGGGTTTTCAATGCACCAACTTGACATGAAATGGGCTTCTCTGTCGATGGAAAGCGAAATATCGATGAAGACAGAAACAAAGAGCTATCCGCAGCCTGATCTTGGACGAAGACGATACGAGTAGATGAGAGACATCGAGGGCGACTGCGGAAGTGGGGACAGGAAAGTAATTACAAGTCACCCACCAGTGCCAGTGGCAGAAGTTGTTGCTATTCTTTGCCCTGAAGCCCGCAAGCCAAGCCTAGAACCATCGCCCACATTGGTCGCTTACGAGTTCGTTGGTCAACGCTATGGGGGAGGAGGCTGTCTGCAGGGCATGTGGCCGGAGAATAACTCGGGCTCTGGGTGGCCTAAGTCGACAATGTTTGGACGCTGATGGGACGGGCGAGAGCAATGTGCAGGAACCCATAGCGGATGCGGGATGGTGGGCAAGTCTCGCGCAGCTTCTGTCAGCCAATGGAGCCTGGGGATACGAGTAGAGCAGAGAAAATAGCAGCAGCTATAACTCATGGGGAGCAGCCCTATCTGCCGCGCTGCCCTGAGTACCCTTAGGCAGGATGGATGGTGCCTATGGTCAGCCTTTGCTGGCGAGATGGGGAACCTGCCTGCCAATAAGAGGCCTCTTGCGGGTGCCCCTCGCACCAGACTGATCAAACCCCTTCGCTTGACTTTCCACTTTTGTCGAGCAACCACTACGCGTTTGAAATTTGGAGCAACCCAAAAAAATTGTTGCGTCTCAGATTCAATTGATCATCTCGCGGTTTATGCACAATACCACCTTCTCGCCTGCCTGAGATCTTGTGAAACTTGGTGACCCTGCTGAGATACCATAGCCGGCTCATCGGCAGTCAAGATGCACACCCGGAACATGCTGCAAGCACGGTAGTTGAGGATTGTTGCTAACACCACAGACCAACCGCGCACTCTTCAGGCTCATGGACACTCTCTCGAAGTGCCATTCAACACGGCATGAACGACGAACATGAAAAGGTGGATCAAACACGCTTCTTGGTATGTCTCCCTGGTGTTTCCGTTCTCGCTCAATGATGAATCTGCATACCGTAACAAACTAGAGTCTTTGATCCTCTTGGATATGAAACTCAAGATCGCAACGCACGTCAGTCTGATGATGCAGGATCTCCATGTCACAGCTCTCAGTCCATTGAAAGCACTATGGCTAACACCTATCAGGGTGATTCTCGAAGGCTACACAGCAGCTCTCGCCCGCTCCGCCCAACCACTGAAAATTCTGTACGTCGTTTCCCCCTCACCCGAGTGTCCCAGTCTTTTATGATGATTGTTTCGAAATAATATACGCTGGAAATTACCGGCAGAGGCTTTCGAGCCGTGGAAGATAACAAAATGGCTATATCTGATTTTTCAGACCTCTCTGCAACTCGCAACACTCCACTTCTTGGGAAAGTTTTTACTGACCCGTGTTCGAAGATAGATTTGGGAAGGTACGGCTGGCTCTCTTGTGTCCTGAACAAAAGCGGATCTCTTGATGAATGGCACTGGGCTCCGACCACGGCTACAAAACCGCCGGCCTTGATGGAAACGCCCCATTGTGGCAGGCCTAGAAAACCTCGCCCACTGATTTGGCCTATATCCTTCATCTATCATGTTCATCCCTGGCGACTTGCACTAATTGTCCTGCCTTTCCGAACAGGAGGGCCCAACGCATTCTCAGTCCTTGAGTAAGTGTGCCTTGCCTCTTATCTCCTCGCTTTCAGTGATGATTTCCTAGATGACGAGTCTTATCCAGTACTCTGATGCAGATAAACTCAAACAACCATTCATGCATTTCCTGACCTTTGCTCCTCCTGCCAGACTCGTTCCACGTCTCTTTTTACGGCGGTGCTAATGATCGAGTCTTCCAGATCTTACGTGGCGGAGCAAGTATGTTTTGTCTTCTTCACAACCCCGAGTATGATCCATATGATGAACCGACACATCAAAAAGACAAGCATATGTCCAAGTCAGCTCAGGTTGACAAAGACGAGACTGTCAAGCCTGATACATATCTGCGCCAATCAATATCTTACCCTGAAACTTGCGCTATACGAGACTGACGAGGACTTCATACAGCTTGTCTTCGATAGATATTTCTCATGTGAGTGACACTGTCTCTTCTCTCGTGCTTTCCTATCAGGATGATTTATTCTACAATTCACGACGGTCAACGTAGCCTATGTTTTGACGACTACCGCCTGTGACAAGGCTTAGATCTGAATATATAATTACTTCCATTGTTGTCTATACTGTCAATCGTGGACCAAGCTGACCTGTTAAGCGCAGAATATCGCTATTTAGCTAGTTCCCTGCGCCGAGATGCGCAAATTTTACCTCTGATTCTGTGTCACCTTCACCTTCACTTTCGTTGTCGCAGAATTTCAGCTTAACATATTTCACTTTGCCATCTTACTCTCACTTCCACCCCCACCCCCACTCCGACTTGCGTTCATATTTCTCTTGTCTTTCGTTTACAACACCTCAGCCTCTCCGCACTTCCGTAACTGGATTTGGGATTAGGCACTTGATGGTCCAACATGGTCTACACCAGGGAGAGGCTTCAGCACGCACTCGACGTCTACCACAGGGCTTGGGAGATTTCAACGCCCGGACCAAAGGCCAAGGATCGTCACCTTCGCAAGGATTACCAGTTCCGACGAGTCAAGGCTACCTCGAACTTTACACAAGCCATATCGTGGTACGAAGATGATTCTTCCGACGAATACTGTCCCACGGCGAAGAAACGTCGGGCCACAGTCCGCAAGATACCAAAAGCCAAACGAAGTAGACATTCACTTCCTTCTCCGGTCACTCATGATAGGCCCTCCCGATTAGTGACACTCAGACTCAAGTCAGATGCTGGGAGGGCTCTTTTGGGTGACCTTGTCAATAAGGATAGCACTAGAACATCTGGTGCAGATGACACAAAAGGAGGCATTTGTAAGGGCGATACGGACAACAGACCAAGTCCTGGACAACAGCATGGTACTCTTTCGGACGGGACGTACCTGAGAAGACAAGATGAAGAGAGTGATGCGATTTGTGGTGGGACAAATCGCAGCGGTCTAAAAAGGAACAGGGATCCTTCCGTCAGAGATAGGGAACGTACGGTTTGCGAGGATATCTCGCAAAAGGTCCCTGCCGCCATCGCCCAAAGCCCTTCTGTACCAACTCAGTCGACGCCGATCCAGATTATTCGTGCTGCAGCTGTGGAAATCCAACAAGCTCGAAACGTCCTGGCTGGAGTGTCCAGAGAAAACCCAATCATTTTAGATTCGCCTCGATCCTCACCAGAACTAGAACTCCCGGACGCGTCATTCGCCACAGACACCCCATGGGCTCATCCGATCAATTTCAAGCATATTCAAACATCAGATCAGCCATGCCATTTTTGCGAGGACTTTAGATTTGGAATCTTTGGATCCAGAGTCATTGGCATCGAGGAGATAACACGCATGTGCGTCAACTGCTCTCTGAATCGGCTCCATATCTCCAGGTGCAGGGTGCATTTAATGCGCAGATTCGCAAATCCATCGATTGAGCTCTATCATAGGTACATCAGCCAGTTGATCGATCGCAACTATCCAAAAGGGCCGGCGATCAAGCGCGGAGTGTACCACACGTGCTCGTTATGCGCACATCCTGCGTTCTGGAGATGCTGTGCCGACCAGAGGGTGGACAAGTACTTGAGGAAGCTGAATGATGGCAAGGGAAGAGGTTGCGGGCTGCTCCTCTGTGAATCGTGTGTTGACCAGGTCAAAATAGATAAGGGGGTATTGAAGACAACGACTGTGCAGGAGGATTTCAATGGCCGCGGTTGTCAACGGGCAGATATGGACTTCCTCTTCGCGGGAAGCCTGCTTCACAAGGCTTGGGCCTGAGGCTTCCTTAGCTGCTTTAGCTTCCTTGATGCGGTGGGTGAGGAGCGAAAATAGGAGGATTGGAAACTGTCCATGTATTCAGGGAAAGGGGAGTAGAGGAGGACGGGCTTTGAGCGGGCAGTGCTGAGCCAGTTTGGTGTGTCGTTGCAATCAGGACATGACTATTGAGATTCGTTGGCAGCATAACCAGCTTTCATCAAGTTTGACCAAGTCTGAAACATTGTTCTTGGACTCATTCTCTTTTTCTTCTTTTTCTCTTGGATGTGCCCCTTTCGTAACCTCAGAGTTGGGCAGAGAAAAAGCTTCTTCGCGGCGGCAATCGCTTATCGGCCGCTGCGATAAGGAATCATGTCCCGCCTGTGAAAGAAACCATCCCGGAGACCAAACCAGCACCAATACCAGTACCACCACCGACTTCATCAGCCCCCAAGGCTATCTTCAGTCCGTACCATCTCATCTTCCTCTGCCCTCCATCCCACGCATCGTCGTCGACTTCCGTTCAACAGCAGCGAACACTGAACCTGTCGGCCACCGAAGCTGTTTGATCGCGTAGCCACATTGATCGCCTCCCTCGCAAAAGCCTGCCAGCTAACTGCGTGGCTCCAAACTGATCTGTCTCGGACATCATGACACATTGAAGGCGCAAGAGGATGAGGACACTGGCGCTGCATACTGCTCATTAGATACATCAGTCACCTCTGCCACGCTTCCTTAGCAAACCCCTAGGCCCATCGCGGGCACACCTCACCCCCCCTCCGCCAACCATGAGTTTCATTCAATCAAGCCCGCTGGCTATGCTAAGCAGAAGCACCTTGAACCGGGTGCTTCAGCCTTCCGATGTGAGTCGAGGAAATCTCTTTGCATTCGGTTGAGTTGTCTCTTTTAGCGGCCTCTGCATGTCTATTTATCACTATCGTCATCGTCGGGCAAGGGCATCGTTTGAATGTCACATGAGAAGATCTCTTTCCCATCCTCGAAGGAATACTTCCGCCTCGACAGCCGAGGCAACACGCACAGATGCACCTGTATGATGGGGATGAGGCTCGACGCTCTTGCGCCTGGGAGCCCAGGCATCCGGTGAACCGACCGGCCCCCCAATATTTGGCCCTTCGCATTTGCTTTCTGCAATGGAGTAAGCCGAAAATGTCCCAGCGCTGGGCTGTGGAGAAGAGGCAGATCTGCAGGCGACTTCTCCCCCCCAAAAAGGCTCTCCCTGGATCTTCCGAGCGGGCAAGACGCCCCATGAACCAGCAACCAAAACCTAGGCCTGTCCGTTTGCCTCCGGCCAGAAAATTGTGTTGAGCCGAAAAATATCCCAGAAGCGCACAACGAACAATTCTCCTGATGCAACATGGTCTTCTCAATGCTCATCGAGCCATTACCACGCGACCAACCGCCTTCCTCCTCAAACCACCCACTCTAGCCCGAACGAGACGTGGTCTGATTCTCGACAACTTCCAGTCTGCACCTGCCTGTGACGCATTTGGCTTGAGTCTTATTCTTGGTCTTGCTGAGACGTTCAATTAAAAGATCCCCGGGTCAACGCTTGCGGCAAGCCCAGGATTCAACCTACGACAAGACCACCCTTTGTTCCTGGAGTGAGACCACTACCACTGCAGAACTCCTTTACCCAACCCTTTTTTTCCAAACCCCCCCGGCCCAATATTGCTGGAATGGGCCAAGACGTGAGCACGCCCGAGTTTTCCTCTTGAGACTTTGTCTACGCTTAGAGCACGAGGCACGGCAAGCCTTCGTGTTCGACACATGCGTCCTTTTGCCCCTGGTCCCGCATTGACCGGAACGAATCATTGCTTCAACCCAGTCGCCCTCTGCCCAATTCACGTTGTGTATGATCATGGGGTTGTGCATCCCTCAGAGCGATCGAGTATGACGTCGCTGTTTTGCATATGCTTTTTCCGATTTGCGTGATTGGCTCATACACCAACTGACATGAATGTAGTCTGAGGTTACCCAGATCGTGGTGGTTATGGTGGGCTTGCCAGCTCGAGGCAAGAGTCTGATAGCTGGCAAAGGTTCGTCTTGCAAACTCTCAGCGTTTTACCCTGCCACTAAAGTGGTTCAGTCAAGAGATATCTTCGGTGGACGTCGGTCAACGCCGAGGTATTCAACGTCGGCAAATACAGACGAACCGACAATCCCCATCCAGATGCCAAGTTTTTCGACGTCAACAACGCCGAAGGCGAGAAGGCTCGCCGGGCCGCAGCCGAGGCCGCCGTCGCCGACATGCTGATGTGGTTCAAGGACAAGAGCAATAAGGTTGCCATCCTTGACGCCACCAACTCCACCAAGTCGCGACGGAAATGGATTCACGACAAGATTGTCGAGGCGAACCTTCTGCACTTGTTCGTTGAGAGCAAATGTGACGATGAAGATCTCATTATGGCCAACATCCTCGAAGTCAAGACCACGTCACCCGACTATATTGGTCAGGACCCCGAGGTGGCGGCCAAAGATTTCCGCAGCCGTATTCGAAACTACGAGAAAGTGTACCAGACGATAGACGAGTCGGAAAAGCATCTCACCTACGTGAAAATCATCAACATCGGCGCGCGGGTGGTGATCAACCTCATCCAAGACTACCTGCAATCTCGCCTCGTATATTACCTCACGAATCTGCACATCAAGCCCCGCAGTATATGGCTATCCAGGCATGGCGAGTCCGAATACAACCTCGAGGGCAAGATTGGGGGCGACGCCAACTTGTCGGAACGTGGTGAACGGTATGCGAGAATGCTGCCCGAATTGGTCAAGCGGTCGGGGTTGCCAAAGGATGCTCCCTTGACGATATGGACATCGACTTTGAAGAGAACGAGCCAGACGGCGCAGTATTTGCAGAAGGAACTCGGCTGGGAGAAGTTGCAATGGAAAGCACTCGATGAGTTGGATAGCGGTGTTTGTGACGGGATGACCGTAAGTTGAACTTTTTGTCGATATCGGCCTGAACGATCATCGTTGCTAAGCACTGTCCTCTTTCTGTGCAGTATCAGCAAATAGCCGAGAAGTACCCGGAAGACTTCCAAGCCCGCGACGACGACAAATACAACTACCGATATCGTGGAGGCGAGTCCTACCGCGACGTGGTCATCCGGCTGGAGCCCATCATCATGGAACTGGAACGGAGCGAGAATATCATCATCATCACGTACGTCAAATCTTTTTTACATCCCTACTCCTGTTTCGCACTCAATTCAACAATGCCCCCCTTTTCACCCCCTTTTGCAGCTCAAACCATACATACACTTTTTCTTCTTCCGTTCCCATCCCCTCATGGTACGCATCTCTACTTACACATTTACTCGTGATGATATAGCCACCAAGCCATCGTCCGCTGCATATTCGCGTACTTTATGGAAATCCCGCAAGAAAAATCCCCCTGGATGGAAGTGCCGCTGCACACATTGATGAAGCTGACACCGAAAGCCTACGGCACCGAGGTCGAGCGCTTCAAGGCCGACATCCCCGCGGTATCGACGTGGCGGCCCAAGGGCAGCACGGCAAAACACCACGACAGCGTCAGCGAAGGGATGCCCGAGGACGTCGTGGGGGAGGCGAAAGGAAAGAACTTTGGCGCAAGGGATGGCACGGTCGTCAAGGAGATTGACGCGGGGAGTAATAGGAGGGAGTTGACGGAGGGGGAGGTGCCCAGGATCACGATGACCGGGTTGCCTTTGCCTTGATCCTGAGATATCTGGGAGGCGCTAGGCTAGAGAGGATGGAGAAAGATGTGATGGGCAGTTGGAGGGGAAAGGAATAGGAGGGAACAAAGGATGGAATCATGCGGGTCTCAAAGGAAATGAGGATGGATGAAGCCCCCTACCTGTCAGGGCCGAATCCTCACTGCATTATGCCCGTTGCATTTGGACATGAGGGGATGAGGATCAATGCTAGAGAGAAAATATGACCCTTTGGTCTGGTTAGAGTGCATACAGCCAGAACACCAGGTCCACTTGTACCACTCGAGCCTCTTCCCGCTCCCTCTTCATGCTTCTCTGCTCTAGATTCTCCAAACCACCACTCTCTACTCTAGCCTTCCCTTTATTTCGCGTCCAGTTCATTGTCGCCGGCCAGCTTCGGCCGCGCGAAGAGATCATATCGCCATCATGGAGCCTCCCGCAATAGATTCAACTTTCCAGCCTACCTCGGAGCCAGAAGTTTCCTCATTCCGAGGTCCTCGTTCCGTCAGAGCACGCCGCGGACCGCAATTTGTGGCAGTATAGCTGCTGTAGATTATGTGGCATTGCATCCTTTTCTCCCATGATCAGGGCCGCAATGTGTATTCGATAATATGGATCAAACGCCGAAGAAGGTTGCTTTTCACCAAAGTACCTGTTTCCCTCGAGGCTTTTGCAGAAACCCTGTACAAATCGGCCGGCGAAGTATCTAGAAAAGAATCAGGACCTCTAGGTGGAAAGACCCAAGGTATCAACGCATGTCCCATTATGACTCTCTGAATGGCTGAATCGCATTCCAGGCTGGAAGAATGGGGATTCTGGTCAGCGTATTCACAAGTTGGTGAGGTCGGGCATCAGCATGAGCTGAACAAGCACGACTTGTATATCGCTTAGCGACTTGGAGCAGATGTTGGACTTACCATTTATTGAGCCTTCGACCCACGGTCTGGAACCGCCCGCAATTCGGACATTCTTCGTCTGTTTGAAAAAAATCGCTCGAAGAGTCCATGGGCGTGGACCGTTGTCTCACAAGCACTGTGTTCACTATGCTCATTGAGAGTCTAGATCCCGGTTTAACCCATTCTCGAGTCAGAGAATCCTGTTCGCGAGCCGATGCAATCCCACGTCCCAGAATTGTCGGGAGGGCACGCCCCAAAAAGATCGGTAAGCCAATGGTCTCATCTATGATCTCAAAATCTCCCCGGACCACTTCCTTGAATCCAGGGTGGTCGGAGAACATTATCTTCAAGGTATCGTGAAACGTGTTGAAAGTACGACAAAGGACAGCAGGCAGTATCGTGGACCGGCCCAGGACATCTTGGAGATACACGTGAGAAGAAGCGACGTCGGCTTCCCACGGATACCCAAGACATTTGGGCATGTTCAGCTGTATCGTCTGGACGATTTGGACAATCTCAGTCAGAGTGGACGAGAAGTGTCCAATCTGACCTTGAAGACGTTGCGTAGATTGTGCTTCTTGGTGGCTTGACTGTGCTCCCAGTTGGCTTGGGAGGACCGAGTGTCAGCATTGGACCTGACGTCGTTCTCAGATGGAGCAAACACACATATTGACTGCAAGTAAATATCGGTCAAATGCTTCGAGATGCAGGGACAGTCGTTGCTGCAACTTTCGAGCGTCTTCGGTACTGTAGAGGGACCACTTCAGTTTCCTGAAGGTTTTCTGCGCCTTGTTTCCTTGTCCGTTGATAAGTCTCTCGGTATACTTTCGAGAATCCAGCTGTGCCGTTCAATTATCATCAACAGAACACAAGTTTAGATGGTAGAGACGCAGAGTGAGGAGCCATACCTTGAATTGGCTCAGTAGTGTGTGGCATCGGCCGGCGTGGAAGAGGACGCCATTCATGAACGCCTGATCAACATTCGACGTTTCACCCAGGGATGAACTCGACAGAAAGTTAGTAATGGAGTTCAGAGAGATTTCAAGAGACTTGAGCAGGTCAATCAGGCCCTTGTAATCGGCAGCCGCACCTCTGCAGTCGCTCAAGGCAGTCGCGATCTCAAGGGCTAATTTACCAACGGCGATGAAATCTCCAACCGAGATTCCAAAGGGCACAACCATGTTCCGAGGGAGCGCCGCTGTTGTAGCAGCGAGCTGGGGTGTCCATGGAGAATAAAAGCAGAACAGAGATGGGAGGGTTGATGGAAAACGCACGGATGAGGCTGGCGGCTACTGCGGCCTGAAGCAGGGTCAGTGGGGGTTGTTATGCCTCCAGAGCCCAGCTCATCAGCCTCAGCAGGCCCTGGTCAACTGCACAAAGAAAGACTAGTGCCCTATAAGCCAAGTTCAAGCACCAAAGCACATGGCTCGCCGATAACTGCAGATTTCTCTGTGAAAGGCTGTGTTCGCTTGCCGGGTTGATGTGCTGCGCCTGGCTGCGCCCTCGTACTCATACCCTGCCCCATGCTGCGACACAGACCGACTTATATGTCCAATTAGATCCCATTGTGTCTCTGGACGGAAGATTCTGCCTTTTACTTGATGGCTATAGACGCCGTAGTGAGCATAGCAAGTCACGTGCGCCAGAAACAGGCCGTAGATCCATCAAAGAAATCAAGTATTGTCTGCAATGAAGAACAATGTCCATCCGAAACCCGGCAGTGGGTGACATTGAGCATCGTCGACAGCCGTGGGGGCCAGGAGAAGTTGCAAGTTTCTCATTGGAAGCGGAGACATGGAATGGACTTTCGTGTTAGCAGGCAAAAGGCGCTCCAACGGTGCCGCTCTTGTACGCGTCGACGATGAGTTTGATTGACACGTAGGTTCCTGAGCAAAGGTTAGAGCCATTAGCCGCGCATTCCGGTATCTTGCCTGCATTCATGCACCGCAGACAACCCAAGACTGGAGCCGGAAAAGAAAACTCGCGAAACATAGAAAACACATACCGGCAACGCAAATGAAGGCTCCCGCAGCAAACGTGGCCAGGTTGACGACTGTCTTGATGGGACTCCCAGTCCATGCTCTCATACCATAAACACCTCTCACTCTACCCTTGTCCATCCCGTGATAAGCATCATACAACCAAAATGCCCCTGCGATCCCGTATGTATACCAGCTCGCGAACAGACTTGCCGCGATACTTACGAGGTAGGCGAATATAGGCACACCCACAGCTAAAACAAACGCAGCCCCGTTGGCAAGGATGATGAGGATGGTCCAGGTGCTCCAGCCTAGGATGGTATGTTTGTGCAGATGATGGCGAGATTTGCGGAAAAATCGAATAAGGAATAATTTGGCAGCGGTATGGGAATACAACGAACCAGCGATGAGGAAGTTGGGGAGAGCAATTCCGTACGTGGCTTTCGCCCATTTGGTGGGCAGAGACGAAAACGCCGGCGACTGGACCGAGGGCCCTAAATATACGTACATGACAACGGCGAAGACAGTATAGAATCTGTTGGACGTCACCATCGATGGTGTTCAGTCAGCCTCGACTGCTGATATCGCACCCACCACACGTATGGCCGAGGGTCTTCACTTACGCGGTGGCAAAAACCTGCAACACCCACGCCGCCTTTTTGGCATCGGCGGGGCGTTTCATCTCTGAGATGAGGATGAAAAACATAAAATGTCCCGCGTACGCGAACACGGGATTCGTGATAGACACAAAGGCGTTATAGAAACTCGCAGAGCGAGCGACATCAACGTGTCGATCGGGAGCGGGATTAGCCCCAGCGGCCGCCATACCTACAACGCCGGCGACCAGAATGCAGATGCATGAGGGAATGCAGAGCCAGGAGAGCTGGTCCAGGGTTCGAGGAAAGGAGAGTATGAGGGTTGGGATTGCAAAGATTCCTGGCTGGTTAGTCGTTGCACACAGGTATGCTCACAGACATTTCAAACGCACCAGTATACCACATCAGACAGAGTTTGTTGTCCGACAAAACACCCAGAGCAATTTGCCCGGCAAGTAGCTGTGACCCTGTTGCAAAAACGGCAAAGATGACTGTGCCGGCGGCGAGGATTTCCCGCAGTAAGGGGCCTCCCAGGATCCTACCGGCATCACCCATGTTGTGAACTTCTGGATGATTGATTTTGAAGTCGATCAGCACGAGAGAGGTGTACAATGCAAAGACCCCTGTGGTAGTTGGTGGTCAGAAATGAGAGATTCAAGATTCACGGCCAAGAGCCCGCGGCTATCTCACCAAGGAAGACAATCAGGACGACGCCAGGAACGATGCCAACCACCGCCGTCGCTGCTGGCAATGAGAGCATGCCATTACTGACTATTTCAGCAATCATGAGGACGGCGACGAGGGGCCACGACAGTGTCTTATATTTGATATCCGCATCCTCCTCGTTACCAAAGACGTCGCGATCTGAAGCTGTCAGCAATACGCGCAGCGGACAATCCAAACCTGCATGGCACGCACCATGGTAGCCAGCAGGGGCACCGCCGACGAGGTCTCGCGACCGACTCGTGGACAGACCCTCGGGCTCGACTATCTCGTCTGCTGGACCCCTGTACTCGAGCCTCTTTTCGTAACTCGACATTGTCCGAAGTCCGAAGTTGCTATTGCTTCACTTGTCAATACTTCCAATGATGCTGGTCGAATCTATTTCAAGTCACAACTGTCATGGTAGTAACGCAGGGGGCACGTCAAGCAGGAGATAGGGAGATTAGAAGTTCAAAGACAGGCAAGATGTTAGTAACAGTGTTCACCTTGTCCACCGCATTATCTATCAATGCCCGTCCACCGAAAAAGGAAGGTGGAAAGGCACCTTGCAGTAGGTGTTGCATTGTAAGAATGGGATTGGATAGCAAGGGTGATGAATGACGGCAGTTGAAGTCAAGATGTACCAGGCCGGGAGGAGGAGAGCAGCAGAATAGGTACAGCGGGAGTTGTCCGATGCCAAGCCCACCAGCCACCGGCCACCGGCCACCAGCCACGATATCCTGCGCTAACCAGAATAGTCGCACTAGCCACACTCTGTCGATTTCCCATGCCTTGACACGCCAGTTTGGAAATCACATGCTTCGACTGCCGCGTGAGCCAATCATCATTTGATCCGCAGCCGCCTTTCGTCATACCCATTATCCAACCCACCTCCCAGCTCGCCAGGTTGAAACCGGGCAGCAGCAGCAAGAAGAAGCTTTGGCTCCTTTGCTCCGTCCCATCACTGTCCCTTTGTCACTCTTGTGCGAAAACCCTTTCTTGTCTCCGCCATTCCTTTCAAACTCACCACATCTCCTCCCTTTAGAGCTGCATCGTCCTCCAGGCGATTGGCAAGATGAGTTACGCCGACGTAGCTGCCAAAGGGCCAAAACAGTCACCGGAAGAGGTCAGTCGACAGCCATTCCTATTCCCACCACTGTCCCAAAGCTAATCGCTCTGCAGGCGTATGTTCCTGGTCATGCCTGTGAGCGCATATCCAGTCCACTAATGTAGTATCTATTAGGCGTGCTCCACCTGTCCCCTCGCTCTCGCAGTCCGAATCGGAAGCTGCCAGCTTGATCGACGTCGACTCGCCGCACGTCAGCTCCGTCAAGTCGGATTTCCAAGAGCAGGAGATCAAGACCGAGACACAGGCCGAACGAATCGAACACGAACTGGAGGACAAGGCTCGTGCAGCAAGGCAGGAATTCTCCGAGGATGCCGCGAGTGCCAAGAAGAAGGCTGCCACGAAGGGCAAACAGTTCAAAGATGAGATGAAGAAGGACGGACAGAAATTGAGCGAGAACAGAGACAACCCCGTCGTCATTGGCAATGCCATTATCTGGGGCATTGCTACTGTTGCTATTGGCTATGGAGCATACCAGAAGCACACCGAGGGCAAATTGGACTGGCAGCTTGCTGGAACTGTGGCCGCTGGAGTGGGCGCTTTCGCTGTGGCCGATTATTTTGGCAGCAAGTAAGCTTGATTCCTTCTTTGATCTTGTCATTGGTAAACTGATGAACTCTCTAGGTGGCTTCTCGAGAACAAGTACCCTCCAAAATAGGTGGCGACTGGCTTAGTTTGAACGACTTTCCCGGTGGCAAGCGGTGGGAAGGAATTGTCTTTTGGCGCGGACACTCAACTCGGTTGACAGAAAGGGGCGGCTTCTGGCGTGCAAGCCTTTGGGCGCCACGTTTTTTTGGTTTCACAAATATGATATCCCCATCTTGATTTCTCGATCCGATCTGTTTCCTTCCACCGCTTCTTTTGCCTGACCGATGATCTTCCAGTAACCGACTGGATATCCTAAGGACTCCCCTGCTATTTTCTCTGTGCTCATGCCTTCATTGTCGACTGCTCTCTCGTCCGTATCTCCGTCCAAAGGGGATGGCGTTGGGATTCTGGCCGCCTGCGAAGAGTAGAGGGCTGATTGCAAAGCAACCATGAACAGGGTGAAGAGGTGACAAAGGCCGTCTTGAGCATGGGCGTCAACATGAGGTTGGATTAAGGTGTCAAAGATCGAGTCATGAGCCGCGGCCGGATACAGAAAACTGAGGAGCCCGTTGATGGAGTGGAGGACCAGCACTGGATTGCAGAGGATCATGGTGTACAGGAATGAAGGATTCTCTTGAAGCAATCTCCAGGCTGAACGAGTGTCTCTGACCGAAGGCTGTTCTTTGACGGATGCGCCGTTCATTGCTGCGACGGGTGAGGGGATCGCGAACAACAGTATCGGCTACTGTTTTGGTGAAAGGTGGGCTGGGACCACAGCAAGGAGCTTTGCTGAGGGCAAGAAGACGATTCTTTTCAGGTTCGCAATTTGAAATGGATAACAGTGGGTTATGCTAGTAATCGACATAGGAAGATAGCAAATAGAACAAGGCCAGGCAGAGAGAATGTCTTGTTACCGCGACTCTTGACGGCAACGACTTCCTCACCAGAGGATGATTCACTTTCAGGTGACACGGGAACGCGTTTGGGCAGTCGCGGTGTCGCAGTCATGCTTCGAGATACCCTAGGTATCCAGGTAGTATACTGCGATTCACGCCTGTGCACAGTATTCCAAATTGGCTGGAGTGACAACAGCATGGGCTATATAGGTACCTAGTGTGAACGCTGTATGAACGCTGGATCTATACACGAGTGTCTCACTTCCATCATATATCCTCTACACATTCTCATGCCAGTAACATGTTCAATAATTCAAAAACTTACTGTAGGGCAGGGTTTCGTTGTGTTAGTAGATGTAGAACGAATCAAGTGTGACTGGGCGGATTTTGCAGTGTTTGGTCCCTTTCCGCCTTGTTGGGGTTACAACCTTGAAACGCAGCAGCAGTGGGCGCAAGGAGGACAGTCTGTACTCTTTGCGATCCCCTCAACACCATGAATCATTGGCATCCACGGTAGAGAACTGAACTCATAGGACTTGACTGTAAGGTTCCTGCATATCCTCTACCATAACCAACCCTGAAGTGTTTGCAAGATGGTGAGTCCACTGCTGGTGCGCAGTCCTAGACATTTCGCTCATCACATGCTACAGAACGTGCTCTTCAATCAAGCCTTGAAACAGTCCACGGCGATCCGAAAAGATCTAGAAACTTTTGCTCAAGCACCCGCGACTGCGTCTCCTGCTCTACAGGGCCAAATATCCACCACGCTCACCAGTCTTTCTCGAACGCTAGAAGACTACCAAAATCTCTCGCGAAACGAGCTGAACGAGGAGAAGAAAGAGAAGGCCGTGGAGAGACTGAAGAACTTCCGCGCTGATCTGGCCTCCTACCGCACGCAATTTGATCAGTTAAAAAGAGAACGCGAGGCAACCGTCGCCGCAAACAACAGAAACGAACTACTGGGTCGACGGCCACACCATGCTGCAACTCCGGAGAACCCATATGCCCATGCCTCGAGTCAGAGTGCGTTTGCCCCTGCCCATCGAAACACACAAGACGGGTTATCCTTAGGCGCGGGCTCCAGCAACTATACCCGTGAGGAACATGCCCTCCGAGAACAGAGCTTCTTCGACACTGCCAACGCCCAGCTCGATGAGTTTCTGGACCGAGGTCGAGCAGTTCTAGGTGATTTGGGCCATCAGCGTGACATTCTCAAGGGCACCCAGCGGAAGCTCTATAGTGTTGCCAATACACTGGGCGTCAGTGGTGACACCATTCGAATGGTCGAACGAAGAGCCATGCAAGACAAATGGATCTTCTGGGGAGGTGTTGTGGTCTTCTTCTCCTTCTGCTTCTTGGTCATCTACCTGTTGAGATGACCGAAGCATTGCGGCCATACTTCGTGCGAGTTCGATTGCCGTCGGTGCTACGCCCACAAAGTCATCCTGTTATTGGCAATGTGTGTCACAAGCCAAGCGGAGGCGATGCATGGTGGATCTGGAAAACTACCAAAGCAGAGAATCCGTCACGAACACATGATTGAAAGGCTACAACCGACCTTGAGCCGGAAAGAGTGGCGTGAAGATCCTAACGTCTTGTCTGTCGAGTCGGGATCGACAAGGAGACCGTAAACGATTCAGCAATAACTCGATAATGCGTGTTGGCTTGATCCCTAGGACCGACGGCACCAGACGGTAACTGTGTTCTCAACACCGTGTCATGGTTTGTTGACACGATTCCCACCCAGGCTGATTATCCGGCATCACATCTGTGTCAGAATCACCGAGTCAGGGACCCATCCAAATAACGCTTTCAGGTCTGTGGGATCTGGACTTTCAAGCGGTGCCAGGGGCCAACGCAGGGGGAGCTTGGGTGCGGATTCGCGGCCGCTGGCAAACCTGTTCCCCGCATTCTCACAGCAACTCTCATTTCCATCCACTGCTAATCCCCAGCATGGCGCGCTTCAATTAACCTCGGAACGAGCAGTGGTCGTGTCGCAGGCACTAGATCAGACGATATTGATGCGAGCTTTTCTGGTTGCTCCCGCGGCTCCTGTTGTTAAATTCCAGTCTTACCCCCTTCGACGGGAGCTTTCTCTTTCTACATCGGTCGCTTTCGGTTGCCCTGCAAGCCCAACTCAACTTCGGTGATTATCTTGTGGACAGACCTCCAAAACTGCCAAGATGGGAGGTGATATGCCATGGCCGCAGGTGCCCGTGGGGAACAAGGATCATACTGAGGCAGCCGTGGTCATTATTGGAGCTGGCATTTCTGGCATGTGCACAGCAATCGACCTGATTAAAAGGAATAACTGCAGGAACTTTATCATCCTTGAGAAAAGTGGTGGGCTCGGTGGCACTTGGCGAGACAACAAGTACCCGGGATGCTGTTGTGATGGTAAGAGCATTCGTCCGCCTGAAGCAAAAGAGGCTCTAACGCTTTCTGCAGTCTGGTCGCATCTGTACAGCTACTCTTTTGAACAGAACCCAGATTGGACGAGAGAGTATCCCGGTCAAGAGGAAATCCTGCAGTATCTCATGGGTGTCGCCCAGAAGTACGAGTTATACCGCTATGTTCGCTTCAACACTGCCGTCGATTCAGCTAAGTGGGACGATGCAGAGAAAAAGTGGAAGACGACCGTGTCTGTGCAGGGGGCCAAAGATGCCGAATTTGGGAGCACATATACCATCACCTCTGATTTTCTAGTTTCTGCAGTGGGGCAGTTGAACGTGCCGAGAATGCCAGATATCCCAGGCGTTGACGAGTTCCGGGGCAAAATCATGCACAGCGCTCGCTGGGACTGGAGCTACAGTTTACGAGGCAAGAAAGTTGCAATTATTGGTAACGGTGCCACGGCCGCCCAGATCATCCCAGAGATCGCCAAAGAGGTCGGCCATCTTACCATCCATCAGCGGACACCCAACTGGGTCATTCCTCGTCTTGACTCGGCCATTCCACCGTGGAAAAGGAGTGTGTACAAGTATCTTCCCTTTGTCCGGTGGCGGAAGCGAGCCGACATGATGGATTTCCGGGAAGGATTCCACGCAGCCGTCTTTGACAACGCATCGACGACCGCCCAGTTTCTGGAGGCGCAAAGCAAAGACCATCTGCATGCTCAACTTCCAAACCGACCCGACTTGTGGGAGAAGCTCCAGCCCAACTATTCGATTGGTTGTAAGCGCGTCATCATCAGCGACGATTACTTCCCTGTGTTCCTCCGTGACAATGTGCGACTAGAGACCGGCAAGATAGACAAGATCACTGCCAACGGTATCGTCACCGATGGGAAAGAGGAAGAATACGATCTCATCGTGCTGGCCACAGGCTTCCGCACAGTCGAGTTCATGCATCCCATCAACATCACGGGCAGCGCCGGACGAACACTGAGCGACATCTGGAAGGAGGGTGGCCAAGCTCTGTACGGTGTGACCGTCGAGAGCCTTCCCAACTTTGGCATGCTGTACGGGCCAAACACGAACCTGGGACACAACAGCATCATCCTCATGATCGAGACCCAGAGCAAATACATCAATGCGCTGATCAAGGAGGTGGTTGATGCTCGAAAGAAGGGTGGCAGCTTGGTGATCCAGCCTAATCCGGCCAAGGTCAAAGAGTACAATGATGAAATTCAGTCCGAACTGGAGAAGAGCAGCTTTGCAGACCCCAACTGCAACAGCTGGTACAAGGTCAAGGAGAGTGGCAAGATTACAAACAACTGGAGTCGCACAGTCGTCGACTACCAAAAGGTGAGACCCTGCCCCAAGTGGCGTCAAGCTTTCAACGCTAACTTGCCGATAGCTTCTGAGCAATGTCGACTGGTCGGATTATGATCTCGCTGGAAGTGGTGCAGATCAAGTGGCCAAGCAAAAGCCCACGCACATTGGGCGAGTCGTCGAAGAGTCGCAGGTTAGCTATCAAACGTTGGGATTGACGGCGCTCAGCCTCGCTGCGGTGGGCGTAGGCGTAGCTCTTCGAAACACAGGCAGGCTTCGGCTCAGATGATGGGTTTTATATGCGACTACACAATGGCCGGGGTGGATGGAGTTCGGGGACTCCTGGAGACAACTGTACAGAGTGGTCAGCTTTGACAATCTTCGCTACAATATAATCATTTCGCCCTCCTCTTTGTCGTGCGGACGCACGCGGATAAATTGACATGCATAATAGATAGCTTCGCCAGTCCAGTCTGGTTCTCTTCCCGTTTGTATACGTTGAGAGGCTGCCATCTGCTGGAAAGGAGCTCTGTGTCACTATGCGGTCTCGGCGGATACTTCTCGGTGTATCCATGGACGAGATCGATATTAACCAGTGTGTAACACGACAACCGTCAACCTATCTGGTACTTCCATATCCTCTCTGAACCCTCCTGAACCTCTTCCGTGACGAGCCAATAGCCCGTCTCGATATCGCCATCACAAAGGCTTCCAAGTATCTAGAGAGATCCCGGTGTAGCTCTCTTCAAGGGCAATTGCGGCTTGTTGAACACCGACCCGACAAATATATGTGCATCGACACCAGTGAGAATCTCCCCCATAACGATTGGCCACTAAACAGGATGAAAAAAATAACCAAGTCGAAATTTGGGCGAGCCAGCGTCTTCCTTTGTTAGTGATTGGCAAACCGAAAATTCGACGTTTAGTGTGGGATGGGTCTCTTCATCGATCTCAGGAGAATCCGGGTTTCCTCGTGCCTTGCCCTTGCCCTTTCCAGTCAGCCATGTGGTGCCCCCCTTAGCTTAAGCCACGTCCTATAGGCGAACCCCCAACAAGCAGGCCACTAGGGTACTTTGGCATGGCCGCTTAGGGACCACGGGGGCCACCTTAACCGGGGCCATTAGCTCATTTAGCTGGGGCTAGTGAAGCCTCTGCCACTGGCTGCATGCCACACTCCAGTGCTTGGGGCCCTTTCCGGAGCACTCTCTCCTCTTGTCTCTTTCTCAGTTCTCCCACGAACTGTCCTGCGTTGACTTTCTGGCACCTCTTAACATCCGACATCTACAAGCCGCCAATATTTCGTTCCTGTAACATCGTCACCCATATCCCGCGATATCTCTCGTCCGTCGTTCGACCTCTTCCGCGCCCCTGGCATATTGCCCTGTTCTCCCACGGACTCACGCGCCCATATACCGCATTTCACTTCTCGACTCCCTCCAAAAAGCTACTTTTGACGGACCCCGTCCACATTACGACTCCCACTACTCCGTTCCCTTGCAAAATGCCTTCTCCATTCGGGTCTACCTTTGCCTCTGCTGCTGCTAGCACGAATGGTGACGTTTCTGGGAATAGAAGGGACACCGCGGGCTCAAGTGACTGGTAGGCCAACCGACTCCAGCACTAAAACATTGCGCACCACAAATTTGTCTCCCGTTGTTGCCCCCCATCAATGCCAAAGACATTCTATCGCGGAATCCATTTTGTCTTGCCTGATTTTGTGCGGATTAGGGAATTTTATTGACCTTTTCATCCCTTTGCAGGTCTCGAAGCCGTCTCAACGGCGCCCCGCAAACCTTCCGCAGAGTCTCTCAAGCAACCACCCACTCACAGACACAACCACAGACTCGAGAAAACGCGAGTGTAGCATCGTCCACTGTCAACAACGGCGGTGTCTACATTCCTCCTCACCTCAACTCCGCCAACCCTTCCATGCCCCGAAACCCCCCTCTTGGCGACGCCCGCTACTCCAAAGACCAACTTCTGCACATTTTCCAAAGTCTCAAAGACTCCTCGGCTCTGGATCGGAACCTTGAAGATATCTTTTTGGGCAACTGGAATCCATTAGACAGTCAAAACGGGGCGGGCAGTCACGTAGCCGGCGGTGACGGCAAAGACCAGACCCCCGGGCCAGAGGTGTGTTGGAGCTACAACATAAATCCCGAGCCGTTTGGTTTAAGAGGCATGACAGAGGAGGAGAGAGTGGTGAGCAAGACCCAATATCCGCGCGAGATTTTTGGGCGTGGCTGATCTTAGGTGGCAGCTGTTTTCCGGTTCAATCAATTCGCCAATCAAACCTCAGCAAAATACCTCGAAAGAAAGCACCGGAGTGGGAGTCATCGGTGGGCGCAAGGCTTCTCTATCAAACTATAACAGCACGACGGGGACGTCGAGACCCGGAACGCGTCGCCGGGAGACGAGTGAATCCTTCATGAGTAATGGACCCTTGTCACCCGTAGAAACAAAGACCTTTTTCCGATCCGAATCGAACACTGCAACTCCTCCACCAGCTCTGCTGCGACGTCGAACCGACTACAAGGAAGAAGAAGCCACACCGACTACCAAAGAAGACCCTGAGCCGGACGAAACCCCAGAGTCCCACCCCTCGTTCCCAGGACTGCGCCGAGCAGGCACTGGTCCTCTAAGCGCAGGCTTGAATCCTCCGTCCGCGTCGCCCTGGTCAGCCGGAGCGCAAGGGTCAGCTTTTGGATCTATGGGTACTTTTGGCAGCTTTGCGATAGGGGCTGCAAGCACGCCAACCGACTCTGGCGACAAGCGACCTGGCTTTGGCAGCGCACGCAGTGCGAGTCGATTCAAGGATCTTTTGTCCAAGTCGAGCTCGGAGGACGTCTCCCAACCTGGAAAAGACAAGGGTCTATTTGGAGCGCTGGAGAAGCTGCCGGAAGAGGATGCGGATCCCAGCCAGGCGAAGTTGCGCGACGAGCTCAAAACCCGTCCCGGTCGTAGTGAGACCAACCCATATGAGGACGCACCAATGCGGGCAGGCAGCGCAGCTCTGGGTGGTGCCCAGGAGGTCATTCCAGCCAGCGCCGGCATCGAACAAATGGGCATGTCCGCATTCGGCCCTCACGCAGCGATTGGCACTCGGGATTTCGGCCACGATGAAGGATACCAGCAGACCCCCCACGGGCGATACAATCTCCATGAACCCATGAGCCCAACGAACACCAACCCATACCAAAGTCCGCACGGCCGTGTTGTTGAAGATGATGAACGTGACACAAATGACTCTGCGTCCCAAGCTTCGGGTCTCCCACCCTTTGGCGGTGCTGCCCGTCGGACCATGTATCCTCCCTCTGACGATCGAAGTCATTCAGCAAGTGGTCTCCGGAGCGCCAGTGGGTTTGGTGGTCTGCCGGGCTTTGGTGGGTTAGGTGGTGGGCTAGGTGGCAATCCTACTTGGTCCGGCGCTGGTATTGGATCGACCAAACCCGCAATGGATCGAGGGATCTCGTCCGCATTTGGTGATCCCATATTCAGTCCTCTATCCGAATTACAGTCACCGGGCGGCCTCGGAGGCGGTTTCGGTGGATTTGGCTCTGGGGGACGGGCTGCCCGGCTTGGAGCCATGTTGCCTGCGGCAATGCAGGAACAAATTCGAGGCGATAGCAGAAACGAGACCGCATCTTTTGACTCTCGCCCAGACAGTGCTCAGCAACATCCTATGCGCGACCCCTTCGACAGCACGAACCGTAGACCAGATGAGTATGGTCATCCATCTAGTCTCTTCGAAGACTCTCCTCCAATGAGGAGTGTTGAAGAACCTCTCAGTTCCATCCAGCCTGGTCAATTTGGACCTCCAAGCTCGGGGCCCCCGACGACTTCAGTGTCAATATCTGGTTCAGCTTCGCAGACGGCACCACCGAGAACGGGCGGATCGGATAACTATCAATCCGGCCATGGTCTCAGCCAATCGAGCGGAAGCAACTCTTCAAGTCAATTGCCAGCTACACAACAGCGACAAATGGTTATGCCAGACCGGATGCGCTGGATCTACCGTGACCCTCAAGGAAATACCCAGGGACCCTGGTCAGGTCTGGAGATGCACGACTGGTTCAAGGCCGGTTTCTTCACCGCCGAACTACAGGTGAAGAAGCTCGAGGATGCCGAGTTTGAGCCCCTTGCTCAGCTTGTGAGGCGCATAGGTAACTCCCGCGAGCCTTTCTTGGTACCTCAAATCGGTGTTCCCCACGGCCCTCCTACCGCTGGCCCAGGAAACAACTGGGCCAACCCGTCTATGGGAGGATCTGCTGGCGGTACTGCCCAGCCACCCTTTGCTAACAGCTTCCCAAGCTTTGGCACAACGTTGACCGCTGAACAACAGAACGCCCTAGAAAGACGTAAGCAAGAAGAGCAGTATCTGATGGCAAGACAGAAGGAGCACCTGGCGCAACAGCAGATGGCTATGAAGATGCAGATGCAAAACGGGATGCATTCCTTGCACCATCATTCGAGCGCCCACTCTCTGCAGAGCCAACCCAGCTTCGGAAGCATCACTTCGCCTACAGGTTATCAGCCTTCGCCCATCCAGCCGTTGATGCAACCTCCCCAGCAAAATCTGCCGTTCGCCCACCATGCAGGACCCTCTGCGGGGCCAGCCTTTGGCCGCGAAGATGACATTCATAACATGATGGACCGTTTGAGCTTCAATCAACGTGCAAATCTACCGTTCACAAGCGCCCCTTTAGGTCCACCACCACCACCAGAGGTTGCCCCCTCCTCCCAACAAGTCAACACTATGCTGCAAGATAGGGCTCGACTGCAACAACAACAACAGCAGCAGCAACAAGGCGACATGCGCGGCCATCAGGACACTTTTTTAGGCCCACAGGGCCGCAACGAGCGGCTGGACGAGTTTCACAGACTACGTGGACAAATCGACATACCAGCCGGTCGTCTCGGCCCTGAAGAGCCTCGACCTCAACCCATTGGTGCACCTCGCCAAGTTAGTGAGCAACCTGCCGCGGCGGCACCACCAAAAGTTCCGGCCCCAATTGGACACGCTGCCGTTACTGCTAAACCAGAGCCAGAGCCGCTTTCTTTAGCCCAACAAGTGCAGATTGCAGCAGCCAGCCAACAGGCGGCTGCTGAAGAAAGTGCGTGGGCCAAGAAAGACGCGCCGGTCGAAGCGCCTCCTGTCTCGATTTCACCTTTGCCCGCCCCTGCCGCTCAGCGCAATAGGCAACACGTTGCTGACGCACTAGCCGCGGAGTCCCGATCGGCAACTCAAACACCCATCGAGACGCCTGTTGTTTCCGTTGCACCGTGGGCTGAGCGCACTGCCGAGCATGCCAAAGGACCGTCTTTGAAGGAAATTCAAGAAGCTGAAGCTAAACGCGCTGCGGAACAGGAAGCAATCGCTGCAGCAGCTCGGCGGGAACAGGCCGAGCAGGAAAGATTGGCCCAATCCCAGGCTCCAGCTCCAGCCCCAGGTCTTCCGTCAACCTCAACGTGGGGCAGCTCTGTATCTCCTGTGACGCCTGGCACTCAAACCACTTCTGTCTGGGCGAAGCAAACCCCTGCCAAAACAGGTGCTGGGGCGAGTGCACCTCCTAAGAAGACGCTGGCGCAAATCCAGAAAGAGGAAGAGTCTCGCAAACAGCGCGCTGCCGCTGCCGCTGCCGCGGCAGCCAGCGTACAGAATGCTGGTAATCCAACCAGTGGTTCAGCCGGCAAGAGATATGCTGAACTTGCTGGCAAAGCGGCTCCAGCTAATCCCGGTTCGGCGGGCGGCGTCTGGACGACAGTAGGCTCGGGTGGTAAGGCCAAGGCCCCGCCTGCTGTTGTTGCAACACCTCAGCCAGTTTCCCGAACAGTGTCGGCGAGCAGTGCACCCAAGACACGACCAAGTCTCCAAACGCCTCGAAGTAACACCCTCAGCAACCAGAGCAAAGCCAACGAAGAATTTACCAAGTGGATCAAAGGGTCGCTCGGGAAGGGGTTGAACAGCGGTATCAACTGTAAGTACATACTGTCAGATAATTTTATGGATACTAACGTGCCGGCAGTGGACAATTTCGTGCAAGATCTGCTGCAGCTCCCACCCGATGTCGAAATCATATCAGATAGTGTCTATGCGAGTTCGCAGACCCTTGATGGACGCCGCTTTGCAGAGGAGTTTGTTCGGCGCCGGAAGCTTGCCGATAAGGGCGTGGTGGAGCCTGCCACTGGAGTTCAGCCGATGATGGGAATCGGTGGAGGTGCAGACACTAAGAGTGCCGGGGCAGCGGGAGGCGGATGGAGCGAGGTTGCTAAGAAGGGCCCGGCAAATGCCAGTGGTGCGAAGGAGGAGAGCAATGCGCAGTTCAAGGTTGTTGCCACGAAGAAGAAGGGGAAGAGATGAGATGAGATGAGACGCGAGAAACGAGGAGTGAGCAAAAGTGTCGAGAGATGAAGCAGGCGGAAGCCGTCATGTGCTGGCTAGTTGACGGTCCATTTGTCCTGTAACGAGTACCAGGTAGAGAGAAGACATGGGGTTTGACATGTGACAAATGCGATGATACGATGCCAAAGTGGCTCGGCTTTGGCTATGGCCATGGAATTGATGCAATGAGGAGCTGCAATCCCCTGTCTTGCATGTTTATTGTCTTGTTTGACGGAGGTGATGGCCGGCCACGTTTCCCACACAATATCCTTCTTTGCGAGACCAGGTGCCGGTGCCTCTCAAGCGCGGTGATAGAGTTGCCGCAGTTGCCACAGTCGAGAATCCAAGGCCACCTACCACCTACCACCTACCACCTGCATCCTCAGGAAACATGGCCTGGATTCTGTGGTTATTGCCCATAGTCAGCATTTCGTGCTCCTTGTTGTAATTATACGTCTCGACCACCAGAGTAGTACACTTTATATTCTCTCCTCCTCCTCCGCCGGCGGATGAATGCTATGCTATTTGGTTATAGCATTCGGGATTTAGATAGCATGTATCTAATGTATCTGTCCCTGAACGAGAGGTGCTACCTGGGGTTGGACTCTTTGTATTTACTTCTGTGAGGTCCGGTCCACGAGGAAAAACCCCATTCATTTCATGTGACCCGCGGCTGAAGTCCAACCAACCGCCCTTTTAGGACCTCAGCCTCGTCTCTCCGCCCACGTTCCTTGGAGATGCATAGGAAGAGGGAGGGGGCCAACTAAGAATATATTATCTCCCCTGGTCCGTGATTATCGATGGAGAAGGTCTATGGGAATGATACAACGTCTGTGTGGGAATTAATTGCGCCGAGGGTATTTCATTCAGAATTCCATTCTCCTGGTCAGAATCGAATATTTAAATTCTATCTTCTGTCTCTTTGGACATGACCACGCTTTACTGGATCTATCCACAACGTCCACAAGTCTTCCTTTTCCAATGTATCACACTTTTTTTCTTCCCTCTCTCTATATCTCTCACTAAAGCTAGGAAAACGTCTCAATCACACTCCTTGGCTTAGTGTACTTGCCAATGGGCACGTACGGGACGTGATCAAAGCCCATAGAGCCCGGCCCACCAAGTTCCAGTCCCCGGGGCGTGTCAGTCCAGCGTGGCGACGCCGCGATGGCGACGACGACCACTTTCAGCCCGTACTTGTACTCGGGAGTCCCCAAGCCGGCGCCGGTCTCGAGGTCCAGCACAGCGATGAGATCCGGCACCGAGGCCAAGACGGAGGTCGTCTGAATGCCCTCACTGGTGACACTGGTGGCCTCGACAAAGGCGTTTTCGTTCTTGAACGGGATCCGCACCGTCGCTTTGGCGCCGCTACCACTCAAGATCCCGTCGATTTCGACGACGCCGTACGAATGGCCCGTCTTGAGCACGCGCTCGACACTGGTGATCTTGCCCTCGGCCAGGATGCGCGCACTGGCTTCACCACCAACGGCGTCGACGATACGTTTGGCCCGGTCGGCGATGTTCTTCTCCAAGGCCACGGCGCGGCCGATCCACCACGCTAGAGACACCGTGTGCAATATAGCCTGTTCGCGAACGACCTTGGCCGTCTTGGGCGGCCCAGCTTTGCCCGCGCGGCATCCCATCTCGACCGTGGCGGCTCGTAAGGCACTATCCACTAACCTGTCGGTCCGACTGGCCGTCATGGTCATGAAGGAGCCATCCCCACTAGCAATGGTGGCGGGCACCAGGGCCTCACCCCGCGGCGAGCCGTAGACGTTGACCGTCGTCTGCCAGAAGGTCGGGTACGCGCGGCCCATCAGGTCGGCGTCGACGGTGACCACGCCGTGCGCAGCTGCCACCTCGAGGTTGACCATCCCATTCCCGCCACCGATCTCGACCGCCATGAATCCGTCCATAGGCCCTATCCCCAGCACCCGCGTCAGTTCGTCCTGCGCCTTGTTGCACTCGTCCGCCTCCATCCGCTCCAGGCTGACCTCGGGACTGCCCATGCATCCCGTCCACCCAATTACGGCGTCTTCGCGCAGATCGTCCGCTGACACCACTTTGATGGAACCCGGCGCCTTTTTCAGTACTGATGTGATCTTGAGGAACTGCTGGTACGGATCCCCTCCCCCGCCACAGCCCAGGATCTTGCACCCACTCGCGATCCATTCGAGATCTGTCGCTGAGATGATCCACTCTCGGTTTTCGACCCGGGGTGAGTAGCTTGGGAGATCGACCGCCGCCGCCGCCTCGTTCTCCTCTTCCGAGTTGCTTGAGGTACCTTCTCTTGAGGTCTGGCTGAGATTCTGCTGGAGCAGATCCGGCAGAACGACTTGAGGTGATGTTCCTTGTTTGGCATGCTTGACGACATCCAGAGTGCCAACTGCTCTGACCAGGATCCGGGCCTTTGCATCGACATACTGGATCGGCAGGATGGTGACTTCGGCGATCTCGACCGTTTCGCGCCTGGCTCCGTTGACTACGGCGGCGTCGGTGGCCTGCCTTGACACGATCTCTTGGGCCTCTCTTAGCGTCTGCTGAGAGGTGTCCATAACCGTGTCCACGATGCCCGAGACTCGCGAGATGGCTGCGCCGACCGCGTTGGCCACTTCGCCGCCCTTGACCTTGCGCACGGCGCGCACCCCAGCAAGTGGCTGCTCGTCTGTGTCGATCAGGATGGCGCCCCCACCCACGATCAGGACGTCCACGTCCCCCTTTTGCACTTTGGTCCGGTCGACCAGCTCCTCCACGATCCGGCGCATCTCCTTCTTGGCTCGCTTGACGGTCTCGGGCGTGACGACATCTCTCAGCCGGGCGGGGTCTCCAAGTCCCCGAAGCGGACTCTCGGCAGAGGGTGAGTACAGCTCGGACGCGGCCACAATGTCCGTTGCTGTGAGGACGTCTCCTCCGAAAAGACGAGCTTTTTGCGGTAGCTCCAGCGCGACGCTGTCTGGTCCGACTGTCAGATGGTCTTCCGAGACTCTGACAATGCTTCCGCCGCCAAGCCCCACGCTCTCCACGGCCGGCAAAGCAAAGTTGGTTCGCACACCTCCGACAAGACTCATCAGCGAGCTCATTCGGGGCAGTCCGTTAGGCAGCAATAGGCCGCTGTCCGAGGTAGTTCCTCCAATGTCAATAACGACCAGGGCATCCTGGCGCGGCTCCACTGTCTGGGATCCATCTGGGCCCGTGCTTGCCGTCGTCCACAGGAACTCGCCGCCTCGAATGGAATTGGTGGGACCGGAATTGAACGTGCGGATCGGCAGGTCAATGGCATCGGGCGCATTCAGGACACTCCCGTCGTTTTGTGTGAGATACAATGCACAGGGCGACCCCTGGAAGATTTCCAGCATGGCCTTCTGGAATCCCCAAATGGTCCTTTCGGCAAGCGGCCTCAATGCTGCGTTGAGTATGGCCGCGTTCTCCCGCGCGAGGAACCCCAGGGACGAGATTTGGTGCGACAGCGTCACTCGAGATCGCACCGACAGACCTGAAGAAGCAGCCAATTCGTGCATCCTCTCCAAGAGGATTCTTCCGGCTTGGATCTCATGTGCTGAGTTGGGCGGCGAGTAGATGCCCGCCACCACGACGTTGAACACGCCGTCCTTGACCAACTCCTCGGCCACGGCTCTGAGCTCGGCCTCATTGATGGGCGAGATCTCGGCGCCCGAGATCTGGTGCCCGCCGTGGCAGAAGAATGGCCGCGTGGCGATCAGCCGGCGGAGATCCCGGGGAAAGTCGATGAAGGGGGGCACACCGAGCCCGAAGCCGTGCTCGCTCCCTCCGCACAGGCGGACCACGCCGACGGGCTGCAGGGACGAGGAACGCTGCACCACGGCATTGACAAAATGCGTCGTGCCGATTATGACACAGCTGATGGTGTCCAGGGCCACATTGCTCGCCTGGATGACGGCGTGGACGGCCTCGGTGATACCCGTCGTCACATCTGGAGTCGTGGGCGCCTTATACGACGCGACTATCTGAGTCGGCGACAAAGAGATAAGGACAGCATCGGTGTTAGTACCTAGATCACTCTCGTTAGTGGATAAGTGCTCATTCCCAGATAAAGACGGGTAGGTATGGAGGCAGAGAGTGAGGCAGACAGGTTTCGTTCTTTTACTTACCTCCCACGTCCACTCCTATACGATACCTCTGATGCTGCGTGTCGGTAATGCCTATGCTACCCATGATCCGATTGCCTCAACCCTGTCGTTTGTACATTAGTTGTTGGCCCGTTCCTCTTGCTGGGATTATGAGGTGATTGTCTTTCTCTCCTATCCGTTGAGGTCTTGTCCCTTGCTACATGTTGTCTTTGAGAAGTCTGGCCGTTGGGTTCTCTTAGCCGATCCGGACAGAAAGCGAGGAATTGGCCGATGGCGGATTCCCAATCGACAAAGCCCAGCTCGCGGAGTTGAGCGGTTGGCCAGCAGTCGATATCAGTTTCCCTTTCTGCATACTTTATCAACCATATGACAAGAATGGAGTAGCGGAAAACGCATTTGTCTTGATAAGTTTTTCCATCGGCGAGCACTGGATATAGCAGATGCATGTAGGAACTTTTGTGGCCACAGACCGAGAAGCTCTTGTAGGGGACACTTTAGATACACCCACAATTCAGATTCAAGCCCTGTGGGCAGCTGAGCATCGCAGAAATCCACTCTTGATGGCCCCACCGCTGTAAGGGGCCTGCCCTTTCGCCTATCAAAAGACGATCGACAACAAAACGTTGGGCGAAGGCCCTTGTATGGTCGGCCAACTTCGGAAGTATTTCGAACAAGACACCCGGGAGCAGGTATGTTGGTTGTATCAAGTCTTTCGGCACATTTCAATGCACGATCGACAAGCATGGATCCCAACAGGCTGATTCCTCCGGGTCGTTCAATTCCAATAGATACTTGAGGTATCTGCCTAGGGTCTCATAAGGTCCCCCCTCGTCGCCACGCTGCCCGTTTGGCCGAAGCTGACGGCTCTGGTGTGATCGGTTAACCTTCGGTTGGCCACGTTTCACAGCTGCTGTTGTCTGTTAATGCCACGTTCTTGAGCGGAATAATGCAAATCCCGATCCTTTCATGTCGATCGGGGCCAGTGTGGAGAAGTATGGACAATGCTGGCGTGGTGACAGATCGGCGAAGTAAGAGTTCAGAAGTCGTTCTAGGCTCGTGCGCGGATGGACGTCTCCGCCTTTTTACTCCCGGCATGAATACTAGTATCGGTATCTAGCCAGATGAATCCCGTAGTGTATGGGTGTGAACATATCCTGAGCCCCGTTAAAGCGAATATCGTTATCCCCGGCTGACGTCCAGTCCAAGGCCTCAATATACGATACTGAGTGGCTTTGACGATAAGCTGGTCAGAGACTGGAATAAAGACAAGGCGGAAGAAACAGACCTTGAATAACAATATCATGGCAATTCAACCAGAAGAACTCGCCATCCCTATCATTGACCTCGAGCCAATTCGCTCGGGGACCCCTGAGGAGGCTCGTAAGACGGGGAAACTGGTCTATCAAGCCTTCCGAGACGTGGGATTTGCGTACATCAAGAACCACGGACTCCCCCAGGATCTTTTGGATCAGGCTTTCGACTGGGTGAGTCTGCTCCTTCGATATCAGCACGCGTTTGCGAAGTGTACACTGCAGCGATGGCGGCGATGGTTCTCTGCTGACTCGATTTATGGAATACAGAGCTCCAAGTTCTTCGCGCTCCCGCAGGCGGACAAAGACAAGGCGCCTCACCCGCCCTATGGGTGGTGGCACCGAGGGTACTCTGGCATCGGGCGGGAGAAAGTGGTGCAGATGGTGTTTGACGCGGACTCGATCTCGCAGCTGCGCCAGTGCCCGGACTTCAAGGAGTCGTTCGAGCTGGGTCGCGAGGACGACGAGCGCACGCCCAACATTTGGCTGCCCGAGACCGTGCTGCCGGGGTTCCGCGAGTTCATGACCTCCTTCTTCGACACCTGCTACGGCACGGCACTGAATTTGCTGCGCGCTATCGCCATGGGGATGGACCTGCCCGAGGACTTCTTCCGCGACTACCACACCAAGCGGGATAACCAGCTGCGCCTGCTGCACTATCCTCCGGTCGAGGCAGAGCTGCTTCAGAGTGGCAGTCTGGAGCGCATCGCGGCGCACTCAGACTTTGGCACCATGACGCTGCTGTTCCAGGACGAGGTCGGCGGGCTCGAGGTCGAGGACGTCCATGTCAAAGGCAAGTTTAATCCGGCGCCCTTCATTCCTGGCACGGTGGTCGTCAACATCGGCGACTTCCTGCAGCGGTGGAGCAACGACACCCTCAAGTCCACCCTACATCGCGTCCGGGCGCCGCCCATGGCTAACGGTATGACCCGTGCCCGGTACTCGATCCCTTACTTTGTCACCGCCAACCGCGACAGGACCATCGACTGTATCCCGGGCTGCTACAGTGCCGACAAGCCAAAGAAGTACGAGCCCATCAATGCCAGAGAGTACATTGAGATGAGGTTGAACGCGACGTACTAGGCAGGTGGAGATGAGGCTTGCGTAGGACGAGACTCCTCGATGTTGCAGGAGAAAATATCCTTGCGCCTTACAATAAGATAGTTTTTATTTGGAAGTTGAAGAGATTCCCTGTGAAAGGTTAACTTCGTCATATGCACTCAATTCCACAGGAAACATGTGCGACTGCTTGTTGAGATATTGTGTGAACACGAAAGGAGAACTGTGGAATACTTGCAGTCTCTACCAAGAGAGCAGACAGATCTCATTTATCTCAATGCGCGGAGGTTCCAAGGTGCTAGCCTGCATAGATCTCTGAAGCAGGTGCAGGGATGGGTAGGAGCGCCACAGATATGTATGTCCATGATATGATACTGTACAGTAGGTTTCCAAAAGTCACCGGACATCGGCCATTTTACACCAAAAGTAGCACTTTTCGACCTAGTTTTTTCCGCTAACTTTATATAGTAATATATCCTTAACTTTTAATATAAAATAGATATATAACTAGACTTTAAATTCTTAATATAACTTTTTTTAAAATATTAAGTATTCGTTAAGTTATCTAGCTTAGAAACTAAAAAAGTTCGAATTTATATATAAAATCACCGAATTTTACGGTTTTTTTTACTTTATTCGAGATTTCTCTCTACTTATAGACTATTTTAATCTATAACTAGAATATCTAGTAGATTTTAATATAAGCTATAAGTTATTAACTTAAAAAGGTATAGTCGCTATACTAATTTAAAAAGTTATACTAGGTTGAAAAGTGCTACTTTTGGTGTAAAATGGTCGGTGTCCGGTGACTTTTGGAAACCTACTGTAAATGAGAAATAGGGAACATTTGCAGACGACTTCGGGTGCCGCATGATCCTCTTGATCCTGCATGCTTCTGGCGGGCATCATTTGGTCTGCAGGAATGCACGAATTTCGGAATAAAAGAACCAAGTGATTTCAACACTCATCTGTTTATGTCTCTATCATGGCTCTTCGCGCCCACAATATTGCAACGAGTCATCTTCCCCTGTCATTACACAAGCCGTCATCGACCACAGACAAGATCTATCGATGGAGGCAGAGATGCTCTAAACAGAGACCGTCGCCACAGCCCCTTGCTTGTTGTCGCTGCTGTTGCCCCGGCCGCCTGCACTGAAGGCGAGGTTCTTCTCGTCGGCGCTTTCTGAGTTGCGCTCTTCGACCCCGTAGAGGACGTCGTCCTCAACGAAAGGAGCCTCTTCGCCCAGACCAGACGGCGGGAAAAAGAAGTTCAATACCCAGAAGACGGAAAAGCTGATTGCCAGCCCAACGATGAAGGTGAGATTGTACAGACGGATCCAGCCGACAAATGAGGCATCTGTGCTACTGTTGACAGTCCCCACGAGACCAGCTATGTTCTGTCAGTATCTCCTATCCACCACGTAGTGCGGTAGCCGGCGAAATACTTACGCAACAAGGGCCACACGCCAGATAGGAAGGCGACAGGAGCGCGCCAGTTAACGCCTTTGTTGAACCAGTAGATCGACGAGCTGTCTCCTCTGTACAGATCGTTGAGCTTCAGTTTCGTGCGACGAACGACATGATAGTCGGCCAACATGACCCCACTGCGAAAAGAATCAGGTCAGTCAATCCCTGATGGACTGTGAGATAAATGGGAGGTATACGTCGCAGGCGCCATAAAGACACCAAAGCCGCTGAGGACTTTGAGAAACTTGTCTGCCGTGCTCAAAAGTTGCCATGGCTGGGTGGCGATGCCAATGACCGCCATGATATAACTCCCACGGATGATGTTGATATATTTGGGACACAGCCCAGCCATGTCCATGCCGGTCGATACCGAATTTAAGACGACAGATATCTGGAGTCCGTCAGAGTTGGCCATCGCATAATGTACCAAAAGCGTCCGCTGTCCAGACTTACCGCGAGTTGTGAACTCACAAGACCCAAGCTGCCGAAGAACACACCGGCTCTTGCTCTGGGGCTGGAATGGTATTCATCTTGAATATCCGCCAACAGGTAGATAGGATTCCAGACTATGTCCCCAAGGATGTCCTTCGCAGCGCTGGTAACAATGATGCCAATCGTGGCAGTGACAGCAATAGTGACAGGAGCGGCCAGCAATTGGGACAGTGTCGGAGCGAATTTGCGGTTAGCATACCTCGTCCAGTCAGACTGGCCCAAGGTTCCAGCACCCCAGGCACCAAGAATGGCGGTGATGCCGAACATAAATGCCCATCCCACATTGTCGCTTGTTCCGGGCTCGTGGAACATACTGCCAGCCCCTCCCGCAACGTGGACAGCCCTAACCGTGGTTAGCAAGGTTGTCCATTCGAGAACGAGGTTCTGTAGCTTACCATATGAGCAGGCCGAAGCAAGACCCGGCGAACAGGACAAAGGAGATGGCAAAGGGAACCTGCAGGCGTTCAGGACGGACCAAGACGAGTGGGATGAAAGCGGCCATCCAAATGATCAATCCGATGAAGTCGTTCGTCAAAAGATGGGAGCCTTCGCTGAAGTAGTTCTTCATGTGCGCAAAGCCTTTCGGATATTTCGTCAGCGCAGTCCTTAAAAGGTCAATGCCAAACACACCTGGAATGATGGCGCCCCAAAGAACCCTCGTAGCTTGACCTCCCCAGTAGGCTTGCATCCCGAACCACATGCAACTAGACACTGAATGTTAGCCTTACTATCTCAATCACCAGATATTGCGGCGAGAGATCTGTTGGCTAGAGGATATCATCGACTTGGGCACGTCATCCGGGGGAGCTTACGCCACGAAAATGCGAAGCACCACTGGAAAGTAGCTTCCCTGAATGCCCCAGGAGAATCGAGACGACACGGTGAAGCCAATATGATGGTTCTCACCCATCCAGCCACATGCCACGGCCAGAAGGCCCGTGAGCACACCTCCCAAGATCTAAACCTTTTGTGAGCATGTTATCTCTTGAGTTCATTGACGTAATGATATACCACGACGCCAATGGCTTGTTGTGGGCTGAGCCCAAAGGCAAGCAGCGTGCTTCCCGTCGACCATGCCGAGATGCAGGAACCTGAGACAGTCCAATATCCTGGGGCAGATCAGTATATATGCCGTGCAAACCAGATATGTGTCCTCCTACCGCAGTATCCCCATATACCCCAGGTCCGTCTCTCCGGCGGCATGGGGATTAAATCCCGGTTACACCACCTGGTATTGTCGGAGTACGAGTGCTTGTCTTTAGGCCTAGATACGTCGATCATAAGCACGTCAACCTTCCATGAGATCTTGCGGTGCTTTGGGCACTGCTCACACTTGCAGCCGCTCCTTGAGCTGTTCCCACTGGAGCCCCATAGTGGTTCTTGTTGTGAGAAAGCCTGCGGCAGGGGGTGCACGTCTCCGTAAGACAAGATTCTGTTACGAAAGAGAATGAAACGTGTTCTCGTGGCAGGAGGTGGATGGGGTAAGATTCGACCTTGGTGGGAGAGGAAAGTCGGAGACAGTGCTTATACATATTGGTTGGTCAAGTGGCACAATGACTATGTTGGTCGCCCAAGTGCTTCAAAGTTGGCCGACAAAGTGGAGACTAAAGTTGGCCGATCTCTGCTAACGGTCGTATCTCCTGTGTATGCGGTTCTGGATTCGGCGAACTGGAGACGGTGGATCTCGGAGAGGAAAGTTCTCCGTATGCAGGGTTCTCTCCTGCCGCCACAAGGCTCCCCATTTCTCCGCTTAAGGGTTTGCATGCGGAACGGAGGTTGAGGTCGACGGTCATACGCCCGACACCTACCCTGGCCGAGCTGGTACAAAAGCTCAACTCAATAATGCATTCCCGGCATGATGTATCTGAATCGCCTCGTTCGTCCGTTATCTTTGTGATCGATTCGACGATCAAGATAAGCAAGGATGGTGACTTTCAACCACACGTCCCAGAAGTTCACACTGAACACCGGAGCAGAGATGCCCGCTGTAGGTCTGGGAACTTGGAAGTCACCGCCAGACCAAGTCCGCAACGCTGTCAGTCACGCGCTTCAGACGGGATATCGCCACATCGACACAGCTCTGAATTATCGCAATGAGGTCGAGGTTGGCCAGGGCATCCGAGATTCAGGGGTTCCGCGAGAGGAGATCTGGGTAACCACGAAGCTGGACAACCCATGGCATCACAGAGTTCGTGAAGGATTCGATAAATCCCTAGCTGACTTAGGCATTGAGTACATTGATCTGTACCTGGTTCATTTTCCCTGCTCCACCGACCCTGAAGACCCCTCGAAGCATCTGTCTGATTGGGACTTTGTCAAGACCTGGTATGTTGTTATAGTTTGTCAACCTGAGTCTTTCAGTTCCTGGCTGAACCGCAAAGGCAGGAGATGCAAAAGCTGCTGGATTCCGGCAAAGTCAAGAACATTGGCGTCTCCAACTTTCAGATTCGGCATTTAGAGAAGCTTCTGGGTGATCCGTCTTGCAAGATTGTTCCTGCGGTGAACCAAATCGAATTGCACCCTGGCAATCCATCGTGAGTCTTTCGCTTTTCGGATGCCTTTTGAAGCCATGCTGACCCGTTGAGCAGTCCTAAATTATTAGAGTATTGCGCGTCGAAAGGCATACATTGTACAGCTTATTCCTGTCTTGGAGGCGCAACAGACAATCCGCTTTACAAGGAAGCTGTTTTGTCTGAAATAGCGCGCAGAGTTGGCAAGTCTCCCGCACAGGTTCTGTAAGTGTCCAGGGCTTGTTATCAAGAAATGGTGCACGACACTGACCGAATTGCCAGACTGCTATGGAGCCTCCAGAGAGGCACGAGCATCATCCCTAAAAGCGTGACACTGTCCAGGATCGAGACAAACTTCCAGTTGGATGGTTGGGAGCTGACCCAAAACGACATGGCGGCTCTTAGTGGTATCAAGACCCGGTTCAAGGTCGTCAACGACTCTTGGATGCCAATCAAGGTATTTTTCGGAGACGACGAATAACGGCCTGGAAATTCCCAGGCTATTCAAGCGCTGGGGAGCTGAGACGGCAGAAAGACGAGCGACGAGGTATGTCGATTGATTGCAGGGGGACGCACTTAGAACAAGGAAGAAAGATACAGAAGGAGGACGTAGCCCGTTCCATTGAACAGGCCCTATACTGCGATCTCTCCTCGGTTGGCCGTAAAGGCTGCAGATTTTCATCATGGTGGTGTCTCCCCCATCCTTGCTTCGGCATAAGAGCCCGTCGCCAACCCACGTCTCATAATCTGCGCCGCTTGGGTGAAGAAAGAGTCGATTCTGAGCGCTACAGGCCGGATCAGACCTACTGACTCCTCGTCAACGAGCTCACCTATCCTCTGAAGGGATTCATGAAAGTGCTCCAAGAGTCGAAATGTGCCGCTAACCTGCTCCGGGTTGGAGGACAGCAGAAATAGGTGTATCAAGAAATTGCCAATGAGGATCAACTGCGATCGGCCATCTACTTCTGTCAGTTTGCACTTCACTCAATACAGGAAACAAAGGAAACAGGATGACTTGCGTCGGCCCCAGAATGCCTGCAGACCCTCGAGTGTGATCTCATTCATGAAATCCAAGAAGGCCCGGAGTTGCTCTATTGCTGCGCCAAAAAACCGCCGCAAGGATGACAGCGGATTATTTTTGGCAGCCATCGAGGCTGGAGTCATCAAGGCTCGGAAGAGGAGGATTTGAGTTGCGAAATAGGCCAGGTGGAGTGGTGCTAATCGACAGTGAGCTGGGTCACAAGATCTACATGCGTTTCTTGTCGCACATACCATTGTTGCGGAACTCAGACCTGGTCGTGTTGTAATTCATGGTGACACACAATGGCATCAGCGAATGCCAGGATTCAAGGTCTCTCTGAATATTCAAGAGTCTGCTCTCCTGGCTTGCAAGGTCCAGCATCGCCGCTCGGTATGCGTGATCGGAGCTGCAGGAAGAATTAGTCTGAGTCTAACTTTTCGGAAAAAGGGAGTCCTCACAAAGCTGTGTCCAATAAGTTATGGAGTATCTGGGTAAGCTTCACAAGTTCGAGGAACCGTGCGGCTGTTGAAACATCAAAGCTTGCGCTTGCGACGTCTACCATATCTTTGAGGTCTTCAGGGACATCTTCATCGAATCTCATATCGTCCATGTCCAGGTTGGAAGTCGTGTATGATGTGGCGTGGAGCAAAAAGGGGTTCCCATGGCTCACCGATGCCCACATGTCGGTCACGTAGGTGGCCCACCACAACTTCTTCCTCAGGCTCTTCTCCCATGGTGCAATCTTCCAATGGTTCGGGTCACGGTGAAGCCCTATCATCTGAGCGCACGCCACGGCTTGCGCTGAGAGAGTCCACGTCCGCGGAGTCTCAAACGTGCCATTGCCGGCTGCCTTCTCGTGAATCATCAATAGGCAGGCCTGCAACTTCCAGAGGTTTGGTGCGTCAAGCTCCCGTTCGAGCGAAGCTTGGGCAGCTTGGAATAACTCATATTGTTCAAATGGGCGATGGAGTGTTCTTAATATGGGGTCCTGTTTCCAGTAGACCGCACCCATTCCGTAGACCACTCCTCGAAGGGACGCTGGAATGCTCAGCTTATCCTCCTTGTACGCGCGCAGGAAACGAACTTTGGAAACGACACAGTAGACGGGATGGACATGTTTGAAGTAGAGGCGGACAAGACCAGGGCCGTGCGGTCCTACCTTGAATTCGATTTCCTGCGAGGACTCGTGTTTGATCCTATCATCGTATGGCATGAACCAATCTCTTAGTATAGTGAAGTGAAGAGGCGGGGTCCCTGTGGCGGGATTGCCGGGGTGAACCTGGATGATGTCGCCGTCGACACGATTTGTCTCATTGATGATGACGGATCGAAACGACGCAAGGAGATGAGTATCCTGCTCCGCCGACAGCCCCATACAATGTGCTGTCAAGTCCTGCCCGTCCTCCAGAGTGTGAACTTTGGTTTCAAGTACATGGACATCGCTGCTGCTCTGTGGTCTCGGATGAACGCTCGACAGGCGGCTCTGCATCTCTGCGTTCCCCCTGTGGGAATTAGGTGAAGAGAGAAGATGATGGCCATCAGCATCTCCAGGACTGGCTTGCATCTCCAGCACTCTGTCTTCACCGAGATGTGACTCGGCCAGCGATTCCAACGTATCCAGTTGTTCGTCATTGGGGTCTGGTTCCTGGAGGCCAGATTGCCGCGCAGTCCGGGGTTGCGATGTGGATTGGCAGTCCAGTCCCCTTCCTCGACAGAAAAGACCTTCTCCGATAAGTGAGTCTGCGAGCCCAAGACCACCCATATAATCACTCACATGGTGGCCGGTCTTCGATGACACACGCGCTTCGCCGTCTCCGGCAGGCGTCGCATGGGCGGTTCTTCCGGCTTCGCCATTGTCTTGCTAGACCGAACTCGCTCCGTATCTTGAACCGCCGTCTGCGGGAGGAGTCATCTACGGTAGCGGCCTGTTGCATCGCGGGGTTGTTGTCATGATTGGGTTGATTCGAATCTCAAGGCAACACGATTGAAGATGATAACGGGAAACTGACTCCATATCGGCAGTAAACCAGCGAGTTTTTCCACCACCTACTGCAGCGTGTCCCACTAGACTCATTTGGGGAATACGTAGGGCGGCACCATCTTTATCCCGGAGCCGATTCGGGCTAGAGGCGCCAAGACAATGGAGTTATTCCGCCCCGTAAAAGCGGCCCCAGCGACTTCTCGACGGCACACCATAGATTTGCCTTGTTCCCATTCCACGGTTCGACGAGTTTTGGTCGAAATCTATCCACGACTGGCGAATCTCCGAGGGATAGGCTCGGCTGCATGGCTTGTCATCTCCCCGCAACGCATGGAGATGGTTGGGCGCCTGTGTCCGACAGGATCTGGCCGGGCGGTCAAGTCCGAGGACCCTCGAAATGCTTGGGAGCTTACAGAATAAGAACCAGACATCAAATAGGAATTGAATCGCGAGCTTCTGCATCTTTCCCTGCCACCCTCGCTGCGTCCTGCCGAGTCAAGAACCATTAACAAGATGGCCATCTTACCAGCACGCAAGGCTGTTGCGGTCTCCGTCAAGGCGGGACAGGAACTGAAGGTTGTCAACACGTTTGGCAAACAAGTGGTGGACTTCTGGGCGTTCAATCTCAAAGATCCCAATGATTTTCTGTCCATGGTTCATACCAGAACCATCTTGCTCAAGGTGGCTCTTTCAAAGGGCGATGAACTATACAGCACACGAAGGAAGCCCATGCTTGTCCTGACGGAGGACACGACCAAGGGCGTTCACGATATCATTTGGTCGGCATGCGATGCTGAGAGGTATCGTATGCAAGGCTACGACGGGTACCATGACAACTGCACCGACAACATGCACCAGGCTTTGAAGCACAGCTTTCCTGGCTTCCACATCGCGGACGATTGGGTGCCGGATCCGTTGAATCTGTTCATGAACGTGGCCATTGACCACCGCGGCGGACTAGACATCAAGATTCCTACCTCCGAACGGGGCCAGTTTGTCACCTTGCAAGCTCAGACCGACCTCATCATAGTCATGAGTGCTTGTCCTCAGGACCTGGCACCTGTCAACGGGGGTATGCCGACAGATTGTGAATACTACGTCTTGGACGCGGGAAGCTTGGCACAGATCCCGCCTACTGTGTCTCCAACACATCGCCGCCGGGTCAAAGTAGCTTTGTCGTTTGATTTCGACGCCGTGTCACATTGGCTGGGGACTGGGTGTCACAAGGACAACAACATGGCCGATTATTCCTCGGGGATTTTTGCCGGCCAGGTCGGGGCCATTCGCCTACTCGAAATGCTCAAAAGGTGCGGCATTGCAGACAAGGTGACGTGGTTTATCCCAGGCCATACCGTCGAGACGTTCCCTCATGCCGTCCAGAAGGTTGTCGAGTCCGGAGCAGAGGTCGGACTCCACGGCTATTCACACGAAGGGATCTACCAGATGACCGAGGAGCAAGAGCGAGACGTGCTCCTCAAATGCATAGAAGTGGCGACGAAGCTGTGCGGCAAAAAGCCCAGAGGGTATCGCGCGCCCATGTATACGATCAGGGAGACCACGGTCAAGTTGCTGCGACAGCACGAGTTTTTGTATGACACGTCACTCATGCACCACGACTCGCAGCCATATGTAAGTACTGATGAGCTTTGTTTCTATCCTCCCCTCTCCGTGCCGGAGTTCTCCGTGTATCTTTTTCCCAGACAACTTTACTGACTGGATTTTATGCAGTTCACGCCCAGCGACCCCCCAATCAAAGCCATCGACTTCACCCAGCCGGCCTCGTCATGGCTGCACCCGACAGAGATTTCGCCCCAGACGTATCCCGAGGGGCAACACCCGCTCGTCGAAATCCCCTGCGGGTGGTACAATGAGGACATGATGCCGCTGCAGTACCTGCCGCACCTGGCCAACAGCATGGGCTACGTGTCGACCCGCGTGGTGGAGCAGATGTGGAAGGACAAGTTCATGTGGCTGTGGGACCACTCGGGCGCTGAGGGCACCGCGTCCACGGACTTTGTCTTCCCCATCCTGATGCACCCGGACACGTCCGGGCTCGCCCACATCATCGGCATGTCGGAGCGTTTCATCACCTGGTTGAAGGGGTTTGGAGACAGCGTCACCTTCTCCACCCACGAAGACATTGCCAGGGGATGGCTGGCGGACCAGAAGCAGAAGTTGGGCATTGCTTGAAAGATACAGACAGGGACAGAGAGGGAGTTAAAACTCCGCGCGGGTCGATCTTGAGACATCTTTGCGGACATGCTGGCGCCTTTTTCCTCCTGATATAGGTTCCGACATGAGACACAGCTCATGGTATATAACGTATAGTGCGCTGAAGTGGCCTATCCACCGCAAGTCATGGATGTCGTAGATACCTACCTCGTCGCCATTCCAGCCTTTCACATATCGTCGGCAGTCTCATCCGCCCTACAAGGTACACTTACTTGGTTTCTTTCTTTGCTACGTTTTCCCCGACTCGCGCAGAACTTGAGTAGACTAGGTTCCCTCACCGTTGCTCGTATCGGATGCGTAAACTCCTTCGTGCTAAGAAAATCTTGTACATTTGGAAGCTCTGGGCTGTGATACGAAGAAATTTCACCTCACTCCTGGGCCGCTTTCGGAGCGTTTCGCCGCCTGTGCGAATTTGCATACTGGTATTGATGAAATAATACATGTACATAAGCGTAGGGGCAGCAATAGAAATCGTTCCAGCCCACTCATATTAGCCAACTAGGAGGTCTTAGTAGTGCTTGCACATGCACTTGGCGCACCGCAAAAGACGCTCGTTCGGGTCAATCGTACACTTGAACTCAGCAGCGCAATTCCTGCACTCGCTGGTCTTGTTCAAGACCCTCATGCACTCTTTCAACTTTTCGATCTCCATTTCTCGGATTTTGACCTGCTTTTGCGTCTCGGCGTGGGAAGAGTGCGCGGTCGCGAGCTTATACTTGAGGGTTTTATTATTAAGGGCACAATACTCCAAGACTCTTATTGAGAAGTCCGTGAAGAGGCTGAGGCTCTTGAATCGATCTGACACCAGCAGAGTGGAAAACAGCAGAGTGGGAAGATTCTCTGCAGTCGCTTCAGCCAGGATTTCCTGGACTTGGTGATCTCCTGTTGACTGGGACGCTGCTTCGATTGCGGCGGGCAGGCATCCAACCCAAGACTTGTCGTTCGCATCCTTGTGAAGACACTTAATCTTCCTGTTCGCTAGTGAAACAAGTCTCTCCACCCCGTAATAGTCGCCGATAGAATTGACGCGGATGTGTTGGAGAAGAGGATCCGCCGCTCCCGCATCTGACGCGGTTGGCAAGGAGGAACTTGTGCTGTTGGGTTGGTCTTCATCAGGTGGAGCTTGACTTTTCGACAGTGTACCTGGACCTCATTATTATCGGTTACAAAACCATGTAGTAAATGGATGTATCCTTCCTACCTTCCTCAACCTTGTCGCTGACGCCTTCACAAGTTCCTTGGTCGGGAGTCACATGTTGGTCCCCGTCAACTTCGTAGTCGCCAGTGTATATGAATTGCACCAGCTGTCTCACGACTCTGGGATCGAAGTTGTCCATTTTGATAACGTTGGTGCGTGACTCCTGTGATGAAGTGTTAGGCAGTAGACCTTTGAAGAGCTGCCCGCGGAAAGAGTCGCACCTCAAAAGATCCTTCAGTGGCCGCCTTGATCACCGGAGACTGCGTGCAAACAATCGCCTTGTGGACCTTGAACTCCTCGCCATTGCAGAGAAACTTCAGATCGCTGAAGTCGCCCGACTGCATCAGTTGAACCAAAACTGAGCTTGGGATCTCGGAAGACATCTTTCACTGATATGGGTGTGGAGTAAGGACTTTTGCGAGTAGTTAAGTCATTGATTGCCTGTCAGAGAAGGAAAGGCTGGACTGGTATCGAGGCTGACAGCGCGTATGTCACGGCTTCACACCGCAAGACTGCTAAATCCAATTTGGTTAGCGCCCTTTGTATAAATGGCGGGGCTGAAAAGTCGCAGCCTTGCTAGGCGATTTGATCAGAGGTCGACCACGCAGAGTAATAATGGTTGTTCATCGGCTGCCTAAATTATACAAGAGCTAAAAGTATCACCAAAGAAACTAAGAAAAAGCCAGTTGCGGCATGCGTATCCTACGTATCTGCCCGTTCGCCCCCACGCCTCGGTTCTGTCCTCCCTCCAACGAGCCTCTTTTCCTCCTCGCTTAGGCCTTTCCGACGAGGGGAAAGTCAATCTCATCGCCGTTCGGACCTCGCTCCCACGCAAAGAGAGCTCTTTTGTCCTCCCACTTGCTTTCTTTATCCTTCTGAGCCCAGCGTACAATAAGGGTCTTCTGGACACCAAAGTTGGGATCGCAGCCGAGGACCTTGTTGTCCGCCTTGAGGGGAGTAGCCTTCGCATTGTAGAAGCGGTCAAGGGCCATCTTATACGCCTTGTGGCTGTCTGGCAGACGCATCGTACCATAATTGATGTTCCTTACCCAGATGTTGCCTCGCACTTCGCCGTTGCCAGCATAGTTCTTCATGACCCCCTTCTCCTTCTCAAGCTCGCCGGCCTTCTCTTGCAGCAGTTTGTCGGTCTCCCACTCCTTCTTCTGGGCTTCGGCGACTTCATTTTTGAGATCAACAATCTCCTTGTCAAGTTTGGTTTTCTGGTCGGCAGCCTGTTGCTTCGTGTCTTCCAGCTCTCTGATCTTGTTGTCTCTCTCGCCTTCAGCTTTGCTAAAGGCCTTCTCAAGGCTATCGACCTTGTCTGTGAGAGTGGTATTCGCGGCTCCGCTCTGCGCCAACTTGCCTTCCAGCTCCTTGATTTTAGCTTCGAGCTTGCTCTCCATGTCGTCCTTTTGCTGCTTGAGACTCTTGTTGAGCTCTTCGGAAACTGAGAGTTTCTCAGCCATCTCGTTCCGCTCCCGGAGTGCTTTGATCTCGTCTGCTTTGGCGTGCTCCAACTGGTCGGCCATCAATGCCTCCTTCACTTTGGAGGCTTTGAGCTCGGCCTCGAGGGTCCTGAGTTTCTCGTCGAGAATGGCGCGCTCCTTATCGGCTTTCTGGAATTCATCTTCCATGTCCTCGTATTTCTTCGTCATCCGTGCGCACTCTTGTGTAGCCTTAAGGAGCTCTTCAAATGCCTTGGATTCCTTTGCAATTGCCTCGTTCCGTCGTGCCTCTGACTCCTTCAGCTGAACGTAGAGCTGCTCTCGCTCAATGACGAGGACATCAGTGTCGTGCCGGAGGTCCTCCATCTTCTTCAAGGTCTTTCGAAGCTCTTCTTCGGCATGCTGCTTAACCTCGACAGCCTTCTCGAACTCGATCTTGAAGTGATGAGCACGAGCGTCAGCTTCCTTGAATTGCTCAACCAGCTCATCGCGGAAATGCTCCAGACTGGATTGGTTGTTCATGGCATAATCGCGCTCTTTGATCACAATTTCGAACCGAGATTGCAGAGTCTCCAAGTTCAGTTGGCAGTCCTTGAGCAAGGCTTGGTCCCGCACCAGGTCAGTCTTCGCACTCTGGTAGTCGAAGATGGCACCGTCACGCGCTCGGATCGCACCGTTCCGGTCCTCGATCGCTTCGTCCATACGTTGCATGGCCACATCACGTTCGTGAATAGCTTCTTTGCGCTCTGCAAGTGCCTTGTCCCTTGCCTCTTTGGCCTTGATAAGCTCTTCCCTGACTGACTTGAGCTCCGTGTCCAGCGAGCTACACTTGTGTTCGATGCTGATAAATTTCTGCTTGATAACTTCAAGCTTCGAGGAGACGTCTTTGAACTTCATGCGTGAGAGTGCCAGCTCCGTGGCTAAGGTTTCCTTTTCTTTGAAGAGGACAGTCATGGACGCCTTGAGGATCTCCAGCTCGTGGACGGCCGCATTGTACTCCTCCAGGCGGATCCTTGCGGTCGCCTCAGCCTCAACAAGTCTGGAAGTGATATCCACCAATGTTGCTTCCATGGAGACAATCTGCTTGTGCAGGACGCTGGTCTCTTCTTTGAGTTCGATGCATTCGTGTTCTTTCTCGAGGAGACGACCGCTCAGGGCTTCAAGCTCGATCTCGGCACGATCGCGGGCTTTGGACATCTCGTACAATCTGGTCCTCAATGTGACGCATTCTTGAGTGGAGTTCTCAAGACGAGTAGTGACGTCCTGATATCTCTGGCACAAACTGTCGTACTGCTCTTTGTGGAGGAGTTTCTCATGAGTGGCTTTGTCAAGGCTTTCGACAATCTCCCGAATTCTAAAGAGCATATCATCGCTGGTCTTTTGCACCGATCTGAGGTGCACCTGGATGTCCGAACGGAAGGAGACAGCCTCCCTATGGTAGGTAGAACGGACCGGGGCATGGGAGCAAATCAGGGAGTTGACAGCATCATCGGAAGCTTCTGACTTGCTTTCCTCTGGAATGGACTTGACGGAAACTTGCGGGATCAGCTCAAACTTGGGCCGGCTCGCAAGTAATGGATCTTCCACCACGGGTTTGACGTCAATTTTGGGAACTTTATCAAAGGCCGGCGTCTCGACAGTTGCCGAAAGAGGGCTTGGAACAATGGCAGTCGCCATGTCGTCTGGAGGAGAGCAAAAGATCGCAAGAAAGTGTTCGCGATAGCGGTGAGGAAAGAAGGGCAGCGCTGGTAGGGAAGAGGTCTTCTAGAAGATGTTGATGTGCGAAAGGATCAAGCAATCGAAGGGAAGAGAGGGGAATACTTATACCAACCATGTAAGGAGCATTCGCCAGCCTCTGAAGCACTCTCTCGCAAGTCGCTGAAAGCTGAAAGATTTGGGTGGTTCTAGACTGAGCAGGCTCGCTTCTTTTGGGCAATTTGTGCCCTCCACGTCAGCTCCAGGCCAGACATGGCCTCAGACATATCCGCCATTTCAATGAAGCCGCATGAAAGGGATTACGTTTCCCGAATGGGAGCAAATCAAGTAAAAGGCATGCACATGGCGGGGTATGTTGAGTACTTCTAGGCTGGCTGAGCGCAGCTCTGGAGCCTTCCTTCCGTAGACTGAGGCTGACCGCCCGAACGTCGCATGTACTCGCTCAGCCAGCCACCGTATATTTTGGCTGAGACCCTGAAGACCAGTTTCGCGCATCGAAGCCAAATGCAGAAAGTCGGCGGGGTTATGCCGCAAAAAGGGGAATTTCTTACCAAGAATAGCGGCCGCATCCGTAACGAGGTACTTCTGCCCAAAAGTACTCTGTATAGCGAATTACTACGACAATGTGGTGTGTGCATTACCAGAGCTGCATGCACTGCACTACCAGAAGCGCGCACTGCTTACTTCAGGTGGTGTCTTGCACCTTTTGCGCTGGCTTAGTAGTCGTACGAGTGATGGTTCAGCTGGAGCCCCTGGACCTCGCCTGGAGTTGTTCTGCCATGAATTTGTTTTTGGCCATGAGAGCTGACGACTTTTCTAGTGACCGCGTCAGCCACGTGGTGTAGACCCCGCTAGGCTCGCCATTGTACCCGTAGGGAGCAGATTAAATCGTGTGCTGAATGCCATTTACAAGGTATCTTCTGATGGCGTTGAGAAAGGAAGTTTGAGTGATGAACATACCAGGGTATGCATGGAAATGAGGGATGCCGGGATTACAGTTTTTCCATCGCGTTACGGGCCGCGCCTACCGAGCCTAACCCGCCGGCCACGCCGCTTTAGCTTTAGCAGTTCACGTGACAGCCAAGACCACTATGACGCTATCCCCCGGCCAGAAGAGCGCTTGGCAATGTCTTTTGAAATCGCGGTCCTGTCATTCAATGTGGACACTCACAGTGCCTCAGTCACGGTCTTATCATTCTCAATTTACCATCGTCTTGCTCAACCAACCCCTAGGAAAATTGATCTATATCAAAAGCTGTTGTTCTACCCTTGAAAGTAACGATGGCCCTTCCTATGCCCGAGCCTACTGTGCCACCGCTGCCACTTCTCGATTACAAAGTTCTCTCTTTTGACGTGTACGGCAGCTTGATTGAATATAAAGCCCACATTCTAGACTCATTCCAACCCCTCCTCTCTCGTCTCCCAGCTTCATCGCCCTTTCTCAATTCCACGCCTCTTACTACCACCGTTCCCGACTCCGCCTCTGTGGGGTCTATTGAATTCCTGAAGCTTTTTCAGCGCCAAGAAGACGCCATTAAGCTAGAGAAACCCGTCAGACGATTTGATGAGATTCTGGTCGAGATATGGAGGCGCATTGCTAAGGAATTGAGCGTGGAGAGTAGCGATGATGAAGCCAAGCGCTTTGGAAGCGAGGCTGTCATCTCTGGATGGCCGACGTTCCCGGGAACCTTGGACGCGCTGAAGAGACTGAGTAAGCACTATAGGCTTGTGGCTCTCTCGAATATCGATCGATTCGCTTGGAACATTACTGCAAACTCGACGTCAAGTCGCCTTGGAGAGGTGAGCTGGTGGAAAATCTTCACTGCAGAGGACTTTGGCGACGACGCAACCCGCGCGGATGACGCAAAACTGGAGACCCTGATCCAATACTGCACCGACAATGACGTGAAAAGAGAGCAAATCCTGCATGTCGCACAAAGTCTTGGTCATGATCAAGCCCCTGCAAAGCGGCTAGGACTAAGCTCTGTGTGGTTGATCGGAGATGGGCCAAGATGGGGGAAAGAGGCGGAAAGTAAGATGGCGCTCGAAAAGAAGCTAGTTGGCTACGCATGGAGGTTCCAGAATCTCAGAGAATTTGCAGATGAGGTAGAGAGGGTGGCAGGGAGTTAAGAGACGATGGAGTTGCATGCGTCGCCGCTGAATTCATGGGTACTGGGCGAACAATACCTGTTCCTTTCCTGCTCTGGTGGTATGCTCCGTCGCCCCTCAGGGGCCAGCTCTGTTCCCCTCAAACGTCCCTTTGAGAGCAAACATTTCCAATCTCTTGAAGTTTTGTGCTTAAATGGGTATATACCGCCTCGTGGATATCAGGGATTCTATCGGTAGCCGGAGCCAATGTTCTTCTCGGTGTCATCGTTCGTGAAGATATGTAATCTGAGGTGGGCTCGTCGGCCAACTCTATTGAAGCCACAGGAAAGAAGACCGAAGGGTGAGGTGACCGCTGACGCAAACACAGCTGCCTGAGTGCGAAAGCCATCCTGTTGACATCTTCATCAAAGAGAGCGATATAAAACACGCACTCTGCTTATGGATCGTGGCAATTCTTTGGATTGTCAAGAGCTGTAAACAATGGGCGATAATGGCATCTATCTAGTCGTCAGTTAAGAGAGTTTACCCATATCCGCTGGATCCGACAGCAAAGGCCCGCCTAACATACCTACGCAAACCCTCCCATGACGTTCTAGAATATGGGACTATAGGCGACAAGTGGTGGCCCACGGACTTGTCTGATGTATCTTCGGCGCCTCTCCTGCCATAACAGGATAGGTCGATTAGTCGGCAGTGCTGACCACTGGGTAGGTTAGGTCGTGCCTTCAAACACGAACCTACACAGCCACTATTACGAGAGACACACGGTCTGAGAGCCTTATGGAAGCTACGGAGAAGCCGATGATCCATCCATCGGAAGTATATTTAAAGCATCCATCTCCCCTCAGCAACGGATCCTCTTCAGCAGCAAAACAAACACCAAGTTCAAGTCTTACAGAAACATCCTGCAAAGTCACCCACCATGGCAAACCAGACAGCTGTCATCCTTATCGATCCCTATAATGACTTCCTCCATCCGAAGGGAAAGCTTACCCCGCGTGTCGCCGAAAGCATGGCCGCCACGGGCACTATTGAGCATTTGAAAGAAGTTGTCGCTACCGCCCGCAAGAACAAGATCCCCATCTACTACTGCCTTCATTGCCAGACCGACAAATACTCGTTTCAGGGATGGCAGATGATGAATTGGTCACTGGAAGGGCTCAAAGAGAACTTGGTCTTTGAGAAGGGTTCCTGGGGGGCAGAAATTTACGAAGGCCTGAAACCCAATCCCGAGAACGGGGATGTCGTCGTCTCGCAACATCTCAATTCGAGGTAACAAAAACTTGCGGTGTTTCCTGCTTGCTGTCTGCTTAGCTGACATTCCGCTCTCAACCGGATAAAGTTCTTTCCAAAATACCGACTTGGACTATCAACTTCGACAGCGGGGAATCCACAACTTGGTCCTAGCGGGTATGGTCGCAAACACATGCATCGAGGCGACGGCACGATACGGATATGAGCTGTAAGTTGTCCCTGCGTTGATTCAAACGTAACACCGCCAGTGCTGACTTATGCAAGTGGATACAATTTGACAATGATGTAAGTTTGATTTGCTTGCCTTGTACCTGCCTTGGGAACCCTGCAGCTAAATGTAAATCCAGCTCGGACGGGACAGCTGGGTTCAGCACGGAACAGAAGGACGCGGGCACAAATTTGATCTGGCCATTGTTTGCAAACAGAGTCTTGACCGTCAGCGAATGGACTAAAAGCTTGGAATGAAGATGAAAGGACGTCGCTACGGGATGGTTGCGATGCTTAAAGCATGTTGCAGAGTACGAATGGGGCAAGGAGCAGATGGGTGCGTTAGGAATACAACATCTTAAGGATCAATAGAATATCGAAATGGCAACAGAAAAGCACCATCGTGACAAATTGTGTCCATCTCTCATATTTTGCAAAACTAGGCAAGCTTCTCCCAATCCCAAAATGGTTGGCCACCTTGCATATTAGTGTTTTTATTCTTATGAATGTCTGAAGGGACTCTGGCATTCTATTGCAGCCTCGCGTGCTCTCATTGGCTCCTGCCTGCGCGCTGACTGCCCTTCTGGTCCTAGCGGTGGAAGGTGCGGAGACAAGGGAAGATATGTTCCCGGCTAAGTCTGCATTAATAAGAACCACATCTGCCATTTTTTGCATGGTGCCATTCGTTCCGGAAGATTACTAAACAGCAGCCATTGATATGAAAGCGCTAGGGTTGGCACTGGCATGTTCGTGTTCGTCTGCCCTCCGTCGCTTTCCCTTCCTCTTCTGAACAATGGCCAGTTCCCCAGGCACATCGCGCCGCTGTGATGAGTGTCGCCGGAGACGCAAGAAGGCACGTTATCGGACGAAGACCACGTTGCAAACAACACTTGGCTGACATGACATCGTCAAACAGTGTGGCCTTGAGGAGCCCGAATGCCACCGATGTGTCTCCAGGGGCATCAAATGCAGCGGACCCAATAATGCCCGCATCTACGTCCATCGTAATGCAGAGAATATGCGCACACAATCTCACCGAGGTGCTCTCAGGGTTGCGATGCAGCGGTATACAGCCCGTCCTGACTCTGATTTGGTGCCTGAGGCGCAGGCCGCGACGGCCGCTTCCTCGACTGTCGAGGCTCTTCAGAGACTCATAAGACAGACTCAGACGTCACTTCTAAGACTCAGGACGTCGCTAACGACGCTACCTGTAAAATTCTTCTACTCGACAGTTCTGGATGCATTTCAACCAAAAGATCACATGGGCCTTTTTAGCGGCGATCGAGTTCCATTGTCCCCGACTGAGGGGGATTGCTCGAGCGTGGCCGTATGCATCCGCTCGTTACTGCCTCTTGCGCAACAATCCGAACGGCACATCTTGGACCAATCAATATTCAGCCTCCTGACCATGTACCTGAGCCTTTTAACCAAGGATCCGAAGCTGTCAGAATTGGCCCGAGCCGCATACACATCAGCAGTTCGAGCATTTCGCCTTTTCATTGGATCTCGATCCCAGGCCGAGTTGGCCCATCCACAAAAGAGCTACTGTCAGCTTTTCCTCGCTCTCTCTACAACGCTGCAGCTGTTCGAGGTATGCATGGACAGAGACCATCCCGACAGCCGCTAACCACATTTACGGACGCAGTTGGCTAACAATATCAGTACGTGAATGATTTGGGAGAAACCGGAACAGGCTTCCTGACTCACCACGAGGGAATGCTCCAGCTCCTCCAGATATCCGGACCCGAAGTATACCAATCACCTTATCTACTTCAATCCTTCTCGGGACTTCGCGGCATAATTGTAAGGAGCCCCTCGATGTAGCATTTGCCTCGATTTTCTGAATCAATGTTCGTACTAAGAGGTACAAAATGCAGATATTCATCTCCTTGCAGAGACGGCGCCCCAATTTCCTGTCCGAACCTAAATGGATATACATGCCGTTCTTTTGTCGCCCCAAGACAAGGAGGGAACTCCTTCACGACATCGCGCTAGAGATTCCCTCTCTATTACATCGAGCGGATGACTTGATCCCGTCGCTGCTGAAAAGTCCGCACGGAGATCCGGGCCGTCTAGACGATCTCTTGCAGAAATTGAGAGTAGCGCAGGAACTAGTTGCCGACTTTGCAAAGGTCAAGTCTGATCTTGAAGCATGGTTGCACAACTTCAAGCAATCATGCTCACCTGCGCCCATTTACTGGAGCACAGACACGGTCATGGACAACCCCTATTCCCACTCGGATCCCATGTGTACACCGAACCTCGAAGACCCAAAATACCAGCTGAGATTCCGTGACGGCCAAAAGGCCGGCGTGTTGATCTGCTACTGGAGCTTCATACTAGAGCTGCTGATGAGCTTACTTGACGTGCAGATCGCCGTTTCCACCCTGGCTGGGTCCGAGTCAGCCACCGAAGTAAAAGATATCACCAAGGCCATGTGCGAGGACCTGGATGCAAACCGTGCCGCAGCAGACGACAACGCCTTCTTGATTTTGCAGTCAATACCGTATCTGACGTGTTGCCTGGAAGGTGTCTTTGTGACGCAGTCGCCGCTGAGCCTCGTTCAAAGATACTTTGCTCGATCGCACTCATCTCAAGCCGTTACGAGGGGATCGACAGATGATTGACGCCGCGAGACCTTCACACCAAAGGCAGAAGACATAGTCAGACAAGAAATCAAAGAGAAGTGCTATGTATACATTCAAGGTGACACGAAGTGGCAATCTCGCCCGTTGAGCATATTACAGAGTCCGCTTCGAAACAAGAAACCTCCACAAAACCTCTCGATGAGAGACCCGATAGAGTATCAAGGTGAAAGTAATCCATTGCAAAGCATACAGACCTCAAGTATATCCCAATGAAGTCCGAACTCCCTTGTTCGCCCGCTGACTTCTCCGTACCGCTGTTCCGTCCTTCTGCTTCAAGGTCTTCTCCTCGTCTTGCTGTTTGACCTGTCGCTCGATCTTTTCCACCGCAGCAGCAACCTTGCCTCCCAGCTTTGCTGCCGTCGTAGTAGGCAGCTGCGGCCCATTGCCGAAGCTTTGACCGAGTCCTTCTCCTCCCTCCACAATCTCGGCGGCAGCTTCTTTGGTTCTCTTCTTGGCCTTGTCCACCAACTTACCCACCGAGGCCGTCGGCTTTCTGGTCACATTTCGACTCTTCGGTTTCGCCGTTGAGCCCGTTGCCGAGCGCTTCTCGACTTTCGAGCCGTGCACGGCGGATTTCCGCCGCTCGCCCCGTTTAGGCTGCTTTATCGCGGACCCGGCATCTGGGATCGGAGGAGGAGCGACGAATCTCACGGGGGACACGGCCGCATGGTCACCGATAGATGGGTCTGGCTGAGAAGTCGGTGGCGGTAGCGAGAGCTCTCGGCCTAGGTCGCCTGGCAACAATGTCTGGGAGGCGTCTCTCATCTCGATGTCTACATCCCGTCGCGAGATTGGAGATGGTGTGAATGAGCGATCTTCATATGCGGGCGTCGACTCACGCGCCCAGTCCGGTGGCGGCATTTCGGGCTCGACGCTCTGTCGGATATGCTCCTGGGTTGAAGGCAGCAGTGCGGGCTCTATGCTCTGTTGAACGTAATCTTGAAGCACATCCGCCGCGTACGGAGTTGAAGGCGTCGAGTCTAAAGGAGGCCGTGGAGTATCCGGACGACTTGGGGGTATCGAGCTCCGCTGACTGAACGCTGGCGTCGGTGGCTGCGGCGGCGCTGGTAGCACGGATTCCATTCGACTGAATGTGCGAGCGTTCCCCACCGGCATCGTTGTGGACATTGGATTTTCGATCAATTCTGCGAGTTTGAGATGTAGCGGACGATGATAGTGAGTCGATGCCCAACCCCTAGCCTGTACCGGTCCAGGAGGCTCCTCTTCACTGTGGGAGGTCCCTTGGTTTGGTGCACGCTCTGCTTTGCAACACCTGCAACCGCCTGGGGAGCAGGTACAGTCTTGACCTTCTCTGCAAAGACAGAGCTGCGTCGACAGATGTTGTTGACTGTCCACTTCTCTTCCCTCCTCCACCGAGGGATACGCTTTAGGACATCCACATCTCCCAAGTGGACAGGAGCAAGGACCCTCCTGTGTACACCCACAGGGCTGCGTGTCCTGAATATCCGATCCCTTCTGCTTGTATCCGACGAACGAATTCATCCGTTGCCCTTCTTGACTTTGTGATGGCGCACCATCGTCTACCAACCGGGATCCTGCTGCTTGCTGCTGGTATACTTCCGGCTCCGTGGACGCGTCGTAGTCTGCACCACGAAGTTTGTTATGCTCATCGCAGTCCGTGCAAGCACATCGATCAGGGTGACACCGACACTTGTTACCACCTGCACTCGCACCACAGCCACAACTGTCGACGGGCTCGACCATTCCGTGTCCGCCATGCTCGCTGCACGTAGCACAGTGACACAAACCTGGGAGGCATGAACATCGCTTTTGCTTTTGCACATCTCCGCAGCCGCAGCTTTGCACGTTGCCAGGCACGCCGGGATGTCCTTCGTATCCTGGCCCCCATTTCCTTTCCGCCTCGCTCTTCAATTGCCTTGCTTGCTCCGTGTGATCGCAGCTTAGGCACTCGCAGTATGAAGGGTGGCAAGAACATGCCGCGGTAGAGCATCCGCAGGGACAATCGTGAGGCTTTTCAGGTCTTCTTGTCTCGGGTTCTTGCCGTTGACCTTGCTGTTGATCGTGAAGCTGTCCGTGTTGTGCTGGAAGGCCGTTGCATATTTCTTCATATCCATGGGGCTCTTGTGCTTGAAATCGCCTCTGTGATGCCTCCTCCTCTTGCCTTGCTGCTTGACTGTCATCTCCAGGTTGGACATGCATATGGCCCTCTTGGGGTTCTACCCCTATTTCTGACGACAAGACATTCAACTGGCCCTGCAACTGCCTGCTCAGGCCGCAAGGAGAAGGCGTATCAAGATCATGAGCATGAGTCAAGAGCGCGCTCGCTGGACTATCCTTATCATCCCCATTACCTACTCCCTCGTCACGCCTCTGCAACACATATATCTCTTCTTCCGGCTCATCGCTGTCTTCGAACAAGGAATCAATGTCCGAGGACCTTCTCCGAGGCTGGGAGTGACGAGCATTCGCGACGCTCGAGCTGATGACAGGCGAGTCCGAAAACGCAGGGCTGTAGCTGAGGTCGTTGTTTGTCGCATCCGGCTGGCCCTGGGCCGGCAGGTGGTTATTATTCCACCTCGAGCGATCAATGTCGTCGGGATACTGCGCCGCCGCCTCTATCATCAAGTCAAGCGCTCGCTGCTGCTTGCTGATCATGGGTGTGCTGGCGGCGGCACCCCACGAGTATGGGCCTGGGCTGTATATTGTTTCCACGGTGCCGCTGCGGGCGTTATGGCTTGGTAGTTGCTGTTGTGCCGAGTAGCTCATCTGTGTCTGGAGATGTGGTCCTGCCGGTGATCCAGCTCCCACGACGGGATTCTGTGCTTCATTCGAATAGGGGGGATGTATATCATTGTTGTGCGTGTGGAGGTCGTCCTGGAACTGCTCCCCCTCTTCTTCTAGCCACAACGACGGCATATTGCTTGCTGCTCGTTTCCCCCAAGTGCCTTGACTTGATCTCGATTTCCTTCCCACGATGTATGTCTTCTTTTCTGTACACGGCCTGCAGGGTCTGTAGCTGGCATTCACTGCTTATTGGGTAGGCCTCGAGACTGAGAGTGGGACTGAAATCGTATCCAAAAGGCTGGGATAGTTGGGAAACAACACACCATGAAAAACAGAGTTTTCTTACCATGCTGCATCCAGGGACGGTCGAGTCCGACACAACACAAAACAGACAGCAGAAATAACTTACCGACTTCCGTAGTAACCCTTGTTTTGGAGGTACCTAGGTATGCATGTATCTGATCAAAGAATGTGGACCGGTAAAATTGGCACCGGGAGCTTTTGCATTCCATCGGAGCAGCACGTGCAGCGCACAGACTGAGTTGAGATCCAGCTCCGTCGTGACGGACTGCCCTACTGCTCGTATCAGATTGGCGGGAGAAACGAGTGCCTGTCACTTTGGTCCTGGTGCTGGAAATGGAGAAAGGCAAGCTGGAGTTAAGTCCGGAGGACGGGAAGAATCTGAGATGGTCAAGGTAAAGGAGAATTTTAGCTCAACACACGCGATGCTATTATCTGTAGCTCTTCTGCCTCTGCATTTCACCGTCTAGCCAAACAGCTTCACGAAAAGCAGTCTGCAGTCTCCTGAGACACCCCCCAAACTATCCTCCTCAAGGTCAACTTTGCGCTGAACAGGCAAAAGCGGTAGAAAAGAGAAAAAAAGACCAGTCCACCTTACTGAAGATCTCCATCAACAGTGTCTGGTGGCGACAAATCATTTCTCGCAGCGATGATTGTCCATCGCATGCAGTCCTCAAAGTACATGCCCCCAACCTTGGTCCATTGACCAAGGCCTCTCTTCTTTGCATCCGAGTCCGAGAATTCACACTTGTCATTGAGCTGACTCATGAAGTTTGAGACACACTTGTCTTTGCCATAAGCCTTCATGGAAATACCGTTGACATATGGTGTGCCTGTTGGCGAAGCACATCCGTTGAAGTCAAAGGCGAGACCGATGGTCAGCTCGTAGTCGAATTTCGAGTTTCCATCCGATGGAAACAGGTCACATTCTCCCGGTGACACGACCCCTGAGCTTGATGCAGATGTGACTTCAAGCCCCTGGTAAATAACGATGTTCCGATCAACCAGACTCTGGCAAAAGTTGGAGATCGGGCCTTCGTCCAACTGGAAAGGCGAGAAGGGAAGACCCGAGTTCCACGTAGTGGCAACCGTACTTGTGGCTTTCCCGCTGACAGGGGTAGCACAGTTCAGCACACCAGCCTTCGCTGGGCTCGTAGTGGTGGTGAACGCAGTCCAATGGGCACAGTATGAGGTTTGCTCGGATGCAGGAGGGACAGTGGTTGACACAGTTTCGAGCCCCCACGAGTCTGTACAGCTTGCGCTCCCACCAAAGGCAGCCACGCCGTCACAAGTGAATATCGAGACTTCGCTGTAGCTCACCGTCATACTTGTGAGGGTTGGATGTGCGCCAGAGCCGACAGATATTGGGGGAGTCGACGTGGTTCTACTCACCAGAGAGACTCCAGATGATCCAAACGACCACGGGCCGCTTGGTCCCAACGTGGGGAGTAATCTCGAGGAGATAAGTGTAGACGATATCATCGTACCTCCGGAATACACTTCACTGAACACGTCGCCGTTATTATCTGTGGCCAAAACGGTGAAGTCCTGTAGGCTGCTCGGGATCGTTGTCGTGGTGATAGGAGGGCTGGAAATGGTCGAAGTGTGAGAGGAGGTGGTCGAGCTGGGAGAAGAGATAGTCGAATTGTGAGTCGTCAATGATGTCGAATTTGACGTCCTCATGACAGTGCTGGAGGTCGTATTGCCCATAGTCTGCGTAGTGTTTGACGCGAAGCTGACAGTACCAAATTGCACAGTCGCGTTGTCGGGGATTGGTGGAAACTGAGTGATCCACGAGGCAATCTCAGAAGAAATGGACGGGTCATTCCACCAGGGGCTGACTGTGCAGGCCGGAGCGCTTGTAGTGGCGTTTACGGTGAATGTCGTAGATGTGTCTGTTCCAGAGCACCGCGTAACAGTCGCACAATACTGGCTGCACGTTTGAGTGGCAGAGGCAGTTCCATTCGAGCTCACAGTCGAGCAGATGTCCATGCAATCAGTGTACGCCGTTGATGAACAGGACGAGGACGAGCTTGAGGTAGTCGACGAGTTTCGAGAAGTCGTGGTTGCTGTAGACGACGGATTGGTTGATGGACTGTTTGTACAAGGCGATGCTGTACAATGGGTCGTTGGCAGGGTCAGTGATGCCTCGGGCACAGCACCAGGAATGGGAGGAAGAATGGGAATCTGCATCAATCAGTATCACTTGGAAGGTCGCAGGGAGAAATTTGGAATGCGCACCGGTGGAAGTGAAAACCCATCAGAACCCTGACCACCGCATGGTCTCTTGCATGACCGTCCCAAGCTAAAGATGCAACCAGCCATGGATCCAACCCAGTCGAGGACATCTCCACAACCACCTTTGCACAGAGGCCCGATACAACTCCATGACCAAAACGGAAAGTCAATGTAACCACCCTGGATGCTTCGAGTGCTGTGTGTAAGCGTTGCACTCCATGTGACCGCCGTGACGCTGCTGCTGCCGCTGGTCCTGCTCACGCCTGACTCGGTCGTAATGCTCCATGGATCCGGCGTAGTTGTGTCATAAACGAAGCCAGTAGGGAGCGAATATACAACGCCTGATTGCCCAGAGGAAGTGGTCACAGAGCAAATCCAGCCATCGGCACAACTGGAACCTGACGGCTTCTGGTCATAGCATAAGGGGTCTGCAAGGGCGCAAACAGGGCACGCGCAATTGGCCGTGCTTTCAGCCACAACCGTTCCCGATATCAACGTTGTACTTTCCCCATACCAGGACCAGGCCCAGCACCATGGGTCAAGATCGTACGTGAGTGATGTCGAATGGTTGAACGAGTAAGTATAGATGCACGGCATTTTGCCAATCAGAGACACGGTGGGCAGCGTTGGAGTGGCTGGAGGAGGAGGTGTCGTGATTCCAGGCAGGGGAGTAATCGTGACGCTGGAAGATGAGCTTGAGCCAGACATTGATGCCAAGCTGGAGACAATGCTAGAAGAGGAGCTCTTCTCGCTTGTACTCGATTGCGTCCCACTGGCAGAAGACGAGCTTGATCCAGAACCAGATGCTCCAACAACTGATGACGACCGCGAGACCGACGAAGCAACACCAGGACCAGCAGCCTGAGTCGTTGATGAAACTTGTACAATGCTGATTGTGGTTCGAATGACCGTAATGAATGTTGTGGAACTTAGATCAACCGTACTCGTGAACGATGTTGTGATTTCAGCTCCGGCAGTCACATTCGAAGGCAAGGCAATCGAGAGTGAGCTCACACTTGATGAGCTGCGATTTGCGAATGGGGCTTGTGCTGACAGTGTACTTTGCGGAGTGCTACTGTTCACGGAGAACGACGCAGCGACGCTCGATGTTCTGTTGGCTGGAAAGGATGGAAGCATGCTCGATGTGCTATTTGCCGGGGATGGTCGGACTGTGCTCGAGGTGCTGTTTGTAGGAAATGGCGAAGTTAAGCTCGATGTTCTGTTTGCAAAGGACACAGTCATGCTCGGTAGAGTAATAGGCTGCGAAAAGTTTGACGAGCTCGCAAAAGACATCGTGGCTTGAGACTCCGTATGATTTGACTGCGAGACAACAGACATTGAGCCTTGGAATGAAGACATGGAGGTGGGAGGCAAGACTGAGGTCATCTGAGCTGGGGATGTACGATTGGTAGAACCGCTAGGTACCGGTCGACTCGACATAGAAGAGTTGTTGCTGCTGATCGACTGCATAATGGAGGGACGCGAAGTCGACGAAGAGGTATTAACAGGTGGCGCAACTCCTGCACTCGTCGAGCCAGCAGAGGACGACCCCAAGGGAGAACCCAAAGGCAGAGTTGCTGTGACAGAAGTGGATGAAGTCGCTGAGGTTGATGGGTTGGGGGCTGGTCCGCTCACGGATGTCTGAACCGGAACCACTGTCAAAGTGCGCGTATCAACCGTAACAACAGTCGTAAAAGACGTCTTAACCGAACTTCCCGATGTAGAGGTCTCAACTGGAATTACTGTAACAGTGTGGGTATCAACCGTGACCACAGTTGTAAAAGATGTCTCAACTGAACCCTCTGATGTAGAGGGTGCCTCAACCGTGAATACTGTTGCAATGGTTGTTTCAGTACCAACAACAGATGTAGAGGTTACCGTCCCATCGAAGGCCACAGATGAAGAAGTGATGCCACCTGAGGAAGGAGTAGCTACAACAGAGGATCTGCTTGTTGCACTGCCACCTATGCTCCAGTCTTCCCAAGGGTGAGGGCCTAGCCACCACATCAATACACCACTTCGAAACACTTGGAAAGACATACCAGGGTTAGCAGACCCATTGCCACAGACAGGGCAGTCGACATCCAGGTCGACACGCTTGATGTTAGAACCGAGTTGCTCTGCTTGGACAAAGCCGAGCAGGCTGGCGATGAGAGCAAAGAGAACGAAGTTAACGAGAGGAGCCATTGGGGTTGATTAGCGAGCGTTGATAGTCCTCGTCGATTCTCAAATCTGTTCGTGTGTGGGGGACATACGGAAGAGGAAGTTCAGAAATCCAAGAAGGTCGTGGGATATATATTAGGCACACAAGTCCATCTTCACTTACTGAGAAAAATTTTCACTTCATGTCACTGAGGAATGAGTGACGACCTGGAAGTGCAGCATCACAGTGACATGGCAGTGAAGACTAGGCGGAAGAGAAAAGCCTGTCACTAAGGGTGCTGGGAACAGACTCAGCTCTTATCCAGGCGGCTGCCTTCACCCTGAGTGAATACGCACTGTTTGCTGTCATCTGAAACTTCTCTTGAAGTTTGTCAATTCCAGCAAAGCACCTGCGGTTAGAGTGACATGCTTTGAAAGACTCTGCTTGATCTTTGTCTTTGTTCCGTACTGCAAGCAACCTCAACTGTCAAATTCACTCGCGGCCATTCTTACCTGCTGCAAACAGGACAGCACACTCAAGGTGTGCTTCAAATATGGCGCCTTGAATCCCATACTGGTGAAGAGAATTGTCTTATCATGTCCAGATCACTCACAGCGTCAAGGATCGGGTTATTGACCCTATTTTCTTTGGAACATTCACCGCATATCGCGGTGCTCTGGATCTCGATTCTAGATCTCCAAGACATTGGCAACGTATGGTCGAAAGGAGTCTACCACCTGCGCGCTGACCGCAAGGAAGCCATGATTGTTGGCCGGCATAGGTGAGTATGCGACTGTGCACAAAAACTCACTGCGAGAGCAGTCGTCCGAAGTTCAGTAACCAAAAGTGGCATGGGCTGAAAGCCTAAGATAAAACACATTCGGACGTCGGAAACCGGTATTATCGAAGTCAGACATCCCAGCCGTCCATGTGTGGTGCAGGCCAGTGGCATCGGATTTCCCCGGAGCTCCCAGTCCAGGCAACAGATTTGTAGGCGTTGAGCGAACAGTGTCGGTTCTTCTCCATTGCCTCCATATGAAATAATGGATCTTCCAACCTTCCCCGCACACTTCGTCCACTGTCTTCTGTGGGGAACCTCGAGGCTGACAGTCTTGAGAGTCAACAGGTGCTGACATGGGGCTTCGGCAGATGCATCCAGAATTGACGGAGAATTGCCGAACACCTGCTCTGACGCGGAGAGTCTACTCAACAAGATATAAGACAAATGACCAAATGATGGTCCTGCCATCTGGTTGCTGCGCCGCTCAAGTGTGCCTGGCCAACCATCAATAGTGAAACTTTGTACTCCAGAGATTTTGACAGTCGGCACAATGCCTGGACTTCTCCTAACGCCAGAGACCGAGTTCAACAAAATTCAGATCAAGAAGCTGCACCCAACCTTCGCGGCCGAGATTGAAGGGGTTGATTTCTCCAAGCCAATTCCAGACGACGTGTTCAGGGAGATCCTGGCCGCTTCCGCGAAGGTAAATCTGGAGATAGACTGTAGTCGTTGCAATTGACAAGGCTCTGACTGCTTTTATAGTATGGTGTGATTGTGTTCCGGAAGACTGGCCTCGACGACAAAGGGCACGTTGAATTTTCTCGCCGATTTGGCGAGTTGGACGACATCAGGCCGTACATGACCAATGGGAGAAAGCCACGATATGAATACTATGAGCTTTTTGACGCCGGAAATATCGATCCCGACACGAACACTGTTCTCTCACCAGATAGTCCCCGTGCACAATACAACAAGGGCAACGCCCTGTACCACGTCGATTCTTCTTTCAATCCTCGAAGGGCGTCGTACTCGATCTTGAAGGCCCACGAACTGCCACCACCCAACACTGGTGGCAATACCGGATTTGCTGACACGCGGACGGCATTTGACGAGTTGGACCCCGATTTGAAGGCCGAGCTTTTGGAAAAGAATTATATTGGCGCCCATTCCCTCTACTCGTCACGCAAGAAGGCAGCACCGGATTATTTCAAGGATGTCGATGTGAACAACTTTCCAATGCACAGACATCGCCTTGTGCAGAAGCACGAACCATCAGGTCGGATGAATCTTTATATTGCCGCTCACATGGATCATATCGTGGATGTACCTCCAGAGAAATCGAAGGAGCTTATGGACAAGCTTATGGCGCATGCGACGCAGGACAAGTATACCATAAGCATTCCATGGAACGACCCTGGTGACTTGATTATCTGGGACAACACGTAAGTTGATCATCTCCCACCCAGATGTATCATATCTCCCACGGTCTTTCAAATGATCGTCTCTTTCGCGCAGTGCTAACTCGATATTTAGATGTGTTATGCATCGAGCTGAAGGTGGATCATTCGCTGGAAAGTACCGGCGAGATTTAAGGAGGACCACAGTGCACGATGACAGCCCCTATGCCTGGGGTCTCAATAAGCAAGGACAGGATGAGAGACCAGGCTTCGTATTGTATGACTTGTGAAACTTCTGCCGAAAAGAACCATATTGACTGTTGAAAGCTTCAACCAGAATTTGCCACAGACAGCGAAGGCATGACGAGCATTGAGGTAGTAACTCAGACGGACGCCATACGTTCTGTAGTGAACGAGGATTGGCGTAAGAAGGAGTCGGGAGGAGCTTAGAAGGTGCGAGGGCGCAAGGCTGCAGCCGAGCCTTGGAGAGTCTTGGCGTATATTACGTAACCCCAGTGAGCAACCTTAGTGCTTCGCTCTTGTCCCGCTTCGTTGCTTGAACCACTTTCCATTGAACCTCGCAACAACTACACAACGACACGGTGGTCTCTCCCTATAAGTGACCTGAAGTACAAACTCTAGCGCCATAATCTGGATGCTTATCCTACCCGCCTGTTCCACGATTTCCAAAGCCACAGCTGCCAACAGAGCCCACGTTCTCATTCCTTCCCCCACCAACGGCCAGGCATAAGCAGCAGGACTGCACCACGCTCTCACGATGGCCAACATAAACTGGCGCACAATAAACGTCGACGCCTACGATCCTGAATCCGCTCTGAACTTTCCTCTTTCCACTCTTCTCCCGGCCAATCTACCCGCGCCCTCCACATCCTCCGAATCCGCACAGATAGGCCAACAGGTCCGGCAACTCCTTCGCGCCGGTGACAGTCTGGGTGCCCTACAATCGGCGCTGGAAACCGCCCCTCTAGCAGGTGATGAGGGCGCAAAGCAAGTCCACCTCACCACCGTCTTGGAAGTGCTACAGGGGATAAGGCAGAGCGATGTCAGTCGGATACTGACGGAGATGTTGAAACAGCCGGGTGGAACGGCATTGGGTGATACCTTGATGAAGTACATATACAAGGGCATGGCCAGCGGGAGCGGAACAACTAGTGGCAAGGGAGTGAGTCCGCAGGCGACCGGCACGGGGTTCAGTCAGATTCAATCGAGGAATTTTGGAGAAGGCGGAGGTGGTCAGGTTATGAGTGTGCTGTTGAGCTGGCATGAGAAGCTGACGGAGGTCGTGGGCGTGGGTGGGATTGTGAGGGTCATGTGTGATCGACGGACGGTATGAAGGACGTGTCGATGACAGATTCTTCCCATCCGTTGCCTCCTATCATGGCGCAGAAAGATGTTATGGAAGGTTGTATGCACGGGTGGCATGCAGAAAAGCCTGCTCCCTGGCAAGGTGCAAAAGACATAGACGAATGGACAATGCAGTGTTCAGTCAAATGATCGCTGGCAGGAGATTCAATCCATTCAAGGATAGGGTATCTTTTTGAGACCTGACGCCTATCAACCGCGTGGCTTGCACATCAACAATCGACCCTTCCAATGCCAAGGACCATCCAATAACTCAGTTCTCTCTTCCCATCATCCGCCTCCTCGCCATCTTCGAGCACCTTGTCCCTCTCCCGTTTCCTTCTCTCCACGATCCCTGCAGTCTCATCTTCGGTAACCGTCCATTCAAGCCTGACTCTGATAGGGATTTCAATGACATCTTCATCCTCGTCCAGCTCCTCGCCTTCGTTTCTCAGAATGCTGGCGGGAATAATCTCAATCACCACGCTCGCCCAATTCCGGCCCTGGTCGTAGAGTTTACCCGCGATTTGTTCTCCGCCCGCTGTGTTGTTAGTGCCTCCCGTTGCTTGAGTCGGAGGGTTGTTGAGTGCATCGTCCCAGGCGTCGCTATTCTTCCCGATCTGGAATTGTGGACACAAGATAGTGACCCGATGTCCATGCTTCCCCGGCGTCACGCTAGGGCTTCCCAGGCTGACATTTACATCATCAAACAGCGGATTGCGCAGTGTCATTATAAACTGGACGGGCTTTCCGGCCGCAAGGACGACATCGCTTCCGTCGGGCCCTGAAGGGGACAAGCCACCTGGAACGGGGAGCGGCTTTATCGTCACGAATGGGATATAGCTGAGCGCGATCAGTTTGATGCGGTACCGCGCAGATGAGATCTTCAGTTCAGGCCGAGTGAGGATGTGTTTGCAGGTTGCACAGCGCTTGGATCGTTTTGTGCGCATAAGTGTGGGCATGGGTCTGAGGTCCGAGACGGTGCGGGCTTCGGGGTTGCCAATGAAGGAGGGGTTTTGTAAGGCTCTTTGTGCCATGGTTGTGGTCTCGTCGTATTCGCAAGGCGTGGAATTTTGCGGGTCATACCATTTGAGTCCTTCACTCGCTGTCCGTGCTTCTCGCATGATTGTAAGCTTCTGTCGAGCCCGTTTGAGCGAGTTTTCTCTGTTGGTATAGATGTTCATGATACGTTGAAGTGATGACGGGGAAGAGTAGGCCATGTCCAGCGCAGATGTGGGAAAGCCCGCGTCCGTTGCTGAAGATTCGGCGATTTGTTCCTTGTAGAACGACTTCAGAGCAGTGAACCTCGCCGTTGGATCTAAAGAAGGTTGTGACTTGATTTGTCCTTCAGTCTCAACGAGCTCCCCTACTTCTTCTGGGGATAAAGGAGGCCGCGAGAGTGATGATTTGCGGGCAGGATCCTCTTGGAATAGCGGGCTTTTCGCCGCCGAAGTCTTGCGTTTGCCTCCATTTGCAATCTCATCAAGCTGGCCGCGGACGCCGGTGGCTTTATCGAGCTTGATACCAACATCAAGGGTGCTCCACATGCAATAGTTGCAGTTGAGGATGAATGGGCCGTCTTTTGGGTCGCCGATGGAAGTGGTGATCATCTGAGACGTGCATATGGGGCAATGATAGCAATTTCGAGGGCACCTGTTCCCTTCGCTCCTCACCATAACCCTGGGGCTCTCAAAGAGACAGTCTGGGCAGTAGGTGGCACTGATCTCTTCGGTCACACAGCGAGGGCATTTGATCTCGTGACATTCTTCGCAGTACAACAAATGCTCTGGGGGAAATAGAGAGAAGGCAGAACGTGGATGTCGCGGATCAAAGGTCTCTTCGCCGTCTTGGACTCCCTCCAAGTCGACATCGCGAGAGGATCGCTTCGACTTCAACGCTCTATTGGATGCGTCTGAGCAGGGGCATGAGACGAAGGTGTAAGGGAATGCCATTGTCAGGGCACCGACTTGGGCCCAATGTGCATTCAAAATCGGCACAACTCCATGGAACAACAAACAAATCTGTCTGTCGCATTGACTTGAACCGTAGAAAATACCGACCTACCTTCTCTTCATCTTTTGTCGAGACGTTCATCTCTCCAGCCGAAACAGACGCGGTCAGACGCGGTTGCGGCAGACCTTCCTCGACGAATCACGGCGAGGAATCGATGTTGACATCATGTCGCAGAACTTGAAGAACCAGACGATGAGAATGACTTTCTCTTCCACCACCAGGTCAACGAGGTGATCTGGCAGCATTGTACCAGAGACATCCCACAATGAAGCCACCAGCGCTACGGCCCTGGCTTCCCACTTCAGCTCTACGACGGCGTCCTCACTTCCGCAGGCCATACGCCATACACTCGCCGGGCGCCCCAACTCTCCAGATCTTCAATGAGAATGTGAAGTACCTCCAGAAAGAACGGGCGGCTGCAAATGCAGAATACAGCCGCAAGGTCGATTATCTGAAAGACGAAGTGGCCCAGCGGCTCGTCGACCGACTCCTCGACATCAATCGCGAATTCCCTCGTGTGCTTGACTTGGGTGCCAACAGCTGCAATATCGCACGAGCACTGTCAAAGCCACCGTTGATTGCGCCAGAACTGCCAGAAGGAGCAGCAGATGCCAAAGTTCCTCTCTCGGAACGGATACATCATCTCACCTGCGCGGACACTTCTCCCACAGCCCTCCACCGTGACGATTCGCTACCTGCACCCGCAGTCCCCATCTCTCAAGAAGTCCTCCCATCTCTGGAGACCCTGCCTTATGAGACCAACACTTTCGACGCTGTTGTTTCTTCTCTGTCCCTCCATTGGATCAACGACCTCCCTTCGGTGCTATCAAGCATAAACAACATCCTCAAACCCGATGCCCCATTCCTCGCTGCCATGTTCGGCGGAGACACCCTCTTCGAATTACGCTCGTCGCTGCAATTGGCCGACCTTGAGCGCCATGGCGGCGTTTCACCGCATATATCCCCCTTAGCAGACGTCAGAGACGTGGGGAACTTGCTCGGTCGAGCTGGGTTCAAGCTCCTGACCGTCGATGTCGACGATATCATAGTCGAATATCCCGACACGTTTGCTTTGATGACGGATATTCAAGCCATGGGCGAGGGAAACGCGATCCTCAAGTCTATGGGCGGTCCCATGAGCCGGGATGTGTTGTTGGCGAATGAAGCCATATACAGAGAATTGCATTGCAAAGAGGACGAAAAGGATAGAATACCAGCCACTTTTCGAGTGATTTACATGATCGGGTGGAAGGCTGGCCAGGGGCAACCACAGCCCTTGGAAAGAGGAAGTGGGAATGTCAATATGAAGGATATACTAGGCGGTGGAGAATTCATGTAGCAGTAATCCTGTACAAAACTCAACAAAAAGGGCCCATGGGCAATTTGAACACATTTTGTCTTCTATTTCTCGCTCGAAACATATCTGCTGGGCGCTTCTGCTGCGGATTTCAGCCCTCAACTGAGTGGCATTCCGTGTTTGGCTCGATCCAAGCACAATATTCCCTGTAGCACACCACAGAGACCCGTTCCATGCATACAACGAGACTTCCCAGGGAGGGATGAAAGAGACCGACCGTCCTCCGCCCCGAATGCATCCTTGCACTCCAGACTCTCTTGTATCATAGCCACACCGCCCAGCCTGATCTTCTGCATTCTGCTCATCTTGCCTCCCCTCTGATCATCTAGAAGTCGGTGGAGCTGCTCATGGGGAATTCGAAGCCGCAAACACGTCCAGTCAACTTTCGGTACACCTCAGAGTAGGTGTCGAGTCTGTAGTCCACACCGCCCCGCTCCTTCTCGTCCAAAATGACCTTCAACACCTTGCTTCCGTCCTCCTTGGTCCTCAATCTCTTGCCCACAATCTCAACAGGGTAGACGACATCCGCAAGGATGGCATCGTGGACAGCGGTCAGAGTACGGCTTCGCGGACGCTTCTGGGTCTGGCTGGTGCGGGAACGGTTGGAACGCTTGGGGCGGGGAAGGATGCGGCGCGAGGCGAGGATCAAGACATGGCGGTCGGAGAACTTCTTCTCAAGTTCGCGGGTCAGGCGTTGTTGGACCTTGTGGAAGCCTGCAAGGAGAGGCACGGGCACGAAGATGACAACGGCGCGCTTGCCATGGCCGACTTCGAGCTGGATGACAGAAAAACTTGTTAGCGGCTTGTTCACCTCTTCCCAGGACGTTGCAGCGGCCTAGAAGACTCTGCTTGATAGGAACGTTGAGTGTTCATACCTCGCGAGCAGACACGAACTGAAGCGGTCTCAAGGCAACCTTGAGGTCGGGGATGTTGGTCTCGAGTTCATAGAGAGCGGTCGCGATGCTGGTTTCCAGCTCGGAAGGATGTTGCCTCGACGGGCTATTGTGGGCGATCTTGTTGAGGGCAGGTTGAGACATGATTGCGACTTGAGAGGTGTCAAGTGATTCGCAATCTGTGGTTGTCCCAGGGGAATGAAGGTTGGTGGTTGAAAGCCTTGTGAGTGTGTCGACAGTGATCGGGGCCTCAATCCGCAATTTCTGGGAGTCTGCCAAGATTTTCGTGCGTTGCCCTAAAATCCCAAAATGGAAGGAGCACATGAGAGATGCATGCTTCGCCGTATGATCTGCACCTGATGTTCTATGCCCAACCGTAGTGACTTTTACCGTAAAAAACACCACCACCTCACCACCACTAACAGCACTCACATTGCCACTCCTTACAAATGATGGAGTTTAGACACGCCCCTATCGGCTGCTGATAAATTCTGAGTCTCTTTCAGGTATTCAATAACTCCACTACCGAGAACGCCGGGACGCTCTTCCTGTTCTGGCCGCTGGAGTTCTCACGGATTTTGAGGCCCGGAGAAGGGATCCACGACGTACAAGCAGACCGTACAAGGAGCTCCATTCCATGACACGAGTCATGACACGAGTTTGTCATCCGAGCACCTTTGGCCCCATATTTTGCAAGCTGCGTTGCGTCAGGCGCGAAACGTCAAAATTACCAAGACCGTTCGAAATTCGGCAGCCAGGGACAAACAGTTCATTTAACCCCACCGTTTAGGGCATTGGACCGGAATTTGAAGGATGTGGGTGGTGACCGTCCTCTGCCGGATCTCCAGCCATTCACACCCATCTGCCCGGAGATAAGCCGTCGTCTTCGTCGTTGGGGTTTTATACGTAAGGAGCATATAAAAGTATGTACGACACTGGTGTGACTTCATATATATAAGTACAAGGTTTGCATGTCGTGTACCCAGTAGTGACCTTGACCATCGAATTCGAGCTTGTATACTATCTCAGGCTATCTTTTCATCTCCCGAATTCTTCATTTCCCTCTCGTGAATACTTCACCGAACCACAATTCCCAATATGTCTCTTCCCAAAACTACCCCTGCCTGGGTCATCCAAGGCACGAACCCCGAGACGCCGGGATGGGGAAACCTCAAACTTGTCGAAGACTACCCCGTCCCAGAGCTCGGCGAGAACGACTGCTTGGTTCAGATCCAAGCAGTGTCTCTGAACTATAGAGATCTCGTGATCCCAAAGGTAAAAGCGCACCGCTACAACTACAGGACCCCAAAGCTGAGACATAATGTACAGGGCCAGTATCCGCTGCCGCTCAACCTCCCCTGTGTTGCCGCCTCGGATGGTGCGGGAAAAATTCTCGCAGTGGGCTCTAAAGTAACTCAGTTCGAAGAGGGCGACAAGGTGGTCACCCAGTTTACCCAAGCACATCAATACGGACCGGTTACCGCAGAGATGATGAACACGACCTTGGGCGGCACCCAGCACGGCTGTCTGCGCAAGTATGCCGTCTTCCCAGCATCGGGCCTCGTCCACGCGCCGTCAAACCTGACACCAACCGAGGCGGGGACCTTGACTTGCGCCCCGCTCACGTCTTGGAATGCGCTTTACGGTCTCGTATCCAAAGCCTTGAAACCTGGAGAGGTGGTCCTCACGCAAGGAACAGGCGGCGTCTCACTTGCCGCCATTCAGTTCGCCAAGGCTGCCGGGGCCACTGTCATTGCAACGACGTCTTCAGATGAGAAAGCCAAGCGGTTGGAAAAGCTGGGAGCCGACATTGTGCTCAATTACAAGAAGGACCCGAACTGGGGGGAGACAGCGAAGAGCCTTTCTCCTGGAAAAGCAGGCGTGGATCATATCATTGAGGTCGGCGGGCCTGGCACAATGGCTCAGTCTCTGAAAGGTCCGTGACCTGTTTCTTCCCTCGTTCCTTTCACCTCTACTGACTCTTGTGCACAGCGATCAAACTCGAAGGTGTGATTTCCGTGATCGGTTTCCTGGGCGGCTTCAAGGCCGAGGACGACCCCAGCACGCTGGCCGCTTTGTCTGCGGGCTGCATCATCCGCGGCATCTTGATCGGGTCAAAGGCCCAACTGATCGACATGGGTCGTGCCATTGACGCCAACAACATTCACCCGGTGGTGGACGAGAAGACATTTAGCTTCAAGGATGCGCCAGAGGCGTACGAGTACCAGTGGCAGCAGAAGAACTTTGGCAAGGTCGTGATTCAGCTCTAGAGCGACACTCATGAGCAGGCCCAGTCAGGCGTCGGTCGAGTCTTGTTCAGTTGAATCCACCTCCGGCAGTGACAGCAAGCAGGACTGACGCCCCTCTACGAATAGAGCAGTTGCAGATACGAAGCTCAATTCGTTTAGCAATCAATTATCTCAATGGAATGGCATGTACAGACTACAGATGTACAACTACTAAGCTCTCTGGGGGGGTATCTTTTCTGCATTTCTAAGTCCAACTTTGTTTGACTCTAGCACTGTAGTATCCTATTCTTTTTCAAAGCCAGTCCATGCTGGAAGTAGACCTGACCCTCCTCTTTGCGTAGAGATGGGAACATTTTACCGCTTTTTCTTGCCCTTCGTCGTTTTCTCCCATCAAAGGGCATTCGACTTTGTGGTTTCTAAGCCCCCTGTGGAACCTGCCTCTTTGGGTTTCGTGCCGTGCGGCGAATGCGGCCGCCATGGGCGTTTTGCATTTGTCTCCTATACTTAACCTACCTAGCGGGCTGCATGAGGCATTACAAATGAGACCATTGTATCGGTTGGTATCAGCAGGAATACAGCTAGGTAGGGGTGGAGTGGAAAGAGATTGGAGCCGAATTGAGCATGTAATAGCGAAATATTATATTGATACTATCCTCTTCTGGTGAACAACGGCGGCGGCCGGTTCAAATACTCGTGCGTAGACGGACGGGCGAAGGCAGCACGTCTCGAGATTTTAATACATGCTGCCCGCAACCCACCCATCCACCCACCGATCTTGAACCTGGACTTCGCTCTCGAGATCCCTTTTCTTTAGTAGGTATCCCTCTCCAACCACTTGGCGCAAGCCCCATAAACCTCCTTGAGCTTCTCACCACCGTCCATGGCGAAAAGCTGATCCACGGCGCCCAAGCGATCAAACATCCTCAGAAATCCCACGACCATAAAATCGGCGTAGGAGACGTCGTTGCCCATCAAGAACGGGCCCTGGGGATTTTCGGCGTACACGCCCGCGAGTTCCTTGACCAAGGGCCTCACGTCCTCCCACGCTTGCTCCGTGTTCTTGGAAGCGTACTCGTCGAGCGACATGCCGATGGCCTTCTCGCGCGTGGCGACAAAGTAGTCGCGCGAAACCGGGTTGAGGAACGTCTTGGGCACCCGCGGCATGAAGATGGGTCGGACCGCGTTCTGGATCTTGGGCAGGAGCTGTTCCATGCGCGCCAGGTAAGGCGAGTCGAGGTGCAAGGAGGGTGAGGGGTGGAGTTGCTCCAGTTTGTCGGCGATGACCCGCGACTCCATCACGTATTCGCCCGAGGGCAGGCGGATGGTCGGTGAGGTGTATTCATACGGCCCGCTGGTGTGCGCGGGGATGCCACTAGATTAAATCGAGGCAGTGTGTAAGTTTTGTTTCAACCCGCCCATACGTGTTGATATTGATATCTGCATCGACCCCATGACACTCGCAACAAGCCCCAGCACGCATCTCTCATCATTCCATGGACACCAGGTAGGTGGGACGTCACTTACAACTTTGAAAACGTCGGTTTCAGATCCGGATACTCGATCCACTCCGTCTTGTACGGGATGCCCTTGTAGTTGAGCACGAGACGTGCTGTCATCGCCATGGTCAGTACCGAGTGGTGAAGGTCATGAATCACCTGCAAAGAGGAGGTGGGCGGAACGAGTTTTTCTTTTTCCAATGCCCATCTTGTTGCCGGATATTATAGTATACTGGCCAGAAGCGTGAGGAGGGAAGAGACAAGACGTACTTTTCCAAGGGTTCAAACTCCACCCGAAACCTCCCTTAGAGGGGAGGTCGTAGAGAATGACTTCGTTGGACATGGTGGTTGACTGGCTGGCTGAGACGAGAGAGACACAAAGAGCGATGGGGACGATCTGTATGCTTCTGCGATAGAAGCTGTAGTTGTCTCAAATGTCGACAACGAGTGGAAGTGATTACCGGGGATGAATGGAATTCGGGGATTCAATTCAATGGATCCCTCTCCTCTCTTAAGTATTAAATACTTCAATTCTCAACAACAAAGATAGCATCAACGTCAGAAGCCACCCGTAGAGGATGGAAATCTCCGCCCCAATGTCCCGGTTTCTTCTCCGAGCGTATTCGAAATCACATAAGGACTTCGTCCCCACGGTCTCCTAAACGCGGAAACAAATCCAATCAAAGTCCTGAGTGGTCCGGTTGACTACAACCCCGCATCAGCTTCAGATTGTGTACCTAGTAGAACAATAGACGAAAGACGTATTAGCCAAGGAGATGCGGAACTAAAGTGTTAGAAAAAGCTTCTGTTAGCCGAGGCTGCCCGTGCGATGAGGAGACAGAAGATTCATAATCCTACAAACCATCGGAGAGAGAAGAGATGCGAGTCACCGCTAAATCCGGCGTCCTTCGGTGTATATAGATATTTATTGTTGACGGTAGCTGACAACATGCCAAATGGCGGAGAGTAAATACAGTGCTTTTGTTCGTCGATGCATGATATTTCTCGTTGCTGTATGGATACAAAAACCCCTACAGACTCGTTATTTTCCGGGATACTGACAGCCAAAAGACAATGACTCCACGCTTCCACGCACACCCGCCTAAGCCTAGTCCATCACACCAACCTTTCCATCTCGGTCAGCGTCTGTGCGAGGGTTCATGCGATCGCCCATACTGGGCTTAGTTCCATCTGTGGTGGCCAGATTTCCAGTGCCGTCGGTGTGCCGATTGGCGACATCAATTCCATTTCCAGCCACATTGTGCCTGTCTGTTCCCAGCGAACCATTGTTGACCTGGTCATTGCCCACGCCCCCGACACCAGAGTCGGTTGGCCGATGGGTCTTGCCGGTGGTATGATCGGAAGAAGTGCCGTGGAATTTCTCCTCAAGCTTCTCAAAGGTCGTGGAAAGCTTGTCGTTGTATGGCCGGGGTGCACCCTCATACTCTTCATGAGCAGAGTGGCTGCCACCGGTGAGGACACCTCCAACCTTTTTAAATTCATCTAGGGTCTTCATAGGCAGTGCCGAAAGTCCATGATGTTGAGCTGCGGCATGGTGTGTTCTACAAAGGTTAGTCAATGCTACACGAGGGTGGGAGTGGAGACGAACTCGTGAATAGGCACGGTGGTGTGCACAACCTCAGGCTGGATGGTCTCCTTGTGAACGACAGGCACCACAGTTTCGTGGACATGATGATGGACGTGCTCTCCAGTGACGGTCGGTGCAGCAGCCTGGGTGTGGTGAGTATCATGCGTTACCGAATGGTCCTTGAAACGACCCAGTTCAGTCGTGATCTTCTGCTTGGTGTCCTCTTCATTGTCGTGGTGGAATTCCCGGTGCTCTACGGGCAAGATATTGTGGTGATGCTTCTCCGGAAGTCTTTCGGTATGGGTGAGAGGCTGCACTGTTGTGTGGTAGTGATGTTGATGCACCTCCCGGTCCACTGCCTGGGTATGTTCTTCATGGCGGTGAGGTTTAATCGCCTCATGGGTGACTGCCGGGTTAACCGTTTCTTCCACCGTGGTGTGCTGGCCCCGGTTGCCCGTGATCTTCTGGACGGCTGCTCTTGCTGCTTCCATTGTATCTGAGATAGGGTTTTGTCTTTTCGGTAGTAACGGAGGAGTTCGTGTCAAAGTGATCTGCTTCAAAAAAAAAGATTTGGGGATGTTCCGGATCCCTGAAAAAGTGCTACGTTATATACATCTGAATATCCTATATGAGATAATGTCAGTGATATCATCTGGAGAAGGCTAAGCTTGGGCCAACAGCTCCATGGTGAGGTCAGAGGGATCGACCTTCCCGCTGAATATCGCACAGGCGCAGACGATTGGTATCTGATCTCGGCTATCAAAGTCCCTTATTGCATGTCGATCCGATGCTGGATGGTGCTTGAAGGGATTCAGATGTCCCGAACAAGCCTTTGCGGAGTCCTGATCATCCCGATCGCATATTGCAGCTGTGGTTCAGGCCTTTTCTGGGCATCTCCGTGGATGGAAGGCATCTATTTCCATCGTCTTAGCAGAGCCCTTCTGTGACGACAAGACATTTCGTTGCTGTGGGAGCATAAGGCGGGGAAAACCTGTGTCCTGTTGAGAGTTGCTGAGCCACAGCACCTCATAGGCACGCAGATGTGTTGGAAATTCCGTCATAAGGCGGGACAGGCGTGGAGATGCACAACTTGCTGTCTGCGTCATGATGGCTAGTGAGGCCTGTGGCAGGTCGAGGATATGTCTCGTGAGGTCCAAACAGAGCCTTCAGTGGCTCCCCAAGCCATCGTCAAAACCCAACTTTCGGGCTTCAAGCCACAGGCGGAAAGCCTCTCCTGACCTCATCTGACCCCTGTTCAATTGTTGATGGGGGCGTCTTCCTTGATCTGCCGGCCCAATCCTGAGTCCCCTGCAAGCACCCGCCACCGATTCCACTGTGGCACTCTCTGACCGGCTAGCCTGTGCCTAAGGGGCCCTACAACGTCTTCCCCTAAAGCCCTAAAGCCCCCTCGAAGCCTCTTCTGTGCTCCCGCGTGGGTTGGGGTCAGTCCATTGTGGCCGGTCAAGCATGAGCCAAGGTGCCCCAGGGTCATGGCCCAATCGCTGAGCAGGTGTCGACGGCATTGTGGATGGTGAATCCCTCGAGTCAACGTCCGGTCCATGGATCTTCCCTGACGACCGTTGTGCCTTTGCGCCATCTTGGGTAAGGTCTCCCATTTCGAGCTTCTAGACGAGGTGGAACGGTTAGGCAATTCAGGCATAGCCACGCGAAAAAAAGCTGTTTTTCTGTCGCTTGAGGGATCCGTCGATGGGTAGAACAGAGTAGTTCACCCAGGACTCAAACAGGAGGTGAGTAGCGTGGGAAAAAGGGAGTTGGGAGCCCTGGGGGACAGGTAGGTAGGTGTTCTGAATCGCCGTTTCTGTTCGCACCTCTCCCGATCGATCTTCCTGTTGTCTCTCTTTTGGTAGACCTGCAACTGTACGAGATCCTCGATAGGCTGGAGCAAGAGAGCCACTTTTTCTTATTTGGTCGCTGCGAAAGACAAAAAAGCATCAGGCGCCATGATGGCGGCAACGACTCAACGGCGCAGGCATCACGATCCCGCAGCCTGCGACCCCAAATGCTTCCCCTACGTCATGCACCCAAGCAGCACCAAGACCATCACCACCACCACGACTGGGAAACAAAGACATCGCAGCTCGAATTCAAACCACAGTCGAAATCTCAGCCTCACCCATAGTTACCACGGCGCTCCTCTCCAATGGCAAGAGCCGGTTCCACGGCCTGCTACAGCTAATCCTGCCCTCAATCCCAGTCATGATCCTGCGCAGACTCAGACTGCACGCCACACTCGCTCAAGAAGTCGTCTCCAAAAGCGCCCTTCGCAGCAGCAGATGTTGAAGAAGTCTGCCAGCGTTTCTGCAATGTCGCAGATTGCTCCACCTCCCCGAAGACGACCATCGCTGGATCCAAAAGACCTCACGCCCTTGCCCCGACTGCCGGATCATGTTGTCCCTCGACGGTCGTCCTCTCTCCGCAAGAAATCTCTCCCAGGGGCGATTGATCGTCCCAAGTCGAAGAAAGGGTCCTCCGATGAGCCAAAGTCTGCTGCCGCCTCGACGACTCATGCGTCGCTGTCTCTGAGACCCAAGTCCTCGCCAGCAGAGCAACCAAGCCCAAAGACAGACTCTGACAGCGAAAAGTCATCTCCAGCTGGCTCTCCTGGGCGCCCTGCTCCGATCAGGGCAGCACGCCATCAACCTCTGGCACCCAACGATCCTTCTCCACTGAATCCCCTCTACCACATTCCAAGTTCATATTTTGCACATGTGCCCATCACTGATACGACGACAGCGGTGACCTCTCCCAGCCCCAACTCCACCTCAGAGAAGAACAGCGAGCATGCGATCCTCCTCCCAACCGGATTCAAGCCAGGAAAGAGCGAGCACACGGAAGTTGAAGAGGTTATCCGACCAGCGGTGACACACGAGGTCGTCAAACGGGACACCAAGGAGATCGTGCAAGAAGAAATCACCCGCGAAATCCACGTGCACCACTACTACACCTACACACAGCCCATCAAAGCCGTCGAAATCCGCCCCGCACGACACTTCCTGGTCGATGCAGAGACAGGGAAAAAAGTCGAGATTCCAGCACCCGAGGGATGGGTCATGCCCAGCAATCTCCAACCTTACAAGCCAGATCTGAGCGGCGTAAGTGCTGCGACACGGCATTATCTGGTCGACGAGGAACATCCCACTGGTGTCACGGAGCCCGCCCCGCTGAATGTCAAGAAGAAAGGGTCATCGCAAGATTTGAGGCCGACGAGGAAGGCCAGCAGTACCGGCAACTGGACGCCTTTCCCAAGAGTGAGATGAGAGTAATGAGCCGCACTGGATTGATAAGGGAGCCTTCAATGATGGACACGGACAAGAATCTATCGGAGCCGTACAACAGGAGGACACCTCATCTTGATCAATTCTACATGTTGCTGCAATCTGTCGTGCGGATTTTCATACCTATGATGTACAGTACTTACTGCACTTTTGAATATACCCTGTGCAATGAAACGATTAATAATTGAGTCATCTCGCTTCTTTCTGATTATCCTCTCCACGATTTCTTTCTTCTTTTTTCGTCTTTAATGGCTAGTATTGCAGTATCCTGTTCCTGCCTGGTAGTGGTAGGGGGGGGGAAAATACAAGCTACAGATGCTCGCTCCTGTTACACAGTGTTCATTACAGTCCGCGACTCAAGCCGTCGTCATGGCTCCCTTGCGATAATGAATGTATCACCTGGAGTTAGGCCCCTTGGGCTCCGTAGTCCAAGCTCAGGCTCACCTCAGTATGCTGTTGACTAGGCTGAAGATTCAACGTCGAATCTGGGATCATGGCTTTACTCTTCATGTCCCGACACGCGAGCCTCATCCGTCATTTGCGAATTCGCGGATTGTAGAGACGCGGAGGAAGTTCATACGGCCTTCACTAGATATTGCAGCAGTGCCCAGTTCATATCCTGTCCAGACATGCAAAACCCAGGCAACCAAGAGCCAGATCACCGACTCCGGTCCGCAGGCGTTTGTCTCCATAATGTATCTCCACTGAGCCGGCCAACACTTGCAGAGACCATATTTCTCCACATGGATTGTCCTTCTCGATCCCGGCGCCGCTCCGTCCCTCTTCTATGGTCTTGACGCAGTCTCTGGGGGGTTATAGTTGATTCTGAGCTCAGTGATTCTGATCCGCCCGAAAGCGGTACGTCTGGGTCCTGCCCTCGTTCCACATCCTCGTCTTCCCTACTCAATGATGGAATCGGAATCGCTGCACTTGGTTCCTGGTTCACTGTTTGAGCCACACGGTTTTGGACGTCGTCACTCGTGCTTTCACCTTCCCTCCGTCCGATTTCGAGACTGTCGCGGCCAATATCATCGTCATCCTCTTCCTCGTCGTCATCATACCGCTGCATTCCCTGTCTCGCCATACTCCTCACAACATCTCCCTTGCATATGGGGCAGGTCCGTCTCCTTGTAACAAGCCAAGGCGTGATACAATCGACGTGAAATTCATGCCCACATGGTAGGGACATGACTTGACTTTCGCCGTCCACGTACTCTTCAAGACATACCACGCATTCAACTTGTCGACCTGTGTAGCGCTTCCGTTTCGCCGGCTTTGCAGTGTGCTTTTCTGTGTGCGGGCTTCGAGACTGTGAAAGGTTACTTTCTACACTTCCACCAGCAAAAATGCCCGTGGTGGTCTGTGAGCGCGGCCGAGGTCGTTGAGACATATTGTGGCTCGGGGAGATAAGCAGTGGCGAAGTAGGTGAAGAAGCATCTGGAGATTCCACCCGCGAAGACGTGGTGGACGAAGTCGTGCTCATAGTGTGATAAGTGCGAACCGGTAGTCGGTCGACTAGGGATTTTGGTGCACGCCATCTTCGACGTCGAATCCGTGAGCGGAGAAGCAGAAGGGTATAAACCACTGTCAGCGTGACTAGTGGACTGACCACTAGGACCAGAAGTGTGTCGACGAATGGACTAGCAGAAACACTTGTGGGTGTGAGGGTGACCCATAGACCAGGTTGGTCATGCTCATCGTCCGGGCAAGGTGATTTCGAGCTCTTTTCCTTTCCCTGATTATCCTTTTCATTCAGAAGTACATTGTCTTGCGAATCTTCTTTCTTTCCGTGGCCAGAGCGGAAAACATGGAACCATGAGCCCTTTTCTTGGCTTTGACGAATGCCAGAACTGCCAGGTATCCGATTCGACTGCGCATGGCCTCGCTGGAAGCGATTCAGATGCTCCGACTTTTCATGATCGTATTCTCCACTGCCGGGAGTGATGCTACCACCTTTCAGAGTTGCATCCGGACTGGTTGAAGCTTTCGCCGAGCTTGCGGAATCCGTAGGCATGCCCTTACCAGCCTCTTCGAGAGCGTTCTGTGAGGTGGTGGTGGGTTTCGGTGCTACGAGATCAGTGTCTCGCCAGTCTTGCACTCCAATCACAAAATCATCCGCTCCAGTCCGTTTGGAACTCGTTGACTTTGCCTTGAGCGTGGAAGAGGCGGCTGTGGCGACACCAGTCGCTGTGTTCTTACTGTCCTTCAGATCTGGGCGAGCCTCTTCCTTCCAGTCTTCCAGGAGGACCCAATCGATGTTGCCACTGCTAGGGGGACGACGGCTGTCCTCGTGTTGAGAGAATGGCGAGTTATCTCCCAAACCCACGACCGAGAGAACGTTCTTCACCCAGCTCTCATCAGGCTCCTCCTCGGATGCAGCTGCAGTCGGTTTCGTAGCTCCGGGTTTTGTGGACGTGAAGATGGGCTGATTCGCATGCTGTTTCTGGTCTGCACCAGAATTGACAGTCGTAGCCTTATCATGTGCCTTGGATTTGGCATCTTCGTCGTCAAGATCTTCTTGAGGGACCAGCGAAGATAAGAGATGCGCTGATGTGTACGAAGTGAATAGTGCAGGGATTGTTATATTCGACGTATCACCCTTGGCGTACATGATTGTCAATTGCGCTCCCTTCTCATTGTCGCCAACAATCAGGGCAATACCGCCACGGCGTTGAGCCCATTTGACTTTCTCCAAGAATCCGCAGCCGCCACGGCTCAGCATGACAATCTTGCCTGCAATGTCGGCACTCTCCTGCAATGACTCGATGTCGGCATGGGTGGCCTGTTTCTTGTCTGAAAGATCGGCGTTGGCAGGATCGCCTGGTTCGCCGGGTGTTGCAGGGTTCGAGTCAGGTAGAGGATGGTGTAAATAGTCGTCGGTTCCGTCGTCTTCAGGGAAACTCTCGTCCGACAGGGATTCGGCGTCGTCACGGCCTGATCGATCGTTGTCTATGCTTCGCGGTGCTTTAGTCTTGGGCTGGCTTTGGTCGACTGCGGGCAGGTGCTTGATGCTCTTTGCCTTCTCTTCAGCCCACCCTGGGACGTCTGAGCAACCCAATTCCCATCCCGCCACTTGAATGTTCTCCTCTTTCAGCAGAGCATCGTCTCCGAAACCTTTTCCGACCCATAACTGACCACTTAGACCCTTTGACGGAAGGCTGGGACCGAAAGCAGCGGGTCTGGCTAGGAAGAAGGTTGAGTTGTCGTTGGTGAGGCTGATAACCGCAGAAGGCGGGAATAGGGAGGAGGGGGTCGAGAACGAGAAGAAAGCCCTGAGGCGGCCAGATTTGGTGTCGAAACCGGGCTGAAACGAATCGACAGCATTTGCACTTGCAGCCAGTAATGACCAAAAGGTCAGTGCCACAGGTAGAGCGACGAAGAAGAAGAGTAGCAGTAAGAAGCGGAGGGGACGCATGTTTGGCTAATATGACTGGCTATTGCCACAAATCAGGGAGAGACGGGGACAATCCTCCATGCAGTTGAAACTGGGTGCAGCCGCGGAAATACGACACAGTGCAACAGACAGTCGAACTCCGGCGGATGTTCAAACGAAGGTGGAAGGGTGCTCGCGTCGTGAAGGAAAGATGTTGTCCTCAAGAATTGAATTTACCAAGTTGTAGCCTGATACTGGGCAGGATACTGGGTAGACCCTGGCCACTGCCACTAACACTACTGAATGGGCCGGAATCCGAGTGCGGGATTGTCACCCAGAGCGGAGGTCACGTGAGCGAATTCCCCTAAGTCCACGATTGCGCGTCGCACGGGTACTCGGTACTGTGCAGGAGCACGTAGTACATACCGGTACTCGAGACCTGGTGGAGGTGGATACAAGTCATGATGACATTGTAAATATTTTGACCCGCTGCGAGCACTATCTATTCGATCGAGTTAAGAGTATACGAAGGTGAGAGCATGGGAGCATGGAAGCACGAAAGCACGAAAGCTGAGAAACAAGACGCACTTTTCTCTCTCTCGTGTGCTGCTTCAGTCCTGACATGCAGGGCGTTCCAGACCCGTCAATCTTGCTTTCGACATCTTTTCGACCAGCTCCCTCCTGGGGCTCTTGGGTCTGTGCTTGGCGAGTTGGGGCGCAGTTGTAGGGATCATTAGGCTACGGCTCTCCATTAGCGCCCCCTAAGTGTCCCCCATTTCCGTGTGATGCACGCCCCAGCGCTCCCCTCTTCGCCCTCATTCCAGCCTAGCCTTTGCTCTTTAGGGGCGATTGGCCCACTGACCCCGCCTAAGCCTGAGCTGAACAGACGCCATGCCCAATTAGAAATTTCCAGCGGTGCCTCTTTCGTCATTCGATGCCAGCGCTGGGTGAACGCCGATGCCACATCTTCACATCACCATGTTCATCCATGTCCATCCATCGACCATTCGCCTACTGAACGTCGATCGCCATATCAACTTCCCACCACCTTTTACTTTTCGATGGCGTCTGTGCCGTTTTCCAAGGGCCCTATGGCCGTCTTAACAGCCTTGGTACGCGGCTGGGAGACCACCATGACTTTTCGACACACCGTAGATCAACTGACCCTTATCTCCTCCCTCCTGACCAGCGGTCTCTTCTCTTCTTCATCTTAAAACCTCTGTTCTTGAAGGCCTGGTTGTTTTGTGTGCTGTTGTGCTTCTCGGATTGAGTGTAGAGACCACATTTTCTATTGAATACTTGAGATTTGAGGCGACTTCTGTGGTCCAGCGACCAACCTCAGCCTCGTCTCCGGCGACCGCCTTCCTGGCAAAAGAGCCTGCGCCTTCCCTTGCCATTTGTTGTCAGCTGCCTGTCAAAAGCTCAACAGTCATCTGCGAACATGGATAACATCAACGCTAAGTCCGGGTTTCTTCCTGGCATCTTCGGACATCGGAAGGGAAAATCAAGGACTGGAGCGACAGCGTCTGGCGAGGACGAGAAAATGCAGGGCCCGAAACCGGTCTCCTTCTTCATGAGGATCCCAAACAAGCCTCGAAACCATTTCATTGCCATGGCCGGCGAATTCGTTGGCACTTTTCTCTTCCTGTGAGCATCCTCCTCCCGCCAGAGTGGGCTAACTGACACATCTTCAGCTTCTTCGCATTTGCTGGCACCCAAGTGGCCAACACTCCTCAAACGACTACCGGCAATACGAGCACAGACCTCCCCCAAGGGCCGAATCCTATCCAGCTCCTCTACATCGCCTTGTGCTTCGGGTTTTCCCTTGCGGTCAATGCTTGGATCTTCTTCAGAATTTCTGGTGGTCTCTTCAACCCTGCTGTACGGGATTCAGGCAAAAAAGACATGATTGATGGGCTGACGACATGACAGGTCACTCTCGGTCTCTGCCTCATTGGCGCCGTGCCTTTCATTCGAGGTGCCCTTGTGTTCATTGCACAAATGTTGGGGGCGATGGCGTCTGCTGGAGTTGTAAAGGCACTTTTCCCCGGGCCACTGGCTGTCACAACCTCTCTTAGTGGGGGAACAAACAAGGCGCAAGGACTCTTCATCGAGATGGTCAGTTTGCCGGCACAATGCATTTGGGGTCCCCTTCTAACACCTGTATAGTTCCTCACCGCCCAACTGGTCTTCACCATCTTCATGCTAGCTGTGAGTATTTGAAAAGACAATCACCCTATTTGCTTACTGACGGTTTTTCCATAGGCTGAAAAACATAAAGGAACATTCCTCGCCCCAGTCGGAATTGGCTTGTCTCTCTTCATTGCTGAGTTGGGCGGTGAGCTAAATCCATGCTGCATACATGCCTATCCATTGACAGAAGCCTAGGCGTGTACTACACCGGCGGATCTTTGAACCCGGCTCGAAGCTTCGGCCCTTGCGTCGCCAACCACTCCTTCCCAAGTGAACACTGGATCTACTGGGTAGGCCCTCTTCTCGGCTCACTCCTGGCTGCTGGGTTCTTCTGGTTCATCAAAAGCTGCGAATACCAAACTGCAAACCCCGGCCAGGACTTCGACGACCTCGAGGCTTCTGCTTACAACCCAGAAGAAGACTTGACCCGTCCTGTCGTCAGTCCAACTGCTGTCATTCCTGACCGTGCCTTGTCCCGCGGGTCAAGGACTTCCAAGGAAGAGAGATCTGGCTCTCTCCAAGCAGCCCGGGTAGGCTCCGGAACCACCAACACTACCCTGGGCAATAATACAAACGGCAATGCAACATTCCACGACAGGACCACTGTCCCGACTCAACCCGCCACTTGATTGTTTCACCAAGATTGAATCATCGAAGAAAACCTACTACTATCCCTCCTAACCTCTCCCGCCGGACTCCTTATCATTAATTCTCGCGGTAGACTCCTACGGGCCTCTACTCCCGGGTTTAATAGCGAATATGTTTACGGACGCGAAGAAAAGCTTCTATTACTCTCTCTCCTTCGTTAACGCCCACGTCAATAGGGCTAGAGGACTCCCTCATCCATCTACCGCTGAAACCTCAATTCCTCCTCTCTCCCCCTCTTTCGAACGTGCTTGGAACCATCCTTTGTCAAATCCGTTACTTCGATCGACGCCGTCCCAGCGCCAGCCAGGGACTCGTTCTTTTCATTGACATATTTCTCTGCGAATTTTGGAAGAATTCCATCTTTAATCTGCACGAAAGTTTGTCTTTGATAAGATACCCCGGGTCCTATTTGTGGTAATCGCGTTCAAGCGAGTTTGTCCAAAAGTTTGTGGCCTGGCTGTAATTCGGGCTTTTCTTGTTGTGGGGATCTGAGGGTATTTTATACGTCGGTCTGGTTTCCGGTGACTGAATCTGAGATTGTGTATGTCACAAGCAATATCTTATGAGGATGGGACGTACGGAGACGCATGGGTAAAGGTCTCCCAGATACACGATGGGCATGTCAAATTTAATATGTTTTTTGCCTTTTCGTTTTTCGCCCACCTCTCTCAACGAAACGGGAGGCGTGTAGCGTCTCTGTACGCGAATTGCCCTCGGATCAATGCATGCATTCTTGAATTCCAACCGTATCGTTCAACTCAACTCAGCCACTTTTGCAATCCAGTCGAGGACCTCAGGTCATGTCATTGTAACAATCATCACAGCCCACAGGGCAAATGAAGCGGTAATTCATTGCCGCTGAGAATCAATGGGACAAAGGCTCGTTTCTAGAATTTTTCTCTCGAGAAGTTTTGGTCCCGTGGTGCTGACTGCAGGCGGTTGTCATAATTTGGAAGAAGCATTTACTTGCCGTGCGCGACAAATCCATCCACAGAGGGACCATGTCGCAAAGGTAGGCATTAATGTACATTTTTCCCCATGTCCCGAGGTCATCACGACTTGTACTTGTTGTGGATCTGCCGTATTTGCTCCTGCAAATCCATGGTATGCTGCTGTCCACCCGCAGGTGGGTTCTGTGCCCCTACCCCTACAGCGCCAGGATACGCTGGCGCTGGCGCGGCCGCGGCGACGGGCGGACCACCCCCCTCGAGCTTCATTCTTTTCCTCCTTTCCTCCTCCTCCTGTTCGCCCAAGACCCTCGCGGCCGCCTCCGCGACTGGGTCGCTAGTGACTCCATCCGTCCTAGCCCTCAGTCTCTTCAGGTTCGCCGCAACGTCCGTGCCGCCCAGATTCGTGGTCGAAAACCGCGACGCAGCTTTGGATTGCTGCTCTTTCCATCTCGGGTCCAACAACTCGATGCGTAAGTGCGCGTCGAGCTCGGCGATGGGGATTTGCTGGCCGCAGTTGGGACACAGGGCCGTGGCGGCCCGAGCAGTGGCAGCACGTTGTTGGGCGCGAGGGATATAGTCCTGTTTGATGCGCATGGGAGGTTGACCCGGTGCTGCTGGCGCAGGAGATGCGGTTGAAGGGGGCGGTTGCTGCATTGGGACTGATGGGGGTTGTGGAGAGGGCACGGGAGGGATAGCAGGTGAATAGGATGATATGGGTGTCGGCATCTGAGGCACGGCTGGCGAGGGATGTTGTGGCATAGGAGAAGGAGTATATGCTGGCATTGCTGCCGGTACTGGTGCAGGCGCTTCCGGTGGGGGCGCCCAGCCGTTCGTTTGAGGGTATCCTCCAAATTGGTCGTTGTATGCATAACCACTCATGTCGTCTGTAGGCATTGCCTCTTCGATACGCATATCTGGTCTGGCTAGACTCATCATCGCTTTCTGCTCGAGACTTGCACTCTGAAGATCATTCAGCGTTGTCGGAGGAGGAAGATCGGCCTGCTCGTCTGCCTCAGTGAACAGCACTGTTTCAACGACGACGAAGTCATGCCAGTCAATTTGGGCATAGGCTATCCGTTCGGCCTCTTCCGCCTCTTCTTTCTTCTGTTTTTGGGTCTCCTCCCATTTGGTGTATTCCGACCGTTTCTTTGCCAGATTGAGAACTCGAAATCGATCCTGAATGTTGGCCTGGAGGACTTGAATGCGGGCTTGTTCTGCCTTTTGACCTTCCGGCCCCGTCTGAAGGAGAATCGTGTATTGATCAACAAGGCGCTGAAAGAAATTGTAAAGCGAGTGTTGCGGGCGCAGGAAGTCGAACTGGTAATTCCGGGCTTCTCGTTGTGACAGGGTGGTCATCCAACCCTTACCCTTGCGAGCAACGTGGAGAGCTGTGAGCTTGACCACCTCCAAGTCCAAAGCGCTGATGTTGGGCATGCGCGCACTGAATTGAAACTCTGGAGGCGGTTCTGGGCCCTTTGGCTTTTCTGGCACAGGTGTCGCATCTCCTGCTCTTCCGGCAGAGACGGCCGTGCCTCGTCCCGACCGCACCTCAGACAGTCGCCATTGGTAGAAAGGAGCGTACGCATCGTGGGGAGAGAGGAAGGAAAACTTCGGATTCGCCTGTTCCTTGTCGCGGATGCGGTCTTCGAAGACAGTGCCGTTGCGCGCCACGTAGCCGGCCGTCTTTTCGATAATTGCTCTTATGTCTTTGGGCGGTAGGACAACACCTTCAGGGGGCTTTGAGACGGATTCTGGAAGTTCGGGAACTGCTCCATTCTGCCCATTCTGTGCCATCGTTGCGGCTCTCTACCAGCTGCCTAGGACAAACCCACCACGCCTGCACTTTTTTCAAATTTCACTTGATCTTGCGTCTGGACAGGTTTTGGAGGTTTGTGTTTTCAGGAAGGGAGGCTCTAGATGCTTCTGTACCAATTCAGAGACACTCGTGTGTGCCGCGGCTTTCTGAGTTGAGGGATTTGGGGTTGACTGGACCATTAACCTGAGAGCCGGAACTCGAACGAAATGCGAGGTTTGGGAAGAAATCTGAACCTGTGGCTGGTGCAGCTGTGGCTAAGGCAGGCTTGTGGAGTTTGGAGACTCGCTTAAGGGCAGAAGGGGAACAGGAAAAGGAGCCTAAGCATTACGCCTGCGGCCTTGCACATGCGCGTTGCGCTAAGTAAAGACTGGGATGCGAGCCAACGAAAAGTTACAGCTGCGCTGCGGAGACACAAGCCCTCAATGAACAAGTTGGCACGTTGGCAACTGTTACTCCTGAACCTCTTCACTGCAGTCCAGCCTTCAATCCCCTTGCTACCTTTTTCCTTCGTGCTTGTCTTCTTCCTTTTCATCATGGTCTTTTGACCAAGCTAATGATCGACCTTTTTATTCTTGTCTCTCGTTGACCCAAGCTTCTCCTTTAACTCCCCATCCAAGGGGGACCGCACACAACCTCGACCGTGTCCTCTGCGGTTCAGCCTTTCCACACAATTGCTGCTGTATTGACCATTTACCTCTGAGCCAGCGAGCCTATTTTCTTCATCATGGCCCACGCTCCCTCCCGGAAGAATGCGGCCTCGCAGAAGGCTGCTTCTCCTGCGCCAGCCTCGGGTGCAGTCAGCAGTGACATGATCCGCACGCAGTCGAGCAAGAAGAAGAGTTACGCTTCAGAGGGTGCAACTGATAACGATATATTCCTGCTCCCCATGGGAGACTATCAGATCATGGCGCTGTTGACTCTGTTGGCTGGCGTCGTCCGCCTTTTCAAGATCTACCAACCCACCAGTGTGGTTTTCGATGAGGTCCAGTAAGTTGATCAACGACTCGCAAAGGACTATATGCTAATTCAAATCAAAGCTTCGGTGGATTTGCTACCAAGTACATCAAGGGCAAATTCTTCATGGATGTCCATCCTCCTTTGGCCAAACTCCTCATCACCTTGGCTGGCTGGCTCGCTGGTTTCAATGGCGACTTCGATTTCAAGGACATCGGAAAGGATTATCTCGAACCCAAGGTCCCTTACGTCTCGATGCGCCTCCTACCTGCCATCCTCGGAGTCCTCACCATTCCCACAATGTTTTTGACCCTGAAGGCGTACGGATGCCGAACAGTCACGGCTTGTCTCGGTTCCGCACTCTTGATCTTTGAAAATGCATTGGTCACACAATCGAGGCTGATTCTTCTCGACTCGCCCTTGGTCATCTGTACCGCCTTCACAGCTCTAGCATGGACTGCCTTCACAAACCAACATGAACTAGGCCCCGAGCGCGCCTTTGACGCAAGTTGGTGGTTTTGGCTTGCAGCTACTGGTCTGGGCCTGGGTGCCACTGCCAGTGTCAAATGGGTCGGTCTCTTCACCATCGCCTGGGTCGGCAGCTTGACCATCCTCCAATTGTGGGTGCTGCTCGGCGACAGCGTCAACGTCACCCCACGGAAATGGTTCAAGCATTTCTTTGCTAGAGTCTTCTGCCTGATTGTCATCCCGATTGCGTTCTATGTGGGGATGTTCGGAATTCATTTCTTGTGCCTGGTCAATCCTGGCGACGGCGATGGTTTCATGTCTTCTGAGTTCCAAGCAACATTGAACAACAAGGGTATGGCTGATACACCTGCCGACGTATTGTTTGGTAGCGAAGTGACCATCCGACATCACAACACCCAGGGTGGCTACCTCCACTCCCATCCACACATGTACCCTGGCGGCAGCAAACAACAACAAGTTACTTTGTACCCCCACAAAGACGAGAACAACATTTTCCTTCTCGAGAATCAGACACAGCCCATCACCGCCGACAATGTCACCATTGCAGGTCCCAAAGCGTGGTCTAATCTCACTGAGTTTATCAAGGATGGTGACGTTATCCGGCTGTACCACATCACAACGCATCGACGCATTCACTCTCACGACGTCCGACCTCCAATTACCGAGGCTGACTGGCAGAACGAAGTCACTGCTTATGGCTACGAAGGATTTGAAGGTGACGCCAATGATCTCTTCCGAGTGGAAATTGTCAAGTCAATGTCTGATGGCGAAGAAGCCAAGAAGAGGCTGAGGACGATTCAGACGAAATTTAAGCTGGTCCACATCATGACGGGCTGCGTTCTTTTCTCACACAAGGTCAAACTGCCTGATTGGGGATTCGAGCAACAGGAAGTGACTTGTGCCAAAGGAGGCACCCTTCCCAACAGTGTGTGGTACATTGAACAGAATCAGCATTCAATGCTCGGGGAAGATGCAGAGAAAGTCAACTACAGGAACCCTGGCTTCTTGGGCAAGTTCTGGGAATTGCAAAAGGTCATGTGGAGGACAAATGCCGGCTTGGTTGAATCGCACGCCTGGGACTCCCGACCAGGCTCCTGGCCGATTCTCCGACGCGGGATCAACTTCTGGGGCAAGGACCATCGTCAGATCTATCTCCTCGGGAATCCCGCCATCTGGTGGCCTTCGAGCCTGGCCATTTTGACCTACATCATTTTCAAAGGTATCGCCGTTCTACGCTGGCAACGGAGCTGCAACGATTATTCCAACGTCAACTTCAGACGATTCGACTACGAAGTCGGTCAGACCGTTCTTGCATGGGCTTTCCACTACTTCCCCTTCTACTTGATGGCAAGGCAGTTGTTTCTGCACCACTATTTGCCGGCCCTCTACTTCGCCATCATGGCCATGTGCCAGATCTTCGATTTTGTCGTCAACCGGATTTCGTCTCTAGGATTGAAGAAGTATCCCGAAATTGGCTGGAGTGTCGCTGTCGTGTTTGTGGCATTTGCGATTGGTGTTTTCACCTTGTACGCTCCATTGATCTATGGCAATCCATGGACACAAGACCAATGCAGAGCGGTCAAACTGTTTGACACCTGGGACTTTGACTGCAACACCTTCCACACTGATGTAAGCGAGACAAACTGCTCGAAGTGATCAAGACTGACTAGAAATAGTATGCCAAGTACTCGACGCCGCTTCCAAACTTTGGAGAAGGTGGAGTAACTCCCACAGTTCCGTCCATGCAGATCGATTCGGACAGGAAAGATGACCCATCAGCGGTCACCCCTCAGGTTGGCGAGGGGAGGGTGATTGGACAAGAAGAGCGAGTGGAATATCGCGACCAGAACGGCAATCTCTTGGACGAAGCCCAAGTTCAAGAACTGCTAGCGGAGGGCAAAGCATCCTTCCAGACCAAGTACGAGACAAGAACAAGACTGGTTGACGAGCAAGGCAACGAGGTCAACGCTTCAGGAGTTGCCCCCGATCACCCGGATGTCGAGGGTCAGAACCCGTCAACGAAGGGTGTGCCCGAGGAGCAGGCGAACAAGTCGCCTGCAGATGCTCAAGCGGGCGGATCAGTGAAGAAGGGAGATGACAGCAAAGCCAAACCGGCCAGCGACGCGAGCGAAGCGACGAAATAAACGATTGTTGGATCGAGGCAAGGGCGGGGGTGGGCATAGATGCAATGAGAATCTCGACTGTATTAACAATAAAAATGCACTGGTTTTGGCTCTATCTCTGTGAGGAGGCTAGTAGGCTAATGGGCCCTCCTCTAAACGGTCGTTCAAGTGACAACTCGAGTGGTTCCCTCGTAGTTAAAGGAGCCACCAAGGCTGGTTAGTGAAGCGGCAAGGGCTGCTTCGCTGGTAGTGATGATTGGGAATGTTCTCGTACAGACGTTTGCATTTGCCGCTTCACTCACAGACACACTGAAAATATTTGTGGTCCGCATATTTAGACTATTTTGGCGCTAGAAAGATTAGATATGAAGCTGACTTTTGGCCTGTAAACCACATGGGAGTTTTCTCAGCTTGAGCTCCTCACTCTCCGTCACGTACAATTCGCTTTTCGCCACGCTTGAGGCTGGACAGTTGCGAAGACGAGAAATCCTGTGGAAGACGCCGACTCTATGTGCCATGGCTGTGAACCCATACAAGTGGAAGCCTTTGCCGAGAAATGAGGGCAACTCATTCTGGATCAGGGTTCTGGAGCTCGAAGCTGGTGACCGAACTGATGTTTTGATGTGCTCTCTGAAATTCGTGTGTCTTACAGAAGACGATGACACCAATCACAACGAAGACGATGATACTAATCAGTACGAGGCAGTCTCTTACTGCTGGGGAGAGCTCCATCCCAGAATGAGAGTCTACATTGACAACGGTTACGTTATGGCCGGCCGCAACATTGGCTTCGCACTGGTATATTTGCGACGAACAGATCGCACTCGTCGACTCTGGATAGACGCATTGTGCATTGACCAGCTAGATCTGGACGAGAAGGCGAGTCAAATAGGCCAAATGAGCCGTATCTTCGGCACCGCCAGACAAGTCATTTCTTGGTTGGGACCATACATGGATGGCGCGGGTGACGCATTCCACTGATTCAGCAAATCGCTTCCAAATGGGAAACGATCGAGGAGCTCAAAAAAACCAAAGGAATATACTGGCGATATGCATTGAGCCTGGATTTACCGGATTTTCAGAAGATCCTCCAATTCTTCTGCAACCAGTACTTTGAACGAATTTGGGTTGTCCAGGAGGTCGCAAAGGCAAGATTTGCCATCTTACAGTGCGGACAGGATACGATGCCCTGGGATGATTTGGCAATGGCATTTCATGTGCTAGCAAAGGTGTATTTGCCCTCTGGATTTCCCATTCACCCAAATGTCGCAACGACACGCCTTCTCACCCAGCTGGCATATCTCGGTGGAATTCAGGGGAAGCTTTCATTCCTGCTGCGCGAGTTCAGTGTCAGGATAGCAGAAAACCCGCTCGACAAGATTTTCGCGCTCATCGGGATGCTGTCACCTGAAGACCGAGCTCGTATGCCTGAAATAGCCCCTAATTACCACGTCGAAGTGCGAAATCTATACATGGATGCTGCCTACTACTGCATCCTGCAAGACTGCAATCTTGATATTCTCTCGACGTGTCAAGCACAGAACCATAGGATTGCAAATCTTCCCTCGTGGACGCCAGACTGGAGCTTCAATTACAGAGATCCATCACCAACAGAGACGATCCCGATGGTCAACATCTTGCGGCGCTTTTGTCACTTTCGTGCCTCGGACGAGGCTCCTTGTAATGCCATTCGAGTCGGGTCATCGCTGGCGTTAACTGGATATGTGATCGATGAGCTTGAATTTCTCGCAGAACCACTCACAATTGCCCAACAGCGTAAGTTCAATCATGCAAACACTACAATGCAGGTTTACAATGAGCACTATGAGTACAGGGTTATGTGGCTGTGTTTACTGGAGCGAGCGGTCCAGGCACGTCTCGAGGCTGGGTGGAGGAGACTGTTCGACAAGCATAAAAGGCCATCATGGCTGTCCGCCAGTGTCCCTGAAGAAGCCTACTGGCTTACTATCACCGCCTTGGACTCCCGGCGCCTTTGGGAAACCCAACGTATTCGACTAGACGAAGACCACGTCAAAAGAGCGTATGCCGTGCATAAAATGTTGACTACGCCCACCAGGCTGTTCGTATGTCTGCATATGGGCCTAACCATTGTGGCACTATGGGAGTATTTGCTTACAGCCATGATGACCATCCTACGGAATATTGGATGGACAAAGCTGAGCTCTCGAGATCTGCCGCTCCACACTCACGGTCGGCGTATGGGTTGGACCAAGAAACGTCGGTTTGCAAATTTGCCGGAAGATGCTTGCCTTGGTGATGTGGTTGCACTCGTTGCGGGAGCAAAAGTCCCGCTCATCCTCCGGCCACGCGGATCAGATATGTTCGAGATAGTGGGCGATGCCTATGTGTATGGCATCATGTTTGGAGAAGCCTGGGACACAGATCGATGCCAAAGATTGGTTCTAGTATGAGGCCAGTTGGTCAATTTAGCAATTTCAGTACTCGCGGCATATTGTTGCGCTCTTTGACCTGAGGGGTGTCTAGCCGTGTCTTGGGGTGAGGCTAGTGGGCCCTGTTTAACCATTCGATTGGGCGGCCACCCCCGTGGTTGACTCGTGGTTCAGGGGGCCACCAGGCTGGTCAGTAAAGCGGCAAGTGATTGTTCTCGTAGGCTGAGCCCCTCGATCCCGATCCCTGAAACCCAGGGACCCGCGTCACAGTCAACACCCCCGTCCTTGCGTCCTGCGCCCGGCGTCCTGCGCAGCAACCAGCAACAAGCAACAACCATCGTCGCAACAAAAACATTTCCCTTCACGCTGTATCCTGCACAACCATCCACGTCCTTCCCTCCCACAAACCAAGACCAAGCCACTGCATTCCATCCTTTGCTTCTTATTGCGCCGATCGTTTCTCCCTTTGGCGTCTTCAAAGCGAAATCTCTTTTGCCCTTGGCTGTCGTAGATCCCTTTGCGCTTCAACTCGTCTGCGCCTTCTTCTCTTCATAGGTGCAGCCATGAGCGAATCAAGGTAATTCTCCAATGATACCTGGTCCGGTAGGACTCGAGGCAATATGCTGGATGTCTCTGACATGCGGACAGGCAAGAACTGCTTGCATGGCTAAATGGCCTCCTCCAACTCAACATCACAAAAGTCGAGCAATGCGGGACAGGGTAGGGTGTACACGAGGAAGTCTTCACATCAGAAGCTAATACAGCAATCGATAGAGCCGCGCTATGCCAATTATTCGACTCCATCTTCCGTACGTCGTCTCCTCAGCCGCCTTCCCGTTAACACAGGAATTGCGCTCGTAACACGAAGGGAATATCCAGCAGAGGCTGATTGGAGATTACAGTTGATATCCCCATGAGTCGGGTAAAATTCAATGTCAATACCGAATATGCCTACATACAAAACTTCAAGATCCTGCAAAGTACGTTCACTTGCTCGTCGCTTGGCACGCCGCTGACCGTAATGTCGCAGACTGCTTTACAAAACACGGCATCGACCGAACCGTGCCCGTCGAGCAACTTGTCAAATGTAAAATGCAAGACAACCTCGAATTTCTACAGTGGTCAAAGCGGTTCTGGGATCAATACTTTCCGGGCCACGACTACGACGCTGTCGCACGAAGAAAGAGTGCCGGCGCCGCCCCAGCAGCTTCGACCGCTCCGCGAACAAGCACCGGCGCAAGCACGACTCGGAAAACGGGGCCTGCACCGGTGAGTCGACCTCCACCACGTACCGCAGGTGCAGGAGCATCCGGTTCCTCTGCACTGAAGGCCGAAAACGAATCGCTGAAGGAAGCAATCGCGGGTCTGGAGAAAGAGCGGGACTTTTATTTCAGCAAACTGCGCGATATCGAATTGCTGTTGCAGAATGCGGTCGAACAGGATCCTTCACTTGAGACTGACGAAAATGGTCTGATCAAAAACATCCAGACCATACTCTATAGCACAGAGGAGGGGTTCGAGATTCCGGACTTGGAAGCCAATGGGGCAGAAGAGCCAGAAACATTCTAGGGGAAGAAAACGGACAAAACGACAAGATTGCCCACCCTCAAGAGGAAGTGGAAAGTGAGAGGGCTGGCACAGGCGGATAAAAATATTGTGACGAGTGGATGAACCAAAAGAAAGCATAACTACGAAGTAGTGTTCGGATAGAAGCAGTGACGGTGCACGACGCCCAAAATGTTACCAACCCGAAAATTCCAACGAGTGGCAGACGCCTACACCCCGTGGAAGTACGAGGTAATGCAGAGGGAAAGCGAGATACCCATCACACAATTGGAACGTGCTGCAGTATGGGATGGGACAATGTTATCATGCGAGGTATTCTTACTCGTCAAAGGCAACAACTCGAGGGCAACGGTGGCGCTGTGTGTCCCTTTTTGGTTGAACTAACCAAGAGAGGACTAGTTAAAAGTTGCTGCTTTTGCCAATATCCATCGAGGCCATACAGGGGTTCTCAGCCTTATCTCCCAATACCTCCTACTTCCAACCCTACCTGATGTTGCATGAGAAGTCTGCGCCAGGTATTGAGAGGAGTGCTGCTTATACTTGCAAAACCCCAAGCAGACCACTCTCAGACTCATAAGCCAAGAAACCCCAGATGTATTACCTTATTGAATGAAATGATTCAATAGCCCTCGGGTGGCTGAGTGAACAGGGCAAACGAGAATATACACGAAGACCACAGCTCGACATGACTCTGGCACTGTTCGTTGTTGTCCTCATCCCGGTGATTTCTTCTCGCATGACTGACTCCCCATAATGAATCATGGTGGTTCGTTTGCGCCAACAATCAGAAACAAGCGCCGCCAGTTTGGTCACAAGCGAAAAAAAAGAAAGGAGAAGACTGTAAGAATATCGACCTAAGACCTTCATTTGGAAGATATAACAAGACACAGGGGGACACCAGAAAGCTCTTCCTCTTCTTTTCCCCTTCGTTTTTCTAAGCTCTTCCTCACTCGGAAACTGACCGTAGCCATTCTACAAGATAAAAAAAGCCTTTCAGACGAACTAGTGACCAGACCAGGCAGGGACAGCAATCGCCTTTGGGCGGAAAAAAAGGACTACTGCTTCTCCTGCATCCACTGCTTCTTCTTCTTCTTCTTCTTCTTCTTCTTCTTCTTCTTCTTCTTCTTCTTCTTCTTCTTCTTCTTCTTCTTCTTCATAACAAGACAAGCTCAACACATAATGGCCCAACCTCCATTCTTCCACATCGACCACGCCCGGAAGGACATCGCGGCCCTGACAGTGGCGGTGCACGGGCGTGTAGAAGACAACGGAGAGGGCTCGTGCATCAAGTCTGGGTGGTTGAATTTCCCAGAGCCGGAACCGGAGCGGGAGCATGAGCATGAGCATGAACATGAACATGGCTCCGAGTTAATGTCCGACCTTGAGGTGAAGGAGGAGAAAATACGACGCATGTGCGACGGCGACGGCGACGGCGAGAAAAGCTGCGCCGCCACGGATGACTTCCCTATTCTCCTCTCCGCGGGCGAAGGCGTCATCATCCACTACGACCTGTACACGCGTGCAGCAAAAGGGGCGGACGCGGCGGCGGATCGATCGCCCATCTACCCATGGTCGCACGACAACAACAACACCCACAACACCAAAACCCGCGGCAAGAAGACGGTGACGGTGTCGATGCCCACGGGGCAAAACCAGACCCACGAGCTCGACATCGTGGGCGGGACTTATTTCGCCTTTGTGCTCAAGGAGTGGCACAGCTGGGGGTTTCTGCGCTTCAACGTAAAGTGCCTGGTCACCATCTCCGACCTGCCCTCCATCCAGCCGGATTACAGCCACAGACACCAGCGTCGTCGACGACGACCCTTGATGTGGATCGGGGTCGGGACCGAGACAGAGACTGCTGCCACCTCCCACAAAGGAGAGAGCAGCAGCTCCAGTGCCGCCAGCGCCACCCCCAGCCTGGTCCAGCTGGCGTACCGGGTGGGCGGGATGCATCAGGGGTCCAAACCCGCGTATTGGGTGCGCAAGGACGATGGCGGCGTCGAGATGGTCTGAGGTCGGCTGGAATATCGCCCCTGCAACTTCACTTGCATGCAATGCTGCGAGCGAGCGACCGGGGCTAACATACCTAGGTACATGAGCGGTGGGGAATCAGATAGATCTGGGGCTTGAGCATTGTGGGTGATAGCTATATAGCAAGGAGTGAGTACTCAGTCGGGGATTGACACTGTGACCATCAAGGGTTTGACTGTAGATATTTTCCAAGTCCAGCTTGTGCTTCTTCACGTTGATTCTCGCGATCCAGTTGTCCCCCTCGAGTTCAAACAAAGAGTTTTCTGGGCGGGTTGCTTCATGGAATTCGACATTACGGCCATAGAGTCATCTTTGCCAGCAGCTTGGCCCAGTCGGGCCAGTCGGGTCAGTCCCAGCAGTGTCAGGTATCAAGTCCCAAGTGCCAGTCATGTAGATGCAGTCAGTGCGCAGAGTGTTGAGTGCGAGCAATCTATCGAATCCCGGACGGGGGGACTAAGTCTATACGCGTAGAATGAGTAACCCCATGACGCTGAACTAGATCATGCCTGTACCACTCCAAGCTTTTAGCTATGTAGGTATATAGAGTAGATTGCAGACGACGCCGATGAGCATGACTTGATTCAACTTCGAAAAGCTTCCCGCACACCGGGGTAATCTATTGATATCACTGAAGACTTCAAGCTCCGGAACGTTCCTCCCATGAGTGATTCAATTCATTTGATGGATAAGTAGTGCATGCATTCGACGTCCTGGAACAGCCGGTAATTCTTGGACCCAGTTCAAGCAAACAAGCTCTACTCCCCTTCCAATCGCGTCACCCTGGCTGTAACGAAGCAGAAATACACACAAAACACGGCACCAGATAATATCCTCCTTAACCCCAACCCCGACATCGGTTAGGGCTAGAACCAGAACCTCACCACCTCACCACCTCACCGCCGTCACACCTCACCTCCCACGTGCCATATTGCCCGGGTACAGCGCGGAAGATATTATCCGGGGACTCATCGACACCGATCCACAGCGGAACGCCCTCGGTGGCGCCCTTGGGGGAGAATTCCTCGTTGGCCGCAGAGACGAGGGCCTTGACTTTGAGTTTGACGAAGCGCGGGGCGGGGAGCTCGGCGGCGGAGGTAGAGGTAGCTGCAGAGGCAGAGGCAGAGGCAGGGGTTTGGAGGACCGAGAACTCGATCTCCCGACAGCCCACGATGCGGATCTTGTGTTCGCGAGAGCCCTCCACGCTGGGATCCGGAGGGAACGTGATGGTCCGTGGTTGTCCTTGATCTTTTGCTGCGTTCTTGGGGCCACAGCAACAGCAACAGGAGCATGAGTAGGAGCAGGAGCAGGAGCAGCAGCAGTGATGCACCTCACTTTCGACCTCGAAAGGCCGGATGCATGTCCAGGCGCCGTTCAAGTATCCTTCCCTGACGATGACGCCCTTGCCAGCCGAGACGCAGGCGGGAAACGCCTTGGGCGCGACGTCGTGGCCGGTGCGGCTGAGATGGAAATACACCTGGGCATTGGCCCTGCTGGGGGCAGGACCGGTAGGACCGGACGACGACATGTCGATGATCGTCGTGGTGTCGGGGTGATCGACTTGGTACTTGAGAGGGGAGTCGGCTGTGTTTGGATCATATACCTCGACTCCATTGTCGGAGGTGGAGGATGGTGGAGGATGATGGCTTGTGGACTGGCCCATCTTTCCTTTCTTTCTTGTCGTTCCCAAGTATTTGGCGTGTCTCCGTGAACCTAGAGATATCTAGAGGCCAAGAGCCAAAGATCAAAAAAAAAGTTTTATGGATGTCTGTATTAGAGGACAGAACCCTGTACAGCATTCCTGAGAGATTGCCCACCAGAGCCTGACAGTGTCTCTACCCGGGACAGATTCCCCCGTCTATGGACAAAGACAGACGCCACGGGTTGGCTTGCGGCATCACCATTTCGTGACAAACAAACGCGGTCACAATCTGGAACGGAGGGAAGGCAGCGGATCAAGCAAACCGGCTCGATTGGAAAGAAACATGTCAATTGGAAAGAAGAGGCTAGACGTTGCATAACCCCCTAAATTCATTGGACGGTGAGTGCGGGCAGATCAAATGTCAAACAAAGAACAGAAAAAATTGGTCCCAAACGCCATGCTGTAGATGTTGCTCCTAAGTGGTCAAAATCTCCTTGGAGACAAACAGACCCTTGCTTTGCTGGCCACAAATCGACTGCGACATGGCGGGAAAAATGCAAAATGTCGGGCTCAGTTGTCATACTCCGCACATCCCGACTCCCCCAGATCTTACACCCCGGACAAGATCCAGCAGGCTGTTTGCAGCTTCTCCTTTGATCACGCTGCTAGTGAGACCAGCGCCTCGCAGATGGTCATGTCGGGTATCAACATCGCCTTCGATATCCTCTTCGTATTGACTTGGGGCTGGACTAGATAGCTGTAAGGGCGTGCTAGGGTTCGAGTCCCGATGTTTTGCTCCCACGACCGAGGGTTCAGGAGTATGACCTGGCTGCGACAGAGGAGGGCTGCTGGGAACATTAGATGGGTGCATCCCGCTGCCCTGACTCCCTTGCTGCGAATCAATGTCGTGATTCCATCTCGCCGAAAAGGCTGTCGGGACTATCTCTGGCACTGGCAGGCTAGAGAGCTGTTTAACAAACGGTCTAGGACCCATCGTTGCACGAGCACGAGCCATAGCGACTCGAGCTTCTTGAGCGGCCGAGCTCTCCGGTGCCGGGCTCTGCCGCACAGTCGACGAAGATTTTGGGGAGGAAGACGACACAGAAAGTCGCGGTGGGGGAGATGTGTTTCGAGGAACCTGGAGACGAGCGAATGGCCTTGTTATCTGGTTGGTTTGGATCTTGTACAGGGCGAGTTGTAGTCGAGTTCGCAGGGTTTCTGCTTTCTATGACCAGGATTAGTGCAAGCGATAACAAACGAATGACACTCGCATTTACCTCTAGCATCATCTGCTTTCTGGCGTCCTCGGCCGTCTGGGGCCTTTGGTCATTGACTATCTCGGTCTCCTCAATCATTTGCATCTCATCATCTTGCGACGAACGGTTGGTGTCGAAGTCGATCAGGCTGGACATGCTCAAGCTGACTTGAGATGCTTCTTTGGCCAGGTTGGGCCGCAGAGGCGGGACCAGTTGAGACGTGGTTTGTGTGAACGTGACGGCATGCTACATGTATTACTTAGAAAAGACACAACGCGTCCTTGAGCGTAACGTACCATCTTATCCAAGGTCTGCTGGCTCGGCTCGTCATGGATGTGGAATTCGCTCTCCATCTGAGACGCTTCTTCCTGCGAGGCCCGGAAACTGGTGAGGGCGGTGGCCAAAGTCGTCGTGCTCTGGCCACTCGAGATCTGCAAATTATCTTCATTCTCGGACCGTGTGTCGCTCAGTAACTCGGTCGTTTGCGACAGAAAGCATGCTGCAACTATATCCTGAGATGGCGCTTGCTCTTCACCGTATGCTTCTTCAATCTTGCGTTTCTGGCCGGTTCGAGGGCTACTCGAGGGGGAGCGCTCCGGGGAGAAAGGACGCTTTGTCGAGCTTCGTCGTGCCACAGGACTGGCGAGATGTGAGACTCTGTTGGGCACTTTCGAGGGTTGTTGTTGGATGGGCGCGTTGGGATCTTTGTCACCAAGCACGCGTCTTGCAGGGGACGCCATTCTGCATCCAATGAAGGAGAAATGAGTCGCAGTCAACTAGGAGTTCTGGCAGACTCAGCGGATATCCTGCCATGTTAGCGAAGCACTCTCAAATGGGGCTCACACCAACTCACCAGAGGATTTAATAGTCGCTTCCCTCTCCTCCCAAGCCGAAGGACAGCACAAAATAAACACAATAGCAATTCCTCAGAGTAGACAGTCCGTGGTGTTCGGTGTCCTCTTGCGGCGCTGAGCGTGAGAGCAGGACGCGAGGATAGCACAGGAGCATACAAATCGCGGTGTCACGTCCAAGAGCACCAAGAATGGATACACAACATGGGAAAATGATGCACAGGCCCCATGTGGCCCCGAAGATCAACCATCAGCCAGACTAATGGGCTCTACGTGGGGGACTTCTGGGTCCTGCCGACCGCTAGCGATGCGCCCCGGGACTGCCCAATGGTTTAACTGGTTCTCACTAGAAGCCTAAAGGCCCTGGCTGCAAGTTGCAACTGGCGAGCCGCGTCTGGTGGGTACAGCTCGTGCTTTGTCTGGGGAAGCCTCGTGAGAGCCTCGCCTAGAGCATAGTGTACCTGGTACCCAAGTATTGCCGACAGGATGAATGCAACTGGGATGCATTCGTTCTGGTCAAATGTCCTCATTTCATATAAAACAGCCTCTCCAACGTCTCATCCATCATCATCGCATCATAGACATGTTCTCTTCTGAACAAATCTCGTACTTGCTCGAATCTGGTAAACCCTAGCCTTCTCGCAAGTAAGCTAAAGCGCGTGGAAAACCATAGTGTCTCCAGCATCGTTGTCACGCCGCCGCTCTGTTGCTGATCTTCCTGCTTCTCCCGTCCTGCATGGACAGGAGCATCTGGTTTTGGCTTCACCGTCAAATCCGACATCTGGTTTTGGCCTTGCTGCTTCCTAACCTCCTCCTCAAAGCATGCGCCAATGGCGACGATCCAGAGAAGATCTTGCACCTGTTCTAGGGCATCAGAGTCGCTGTTCGCGAGCCCGTCCAACAATGGATCTTGGATTGTCATTGTTGGGTCAAGCTCTTTCACTCTCTGCAACAGGACCGTGTCCATTGCCTTGATCCGGGACAACATCTCCGCATGTTGTGTCGGTGCTGCGAACCACGGTTGTTTGATGGGATGGGCTTCAAGGCTGAGATAGATGAATAGCTGCGCCGCCAGGCACAGAGACGGGTCTTGAAGTCGTTCTGCCGTGCTTGACAGAGGCCATGGATCGAGCTCATCTGCGGGACCATGCCAAAGGTTCCACAGCCGCATCTTGAGGGCAATTCTGCGGAGAAATGACCATCGGAATATGGGTTTGAGGTGATCTTCATCCACCCAGGTCCCCTGCCTTTTCACCTCTTCCACGGCGACCAGTTCTCTTAATGCGGCCAAGATATCTGGCAAAATGCGGGGTTCGTCAGTCAAGCCAGGTACCGGACTTCGGGTCGCATCAGGTTTTCGAGGTGCCAATGCAAGATTGTGAGCATTCCCATTCCACGGTCCAGGATCCCACGACGAAGGATCGATTTCGGTTTGTGTACCTGTCACGACCGCAATCTTGGCAAAGAAATGCACAAGCAGTTCTCTGTAGACCAAGGGCAGATTGTCCAGGCCGCCGAGGAGGTGAATGAGCCTCTTCAAGGCGCAGCGGTGCTGGGAGCACTTGTCGTTGCCCGTCCGAACGGACTCGGAATATTCTGCACTTGCCAGCGGCCAGATGGTCTGCAGGATGAGAAGGAGTTGGTCGTACGAGTAGTCCAGGTTGTCGATCAGATCTCGGAGGGCCTTGAAGCCGCTCACGGAATACCGCATCGAGATCTGCCGGTGGAGGTCGGCCTTTTCTGGCTGCGCGATGGCCATCAGGTTGTAGACGTAGGACAGCAAACTGTTGAGGGGAGCCGCGTGTTCGAAATACTTGGTGTACATGACTTGGTGCGCCCGGTACAAGCTCCCTCCTGCCCGGCACGCGTCGAGTTCGTCGGGCCAGTTGATCGCATATGTGAATGATCGGACGTAGGTCAGGATGTCGTGGCAGTCGGCGGTGACGGGGACGGGCATGGCGTCAAATGGGTCAGACGCTCCATTCCCCAGGAGAGCCCGTGGGTTGGGTGTCACCGTGGGCGACGCAGTGGAATCATCGTTCCAAGTTTGGGCGGCACTGTTTGGTGGAGCACGATCCGAAGCTGATCGGGTCTTTTGACAGGCTGTTCTTCTGGCCTTCTTTCTCCTGTTTGGTCGCGCAAAGGACGCCGCACGCAATGCCAGAGCGCGGACCTCCTGGCGATCTCGTGTTCCCTGGAAGTTACCGGGTGTTTTGGTGCTCATAAACAGCACGCGCTTTGAAGACGTCGCAGTCGTGGCACTGGTCGACTGCTTCGGCATTGTAGGCGTTGCATATAGGGGCGGGTAGGTGGAAAGGAGGACAGAGTCGCTGTCGCCGTCATGGTATGTAGTCTTACTCACGCGAGCCTCGGGCTTCTGGTCGGCGACGTTCGCCTCGATTCGACCACTCCAACCTTCCGGTGAGCGTCGTGAGGTCTCCTGGGAACGTACCAGACCAACCATTCCCGCCTGACGATCCGCGTGTTAGTCATCCTGGTGGGCAAATCATCTCACCCAAATGTCATGCACAATGCAGGTGGTAACGCCATGCTAATGCAATTGAGGGGCTAAACTGCCCAGCGTCTAAGCGGACAGGAGCCGCCAAGTCAGACACTTGCCGAGGAAATCGGCCTAGAACAAGTACTTACTGTGAGAATTGCACCTAATCCAAGGCCGAGAAACTTCAAGGTTCTCACAGCTGGTCTTACAGGCCGCTGTCAGACTTTGGTGGAACAGGATGGGCGGGGGCGAGGCTGCACCAGGCTGCGTAGATCCAGGGCCAGACACACGGTATAGGTAGGTAGCTCTACGGGCAACGAGCAATTGGAGAGAAAACGCCCATCCATACCGAACTTCGCATACAAATGCTCATTCTTCATTGTTTACCTAGGTATTCCTGCTCGTAGGTCAAATTTCATGATCTCATAAACACAGAAACCAGGGCCAGCCTGTCAAACAAGCGCCGATCCATCGACATCGACATCGACCATCTGCTGGCAAGGCTGTCCCAGTCTCCATCAAATCTGTCTCGTCGGTGCGCATCTGTAGCATCGACAGAACCACCTTGAGACATCGCTAAGCGCTTCTGAATGGGCCGCTGGCATTCAATACTCCCACATGCGGCTTCGCAAGCTCCAATCGCTATCTTCAAACGCTGATATCATCAAGCCTGTTGATCTTGTGCTGGCCCCAATGAAAACTTCCAAGGGCAAATTGCTTTTCTTCCGCCTCTCTGCTCATGCAAATCACTTTCTCGATCAACCAAAAATGCTGCGCCAAGGTTCTCCCATGCAAGTTCTCGCCAATAGCTCCCCATTTTCTCCTCTCCAGATTTTCAAATATGATTCGCTTTGAATCTTGTCCTTCAACGCCATGGCAAATAACCTGGGCCAATGCATCCCCCACCGTGGTTCCAAAACTTATGCTCGTCTCGCAAAAATCATCGTGGTTCAATAGAAACACTGTACTTAGAACAGCTTCTGCATCAAGCAAATGGATCATCCCTTGGTTGTGGATTGGCCATTTGTCGCGGAAAGGGAGGTGGATGAAAAGTGTTAAACATTGCCAGTCGTTCTCCTATGCTCATTCCGTTGTGTCCATGATTCGGTGTCGTCGCAAACGCGCTTGTGCTAATGAAAGGATCACTCAAACTCGGCACGTGTCGAGGGTTTTTGGAGCGGTAGCTTCGCTTGTTAGGATCCAGTTCGAACGGGCTTCCTAGTCGCTTCTGAGCCGAATCAGGCTCGGGCGGGGCAAGCCCACCGGAACCCAGCCGCGCATTCGGGTTTGCCAAAGCAATCAAGGAGGCTGGCAACGGTGGGACTGGCGGAATGCCATCAGCACCTGGGATTTGGGTGGTAGGTGGAGTAAAGATGCGTTCGACGTGCTCTCGGTTGTTCACAGCTCCCAATGTCGCGCCGCGATTCCGGACACGAATTCGCCGCTGATTGAGGTCCCCTGCTCCGGTGAAAATCAGCTCCGGTCGTACTTGCGGCTCTGGCTCAAACGCTGTCGGTGCAGGCAGTCGGTTAAGATTGACATTAAGCTTTTCAATGTTGCTCCCACTAGGGCTTAGTTCGTCCTCCAGGTTATGCTGAGCCCGTCGTTTGTTGACATTGAGGGAGCTTTCTGGCTCTAGCTTGAACGGCGAGAGCAGTCGTGTCCCGGTAGCGTGAACAGTATCAAAGTGGTGGTGGCTGATGTGGCGCCGGTGCTGGGTGTTGGAGTTGCCCGATCCATTCCAAGTACTGTAATTGAACGGCGAAGCCAGGCGTGGGATATTGGTAGCAACTTGCAACTTGTCAGGCTCAGACTGGATACCTAGACCAGCAGGGGTGGAGAGGGACATGGTGTCGGAGGAATGGTTGACGGGTGTATTGAACCAGTCGTCCGACATCTGCTGCGATGGAGGCGATTCTCCAGTCACCAGCTGTGCGAGAGGAGCAGTTGCACCGCTAGCAACAAGCGAGATACCTAGTTCTCGTGTGGCATAGGTGGTTGATGCTTGCGGGTCCTGGTTTGAAACCGACCGAGACAATCGAGAAGACGGCCGACGCAGAAACTGTTCATGGAATGGGGACGGGCTCCTGGATTCGCGCAGGCGCTGATAGTGGGCGGTGATGGTGAACTTCTCCTTGCACAATTGTTTCAGCCGCCTCCTCGTGGCTGACTCTGACGGCCAAGCACCCCTTGCGTCATTGTGGTCGGTCCGGAGAAAGTCATTGGGTTCTGGCGTCTTGTCCCTGGCAGTGATTCGAGTCTCAATGACATTGCGCATCTTGTATCGTCGAATCAGAGGTTTATTGACCCTGGAAGCTCTGGGCCATGTCTCTTTGGCTCTCCGTGCCACACGATGACAAACGCCCGTCGGAGGGATGCTGCCGGGGACCGTCTTGAATGGAGTCACTGTGGGATCTGCCAGATACATTTGGTAGACATTGAAGAGATGGTTATCCATTTCAATACTCCATTGAACATTCGCTTTGGACAGCATGGTGTTGACCTTGAGCTTCTTGTTCTTCCTCGATGGCGTGTCCGGGATGATGTTGACCTTTGTCGGCGAGAAGGGATCTTGTGACTCGTTCTCAGGGCTGGTCGCGCTGCCGTCGAACGAGGTAGGTCGTGTCGTAAATGTATCCTCAGACGATGTGAAGGATGAATCCGATCGGAGCGAGCATTCTGAGGCAGACCTATGCATGTCCCAAGCACCGTTCTTGTAATCTGGCAGAACAATCTTGGTCTGGGCAACTGGGGTTCGGGGAAGGTGTGAATCTCTAAACGCGGACAACTTCAATCTCTCGCTGGGGGAGGGGTCTGTGACGCTGTGGTTGTAGATGGGTCTGCCAGAGTGACTGTGCATTTCGATCGACGGTAGAGCAAAGTCGACATCGGCAAATTCAGGTTCCTTTTGTACCGAGTGGGCACTGGAGGGTATTGGGATGTCGGAAGCAAACAGCGTTGCGGGAAGAGCGTTGTTACGCGCCTGGAAGTTGTCCATTCGAATTCGCGACCGGCGCAAACGACAGGTGGAATGATGGGGCGGTGGAGGTAATTTCAGCTCCGCAAATGTCTGATCTGGAGTTTTAGGGTCGTCGCCGCCATCAAGGCCCAAGGGCGCGAAGTTCCGAGGAAGCGTTATGGACATGTGTGGTCTGCGCTGTGCAGACGAGGACAACAGAGTCGGCGAGGGTTCGCGGTCGGCCATGGGTTGGCTGTGTCCTGCGCGCACGCTTATTTTCCAGCAATCTGATGTTCGGCGCGCGATATACAAGCAAGCGCAGAGACCCGACCGATGCAGCCCTGTCGAGGATTTCGAGTGTGGTTTTCTTCAGGCGTGCATACTGTGGACGCGCGTTGAGACGGCTATGCGGTTATGCGGTCGGTCACGCGGACGACAGTCGATCTGAAGGCGCCACGGCGGCTGCAGGCTGAATCGGTTGATATTTGTCCGAGCAAGGCCTATACAGGGGAGGGCGAGAGAAGGACGAGCGACTCGAAACAGTGGTGGTGGATTGCGACAACAGAAGAGCGTGTTGGACGCGCAGACTTTCCAAGTCGGCAGATCGCAGCTGGGAAAACGTGGCAATACGGAGGTACAGGTAAGTAGCGGGTGAAGTCGAGAAAATGACGGTGGCTGGGAAAAGTGGTAACTGATAGTTAGGAGAAATTGGCGAGACCGGGGGTTTGGTCGACGGGACTAGGGGTGCAGATAGAAGGTCGAACGAGGTGATGAGATCTGAATCGACGGGTTGAAACTGAGAGGATGTATGTAGATGTAGGTGTTCAAACAGGAGAGAATATTTGTTTACACTGTTGACGTGATGTGATGGCGATATGGATCTGAGTCGGGTTTGGTTGTTTGGTGGGTGAGAGGATTGGAATGTTGGAAGCGGGCGGGTGACTTTTTCTTTGGGAGGGTTTGGGGGAAGGGAGGGAAGGGAGGGAGGAAGAAGGACAAAGTGGGCGGAAGCCACCAAAGCCACGGAAAAGAGTTGGGGGGAAGTTGGGGGCGTCGCAGCGGGTTCAGGGTCCTCGTCAAGTCCTTGTAGGCGTCACGTTCTGGGCTTCGACCCCCCGGTACCGAGTACAAGACCTAAGACCCAGTTTCCAATGCAGTGGAGAGCACCAAACAGGGAAGAAGGAGAGGGTGGACTCGGGGGAGGGGGACCAAAGGAAAGGGAGGCTCGCGCACGCCCGTCCCCAGGCACTAAATAGGTCTGGTAGGCACCTAATTAATGGCTAAGCTGCCCAGGGCTGCCGAACCCCCCAAGAACAAAGTCAGCAGCCGCTGTTCAGAAAAGTAAAATGAATAATGAGAGAAACAGGAAAAATGAAGAGGAAGAGGAACACCGCGATAGGGGGACAGAGGTCGCATTATTCTTAATATCCATTTCAACGGGGCCACTAGGTGAGCAGAACAGAGACAATTACGTGTTGATGGTGAGTCGAACGAGGCCTGATGAGCACTGCAATGCAGCGCGTGCAGTAGCAGCAACGGTAGCCACAGTCGTAGTTGATTCCTTTGCATCTGATGGTCGTTTTGCACTCTATCACTACTGCAAAGCTACTCCGGTTTGTGGCCAAATATCACCCACTCAAGCCACTCCTTTCTCCTCGTCTCTTGTTGAGTGCGTGCTTCACTTTGTTCGGTTATGCTTGAGGTGCAGCCATCTTTCTCCATTTGCTCCATTACGCGCAAAAGCACAGACTCGCGTGTTCAGCGTTCATGCCGCCGGTCTCCGATGCTCCATCCATGTCCCGTCCTCCTCCACTTTCCCCTCGCTACCATCAGTGTACTCCCGTAAGTCTGGATCTAAGCTGCCCTTGGTCACTGAGCAGCAATGGATGCTTTTCCATGACGCCGGATGATGGATGATGTTGGTCGTGTGCCGTTACATTGTGTGTGTGTGTGCGGGCCGCAAGGGAAAACCCACTCGACGCGTTCTGCACCAGCAGACGCGAGATCAACGCGTTCATGACGCTAAATACGCGAGCCGAGTCCGAGTGGGTCACTTCTTACCAATCAGCAACCACAACCGCGGTCCTCATATGTCGCTGACGCCACCTCGAAAACGCCGACTCGCATTCTGTTTGTTCACCCCGAACACCATCCTTGTCCTGCTCACGGTCTGTCCATTGGTTTAGTTGTGCTGAATGACCTCGCTGGCCTGAGTCCAACCACTCAAGTTGACTGTGTAACCCTTGGTCCGGGCTGATCAAACGCTGGTTACCTCCCAGGTAGCCATGATCCGTCGAATACCCCAGAACCATATCAACAAACATCCCAGCTCAACCACCAGGTATGTGACGGTGGAGTATCCTTCTCCGGGGACCCGAGAAAAGCAAACAAGCCCTTTGTTTCAACTTGTCTCTCCCGCCCTTGCTCCACGCCGACAATCAAACATGAAGTCAGAACCCCGATTGTCTAAGCATCCCTTGCGCCAACCTGTCGAGGATCTGACAGGTTACATAAACGAAAACAGCCAAACTTTTTTCTTGCCCAGGGCGGAGACGCTCAAACGACGTCAGCATTCCGCGGGGCTCGGGAGATTCATGTTGGAAGGTAAAGTTTTCTTGGGGTTCAAGACCATGTCCTCCTTTCAAAACATGTCCAGCGGCACTGGGGAGGGCAAGGCAACCCTATTCAAATGATGATCGTGGCTACTAGCCCGTGTCTAGTTCCCGTTTCAGCTGAAGCCTGGACCATGTTCACCATGCAAGCCACGATGATACCATTTCTCGGTTGACGGAAGAGGATATCCGCCAGGCGAGAAAGATACTCGACGTACATAGGTATGTTGAAGCTGAGAGAACACGTCCCACGGAAACCAAATACTGTGGGGTTTAGGCTTCACCATCTGCGACATGCATGAACATGGCGATCAAGAACGGCACTAATATCATGGCGGTCCTCGTTTATCGTTCCTCATACATACAAGTCGTCAATCCCTGCCTATGAACACGGTCTATCATCACGTCCATGTGTCCCGTAAACTTAAATACGCCTTCAAGGGTCTCTCTCCTTATGTGCACAACATTCTCTCGCGCCGGTTTGTCTCAGGCTCTCCACGTTGACGCCACCACCCTGCCCGCCTCCTCGGAATGCTGCTTGGTATAAGCCTGAGTTTCAACCCTCACACCAGTCCCGTTCCCGTTCCGCCGGTACCCGTCCTCCCAACTACCAACCAACGCGCGGATCGCCTCTTCAGCGACCATCACGCCGCGGTTGATATCCTCCAAGCCCGTCCAGCCCGGCACGTGCAGGAAAGCCACCTTGCCGACGCGCTCCAGCGCCACGTCTGAGTCGGACCGAGGAGAGCTGGAAGAGGCGTTGACCTCGGGCGAGGTCGACGAGAAAGCCGACGATTCAGTTTGTTTGTGATCCGCAGTCGCTTGCTGATCTCCTTTGTCGGCATCATTGTCACCGTCCCAGTGTCTCTGCGCGTCCAACCATCTCCGACTCAAGCTCTCAAACAAGGCATACTCGCACAGAAACCGGCCGGCGTCGCAAGACAACTTGACCACGGCTTTTCTCCTATGTTCATCCGCCTTGGTCGACGACACGGGCATATTACTCGTTCCCCACATCAGGTTCATGGGTATGTTTGCTCGTCCGACAGGAATGAGCGGCACAGCGGCTCGTGGGGCTGGCGTTTCGGCCTCCTTTGCAGCAGTGTCCGACAATATCTTCTCCACCTCCCCCGTTCCCAAGAATCCTCGCTCACGCAGTCCCATCTGTACACCGTCCTCCCACCGAGCCAACACGTCGACCTCGTCCCACCCGACGAACAGCACTTCCGGGATCCCCTCGGTTTTCCACCGGTTCTCGCCCCACGTGAAGCCGTCGCAGTCGTCCACGTCCTTGATCCGGTAGTGGTCCCTGTGCCCACGGGTTTCGAGGGAGTAGCAGTCGCGCCCGCCAGCCATGCCGATGTGCAGGATGAAATCCGGGTCGTGGGTCGTGATGAGACTGGGTACGGTGGTGGAGACGGTCGAGTAGGAGACTCGGATCGCGGAGGGGTAGACGATCAGTTTGATTTTGTACCCTGGCGATTTCTGAGGGGAGGTCGTAGATGGAGAGGGATAAAGCTCCTCGGGCAGCGCCGAGGCGATTAACCAGGAGGGATTTATGAGGAAGGATTTAAATGGCTAAAGAGGGAGGGTGATGATTAGCATGTGCCCCAATGAAGACAAGAGACATGAGACATGAGACTTAGTCCGGGAAGATGGCGAGGCAGTCGACTGATATCCTTCTTCCCGTATCCCGGGTCAAGGTACAGTGCTACAGTCACGTAGCACAAGCACCTTCTCCAACCGCAGTTGGAGGGATAGATCAAGCCGCATTGGCGCCTCCTCCGCTCGAGCCAGCTCAACTGCTCGACTGGACTTCGTGATATCTCCTCCCTCCTCTTTCTTGTTTTGATCCGCCACCTTGGATACATCTCTGAGAACGAGAAGAATTGATTGACTTACCCCAAACCCCGTGACAAGCACCTTGACCTCCCTGAGCGGCGTCGCTCCATCCGGCCCGACCTGGCCATCGTCGACAGCGGCGCCCTTGCGCTCTTGCAGGAGCGGATCCGGCGTCGGGGGACCGGCGTCGCCCATGTTATGGTATTGAGGGTTTTATGTTTTAAAAGAGGTTTTAAATATGGAATGGTACTTTTGTGTTGAATGATATCAATCCTCGACGGGGTTTATCGGCCGCCGTGTGCGGGGGACGATGGCGCGGGCGCGCGATTGCGCTCGGGTGAGAGGTGAGGGCACGAGATCTCGAGATGTTTCAGTACCGGATGGATATACCTGGAGAGAGAGGAAGCGCGGTCCGGCGCAGGTATCGGGCAGGGTTGGGATTGCGCAGAAGGGCCACGGATGGGGAATCGAAGTGTAGCGCCGCAGCAGGCTTTGTGTGCGTCTGTGCGTTAAGTGTATGTGTATGTGCGTGAGGACAATGTCTCGTCTCAATTCCCTTTTTTTCTCTTGGATCTTTACAAATGCGATTGCCGAGCGAGGACGGCCGTCTGCCACGGATATATCCGTCCCTCACACCCCAAGCGCAGATCGCAGGTTGCAGGTTGGTGTTCGTAGGTATTAGTACGAGGTATAGTCGTGTGTGTGTGTGCGCGCACATACACACACTCGGCGAGAGAAAGAGAGATCGAGATCAGGAAAGGTGCTGTGTAGAGAAGTAGAGAAGGAACAGGCAAGATCCCTTGACGTTTGTCCGAACCACTCACTTCCTTGGTTCGCTCCGTCACGCCCGTGGTCAGCACTTTTGCAGGTGGTGGCGCTGCATCATGCGACACTGCGACAGACCTGGGGTTGACGGCGCAGGGGGTACTGAGGGAGTAAGGGAGTGAGAGTAGGTAAGTGTCGCCGCGGGCGAGTGGAATGGGGTTGGGTTGGGTGTGGTGTGGTGTGGTGCGGTATAGATGGAGACAGAATTTAAAAGATGATCGATCACTTCGGTAGCTATGTAGATGGAATCTATATGGTACCTTAGTACTTAGGTACCCAGGTATTATAATACGGACGATTTCCAATTCAGTCCCCGATTGATCACTCGTCTCGTATCAAACTATCAACCGCGCCTTTATGGGCTCTCGGCTCAAAAGGTGCGGAATTCTTGCACAAGGGAGTCAGCGTCGAGTACTCAGCAGGGACCTCGTACTATGTTTTGACACCCCGAAAGGACTGAGGTCATCAATCAGACGGTGATCTCGAGGATTATCATGTCGACGCATGGAGACAATGGCTCGAATATCTCCAAAGAACAAACCCCGTCTCGGACTCCGGGTCGATACATACCTACCTAGGTAGGTATGTAACGCGAGTTGATCGTTTCCCACTTTTTCCCCATTCTCCCCCTCTCCTGCTCCGAACCTAGGTACCCAGCTCTGTAGGTACTTGTATACGGCGTCTGCGAGACTAATGGCACCAAGCTGGTCGTCCCCGGCAATCCTTCCGCTTCCTTTCCTTGCCACGGTAGCGAAGATCCAGTATCGAATGCAAATCATAGTGCGTGGACTCATGTACTCTCGAGACCATTTGGTCCTCGTTCTCGTTCTCGTTATTGTCATTGTCACTTTATGTCAATGTCTATTCCCTCAGAAAGCGGGGATATCAGTCACGTATGATCTCTGTGCCGGGCGCCATCGGCAAATCCATGTTCTCTCGAGAAATACCCTCTCCGTTCGTCAGTTTCCAAGAGATTTCCCCATGTTCAACCTGTGCATGAATTGTTTCCTGAACCCAGCAATGCTCCGTACGCCCTCCCCAACGCCTCGCTCAGTTTCGGTGCCCCAAGGTCTCCCAGTCGTGATCTGGTATCCGAGGAGCAAAATGATATCACCACCTGCAGGTGGTTGATCGCCTACTTCACGCAAATCAACCGCTCCATCCGTCTCAAGCTCGCCCTCAGATCCCGACCACCTCGCTCGCCCTCATCCACAAGCCACTTCTCCATCATTGTCCGCACTCTCTTCAAATTGCCCTGGATCGGCATCTCTTCCCCATCCGCCACGCAGCCTGGGTTAAGCAGGGTCGCAAACACGTCTCCCCAAACATCCTTCTCCCAATACCGCTTGAGGTTCTCCTTGAGTTTCCATTCCTTCTTTTGACCTGGACCGGCCACCGCATTGCCACCAGCTGGGACCGTCTCGATGTATTTGCCAAATAGCAAGGAGTGAATCACCCCCGCAGCCCCGTGATAGTCAATCTGCCACTTCCAGGGTCGACATTCGCGGATTTCGGTACAGTCTTGAGGACAAGAGGGCCAGTCGGCGATGAATTGTGCTTTGGGCTTGAACATACGGGTATCAATACCGCGGCCAAAGTCAATCAACTTCAGCCCCCGAGATTGCCACCCGTAGTTTCCCTCCGGATCGAACGGCGCCGTCAGATCTAGGGAGGTATCGAAGCGCACAAGGCAATTGTCGCCCTTGAGGTCGCCATGGAGGATTCCCACCCGATGGAGATCCTCCAACGTCCGCAGCAGCTCGACGCTCAACCACATGGCCAACACTTCGTCTAACCCTTCGGCGGGCTTGCCGGCTTTGACGTTCTCGGCACGCGCCAGATTGACCAAGTCGAGCAACGTCCCTTGCGGACTGTACGAGAGGACAAGGTAAGCTTCATCGCGGTACAGATGGCATTCGTGAGCGAGGATGATGGATTGCATGCTTCGCGCTGCAGAGCCGAGGCGCTGTTTGATCAGACGGACGATGTGGAATTCCCAGACTAACGTGCCGGGAGGAGACTCGGTCTTGAGAGCTTCCAGTGGTTGACGACCCGTATCAGCAAGTTGAGACGACGGTGGGCTCTTGTTCTCCTTGTCGTTCTCGTCTGCCTCTTCATTCTCAGCCGGGTCGTAACTATCGACCAGATACACCGGCGCAAATGCCCCTTCGCCCAGTTCTCGCTTGACTGCGTACACCCGAGTTGTTTCGCCGAATTTGAGGACCGGAGGAACCGCTTTACTGGGGACTTTGTCGTTCTGACTCTTTCTTGGACTGAACTTAGCCTTGCTCTTTGCCTGCTTCTCAGCGTAAGACTTCAGGGCGGGATAGCGGCCAAAAGTGGTGCTCGAATGATCGTAATATCCCTTCTGCGTGGCCAGCGATGGAGACATTGAGCCGAGGATCTGGTTTCGCACAGCATCGTCGCACGGATTACATTGCAAGTCTGCAATGATGGGTCCTTCGTGAATTTTCGTCAGTGGCGATCTGGCAACGGGCTTTGATGGCAAAGCAGGAGTCTTGAAGACGTCGTCGTTCCCTTTGGAGACAGATATCGGCGAGGTGTTGGGGTCGGTCTTCTTGCTTGGCCCCTTCTTCTGCGGCGAGGAAGTGATGAGCTCATCCTCAGTCGCGCCTGTCTCGCCAAATTTTCTCTTCCCGGAGCCAGACGATGGCGTCGCAATTTGCTGTTGTGGACTGCTCAGGAGAAGATTCTCCATCCCAAACTTTGACGGGCTCTCATATTGGGACCTGCTCGGGGTCTTGGAATCGAAATATCCGGGGACATTGAACACAGTCGATGGAGCAAGTGAAGATTCAGTTCGCTCCGCAATTGGTGTCATGAATGGCATCTTGTTCTGCGCCAGCATCGCCGGGTCACGGTAAGGTCGGATTGGGGTCGGCTCATAGTCGACAGGTGGAAGAGGGATGAAACGAGGTTTATGGGAGATCTCGCGGTGTTCAAACTCGTCGTCAGTCGGGGTAGCCAGAGCCTCATTGTTAGTGACGGCGTGGTTGTTCGCTTCCTCTTGTTGCCCCTTGTCTTCTGTCAGTGCGACCTGGTCCGTGGACGTGGCGACGGTGACGTCTTGTTCGGGCTCGTCTTCTCCAGCGTCTGCCGCACCCTCATCGAAATCGCCGGCTATCATGGCAATAGCCTTGGTGTCTAGGTCGTCAAAATTGCCCTCAGCAATGGCAGCAATCGCTTGAGTGTCATACGCCCCAAAACCAGAGGTCTGTGTCTGGTCTTGGTTGGACGAGTCCATGCTCTCTGTCATGTCCTCCAACCGGTCTTTGTGTTTGACTCTCCTGTGATTCTTACCTGAGGATGCTTTGTCCTTGACACGTGCTGGATCAAGAGGAGGCACGTGTTTGCTGGTGGTGAAGTCGGACCAAGGAGAGACACTTTCAGACTGACTTTGACTCTGTGAGTGATTTTGTCTGGTCGACGCCAATGTATAGTCACCGAATTCACTACCGGGTGCCGACACTTGACCAGTTACCGTGCTCTCGGCGTCACCTGCAGTGCTGTACCCATCATCTACTTCGCCCTCGGTGAAATCGGTATCATCGCCACTTTGCGTATCATCCCTGGCCGTTGCAGATTTACGGAGTGGCTGGTTGAACATGTCGTATATCTCGTTCGTGGCAGCCTTGGAATGAAAAGTCATGGTTGGCTCCTGTGGGCCATTTTTGCGCTTCAACTTCTTGCCGGTGGGTGATTCCAGTCGGGTCTTGACTGTCTGCGTCTCCTGTTTGACTTCTCTAATCTTCAGCTTCTTTTCCTTCTGTTTCGGCGGCTTGCTTGCTGATCGAGGATCTGACTCTGGCATGCCGACCATGGATTGGGTCGACACATCGTGGACACCGAGGGTCGAGCTCTCACCGCTGTTCAGGTCGACTTTATCGGCGAACGAGTGTGTGAGATTCTCAATATCCTCGGGCTCCCGAGACTTGATGATCTTCGACCTCGCATTTGTGGCGGCGTTGGCGGCAGTCGGCTTCAACTGAGTTGGTTCTTCTCGCTGCCTCCAATCCTTTTGAGCCCAGCCTCGAGACATGGCTCGAAGTTCTTCGAAGCTGAATTCCAGATCCGTGTCAGCAGGGTAGATAACTTCAAGGGCCACGAAGACCCTTTCAGCTCGACCAGTGCGTGGATTGACAACTTGGTGCGGTTGCAGCGAGTCTTGGGTTGGTGAGGATCGCTTGGATTGCCCATGTGCTCGTGATGCCTAGGGTCAAACGAAATCGGTCAGTCACTCTATGATCAAGGAAAGAGGATCAAAGGCTTGATAGATTTGTATTGACTGAGACTAGACATGGAAAAACGTCAATCATACCGGATCCTTGAATATCTCCATCTTGGGCACCGATCCAACTCTGCCTCCGGCCTTCAACTTCTCTCCCGCCCATGATCGAGCTTCAATGGTGTTCTCTTTCTTGCGTTCCTTCACTGATCCAATACTGTCCCATCCTTTTGTGTTGTTTGCAGGCAATGGCTGCTGCTGAGCATTATCGGCGTCTGAAAAGATGGCCATCTTGGGTTTGCCCGAGCGCGACGCGGGTGCGGAGCTACCACCTAACCCATTCCGCTGGCGAGCTGCTTGTGGATCGTCACCAACATGGGCGGAGGCAAAGGGATCAATCTTCGCCGCGAGAGCGGGTCGAACAGTGGGCAGGGCAGGAGAGCTGGGCTCATCGTCGACTTGTGGCCTGGCATCGAATCTTCGTTGGAACTGAGCGTACTTCCGCGTCAGTCTTTCCGTGGGTCTGGCCTCCCGCTCAATGCCCAGCTGGTATACTTCGTCCGCTTGTACCCATCTCCCCGCGGCCTCTAACCATGCCGCAAACTCTTCATAGAACAGTCCGAGTCCCTCGCCAATACCATGTCGGGCGAGAAACGCAAAGGTCTCCCGTGGCGTGTCTGAGAATAGACGGATATAATGCAGCCATAATTTCAGGTATCGTGGATCATTTTTGTAGTGGGTTGAGGTGAGGAAGGTCTTTGTGGCCCGCTCGAGCAGCGGGAGGAGCTGAGACTGAGGTGTTGCTTGAGCTGATGGGTATGCATTGAGGGTCCATTTGACATATCGGTCATAGATGTCAAGAGGGTCATCGGAATCTGCTATTGATTGGAGTTCGATTTCATATTCTTGTCGGATGGCGTCGTTGAGTGTTTTTGTCTCTTCCAATGTCGGCGAGGTACATGCGCCGCTTAATGACCTGGAGGAGGGAAGAGGTGATAGTATCGAGGCGAGTTGCTTAACGGATCGGCCGCCAGGTAGGGACTGGATGTTTTCCTTGTGGGTTTCTATAATGTCGAAATTAATGAGGTCGCTGTCTGCGGCGACAGGCGCGGCCATTGCTGCTGTGGTATATTGCCTGCACAATCTATCCTGTGTCAGTTAATATGTGGTCGTGCAAAGGGTGCTGTCGCAAACAAAAAGGAATCAATGCGGTAGAGCAACAGATGCAGGCTGAAGTCGGTTGATAGCTAGGCATAGGTACCTAGTTGGTTGGGTAACGTGCTGGCCATGTCAACAAACAAACCGCCGCGCAGCCTGCGGATGGCTTCCGAAGTTTAGCCACAATCCTCACATCCCGAGTCCCGCCCTGGCCTTCTGCCTCTGCAAGCACCAATTGCTGACATCCACAACCTCCGCATTGTGTGAATGGGATGCCTGATACAAGGTGAGAACCAACTGACGGAAACATTATTAAGACTGCTTTTTATCCTCTCTATCATTTGTCCCTTGCCCTCTGTCGCTGCTTGTTATTGTCGTTTCTTTGTCAACTCTCGCCCATCTATACAACCACAGCAAATGGCCATCTCCGCCCTCCCTCTCTGGCCTTTGGTCCTCTTTGGTATCTTGGAGCCTGCAGCGCTGTACGGTCTATCCGTTGTTGGGGGCCCACAGTGTGCCTTGCTGATATGGACAGGACGTATGCCTATTTCATCACCCTTTCCGAGCCAAAACAGTACTATGCCGAGCAAGCGCCCAACACTGCCATCTCGGATCTCCTCTTCACCCCCCAGGCCCACTCCCTGACTCTCCAGCTCGGCAATGTCTTTCTTCTTCTTGCGGCAATGGCATTGATCTGCTGCTTTACCAGCCATCCCGAAATCGCGAGGCGGTATTTGATTGCGGTGGCTCTGGCCGACTTGGGTCACATATACTCCGTCTACTGTGCGCTAGGTGACAAGGTGTTCTGGGATCTGAATCAGTGGAATCAGATGACATACTCAAACGTTGGCGTCAGTGTGTTCTTGCACATTAACAGGTTGATGACGGTGGCTGGGTTGTTTGGACGACTTGGAGCTGGCGGGAATGCCGCCAAAAAGAACAAGTAGAAACGAGAAACGAGAAATCAGGGTTAGGAGGTCTTGAAGTAATTTGCATTGCCGATTCCTCCATATGGGCTGAAAAATCTCAAGGGTATCTCTGCCCTGAGCTGACAGTTGCAACGAATTTCATGTTTGTGCTTCGCACAAAAAGCATTTCCCCTCCAAGGTCCTTCTCCATGCCTCCCCAGAAGCTGGATGACTACTCCAGATGAGTCGCACCATTCTACACGCGCGGGTTGGCCATCTGAACAGCACGGCGACGATCTCTCTCTTCGGCAATGGACAACTGTAGAAGCACCGTAAGCTTGAGCCAAAGCCGGCAACGCGCATACTAAGCTTACCTTGACACCCTTGCCCTTGGGCAGACTGATCCACGGCTTCTCCTTGCCGATGATGAAGACGTTGCTCTCCCGAGTCGCAAACGAGTTGTCAATGGCATCCTTGATGTGAACAATGTTGAAGCCACCGTCATGTCTCTCACGGTGGGTGATGACACCGACACGGCCCATGTTACGACCACCAGTAACCATAGCAATCACACCAGTATCGAATCGAATGAAGTCAGTAATCTTCCCCGTGGTGAGGTCGATCTTGACAGTGTCGTTGACCTTGATGGCCGGATCGGGGTATCGGATTCTATTGATCCACATCAGCATCTTGACTTTTGTTTCAACCGTTGTCTTTTTTCCAACCACAAGCTTGGTCCAACGGCTGATAGATGCAGGCGAGAAGACTTACGTGCGAGCATCATGCGTAACCAAGTATGGGATTCCTCCTTTGCCAACTTGCACTCTCTTGACCTTGCCAAGTTTGTATTCCGCCTCGGCCTGCTCGATGCGGTGGATGGCAAAGCGGCCCTTGGTGTCGTAGACCAGACGGAAGTGCTCTCCAGTCTTGTCAATCGAGATGACGTCCATATAACCCGCAGGGTAGGTGATGTCGGTGCGGACCTTGCCATCGACCTTGATGAGTCGCTGCATCAAAATCGCCATGGTCTCGCGATTGTTCAGGGAGTACTTGAGACGGTTGCGGAGGAAGACGATCAAGGGAAGGCAGTCACGGCTTTTCTACACATCTTTTGTGTCAGTATCTTCCAGGCGCAAGAAGATTCGAGGGAAGACCAACGTGAGGCCCCGGGGATGCCTTGGGAGCATAGGCACCCGAGAGCTTGTCCAAAAGCCAGTGCGATGGCGCACTGAGACGCTTCTGATGCTTCTTCGGACCGCGACCCATCTTGACTTGACTTTGTTGTTGATAGAGAGAAGAGGAGGACGATCCGCAGAAGGTCGGGATAGACACCGCAGAAAAGAGTAATTGGAATTTTGGTTGTGGCCCTTGCCAAGATTTGTGGGACTAGTCTCTTCCTGGTAAGATTCACTTTTTGAAAATCACGGTCAGCTTGTGTCATTTGAAATTCGTCCCGCCGACCCGCCCATACTACTAGTACCGACCAGGAGAGGGAAGACTGGCACAGAGTACCTTCGGTTTGATGACTTTTATTTCCTTCTATGCATTACACCATCATGCCGTCCCATTCAACATCTTTGGGGTCATGATTTGTGAAGCCTCCGCTCGGCTACAGATTCATGGGAGGCCTCATTCATAGCAGCCCCTGGATGATCGCGGCCTCGGCATTCAAAATCGAAGAACCAGCGGCTCCAATGACGGTATTGTGGCTCAATGCCGCAAACCTGATGTCGAAGTGTGACCCTTTGGCGGCCTCTCGGACCCTACCCACGCTGACCGCATATCCTCCTGAGATGTCCCTGTCAAGCCGTGGCTGCGGCCTGTCTGGCTCGTCAAAGACAACAATGGCCTTCTCTGGGGCCGACGGGCAACCCAGCTTCTGTGCCTCGGCCACATAATCTCTCAGAGCCGCCTTCACCTGTTCAGCAGTGGGCGCAGGTCTCTGCTTGAATCGCAGGGACACGTAGGCCATGTGGCCATCAGTGACACCCACTCTCGTACATGTAGCACCCACCGTCAGGCCGGACTGTTCTTCAAACGCAGTCGCATCCGCATTGATAGAGCCCAGGATCTTCTGAGCCTCGGTCTCGAGCTTGTCCTCTTCTCCCGCAATGTAAGGGATGACGTTATCCATGATATCCATACTAGCCACGCCTGGGTAGCCAGCGCCAGACACTGCTTGCTCGGTGAATACCTCGACGTCTTCGACGGGTCCGAACTTTGCTTGTAGTGCTGCAAAGGGGATGACGATACCGATGACGGCGCAATTCGAGTTGCAGACCAGAAATCCTCTTTTGAGACCAAAATGCTTCCGCTGGTGGGGAATCAATGCCAGATGTGAAAGGTTGACTGTTGGCACAACCAGCGGAACAATCGGATCCCTCCGGTAGTTCTTTGCGTTCGAGAAAACAGGAATATCTGCCTTCAGAAACTCCATCTCTGGGCCAAATCAGCAGGCAGTCGAGAGCAGGGGACCAAAAATAATAGCCGTACCGACTTCTCCAGCGACATCGCTATCCAAGCCAGAGAACGCCAGGTCACAGTCCGTAAAGTTGCTTGCCTTACATTCCCTCACTTCGAGATTGGCTAGCTCGGTCGACATCGGGCGCGCTTGTTTCCATCTGACGGCGTCTTTGTACAATTTGCCAGCCGATCTCGTCGACGCACCAACGGCCTGCAAGTGGAGCGTGGGATGGTTTGCCAGAAGGAGAATGAATCTCTGACCCACGGAGCCTGACCACGGAGTCAGCGCCTTTGCGCGAAGAGATGGTATAATACACACCTGTTGCCCCTAGGACGGCACATTTCTTCTTGGGCTGCGATGCTGGGACTACCATATTGGACGTCATCCACGGATAGAAGAATGCTGCTAGAGAGGAGGTTGCTGGGAAAGATGCTGCTGGTAGGATGCTTTTAGTGCTGTGAAATTCAGAGCGGACCTCTTCAAAGTTTTTGCATTCGAGTCACTCGAGATAAAAGTCGCGATATTTAAATCCTTGTAATGACCGCCAAGAAGGGATGCTGTGGCGAGCCTCGCAAAGTCCGCGGTGACTTGTCCCGGTGCCCTCCGTAATAGGTTATGCTTCAACTTAGAACAAGAAGAATAGACATGAGGAGAACAGCCTGCATCTCCCGCGCTCCGGCGAACTGCGCGCTGTCTGGTTATCGCGACGATACTCAAGCATCCTCCGCCCTTGTGCTTCGCTTGTGCCAGCGGCCTAACCCAAAGCAGCGCTATATACCAATCCGGAATGTCAAACTCCGCTCGGTGTCTGCTTTAGGCGTCTGCTTTTTCTATCACAAGATTTCTTGACGCCGGCAATAACGCATCTGGCAGGCCAAAATTACTTGTCCAGGCATATTCTCCGAAATATGCTCTCAGGTACATTTTGTGTCCGCAGACTCGGCTCATTCTTGCTTTGAGTCAGTATTTCAAGATATCCTTCAAGCCACAGATCGGCGATGCCTCAACAGTCGACGCTTCGCTTGAGGAGTGGGATGAAACCATTCATGAGCGAACCGCCCTGCTGTGATTGACCATCCGGGCTTCTTTCCCCATACAAAGTGGTAATCGACATATAGATGGAAAGCTTGGGTTGATCAAATCTCGCTTGACTCTTTCGATGGCGGCGTGGGCCTGGTCGGTGCTATACCCAAGGACACGAGTAAGCCTCACGGAGGCCGACAAAACCAGCGTCTAGGCGGGCGAGTGCGAGGCTTACATTCCTGGCGCTGCAGGTACACCTGTCTGACTCTACGAGACTGCAGATTATATCCCCCATGAGTGCGTATGTTGATCTTCGGAGATTGGTGGATGAGGCAAGTGTAAGCTTGGAAATTGTAGCTGTGATTTGATGCGCCTAGAATTCGTCTCGGAGGTTGGGGGCGGCGCGCCAGGGCTAGTGCTCGAACTTCGGATCGGCGCGACCAGCTTGTAGTTCGCTAGGCAGCGAGGCGGCATAGTGGCACCAGCACATCCCTCTTTAGCAGGGCCAAGTATATGTATTCTCAGAGCCACATAGAGCATTCTGCCTCTTAAGACCCATATGCCCGAAGGAAAAGATCGATCATGCTCTTTCTTTCACGTCCCATCTCGTTCTTCGTTTGGCATTCGGCCTTTCCATGGCCAAATCCTTTACCCCCCATCACATGCGTCTCATGCTACCAAGATCCGCAACGGGTGCGTTGCATCAAACTAGCGCACCATTGATGCATCCCCGACAGACGCAGCACTGGCGGAGATAGACTGACCTTTGATGCAACTACTTGATGCATGCGTGTTCCCGCTCTGGCGCAGAGATTGGTCTTGTTGGCCCCATTGGATCCCCGTCCTTGGGAGAGACAGTGACTTTTCCCCTCAGGCCGCAATCTCCATCATTCATTCCTTCAGCTGTCCACGTATCGATCCGCCCAGTTAACAATCAAGCAATGGATCACATCAGATCCATCCTGCTCACCCGCCCGCCTCTTGCGCTCTTGACCCTCGCCGTCACTTCAACCATAGTCTACTGTCTTGCTCTTGCAATCTATCGTCTCTACTTCCATCCCATTGCCCATTTTCCAGGCCCCAGGCTCGCCGGGCTGACAAGATGGTACGAGTTCTACTACGAAATCGTCCAAAAGGGCCAAATGACTTTTCACATCCAAGATCTTCATAAGAAATATGGTGAGACTCCTCCAGTATACCACCCTACGATCTAAGATCAATCATCACAGGTCCCATCGTCCGAGTGACACCCAATGAATTGCACATTCTCGACTCCGACTACTTTGAAGAACTTTACGTCAAGTCTGGGAGGCTCGATAAATATGCCCCCTTCTCTGCCAGGTTCGGCACCGATGATACCTTCTTCACCGCGCCGCTGCAGGAAGACCACCGTCGCCTGCGCAATGCCGTAGCCCCTTTCTTCTCCAAGCGCAAAATCATGGACTTTCAGCCTGTGGTGCATGCAAAATCGAGGAAGCTTTGCTCCAGGGTCCAGGAATATGCTGGGACCGATCGTGTGCTTCCGCTTCACCGTGCCTGGACGGCATATGCGGGAGATGTCGTGACCGAATTCTGTTTCGCAAAGGCATACGACCACCTCGACTCCCCGGATTTCAAGGAGACGTTTCACGAAGCAATGCACGCCGCCTGCGAATCGTCCAGCGTGTTGATGCAATTTCCATGGCTGTGGCCTGTGATGAACAGTCTGCCAGATTGGTTGGTGCTGAGGCTCGAACCAAACATGTTCATGCATATACAAGTGCAACAGGTGAGTGGCAAGGTGATACCATCAGGACGCTGTCCCTGACTCGATGAACCAAGGACTTCCATCGGACCATCTCCGCACTCAAGGAGAACCACGACGAATCCAAGAAGATGGTTGATCATCCCACATTATTCCACGAGATGCTTCACAGTGACCTCTCCCCCAAGGAGAAGTCGGTGAAACGCATGGTGCAAGAGGCTCAAGTCATCATTGGGGCCGCCATTTTGACCACCTCGTGGGCCGCGGCGGTGGCCAGCTTCCACATCATTGACAACCCTGAAATCTTTCGGAAATTGCGCGCCGAGCTCGAAGAAGCCATTCCCGACCCATCGACGCAGCCTGACTGGCAAAGCCTTGAGCAATTGTCCTACCTGACAGGGTGTATTAAAGAAGGTATTAGGCTAGCATATGGCATTGCTTCGCGGCTGCCTCGCGTTGCTCGCCACAACTTGAAGTATAAAGACTGGGTTATCCCGGCAGGCACACCGGTCTCCATGACCATCGTCGACATGAATCATGACGAGGATGTCTTTCCTCAGTCGCATTCGTTCGTTCCAGAAAGGTGGCTGAACAATCCAACCACAAAGGACGGCCAGCCATTGGAGAGATATTTCATTGGCTTTGGGAGAGGAACAAGGCAATGTATTGGTCTGAAGTGAGTTGCCACCGTTCCTTATTTCCATTCTGGCCTAATGTCACGCGGGAAAAGATGCTGACAATGTTGCAGTCTTGCTCAAGCTGAGCTGTACATTGGGCTTGCCACAATCTTTAGGCAGTTTTCTTTTGAATTGTATGAGACTGACCTGTCGGACACGGTTCTAGCTCACGATTACTTCGTGCCAACTGTCAAGCTCGATACCAAGGGGATCAGAGTCAAGGTGAAATCGGTGGAAAAGTAGCATGATGTCTGCAGAAGAGCCAGTTGCTGAGAAATGTCGAGATGGATGCCGCTGACTCACGGTAGTCCAGCAACGTCGGCGGCTCTGCCTCCCATGTCTGATGTGAAATGCCCGAGCGATCTCGATAGCCACTTTTGGGTTTAGGCCGGGGGCAGAAATGATGCATATAAGCCAGCTTGAACAAGAGCATAGATAACCATCCACCGAATGACGACCGAAGTTCGCCTCGGCTCCGTTTGAAGCTTGGTCGCCAACCATATGTACCACAGCGGATAACCCGAAGACAGTCTCGTGATGATTTGTACGTGATAGCTCGTGAATGCAAGGACTGCGAGCATGAGTTGCGGGAGGGCCAGGCTTAGCAACGTGCGTTTGCCAGCAGAACTAGATGTCGGCGATTGTAGCATCTCTCTGCTTAGAAATTGCGGTCGTCGAAGGACATCCAGAGCGGAGTATGTCAAGACTGAGAGCGTAGGTGCCGCCAATACAAACAGCGGCAAATTAGATACGGTCCAGTAGCGAAAGGGGCCGACATTCCTGTAGCAATTGTCAGCTGCGGTTGTCGCGTACAGGCTCAACAGGCTCACCAATAATGAGATTGGACCCAGGTGAATATAGACGGTATTGTCTGGTTGCACCAGGGCCTTCTGGCCTCGGGCCCGCGGCCGTAGCAGTAGTCCCGATATGCCAGTCCTTGCGGGTACACCATGCCAAATGCCACCAGAAGACCTCCAGCCACCACCGAGGCCAGCTGAAAAAGCCGCGATGCCGAGAGGCCCCGGGAGAGCATTTCGAGCAGGGTGGTGACTGCTTCCACGAGAAAGGGGATTCCGGCCAATATGCCGTTACTCCGGACCATTGTGGCAACACTGAAAAACAAACCGGCGTAGATCATGGTGGTACAACCGGCTAAGACCAAACCTCTGCGGAAATAGCGGGTCGCGTGGAAGTAGGCAAGGAAGCCGGACATCGACAAGTATGCGAAACAACTTTCGGAAGAAGGCGCTGAAAGGAATACGCCTGCCGGCGAGATGATATGGAGCGCAGCGGCAGAGAAAGGTAGCAGAGAATTGCTGGTATTGTCGCCGATCAGAGCTTTTGTTAAGGCCCACAATTGGACAACAGACAGCCAATGGGTCAGGTGTGACAACAAGACGCCAGCCAACAACGAGGAAGGTTCTAGGGTTATACCCAGCTCCGAGAGACCTGAAATTTGGTCAGTATAGAGTTCAGTCGCCCCGGGGGATGAGAGCTATGGTACGCTCGCTGGTCCAGGATATCGCCGTCGATAGGCCGATGCCAAACGCCCACTCCTGCTCAAAAACATGTCCGTGGTCCGACATGTGCGTATAGTATATACCATCCCATCGGACAAACTTGAGCCACAAGTTGGACATTCCGTCTGGAGCGCTTGATATGATTTGCCGACCTCCATCTTCCCAGGACAGGAGGCTCGTGGACGTGTCGTATCCGACGCCGGGAGCGGCCAAGGTAATGAGGATTATCACTGATTTCCAAACGACAAACAGGACAAATAGAGTAGTAATGGGATAGTCGTGTCCGTACCTTGACCAGACAGTTGGATTCATGCTGCATCCGCCGTGCTATCCAGAGAAATCAATCACCGCATCCGAATATTTCAAGGGGGGCAATGAATTGCGGCTACGACACGAGGGCACGTCTGTCTTTTCGCGCGTGGCACGCCAAGGATCCACCGTAGCAGCTAATACTTCACCGTAACAGCCAATACTCCACCGTATCGGGCTCTCCCAACACCAAGTCTTACATTCCTCTAGATAACAAGAAGATACCAACTATGCACCTTCGACTCCTCTTCCCACTCAAACTCATTCTGATGTTGTCCCTCTTCTTTTCCTCCTTCCCCAGTGTTTCGAGCACACTGACCTCGTGAAGGCCGAGAGACCTCATCCGGCGAATTGGGTTCACGCTTTCTCATATCTTAGCAGGCATCGGCCACCCTTGGCTATCAAAACAAAATGGTCTCGCATCTCCATGTCCTCGTTGGTCTTCTCGCTCGCCAGCTGCGGTGACAGACGTCTGATGATTGCAGCAAGTCCCAACTTCAGCTCCATCATGGCGATAGATTTACCCAGGCAAGTTCGTGAGCCTTTACCCCAGACCAACATGCTGTCTCGCATGGTGTCAAGGTCGGATTGCAGACTCTTTCCAGCCTCGTCTTCAGCCAGCCATCTCTCAGGACGGAAGTATTCCGGAGAAGGGAAGACCTCAGGATCTCGTTGGATAGTGAGACTCTGACAAGATACGAGTGTCTGGTTACAAAGCACATACATCAATGCCCATGTCTCTCGTGCGAAAGCTTCGAGTCGGGATAGGGCACTCACATGAGGAGGAATAGTCGTTCCATCGATCACACCACCCTGCGCAGACGCAATGCGAGGGAGGCTAGCTGGAGCTGCAGGCCACAGTCTGAGGGTCTCTTGGATTATGGCCTCAAGGATCGGCAGTTGAGCTACGGTCTTGTACTCAGGCACCACCCCGTTCCAAGACACTTCCTGCAGTTCCTTCCGCAGACGAGCCTGCCACGTCGGATTCCTCGCAAGCTCCCAGAACATGTAACTGAATGTGTTGCCTGTGGTATCGGTCCCGGCGAAGATTAGGTTGGTCAGTTCGACCACGATCTCCTCGTCTGTGAGCGGGGCTGCAATCTTCTTTTCCGTGCTAGCGGCAATCATTCGCTGCAGCAGATCACGGCGTTCACCATCGCGCCCGTAGAGTTGGATGTACTGGTTGAAAGCTTGAGCTCCTTTCTATCAGACTGTCAGAGGCTGACTTAAGGCTCGCTTGCCAAAGGCATCCAGCCTCACCTTATAGAATCGGCCTCCGGTTGTGATGAACTGATGCAAGGGCCTATAAGGCACCATACACAGAATGTGAAACAGCCATGGAAATTGCCATTCGATCCAATACGTCGGAAACACGTTATCAAGATCCTCAAGGATCTCTGGAGGTCGTTTGTTGTCCAGTCCGCCGAAGTTTGTGCCCAGAAACATGTCGCCTGGCCATGGAGTTCCGCCGTTAGCATCCTTGGCCGTGCAAGTTAGAGTCCTTTCTCGTTCACTCACCAAAGGTGTCAAGCGTCAGCATACGAAACCAGAGCATCGCATCGATAGACTGGTCGGTGTGGCTCTCCAAGATGTGTACCAATTTCTCGATCTGGGCAGAAACGATGCCTTCGACCGTCCCAAGCATCGAAGGGCCGAAAACAGGGCTGATCCGTTTAGCCCGGAGTCGATGCTCTTGCTTGTCAAGCATGGTGAACAGACTCTTGCGGCCAAATGCTGCGTATCGAGGTGCCTTGGTATAGTCGCTGTTGGGGCTGTAGATCTCCCGCAGCGCTCTCTTGCTGGAAAACGAGAGCTCGTTGGGAGCGATACGCACCACGGGGCCGTATCTTGCGTGGAGATCATGGATCACCAGCGATCGGTAGCCCGAAAAATCAAGAAACTGAAGCCAAAGACTGGTCCATCTTGCGATGCGTGGACCTGGGACATGGCCGAGAGGATCCCGGAAGAGATGTAACTGTGTCGGGGGTGTTAGTGAGAAGCATCCACTGCCTTCGAGGGGCACATCATACTCACCAAGATGGCAGAGCTCGCAAGAACTCCAGACAGCAAAAGCAACAGACCTGAGCTTTCCATCTCCGAGTTTTGGTGAGTTCCAACATCCTCTCGCAGGTATTGCTGCCCATTATCAATGCGCCTTTATCAGGCCACACGGCGCTCTTCCGCCTCTCAACGTCGATTTCCCCGTACACAACAGTCCGGGGACCCCAGTCGGGCTGCAGCAGTTTCCATGAGCATGAGGACCAACCATCATCCGTCCATGATCTGCGCTTCGGGTGTGTCACTTTGTTGCCCTTACGAGTATGGCACCAGAGCGGCAATTGACGGCCCGTGAGATGCCGCTCCCTTTTGGCAGGCTTCCAACAGGATTCGCACAGCTGTCATTCACCACTTGGTGCATTCTCGTTCAACATATCTCACAGCGCTGCTTACTTCGGTCCCCAAAGATGCCACGGCACACGAGCGCGGAATTGAATCCTTGTAGGATTCCATCACTGCCGCATCTCGTCGGGACAAAAACATATTTCGGAGACGGAGATATGAGAACTGAGAATTCCCACACGGACCCGGGGTTCCAAGTACCCGTTGAACCAATATGCCTGTCCAAGTTCCCTGGTCGAGACTGATACGTTTTATCGCATCAGACGAGCAGATCTACTATGGCGATGTTATTACCGACGACCCCAATTTTGACGTTGGGGTCGCGGCGATGAATACAGCGGCATCTCCAGTTCGTGCCAAAATTGTTGTCGGCTGGCCCTTCAGTGAGAACTGCGAGGTCACGGAGCGAGTCGAAACAGTGAAAAAGCTCCTAGGACCCTTCAGCAGGCAGGATGCGCCGGTGATCCGTTGCATCGGTGGGAACTACGCAGAACACCGTACGTGATCTTCCCACAGCTGGGTAGTCAACGAGAAGAGGAGGAGGAGGTATTAACAAGTTCGATTGACGCAGTGGACGAACTCAACTACAAACGGCCACAACATCCGATCATGTTTCCCAAAACCCCGAATGCCGTGGCGGGCTACGGCGACGACGTGGTGATTCCGAAGATTGCGCAGGACGATCAAGCCGACTACGAAATCGAGTTGGCCGTGATCATGGGTAAGGACGCGCTCAACGTGACAGCCGAGGAAGCCTACGACTATGTGGTCGGCTACACGGTCTCGAATGATATGTCGACACGGTCAGTCCCTACAAGAGACACCTCGTGATGGATGGTGTGTGTCTCTCGTCTAAGAAATTCCATGTGACTGATTCTCCCTGAGTCCATGTCCAGAAAGTGGCAACTTGATCCCGCACTTGCCGGCGCACAACCACAGATGAGCTTCTCGAAAAGCTTTGATGGATTCTTGCCGTTGGGGCCTTGCATCGTCAGCGCAGAGGTATGATGATACCCCCCTTTTTCTTAACGACCTGCCTCTCATGCCAAACTCACCTTTTCTCGCAGTCCATCAAAGATCCTCAATCCCTGAGTCTCCTGACCCGCATCAACGGCCACGTCCGCCAGAAAAGCACCACCAAGAACATGATCTTCTCCGTCCCCGAGATCATCCAGCACTGTAGCCAGGGCACGACTTTGCAGGCAGGAAGCATACTCACGACGGGGACTCCGTCGGGCGTGGGATACCGCATGGACCCGCCGCAGTACCTCCAGCATGGCGATCGCGTGGAAATGACCATCGGAAAAATCGGGACCCTGGTGCATGGTATTGTCTATGCCTAGACAGACCTTGGGAAACTAAGTAGCTGTGAAAGTATCCCCTGGATGAGATTCACCAACCAACTCACTACTTTGAGACAGATTTTCCTGTGACCAACTAGCTAGGTGCTAAGTTTCCAAAGTAACCATCCTCAATATACCTGTAACCTGTATGAACCTCCTGTTCTTCTATTCTCCATTTCCCACACCTAAGAAAAAGCGCACAAGTTCTCTTTCGCCCCTTTCTTATCTTTCTCCTTCCTCTACGCAGCCAAGAACCCAGCGATTATGGGATTGACAATATCCGGCTTTGTCGCGAAGAGAAAATGATCCGCCCCGGGGATTTCCACCAATGAAGCATTCGGGATGGTCCTTCTCAGAAAAGCCCCCGTGCCATTGGGGACTTCTTCGCCCACGGAGCCCGTGATCAAGAGCGTCGGCGTCGAGATCTGGGCCATGAGTTCTCGATCGTCGTCGAACGAGATGTCGGTGAAGAACTTGAGAACAGTGTCCAAGCCGGCGTTGTGGCTCATGTCCGCGAAACACGCCTTGAGGGAAGCGGCGTTGGTGGCGTCGAGGTCCTTGAAGACCACGGCGGGATCGAGAACCATGTTTGTCAAGTCCTCAATTCCACCTCGCGATGCCGCGGCGGTGAATTTGTCGAGTGTCTTGTCCTCGAAGCCAAATGGCCAGTCTTGTCGCTGTCGGAAACACGGACTCCCGTTGAGGACAACCAGTTTGCGCAGACGCTCGGGGTGCTGGCGGGCAAAACGGAGAGCGACGTGGCCAGCAGAGGCGAACCCGACTAAATTGACCACTCCTAGATGCAAATGGTCCAGTACAGACAGCAAGTCGTCGCAGTTCATCTGTGTCACATTTTGAACCCTGTCTGGGAATTTGCTGGAATTTCCGTATCCCCTGAGATCCACATAGACATTTCGATATTGAGACGCGAAATAGGACCGCTGGGCCGCCCAGCTTCGGCTGTCAAGCGGCAATCCGTGAAGCCATATGTTCGTCTGAGGACCTGTACCTTCCTCGTAGAATGCAATTTCGCCACCGGCCACTGGACACTTTTGTGGCGGAGCGAGGAATTGAATAAAACGTTGCCACGGGGTGCCAAAGAGATCTCCTTGTTTCAGAGGGCTTTTGGCGGAGCGTCCTGAAGGACGCTTTTCGTTTCTTGGGTTGGTCAAAGCCGCTGAAGCTGAAGCATAGTCATAGGAGTCCAGACCTGGGATAATAACTTTCTGAAGGTCATTATCACATTGTCGAAGTTGTTCCGCAGCATAGTCGGTCACGCACCCCGACAGCAGCTGTCGTGGATCTTCCAAAACTATCCGCAGTCGCGTCGTCATGGTGAGCCAGTCATCTGGACCGCGTATTTGCGGCATCTCAGAAACCTCTGTTGTTGTTTCGGTGACGGTGGGCCGGCAGCTGAGCTGCGGTGTGTATCGCGGATAGCCAGCGAACATTATCTCCCCTAGTCCAACAGTAGCATAAATTCTGTTCCATAGCGACCTAAATGCTTCTTCATGTTGCTCCAGTTTTCTGGCTTCGGATGCTCCGGGTGCGATATCGGGTCCGTGAGGTGCAATGTAGATTCGGTTGACCGGAAGGTCAAGATTGGAGCATTGTATGATCCCCTGCGCTACTGAATTCGTGGACAGGGTAACCCCAGCAGTTTCTCTTCCCTGCTTCCCAACAATGAGCACCATTGCTCTTTGCCAGTCGATTTGTTGATCTTGCAACCAGATCCGCATTCGATAGGAGATGTCCAATCCAACCAAGAAGAAAGTCGCGATCATCATGGCATTCATCGAGATGGTTGCACCCAGAGTAGTACCTGTCGCCTCCAGATACTCCTCGCGAAGGAAGGAAGGATTGAGCCGTTGCGGATCCTCGAGGACGGCCTTCAGAAACTTGACGGTGAGAGAACAAGTATACTCAATCATGCTTGCGATTGCTTCTTCACGGCCGGTGAAGGCCGCCACCTTCAGCTCATCACGCCATAGGGAGACTGAATTGACTTTATGAACCTCGGAAATCCTCGACAATAACTTTTCAGACTCGGTCCTCCACATCCGTGTGTCGAGTGTGGCCATTTTAACGAGGGAAGCAAGAGCTGGTCCCAGGTGTGAGATTGCCGCAAGTTCTTTGAATCCTCGATTGTTGAAACGGTAGTTGATATATGAAGGTTTGCGGCCGCGACCGGGGTAGAAGATCATCTCGCTACTGGTGGCGACCAGCAGAGGATCGTTGGTGGTTGAATGAGAAACCAATTTGGTAAGCTTGGGCCCTGTTCCGTCTGCTGAAGCGGTATATGCTGTGTACAGATCCACAAATTCGGGGGACTGTTTCCCACCCCCACGGACCTCATTGAGAATTTTGCGCTGTGGCCTTTGCTTGAACCGATAGAGACTGCAATCAACCCTGAAACGCACGTCCTCCGTCAGGCTTTCGCAGACAAACAAGAAGGTCTCACCCGCTTTTGAGAAGGCTGCGGCATCAGTCGCGCCGTGGGTCAGAAATGAATGTTCTTGCTTGAGGAAGCCATCCTCCATACGATATATTGTAGATTCGAGTTGAGTGGTCGGAGCTTTGGGGGTGCCCAGGATGAACCTGACAAGTACCACGTACGTTTCGCCATTCTCTTGAATCAACGCGAATTCACGTCCACCAGACCCGGCAAGCGTCTGATGTTCGCGGAACCCGCGACCGGTCCACTTGTAAAGAATGCTATTGTTCTCGATATCTGCCAATGCAAGGTATGCGTCTTGTTCGACTTGGAAGAAACAGAATGCTCGGCCTCCCTTTGGCGCAAAGGTTTGGAAGTGGTTGAACCTCTCACCATCCCACGTCATCAGAATTGAAGGCTCTCTGAAGTCTGCGTACGCAAGATAGTGGATTCCTGATAACTCAAAATGCAGGAAGTTGTAGCCCCATGCAGATGGAACTGTCTGCAGGGATCTGAAGGAGGTGCCGTCCCATTCAAACACGGTGGAATCTCCTGGAACATCTGATAACAGTCCAGGAACTTTGACTCCTTGAGCCAATGCCAGGAAGTGACGACCATTGATCGAGAAGTAGCGCCATTGTTTGGCCCCAAAAGTCGGAATCTTCTGAAATTCGACAAACTTGCCCTCGACGAATTCGAAAATGACAGATGATACGTTATAGTTGTAGGGACCCTTGCCAGCCCGGATGGATGCAGTAGCGAGAAAATGTCGATTTTGAATGGTAAAGAACTCGGCATCTTCGCCGCCTGCAACAGGAAGCCGTTGCCATTCCTCAAAAAGCCCGGCCTCATTCGCCCTCCATATGATGAGATCAACATCGCTGTTACCTTCATTCATGCCAGCCGGCCCATTTGGAATATCCTCGGCGAGCTGAGGAATGGCCAGAAAGTCATTGTTGCCGATTGAAAAATAGCATACAGCTCGTGCTCCGGAGGTCGGGAAGGACTGGACAAGCTCCAGCTGTACAGGAGACATGCCGATCAAAATGGTCCTGGAAGATGATCGCTGTGTGGGCGGCCGATACGTGGGTGCTCAAACGGGTCCAGTGTTGCGTTAACAGTTTCCAATTCCATGCCTGGTTTTATATGAGTAGACACATTTCTTTCTTGGATTCATTGCTACAGCGCTATGTGGACCCTCTTCGGCGATTGACCGTTCGCATACGCGCGAGCCGATAAGGTGAAAACCGCCAGATGCCTTCATTTACCGAACGACTCCGGGAATTCCGGGGTTGCCATTTTCTGAAGTAGGCGAAGGAAGGCCATGTGGGTCGATGGCTGGACAAACAGATTGAAAAGTCGATCAGTGTTGGCTACTCGTTGCCGATGTTCCACATGAAATCCAGCCCGTTCAAATCTAATCCTGTTTGTGACAGAGATCCTGTCAAGTCAAATGGAGCCATTGAGGGATCAAATGGCAACCGCAGCCAGTTCTCCATACTCGTATTCAAATCAGGCCACTCCAACTCGGTTCCAAGTCTAGGCGCATTCGCATCTGACGCTTGTGGTTCAACCTCCCGGTATGTTGATGTAGGGTCTGATGGCATCCCAGGGACTGTCGTCGCACCCGCGGCGGACGCAAGTGGATACCTCGACGACTCGGCGAAGTAACGACGGAGGCGTTTCAACTGGATGTCCAACAGCCCAGCGTATCGTGGAAGGCAATGCAGATCGTCTAGTCTTTGAGACTTTAAAGCTTGTATACTATTGTTGAGAATCTCCAGGGATACGTCGAATTGAGTCTGCCTGACACCGATGCTCAAGGCCTTGATAAGCAGGATTGAGGACGTGAAAACGCGACATACAATCCTCGATGGAAGTTGAAACAGATGATCCTTTTCCGCATAGCCTTGAAATAGCTGCAGGATCTTGGAACAATTGTCGAGCACCTGCTGAACATACTCGTAATCAGAGTCCCCTGCAACCACTGGGCGAGCTTCTTCTGGCATTAGACCTGGGTTGTTCTCAAGAGTTTTCTCGACGATTGCTTGCATGCCGACGGAGCTCAGCAATGCTCGCATTGAATAATATTCTATACGCGTTGTAAGAGCTAGAGTCGTCTCGGTGATGCCTGCATACATTGCCGTTAGTTCGACAAACATATTTTTCTATGGCTTTCTGTTTCGTGCTTGTCATCCTACCTCATTGATTGCCTGGAGGATGAGAGAAAGATATACATACGGTTCGATTTTAGATATTCATCGTACCATCTGGTCAGCAAAGTCTGAAAGTTGTCGACATGATTCGCGAAGCGTCCACTTAGAAGGAGAGTCCGCGTGGATGACGGAGACGAAAAGAATATGTCTGAAACGGAGATGGAGAGTTTAGTAAGGTCAATCTGTGCATCCATGAACAAGTCCCATTGCAGGCCTTCTGGTACCGAAGAGTCCACCGGAAATTGCGCCTTGGGGATCATGTGGTGGAGCAACGATGGTATTGAAGAGAAGTACCCTAAGCGTAAGGCAAGCTGGGTGTGGAAAACGTATAGCAGTTTCTGAAGGCGCCGTTTGCGATCCAGAGTCTCTTTTTCTTGAGTTTGAGAGGGCAGTGAGGTGCTGCAGTCTGCCTTGGACTCATAAACTCCCAGTTCGTGGGCCAAGGACATAGCACAACCTAGCAGCATCCATGACATACGGTCTGACCTTCTCGTCGGCTCAATGACTTCCTCAAGCCATTGGGCCGACGGATTGCTTCCTTCGTCATCTAGAGAAGTGTCAGCCTCATTCATCTCTAGGTCTTCGTCCTGGAAAGAGCGCTTGAGGAGGTCAGCGTCCCAGCCATGACTTTCTGGAGGAAAGTGAAGTGATCTTGGATGCCATTCGCTTATCAACAGTAAGGCTTCGATAGAACCCACTGATCTAGCTTTTGTCTGGGCTCCTTTTTCCTGTCCTAGCATGATCCTCAAAATCAAATGCTCACAATGTTTCCAAAGCCGGTTGTGGAGGAAGTACCCTTTCGCAGCGCTCCCGACACCAGGTAAGACATGATACCGAGAAGATATCATCAACATGGTGCAGCACAGCATCGGCTCCTGTGTAATAAGCTGAGGATGATTGGAGTGCTGGGCATAGAAATCCGTCAGGACTGGCGAAAGCTGGGACATATTCTTAAAAAATCTTTCTTAAGTTAGCGTTAAGAATACTCCGGGCCTCCAAGGACCTACAGGTCTACGTATTGAATGGCTTCACGTGCTGTCAGCCACCCCATCTGCACAAAGTGACAGGACTGCCATATTCGCACAAGCGAGGAAGAGCAGCTCCGAATTTGCTGGGATTGCATCGCTGACAAGGATGACACCTCGTGGCTTCGGTCCTGGTACTCGACACTCGGCTGCCCAGGAATCTCATTTGGGGGTCGAGCTTCCAACGCATTAAACGAATCATCACGACTCATCTGATTGTGATTGGGTGATATATCGAAGAGAAGGTTGAATGCGTCGTTTGCACCCGAGATGACGGTACGCACGACAGATCTTGCCAGAATATTTGGTGAGTCCTGACTCGAGGATGTTTGGCAAGTCGCGTGGGATCTACCACTGTCGAAAGTCGTCGTGCTTCGTAGGGCATTGTGGCCGGTGGGACTTTGCTGAGTAGAGCTGTTTGCTAGAAGGTCTTGCCACGGCGAGGGAGGCAGAGTGTTTCGTTGCGGTATCGCCGTGGCTGCATCGGCCACTCAATCAATCAGTGTGGGACTTTGGATCTAAAGGGCCCAACTGAGCCTACCAAGATGATCTTTGTTGCGATGCTTGGGCGGATTTGTGTCGCCCAGAACACATTCCGTCCTTTGCCGTACGCACCGTGTACATGGTCCGTTGTCGTGCGTGATACATCTCGACTTCCGCTTCCGGCACTCCAGGCACGCCTTGTAGGCCCTTTGATAGGACCTCTTAGCCTCTTTTGTTGAAGGGGGCTGGTCCATCGAGTCTCTCCTATTAAAATTTTCTGGACCCCAGTGCCCGGATGATAAAGTGGATGTGAGTGAGAGAGTTGCAGCTGTAGGTCATGAGCTTGGTGACGCGGAGCAACAGCTGAACCCGCCGCCTCTCCCACATCGGCATCTGTCGGCATCTTGCGGGGTTGCTCTTGGCCTCACTAGCCCGTCGGGAAATTCAGTCGGCACGAAGTTGATTTCCATAATTGGTAAACTTATGTTCCGTTATTTGGGACATGGGTTTCACGTGAGATGATGCACTGTGTCTCCTAGTGGCCCAAGTTTGTATTACTATCGTAAGGGGACGAAGGGCGCAATCGGGCCTATCAGAAGTCCTTGCATCGGAGAAAGGTCGCGCTGCATCTGGCCAAGGGAGCTGGCAGCTTGACGGCAAAGTCAGAGAGCCAAATAACGCCGCGGTTTGGACAGCACAAAAGGCGACTGGTCATCACGATGCGGGTACAGGTTCGACTGTCGCCAAATCTGGATTTGTCGACTAGCTGAAAGAACTTCGGAAGTGCGGGATTTGCCAGCGACCATTCCCTTGCTCTTCCTTTGCATGGTCGCACCTCGAAAGCCAGTCTTGGCCACCGATACGAGGGAGCGCGAAAAAGGACACAGTGAAAATCCTGGTGGTTGTAATCACGACAGCTGTGGGTTCCAGGGGTTCAACAACGAGAGCTCTAGGGGCTGAGGTGAAAATGGTTCTCGCTCAGCAGGACTGATCGTATTTTGGCGAGCAATCACCTCCCTTGCAAATATTTGTGGCTTGCATTGTCGAAGCAGAACTACCTCGTACTGGTGTACATAAATTGGAGGGTAGACAAATAAAATCAGTCGGCCACACGGTCGTATATGGGAGCAGCATGAGTGCCACTTACGCAATTCCATGCGCGAAGCGAGGTGCGCTACCTCTTGATGTGGGCAATGGTTTAGCTCTCCGGAAGTCTCTGCCTTGGGCCCAGGAAATGGTAATTACGCCTTACAAGCTCAAGACGGTACTGTACTATGGATGTAAAGTCCGCTGGGGAAGTCCGTCGTGCCCAGAGGACGACAGGTTTTGCAAGGCCATTACATCCTTCCAGATGGTGTGAAATGGGCCAATCTCGTCGAAAGAGCGGCGTCCAGTTCCACACCGGTCATGCAGATGGCTGATGGCTCAATGCTATTGTTTGTGCGTCAAGGCCACGCCATCACCACGTGGACCGCCCTTGCACCCACGTGGATGTCGTGTTGCCCAACTTGCTTTGATGGGGAATTTGGTATGCAAAAACGAACGGGAGCTTCAGCCTGTTTGTGGCAGTAGCTTCGATCCACCACCAGTCAGACATCCAGAGTTTGACGTGGGTCCCGGGCCAGCAACACCCAGGTGTGAGTAAAGACGCCTGAAGCAAGGGTCCTATTGGGGGCGATACAGCTAAGGGGAGCCGATATGCATCGCTCATACACATTGCATGACGGGGAGCCAGCGGTATCCCGATCTGGGTGGATGGGAGCGGGTCTCGACCAGAAAGGGACGGTGACCGATTAACATTCCACCAAAAAGGACGACCCGAACAAGTCTGCGTGGTACAAGGCTCCAACCTCGGCGCCTCCTCTTGTAAGTTGTGGATTGTAAACGTCCTCGGGAGCAATTGTCTCAAAACATGCAGGTGTCAGACATTTTCGCCTCCTCGAGTGAGAACAGGCAGCCAATGGGTATGAGGTAGTAGAGGTGAAGACGAGAAGAGTTCCTTTCACGGCGGGAAATCCTGGTGCAATCCATGCAATCCATGCCACCCCAAAGATCGTGTGCCTCCGCAGAAAACGTGGCATATGCATATGATGGGCTGGAACGGTCGATTCTGCCGGGGCTATGTCAGTGGCTGCATGGGCTGGACCCTCGTGGCCGTCGCCAACGACTAAGCAAATCTGTGTAAATGGCCCCGACTCCGATATGCACCTGAATAACCGATGCGCAGGCTTCGATTAGCAATATCCCGCAACAGCTGCATCGCCCAACCGGAGTCGCTTTCCGTCCGCTTTTGTCGAGAACAGGCGCCGTATAGATGCTCCCAGCCTTGGTCTGAGGCGAGCGTTGTTTGCGTGCATTCGAGCACCCTAGCATCAAGGAAGAAGCCTTCACACTTACGTGGTATTCTGGAGTCGCCTTCCACCGTGGTTGAGCTTCTCAGTCAGTCCCATTCAATATTCTTCCGCTCCAACCGCACCAGTCACTGGTAGATTGGGCTGTGAGTATTTTGTTGAAGAGGGCGTGATCAATTGCCATGGTCTGCATCGCACATGACCGATCCCATCCTCTGCATACCCTTTAGCTTGGACGAGTCGTGGGCGTGGCCTGACCGAGAGGCTATCCACCGCAAGGCGGGTAAATCGGCTCGTGCACCCCAGCAACCATCACGGGTGATAACGCATGCAAACGAGGATGCGATGCGGTGAATGTCGTGAGGGACTTCTTCAGAACAGCTCAAATAGAGATCACCTGCGTCCAATGATCGAGCTCTATCTACCACAAGGGACAGCGAATCTCAGCCAAACTGCATGTTGAGACTGACCAACGGTGGCTTCCCCTGGTCTAGCACGTCCTCAGGCGTTTCTTAATCTCACGGGAAGGATTGACAATCAGCAATAGACTTGAATTCGGTTTGCCCCCTTTGCGCAGTACTTGGACTCGACAAAGGCTTCGTGGGAAGTACCTCGCATGGCCACAGGTTTTGATGAGTAGTATACGAGTATTCGGTACGAGGGACTCGTACAAGGATCGGGCTCTCGCTAAGGGCCTGCCAATGTCATCCGAGCTTGACGGGAAGGCCTACCACGCCTACTTAGCTCGCGTGAGACGGCTAACATGTTGCATGCGCCACGAGCCCCGCTGAGACCGGGGATTGCTTTTAGGGCCAAGTGCGGGTGGTTTTCATGTGCCTCGTGGTCAATGTCCGTTGGTTTTTCCTTGCAAGCCACCACCAACGTCTTCCACCACTGAGTGAACAACGCCCGGAGGGCTCGAATGACGGCGCAAACCTGGGCAGCGAAACAGGTGACAAGTGACCAATCGATGTTCGAACCCGTCCTTGCCACGGTAAGCCTTCCTGGATTGCATGTAGCATTCGATTGCCCATTGAACACGAGATGGGGGCTCTCGAATCATCCAGGTTGTTGTCCACATGGGGTATTGACGCTTTGCCTTGGATGTTATGTTTGCCCCTTTCTTAGCCCCCCATGCATCAATTTGCTTGCGATTCAGGCTCTCAGTGCTCTGCTTGATATCCAATATCCCACCCAGTTGGCTCCAGCGATGCGGATGGCAGCAATGCAACACAAAGCCCCTGTGGGCGGGGGTCATTCTCACTCAAAATCAGACAAGGGTATAGAGCTTGTGCGACTCACCTAGGATCCTCGTACCCTGGCCTAGAGGTGGCGCATCTTCCGCCTGGTAAGATCAGCTATGCAGCCTCGTACGTGCCCTCACCTAGGCCTCCTTTGACCAGAATCATTTCCCCGACTTCTCTTTTCTGACTTGGTCCTGGTCCAGTTCACCATAAAGCTTACTTGTTTGATCCATCGCCAAAGCGGACGCGAACCAAATCGGGCAGAGTCGTAACACGAGGACTGTCGCGAAGCATCGAAGCTCGATCGGGTAGGCCAATTTGTGAATCTGGAGGAGCAAGCTGGTCAACTCTTCTCGACGGTGCGAGCCGTGTCCAAACCTCAAACGCCACCAGTCTGCATCAGAACCTGTGCCGCATTGTCAAGTCATGATGTTGACACTCCCTGCCTGACTGCGCACCTCGCAAAGCAATAACGGTCACCAATCGTTGAACACCCCGCTTGCTTAGCCGGTAGCATCCGTGTTGCTGAGGATCCTTTGCTTCCTAGGCTTTCCACACTGGGTATCCAAGTCTCAGCAACCCTGTGGGCTGCTACGCCGGTTCTGGTTGCCTTTTCCACAAGACCCATCACACCCATCAACCGTAAAGGACGAGCTGCCACTCATCGACGCTTGGGGTCGTGAGATCTCGGTTCAGCTGGGTGATCCCGCCTATCTAATTGAACTCTCATCCGTGCTACCGCGGATGAGGAGACGTGGTTGAGTAGCTCTGAGCGTGGGAGGGTTGGTCCGATCGTGCGCAAAGGATATTTTGACCTGCATGGAGACGTCTTAGTCCCTGCGTTGACCGCACTCGAAGCATCAAGGTATAAGAGAGTGAAGAGGACGCACGCATGAGAAGAATTCGAAGGGGAAGAGAATTGTAAATTGTGCAGGCAGCGCAGGCGGTGCAGTCAAGTTTTGTGTGCGCAGTTTCGACCTACTGTGGACTTCTCACTTCAAGTTCAACTTGTATTCCACTATGAAGACGGCATTGAACGACACTCTCTGACTCTCCAACACCTATTCATTCTGCATCAAAGAGGCTATGAGCCGGAATTATCACCCACTATCGCCCACTATCGCCATCCTTGCCTTTGTCGACAATACATATCGAGGCATCTCTTAATATTCCCTGCTGCTGCCCCACCCCGCCTCAATTCGACAGCATTTTCTCCCTCTCATCGCCTCTGCTCGTTGAAATCGCCCCATTTCCTCGCTGGCCGTAAATACTCAGTACTCTTTGACCTCCTCGGCCTCGCTATTTTCTACTTGCGCACCAGACAGCATCGATGTTTCTCCGTACGAGAACCCCATCGACATCGGATCCTTTCTCGTCGACCCGGCTACCTTTCTCCCGATACCTCCCTAGCCACGGCTTCCTCTTCATCTCAAGAGCCTGCGCAAGAGAGTTGACTTTCAAAGTTTCAGCGGTAGTCTATTTTCGCTGTCTCTTGTGCATTTTCTGAGGACCGTAAAGTGGCTGTACCTGCTCCTCAACTAGGATACACCGTCTTGCGCATTCAGATAGTGTTCGAGGTCAAGCCTCCACATCCTTTCCCGCCTCGATTCATTCCCAAAGACAGCTTGTCGAGACTATCAAAATTTGACCGAAGGTGCACTGTCAGCCAAACGAGTGGCCATCAACAAAGTTTTTCGCACATTCAGAACACTGCAAGGACCAATATGCTGTCTTAGCCGAACGTGACAAGCTTCTATAAAATTGATCAAGCTTGCAGTCATCCTCAAACCTCGCCCGTACAGTCATTTCAAAGGAAATGATACACTAAGCGGACAAACCTGTCGGACCTTGACTCTTGGGTGTGCGAGGTCCTCAACAAATTTGCCCGTCAGAGTTTTGCCGGGTGCTTGTCAGCGGCATCTGTTGCCTCACGAACCATTGCGCTGGGTCGTTAAACAACTGGAGCAGCGCCCTGATTGTGTGATACTGGCAGCTAGCCAGAGACAGCCAGCCAAGTTTCTTCACAGCCCTCGATTTGCTTTCGAACTTGTTTAAGAAAAAGCCTTCTCGAGTAAACCCAAAACCTCATCTCCCTTTGTGCCCAGTGACCACCTACCAGCGGACCTGATCAACCATTCCTTGGACGAAAACATATCACACCTGACCCTCCACAAATCATTGCGAAGAATTGGTCCTCAAAGTCTTGGTATCGATCGCACATACGATATAAGCCCGAGGGCAGGCGTGATTTCCTTCGTGGTTTCCTCCTCCAGAACCGGTCCATCACACAACATCAGACCTCTTTCTTCGTCCATAAAACCTCTGTGTTCCCCCTCTCATCCATCTTATGCACCATTTCTTGGAAATATTCTTCCAGCATTCTTCCTGGAACCCAGTCCTATCCTGAACCATTCTTCCTCTACCCATCTCACCATCTCTTATCCAGCACATAACGTGAACCAAGTCCATCCTTTGCCCGACATTCGAAAAGCCAGACTTCAAGCTTCGAACCAGCCTCCTCATGCCCAGACCACCGGTTCACCTCGATCCCTTTCTTGTTGGACGCATCCAATCTAGGTTCCATCTCGACAGGTCCGTTGTTGGCAATCGTTGGGTTCCAAAATGCAGCAACAAAATTCTTTCGGGGCTGCAGAACTGACAAAATTGGAGTTCAACAGAAATGGATATAGGATGATAATCAAGCAGCAGCCGAGTGAGGGTCAAGTACTGGCTCCTCAAAAACATGCTAGTGGTGAGTGACACTGCATCTCTTGTCGACAGAAGGGCTAACGTTCATTTAGCCAGGAAGCCGCAGACCGAAAGACGCTGCCTTGATCCTCCTGTAGTGATCGAATTTCTGGTCATCGACAATGATCCGTCCAGGTCCTGGCTCCATAGTCCACACTATTTCTGCTTGGTCCAGCTGGTCAGACTTGACGGCAAGCCAAGCAAATCCAACCTGCTTATTGGCACGTTGACATCTTCGCTTCACGTGGTGAAATTGAATGATGGAAAAAGTAGGGTCTTCTGGTTCGCAATATCTTTCGCCTCAGCTAACGGAGTAGCAGGCCATGGCTACTTCGTGTTTAGCGATCTTTTTCCAACCTGCGAAGGCAAATTCTGTCTGCAATTCACGCTGTTCGAGATGCGTTCCGGGTATGACATATCGAGTCTGAGATTGTCGCAAATGCTAACTAGTTGAAAAGTCCCGATGCCATGTTCGCGGAAATGCTCAACTCCATCTCTGGTTCGGTCTTCGAAGGTGAGCGATTCTGAAGCGGCGCTTGCGATTAGGAAGATACTCACATGCTTGCAGTCCATGCATGCAAAAAGTTTTCCCCTCTCCCACAGTCCACCGATTTGACGAGAGCATTGAGTGATGGTGGTGTGAAGATCAGGGTTCGAAAAGAGCCAGTGTACGTTTCCCCCCCTCAAGATTTGATACAAGCGAGGGCAAGGGCCGTCCTGATGCAAGATGTCCTCTTGTCACCGGCCGGATAGACTTCCCAAGTGCTCATTTCTTTGAGCACCCGCTCTCCCTTGATAGCATCTCAAGACTAATCTCACTCCAGGCGTCGAATGCAAAGAAACAGAGCCAACTGGGGCTTCCAAGGATATCTAGATGGTTATCGCCAAGCTGTACCAGCCTCCGTGTATGGTCAACCCCAACCGTATCCGCATCATGGCCTGGAGCATTGGGGTCAGCAAGGGAATTTTGCATATAACACGAACAATGCGATTGATATCAGGGAACGCTTAAGTGTTCAACATCATGGTATGGCACCAACATGGCAGGGTGGCGGCCACCAAAGCGCAACACTGCCCCTACCCTCTTCCATGCCAGCTCAACCACTGCATCGATATCAACATGGAGTTTTCTTGCATGACATGCAACAGCCGCCTGTAAGCCAATCACTTCCACCTTTAACGCCATTGTTGTTGAATGAGACACAACAAATGCTCATGCCCCCACCGCCGCCACCACTGCAGCCTCAGCACCGTCAGCAGCAGCAGCAGCCGTCGTTTGCATCATTCCCGCAAATCCTGCCACAACATTTCAACCCTCTTCCACCGGCAAGTTATAATGTGAGAGATGATGCTGAGGTCCAGTTGGAGTATCCAACTACTTCAGAAAACCAAACCTTTGATACCACCACCTCGGCCGATACAATGCCATGTTTCACCGCGGCTGATGATCAGATTGCTTATCCAACCTCTTCAGAAGCGCAGTTGATTTATTCAACGACACTTGAGGACCACATGGTACCGACATCGTCGCCAGGGACCGACTCGACATATGTTACATCCACGAGCAGTGTGGACCAACAACAATATCAGCAAAGTGCTCTGCATGGTCCAGGAACATATCATGTCCAGGGCCCCGGGAACTTGCAGAATACGTATGATCCAAACTCTTCAATTGAAGAATTGCTCTAGGAGCTGCAAAATTGTCCGAATACAGGACTGAGCGGCATGGAGCAGCTTGCAGGCTTCTCCAAGGCGGCAAGACCTGTCGTGGTATGATGAATTGGAATAATCTCTCAGCATCTGAGGGAGGGAAATATGGGAAGCCTAGACCATGGATGTTCTTGTTTTCATGCGGTTGTTCTTGTGCGAGTATTGGCATTTGATGGACTTGGTCAAAAGGAAGGATCATGGAAAGACGTGGACAGGAATGGTTGTCGGACAGGAGAGAGAAGGAAAGAGTGATTTTAACGGTAATTTTATTTGTTCTCTGTTGTTCAGTCAATCGTTAGACGGTGATACCATGGCAGGGGTCGTCCTTACACAGTTAAGATACCTAGGTATGTATTAAAGATATTGTCCAACTTCTTCATTGTCGTTCATTGTTTGTAGGTCCAGTCAAGACCTTCAGGAAGAAAGCGCAGTCAGTCTGTCCACAAAACAGGCCCGCCATCTCTCATGTGGTTTGAGACCATGAGTCCGTGAAGGAGGAAATGATGAACCTCCGAGTGAAGAGGTCGAAGGGCACAAGCTTTATACCCATTCGAGACACAAAAAGTGACGGCGGGGAGAAACTTTTGTTGAAGATGAAGAGGAGGGTAAGGACTGGGAGCCAATGGTGTAGCAGCGGCTAAGAAAGCGCAGACTCATGATACTCAACTGACGTCCCCCGGGCCAAGCCTGAGTGATGGACCAGAAAGAAACTTCTGTCCGAGTGGCCTAATATGCAGCAGTTTTCCTGGTAGCGAACGGGCTTTGGAAACCAATCTTGAAAGTGAGTCTCACAGCAAGCCAACGGGGCAATAACACGAGGCAATCTCCTCAAGGCCCATGCGTCTCGACGGCCACAACACTGAGTGAAGTTTCCACTTGCGCCAAACACATCATCAAGAACCTCGTACTGGAATCCAATAGCTCCATTTCGGGACGGAAATTCGTCCAATTTTTTCTGTGCACAGCCACGACAGACCATACCCTGGAGTCCTCGACGCCCGACTCCCCGACGACCGCACACAGACATCGAAGCCGGTAACAGAGTCCAACTCTTGCTCCTCCAGGCATATTATCGCACATGTCCGCTCGAATGCGGTCCATATGACCCATCACCATTACACGGCAGGATGCAGTTCAAGGGTTGCGCTGGACAAGGCTTAGCATCTACTCTACAATTGGTTCTGTCCTCAATCTCTCCGAAACTCCAACAGTCCTCGTCGGGCCTCCCACTCTCTTGCTTCACACAAAAAATTTAAAACAAGTTTATTTTAAGCGATACAGTAGATCCGGGGATGCAGATCAAATCCACCCACCATGTGGAACGGTATATCGAGACGACGAGACGACTAAGCGGACAAATTCCCTACAGAGCAGCGCGAGCCGAGAAACGCTGAGAGCTCTAGAGGCAAAGCTTGACGTGGATCTGTCATGGAAGCAGTCGATCACTAGGCTAATGCAACATCATCTGATATTGAATTCGCTCATTAGGCATATCTGGTTTCCGGCTTTACCATACCATTGGAGACCAAGAACAAAGAGCGCGGCATGGTATGTAATAATTATATGTCCGTCGAAGACTCACCATTGCACTCCAATTGAATCTCCACGCATGTGTTTTTAGCTCATTTTCAAAGTCAATTCAAAGTCAATTTTCGCTTCAAAATCACCTTGAAAATTGGGGCCGGGGTCAGGCTCTCCACATCTAACCGGATGGCAGATGTGGCCTGGAGCATCAGAGGGGAATCTTTCAGTACCGGGTGCTTCAGCAATGAGTCAATGATCTTCTAATACGAAGACCGGATCCTGTGGTTACATCGGCTTGATGGCATTGACCACAGCATGGCCCCATTTTGGATCCTAAACCAACCTCAATCGCCTCAGTGGCTCTTTCACATTGCCACGTTGCATCCCGGCCTGCAGTACTGAGGAGTGTTCCAATGATTAATTGAATGCTGCTGCCGTCGATGTAAGTAAAATCTCTTCTACGATGCTGGATCTTCATTCTGTTGAGGTGCACCACCCTCTTAACTGTCTGTGAAAAGCTTTCGGCCGCGCAAGAACGTACATTACAGCAAAGCAATTGAACCTCATCATTGCCTCAGGCGACTGCAAGCGCAAGAGAGACTTATTTGGCATGCGCAAGTACTTTTGACTCGCACCTTGTGCCTACGCCAGGCTAACAATGGTATGCTTCAGGCCATACTCATGCTAGAACAAATATTATTTTGCTTTTCCGAAGGGTGCCATTGTGGAAGACCGTGTATCGACGTCCATGACTCATGGAGTCCTCCATGGACCATGGTCAAGGACTCTGAGGGCCAGCACGGTCGTGCACGTCCGTGATCTCCGAGAGTACTCGGAGAGTTGAGCAGGGTATTTTCATCTTGCATGAATGTGTCAACCAGAACGGTTTCTAGTGAGTTGGCGACGCTTGATAAGCTGGCCTCTTCAATATTACTGAACTGAACAGACAATAGCGTGATTGAAGACAAGGGCAACATGGATGCTACGGGGGAAATATTGCCCTCAGCAATTCTTCATCGACACAGTCTTCCTTGAAGCTGGGGCCCTCCTTTCTCCATGACAGCCAGTTCCTCGCCATTGCTCCATCCTGACTTCTCAAGACACCTACTGAGACATCCACAACTTCTGGGCGATTGTTGTGCCAATAGAATACCGTCGCACCACATCTCCCACAGAAGCTCCTGCAGGTATCCTCGCTGGACCAGATATGTCTCAAAGTTGTAACCCCATTTGAGTCTTCCTGCTCGCCTTCTGCACCAAACCTCACCATCTTCCCTGTATCGGCGAGGAATATATTGACTGGGGGAATGTACGCCCACGGTTGAAAAGAGACCCCGGTGGCCAATCTGCAAGAACGACAGGTGCAAAGACCTGCAACATACTTATTCTCCTGCTCCGGGAGATATCTCTGCTGCAACTTCAACGAGTCAAAATTCGGGCGAGTGATTCGGATGTTGACCCCTTCGCAGTGGCATTTGGCCTCCAATGATTCGCTTTGAATCCCTGGCTTTCGCTCGCCGACCAGGGACATTTCCCGCAACTCAACCTCGCTCACCTGTCTGCTGGTATAGGCACCTTTCTCCCAACATTGGACCTCACGCCCACCCAGTCTGATCATTTTCGCCACCAGAGCACCATCTCCTGTGTCGGTGACGAAGTTGTGGTGGGTGACCCGAGTAGTGTTCTGTGCGCGAGACTCAAGCCCTGTCTGCTCCAGCACGCCACCCAAGACCCACCATCTCCTTTCCTCGCCTCCAATTTCCTGAACAAACATGTGCGACCCGCAGTTTCCGCAGAACCATCTGCGGCGCGTGCTCGAGCTGTCGTAATGAACAGAAGCTTTCAAAATATCTTGAGGGGGGCCCGCAGGTAGCTGAGGAGACGACAGGTACAACGCTCCGGTCACGTATCGACAATCGGAGCAGTGACACACAACGCTATCCACCGGAAGACGTTGATCCGTCGGAAGAGCGTACGAGATGGCCCCGCAGAGGCATGTTGCTGTGATGCTTGGTTGACCAGGTGTCTGTGCCATTGCCGTATATATAGAGCTTCGGTAAGTCCAAAGTCAAGGTAATATGGCACTTTATACGGGGATTTGAGTCCAGATATACACTGGCAGAAGAGGCGCCTTATGGCATTTTCTTATCGAGCTCCACCCGATGTGACCGATTCTAACCCTGCTTGGCGGGCGTATCCACCTCACCACCTCCACATGCGAATCCGCCGCGAAGCTCGGAGCCGAACAAGGCTGAGGCCCCTAAATTTTGGGGAAGCGGTGCTCGAATGCTCGGTCCTCTGAAAAGCGATCCAAGGTCCCGACCAAGGCTACATTGTATATCCAGGTCGCTTCAGCTCTACAGCCTATCCCTGATGGCTCCAGGATGTCACTCACAATGATCCCGCAAAAGTGTTCGCGTTGCTTGTGGTCTGCGCCGGTGGTGGTGCGAAATAGGCTCTCTCTTCCCAAGAGCAATCTACTCGTCCTGCTTTATGACAGCCTTGACCGCCTGCACAGACTGATCTGTTAGGCCACCACACCGACCAACTGTCATCAACAGATCCCGTCTTCATCAACCAAGGCTCTGGGTCGCCAGGCCGCAGAATATCGGTTGAAAGGTCCCAAACTCTACTACCATTAGGAGCTCCCATGTTCTAGACACTGCGGTTTCTGTCCAGCTTTCAGACCTTCTCTACATGCTGCTGGATTGTTGAAACCTCAACCTCCTCCAGTTGCTGCACGTGCTGCACCTTCTCCTCGACGACGTCAAGGTCGACGTGCGCAACCTCCGCGTCCTCTCCGTCGAAGATCTTGGCGACCTCTTCGAGGGTCACACCACGCGTTTCGATAAACAGGAAAGCCACAAAAATGACCTCGAGAAGGAGCCACCCCTGCAGTCAGTCAAGTTAGCAAATGCGTCTCATCACTTGAATAACCTGATCAAAGGGTTGGCCTTACACAGTAGATTGAATAGAACCTCCAGCGAGGCTCTAGATGCGACAATCCAATTGGGTTGATATACCTGATTGCAGTCAGACACCCGAGTACACTCCCCGGGCTCGAAAAAACTCACTGATTGAACACAAGCGCAGCTTGAACAAAGAAGTTCATAACCATGAGACCCTAATGCACCAATGTCAATGTCCGGGCAAAACATATCACTGTGGAACTCTCACCTTCGCACGCAGCTTATACGGCATGATCTCAACAGTATACCCCACAAGCAGACCCGACCAAGCAATGTTGTAGAAGACACCGTGAAGGAAGATGAAGAATATGACGGTCTTTCCGGCCGCAAGATTGCCGTCGACGTCGTACAGAGCGGAGCAGGCTGTCCAGAGGACAAAGCAGACGAACATGCCTGTCACGGAGGTCAGCAAGAGGCAAGACATCCAGCAGGGCAAATAACTGACCTATGGTCGCAGTCAAGAACAGTGGACGTCTGCCGAAACGATCGACAACTGCTGCGGCAATCAGTCCGACAATGAGCTATGAGCAGGTTAGCAGTCCATTTGTCTTCGAGATAGAGATAAAGTCACCCACCGAGAGAATAGTCTTGGAACCATTGATCTCAAACTGTTCGTTCTTGTCTGTCACACCAATGCTCTTCATCACAAGAGCGAAGTAATAGCTGGTCAAGCCATTGCCACTCCATTGGGAGAAGAGACCGAGAGCAACGACAAGCAAGAGTCGATACCTGTTGCCCTTTGTCCTGAGAAAGTCCAAGAAGCTGCTCGACTTCTTCGACTGGAATTCAAGCCGGAGAGTTTCCCTTATCTCACGGTACTCGAATTGGACAGTGAGATCCAGTTCGTTCCCATTCGAATGATACTTTGCAAGTGTTGTGAGAGCTTCAGCATGACGATCCTTCGAGATCAACCAACGAGGCGACTCTGGGATGACCCAAATGAAACAAAAGAGTATGAAGGTCGGGAAAGCCTGGAGGATCGAGGGGATGCGCCACGACCAGTTGTTCTTCATGGTGAAAGTGCCAAAGGTGATCCAGGTTGCTGCAATGGAACCGATATCCCAAAGCTGGTTGTAGACCGTCGTCACTCTGCCGCGATGTTGCGGATGGCACAGCTCGGTCAGGAGGAGAGGCGCCGAGTTGGAACACATGCTGTTACCAAAGCCGACAAAGAAACGGCCGGCTATGAACATGGAGAAGTTCTGGGAGGCACTTTGGATTGCGACGCCCGCGAAAAGGAAAACACATCCCACCATAATGGCAATGCGTCTGCCATAGATGTCACTCAAGTATGGCCTGATAGCCAGGTCAGTCGGCTTATTTTGTCTCACAAGATGCCGACTTACGCGAAGGGTAGCCCTGCGAGACTCCCTATGCTGTATATCGACCCGAAGAGACCGAGAATCGATCCCGTTGGATGGTGGAAGTAGTCTTGCCAGACATCGAGGATTTGGAGGCCGTTCAGCATGGACCTGATAAGTGTGAGCGGTCATACAACAAAGTTGGGTGCGGGCCGTACCCGTCATATCCTGTCGTCGCCGAGGCGAAGAACAGCGCAATGGCCAAGCCATAGAGCTTCCTCAACCCAGGGTCCTTGTACCAGATTACCCTTCGAAGCGCTGGGGCCTCAGCGACGGCAACCTCTCGCTCAGTTTTGTGCATAGGCTGCACGGCTGCGATACCGACCATTGTGAACGATGTGTCTTTTTGCCCGGTTTAAACTGTTTCAGCATTGGAATAGAAGCCGGCCAGGGTTTCTCAAGTTTCTCGAGGTCGTTTCCACCGACCATATATGTCCTCCTCCATGCTATCGGGCCCATTGCCGAGGGTCGTGGTATAGACGGCTATCAAGCTACACCATATGGCTTGGCTCTACCGTTCGCGAAGCCCTTGTCGAATCAGAAGCTCACTTGCTCCAGATACTGCGCGGGACAGTGCAAGGAGACGCAGGTACCTCCATTCAGCCTTCTTTAGGCTAATAGGAGAATGCCCTGTCCCAGGTCCACCATCTCCAAAATGTCGATCTCTCCATTGAGTCTCTGGGGCTTCCGGTGGGGGATAGTCGGTTACCCCAAACTGGACACCCCAGAGTCTGTGCTCGGACTCGTCTCATTGGTTCCACGAGGAGGCCTTGTAGACGCTTCAGGAGACCGGCAGCAGGTGCCAAGCCGCCAGCACAGAGCCGATGATTGTTTTATTCGTAGGCGAGACACTGGCGGAAGATATCAATCCAAACTCTGTTGCGATTTTACACGGCTTCCTGATGCAAAGCAGGTGTTTTTTGAGACCTGACGGCGGCCGAAACGATTTTGATTCCGATATAGCCCCGACCAGGTGATAACGGAATGAATTGGAGCTGATGAGTGGTTTTGGCTGAGAGCCTACCTAAAGGACTGACTTATCGAATCCTGTTTTGCAGTCACTGCCCATGGCACTCTCTAACTTGGGAGGCGGCTTGCTATCCTGCTGTTCACGGGATTGTTGCCGACTCTCACGTGGGAACTCCTCAATACATTGCCTGAAGCACCCAGATTTTTCTTACTTGCTCGGCGCATAGACACTCGGGCCCGATGATGGAGATCCACAACTTGTGGTGCCAAAATTGCGACGAAAGCCTGTCTAGGTGTGCCATGGCAACCTGGCCGGCGGAGGTGGGCTCCTTGCCCCATACCTCTCGCTCAACCAGAGAAGGAAAAGAGAGGAGAGTAGCTTTTCCTCTATAACCTCGGATGGTTGTCCGCTCGGTCTTCTGCTCTTCGCGGTGTGGTATCATCTGAGGCTTGGTATTGAACATTCCGGCTAAATACAAACTCGCGTTGTTGGTGCCATGCCAAGGCTGCTGGGATCCGGTGCATCGGGTATCCTTTGGATATACTGAAATACTTCAGAGTCATGAGAGCAGAGCATGATTCACGTCTCTGAATCTAGGAATTGTGTACGAGGTACAAGGGAGTGTAAAGCTCAAGATCTCACAATCTCAAGATAGGCAACATACCTTTTCCAACCTGGCTGACTCTCTTTGGACAGCAAGCATGGAAGGCAGAAAGTTCAAGCATTTGACCCCCGAACAAGTCGATTGCTTCATGAAACATGGGTACCTGCGTATTCCTGAATGCTTCACGCGTGAGGCTGCGGAGGAATGGACGAAGGATGTCTGGGTCAGGCTCGGCTTTGACCCCAAAAACCCCGACACCTGGACTACCGAAAGGACCAACATGCCGGGACATGGAGAGAAGTCGGTCAAGGACTTCGCGCCCAAGGCATACGACGCCATCTGTGAGATAGTTGGAGGGGAAGAGCGCATCACTGAAGAATCCAAAACGTGGAGAGACAGCTTCATCGTCAACCTGGGAACAAAAGAGCACGAAGGCAAGGAAGCCCACCCTAAAGAATTGAATGGGTGGCATGTGGATGGAGACTTTTTCGTCCATTTCCTAGACTCGCCCGAGCAGGGGCTGTTGGTGATCCCTCTGTTCACGGATATTTTGCCCAACGGCGGCGGCACCTGGATCTGCTCCGAAGGCATCCCAAAGATCGGAAACTGGCTGTACGACCATCCCAAGGGCGTGCTTCCACGAATGACGCCAATCGGATCGACTGAAAATTATGAAAATGGCCTGCAGTTCTATTCCACAGTCGTCCAAGGCTGTGACGACGAGTCCTTCCACGAGATGACCGGGTCGGTCGGGGATGTCATCTTGCTACATCCCTTGATGTTGCACTCGGCCTCCAAGAATGGACGCCGTTTACCGCGGATCATCACCAATCCACCTGTGTCGCTGGTGGAGCCGTTCAACTTTGATCGCGAGGACGAGAGCCAGTATAGTCTCGTTGAGCTTAAGACGATCAAGGAGCTCGGGGGACAGGACAGACTGAGGGGATGGAAAATCCAAGGGAAGAGGGACACGGTCGTGCCGGAGCGAGTTAGACGTCAAGCTCGGATGTTGGAGGAAGAAAAGAGGCGGCTGAAAGAGCGGGAGTCGCAGAGCCAGAAGCCGCAGGCCGTTGCTGTTGCATAGAAGATTGGACGATGCAGTCGGTAGGCAGGCGATGGAAATATACCAACGGAGCATCCAAGGGATTGTTTGTGGCCACTATCTTCGTCAGTGTAACTACTAGTTCTGCTTGTCTCTGCACAAGCCTTGTTCTTGAGAGCTGTCCCTTGTGCACTCGTCGAGAAACACCTGTGACCCAATAGTGAACCTCATGTGGCTAATTGAGAAGGATGCAACTCACTGAACATTTTCACTATAGAGCTTGATGGTCACCTTCGGGCAGATGATATTCATCTTGCGTCAAACTGAAAAGTGCTTGGAGAACATCCATGTTGGTGAAGCTGTCCACACACTCGGCGCTACTTCGGCGTCTCCAACGGGCGCCTCGATATATCGACCATCCATCTCTCATTACCATACACGACGTAGTAAGTCTCAGATGTCTCTTGCCCACTGCATGCGCTGAACCTAATAGAGCACCTATAGCTAGTTTTACAGCATGCCCGCACTGGGCGACGGCAGAATCCCATCTGCACCGTCGCCGCCGCCCATATGTCCCTAAAACCACCATCCCTCCTGCAGCAGCACCAACGACAACCACCACAGGGCGAGCAAGACCCGGACTTTGAAATCACGATCCGCTTCTCTGCCTCTCTCCCGGACCTCCAACTCTCGATCCCGGCCTCTGTGAATGCAAATGCAGCCACGTTAAAGCAGCTCATTCGGTCGCGCATCCCAGATGCATACGCCAAACACCGCATTCGATTGATCCACGCGGGCAAGGCCCTGGTGGACGATGTCCCGCTCACGAGCTCGTTGAAGAGGAACGTCTCCCGCCCACCGAGCCGGATTGGCACGCCTGGGCCGTACGATGAGAGATCCAATAATGGCGCAGCGACAGCGAGGGGGAATAATAATGCCGGTGACGGTGGCGGGAAAGGAGACACTGGGAAAGGCAAACAACCGGTGCGAGATCCGCCGTCGCAGTCGCAGTCGAGAATCTACATCCACTGCTCGATAGGGGACATCGTCCTCTCCGCCGCAGAACTGGCTGCCGAGGCTGCCATTGCCGCTGCAGCTCAACCGACAGATGATCAAGATGTGGAGGAGGATAAGGCGGGCGATCGAAATCAGCAAACTACTACAACGACACCCGCGCCTCGCGGCTTCGACCGTCTCCTCAACGCCGGCTTCAGCGCCGCAGAAGTCCAATCCCTCAGACTCCAGTTCCTCGCTATTCAGGCGCACACACACACCCCAGACACGATGCCGTCGCCCAACACGCTCAGAAACATGGAAGACCGGTGGCTCGACAACTCCAACTCCACAGGCGCGGCGAATGCCGATCTGGGCACAGACACGACGGCGGTGCTAGGCGACGATGACGCCCAGGCTGGCGCTCTGGACGACATCATCTGGGGCACGGCCATGGGGTTCTTCTGGCCCATCGGGTGTCTGGTGTGGGGCGTGCGCGAGGAGGGGATCTGGAGTCAGCGGCGCAAAATGGCCGTGATTGTCGGGTTTCTGCTCAATATAGGGTTGGGCGTTATCAGGTATACGGGTTGAAGACCTCGAGAACTACAAAGTCCACGAGCGATGTGGGTGGGAAAGATCTAACGACGAACAACGCCGTGTTTCCATCTTGGAAAAGCACACATAGGGATATATTTAGACATGTATCATTCAGAGCACATCTGTATAATTTCTTGCTTTTTATCCCTTGGGAAGCGTGCCGAACCGACTGATACCAATAGAGAAAGAATTCTGGAAGCAAAGGCTCCTATCACAAGCGCCCCGCCATCCAACACCTTCTGAAAGGCCTTTTAAAACATCAAATTCATATGTATGGTGGTGAGGAAAAAGAACCATCAACAGTCGATCATCCTGGGTCGACCTCATCCACATATGAAACCGCTCACTTGAACTTGCTGTATATTACACCGATAATGAGCAGCACAAGCACAGTAATAATGGCGATGGTAATCACGCGATTCGTAGCCATTCTGTTTTTTCACCAAAATCGAAAGAGCAGACGTGTCAGCTTCGCCCAAGATGCAATTTGTGGATTTCAAGAAGGGGGAATAGATTCTTACCTGCGCGCCATGCCTCTCAGGGTCTTGACGCTCCGATCCACGTAACCTTCACTCTGCAACAGATTCCGATGCGTGTTTTCAATCACATTCCGCTGTTGATGGAGATCCGCCAGCGTCGATGCGCCAATCTGTTCCGTCTCCAGCGCTATCCGCTGCGACTCTCTTAACCGGTCGGAACTGCGCCCCAGTCGCTCGGTGCCGGACAGGAGCTGCTGGCGCTGTTCGAGCTGCGCGTCTCTGGGACCACCACCACCGGCTTCGGGGTCATCCGTGTACCTGTCGCCGAAGAGCTGTTTGCGGTCCGAGTCGGCGAGCGATTTCAGTTTCCGCTGCAGGGAGTCGATGTCGGACTGGTGGTTGCGGAAGCGGGAGTTCACTTTACTCCGTTGCGAGGTCGGGATGTTGGATTTCTCCAGGTTCATCTGGTCGAGCTATTCCCACCAAGTCAGAGACGAGTCTTCTCCTTTTGTGTTTCGCGACACCTACCAACTCTTTGGCCTCGTCAATAGCCCTTTCCGCGCCCCGGATTGCAGCTTTCCTCTCCTCCCCCTGGAGTTCGGGAATCTGGTCCAGTTTCTGGTTCACGTCTGCCTGGACCAGCCTCAGCTCGGCTTCGTAGGTGCTGAAGAGCTCAGAGCCCGCGTCGGTGTCGAGTGGGTTGGCCATTGTCGCCAAATCTCGTTGACGTGTTCGGAATGTGGTTCGGTAGCAGGGGCGTAATTCAGTGGCGCCTAGTCACTGGTCGTCGCCAAAGAGGACGGGTTGGAAGGGAGGGGCTGGGGAAGGAGACGATCTATCTGTGAGAGACGGCCGTTCACAAGCGCGACAATAGTGGTTTAGTCTTTAATGTGCGAGGTTAAAAGGATGGTACAATTGTGCCTGCGATATCAGACCATGTGATGTAGTTGGAGGACGTAGTGCTGGGAAATGTGTTCGCAATTGACGTCGGCAGAGGCGAGGCGAGGCGAGGCGAGACGGTCGCAAGCCGGTCCCGTTTCGGAAATCTCCGACGCCGCTTTTGTCCCTCGGATTCCCGCAACGCAGCTGGTATCCTCGGCCACAGCTTTGATTTGACTTTGATGAGAAGGTTAAGACCAGAACCCTTCTATAAGTGGCGGTCATTGATCTTAGAGACCTCGAAATCATGGACTCATCAGTTTCCCGTGAGTTGAGCCTCTATGTCCAAGAATTGGCTCGAAGGTGAGACGGCTAAACCATTAGCTATGCGAGCGACTCGGAGTCGGACCACACGCCGAGATCTCACTGAACGGTCGTGAGCTGGGACTTCTTGCGTCTTCCAGCCATGAGAAAGCGTGTTGCTATCGTGGGCAGTGGCTGCTCAGGCCTCGGCGCTTTATGGGCGCTCAATACCAGCACTGGCCATGAAATCCATCTATTTGAGGCAGCATCGCGACTAGGCGGGCACACGAACTCCATTTCCTACGAAGGACCCAATCGCCAGAAGGTCGAAGTCGATACCGGTTTGATTGTCATCAACGCTGCTACCTCCCCCAACTTTATCCGATTCCTCCAAGAATTAGGTATTCCGTTGAAGAAGACAGACCTGAGCTTTGGCGTCTCGTGCGATCAAGGGGCGTTCGAGTGGGCGTGGACGTCGTGGTCCTCCATCTTTGCCCAACGGAGGAATATCTTCAGCCCTGGAATGTGGAGGTTGATTTTTGAAGTCATCCGATTCAAAGAGTTTGCACTTGACCTTCTCGAAAACGTCGACAGTGGGGATGACACCACCGCTCAGGAAATCCAGCAAAAGATCCAACACCGGTCCCAAGAAACTATCGGTGAATATCTCGACCGCGAAAACTACTCCAAGGAATTCCGTGATAATTATCTCATTCCGATGACGGCCGCCATCTGGGGTACGAGCCCTGATGAGTATTCCCTGGGGCTCCCGGCCATCACAGTTGTTAGATTCATGTACAACCGACACATGCTGAATATCGCTGCGAAATTCTCGGATTGGTGGACCATTCCTGGCGGAGCTGGGCGATATATCGAAGCAGTGGTGCAAGATTTCCCCGCCGACAGAATCCATCTCGAATCCAAAGTCACCTCGCTGACGCCAGGTGACAAAGGTATTGTCGTGTTGAATGCAAATGGAAAAGACCATGAATTCGACCATGTGATCGTCGCGACGCAGGCAGATCAAGCTCTGGTGATGTTGCAACCGCTAACAACCAGAGAGGAATCCGACATTTTGAGGGGTTTTCGCAGCAGTAGAATTGTTGCCGTGCTGCACTCGGATCTCTCTTTGATGCCTAAGCGACGACAGGCATGGTCGTCCTTGAATTATATCACCGAGTCCTCATTCCCGCCTAGCAGGCGCAAGCACATCTCCAAAGGATGTCTGACCTATTGGATGAATGCACTCCAAGAAATACCACCGAGCCAGTTGGGACCCGTTTTGGTCACCCTAAACCCGTTGAACATGCCTGATCCTCGACTGGCGCAGGGTATCTGGGAGTATTCCCATCCCCAGTACAATGCTGCCGCGATCAAGTCACGGAAGCTGTTGTCCAAGATTCAAAATACCAACAACATCAGCTACTGCGGAGCATGGACCAGATACGGCTTCCATGAAGATGGCTGTAGTAGTGGGTTGTCGGTCGCTATCAGCCATCTGGGGGCAAAGGTGCCCTTTGAGTTCATCGATCCGACTTCGTCCAAAGCGAAGAAGCCCACTCTGACAATGAAGAATTATTTGCTGAGGCTAGTCATTCTCCTCGTGCAGATAGCGTTTTTGCTGGTCGAAAGGGCATGGTCGAGAATGGCAGCAGCGATCGACAAAGGCATCGCCTCGCGCCGAAAAACCTCCTGAAGCTCAGCCAGCAGAGATGGCCAGCCCGGCAGTCTGCCTCATCAACGTCGTACTTCCCTCTTCTTCTTCAATTCCCACCTCAATGGCAGTGCGCGGCCGGCTCTTGTTGAGCCCTTCCAGCAGAGAACAAGCCTTGCAGACTTTTTGACTGGATAGATAACCACATCTCTCACATTGGCCCATGACCTGTTTGACCACTTTCCGGCGTCCTCGACGCTTCTTGTCATGAATGCTCGTTTGCACCGCTAACTGAGGCGCCCGGATTTCTGTTTCGCGTTCGGCCGCGGCTTCGTTGGCGGTCAGATCCTTCTCCAATCGGACCATGGAGTCGCTGGTCTGGTTCTGCCCGCCACAACCATTTGTCTGTTCATCACCTTCTGCGCCACAAGATGTCGAACTGGCTAACTCAGGGGGCACAAGCGTGGCCATATCCTCTCCACTCCTCACAATGTCCAATATGCTGCTGGGTCGAATCTTTTCCAAATCTTTAATCAACGTTCTAGCGCTCCCTCTAAACGCCTCTGGCGAGTAAATGCACTCTGTGCTGAAGTAATCCAATTTCTTGTGGTAAGCATAGAGAACGATTTCCTTCTCGTACGCATACTTTAGTGGCTTACTCCTCTTGATCTCGCTCGCAGAACTGGAGGTCATGATAGAAGTCGCTCTGGCAAGTCGGGGGAGATCGCCACGAAGCAGGTTCATCATGACGGTTTCAGCAACATCGTCAGCATTGTGACCAGTCACGACGTGTTTGATGCCCAACTTTGCAGCCCCTCGATCCAACGCCTGTCTGCGAAATACACCGCAGTAGGTGCAATTGCCTTTCTTGCCTACCTGGGCGACGACCTGGTCCATTGTCCACCCATAGAGCTGATCGTATCCGACAATTTCGAGGGGCATTTCGTACTGTACGGCATTCCGCTTCACCGTCTCAAGGCTGTCGTCTCGATAACCCTTGATCCCTTCGTCGATGGACAAGAGCACAAGATCTAGGCCGTAGTCGTGACGTTCGTTCAGGGTCTTCAAGACCGAAGCGAGAACCGTCGAGTCCTTGCCGCCAGATGCGCCGATGGCAACACGTTCTCCGCGGTGGAACAGTTTGTTACTCACGATGGTGTCGTGAATCTCGGCCTCGAATACGGACAGAAAGCATTGTTTGCAGATCTTCTGCGAGTTCTTCGGGCGGATCACTGCTGCCCGCGATTCTCTGCAGATCTCGCATATCGTCGGTGCCATCTTTTCACTCTCCAGGAGAACTGAGGCAAGCCTCCCTAATTCTCTTCGAGGTCAAAAATTGTGAACTAAAAAGATCCGGCGGAGCAAAAGGGCCCTATATGCTTATACGGCGGGGTATTAGTTTCGTCCCGACCTGTCGCCATAATTTCAATGTTTTCAATATGCGTTTCTCCTTTCTCTGCGTGGTACACCCTCCTCGTCACTCGCTCGAATGCATTCAACTCTCCAAGCGGAACTACGGTTCTCGCAGATCATTTGTTCCAGTTGTCGACATTGCGCCCGGCAACAATCGCGCAACTCCCGCCGCCCCTTCAGCACAGCGCCTCGTCTTCGGACTTCTCAGAAACCGTCGACTAGTATTGGCTCACTTGGTAGCCGCGGAGTCGGTGATGATTCAAATAGCCATGGAGCTACTCGGGTGGAGGTAGCAAGAGACAGTGGCCCTCTTGAAGAGGAGCCGACACCCACTCATCAACATCGACTCGGTCCTCATGAAAATCCCATTGTTCAAACAGCGGACGATGCTCGAGCGAAAGACTTCTACGGCTCGCCCGCGAAAAGAAGACTGCGGAATCGTATGAACAAGGATGAAGAGACGGAATATCAAGCTCCGGAATGGTTCATGGACAGCAATGTGACCATCTTCGGGTCGGGCTCCCTTGCTCCCAGTACCCCCTCGAGAATCAAAACGGTGGCCGCAGATCTGCTTACCGGCGAGCCTCTTGAACAAAGCTCCTCCCCGGACTCTGGCGGTGCGCCTCCACATGGCTCAGACGGCAAAGGAAGCGACCCTTCAATCCACAACTCGCTTGGGAACACAACCGTGACAGAGGACAAATTAGAGCAAGCAGAAACATTACCTCCTACGAGACCTTCGTCGATGTTGTCAAGGTACTATGTCGTGGATGAACAATATGAAGAGGTTATGCGGACTGCAAGAGGTCTCATGCAAGTGTCCCAAAACCAGAATCCTCAAAATGGCGCCGAGTCCTTTCGAGATCATCTTCACCTGCAATACGCAGGCAAGGATGGCGATCTACTACTTGACCATCTTGTGCAGGATATTGCACGCCAACTTGGCTGCGATTTGATGGTAGTGGATGCTCAAGACATTGCCGACCTAATTCATCGAAACCATACAAATCAAAGCACAGCCAAGGCCGGCCGTATGCTCAGCTACGACGTGCTGTCAACCGCGTTTCCAGACCTCTCCGAACACAATTCATCGAATGAGGCTCAGGATGTGGATGAAGACGATGGAGATATCGAAGACATGATGGACGACATGGATTCCTCGCCTTCTTCTCCTCGGATAGGAATGCCCATGTTCATTGGAAGGCCTACTGCGATCTTGAAGACTATAATCGGACAGATCCCAGAACTTGGAGATGGGATGCGATCAGAAGCGCCTCGAGGTACGCTGAGAATGTGGCCAGACTTCACCGATCCTCAAAAGCCACGGGACGAGCATGGCGCCCTATCCGGGCTCATATACAAATTGCTAAAGGGCTTTTCGGATCGGCGAACCGCGGCGGGGCCGTCAGGGAAAGAGCATATTAGCGATTCAGAACGGCAACGGGAGGCTGCAGCAGAACGGAATGGTGTCCCAAAGGGTGGCGCGATTGTCCACGTCAGAGACTTCAAGGCCATCCAGAGCCTTGGCATGGGTCGCTCGTTTCTGAACAACCTTCACAGGCAACTGGCTCAGAAACGAAGCAAGGGCGAATGCGTTCTGCTAATCGGTACAGATTCTGCTCGAGAAGATCAAGAACCTTTTACCCGGGAACTTATTAACGAGTCCCAAAGCGGCGTACAAGATGGGAAGTCACAAAATATCGTCCTAACGCCGGTTTTGCCGAACACTTCATCCAAGCTTGCACTTCTTCACGATAGGAAGCAACGCATTTCCACGGTCAACATGAGACACCTCTGGGAGACCCTGAGATATTGGAAGCCATCCATCTTTGCTCATTTAGAATCAGGTTTCTGGCGGAGTGATTTCTCGGACCGCATCACCCGCAGTGACAGATCATGTTTGGAAGGACAGGTGTGGAATCACCAATATGTGCAACGGCTGGCAACCTATATCGCAGGAGCCGTTTCGTCAAATCAGGACGGTGAAACCGATACTTCTACGACCACAGAGCAACCGCAGCCCATCATTAGCGCCGCAACATCGCATTTGAACCACAGTGACAAGACTAAGATCCGGTGGGCGGAGAAGCAGTTGAAAGAAGCAAAGAAGGAAGTTCCAGAACGCCATATGAGCAAGGACGACCGACTCGCCAGAATACGTGCGTCGGCTTCCAAATACGAGAAACGATTGATGGGAGGCATCGTTGAGGCAAAGAACATCAACACAACCTTTAACGACGTGCACATGCCAGTTGAGACCATTGATACCCTTCAAACATTGACCACTTTGTCACTCATTCGACCCGAAGCTTTCAAATATGGTGTCCTCGCTTCCGACAAGATTCCAGGTCTCCTTCTTTATGGCCCACCAGGCACAGGTAAAACACTGGCCGCCAAAGCGGTCGCCAAAGAATCTGGTGCGACTATGCTCGAGGTCAGCGCGGCAGACATCAATGATATGTATGTGGGCGAAGGAGAGAAGAATGTGAAAGCACTTTTCAGCCTGGCCAGGAAGCTATCACCCTGCGTTGTCTTTCTGGACGAGGCAGATGCTATGTTCAGCGCGAGGAGCAATCAAGGTCGGCGGGTCAGTCATCGCGAGCTCCTCAACCAGTTTCTGAAGGAGTGGGACGGGATGAGCAACGACTCGGGCAGCGCATTCATTATGGTTGCGACAAATCGGCCCATGGATCTTGACGATGCTGTCCTTCGCCGGTTGCCGCGTCGCTTGCTCGTCGATCTTCCCAGGGAGCCTGATAGGTTGGAGATCCTCAAAATTCACCTGCGCAACGAGAACCTCGGCGAGGATGTCGACTTACAAGATCTTGCCAAAAAGACGCCCTTCTACTCCGGCTCCGACCTGAAGAATGTCGCTGTTGCAGCGGCATTGAACTGTGTCAAGGAGGAGAACGAACTGGCCAAACAACACAAAGGGGAGGAGCCATATCAACACCCCGAGCGACGTACGCTCACAAAGAAACACTTCGATCAGGCACTGGACGAGATTTCGGCCAGCATTTCGGAAGATATGTCAAGCTTGAGGGACATTAAGAAGTTTGACGAGCAGTTTGGAGACAAGCGCGGAAAGAAGAAGAAGGCACCTAGATTAGGATTCCCGACAGAGAAGGAGCATGAGAAGGCTAGAGATACGGTCAAGGTGCGGGACTGAGACTCTTCTCGATCGAATTGACGCCCGAAAGTCGAAGAATGCATTCTTGGTCTTTGCTTGGAAAATGAAAAAGCCAAAAAGGACAGGATAGGGCCTCTCCGTATTGATTAGACAATAGATGATTCAAAGAGGCGCGCTACACTAATTGTCGCTCGTCCCTATCTATAATGCTAGTATCGACATCGACTTGACTCACTCCTCTACATCTACATCTTACATCTTCATGCGCTGTTGGACGACTTCTTCCACCCTCTGGACCCCCCATTCAAGTACCTCCTTCATGCTCCAGGACCCCGCGCCGGGACAGATGCTCACGCCTTCCCTCTGACAGCTCTCCTCGTCAAAGACATCGGCGTCGACGTTTCCATCCTTGTACATCCAGCCGTGGTAGCGCATGTAGTTGGGCCAGACGAGATCCTCGACGTAGCCCGGCGGGTCGGTCCAGAAGCCCTCGAGGGTGACGTAGCCGGAGCGGGCGGCGCGGCGGGCGAGGGTCTGCGTGCGCGTCGAGGGGAGGAATAAGAGCGGGTGGAGCAGCGTGTGGACGAGATGGCGCAGGTGGTTTATCCCGGCCGTGGAGTGAGGGTAGTCGGAAGACGGGGCTGAAGAGGACGACGGCTGCTGCTGAGGGTACAGGAGGAATCCTTCGACGATGTAGATGCGTATCTCCCCGCCCGTTCGAGAAGATGCTTCCCCTGTCGTCCCCCCGCCATCTCCTCGTCGGCGGAACAACTCGTCTATCCTTGCCCTGGCTCTCTCTCTTTGCTCAGCCACCTCCGCGGCAGAAACCCCGCTGTTCCCGACGCTGTTCTGGTCCTCCTTCGACACGCTGTCCGGCGGCAGATCGCCGTGGTCGCGGATGTGTGTGAGGGTGTGTTCGAACAGCGCGAGGTCCAGGGAGTCGATGCAGTCCCAGTCCTGGAGTTCGCGCGCGCCGAAATCCTTGGATGAGACGGTGACGGTCGGGATTCTTTTTTGTGTTGAGAAAGTCAGCGGGAGAGAGAATTGGGAGAGTTTGAATAGGAGTGGTTATTAAGGAACCGAATCAAAATGAACGGGGAGGATTGGGACATCCTCCGCCCACCCGGGGGATGAGCTCGAGCATTTCAACACCAGCGACAATCACTGATAGATTGCCTTCTTCGAAGTCGAAAGAGCGTACCTCGCCATCCCATAAACTCAGAGGACTTAACGCGATAAAAGGGGGAGAAAATAAGAACCTCAGCACGTACTCCTGGTCCGTCTTATAAAAGTCATCCTGATGCAGAATAAACAAACTAATCTTCCACCCGTCGTTCTCCAGGTTGAAGATCTCGCGCAACAGTCTCGCCAGGGTCGTCTTGCCGCTTGACGACGGGCCCGAGAGGCCGATCAGGACCGTTTCGACACGGCCGTCGGGCGTGTTGGAATCTTCTGATGGGCCTCCATGGTGGTAATCTTGGTGCTCCTCCCTGTCCATCTCGACGTATGCTTCTTTCCGGCGTCTGGATGACGATGACACCATGGGGTATGCAGACCCTGTGGGAGACCTGTGGATATGTATGTATGTGTGTATGTGGCTTATATATCGTGCTTGCTTATCGTCGACAAAGGCAGCTTGCCAGGGGGCGCAGATGGAACTGATTTGTCCTGCTTGCGGGACCAGATAGGCTAGGTTGATGAGCAATAGGACAACTTACAAGGGAGGAGGTTGATGCTGGAGTGGGTAACTTCGTATGCCATTATATTCTGGCTGGCGATATTATATCACATAATGATGGGTTATTTCTCCAACTCCGTCCACGGCCGCTATAATGGACTACATAGTCCAAGGCAATTTCTGCTCCACACATCCACGCAAAACCCATCCCCCTGACAGAGTGATATATACTAGAGTTTGGAGTACATGTGTGTGTATGAATATCCATTGGAACATCTACTCATCTCAAACGGCCTGGACAGCCACTCTCTACAAGGCCAGGCTGTATCTCTCCCTTTACCATTCTAGGTAATTCAGTCAATCAACTCGTAGGACACGTTGAAAAGCATTAAAGTAGGAATTTCTCCGTAGAGACACATCTCAGTTCTATGAGCAAGCAGCGGCGATACTTGATTGACATAATCCTCGATCCTCCATTTCCAATCCGACGCCCACCCGCTGTACCACTCCTTCTTGCTTGTGTCGCATCACCAGAATCCTGCAGAGCCCTGCGCGCCAGTACCAGTGTCCATCCACATGCACCCCCTTTTCTCATCTTTGTCGGTCGACTTCATCCAGGTTCAGCCCGCCGCCGCATGTCAGCATTGCCTTCCTCCTCTTGACGCTCGTATGCCCGTGTCGCGTATGAGCGTTACATGTCCACAACATCGAACGTCGGCAAGCTCCGCCGAAGCTAACAGACCCTTCCCCGTGACAAACACAGAAAGTCGAAATAATGATACAAAAACGCGTCGAAGCTGCCGAGCCGCCCATTTTCTCCGCGTGCAAGCCTCTTTGGCGCAAGCTTCCCAAAGAAAAGTCGTTGCGGCCTGTCTAGACAGCAACATGTCTGTTCATCGGCACATTTGGAGCCCTGTACCGCAACGAGGCCGAGAAATCCCTTCCGTTCCCGACTCGCAACACCGACACCGAACCCCTTTGGAGACAATCCCACACAAGGGGGTATATGCAATTGTAGAAAACAAAACAATGACAACATCTCCCAGGAGCATTCATTTCCACACCACGCCGTCAGGAGATTTTGACCGACGTAGAGAGTCCAGGCTAGGCAGCTTCTACACCCTCCGATAGGGTGACGAAACAGCCTTTTTCTGTCAAGGAGACGACCTCTTCAGCCCAAGGGTGGCTGGGAGCTCACGCAGATCCCTTCTGCCGCTTGCCACCGAGCTTTGGACTTGGCTTGACTTTATTGGCTCCATTCACCTCTCCCTGAGCATTTTCTTCTTCTATCTTGACCACACTTGCGCGTCGTCTCTTGTTGGAAACGTTCGGGCTAGTGTTTGTGCTTGGGCCCTGACTCCCACTGAGATTTGATCCCTGAGCACTCATCTGGTGCATCATGGCTACACCTCCCGCGGTGGGGTTCTGGGCTGGACTCGGTGTATGCACTGGACCTCCCATCATTGGTGAGCCTTGAGCTTGAGGAACGTTGAGATGCCCCATTGCAGGCGAGTTCATCATGTTGGGCCCGTTCATGCCAGGGTTCATTTGATTGGGAAATATCACCTGGCCATTGGCGGCCCTCGCCATCTGGTTCAATCGCTGGTTGTTCGCCTGGGCCATGTTTTGCGCATTTTCCTGCGTCACTCGCAGCAGCGTGTCTTTCGGAGAGATTCCAGGATGTTGCTGGTAATACTCCATGAGTGGACCCATGGCGGTCATGACCTCAGCAATCTGAAAATGTGTTAGTTGTTGTGCGGCCATCACATATAGCTACATACCTCTAAGAATTGGGAGATGTGCTGGGGAACACCCCATTCACCAACGCCTGAGCTAGGTATCACTGGCCCTGCTCCTGATACATTGGCCTTGCCTTGTGTCCGTTTGAGGTTCTTATTTGTGATTTTGGGGCTCTGCTTCATTTCTGGCGACATGGGCTGTAACAACACGTTACGTGGAATGTACTCTTGCCACCCCGTGGAGCTGATATTCAGATGCTCAATGGTTTGAACATCATCAAAAAGCACACGCAGCTGTCCATTGGTTGTCACTCGAATATCGTTGCCAAAAACATAGGTCAGACTCGCACTGCTGCTAGTAATGTGGACGCCGCCGTTCGCTGTCTTGGTTTGGGTATGTTCAAAAGACTGTAGGAGGATTTGCTTGACCCCACTCGCAAAGTATGAATGGTAGTAGCGGGCAAGGGAGGGGAACTGGAGCTGGAAGGATTTGTCGCCCCCGGATTTGTTGTTGAAAAATTGCTGTCTCAATGACCCGATCGGCGAAAAGAATCTGGTAATCAATGCCTCCCAGTAGTCCAAATCATTTGGCCGTTCGGGGTGTGCGAGAAGGTCCTGGTACTCGATCAGTTTTAAAATGCATTGACCACCAATCATGTCCTGTTTCGGTAATTCAGACATGATCATGTTGGCGGCCACTTCTTGCTGCTGCTTCAGACGAGGCTCCTCTTCCGGTTCTGTAGTCTTAACTGGCTGATTAACCGGTTGGTTTTGTGGTTGGTTATTCACAGGTTGCGGCTGTGGTGGTTGAGGTTTGGGTTGAGCGGGCTGAGCTTGGGGTTGTGAGGTTGGGGGAGGTTGCTGAGGAGGTTGTGTTTGGGGTGCTGGCGTGGGCTGCGACTGTGGAGGTTGAGTAGTCTGTTCTTGTGACCGTGACATTTGCATTTGTTGAGCTACCGCCCTTTGGTTCTGAGCAGCGGCTGCCATCTGCGCTGCATGTTGTTGCGCCTGAGCCTGAGCCTGTTGAGCTCGCATCAACTGCTGCTGATTGTGTTGATGTTGCTGTAACTGCTGCATCTGAGGATGGTTGGGATTCATCCCCATCTGTGGGTGCATGCCCGCCATGCCCATCTTCATTTGCGCCAGCTGTGCCTGGTTGAAGCCGGGCGCATTTGGGATTCCCATGGGCATGCCTTGTGCTTGAGCCTGAGACATCTGCTGCATCATGCGCTGGCGAGCCATGAACTGCTGTTGCTGCGGTGTCATCATCCCTTGGCCATAATTCATCTGCGGGTTATGCTGCTGAAATAAGGCCTGCTGAGGATTCATATGGGCCATGGCCATACCGTTGTGCATGGGGCCTGGAGCAGGAGTTCCAGCACCCGGTGGCATCCCAGTGACCATGGGTCCCTGGGTAACTTGGGGAGCAGACACTCCTGGATGCATGGCCTGCATCATACCGGGTCCAGGTTGACCTCCCATGTGGCCAGCGCCAGGATGTTGCATTCCCATGGGATGGCCCGGAGGTATTCCAGGATGACCTGGGGCGATGCCCGCATGGTGCGGGAAGCTTTGGGCCATCATCTTCGAAGACGATTACCTAGCAAAACTCGAATTCGCAAGGTCCGCGCGACGTTATACGAAGTATTTCTGATTACTTCTGTTGGGTTTCTGGTCCTTCTCTTTTTTCCCACCTCCGATCCCTCTGGCCCCACTTTTTCTGGCGGAAAGATCGCTGTGGTTGTTCGGCACGGAGCGAACTGTTGTCACATTTGTATGATCTGAAGGTTTCATGCAGTTGGATAGGTAGAGGGTCGATGGACGAGGTATTTTCCTGCCGATGGTCGACGCGGCGTGGATGTATTGCGAAAAATGCTGGTCTGGGCGATGTTTCGCTGGGCCAGGGTCGTCTTACGGGGGCTAGATCAGTGTCGCGACAACGACGATAATCGAATCATCGGGCGGTTGCGGCAGTGATGGAAGCGCGCCGAGGCTTCATGATCATTTCATCTTGTTGTGAGTCGCGGAGCAGAAGTCAAGGCGAGTAGCCAGGTGAGGCAGATGATCCGAACGTTGTGAGGGTTGCGGTTGCGATGTTATCGGGCTGGTACACTGCGGTGGTACCCGTGATCTGATGACCCCCGGGCAGAAGTGGACGGGAACCGGTCGGAAATTAGGAGGCAGGCTTCAAGAGCAGAGTCGAGGGCGATGAAGAAGGGAAAAGAGCGACAAGACAGTGAGAGCGCCAGTTGAGACTGAATGGCAGACACTGTTCAAGCCCCGGGCGGTTGAAGACTCTGAAGATCAAGTTCCAAGTCGCAGGGTGCAACTTTCAGGATCTGCAGGTGTGCAGGTGCAGATGGCAGATGGGTGCAGGGAGAGACACTTTCAGATCACGGAAGATGCTGGGGGGGGGGGGGGGGGGGGGGGCTCGGTGGGTGATGGGAGAAGCGGCCGTCGGGGCCCAAGTTGAAACTCAGCGACCCGATTTACTTGCCAGCGTGCCAGCCTGAGGGCCGGTGGACTTGATTCCCCCAATCATCCGCCAAGCAATCTTGGGCTGCCACGCTTGACCCAATCCGGCACTAGCTGCTCGCTGTTTCAAGAAAATAAATTCGGCTCTTTTTTCTTGCCCATTCTTTGCCTGCGGTTCCTCTACAAGAACCTCGCACACAACAACTTTGCACGCCTCCTTTCCATGTCCCAACGAAATGGTGCTCGGTGATATTGACTGATGAGCAATTCCAAGACATGGTAAGCACACTCCCAAGCACACCCTATCCTCCCCGGTATCCGGCTTGCAAGATGACAACCTAAAACTCTTCTTCTTTCTATCCTGAGTCGCCCTTGAAGAAACATTCGGACTGTCATCGCTGGACAGTCTGTTACTAGCCAGTATTTTATGTCTGACTATAGCTCACCTCCACAACATCTGTCATTGCTCTGTCTGTGTGTGCTCTGTTGCTGACTGGTAGCTCAGGAACGCGAAGGCGGCGAAGTTAAGTTGTGTATGCAAGTCCATGTCCTGTAGCAAGGTGCTGGCAAGGTACGTCTCTACGAAACCCCCGCCCTGCCTCACATCGCCTTTTGTCTGCACACTCTTTTTCCTATGATGAAAACCTTTTCCACATTCGCAGTTTCCACGCTAGCCCTGGCATATGAACCTATTTTAAGTCCAGGTGTCGTTGAGCGGCAAATCTTCCTTGGATGTCTGATTGGAACTTTACCTGAGAAGCTTGTCATTTTCCATGGACCTGTCGAGTTCAAGCGCTGACCAGTATCTTGTGCAGGTAGTTCTCCGTCCCCTTCTATTCCGATGATCCCAAGCATACATCCTCTCGTAGCTGCCGTGTGTCTTCGTGGTAGGCTTCTCAGTGGCAGAAGAGCAAAGAGTTGGAAAGGAGATGTTGTCTAGACAATATGGATTACCCAGACCATATTGTGGTTGTGCAGCCCGGATACTGCAATATTCGAGACTGGCCGACTGCACAGTCCTTCATACATAATTCATTCTAAATACCAATTCTGAGACTCGTTGACATTTTGGCTGTTTTACATGGTCCGCTTGTCCCTACAACCCACCAGTCAGCCCTTTCGTTCCTTCATGGTTTTCTGGGCATGGTTTTGCCCAGCACATGCGCTTCTTTGGAAGGGGAGAGGGTCTTCGTGATTGCTCTGGCGCACGCGGTGTTCTTGGACGTCCTGAAGCCGCTTCTTTAGTTTCCTCAGCTGGACATTTAACATCATAGTCGAGAGCAGTATCTGCCACACTGCCATTTGTTGGTCTTTGACTCTTGGGCCTCTTTCTCTGCATGCCAACGGCTTCACTCTGACTGTTGAGGGGCACGAAAAGCAGCTTTGTCCATTCCTTGGTTTTTCAATGCCCTCAGCTGATGAACGAAGTCCCTGCTTGCTCTACAACTTTGGCGCTTCTCCTCGCATCGATGAATAGGTCTTCGCACTCCGCTACATCCTCGACACCTATCTCCGTCCTTCCGTTGACCTTGGCAAGAATGCTGCTGGGCGTCAATAATTGTAACGCGTATCGTAAACTGACGTTCGTGCCATGTTGCGCAACCTTCTCCAGCGCAGGTTCAGATAGTGCAAGACCCTCGGTCTTTGCGCGTAGCCGAATGATTGTCTGGACTTCGGAGGCGTTGTATGGATGTGTAGGGATGATGAGCAAGCGGGCGAGTAGGTCTGGAGGGATGCCGTGAGCAGCTGTGATATCCTGCGTGCCACGAATGAGGGTGTTACCCCGGTTTGAAGCGAGAATGACGATCGGGGAGATGGGGGATTCGAGGGCGCGGTTGAGATAGGTGAAGCATTCAATGTCGAGCATGTGGACCTGGCAATGCCCGGTTAAAACAATTCCGCAATATGGTGAACGTCCATATACTCACCTCGTCAATAAAGAGGACACCAGGAACCAGCTCCGCCACGCCTTGATCAATATATCTGCTCACCACCTTGTTGATCTCGGCACGCAATTTGTCTGTGATCTCGGTCTTTTTTGGCTTCATCAGTTGGCCCATCATGCTCATAACATCCTGGCCGCCCTGAGGTCTTGCATTGGCGATATCCAAATCATGCAACGTCACGTCTTGCACAACCTCTTTCTTTTTATGGACTTCTCCCTTCGGAACGGGCACGTATTCTTCTGCCTCGAGGTCGAATTCGGTCGCGTAGGCGTCTGAGCGACCCACTCGCTTGCACGCACCGGTGTTGGCTTCTATGTATATCACATCGCCAACCGTCACTCGCTCCTTTTGAATGGCTTCATATATGCTGGGGTCGAGGCGGAGCTTCTTCGTGCCTCTGGCTGACTTCAAGGTGATGATCAGGTGGGAGATGGTGCGGCCAAAGCCGCCGAGAGGGTTCTCTGCTTCTTCAGGGAGGAGTTCGGTCACTTCGCCTTCGTAAACTTCTTTCGTTTCGCGCACACGAAGTCCTGTTGTGGGCGATAAATGAGCATTCGAGTTCATGCATGAGCAGTTTCAGCTTACCGATTGCTCTTCGGAAATTCTCCATCAAGGCTTCTGTCTTCTTCACCTCTGAAGAATAGACTTCGCTGCCGACGATTGGACAAAATGGCACTTTCGTTCCCAGCTCTTGCGATACTGCCAGTGCCAAAGCTGTCTTACCAGTGCCAGGTCCTCCCGCTAATAGTACTGCTCTGCCGGACATCTTTTTGGCTTTGATCAGGTCTACCACGACTCCGCAGGCCTGTTCGTCGTCAGAAGAGGAAAATGTATTCGCTGCAGATGGAGAATGTACCTCACGGGCAGCAGCCTGCCCGACGAATCCATTGCCAGAGGGTTCAGCGGTGCCGTCTGATCGCAAGCCCAATCCCTTGATATGTGTATGCGCCGCAGTTCTATTTTCGCGCGCATTGCCCTTGACTTCGCTGATGTTAACCATGATCGCTTAAGTTCTTGAAAGGCCGGCTAGGAGGGACAGGGACTTTGTCGCGTGATGCCGCAGAAGGTGGGAAGGAGGTCGCAAATGAGTTTGGGTGGTCAAATTGTGGCTGTCGCGGTCATGGTTCTTAGAAGTTGTGAATTGCACGCTAAAACTTGTCAAGGTTCATACGTCTCAATTGTGCTTTTATTTTCTTACTCAATACACCCAGCAACAGCCACCGCCTTCACCCTGCGCGGACAACCACACGCGGGTGCTTCCCCTGCTCCTCCTTCTCGACTGCCTGACTCTCCCTGCTTTAGTCCCTCCTTTTGTGTCGATACGGTAATATCGCTTTCCACGATGGCAGCTCCGACCACCATCACGAAGCTCCCGGAGGTGCTCCGCAGTCCTACCACGCTCCAATATTTTTCGTACAGGCACCCGGTCAAACATTCAAACCCATACTTCAAGCCTAGATTCACCTTTAAGGTCGAAGACAGGAACCACACCATGCTGGACATCTACCGTCTGCGACACACAGACCCCTTGATGCCGCCCTACCCTTACGGCGAGAACAAGCATTTTCCTGAAGCAAATTTCGGTCTCTATGGCGGCGCTACGGTGCAATCTGGAAGCAAGATCTCCAAGGGCAGAAATAAGGGAAAGTCTTTGAGGCATTGGTTCCCTAATGTCCGCATCGAGACTGTGAGGAGTGAAGCTTTGAACAGAGACCTCAAGATACCCATCACGGCCCGAGTCATGAGGACTATCAGCAAATGTGGTGGTATAGATCAATATGTCACTGGGATGAAGCCCGCCCGAATAAAGGAGTTGGGCATGTTGGGCTGGAAGCTTCGATGGCTTGTCATGACATCTCCCAAATATCGGGCAGAGCATGCCAAACAATTGAAGAAATACAACCTGCCCACACATTACTCGTTATCAGGATCATTCGAGGACGCGTGGAACGATGAGAATGTCCGAGCCAAAATGATCGAGCAGCAAGAGGCGGCCTGGAGTGACCTACGGGAGGCAGCTGACCGATTTGAGAAGCATGTGAAGAGGAATTGGATCGAGAGTGGGGAGAAGGAGACTTATGAGATTCCGAAGCTTGAGACGCTCAATCGGAGCAGTCCGCTCTCGATGGGCCTGCCAGAGTACTTGGAAGAGCCGGATATTGTGGAGGAAAAGTACAGACATGTGAGAACTTTCAGGAAGTCTGTCAGAGACGACGTGCAGGAAGTTTCAACTGAACTTACACCCTTTGATGCTGACAGCATGGTCGCTGGGGGCGATCCCAAGGTAGTGGCAATGGCAATTGAGGGAAACAACTCAGGGGACGTTGAGAGCCATGCGCAGGAGATCACAGCGAAGACGGAGTCTCAGGACCTCGAAGGAAAGTCTCTGGAAGACTATATTCCACCAAATGGACTTCACAACAACGCGGCAAGGAAAGAGACGGCAATACCAGAGCCTCAGCAGTCGAAGACGAACTCGGAACATGAAAGATGAGGAGGAGACAGGTGGAATTGCGAAGTCCTGACCACAGGAGATATAGAAGATCAATGGCGAAGTCTGACTGGTACAGGACTAGCCTACAGTTCGACTCTATCAAGGATAAAGGACAGCGCTTCCGAGTCCAGCCTCGATTCTTGAGTGGGTTAAAAGCAATCAGGTCGAAAAATAAGACAAGAAGCCATCGACCTGAAGGCTAAGATGCCGGGATCAATCATATCATACAGCGTCACCAGCGTGATACGCCTGAACGCAGCAACGTATTATGAGGTGGCTGAGCACGGATCAGGTCATTGTGGAGTGGACTTTTTTGTACACCCGACGCAGGTTGTCAAAAGACAAGGAAAAGCAAGTGTTGGACAGTATTGTACTATACAGCTAGATCACGTCTGTAAAAGAGTGCGGCACTTTGGCTAAACCAGGGAAAGAGATATATTCACCTCCTTTGAATAATTGCCCGCGAATTTGGTCGGGGTCCTGCCTGTCGTTGATCTGAGACGCGCCGGGTTGTTGTGATGCTTTATTGGCGACAGCGACGTGTGCACACTCCACGTTGCTGGCAGAGATAAATCCCTCTATCATAGATTGATCTCTCGCTCCTCAAAGTCATCTTCCTTCCTTACAAGCAGCCATTCCCATTCGCAGTCTTTGCACCCGCATCACCGACGGGCACTTGTCCCTTAGCCTCCAACTCCTTCCACCTCGCGAACAGTTTCCTGAAGGCCAGGGGATCTTGCGCCCCCGACACCTCCCACATGTCATTGATCTCGTAGAACGGCACACCCGAGATGCCCTTCATATGGGCCTCCTCTGCTTCCTTGTCGACCAATTCCCCATCCCTGCCAGAGGTCAGGTACTCGGTGATTTCCTCCTTGGTGCCCAGTCCGGCCTCCAATCCGACGTCCACCAGGGTTTCGAGCGTGGTGATATCGACTTCCTCCTCGAAATAGCGTCTCCAAAGACCCAACATGACCTTGTTCTGGGAATCCTCGCCCCCTTTACCCTGCGCCCAGTGGACAAGTCTGTGTCCGTTCCTCGAGGGTCCCGTCATACCGCCGAACTTGAAGTTGAGACCCTCGCCACGGGAGGTCTGAGTCATCATGGCTTCAATCTGCTTCGCACGCTCAGGCCCAAATTTTGCGGCATACATCTCACGCCTTGGGCGCGATGGTGCCGGAAAAGGCGGCGGCGGCGGACCGCTACCCGTGGTCAGCTGTGGTGGTGGATTAAGGTAAAATGGAAAGTATTTCAGGTGAAAGGTATCATCTGGATATGTCTTTTTGTGTTCGGCAATGGCACGAGACAGACGCGTATGCCCTATGTAGCACCATGGACATACGATATCGCTGGTCACGTTAACAGTATAGTTTGTCATTTTAAAGAGGTATTGGCGTGTGGGAGCGAAGGGCATCAACTGATGGCGAGGCTTAGGTGTGTTGTGGAAGACAAAGAAGGCTTTATGTGACAAGGTGATATCTTCGAGCACGCAGAACTCTGCTGCAATAAATGCCCGGGAAAGAGATGAGGAGGGTCGTGTATAAAAGCCGACATTGGATTTGTCAGCCACTTGGAGCGACCGGCTGCCCTTTTTCCGGTCACCCTCGGCGAATGGTTTGAGATGGTCAGGAGGAGGTTCGCGTTTTATTTCGTCGGGCTTGATGGGTTGGTTGGTTCTTGTGTTTTCCATCCATCCTGGCCATTCCACCTTCGAAATGATCAAATTCGAGGACATGAACTCTGTTGTGGAAGTGGGAGGTGAGGTATGAGAGGCATATCGTGAGCTGCCTTCAATAGTCAGAAGGGAGCTGATGGCTACCTTTGGGTCGAACCTGTCTTGCATATTTCGTAGATAGAGGATGACCCGAAGATGCAGCCTTGCCATGATACTACGTATATATATCACTACATATATATATCGCAGGTGCCAATTGGGCTGGGGGCCCCTGATTAGGCTGCAGTGCGATACCTTATCCAGCTCGCCAGCCTTCCCAGAAACTTCACCGTCTGACAGTGTCTTTAATATGCAGGAGGGCAAACAACTCTGCTAGATCCTTGTCAGACGGAAATATAAACCCTCTTCACTCGACCCTTTATTTCCATCCAGATACCATTCGCTCTTCATCAATTCCTCCGCAAGTCTTGTGTTCCACCATCAATATTATGTCTAAGTCATATCCATCTTCTCATTACAGTCGAGGTGGTGATGGAGTTGAGGTCGATGAAGACCAACTCTTCGATACAGAGCAGTTCTTTGTCGGCTCTTCAAGCACCGATAGTTGCTCTTCACGTGCACTTCATCCTCTCGAGTCGAATCTCATGCTACGCTTACCCAGTCATACATCATCTTCTGTCCAAAGTCAATCTGGCAGCACTCAGCCCTCTGAAAATGGCTTGGATGCATCTCTGTCTGGCGCCCCAGCTGCACATTCCGCATGCCAAAACCCCGATCGTTTTCGCTCAGAGTCAACACCCTTCATAGAAGATTACATCGCACTTGGGTCTATTCGCCTTGTCCGAAACGCAGAAAATGCACTTAATGATGGTTGGCGAATGGTTGGATCTGCTGGAGAAGCTACTTACCCTCATGCTCTACTGACATTGGGCAAGAAGCGGCTATGGATCAAAACGTCTCTGCTCCAGCACGTCAGACAACCTGATTGTGCCTCGTTAAGAATATATGCACTACCAGAAGATGTCAACCGGAGCACTCGAGGCTCGATCAAGGATCTTAGGAAGGTTCTGACTTTCCTCATCGACTTCGTTGACATTTCTCGTGAAGCCTGGAATGGCAACTACGACCCGACGTCGCCTTTGCAATCTTACAAGCAACCAGACGACTTTCAGGAGGAATCTCTTTTTTACATCTTTAATACTTTATCCTCGCCCCAAACCTCCCTTGACGATGCAGGATCTTGTCTACACAATCAAAGGTCAATACATGGTATTGCTGCAAACAACATTGACGGTCTGCAAACTTCATTATACCCCTATCAAATGCGGTCCGTGGCCGCCATGCTGCAAAGGGAAGTAAATCCTTCTAAGTCTCTCGATCCACGAAAGCAGAGTTTCAGAGATCTCAATGGCACAAAGTTCTATCTCGATGTCAATGGAAGCGTCCTTCTCCGTCACCCTCATCTCTACAGTGAATGTCGTGGTGGTATCCTCGCAGAAACCATGGGCTACGGCAAGACCTTGATATGTATTGCTCTGATCCTAGCAACCAGAGGACATTATCCTGGGATCCCAGAGGGCAGAGTCAATGCCATCACCAGGGAACTAAACGAACGAACACCAAGCTTGCTTGACTTAGCCGCCAAAAAAATCAAACAGACCTGTGTGCCGTGGAAACCTCATTTTTCAAATCTCACAAAGACAGGATATCATTTCGATAGATGCACAGAAGCTTTGGCGAGATACGATGGCGAGTACGCTGAGCCCATCTTTCATCCCACAACGCCGGACCGAAGAGGCAAGAAACGGGAAGATTTTCGAGTCTTGCGCCTCGCAAGTACAACGCTGCTGATTGTTCCGCCCAATCTTCTCATCCAATGGCAACATGAGATAGACAAGCATACGGAAGCCGATGCCCTTGATGTATTGGTCTTGGACTCTACGACAAAAGACATACCTCATTGGAGGGAATTGATGAAGCACGACATTGTTTTGATCACTAAAGCTCGCTTTGAGCAAGAATACAGGGACGATGATCTGAACCAAGGTAGACGGTTCAAGGGACAAGAGAAATTCCGGTCCCAACTAACCGAACTTCGATGGCTGCGCGTCATTTGCGACGAGGGACATGGCTTCGCAGGCTCGAGTTATCGAACACATGCAATGGCGATGTTGGACAAGATGTCCATTGAACGCCGTTGGGTTGTCTCTGGCACACCATCTCACTCACTTCACGGTGTTGAGGTCAATCTCGCGCTTGACGAAACGAACGAGGACACGGAGACTTTGCGTAAACACTCCATCGAGACAGCCTTGGAACGGAGAAAAGCCAAGGACACTGCGACCGAAGAGCTCAAAGATATGGAACGGCTACGCGCCATCGTTGTCAGATTTCTCAAAGTGCAACCCTGGGCGAACCAGAAAGGCGCTGACTATGCCGACTGGAAAAGATATCTCTCTCCTTTCGATGCCTCTGGCAGGCGTCGTTTCGCACCAGCCTTACGAGCGATACTGCAGTCACTCATCATCCGCCATCGAATTGAGGATATAGATGTCGATCTCTGCCTTCCTCCCTTACACAACAAGACAGTCTATCTGGAGCCCAGTTACTACGATAAGCTCAGCATGAACCTTTTCAGGCTAGTTCTTACCTCCAATGCAGTGACTTCAGAAAGGAGGGACGAGGATTACATGTTTCATCCCAGAAACCGCAAATCCCTCGATGAACTGATCGTCAATCTCCGCCGATCCAGCTTTCACTGGGTCGGATTTACTGAGCATGAGGTGACCGAAACCTTGAAAGTCAGTAACAAATACCTGGACGAACACCTTGACCTGATATCTGACGAAGACGGAGCGCTTTTAAGCGAGGCAATCTTGAACGGTGAACGAGCCTTGAGTGACTCTGGTTGGTGTGCTTTCTCGTTCTACCACGAAATGGGCGTCTATATCGAAGACTTTCCGGACGAGGCTGCGAAAGTCTGGGCGTTAGACGGCGAGCATTCAAACCCTCTCCTCCTCGGAACAGTTCAAGCTCGAGAGGTCCAACAACATGTGCTGAGCAATCTACAGCTCGGGTATACCTGGATGGGACTCATTGGGGCAGGACTTCGAGCCATGCACGCAGCTCGTGAAAGAGCCACGGAAGACCAAAAAGCCAGAGATAAAGTTCGCTCGAGCTCGAACGGAAAGAAGCCTCCAACAGCGGGGACGACAGAGGAACCCAAGGTCAAAAATCAATCAGCCACCCCATCTCCTATCCGCTCTTCGACAAAGGATGTTGCTCCTGAACTTTTCCGTTCCGCAAGAAAGCGACTTTTCTCGACAAACAACGCAGTTCTCCCAAAGCCCTTAGCCCAATCGCGCATCGTGGGCTTTACATCTGCGAAGCTCAACTACCTCTGCTCACGTATCCTGACACTACAGTCAACGGAGAAGATTATCATCTTCTACGACTCGAACAACATCGCGTTCTGGATTGCTGAGGCTTTGGAGCTGTTGTCCGTCAAGTTCCTCATATACGCAAACACACTCTCGGTGACACGTCGCGCAGCATACCTCGCCACTTTCAACCACTCCGAAGTATTCCGTGTTCTCCTCATGGATCTCAAACAAGCCTCTCTCGGCCTCCACGTGGCTGCCGCCAGCCGTATCTTCATTGTGTCCCCCATTTGGCATCCCGACGTCGAGTCGCAAGCCATCAAGCGTGCGCATCGAATCGGCCAAACACGGCCTGTCTATGTCGAGACACTTGTTCTGAAAGGCACTTTGGAGGAGAAAATCCTCAAGCGACGCCGACAAATGAGTAATGCTGAGCTGGTCAAGGCGGAGAAATCTCTCCTGGACGATGGAATGATGAACGGCATTATCCGAGGCGAAGGCTTTTTGAAGATTGCAGACGATGAGAAGGCCCAGATGAGAGGAGGGAGGCTCGACAAGCCTGTCCCACTGTTTGCGAGATATGACGGCGGCCCAGCCAGCATGCACGATACAGAGGACAGTGACCTGATCCTGGGTCTGGAGGACGAGCGTCCACGGAAGAAGAAAAAGCTTGATAGGGGCAAAGGAAAGACTAAAGAAAATGGCAAGATGGTGGTGCTGGCGGCTTCAGGGCCGAATACGGTGGTCCCCTCGTCGTCATTCGAGACTGCGCCAGGCCTTTCACTGCCGGCATTAGAAGAAGGTCCTCATACCTCGATATTTGGCACTGGGCCGCAGCAGCAGCAGCACAGAGAAAAGCCAAAGAAGAGCGTACGCATCATGGTGGAAATACAGCCACCATCTGCTTCTGGTGACGACGGCGACTTCGCTGCACCTTGAAACTCCTGGCCCTGTGCTAGCCTAGCCTGTTGGAAACAACATCTCAGATTGATTGGACACGACACATGAAAGAGATACCAGGGCCAGAGGTCGGGAGGGAGCCCTTGTGTGATTAAACAGAAGGTGCTGCCACGGCGGACGGCGGGCTGTATGAAAACTGCGAGGAGGCGTTGTGCAACCATTTCGGGTGCTTGGGATATCATGTGTATATGAGCTAGACAAACAAAGAAGGAGATGTATACAGGAATTGCTCAGGCGTGTTTGATCATGAATGGACGAATGAATGAGAGCTATCTACCATAAAGATATTCTGACACAGTGAGAGACATTTGTGATCTGTTCGTCTTGCATCCAGCCTGGATATAGAGGTAGACATTTACCGACTCTTGTCTGCGTACGCGACCATGAGCATAGCATATGAAGCTCCTTTCCCAGGCCCGAATCCTACTTACTAACCACATATAACCCTACAACCTTATCCTCGTTAGTCCTCATCAAATCCTGTAACTGCCTACCAGGATTATTAGTCCACTCAAATCGAGACGAAGAAACTCTTCTCGCCCTCTCTCGGCTCGACCAGGCACCTCTTCAGGATGGGATCCGCACACGAAATCCGGATCCTCTCGGGCGTCGCAGGGCTTCTCAAGCTCAGCACGCTTTCCTCGCCGTACTGTTTCCTAGCGGCCTTGAGGGCGTCCCTGATCGCGAAGAAGACCGCACTTCCCATGAACAGAGGCGGTTCGCCGACGCCCCGGGAGCGCTGGATCGTGCGGAGGTTTTTCCATTCCACGTCCTTCAGCAGGGAGACGTTCATGGTCTGGGGGATATCTCTGAATCCTGGGATTTTGTACGCCCCGGGACCGCGGGTGAAGATCTGCCCACTCGCCCTGTGCCAGAGAGATTCCTCGGTGGTGAAGAGGCCTTGGCCTTGGACGTAAGCGCCTTCGATTTGCCCGTAGTCGATTGCCGGGTTGATGCTTCGCCCGACGTCCATCTTGATGTCTGACCGCAGGCAGGTCCAGTCACCGGTCAAGGTATCGATAAGAACTTCACTGGCGGTGACACCCTGCGTGAAGTAGAAGAACATCTTACCCGTGTTCTCCTTGCTTGGGTCAGAAGGATTCGGTCCCCATATATATCCGATCTCGGGCGTCTTGTAGAACCCCTGCGCGGAGAGGTTGACACGATCAAAGTACGCAGCGTGAGCCAGCTGTTTCATCGTGGCATTGGGGCCGAGCTTTTCGCGATACGGGGCGAGGCGCTCGTTGATCTGCATGCACGCATTGTACGCTGCGTAGCCATTCAGATCTGATGACGCTGATGCCGCTGTGCTCGAAGAGTTGGCAACAGTGTTGGTTGCCGTCTCTGAGATGTGCACGTCCGTAAGAGGTACCTGAAGAGCTTCGGCCACGATCATGCAGATTTTGGTGTGCAGTCCCTGGCCCATCTCGGTACCTCCGTGGGCAACGAGGACGGAACCATCATGGTAGATGTGAACGAGAGCACCGGCTTGGTTGAGGAAGAGGGCAGTGAATGAGATGCCGAACTTCGTCGGAATGATCGCCAATCCCTTCTTTTGCCATTTGTGCGTGGCGTTGAATTCATCGACCGCTTTGCGGCGCGCCTCGTAGTCGGCAGACTCTTTGATCTGCTTGTACATCAAGGGCACATGCCAATCCTCCAGCGCTTGGTTGAAGTGCGTCTCTTCGCCGTCTTTGTAGAAATTGATTTCTCGGAACTTGTCAACGGGGATTTTCAGATGGTCTGCAATTTCCTCCATGTACGACTCAGCAATAAACATGCCTTGAGGGCCACCAAAGCCACGGAAAGCACTATTAGAGACAGTATTTGTCTTGCAGAGGCGCCCGTCCACATCCACATTGGGGATGTTGTAGCAACCGTCAATATGCGATAGTGCTCGATCAACGACTGCTGCGGACAGATCTTGGGACCACCCAGCATTGTTGAAGACGTTGGCTTTGAGAGCCTGGATTTTACCATCCTTGTTGACTCCAACCTTCCAAATGCCTAGGAAAGGATGCCTCTGTCCGGAGGTCATGATATCCTCGTCCCTATTGAGCATGCATCTAACCGGTCGCTTGACCTTGTTGGCTGCAACGGCGCAAATGGTGGATAGCTGAACAGATCGAGTCTCTTTGCCGCCAAATCCACCACCAAGACGTTTGACCTTGGAGACAATTTTGTTTGATTGTACGCCTAGGGCCTTTGCAATATACGCCTGTGTTTCGGCGGGGTTCTGGGTACTGCTCCAAATTTCCATTTCGCCGTCTTCTGGTTTGGGAATTGCCAAAGACGCCTGGGTCTCTAGGTAGAAATGCTCCTGGCCACCCATTCTCGACGTGCCTTCGAAAACGTAGTCACATTCTGTGAACGCCTTCTCAACATCACCTCTGCGGATATATCTGTAGTGCTCGTAGAAGCTTTGCTTCTCTATCGCCTCTTCGATGGTGTAGATAGCCGGCAGCTCCTCGTACTGTACTAGCACGGCCCGTGCACCGGCAGCAGCTTGCTGAGAAGTGTTCGCCAGGATCATTCCGATAGGCTGACCAGCCGTGAAGACTTCATCTTCGGCAAAGTAGACCTCGTCGCAAACAGGAGCCCCCCACCAGTTCGCCTTTGGATCGACGAAGTCATGCCTGTCAACCCAGGCGACGACGCCTGGAAGCTGGAGAGCCGGATTGGGGTCAACGCTGATCAACTTCGCATGTGCTTTTGTCGACAAAACTAAGCAGCCAATAAGCTCGTTCATCTGTACTGGAATATCGTCTGTGTACTGGGCTTCGCCAGTGCATTGTTTCAATGCGGCCATGTGAGGGTGCTCTTTTCCGAGGATTTTCTGTGAGTAAGCAACGGATGCATCATGATCCTTCTCGCCTCGAGAAATTTCCCTTTCAATCTCTTCGATTGCTTCTTTGTCCGCTTCTTTGCTAGCTTTTTCGATGTTGAGGAGGACGTCCTGGTAGAAGCGGTAGAAGAATCCCAGAGCCAATGATTTGCGGTACCAAGCCATGCCTCCTGGTACACCAAACGGAAGGTTAAAGTCATGTTCCAACGCGTTCATCACTCCTTCCAGCGTCTGAGGGTCTGTAAAAGTCTTGCCCACAATGTACTCAGAAGCCTGCTTGGCCTCGATGGTGATAGGAGCCATGCCTCCGTACACCAGGTTGGCATTTTTTACTTTGTAGTCGTCGTCCAAGGCGACTCGCAAACAAGCATTGACTATGGCGATATCATCGTCTTTCCTCTTCGATTGCTTGTAGGTCCTGACATACTCTCCTTTCTCCGCGGTGAGCGGGATCCTCATTGCCGCAATGACAGCGTCTCCTGGTAACGCAGTCACTCTGTAGCTCTTAAAAAAGCTCGCCATAGGAATTTCGGTTGTCTTAGTGAGAGATTTGGCAATCAGAGTCGAGTTTGTTGCAACAAAAACTGGGTTGAGATCAGAGATAGGTGAAGCTGTCGCTAGATTCCCCGCGGGAGTGCCAACATTCCGGATTTGACGGCCCGCAAAATACCTGATGGCTTTCTTGATGGCTTTGAATGCTTGACCCTTGGTGGATCCATAGTGTCTAACGGCTTCGTCGCAGATGTTCTCCAAATCCGTCAAGGCAACATTGCCTCCAATCTCTAGATAATCGTCGTGGAAAGAATACTGTCGCAGTTCTGCAATGTCCCCCACATAAACGGACGCCGAATACTGCGCGGCTTTGAACTTGATCTCAATCTGGGTCTCGGTGCTGCCACCAATCAACTTGGCGCCCGGATGGGCATTCTTGATCTCAAGCAGCTGTTGGAGGGTCACAGGTCTATACCATTTCTTCCTCTTGTTGCCAAAAGCCAACGGTTTGAACTCATGCTTCTTCAGTGCTGGAGGGTATATTAATTCCGTGGACTTGTCATAATGGATAAAAGATGGAGGCGTGAACTTCTTCTCGACGGTTGCATCCGCACCATTTGTCTCACCATTTGGGGCGCCATTGCATGAGCCGCCGTTCTCCATGCAACACCCAGAGCCGCCGTTTGCAGTCGACTTGCCACACACCTTGTTGAAGCTCTGAGCAGCGTCCAGGATGGGCCTATAACCCGTGCATCGACATAGATTGCCGTCAAAATTCTCCTCGACTTCCAGTTCGGACGGCTCTGGGCCGTGATTCCTGAGCAAAGCATACAAGCTCATGACTATTCCAGGCGTGCAGAAACCGCACTGGCTTCCACTAGCCATGGCAATCCGTTGTTGGGCAGGGTGTGGATTTTTTGAACTACCGATTCCCTCGATTGTGATGACATGTTTGCCGTCCACGCTGGCCAGCGGAGCCAGACATGCATTGACCGAAGCATGGTATATCTTGTTTGTGGTGGGGTTCAACTGCGAGACGACGACGGTGCAGGCACCGCAACCACCTTCTGCACAGCCCAATTTTGTTCCTGTCAAGCCAATGCCTCTTAAATATTCAAGTAATGTGATTTCTGGATCCACTGAGTCCAGCTCGACCTTTGTGCCGTTGAGGTAGAAGCGGAGGGTGTCATCGTAGCTTTCGGTGAGGGCAGCGAGCGAAACCACCTTTTCAGCAGTCGCTGCTGGCTCGAGGACGCCAGGTGCCATCTCGAATATGCGCAGCGGGCGGTGTAGAGTGAGAAGAGCAAAGGAAAAGAAAGTAGGAGTCCTGTCAAGTTAGCATCCCAAGCCTGGCTTTTTTTATCTGGCTTGGAGGGAAAGGGAACCGTCAGAGGAATGCGACAGACAGGATCAAGGTCGCACGGAGTCAGTCCAACGAAGAAATAAAGCTGAGAAGACAGACGAGACTCGTTCCAGACTACTATATCCTTATCGGCAATTGCCAGAAGCTCTTAATCAGAGAGCAGAAGCAACCTTGTTCCATTGCAATGATAGGGAAATGGGACGCGATGGGCGAGAACGCGCGAATCAGAAGGCACACAATTGCACCCAGATGAGATCTCACCAATCTCATCCAGACCGCTGACGTTGGTCGATAATATTACCCATGATATGCAACTGTTTGCCTGTGGACGAATAGGCCGTTCACCCCTCTTTGGAGTCCTTTCTCCAGTCACCCACCCGTCGATGTGCGAGCGGCGACCTCCGATAGCAGCGGCACGCCACCTTTTTGGCCTCTCCCGAAACCCGTCGCAGTTAAGATGACTGCAAGACTGCAGGTCCATGACACCAGAATGCCCGCCGACTCCTTTGCCTCTAGCTGATCCATCTAAGCGAGAGAGCACGCACCCCACAACATGATGCCCAAATTGGTGAAAAAGTCTGTGAGATTGACTAGCTTGAACAAGAGATGGCACCCTGGATACTGATGGGGGAGACGCATGGTGGCTCGGAGGAGGGCGACAAGAAGCAAACAGACTCGTACAATGCTGGATTTGACGGCCACCAATCTCCATGCTTAATATTTTGTCCCAATGCCCCTCTGGGGTGGGCACTCGCCTATCCAATGTCTGGCCCTCTGGCCCCTATTCAATACAGCTCAAGGTTCTATCGTACAACTCTCAAAGATGAACGCGATGTGGAAAATGCATCACGTACTCCTCCTGCTCTCAGGAAAGCATCGTCCGCCCCCAGCCTTCAGCGGTCCGCCATAGGCAGTGCGCGATGCATTTGCCACATCGCGTTTACCTCAATGACATTGTAAAAGCGCTCTGGTATCTTGAAGTTGCCCCATTCACCTGGCAATTGCATGCACAGGTAGGACAATATCTCCACCGTCCAACTCCCCGTCATGACCAGCGCCGAACGAATCATCTCCAACGCCCTCACACAGCTCTCCTCAGCCAACGGCTTGCCTAGCGACAGGATGCGTTGAATGTGGTAGTTGAAAATCTGCCTGTCGGAATGCGGCGTCATATCATCCGGGAAGACGATTTGGAATACCGCCTCACCAGTTCCGCGCACCGAGTTCCATTGCTCTTGTGTTGGGTGTACGATGCCGCTGTCAAGCATCTTGACGTCGTTGAAAATGAAGTAGTCGGCGTCTTCCATGGCGCGGTACACCGCCTGTCTGTGGCGCTCGACAATGTCATGGTACTGGCCAAATATGTAGGGTCGCTTGGGAATTTGTCTGGGGCGAATTGTGTCTCGATCGATTGGTCCGTTGATCTTGTTCCTCCCACATTCCACTGCCCAGTGGCGTTGAATGTCGTCGTACAGGTGCTGCTTTCTGCAGTAGCGGGTGAAGCTGTCAGTGCCACAGGCAGGGCAGATCATCACGGCGCAATCTAATTTGAGTGACAATGTTAGCAGGCTTTCTATGGATGCGGTTCACTTGTGCTGCGTCAGACCGCAACGAGGACTTACCCCAGCAGCTTGTCATGTTTCGGCAGTCCGGTTTCAAACACCTCAGACGCGGATCAAAGCCATCGAATTTGAATCCAGCAGAAGGATGGCGCGGCTCTTGATCAACGGGCTTGACATGCTGCAAGAACTTGGTCAGTGACTAGCCAAAAGGGTCAGAAAGGACGCAAAGGACAGAGAGCATACCTCGCTAGGCTCCGAATCTCCGTCATCCGACGCGGTGCTCTGAGTTCCTGAAGTCGTCTTGGTATTCTCGTCTGCCTTGTTCTCCGAATCTTCCTTGCTATCCGCAACCACAGCACCACCACCACCAACTCCTCCTCCTCCCACCACCACTTCGTTGCCTTGCTGACCTTTGCTGGAAGGGCTGACGGCGACATCTTTGGTCGAAAAATCTGCTTGAATTATCGTCCGGTCAGAATCACTCGAATGTCGAGAAGCAGTGTCATCCAGGTCTTGATCCCGGCCCCCGGCTGTACGAGTCTTACTGGGGTTCCCGTCATTATCCTTCTGCTTCACCTCCGCCGTCGTCGGCGGTGCTGCTGCGCTCGTGCCCTTCTCGGAACTACCTCCATCAGGCTGGACAGCGGATTCAGTTGGAGCAGACGCTGATGTTGGTATTGCGGGTGGCTCGGAGATTGTAATATCCGCTGTCCCGCTCACAATGTCTTGCAAACTCTTGTCTCTTGAAGACTCGGTACCCTCATTTGACGGCGTTTCGCACTGGCTATCTTGTTTTTTCTGCCTGTTTTTTCTGGTCGGCCTCTTCTTTCGTTTCTTTGTGGAAGTTGCCTGCACAGTTCCGGCGGGGTCTGAAATCGATGGTTCGCCCATTGTGGTTGGAGGGGAGGAAGAATTAGATGATGGCGAAGACGAAGACGAAGACGGAGACAGAGAAGGGTCTGGTTGTGAATGGGAATCTTTCGCCGAGACGTCGCCATCACTAGGGGCGAGCGTTTCAGGGGCTGCGGCAGTTCCTTCATCGACGACAGTCGAATTCATGTAAAACTGGCCCCGCCTAATGGTTTCCACCAGAACGACTGCCTCTGTTCGCCTGCCAGGTTCATTGATCAAACGACGAGCATCCGAGAAGATTCGCATCGCCGTCATGACAGCTACAGCCATATCTTGCTGTAGAGAGTCAGCCTGAAAGCTTCGCATCACAAAAAAGACTGTCGACACTCACAACTGGAGCAAGGCTTGATCGAAACCACGAGCGCAGGAAATCTTGATGGTTGATTTTCACAAACAATTGCCACGAGTTCTTTGGCCGTCCCAGGCCCACGTCAAAGAAGTGCACGCGGTATCTGACGATACCTACCGCGAGCATTGCCTTGTCGACAATAACCAATGTCTCCTCCCCCAGCCCAGCAAAGAGCAGCTCGTTCCCGTTCGAATCTGTCATTGAAAAAGGCTTTAACGGTTTGCCTTCATCTTGCACCCTTCTCTGATACTGTTGTTGGAGAGCGACCAGCTCTTCATTCTGGGTTGTCCAATTCAATTCTTGGACTCCCTGGATGCCCAGGGGCATTGTCTCTCGGGAAAAAGAGCCGTTGTCGTCGATGCTTTTGAAAAGCTGTTCGGCGATGACCCCTGCGATCCCCAGGGCTCTGGTATCGACCTGGAACAAAAGGAATATTCTTTGGCAAAAGCCAGCAAGGACTTCCTCGACCTCTCTACCTTCATAAGAAGCGCCCAGAGCGTGAGTCACGACTACCAACTCCCCATTCTGCATGCCGATCGAGTGGACGAGACGCCCATTGGAGGGCCACAAGACTCTTGAGTCCTTCAGAGACGAAGAAGTGTGGGAAATGTACGCTCGGGACTGGTTGGCTGATCTGCCGGAGGTAAGGGCTCATCAGTAGGCATCCCGCGATGACTCGAAGGGTTTCACTTACGCTGTTGACATTGCTGCAGAGAGAGAGCGGACGTGGACTTCTTCGCGAGATGTTGTTTCAGAGCCTGATTGCGAGGAGATGCAAGGTCGATCTGTGACGAAGAAACATCACATTTGGGCTGTAGGAAAAAAGACTAGCGCATCTTTGAAAGAGTACCGGTATAAAAATGGGCACGTGCCATAGAGCCTTCACCAGACACATCACTATACTGGCAACAACATCACAGGTTATCAAAGGTCAGGGTATCTGTCTAAGCCTTATGGCGTTAACTAGGATCAAGCTGGTGAGATTGCACCTGATGTAGGTATTTCTGGATCATTTGGCACAATGGCCCGTCCTTTACCATGATATGCGTGTTTCCACGGTCCATGGGAACAGGAATTGTCTTTGTTTCTGTCACAAGCGTTGGGACACTGCTGGGTCAACCGGGCCAAGGGCCATTCTGGGGACATTGGGAAGAGCATAGTGCACGAGCATACACGTATGCCTAGAAACAATGAGTCCACTGGGAATGACAGGCTCTATAAGTAGGTACCTAAGGTACTTGTTAGCATACGTAGATACTGTGGTGGATCGCAAGATGCTGGACGAAGGATGTTGGAAAAGGGATGCTCGCCTGGTCGAACTAGTCACCTAGTCTGGAGCAGATACGATCTAATCTATTTGTGGTTAGCTCATTCACGTGATATTCAATCAACTCGGCTGCCCCACTTTGCGTCGAATGTGGCTTCAACGCCTGGGTTTTTCTGACCTGGAACTCGCAGCACCACTACCCACCTAATTGATATCGGTTGCATTTGCTTATTTGACTACGTGGTCTTCTCTGTGCCTCTTCCTGGCTGTTGCGACCGACTTTCTGTTGCACTTATTTACGCTTTCACAGCCGATGGCAGACCTCAGCAACATTCTTGCTGCTTTGGCGGCACAAAGGCAAGGGAGCACGCCGCAAGCCGCTCCCCCTCCACCTGTTCCCGGTGCTCCTTACCCTCCGCCTCAATACGCCAGTCCTCCAGGCAGCGCACCACCCTACGGGCTACCTCAGCCCATACACTCGGGTAGCGTTGACTTGGCGAACATCAAACCAGTCAGCTCGGGCTCTGTCAGCATTGCCGACGCCGTTGCCAAAGCTCGGGGCATAGCTGCCGAAAAAGGCCTTTCTTATGATCCAGGTAGACGTACGGGGGGCTCGTTGACGATTTTGGGGCGCTTATCGACTGATGCTGTATAGCACCTATTAATCCACCTGATCTTCGTACTGGAAGCAGAGCGTACCGGCGCTCAAGGTCACCCTCTCGATCCCCGCCACGCCGCGACGGCTATCGCGATGCATACAATCCTTACAGGGACGAACGACGCGGGAATGATCGAGGATACAACAAAGAACGCTCATTTTCTCCAAGAGGTGGGCGTTATTCTCCAGGGCGATATCGGGATGATCGATCACCTGGTCTTGACCGAGGGGGCGAAGGCGATTCAGAAATTCTGCCCCTTGACAAAGGTGTGGTTGGGCTCATCATTGGACGCTCTGGAGAAAACCTACGCAGAGTTGAAAATACCACGGGCGCCCGCGTTCAGTTTATGGATGGGCCCGAAGTTCCGGGTCCTCAACGACATTGCAGGATATCAGGCAGTCGAGCCGCAAGGACAGCTGCCAAAGCCGAGATTTTTAGGATCATCGACGACAACGAGGTGGTAAAGAGGGGCCAGGACAAGTCGCGCACCAGCCAAGCCAAGGTCACGAGTACCAAAGAGGGTGACAGTCTTCAGATGATGGTCCCTGACCGAACAGTGGGCTTGATTATTGGCCGAGGCGGAGAAACTATTCGAGACTTGCAAGATCGAAGCGGGTGCCATGTCAATATCGTCGGAGAGAACAAGAGTGTGAATGGCATGCGACCTGTTAATCTGATCGGCAGTGCGTCGGCTCAACAATACGCGCGAGATTTGATACTGGAGATTGTGGAGAGTGATCAAAAAGGTATCAGCATCAAAGACCTTCACCGTGAGCGGGAGGACTCGCATGGCAAGGTTAATGACAGCATCGTCGTGCCCGGAGAGGCTGTGGGCATGATTATTGGCAAAGGTATGTTTCAAGTCATCCATTCGACGTGTGCATCTTGCTAATCCTCCTCGCAGGGGGTGAGTCTATTCGTGATATGCAGAATCAAACAGGGTGCAAGATCAACGTCTCGCCTGCTGCCGGGCGAGATATTGAACGCGAAATTGGTCTCATTGGCAGCCGGCACGCCATCGACGCTGCTAAACGTGCCATTATGGAGAAGGTTGACGTTGTGGTGAGTGGTCACTGTGGGGTGACTTTTGATGATGCATTTTTTGCTAACTTGTTTCAGCGTGCTCGAACACAAGCTCGGGAGCATGATAGTCGCGACGACTATGCGGACAGGTACCCAGGACAACAGCCCACATATCCTCCCGCTGCCGTCAGCGTTCCCCAGGGCGTTGCACCGCCCCCAGCTGCCGGGGCAGCAGACCCATATGCCGCATACGGTGGCTATCAGAACTACCTCCAGATGTGGTATGCAGCCATGGCGGCCCAACAACAAGGTGGCCAAGGTCAAGGTGAGCAACGATAAGGCGCGTTGAGTGGACCAACCGTGACCTGGCTCGTGACTATGGAATTTCGACGCCCTTGCTGGATGACCTCTAAACTCCTCGACGACTATGCTTACGACCATGCTTTCGCCTCTTCGACGTCTGGATGAGTGCTTGCCACGCTGCCTCGGCCAATTTTCGCACATGCTTGTGACCCACCTGCCTCGGAGCCAATGTCGACCTTGCAAGATCTGGTCTCGCATGATATCGCTGTACACTTACACACGTCGCTCGCTGGTGTGACACGCCTTCTTCTCGTACCTGACCGTTATTTGCACTTGGGTCTCGACTAAGCTCCACGTGCCCGCTATTGACAGGCCTCTGCGCCAGCTGCAGTGGGGCTGAAAAGTCTTCGGCAGAGCTGAGGCTGTCTTGGACCTCGCTCTCCTTGAGGCGACGAGCAAGACGAGATGATGAACGAACCACCCATACTAGGGGGAACGACGTGGGTGTGCTAGTGACATTCGCCACTTCGCAGTGTTGATCAACATAGCTTCAAGTACCATATGGGGATTTGCATCCCCTGGCGCGCGACATTCGACTTCTAGGTACTGTGTGAACACTGTAGGTGCAACTTTTCCCTCGTACATGCAGCTGTACTCGGCTATGTGTGGACACTGGACAGCCTCGTCGCGTGGCTGGTAAGGGAAGGATGAGGAGCATGGCGAGAGGCACTAGGACTGAAGTAGTAAAGCTTCCTTGGGCTAGAACAAGGGAATGACATCATGGTCACTCCTGCCCCACCCTTCGAGCGCCACAGGAAAAACAAGTCGCCGATCCCGTGGCTGATTTCCTCCGAATCTTGGTCGATCCTTTAAAAACCCTGCTTCGTGCCTCACCTCGCCGTCGCTTGCTTTCCTCCTGGTAGGCACCATTTGGGAATATCGGATTGCTTCGTTGGTGTCTCCCTTCCCAGTCTCGCACCACCACCTCCTCCTCCAGCGCCGCAATGTGTCCGTCTGGTTACAACTGATCACGTCCTCGGCGGCAATTAGTGTTCCTGAGCTACGTCACGACCGCGACGGGTACTTGTGGTGCTGGAATGGGGTTTTGGTGGCAGCTGGGGAGATGGCGAGGCAATCTGAAGACGAATCCACTGTGCCATCTCAGTTCCCGTGCGATCTTGTTTCAATCTCCAACTTCCTCGTGCGAGCGCGTGTCGGACGTGGAAGCAGCACGGATGAGATGGTTGGTGGGCGCTTCTTCAGCCTGGTGGCGCTATTTCTGGACTACGCGCCAATTTTGGGTCTGGAAACATCACCACCAGCCGATATTCCTGCACCACCACATGCGGCAACTCTTTTGAAACAACCTCAATCTTTGTCTGAAATCTTCAGAAGAGCCTCTTGTAACATGTCGGTGGTGCGCCTGCAACATGGGGTCGAGGTCGATGGGAAACGCGGTAAGTACCGGCAGAATCCTGCTCGCCATATTGTTATTGATCCTTATTGTTCTTATCATCCCCCCATTCTTTCACTACCCTTTGTCTATAATCGCCCATTCACTTTCCTCGCTTTGTTGACTGCCTTTGCTGTTTTGAATGTCACGAATCTCCTTTGTTTGTCATAAATAGCATTCTCACTGCCCGAGTCTTGAAGACTGCCTTTGTTGATTGGACTGCCTTGTCACTTGTACCACCACCCTCCTGGCCGAATCTGTTTCTTTCTCTCATCCTGCGATACCATTTTCTTCCTCACATCGACACGACCATCAAAGCAATCAAGATACTTACTTGAACTCGAATATTAGATAATTTCCTGTCGATTTCTACACCATGTCTGCCCCGTCGGCCCTCGCGGCTGGCGCTCCTCCATCCATGCCTGCCGGCAGCCATGAGATACGAGACTACTACTCCAACCAAGGCCCACCTCGGTCGCTACCACACACTGCACCGTCCATCACACCCTACCTTGGCCTCCGGGCTCGATTATCACAGATATGGCTCAATCGATGGACCATTCTCCTCCTACTTGTTCTGGCTCGCACCCTTATCGCAATCTCTGGAATCAACAACGATTTGGGCTCTGCAAGACGCGAAGCACTGTCTGCCTGTTCCGACGTCGAATCCATGGGTTCCGCCATGGCTTCGATGCCTCACTACATGTCTCAAGGCGTGAATGAGGTGGCAGCTACCGGCATCGAGAAGTCGGTCAATGGCCTGATTCAGATGACCACCATGAGTGTCACGGCAGTGGAAGAGATTGTCGTCTTCGTGATCGGCATGATGACCAATACCTACCTCTGCCTGATCACTTTTGCTGTCAGCGGCAGTTTGCATTCCGTCATTGGAGCCCTTGACTCTGCACAAAATGGTCTCAACAACCTTACGCAAAATCTCGGGAACGACTTGTCGGGCGCTGTCAGTACATTTGAGGATGCCTACAACAGTTTCATTGGCAAACTCGAGAGCTTCATCGCCTTTGGCCAAACCGTTGACCAACCCGCGCCTCTCAATCTTACTTCCGAAATGAATTCGTTGAAGAACCTCAAACTACCAGCCAATCTTGACGCCGACCTGCAGAAACTCAACAATTCTATCCCCACTTTCGCTCAGGTCAAGAATTTCACCGAAAATGTCATTCGCCTCCCCTTCGAAGAAGTCAAGCAGCTCATGAACGAGTATGTGGGCAACTATACATTCAATCGATCCTTGTTTCCGGTCCCGGAGAAAGAGCAACTCACTTTCTGCAGTGACAACGACGGGATCAATGACTTCTTCAACGGGCTGGTCGACATCGCTGCTCTCGCACGCAGGATCTTCATCGGCGTGCTGCTCACCCTGGCAATCCTCGCCATGCTCCCAATGGCGTGGCGCGAAATCAAGCGATGGCAGAAGATGCAACAGCGTAGCCAATTGGTCAATTCCGACGCTCGCGATCCTTTGGATGTAGTCTACCTGGTCAGCCGGCCTTACACGTCGGCAGCTGGAATCAAGCTATCCAACCCATTCCAGTCCCAGCGCAAAAAGGACCTCATCCGTTGGGTCGTTGCATACGCTACCTCTGACGCTGCACTATTTGTACTCGCTCTCGCCATAGCAGGCCTGTTCTCCTGTGCTTGTCAAGCTATTCTACTGCGTGCCCTGGAAAAGGAAGTCCCGGACCTCACGAATCAAGTCGGTGCCTTTTCTGACAAGGTGGTTGCGCAGCTCAACAACGCATCGGAACAATGGGCCATTGGCACCAACGCAGCCATTGCCGCCACAAGCAAGGACATCAATCAAAACATGCTGGGCTGGGTGAATACGTCCACGACTGCGATCAACGACACGCTTAACGCATTTGTGGACGAAACGACGAAGGTTCTTAACGCCACATTCGGTGGGACAATATTGTACGACCCGATTATGGAAGTCCTCGACTGCCTTGTACTGCTCAAGATCCAGGGCATCGAGAATGGCCTTACCTGGGTTCAGGATAACGCGCACATCAATTTTCCCCTCCTTCCGAATGATACCTTCAGCCTAGGTGCCGCAGCCAGTCTGGCCGACTCCAGCAATCCTTCTGACTCCTTTCTCGCGAGCCCTGGAGATACCACAAGTGATAAGATTTCCGAGGCTGTCGCAAGATTTGTTGATGAGCTGGCAAATACCATACGGACGGAAGCGCTCATTTCAACCGTCATCCTGCTCATCTGGGTCTCCGTCGTGCTCATGGGCATCATCCGAGCATTGATGCTTTGGGCCAAGCGCGAAAAGGTCCGCGGCGAAGGCGGTGCGCCAGCATTCCCTTCGAGCGACGCCATGAGCAGTGACTTTTGCTCTGACAATCAAGGACAATATGCTGGATTCACGGATATCCCATTGGCCAACGTCAATAGCTTCCGGCCAATGTCACCCGCACCGAAGTATTCGCCGCCCGAAAAGTGTGAAGCGCTTGAAGAGGACTATCAAGATGCAAAGCTAGGGTTTGCTGGACGTCGAGTATACCAAGAGTCGCAGCAGCTCCAGATCGACAGCAAACGCCGAGATATCTGGAATGGGGAATGAGATGACATTGAATTGAGTTTTTGCATTGTTCGGATCGTAAACGCCCAAACACAACGAGATATGTGCGTCAGCATTTTGAGCACGTCAAACTATTCATGCCAGATTTTAGCTGGCAAACCTTTCTAGAGTTGCCATACAGCGGAGAGCAACGGAACATTTGTGGAGGAAGGATGGAATTCCGATTGAAGACATCAGTGATAAACGAGAACAAACGGGTGGCATTGGTATTGCGTGTGTGATGTTGAATGATGACATGCTTTGTGGAGGACATCTTCTTTGTTGCGGCTTAACAACCGCCCGGGAACAACGCCCAAACGAAAGGAAAAAAGCCCGGGCTTTTTCTTTCAGGCCACAACGAAGATGATTTCCTCAAGGTCAGCACTGAGGGACTCGAGTTCCTTCCCTGCCCCTTCTCCGGTGGTGCAGCGTGGTTCTCTCTTCCTCTGGTTGAGAGACACCCTGCTCTCTTCTCCACCGACCTTCCGATAGCCCTAGAACCCTACAGTGGCTGTCGCGCCGTGTTACTCTGTGACAAGGTGTTAAGCAAGGCTTTCGGTGTTGCGTCGAGACACTGTGCCAATTTATCGCAGCCGGAGTCGCGTGATGGAGTGGAATTATAAGTCCTTTCGATCTATATACCCTTGGTCTCTCTCATCTGAAGGGGGATTCACAAGTGGTATCTCGAGGACGAAGCAGGTCTTGCATGGGACGTTCGGATACACGTTGGTTTTAGAGCCCCCTCATCCTTTTTGGATGCTGTTGTGTAGGCTCTTCCAACCCGGGCGTCTTTTGTTGTTGAGCTATGGTCTCGAGGGATATCTCATGGATTGCTGTTGATGTGTGCTTGGATGTTGAGGCCCTCATTTGTTGTTGCCGTCCAGCCTTTTCCTCTTGCCGTCTCAGAAACTTCGGGTTTCAACCGCAGCCATTGTCTCTTCACTGATCTTCGGAGAAAGTCGAAAGCAGTGACTTTGGTGAGATTGCAGGATAAGATGGCCTGGCTTCAACACGAATGAGTTCGCCTTCGAAGCGAGATCCGGCATGCTGCTTCCAGCAGACTCGACTGTACATCAACTCATGATTGGGCTCACAATGCATGTCTTCCAAGAGCCAATCATCCAGTCGAGATGTGCTGGAGGTCAGCTCGCCTACGATGTCGCTTTGGAGAAGGCCCCCTCCTCCATATACCTCTGGTGGATCGGATTCCAGCATGCAGCATCCGATTTCGCCGGTATGCAGAGGTCTGTGGTGGAGGGGGCGGGCTTGTGAGCTTTGCTCCGAGTCCCTCTTTCCTCAACCCCAAAAAGAAAAAAAAGAAAAAAAGAAAAGCCGTGGGCTGGGTCCTCCGTTGCCTGGGTTGTTCTTGATTTACGTGCCTCTGTTCTGCCAGAGAGCTACGGAAAGGCGGGATGAGAAAGTTTGGTCATGTAGGTAGAGAACAGCCTTGGATAGTTACCGAAATATCAGGATTCAGCCCGACAATCTTGGACTTCTCCCTGTGTAGTTGTTTGTTCCCTTCCAGGAGGCAAGGACAAAGGCATACCGGCAACTGGCATGTGTCTAAGGCTGTGCCCCCCTATTGGGATAAGATCATGGATTTCTGCACTCGATTGACGCTGGTAATCTACCCGGAGCCTTGAGTTGTCAGACGAGGCTGAAGCTGGCAGCCTTTTTTCCTTGAAGGTGTTGTTGGCAAAGTATAAATACACTCTGTCTGGCACTGGAGACGCAAATTACTAGTTCTCGGCTTCTCCTTTACCATAGACAGGCTAAAAGATCTCCGTCCAATGGGTGTACAAAATTCCCACAGCCATCTTAAGGCAGATGCGGTCTTCCCCAAAGTCGCCAATCGGCACGTGGACGTGGTGCAGGCTGAACCAGGATGCAGGATGCGGGTGGCTGTCGACGTGGCAAGTCCCTCATCTGAACCTCAGCCCGCAACTTGACCACTCCATCTCTCTTCCTGTCTCTTTTCCATCATTGAGGATTCTCTGTCTTGTCGACTTCTTTCCTTCTTACGTCAGGGGCAATCTCGCCCATCAGGCCTCGAGTCATTGGCTTTCTGCGTTACTGCTACCGAAAATTTTCCTCTCACCTTTTCGAGTAAGGCTGAGAGTATTGTTGAGCATCAACTCACCCTCCTTCCAGCCCAGAACGTTCAAGTCCTGGATGATGGAAGCGTTGGCCGCATTTGGGCTGGCATGCAACGTCATTCAAGTTGTTGATGCTTCGTGGAAAGCTTTCGATATCTATACTCAATTCCGCGAACGTGGCACGACAGCAAGGGCAGACGAGCTACGACACAGTACCCAACACCTGGTGACTTGCAACAAGTCTCTGCAGGACTCACTGTCTAATGCGCCAGCATTTCCGCTTCTACCGAGCGGCGTTGATTTTACTGAGTTGACAAAAAATTGCATCGAGTCAGCAGAGGAACTCGGAAAAGAGCTCGAAAAGATCAAACTTGAACCGGGATCTGGTCGATTCTCTACCTTGAGAAAAGCCGTCAGAGCCAACTGGAAATCTGACCGTATTGAAGAATTGAAACGCAAGCTTGACAATTATGCCAGGGCGTTGGATTCCACGAACCTCGTCCATCTAAGGTATGTCTCCCACGAGCTGCCAACTGTGCTCTGAGGCTACTATCATTGGAGTGCCTCGTGTCCACTGGGAAATTCATATGATAGTCGAATCCTTGTTCTCACGGAGCAGAAAAACTCTGATCAAGACCCACAGCGGTCGCTCGTTGGCGTCTACTGATGGCTTTTCTTAGTCAGAACCTGGGCACTCTAGCATCGCAGCAGACAGATGTCCTGACCAAGCTCGACGACTGGCAACAGAAAATCTATGCAGGGATCAACGATGGTAATACGAGCATAAAGAGCCTCATTAAAACAGCTGCCGAAGAGGTCAAAGCTCATACATCGCTAGAGCATAACGTCACGCGGCTTCACATTGACAGAAAGCTCGACGATTTCGCAGACAATCGGCAAATACAGGCAAAATATGAGAGCTTCATGGAAAACTTGTACTTTCAAGAGCTGAACCACCGACAGGATACCATTGCAGACGCACACGCGGAGACCTTCGAATGGATCTTCGACAGCACCTCGCATATCGAAAGGCCATGGAATGACTTTCTCGCGTGGACGCAAGATGATGATCCTCTATATTGGGTTCTGGGTAAAGCTGGCAGTGGAAAGAGTACTCTAATGAATTTTCTGGTCCAGGATGCCCGTACTCGAACAGCATTCGAACGAAAATTTACCGATGTCCGTCCCCTTATCATTACTTTCTTTTTCTGGGAAGCAGGGGTGGACCTCCAGAAGACTGAACTCGGACTTCTGCGTTCTATAATCTGGCAAATTCTCAATAAAATGGATGCTGCCACCTCAATTCAAATCTGGTCGAATTTACTCCAGAAGATGTCACCACCCATGCCTACTGTCTGGGCCCTAAAGCAACTACGACCTATTCTTCAGTCGCTAGTGCAAGCTGTGCGCAAACCCGATTTGTCTCTTCCTCGATGGTCTGGACGAATTTCAAGGGTTAGAGGACCAGTTTGATGCCATAAGAGGTATCATTGGAGTTTTTCGAGATCACCAGCAGACAAAAATATGCATATCAAGTCGACCATCTACCAGTCTTGAATCGTTGTATAGGTCCTCCCAAAAATTGAGGCTTCAGGATCTCACAGAGTCGGACATCACGGTGTACGTCAAGGACAAGCTGGTAAAAGATCTATTGACGGAGGATCACCAATGTCTAGCAACTACAGCGCCTAAAGAGATGTCCAGATTAATTGAAATGGTTGTGAAGAAGGCGGAAGGAGTTTTCCTATGGGTCCGCCTGACTGTCGAATCACTCGTTCGAGGCATTCGGAAGGACGATGACTGGCAGACTTTACAGGAACGCCTGGAGCAAATGTCACATGGGATTTTTGAACTCTACGAACACATGTGGAAGCGAATGGAACTCGACCACCCCCACTACGCAAGAGAGGCTGCAGCGTACCTACAATATGTCCGACATGATCCCGGTTGCTCATTGGTCGAACTGACAATCGCCTGTGACGAAAGGTTACAAAACTTTTATCTGGGCAAATCGGCAAATTGGGATTTGGAAAGCTTTGGAAAAGAACTGGATCATGAAAGATTGAGAAGAAGAGTCCTCACACGTTGTGCAGGCTTTCTCGAGATACATGAGCAGGTTGACAAGGGCGAGGATCGAGAAAATGCTGCAGAGCTCTTTTCCGAAATTTGTGCGAAGACCGATCTCATGCGATACCCAAACACCGTCAAAAGACTCATTGAAATTGTCAACAGCCACTATAACCTGGAGGTGTGGTTTCTGCACCGGACAGCCCTAGAATACCTTGAGACCGAGTCTGGCAAGAAATTGCTCCAAGCTCAACCCCTCCTGGAGCACGAAATCATCATGACACGGTATAGATCCGCTCTGGTCTTGATGATTTTGCACGTGATAATTCCTGAGCCAGACCTCTTACCAGAACAATTCCGTTTCCTGGACCATGATCCGTTTCAAGATTACCTGGACAACCACTCCAAAATCGCCTGTGCAATGTTTGTGCAACTGGAGGAAATAAGCGAGAAACTGAAGTCCTTGGGGGTTTTCTCGGTCGAATGGATAAAAAGAAGCTGGCCAGTCTTCAGTGGCACGGAAAATCTGGATTACATAAAAGCCTTCCTTCCTTTCAGCCATCCAGCCTACACTGAACACCGTTTGAGGGGCTCAGGCTTGATCGAGAACAGACACTATTTGACCGACCTCCTTCGCAGTTGCGTGAGCGACCTCGTAACACCTCCTCCCTCCCTAATTGCAAACACGCGTCTCTTGCTGAGACTAGGGGCTGATCCGAATCAAAAGTTGCTTCCCAATTCAATGAAAGGTGACCAGATGAACCAGTATACGATATGGGCAGTCATTGTCCTATGGATGTGCGTAACAGTATTTCGAGAATTGTTGCCGCCATTACTCAGCGCCTGCATCAAGGCTGGAGCTGACCTGAACAGCTGGATTCCACTTCTATTTTCGCGAAAAAAGTCTCCCCCCGGATATGAGTTTTTTTCCAATGAACGGCCAATGACTTATGACAAGCCATTCATGTTGGTACGCATCAAAGCATGCGACCTTGTGCACTGGCTACCCCTTACGGAGCCAGATCTGCTGCACCAGGCTGGGGCGATCAGCGAGGATCCGTACTTGGTAGCATTTGCGCCGCCAAACGCATGGATATCAGTGGCCCTGGATGCACCAACACTGTACCTCGACTGGCGTAGGAAAGGATCGCCCAATGGGTTCTATTGGCCGCGTGTCCCGGACCCTTTCCAAATCCCTGTTCAGATCCGTTCGGCATTGCGGGATTCAGAGCGAGGTCACATAAACCTGAAAATTTTCAATAATGGGATCGACGCACTCCGGACAGCCGGCCTTTCTGACAATGATATCCGAGAGCTTCCTATCTCGCAGACGATATGGGAGGTTTATGAACGAGGGAGAGGCGCAATGTGCGACATGGTTTTGACCGATTTCTGGGATTTGCTGAGAATGTGGGATGAGGGGATCAGGCAGTGAGAGACACTTGAACAGAGCTTTCTGTTTCGGCCTAGAAAACAAATCGAGACGCGATTAAGCGTGGTGGCGGATAGAGGGAAACGTGAATCATGAACCCATATACCCATAGTGGTCTCACGAAACTGTGGCTTGTACCCTCGAGAGGAAGAAAGTATGTACCATGTCGACAGCAGGGACTCTTAGCTCTCTGAAAAGTCTTCCGACTGCGCCTCTCTAAGGCTGCACATCAGCAATAGCAACCCCCAATTCACTGTCCCCTTGCCCTGTCACAGCGGTCAGCCGGCTATTAATTGCTCCCAATAGCGTCATCGAGAAAAAAGGTACCACGTCCCACTTACCAAAGTATAAGAACCACTTGCCCTTGAACTGGACCAGCCCCTCTGCAAAGACCACCCGATCCACCTGGCCCTTTTGCTCATTCCCAGCCTCGGGCACCAATATCGGTCTCTCCAGTCTCGCCACGGGCCCATCTCTTAGAGCGGGTTGGTACACCCCATCACTGACATTTAACGTCGGACGAAACGAGCCAGAGGGGTCGATGAGCATCTGCCCGACAGAGTACTGGTTCTGGGAGTAACCCACGCGACCACTCGTCGCGCCATTGTAGATGAGCAGCCATTTCCCATCTCGCGTCTTGACGGGCGGCGGGCCGGGCTCGATCAGGCGGTTCTCCCAGGGGTGCACGGGGCCGGCGAAGTATTGGGCGGCGGGTAGCGCCGTCCAGTTCAACAGGTCCCGCGAGGTCGCGTGGTAGAAGAAGCTGTCGCCAAAGTACATGTGATACAGTCCATCGGCGGTCGGTTCGCTGACGATGGCGCCGGATTTGGAGTGGTTGATGCGCGGCACGGGGACGTCGATGTCCGAGTATTCCACGTCCTGGTAACCCCCGGGGAACAGAGGCGGGTATTTTTGCCAGTGCAAAAGATCTGTGGATGTGGCTAGGCAGAGTTGCGCCGTCACGCTGTCGTAGGCTGTGTAGGTCATGTAGAACGTGCCGTTGACGCGGACGATGCGAGGGTCTTCGGTCCCGCCCAGGTGCTCCCAGGGCTCGGTCGCGTACACGACTGGGCGGTTGAGGCGGGTGAAAGTGACGCCGTCCGAGGACCACGCGAGTCCAATCGAGGACGTCTTGGACGCGTTCTGCGCCCGGTACAGCAGGAAGACGGTCTCGTTGAGCACAATCGCCGTCGGGTTGTACAGGTACGCCGACTCCCAGTTCGCGGCCGGGTTGGGCCTCATGATCGGGTTGTGGGCGTATTTGTTGAACGGCGCGATGGGGAAGATAGGGGCCGTGTAGTTTGCCGTGTTCTCGGGCGTTGAGGGGCTGATGTCAAAGGGGAGACTCGATGCCGTGCGTGGAGGCGTGTTGGACAGCGACGTCGGCAGGATGGAGAGCAGGCCCGTGTTGAAGACATTTTGGACCTTCATCTTGATCCCCTAATTTGCACGAACACTTGCTTCCGGTAGACTTTGCAGAGTACCTGACGACCTATCAATATAAAATTGATATATACGGAGTATATGGAGCCAGCAATTTGAGGCTCGTAGAATTGCTCGCTCTGCACAGTCAGTCGATCCTCATCGTGAGGTTACAGCTCAGGGGGAAGATCTCCCAGCCACCGAGGAGGGGCTAGCCGCGGCGCCATATTGTCCCCATGAGGGCTCTCTCTTCCTGGGCCAAGCAGGTCATGCCGTTGTATATAAGGGAAGATATTTTCCTTACTGAATTGCAGGGTAGATGTGAAGGCCCACTTGCTTAAACTTATTTCATTTTCTTGTCCCGCTATGTTTAGAAAATTATACTCTAGAATATGGGATAGATGTTTCATTTACGTGTGTCGCGGGATGCGGAGGATGCGAGTACTTTCCTTACTCCGCACTAATTATACTCCACCCCCTCTTTGTTCCGGGAGACCTACCGAGTAACTCGTAGTGGGTGACCGCTGACCACCGGGTGACCACCTGGCCGCATATATTCTATACATCCATCTCAAACTCTAATACATCCCGACTTCTCCTTCCCCCAACCCTTGAAAAGAGTACGCTTTTCAAGTCTCAACATACCTCCCAAAAACAAAAACAATCAACAGTCAGGATTCCCACCTGGTCACCCACGGTGGTACTAACTAACCGGCATGTGGCTTAAGTACGGCTGAGCGAACGGGAAGCCCTGTTTTCCACATCCTGTGGTCGATTGCGAAAGATTATGTGCTAATATAAAATATATACCTTAAAGACTGACAAGAAAATATTGGTTTTCTGAACCTTTGAGCGCGCGGCTTCTCTGGTCGACTAACGCAGTCGCTCAGACTCGGGGGTGCAAGGTCTAAAGGACTTCATGGCGACTTTTACAAGGGCCATTCGTGAAAACGCTGTGGCACTAGAATGGCTGTCAACTAGCCCTTGTGGGATCGGATCTCATGTTGACTACCTAGTACTTTTACAAACTGTTTCGTGTCTTTTTCTTGAACGAGAAGGAATCGCGGAGACATTGCTGGATTCCCAAGTTTCTTTTCCTGTTCCCAAGTCCAGTCCCTGTTGGAACACCTTTTTCGACTCTCAACACATTAAACTGCCCCATCGTGATACCAATCCGTACAATAAGGCACCTGAGAAGGTTCAACGTGCCATAGCCATCACGCCACGATAATACTCCACGCCCAAAGTTCGGGCATGAGCCAGCCTTGCATCCGCGTTGAGGGGGAGATCAAGGATATGTCTCTGCTCGCACAAGCTGTCAGTAACCCGTTCGAATGCATCAATGACCAAGAGGGAAATAAGACTGCCAACATACCTTTTCACCGACGCCGTCTTCAATCTCCAACTCCAAAACCCTCGCGAGCATTTTTCCCATCTCGCACAGCGCAACCCTCTCCTCAAGTTTCTCACGATCCTTGTTCAAATCCGAGAAGCCAAATCTCGGAGCCGATGCGGTACTTTGAGATCGTGCGTTCAAGGACGTCAGCGAGCCCTGAAGCCTGGAAAGCAGCCCTTGCTTCGCTCTGCGCTTGGCCTCCACGCTGCCTTCAGCGGAACCGTGTCGTGACGACGTAGAGTTACCCATCAACAACATCAATTCCACAAAATCTGCATAAACCTGTCCTCCATTTTTCCACTCCGCTCCTGACCCCTCAGTGCCACCACCCGCCACTGCAGCGTTGACCTTTTGCTCTGCTTCATCCCCGAACCATCCCAATACCTCACGCAAAGTCTCCCAGTCTTCGTCGATGACCAACCGTGAGGCTACACGACGCAGCAAGCAGTCATGAGCGCTAGAGAAGTCTTTTGCGGCAAGGAGATAGTTCAACTCTGCAAGGGAATTATTGCATGAGCGTGCGTAAAGGGCTTTCGACTGGTGGATCCATGGTCCAGGGATCTGGAGGGAGGCTGTGAAAGCAGTCCACAAGGAAGAGACTTGGTTGCCTGTGGCGCTATCACTGTGTGGCGCACTCGGAAGTGTTGCGGCATGACGGTTGAAGAGATTGCGAATCTGAGCTGCTCGCTGTGTCGGGTCGGAAAGGTGGAGAAGTGCGTAAACCGCGCCCAAAGTGTTTCTGCGTGCCGAATGCTCGAAAGCAAGCGACATGGCTAAATCGTCAGACTTGTCCCGATCGACTGAAACTCCTGGTATCGTGGCAACGATGGCATGGTGAAGGCGGAACGTTGCCCAGGAGTCCCAAGGGTGCGACAGCGCCGAGAGAGCTTGAGGGAGCACAGGTTTTTGGACCTGGTTGGTGACAGAAGCAGTCGACTTGTTGCTGGCCCTTCCCTGGCTGACCCCAGTGTTGCTCGCGAAGATCTTCAACACCACCCACAGGGGATCCTCTTCTTCATGTTTCCCACGCACTGGGGTAGCCGATTCAAGCCTTGAGTGCAATTTTTCCTGGAAATCCGCCACCACTTCGTGAATCTCGCCATTCTTGTACTTTCCATACCAGAGGCACAACGCAAAAGCCTGGATCCAATCCAGTCCGAATTTCTCCGAGACGGCGAACGTCGACGCACGATCTTCAACAGGCACATTCTGCTTTCCTTGGACGATGGTGGTGTTTCCCGAAAGTATCTCATACAGGGCACGAATCTCCTCGCTCATTTCGGAAATGACCCCTTGGCCGCGCCACGCGGAGATCTGATCGGCCATGTCTTCCTGGAAGGCTGAATCAGCCTGACCGATCTGTGCGACCAACAATGCGAGGTGAAAGTCCTTTTCATGCATGAGTGCGTCACATGCAGCATGAATGTTGTTCGCCGTAAGTTGCATGACAGCTGCTGTGGCACCGTTAAGTTTGGAGGCCTCTTTGATGCGCTCGCCGTGGCGGCGCCATATTAGCTCCGAGAGATACTTTGAGAGGCGGTCTCTGCGGATACGCAGCTGGAACTCTCGTTGCTGCTGGCGATTCAGTCCGTGAGTCAACTCGTCCTCGTAGTCATCGAAAAGGACATGAAGTAATTCGTAAATGTCGAGTTCCTCGACGGCGTAGCGTTGTTGCAGGTGGTCTTTGACCTGAGAAAAGGTGATAGCGTCGTGTTTAATTGAGGGGACATTGTCGGCGAGGATCACCTGAGCGTCTGTCAAGATTGACTTGACGTACATAATAACCTAAATCATCGTTAGCAACTATCACAAACTTGGAAATCCTGGACTTTCCGTACGTTGTCAATGTTGACTGATTGCAGCGAAGTCATAACAACGTCCCTACCCGTAGCTTCACTATGCGCCAGTACCTGTGTGATCCAATCACTTTCGCCAGGAGCGTGAACCGACTTGTAGACAAGTTGATTGACAGACGTAAAATGAGGCTTGAAACTCGCGTGCCAGAGCTTATCGTTTTCACCTAGCTCGGCAGAATCATCTCGCATTTGGTCTTCAAATGTCTTTGCACGCTTTGCATAGGGAAACTAGAACAAGAAAAGTTTCAGTAAATGTGTTCCTCATTAAACTACCTACATATATATGTGCTATGGGTGACCGTAACTTGTGCCCCGAACCTGTGCATTGCGTGATGTTACAATCATCACGTCCTCATTTTGGCATCATGAAAAACCGATTGGTCAGGGCCACAGGGTTCACAGGCACAGCGGGTCAAACGAATGGGAGGGAAGAGGATAAGGATAGGGGTAGGGAAGTCAAACCTCAAAATCCGGACCAGCCTGCGGCTTCCCCTTCTTCCCCTTTAATTCGGCCATTCTTTCCTCATGCCTGCTGAAAAGCGAATTCATAATGTCGATGCTCGTTCGGAACTGGTTCTTGTTGACATTCTTGCTGAAGTCAAGACTCGGTTGCATTGGTTCGTATGTGCGGTCCAAAAGGACCTGGCTCTGTACTTGTCGAAGAGCATCGCGGTTCTGTTTGCGGGGGCTGATGGTGCGTTGAAGTTGCTCTGCCCAGTCGCCATCAATGTTAATGAGGGCTTTTCTGGGCGTGCCGGCACTGCTAGGCTTGAGGATCGGTTTGCTAGGGCTAGCAGTAGGTGGTGGATATGAGCCTGCCATGCTCACTTCATTGTCATCGTCCTCGTCGGAATAGTCTTGTTCCATTTGAGAACCTCCTGCACCATCTTGAACAGTCTGAGCCGTGGGGATATCATTACCGTAATCGACGACAGACTGCCGACCATAGCCACCAGGCAGGGTCTTTTGCTTGAACGCAAACGTATCATCGTCACCATCAGTCTCGTAGTCATCATGTGTTTCGCTGTCAACGTCCATCCCCGAATTCCCTACGGAGGCAGAGCTGTTCAGTGAGTCAGGCGGAGCAGACAGCATACTCTGGCCCATTTCGTCGTCATCGTCGTAGTCTAAACCGTAGCGGGTGTAGTGGGGGACCCGAAATGTCCATACGCCTGTTGTCACTTCGTAATTCACAAATTCAGTACCGTGCATCTTTTTGAGGCGATTGACATGCTTCTCAAATATAGGCCCACTTGTGGCGGAGGAGGGCTGACCACGGGATCGGGGCCAGGAGTTCTCGATAGAAATTGTCGACGGTACGTTCAAACCCTTGCCGACCGGGGGTTTGGAGCTTGCATCGGGATAGACCGTGATTGATCGCAAACGGATCTCCACAATCTTCTCGTAGAGATCATCCAAGGGAAGGCTGGTGAGATCAACCGGACCGTTGAACACAACCTTTCCACAACCTTTTCGACCAACTTCAAATCCAACGAATCGGGATAGCTTCTCGCGAGGCATCTTGTTCAGTTCAGCACGTGTCGGTTTCATCCAGTAGTCACCGGGCTGAGGATCTGGCTTGGCTTGGACGGGCGTCTTCCGGGAGATTACATCGTCGGATTCGCGATCTTCTGGAACAACAGCAAGTTCATTGCCGCGGACAGGTTCGGCCTCGGGTGTAGCTGTGCCATTCACAGTTCTGCCAGCAGTTGTGCCATCGACCTCATCTTGGTCGCTCTCGGTTCTCACCAATGCCCCGGATTCGCCATTCAACACCCCATTTGAACCACCAGCGGTATCTTTGTCAAAGCTCACACGCTTCTTCAACTTGTTCACGGGCTCACTGGTTGAGGGTGGTTCGCCATTTGTGACGACAGAAGCCTCATTATTCCCATTGACTGACTGATTCAGAGCGTTTGTCGGAAAGGCGGGGAGGGAGGGCCGGCTGAAAAGATCGTTTCTGATGCTTCGATCAATGGTCAACCGACGCATATTGCCACTTGACCATCTGGTATTGGTGGAAGCGAATGCATTAGGGCTAAGAACGCCTTCGCCATCTCCAGCAAACTGAGACCTCAAATTGCTGGCAGACGCACTTTTGCCAAATGAGCGCCCAAAGCTGCCGCCATTGAAACTGCGGCTACCGTACATACTGCTGCTCAAGCCACTTCCGCCAGGTGTGCCAGCTGCACTGTTTGGTGTGCCGTACGTTGAATAAGAGAATCCAAAGCCAGACCGCCGCGGTGGTGTCATGTAGCGAGACTGGTTGAGTCTGAGACTCGGCGGAGGCTTTGATTGGCTCTCCTTCAGCTTCTGGGTGGCAGACAATGGAGTGAAAAGTGGCTTTGAATTATCTGGTGTTGGCACTGGCAGTCCGGTCCAGATAGAGGTCTGGCCGTACGGATTGGGGTCGTTGAGGGACGAAACCTTGAAGTCCGGTTGCTGCTGATTTTGCTGGTTATTCTGTGAGTTGCCAAACACACCTCCAAAACCACCAGTTGAGCCACCGAAACCGCCTCCCTGATTGTTGTTGGTGTTGAAGAGAGAACCGGTTGCAGGTTTGTTGGCAGTGTTTCCAAAGGAAAACCCTGAGCCGGTGTTCGTATTTGCGTTTCCGAACAAGCCTCCAGATTGCTGTTGGTTGTTGGTATTCCCAAAAAGGCCTCCACCAGTGTTGGTGCCAGGGTTGCCGAATGTGCTCCCGCCAAAGATACCACCAGGTTTCTGCTGATTGTTGGCATTGTTTCCGAACATGGAATTACCCGAGGTGCTGTTGTTAGTACCAAACAAACCACCGCTGGCACCAGTGTTGGTGTTGGTGTTGGCGTTGTTTCCGAAAAGACCACCACCGGTGGATGTGTTGGCGTTACCGAACAAACCTCCTGGCTGTTGGTTCTGATTTGTTGATGCTCCAAATCCTCCTGCATTGCCAAAAAGTCCAGGCTTTTGCTGCTGGTTGGTGCTGTTTCCGAATAATCCTCCAGACTGTTGCTGATTCGAACCGAACGCACCGGTGTTTGTGGTATTGGTGTTATTGCCAAACAACGTGCCTCCTGTGTTCGTATTGGCAGTATTGGTATTGCCGAACGAGAATGACGAGGGAGCACTGGAGGTGTTGCCGAACAAGCCTGGCTTGCTCTGGGTTTGGTTCTGGCCAAAGGCGCCGCCTCCCGACCCGAAACCCGTACTTCCACCACCAAATGCGTTTGATGCGGTGTTGGAGGTTCCAAAAAGACCACCAGAAGGGGCCGCAGAGGACTGCTGGCCGAATAGACTTCCACCCGCAGGCTTGTTTCCGAACAGGCCACCACCGCCAAAACCGCCGGCTGTGGTGGTATTGGATCCGAAGCCGGATGACGATGTGGTAGTTGTAGATCCGAATGGATTGGAATTTGTGTTGGCGCCAAAACCTGTGTTGTTTGATCCAAAGCTTCCTCCAAAAGTGCTCTGGCCAAACGCACCTGCCTGGCCGGTGTTGTTGCCATATCTTCGACCCGCGTTGTAATCAGCTAATCGCAGCTCTTCAAACGAATACTTTTGGTAGGGTGGCATAAAGTTGATGCTCTGGTAATTGCTGGATAAGCCGGCAGCTTCCTTTTCGAGAGTGGGCGCATATTGCGTGGAAGCGGTGCCTTCTGACGGCGGAACAGGCTGGTTGCTCAGAGCAGTTCCGCTGCCTGCAGCACCGAATGGACTTGAAGTTGATCCAAATCCGCTAGTTGTTCCTGCCCCGCCCTGGCCGAACAAGGGAGTAGAGTTGGTGCTGGAACCAAATGCAGGTTTAGACGCGCCTCCAAAGCTGAACCCAGAGCTGCCGGTATTACTGCCAAAGGCATTATTGTTGGTACTTCCAAAACCACCTCCTGAACCGAATCCAGTGTTTGTGTTTGAGCTGCCAAATAGTCCACCTCCTGTGTTTGTAGTTGTCGAGCCGAAAGGATTCGTGGCAGGCTTATTGCCGAAAAGAGAGCCGGATGTGTTGGTGTTGCCACCAAAACCTGGGGAACCCATTGTCAGTTCATTCGTCTCGTTAAAAGATGAAGTTTTCGTATCATCAACGCGAGTGAAGTGGATGGGGGGTAGTCGCTGCCTGGACGCTTGTTGCGAGTTCGCCCACCGAGACATATTTCATGCGATAAAAGGAGGAAAATCGTGGCAGCAACGAAAAAGAGAGAAGAAAATCCATAGAAAAAGGGCAGCGAGAAGTTGCCAGTGCGGCAGTGCAAAAAGTTGAAGTCTTGTTGCCTGCGAAAGAATGATTCACGCACCCCCTGTGTTGGATCCGAATGTGCTGCCGCCAAAAGGATTTGCGGTCGCAGTGCTGGAACCAAAACCTGTAGCGCTCGTGTTTGTGCCGAACCCTGAACCACGAGGCAAGACATCAGAGACCCTCCTTGTTTGACTTGACACGACACCTGACTTACCTGTACTAGTATTGGTATTGCTGCCAAACCCTGCAAACCCCGTGTTTGGAGTATTATTACTCGAACCGAACGAGAAACCGCCGCCACTGCCAAAAGACATGTTGGCGGGTATCGACGCGCGTCTTTGCGCAATGATTGGAAACGAAGGACAGGATTAATGAGGGTGAGAAGGTGCGGGCGAAATCGAATTGGAAATATAAAAGTGGTCTAGGAAATTCGTGACGCGCCCCGAGAGAGGAGCAGCTCGAGTCAGCCTAGCGATGATCCTAGGCAGAAGAGCTCTTGGGACGAAATTTCTTGACTCAACCCTCGACGGCTCGGCGCCTGAATACGGTCGAGGTACCTTTCGACCAAATAGAAGAATAAGAAGAGGTTGAACGCGCCCCCAAGGAGTTGGATGGAGATGGTTTGACCTCCGCGAGGTATGCGGCGGATCCCTAGAGTTAGGCTGCCAAGTCACAGTCACATGACTGATTCCAAGACCGTACTAGTACAAATAACTGGCAGGCGGCCAATCAGCCGGTACGTCATTTGAGTGCCGGTGGTGTCTGAAAAGTGCAGTCGATATTGTGAACAAGCTGCACCTGAACCACAGGGCTGCGACACCCACTTATCCATAGATTATTACTTGGTTCTCCCTGCCGCTTGCCATCCATCCTACTCGTTCGTGCATCGTGCTTCGACGGACTGCCTCCTGTTCTCCGAAAAGACCTCATCACCACGAAACACCAACGGACACAGTCACTTACCGCCCCCAGTCCTGTTCTAAACAGTACCCTCTTCATCGGCCTGCGCTCTCAGCGCAAGGGCTTTGCGCAACTGCTGCCAAATAAACCAAGCTGCGCACGTACGGTGAAGATGGCGGAACCGGAAGAGACGCCGGCGCAGCGACAAGCCCGCATTCGCCGTCAGAAGCGTGAAGCGAAAATCACGGGCTCAGCAACGGAGAGACTCGACAAGATTACAAGGCTGAGTGGAAGGACTCCAGAGAGCAGTGAGTTCCAGTCCTAGCCCAGATCTCAGATACCGGAACGTGGGATCCTCTAGCAAACGATACGCAACCAAGAGACATTGCCAGAGCAAGCAGGCTAACAGTTTCCATCCACAGTGCGCAACGAGTCTCCAGTGCCAACACCATCCCCGAGATCTCCTCCCGAGCAGGTGGCTCCACCGCCCGGAGGTCCTGGCGCGTTGCCCACTCCGGAAGAGCTTAGGGCGCAGGAGGAGTACTTGAAGGCAATGTTGAGACAACCCCTGTCACAAGAGGAACCAAGCCAAGCCCAGCAGGAAGACCCTATGTTGAAACTACTACAATCGATGATGGGAGGAATGGAAGGCTCAACAGACCCCAATGCCCCTGGTGGTATGGGCGCCGGCCCCGGATTGTCTCCCGACGACATCTCAAAGGCAACAGGTCTTCCTCCCTTCCTGACCAACATGATGATGGGAGGTCAGAAGGCGCCACCCAGCCAAGCCGAGATACAAGCGACACGCTTCTGGAAAGTCGTGCATGTTATTTTCGCCATCATGGCCGGCTTGTACTTGGTTTTCAGCATTCACCAAGCCACTCAGACCTATGGTGAGAATCCACCGGCTCCGGCAACCTTCCAGAACCCGTTTATCGTGTTCATGAGCGGAGAATTATTGGTCCAAGGCGCAAGAGCAGTATCAAGGGGCCAGTCGGGCAAAAGCGGAGTAAGGCTGTGGATACAAATGGGCAAGGAATTCATCGGGGACGGCGCGATTATGGTGTTCATGCTGGGATTAGCGTCCTGGATGAAAGGAAGCTGAATGTGGAAATATACAAACTACGGTTCCTGAGTGGCAATATTATTGTCAGATGAGGACCATTGTGCAGAGTATGGCGCCTGCTCCGGAATTCACACCTTTAATTCTGGCTGCTGGGACAAGACAGTGGTGGTGCTGCGGCGGAAGCATCACACCACAGGCTTGGCCCAACAAGTTACGAGTGGAACATGCCTGCATCTAGATCGCGAATGGGCCGTAAAGGGGCATTGTCCGCTTCCCAGAGGACTTCTCTCGGCTGTGCGCAGACTTTCGGAGGCTGCATGCTGCCGTTGGACTCAGCCGGGGGCATTCTTTGCTCGACCCATCATTGGACCACCGATTCCATCTGTCCAGGGTCAGATGTCATGCTCCAAGCATCTAGCAGGGCGATGATGCAAGGCCGAGGGAGGGTGTTTTTTTTGGGACGCGTGACGCTTTTGCGTGCCCAGTGAGCACCCCGCGGGGTATTGGACTTGAGTGCTTGGATTCCTTGGGATGGGCAATTGCGATGAAAAACTCGCTGGATCTTCGAAACTTCGATGAGGTCAAAGCTGCACGGGAGACGAAGCAGACTGTAGGGATCGCGATTCCCTTGTGCATGGCCCCAACGCCGATGAACTGGGCGGTCATGGCGCTCCTCCGTGAAGTGGCACGAGTGGCCAGGCGCAACGGATAAAAGGAAAATCATGGAGGGGCATTAGGGGCATTTACTCCGGATTGGCGCGGGCAGCAAGGAACACGCATTGCTGGCCGGGAAACCCAATCAAACCCAGTCGAAACAGCGCCAGCTTTCCCCATCCGCGCGAGGATGCGCGAGGATTTGCAGTGGATTTGCACTGGATTTCGTCAGACGGCGACCCAAGGACGATGGTGGGTTTGCGGGAGACTATGGGATCTCTTGCCAGTGGCCACAACTTCTCTGCTTGGGCTCTTGGGGTCGCCGGTCGCCGCTGCGGGGGTGGGCAAGTGGCAGCGGCCCAGCGTCATTCGGTTCTCGAGAGCTGCTTGTCCTCCGCGTCGGGCAATTGTGTGTGATCAGATCGTGTGTGAGAGAGGGAGCGTAGTGTGTGTGTGTGTGTGTTGCCCAACTGCGTCGAATTCACCATAATCGTCATCTTCTGGTCGAATTCCTTGCCTGCACTATCCTATATTAGACCTCCTGATCTCCCCGCCCTGAATGCGGGTCCTGCTTTCCTAGTCTTTGACGTTGCGCACTTGAGGAACACGGACGATATAAACACCCACCCACTCCCCCCTCAAAGTCTGTCCGAGCTCAACTCCTTCTGTCACGCTTGCTCGCCCCCTCTCCTCCACCCCATAGCAAGCTCGCCGAGCAGTCCACAGAGATCAATATGTCTGAAGGTGACGTTCAGCCACCTCAGCCCAAGAAGGGCCCTGTCGTGGTGAGTGGCTTTTGTTTTGTTCCTTTCCTCCGAATGTCGTCCTTTGGTTCTGCCGCTGACCATGAGCACACAGGCCGAAGCCCATGAGGTCGACACCTTCCAGTAAGCTTTAGGACTTCGACTCCTAGTACGACGGGCCCTACTGACCTCCTTGCAGTGTTCCCAAACCCTTTTTCACGAAAGGTCCTGGGAAAGCTCATATCAAGGACCTCGATGAATACTGGGCCATGTACAAGGAGTCCATTGAGCAGCCGGAGAAATTCTGGGCAAAAATGGCTCGAGAACTGCTGGACTGGGAAAGAGACTTCCAGACTGTCCGCACTGGCACTTTCACCAACGGCGACGCCGCTTGGTTCCTAGAGGGTCGCCTCAATGCCAGCTATAACTGCGTCGACCGCCACGCCATCAAGAACCCCGACAAGCCTGCTGTGATCTACGAGGCAGATGAACCCGGGGAGGGCCGCGTGCTCACCTACGGCGAACTCCTCCGCGAAGTTTCACGAGTAGCCTATACCCTGAAGCAGATGGGCGTCAGGAAAGGCGACACTGTTGCCCTCTACCTACCCATGATTCCCGAAGCAATCATTTCGTTCCTCGCCGTTACCCGCATTGGCGCCGTGCACTCGGTTGTCTTTGCCGGTTTCTCGTCTGGCTCACTGGCGGACCGAATCATTGACGCCAACTCCAAGGTCGTCATCACTACCGACGAAGGAAAGCGTGGCGGCAAATTGATCGGGACCAAGAAAATTGTGGATGAGGCCCTGAAGAAATGCCCCGATGTCACTCGCGTGCTCGTCTACCAGAGGACAGGTGCGGACGTACCCTGGACGAAGGGCCGAGACTTCTGGTGGCATGAAGAGACAGCGAAATACCCCGCGTATATTTCACCGGAGCCCATGGCATCGGAAGATCCTCTTTTCTTGCTCTACACATCAGGCTCTACCGGCAAGCCTAAGGGGGTTATGCATTCGACCGCAGGCTACCTGTTAGGTGCTGCAGCGACCGGCAAGTACGTTTTCGATATCCACGACGATGACGTCTTCTTCTGTGGTGGCGATGTCGGTTGGATCACTGGACACACCTACGTTGTATACGCACCCCTCCTCCTCGGTGTCGCGACTGTGGTTTTTGAGGGCACGCCAGCTTACCCCAACTTCTCCCGCTACTGGGATGTGATCGACAAGCATAGTGTGACACAGTTCTATGTCGCACCCACTGCCCTCCGCCTGTTGAAGAGAGCCGGTGATGAGCATATCCACCATAAAATGCACAAGTTGCGAGTTTTGGGCTCGGTTGGTGAGCCAATTGCGGCCGAGGTCTGGAAGTGGTATTTTGAATCCGTCGGCAAAGAAGAAGCTCATATTGTGGACACCTACTGGCAGACCGAGACCGGCTCTCATGTGATTACACCGCTGGCCGGTGTGACGCCGACCAAACCTGGCAGTGCCTCACTCCCCTTCTTCGGTATTGAACCCGCTATCATTGATCCGGTCTCCGGCAAGGAAATTGAGGGCAATGACGTAGAGGGTGTCCTGGCATTCAAGCAGCCGTGGCCCAGTATGGCTCGAACTGTTTGGGGTGCACACCAGAGATATATGGATACCTATTTGAATGTGTACAAGGGCTACTACGTGAGCATCACCTTTGCAAAACTCTGGGAAAGTGTGACTGACATCAAGAACAGTTTACTGGTGACGGCGCCGGACGTGATCATGAAGGTTATTACTGGATCCGGGGTCGTGTTGACGACGTCGTCAATGTCTCTGGCCATCGTTTGTCCACCGCAGAAATTGAGGCTGCCCTGATCGAGCATGACGGGGTCGCAGAAGCCGCCGTGGTCGGTATCAACGACGAACTCACTGGCCAAGCGGTGAATGCATTTGTCTCACTGAAGGATGGAGTGGATGGCGGTGAACAGATACGCAAGGACCTGATCCTCCAAGTGCGGAAGTCCATTGGTCCGTTTGCAGCACCAAAGGCCGTGTTCATTGTCGACGATCTCCCCAAGACTCGCTCCGGCAAGATCATGAGGCGAATTTTGAGAAAGATCCTGAGCGGAGAGGAAGACAGCCTTGGAGACACCTCAACCCTCAGCGATCCTAGTGTGGTTGACAAAATCATTGAGACAGTCAAGTCGTCAAAGAAGAAGTGAGGGAAGAATAGATGGGGAGGGGCGGTGCTGAAATAAACGTTGAAAGATATACCCTCGAGCACTTCGATTTCGTCAGTGGAGCTTAGCTGTTTGGAGGTCGGCTAGCGGAGAGTACGAGGTACATAGCCTTTTTATGCAGCAATGGAGATCCAGAAAATCGCTATCATAATCACGGTCTTTTTACGTGTTTGCATTTTTGAACCAACATTCCAGCTACCCTCGTAGAAGACGCTCTGCAGAGCACCCGTATTCTGAGCAAGATGGCTTAATTCTTATGTCATCGGTTATAGAGGGGAAACGTTTTCTGTACAACTAACTTCTGGGGTGCGAATTCCGATGGCTCCATGGGTATTTTGTGTCAAGACTCGGACATAAAAGACCAATAGCTTGATTAGATATACGACAGCTGGAATGTGTCCAATGATTCCGTTGGTGGACGCCGCCAATTCCAATCAAGTCGTTCTCATCATGGGATATCATCATTTCATCAAACACAGTCGGTCGAAAAGCGCTCATTGTAGACAAATGGCATAAAAGGCCTCTTTTGCGACGCTCCCTGTCCCGTCATAGTCAAACTCTTCCACCATGGCTTGTATTTCTTCGTCCTCGAGACCAGTTTCGCCCAATTCTCGAGCAACTCTGCGAATGTCTTCGACTTCAATGTAACCTCGTTGCTCCGGATCAAATAAGAGTAAAGCCCGTTCGACTTCTTCCGTAGGATCGCGTTCGAATATCTTTTGCGCCGCAATACGCTGGAACGCGTTTTGTGGTAAAAGAAGCTGACTGGAATGATATGTTTGTTGTCCTTTGACCGGAGGCCCTCTCTTAAATTGTGGCTTGGGCACACCCTGCAATTGCATTATCTGCGCGACTTCGGGTTTGGGCACAGAAAACCCCAACGATCTCATTGCGACGCGCACTTCATGGTAGTCGAGGTGCCGGTCGCGGTCGAGGTCGAACAACGAGAACTACTCGGTGAGATGTTAGCATTGGATGCCGGATGCAGGGCGCGTGTACGGTGCGTACAGCTTCATTGATTTCATCTCTTTGCTCCTCGCTCAATTCCCCGAGCGCATTCGATTCCTTCTCCATGCTCTGCCTCCCACCCAATGCGCCATGCTGTTGTTGCGGTGCCGCAGACTGTCCGAATTGATATTGTTGCTCGGGACGCCGCCCAAAAGTTGACTGTGAGTATTGTTGCGAGAGAACAGTGGTACCGGGCTTTTGCGCCGTGCGATCAGGTAGCTTGCTCGAGGACGCATAGAGATTTCGACCTGGGAAAGCGGGATTTCCTTGCGACATTGACCCTGCTCGAAGTGGGCGCAGCTGCGCCTTCCGTCACCTGAGGTGCCTTTGACGCGACATGAAAGGTGGACGTAATTGTTATGCAGAGTACTGGGTAGAATGGACTGTAGAATAGTAGTTACGCGAGTGAATTGTTTACCGACCAGAGCGCGACCGAGTTCTTGGGCGCGACTGGGGAATTCTCTCCGCACGGTCACGCCTCACAGCGGCCGCCAACCACTTTGCAACTTACCATCCTCTCCCTCTCTTTGCATGTCCACCAGCACAAATGCGAAGTGAGGCCATAGCCGTGCTCCCTTTCAAACATCGGCAGAGGCCATCATGGTCTGGACACTAATATGCATAGACCTCCTGGCCAGCAGCGAGTCATCATTCACTTTGACTACGACTGTTTCTACGCCTCAGTCGTCGAAAATGAGAATCCGGCCCTCAAATCGGTGCCTCTAGCCGTCCAACAAAAGCAGATTGTGGTAACCTGTAACTATGAGGCCCGGCGGAGAGGTCTCCGAAAACTCCAGCTTATCACCGAAGCCAAAAAGGTCTGCCCCGAGGTGGTGATTGTCCTAGGTGAGGACTTGACTCGTTTTCGTGATGCTTCCAAGGATCTGTACAACTTCGTCCAGCAATCCATCTGGAGCGGCAAGGCCGAGCGACTTGGATTTGATGAAGTTTGGTACGCTCGGGTCACCAATAACTCGGCACCCAACTGACAGCGCGACAGGCTCGATTGCACCGATATGGTAGACTACAACATGGGTTTGCTCAACCTTAATGATCTTTCTCATTCCTTCTTCTGCATGAGCAGAGACGACCCTACCGTTGGTTTCACATACGACGCATCAAGTGTCTATGGCCCTACTTATCCGTCGAATCCGCCGCCCTCTGTCCAGCTCTCGTCAGAGGATGAAGAGTTGCGACTGCGCCTTGTGCTCGGGAGTCACCTGGCAAGGCATCTGCGACATGAGTTGGAGTCTCAGAAGGGATACACATCCACGGTGGGAATCGCTATGAACAAACTGTTGGCGAAGTTAGCTGGGAATGTGAATAAACCCAAAAATCAAACAACAATTTTGCCACCATGTGAGCCAAATGGCAGCGTTGAAAGCAATATTACCCGGTTTCTTGATGACCATGACATAGGAAAGATCCCCGGCATCGGATTCAAGCTGGCCCAGAAGATTCGTGCCCATGTACTTGGTCGAGATGCGGCCTTTGCTGAAGGTCTAGTGTACGGAGGCACCAAAGAGTCAGTGACTGTCCTCGACGTTCGCTCCTATCCCGGTATGGGTCCTAAACTGCTCGATGATATCCTGGCTGGTCCAGGCTCGTCTAAAGGCATTGGCGGAAGGATATGGGACTTGATCAACGGTGTCGATGACTCGGAGGTTGCGAAAGTGAAGCGCGTTCCCTCGCAGATAAGCCAGGAGGATTCGTACATGAAGTACTTGCACACTTTCGAACAAGTCAAAAATCAGCTGCAGATTTTGGGTGAGAGACTGATTCGGCGCATGCAAATTGATCTACTAGAGGACGCCGACGACGATGGAAGAGGTGCCGGTGAAAATCCGCGGCGTCGCTGGATGGCACATCCGCGAACTCTGCGCCTATCTACAAGACCTCGTCCACTCCTAGGCCCGGATGGAGCACGAGCAAGGACGTTTCAGCGCAGCTCTCGGTCAGGGCCCATGCCGAACTTCGTCTTCAGCCTGAACGAGACAACCTCTGCTCTTGCCCAACGTCTAGTTGAGGAAGCACTAGTTCCCATGTTTCGAAAACTACATCACGAGCACGCCAGCTGGAATCTCAGCTTGATCAACATTGCTGCCACGAACATGGCGGAGACAGCAGCTGAAACAAAAGAAAGCCAAGGGCGAGATATTGGAAGGATGTTTCGGCGACAGGACGAAGTGCTCAAAGATTTCCGAGTGACTGTCCACCCAGACGAAGCGGAGCACACTGAGTCGGCCATTCCGAATTCTCCAGCTGCCCAGTCTCCCGACACAGTGAGGACGGGATCCGATATTGGCATGCCGGCAGAGAATGACTGGGACTCGGAAGATGGCGAGAGCCAGCCTTTGGAGCGGTGCGAGATCTGTGAAAACGCCATTCCGGCATTCGCATTGGCCGCCCATCAGCGGTATCACGAATTAAGCAATTAGACACGAGGTCCATCAGGCTCCAGCGGGACCCAACAAAACTAGATTAGGTTTTTATTGAGAGACAAGGCTGTCCAACTATGGGTGGATTCGGTGGCTCAGCTGTCCAGACAGCAGAGTACCTACCGAGTACACGTACAAGGACCGAGCCTCGTCCATATGACTCGACGACTTTCCAGGGTAATAGTCGTAGGCGACTCCGAAATGCTGCCCAATTCCGCCACCCTCGACTTCGGGACTGGAGCCACTATTATCCGGCCAGACTGCCACCGCGAGTCCCACTGTGGGCTCGGCCACTGGCACTTCAGGTGGGCAGCTGGGCAGATCTCACATGTTGCCAGCTGGACAACTGGAGTGAATCAGAAGGACAAGTTCCGAGGAGCTGACTGGAGTCGTCTATTTTCAACCCAACGAGCCAACTCCATCTCTCGCCTATTTCTGAATTCCCATCACCCATCCATCTGGCCGTCCTCGCCGTCTGCACCCCCTGGGCTGCCCCCCAATTCTCCCAATAGCATCACTCCGCCCGCCCGTTCTGGCCTCGCTGGCCTCGCTGGCCTCTTCCCCATTCCCGCTACTTCGGGCAGTTCGATGCCGAAAATAGAGTCGAGCGGCTGCGGATATGCGATCGAGGCCACGTTTTGCCCGAATCTCCTCTAGCATCATCCCGGCACCGTTCCTGAATCCTGCTTCCTGGCCAAGAAGAAGCGCCCGACCTGGTGCACCAGCCCTATCCTTTCCCCAGCTCTTCCTCCGGCCCAACAATCAAGCCACACCTCATCCTCCGTTCCCACCAAGACAATCCTAGGCGCCGGCACCTGGTCAACGGAGCCTGGGAGAGACCCACGTCCGCTCAATGCCTGAAAGAGCAGGGAAAAGATCCCAAATACTCCAGGATTTGCCAGCACAGGCTTCCTTAGCCGGGCAATGGCGGCAAATATGGGAGCATCTTATTTCGTGGGTTACTACTCGTACTCGCCCGGATGACGCGGTGGGTACTCACCACCTTATGTGCCTTCCAACGCCTCCTGCCATATCAGCTGCCCGCGCCCGGAGACCTGCGTTCTTTTTTCTCCCTGAAACGATGCTGCCTATATTGGTTTTGTACGTGTCATAATGCTTATGTGAGGCTCATGGGCTCCCTGATTACGCCTTCTGCTCCAAACTGGTGCGACTCCATGACCAAGATACTCATAAGGCTCTGACGATCTGGAGTCGTGCTCACCCCTTTACGTGCTTATGCACCGACCCCAACCAGCCTAAATCTCGAATAAAAGCTCTCTCGCTAGATTTCTCTTACCCACTTGGCCCGGCCATAAGAACTACGGGCATGCACGAGCAGTTCAGCTGGAGTTGAAAACACGAATCTTTCGATTTGATGAGTGGGCCTTCAGCGTTATCACAGGCCAGTGCAGGAAGCAAAATGCTTGCCATATCTATGGCTCCGCCTATGCCACATCTTCTATCTCGCCTCGACCCGGCTCATCCATTATCGATGTTTCCGACAGAGGATGTCGGGCCTCACCATCTTCCCTCGCCGGGTAAAAGGCCGAAACTGTCACTAAGGACTTCTGATCTCGCTCCTTCATTTCATAGCTCGACCAGTCGTCAAAATGGCATCACTACTGGCGCTACTGCAACGCCGACGACGTTAAACACATTCAACAATACATTCGATCTTGCCTACAGGCCATCGCCAGTGACAACTCTACCATCACCTGGACCCCATTCGCAAGCGAAAGGGAGCGCACATCCGACCTCACCAATTGGGAAATTTTCTGAACACCCTTATATCCTGAATCTGCCCTTTGGCGTCCATTCAATACTGAAGAATAGTCCACTTCCGCGGGATATTCGCCGGCCTTCCGTCAGCGCAAGCCCCCGAGTGGCCGGCCGGCGAGTGTTTTTTCCAGCACCCAAAAAGGTAGCTTTTCGGCCAGAATTGGAGGAAGAAGTCGTCACAAAGAATTACATCATGCGCCACGCAGACCTGAGTTCATCCGATGAGGAATCCCTTCCTTCCGAGAGTGAGGAGCAAAGTGGAACTTCCACCGACGAGGACAGAGATGACAGCGACAATGTCCGAAAAATCCGCGTGGATGAAGTCTCGCCGCATAAGAAAAGGAAGCGGAGGTCTATCGCAGTGTCTCCTTCGTCTTCGTCTGGACTGGAACAAGCAAGAATAGAAAGGCCACAAAGCGGGTCAACCACAAGGTCAAAGAGGAAGCGAAGGAGATGGGAATGGACATTAGACTCATCGATATCCAACCCAGCCAAGGCGGAGGGGGTCTCTGAAGAAGTTAGAGAAGATCCTAGGCCTCCAATGGAAGAGCCGGGGAGCTCACCAGATGCCGACCGACGTGGCCCAGGATAGCAAACAGCCTGAGCAGGATGAAGAGGGCAGTCGGGTAAATAATTGTCTCAACGGCTGAACATGTACATTTCAAAGAGATATATCTACGATAATGACGATCAGAGTACTCCAAGCACAACATGTGTGTATCCCCGATATAATTGAAGAGAGCGATAATACAACGAATCCACAACTCGTTTTTAGTGCCTAGCGAAAGCGGTTGTGCGGGCGGCCGAGACACTGTCTACCATTCGATCTGCATGAATCCTGAAAAACTTGATGAGAATTTCCGAAACTCCCAGCACTTCCATCTTCCTCCATTTCGAGTTCCACATCCCCTGCCGACCTCGTCCAGCCCGTCTTCCTGCTGCCGAAGCTTCCGCCCACGATGGACCGGTCACTTAAATGTTTCACCAACTGCCTGCTCTGCATCTCGGGAGAGCTGGTGGCTCAGGATCTTTACTTCAGCACTGAGCAAGGCACCATCACGCCCAACTACTACTTTCGACAAGAAGGTGTCGAGAGGATAGACCTTGGGGGTAAAATTATTGCACCGGGGTTTTTGGACTTGCAGACCAACGGCATGAATGGTGTCCATTTTACGCAACTGGCCCTGGGTGATGGACCGGGAGACGACGAACGCAAGTTGGAAGACGTCAGTAAAATGGAAATCTGTCATGGAGTAACAGGCTGGTGGGCGACTGTGCCAACGGTGGACAAGGACCGGTGGAAGCAGGTAGGCTGACCTCGCTTCCTCTATCCTCTATCCTCTGCTCCAACATTTTACGTATTCTCTGTTCAAGTCCGCGACGGGAGATGGAAGTTTGCATCTCCTCTTATCACCCACATACTGAAAATGTTCCCTACAGATAGTACCACTGCTGAAACCACAAACATTTGACTCCGGTGCCCATTTGCTGGGTGCACACGTTGAAGGGCCGTACCTCAATGGCTCGAAGAAAGGAGCACATAATGCCGCTTTCCTCCAAGAGCCAGCGAAAATGTCCCCATCTGTGTTATATGGGGAGGGCAATCTCAAGGATGCCATCAAGCTGGTCACTCTGGCGCCAGAACTGGCCGGATCGACTGCACTCGTGGGCCAGCTGCAAGAAGAATACCCTCACGTTGTCATCTCTCTTGGGCATTCGGCCGCCGAGTACGAAGAGGGCCTTGCGGCTCTGCAACTGGGTGCCCGGGCGTTGACACATGTCTTTAACGCAATGCTGCCTCTTCATCATCGCAATCCTGGGCTTGCCGGGCTGATGGGGACTGGCAAGTGCTATTACTCAATCATTCCAGATGGGATACATCTACATCCTTCAGTAGTCACCCTTTGCCTACGGACCGACCCGAGGAAATGTATCTTTATCACGGACAGCATCGAACTCGCTGGGCTACCGGACGGCCTACACCCCGGACACGGGCAGATTGCACAGCGACAGCTTAAGCAGGGCAACAGAGTGACAATTGAGGGCACAGATACATTGATCGGCAGTTGTTGTACGCTGGACGAATGCATACGGAATGCAGTGGCATTTACCGGGTGTAATCTCGCCGAAGCCGTGCAGTGTGTCACCGAAAACGTCGCAGATATGATGGGCGAGAGCAAGAGAGGGAGGCTCGAGCCTGGTCGACGCGCCGACTTTGCAATTCTAGACCAAGAGGGGAATGTTTTAGAGACGTGGATTGGGGGAAGAAAGGTATGGGCGAGGTCGTGATCAAAGGTTTGAGCAAATGTGCTGTGGGGTCAGCAATGAAGACAACTCAGTAAAGAGCCACCAAGGGATGAGCAGATGATGATAACACCGTGTGGCGTACCTAGGTAGGTACGTAGGCACGCAGATCGAGATAGACTCAGAGTCAGATACATGTGAACAGAGTCGACGCCTTCAGCCTTTTCTCCAGTCAGCCTGTTCGGGACTGAAGCTGCTTAGCTTGATGCAAGTTCCATGATTTTTAGGTGTTGGCTGACGGTGGCGTATGCCGTTTGGATCTTGATCGCCAGCTAAGCGATAGCTTTCGCCTAAGGAGGCCCCGCTGTGGCCCGCAGGCATGCCCAGCATTAACGCGTTGTTGGCTCATTCCCAGGCTTGAGACAAGCCACACACGCCTTTGTGCCCCCATCCACTCTCCCCATTGCAGGTGGGTAGCTTGTTGCAAGTAAAAGTGTGGTTACGTCACAGCAGATTGCGCGTAGACATCATAGTGCTCCCAGCAACTTGAACTGCGGGTTGCCAGCCAAGTATGAAATTCACAATGGAACGACCTCTGCCATACTAGGTTGCTCTTCTTACCATCTTTCTTTACTTCTCACACTCACTCCTTTCCTCCCCTTCAGGAGTTCATTACTAGAACTACCACCCATCTGGCCTTTTCCTCATCCCTTCGAACTCCTTCACCTTAGCCACAAGTACCCTTTCACCGAGGGCGAGCCCCTCCCCCTTAGAGGTGATCATGGCGGCTCAGCAACAGAAGTCCGGGAAACCCTGGAGTGGCACAAATCGCATTCCCAACATCAAGGAGTTTGTTGCACAGCTTGACAGAGACAAGCCCCAAAGAGACAAGGCTCTCGACTCACAGAAGCTTGCCCAAGAGGCTCAACAATATTCCGCTGAAGTTACTCCGCATACGAATGAAAAACAAAAGAAAGACGGCAAGACAGTCACAGATCCAGTCACTGGAAACCAAGTGGTCATTGCAGATGTCGGCAAGGAGTACATGAAGAGGGCCGACAATCCCCAGGTATGGATGTAATTCCCACTAATCAGGCCGATCTCAATTGACTTTGGCTCAGCTTTCGGTGCCAAACGCAAACCTGGGCAGACCTACCACAGTTGCGACGGATCCTTCCCAGAAGAATCCCGAATACAAGGAAAAGCAGGACATCACTGCCCCTCCAGACCCCATTGCTGAAGGCAGCACTTCTGACGTCCCCATCCATGGAGAAAAGACCAACGTCCTGTTCCATCCAACCCCTTCAGTCAGTTATGAGCCCATGTTCGAGCTTCTTGAGAACCGAGCCGGTGGACTGTGCATTGCCATTCTCGTCTCCATTGTCGTCTTTGGGAAGATGTTTGGTGGCTCTCTCAAGGGATTGATTCCCCTGGGCATGTGCGTCGCTTCCGCCGTCTGGTTGTGGATGAAAGAGGTGGTACGGAGTGGTCGTGAGGTGGAATGGAGCAGCGAGCAGAGTAGAGGGGAAACGGTGAGTCCCCGGATCCGTCTGCAGCCCATCCCGAGACTAAAGTTAGCATCGACAGGCTGTAGTCAACCTCCTCCCTGAGTCGGTCGAATGGATGAACACATTCCTGAGCGTCGTTTGGGGCTTGATCAACCCGGATATGTTTGCTGCCGTGGCAGACACTCTGGAAGACGTTATGCAAGCGTCTGTTCCTGGTGTCATCAATAACGTCAGAGTGGCCGAGATCGACCAAGGAAGCAACCCTATTCGAATTCTTAGTTTGCGGGCCCTTCCTGACTCGAAAATGCATGAGCTCAAGCAGAGCATTCACGAAGAGAATAAAAAGACCAAAGACCCACAAGAAGCGGCAGCGGACGAGGAAGGTGGTGACTATTACAACCTCGAAATCGCTTTTGCATACCACGCGAAACCCGCCGGTAATCGTGCCTCTGCGGCTTCAAGAGCAAGGAACATGCACATGAACCTTGTCTTCTATCTTGGCATCAAGGGGCTCATTGGGGTCCCTCTGCCCATCTTTGTCGAACTTCAAGAACTTGTCGGAACCGTGCGCTTGCGATTGCAGATGACTCCTGAGCCACCTTTTGCAAAGAGTCTTACCTTCACTCTGATGGGTGTTCCTCATGTCCAAGCAGGCTGCATCCCCATGGTTCAGAAGGGGGTTAATATCCTCAATCTGCCATTGATTTCAAACTTTGTCAATTACGCGATTGGCGCAGCGGCAAGCATGTACGTTGCTCCAAAATCAATGCAGCTCGATTTGAAGTCGATGCTGCAAGGCGACGATATTACCAAAGATACACAGGCCATGGGAGTCATGTGGATTCGGATCCATCGCGCCATTGGCCTCAGCAAGCAAGATCGTCGTGGTAGCAAGTACGGTGGAAGTGACCCTTATATTAACCTGTCCTTCTCCAAGTACGGAAAGCCGATGTATTGCACTCGGGTCATCACAGACGACCTCAATCCTGTGTGGGAAGAAACTGCCGCCCTTCTTGTCACGCCAGAGCTTATCAAGGCCGACGAACAACTCAGCGTCGAACTGTGGGATTCGGACCGCAATTCTGCGGACGACATGGTTGGCAAGGTTGAGTTGTCCATGCAGAAAATGATTCAGCATCCCGGCAAAATGTATCCTCAGATCTCAAAACTCGCTGGCACTCAGGAGGGAAGCGAAATGCCAGGTGAGCTGCATTGGGAAGTAGGCTACTTTGGCAAGCCCAAATTCCGACCTGCCCTTCGTACTGATGGCAAGGACAAAAACCTACCGGCTGAGCTCAAACACGATGAGAAGCTCCAAGATGAGAAAGGCGTCATTGACTCTGAAGACGCGGATGCCGTGGCACATACTCCTCCTGATCCGTTGTGGCCTAGTGGCATCTGTAGCGTTGTTATCCACCAGATCGTCAATCTCGAACTCGAGAACATCAAAGGGAGTGATGGCAATCGAAAGGGTAAAGAGTTTGAGCCGGCCAAGCCTTACGGCGAGGGTACAGATGAGGAGGGCATCAGTGAGTTCCAACACCCCCAATTTGTCCTCTTCCATCTGACTAACCAACTGTTTAGAACTCCCAACTTCTTACTGTACCATTCTGTTTAATGACACACTGGTCTACCGCACTCGTGCAAAGGCTGTCAGCAGCAAGCCCATCTTCAACGCTGGCACAGAACGCTTTATGCGAGATTGGAGGTCTGGAATCGTCACAATCACTGTTCGTGATCAACGCAACCGAGAGCACGACCCTATTCTGGGTGTTGTGCCCCTTCGCTTGTCAGACATACTCACGACCAGTTCCCAAGTGACCAGGTGGTACCCTCTTGACGGTGGCATTGGGTTTGGCCGAATCAGGATTTCGCTCCTCTTCCGGAGTGTGGAGACTCGACTTCCTCCCAACATGCTGGGCTGGGATGTCGGCACTTTCGAATTCATCTCTGACAGAATCGTGGCTACAGGTTGGAACGCTAATTCGAAGCTTAAATTGCGCACAGGCGGCAGCGTTGGCAAAATCCCCCGGACGCAATGCCACAGCAGCGAGGGAGGTGATGGTGTTTACTTCGATGTCTCAAGCGAGAACAACAACCACATTCGTCTCCCTGTCAAGTACCGATACAGGTCGCCAGTGATCTTTGAGTTCCATGTGACCGGTAAACGTGGAGCGGCGGCGTACGCTTGTATTTGGCTTCAGAATTTGGTTGACAACGAAGAGGCATCAATCGACATCCCTATTTGGACGACCAAGAATGGCAACCGACTCGTGCAAAATTACATTACCGAAGAGAACGTCAAGGCGTTCATGGACAAGGGTTTGGAAGACTTGAAAGAGGTTGGCCGACTTCAGTTCCGAGGTCGATTCAAAGCCGGCATGGACGAGTCGCACCGAGATTTCATTGTGGACAATAATAGTCGGGAGACGTATGAGACGTTCGAGGCATGCTTGACCGAAGGTGTGCGTGAGCGAGTTGTCCAGGGTGAGGTGCCAGAAAATATCCAGGAAATGCACGAAGCATCTCTGAAAGAGGGCCGCGACATCCTCCACCAAGAGACGTCAGAGAAGGAGAAGCGGAAGTGGCTCAGCAAGACCGGCGAAGACTGGTCCGGGGCATTCAGTCATGACCCGAGAGCATACACCAACAAAAAGCATGAAAAGATTGCTGAGCCCGGTACTGACGAGCCTCCTCACGATCCATATAATCCCTCCGACAACGATGATGACGACGCCGAGCCTATCGATGATGACTCGTCAGATCTGGGCATCACTGATGCCCACAACGCTCCGGAAGGGGGCTTCAAGGCGGATCCCAAGGACGTCAATGGCCTGAATGGCCATGCTGAGGATGCGAATGGGCGGCCAAGTGCTGATACCATGGCGACAGGCCAAACCGGCTGCACGACCATGACCGAGGCATCGACGACCTCCTCAGTGCAGCCGGTGCAGAAGAGGGATAGTGATTTCGAGAAGAAGGCCGGAAAACGATCAGAAGAGCGCAAGCATCGAGGGTTGTCACAATGGACGCCGGCGAGAAACGTCAAGTTTGCTAAGGATGAAGCAAAGATTGGAATGAGCAAAATTAAGAAGCGGTTTACAGGGGGGCTTGGTGGCAGAGAGCCTGGCGTCGAGACCGAGGCTTGATCAAAGTGTAGGCCGTGGAAGATGTTTTTTTCTCAACTTTTTGTGCGAGTAAATGGGTCTCTCAAGAAGAAAAAGAAAAGGAAGTCGTGCGACCACAAAGTCGGAGAGAATCTTCTATGCAACGATCCTCTCATAAGTGTCAAAGTAATAGGAGCTCGGAAGAATCCAGCGTTGATTTGTATTGATATCGAGGGTTTCTGAAGTGTATCAGAAGAACGGAAGTGCTGATATCCGAGATAATGTACAGTGTGGAGTAATATGGACCTCGTAAGGATCATTTGTTAGTTGCTGGCGAGCTGGTTCGTTCCCCTGAGCACTTAAGGTGCTGCAGTGGCTGAGGCCTGGGCACCCGATACCTCCTGTGATAGCTGTGTAACCACCTCTTTCGCGCCGTTGGTGACCCGTGTACTCTTCCTTTCAGGTTGAATCACAGCGGCCTTATGCTCTGGACATATCCCGACAAACTAGGTGACTAGCGGCACAGTCTTGATTTGAATGAATCTTCTCAAGCAGAAATTGTGCTTGGGAGATCCTCCCGGTTGATTCGTGACTGCAGGTGGTTAGCGGTCGGAGTTTTGCTGACCGTGGCAGTGATAATCCTCGGCCTCTTTGAACCAGCCAGCAGTTGCTTAGCGGTGCCTTGGCGACTCGTCATGCTGGGTTTAGCGGGCAGGTTGGCCCCCAGATCCCGGTCACTTGGGTGGCTGCGCCCACCAACGCCAGCCCAGCCCGCAACCCACTGCTGGTGATGGCTCCTCATCCTCGCTGCACTTCTCTATCGACACTGCCATTGTCTATCCCATCATTAGTACCACAGCACCTTCGTCCGCATCACCATACCGACGACTACCTACATTCGTTCTTCTCGCTCTTTCTCTCTTGTTCCTCCTTGCTTCTGTGTACAGTAGACAGGCCGTTGTCGGTTCCTCCTGCCCTTCGCTAGCATAATACCACACCGCAGCAACTCAGCCTGCGCATACGAGACCTCCACACCCAGCCTCCTCAAACCCACCTGTCTACAGCAACAGCAGCCAGAGAAAGTCTTTCGCTCACTGATCCGACCCTCTTACTGCTCACTCGGACCTCCGCTTGTTGGAACGGTCGACCTCGACGACTGGATTACTCTCCCAATGCAAAACTGAATCGAGAGTAATCTAGACACCTCCGCAGCCTGCGCACCCTCGCCTCCAGCCTTACCTATAATCTTCCTATAGCGCAAGATGCGCCTTCTTCGAAATCTCGCCGCCGGCGCTGCTTCGTGTCTCTTGGTATTGCTTGCAACCACGGTCGATGCACACTCCCAATCAAGGAACCCGTTAAACTATCTATCATTGCTTGAAAATCCTCGGATACAAACGCCCTCACAAAGGGTACACTGTGCATCCAGCTTTGACCTGACTTTCGACCTCCATCACAACACCCAGCATGTTCGACTGAGCCTTGAACCCAACCACGACATCATTCATGAAGACTCTTTCATTGAATTCATTGACAAATATGCCAATGTCAGGCATGTCGAAAAGATGCAGCGGGAGGAACACAAGATCTATCAGGGAAAGGCTTTTCTCGTTGATGACGACGGAATGAATCGACATGTCGGATGGGCTCGGATTTCTGTGAGACGAGATGGCGTCAAGCCTCTCTTTGAAGGCGCTTTCACCGTCATGGGCAACCATCACAATGTCCAGCTGAAGTCAAACTACATGGCCACCAAGCACGAACTCGATCCCGTACTCGAAGAAGACGACGACGAGTATATGGCTGTCTGGCGTGACTCGGACGTCAGCCGTCAATCTCATACGGACCTTAAACGGAGCGCGGGCCTAACCTGCGGCTCTGACAAGTTGGAGTTCAACACCCATCCGGATCACCCTATCTACCGTGACTTGATGCTGAAACGTGATGATGGTTTCTGGGGGGACATGGGCGCCATGTCCATTTCCAACATGTTTGAAAAGCGACAGAGTAACATCGACGGTGGCGGGGTGGGCTCAGGCAATTCGGCCGGCGTCAGTCTAGCTTCCACCGTTGGCAGCACTGCTGGTTGCCCAACCACTCGCAAAGTGGCCTTGGTTGGTGTCGCTACTGACTGTACTTACACCGCAAGCTTCAACTCGACCGATAGCTTGCGACAATACATCATCAGCCTGGTCAATACTGCGTCTGAACTCTATCAGTCTACGTTCAACATCACTCTCGGCCTCCGCAATCTGACCGTTTCCGACGGCGAATGTCCAGGGACAGCAAGCACTCAGACGCCGTGGAACGTAGGTTGCTCAAGCAGCACCGATATGACACAACGGCTTAACCTGTTCTCTTCATGGCGTGGCCAACGAGGGGACGACAATGCTTACTGGTCTCTCTTCACCAGTTGCAATACTGGCGCGGAAGTTGGCTTGGCCTGGCTTGGACAGTTATGCAACTACGGTTCCACTGCGCAGACAGACACTAGCGGCAATTCTCAGAGCGTCACGGGCGCAAATGTCATCGCGAAGACCTCGACTGAGTGGCAAGTGTTCGCTCACGAGACTGGCCATACTTTTGGAGCTGTCCACGATTGTGACTCCAGCACCTGCGCCGACTCCAACATTGTCAACTCTGGCCAGTGTTGCCCGCTTTCCTCGACCACCTGCGATGCAAATGCTCAATACATGATGAATCCTTACTCTTCGCCGGATATCACCAAATTTTCGCCTTGCTCGGTCGGAAACATTTGCAGCGCACTTGGCCGCAACTCGGTTCAGTCGCAATGCCTCACTGATAACAAAGGTGTCGTTACCATTAGCGGCCACCAGTGCGGGAATGGCATAGTCGAGGAGGGCGAAGACTGTGATTGTGGCGGCACTGAATCTTGTGCTGGGAATAGCTGCTGCAATCCCACAACTTGCAAGTTCAACGCGGGCGCTGTTTGCGACCCCAGCAATGAAGGCTGCTGTACCTCGACTTGCCAATTCTCTTCTTCTGGGACTGTCTGTCGTGCCAGCACTGGCCAATGTGATCCTGCCGAGACCTGTTCTGGCACTAATGGCACATGCCCTCCAGACACCACTGCGCCCGACGGATCTGACTGTGGTAATGGTCTTAAATGTGCCAGTGGCCAGTGCACTAGTCGAGACCTTCAGTGCAAGACTCTCATGGGCAGCTATACCAGCGACAATGACACCTATGCTTGTAACAGTCAAACCTGCACTTTAAGCTGCGCCAGTCCAGATTTTGGAGCGAACGTCTGTTATAGTATGCAGCAAAACTTCCTGGATGGTACTCCATGTGGCGGTGGTGGGGAATGCGAGAATGGCGTGTGCAAAGGAAGCACCGTCGGGGGCGAAGTCAAGTCATGGATTGACGACAACAAAACTTTGGTTATTGCCCTGGCCAGCGCGATTGGAGGCCTCCTGCTTCTTGCTATTCTTGGATGCTGCATCAGAGCATGCAGACGGCCGAGGGGGAAGAAATTGGACGGCATTGTTCCCGGGCAACGTCGGCATAGACGTGGAGTCCAAGCAGCTCAACGTGGAGGGTGGGATGGACCTCAAATTCCTCCGCCGATGAGAGATCGTGGATACGGCGGTGGATGGGAACAATCGCCTGTACAGATGACATCCCCACAGGGCTGGTATCCTCCTCAGCCACCGCCTGCTTACGGGGGTTGGGATGGCTATCCGCAACGAGGACAAAGTGTGAGGTACGCATAAGGGCGTCATGCGTCGGCACAGGAAACTGTACAGACGGAAGGAGGCCGGGGATACTGTACAGTCTTACACTGGGCATTGGGATATACCAGGTATGCCCGTACAGATCGGGCATGAGAACGGACCGGTGGACTCGCTGCATCTTACACGGCGTCAAAATTGTTTGGGTAATGTTTGGACATGACACGACCTCCCTGACGAACATAATCGAATGAATGATAAAGATTGTAAATCTACCTCCAGACTTTCATTTTGAGCTCTAGCCACAACCTTTCCAATTAGTTGATCCGAATTGTATGCCCAGTCCTCGGTCATGGCGACCTGCACCGAGTACCAGAGAAATAAGTGCATTCCAAAGACAAGAAGGTCAACCTTGGATACCTAGCTCGCTAGGTACGGTACATAAGCAAGTAGGGAAAAAGGCATGGAGTCACAGCCGCGGCAGGCGATAGTGGGGAAGCTTGGGGTGTCCAAGCTGTTCGAGATGGACACTGCTCAACCATTGCGCGACATTGCTTCGCCCGATCTCGCAATCATTTCCAGCCCCTCTCACTGGTCCATCCAGCTGCTTCTTACACCTTACCTGCATGACTCTTGTCATCGTGAAGGCGCACTCTCCGAATTTTCTGATGCGCTGTTTGATCGTGGTCTCGTGGTGTGTCCCAGGCCCCATGAACTTCAACTTTGCAACGACCACAGCAGCAGTCCGATCCATCTCTCGTCAGGTCTTTCGAGTAGAGCAACCCCTCACTGCCACAGGCTGTCCATCGCATTCGAGCCGCTCGCGCATTTGCCGCCGCAATTTCTCGTCCTCATCCAGAATGGACGTCAAGTTTGCTCCCGCGAAGCGCGTTGCGGGCCAAAGGCAGGATGTCTGGTCTATCGTCAATGAGGCCGCTGCGGCGTCACCTATGCAGCCAATTGTGAACATGGGCCAAGGGTTTTTGTGAGTATGCAGGCACACACACACCGACATGACCACTTGTTACCATTGTGGAAAGGATCCAGGACTAATTGCAGGTCACAGTGGCTACAATCCTCCCCAATTCATCATCGACGCTGCGAAGAGTGCGCTTGACCGAGTAGAGTGCAATCAATATTCTCCTACAAAGGGCAGGCCGAGGTTGAAAAAGGCCCTCGCCGATGCATACTCTCCTTTTTTCGGACGAAAGTTGGATCCGGAAACTGAAGTCACTATAACAACGGGGGCTAATGAAGGCAGGGGATAAAGGAAGGCCAGCATGAATCATCGCTGACTGGGTACAGGCATGCTGAGCGCATTCATGGGCTTCATCGAACCGGGCGATGAAGTCATCATATTTGAACCCTTCTTCGACCAGTATCTCAGTAACATTGAGATGCCTGGCGGGACGATCAGATATGTCCCTATGCACCCACCCGCAGACGGTGCGGAGCGAACATCCTCCGCAGCGAACTGGACCATCGACTTTGACGAGCTGGAAAAGGCTTTCAACTCCAAGACGAAGATGATTGTGTTGAACTCACCTCACAACCCGGTCGGAAAAGTGTTGAACAAGGAAGAGCTGACAAAGATCGGCGACCTCTGCTTGAAACATAAAGTCATCATCTTGTCAGACGAGGTGTATGACCGTTTATACTACGTTCCCTTTACACGAATAGCCACGCTATCCCCTGAACTCGCCAAAATAACGATCACCGTGGGATCGGCGGGGAAGAATTTCTATGCAACGGGCTGGCGCGTAGGTTACCTGATAGGCCCGCCGGAGCTGATCAAATACGTGGCCGCTGCACATACGAGAATCTGCTACTCAAGTGTCTCACCTTTGCAAGAAGCGGCGGCAATTGGATTCGAGCAGGCGGACAAAGTGGGCTTCTGGGACCAACAGATCAAAGAGATGAAGGGCAAAATGGATCGCTTCTGCCAAATCTTTGATGAACTGGACGTTCCTTACTCGGTGCCTGAAGGTGGCTATTTCGTGCTTGCGAACCTGTCAAAGGTCAAACTTCCTGAAGCTTACAAATTCCCGGATCACGTCAAAGACCGGCCACGGGATTTCAAGATGTCGTGGTTTTTGATCATGGAGTTGGGGGTTGCCGCGATTCCGCCGAGTGAGTTCTATACAGACGAGAGGGCACATTTGGCGGAGGACTGGATGAGATTTGCCGTCTGTAAGAACGATGATGTCCTGGAAGACGCAAAGGACCGTTTGAGAGGTTTGAAGAAGTATATGAGCTGATCCAGGGTATTACCCTTATGACAAAACGTTTTGGGAAGATGGCCCTGATCTGTAAGGTTAGATCGGTCCAACATGGCCCTATAGCGCTAGAACCCTAGACATATAGCATAAGAGCGACTTCTGTGCAGGTTTGTTCTCGATGTTGCCCCTCTAAAAGTAAGGCAGCTTTTCGTGTGCTAGTGGTTATACTACTCGGTAGTAAACAGGGGATGCTCAGCCTTGTCACGAACTGGGGTGCATCCCAACGCGTGTGACGCGGGTTTCTTTGATATCGATGAACCCCAAATAACTAACCCGTATTTGCATCCGCAGGCGATTCCGCCATCGCAACAGTCTCCCTTCCCTCTGACCTTTGGGCTTGGTTTCTGGATACTTACTGGGGATACATTGAGTTATGAACCACACATGATGGTGGCATGCCCAATCTGCGGCAAATCCGTCAAACAAACCACAATCAACGACCACATCGATTCCAACTGCACCGAGTACGTTGAGAATGAAAGCAGTGCATCATCCACACCGGGCGCCGCCGGCAAATTCTTCAAGACACCTGTCTCCGCCAAACGCGATGCTTTCTCCTTCTTCTCATCCTCCCAACCTATACCATCTGCGAGCGAGCCTCGACCGTCGACGACGGCAGTCGCAAAACGACAATTCGAGACCGCTTCGACGCAGCAGCATCCAAATGGACACAATGTGATAAAAAGTGAGGAGACGGGTACAGCTCACAACAATGGCATCGAAGCAGGTGCACCTCCAAGCAAAAAGGCCAGACACAATCCCTTCGAAAAAGCGGCTCCGCTGGCAGAACGCATGCGCCCTAAAACGCTGGATGAAGTCTGTGGACAGGACCTGGTCGGCCGTGACGGCGTGCTGCGAGGCTTGATTGAACAAGACCGCGTTCCCAGCATGATTCTCTGGGGCGCCGCGGGGACAGGCAAGACGACCATTGCGCGGGTCATCGCTGGCATGGTTGGCTCGCGCTTCGTTGAGATTAACAGTACGTCTTCCGGGGTCGGGGAGTGTAAGAAGATCTTCGCGGAGGCCAAAAGTGAGCTGGCTCTCACGGGCCGTAAGACAATCATATTCTGCGACGAGATCCACAGGTTCAGCAAGAGCCAGCAGGATGTCTTTCTCGGCCCCGTCGAGGCTGGACATGTCACACTGATCGGCGCCACGACCGAGAATCCCAGCTTCAAAGTGCAGAACGCTCTACTGTCGAGATGTCGCACGTTTACCCTGCAGAAACTCACCGACCAGAACATTTGCGAAATCCTTCGTCGCGCGCTCGAGGCCGAACGCGACAATTACAATCCCTCTGAACTCGTAAATGACGAGTTGATCAGCTACCTTGCCGCCTTTGCTGACGGTGACGCCCGCACGGCTCTCAACCTCCTCGAGTTAGCTATGGACATCTCTCGACGACCCAACATGACTCTAGAGGATTTGAAGCAGTCGCTCACAAAGACCCTGGTCTATGACCGAGCCGGTGATCAACACTACGACACCATATCCGCATTCCACAAATCAGTGCGCGGCTCCGACCCTAACGCGGCGTTGTACTACCTCGCGCGCATGCTCCAGTCAGGGGAAGATCCGCTGTACATTGCGAGACGGATGATTGTGATCGCCAGCGAGGATGTCGGATTAGCGGACAATTCACTGCTCCCGCTCGCAACTGCGGCATATGCAGCCTGCGAGAAAATTGGTATGCCTGAAGCCAGAATCAACCTCGCCCATGTCACTGTGGCGTTGTGCCTTGCACCAAAATCAACCAGGGCGTACAGGGCACTTGCGAATGCAATGCATGCTCTTGAAGAGCCCGGAATTGCAGGCCTGCCAGTCCCCATCCACCTGAGAAACGCGCCGACGCGGCTGATGAAAGAATTGGGGTACGGAAAAGAATACAAATACAATCCGGATTATGTGGATGGAAAGGTCAAGCAGGAGTATCTCCCTGACAGGCTGAGAGGTAGAGAGTTTCTCGAAGAAAGAGATTTGGGAGAGAACATCGACGACGACTTATTAGATGAGGAAGAACCGGGCAAGGATGGCAAAATCGCCAGTGGAAGGGACGGCCATGGCTGAGAAGCGTTGGAGGAAATTTTGGGGACCGTAAAAGCGAGAATCTCGAAAATAACAGGGTTATTCACGCGGCGAAGGTCTCCAGATGCAAACGGCATTGAGGCGCTCAAGAATAGTTGGAAAAAGATTGCGCCTATTCTACTAACGACGCGCATCTGGAGGCACAGTCAGACGGCGATCTCGGTAAATGGGATGCGTTGATATTGGCGGCGCAGCGCCGAGAGCAGCGAGCATTAGCGGGTGTGGGCGGTAGAATAGCGGAGGAGGCAGTGTTTGGCCCCTCCAGAGTATCAATTGCGAGATGTACGAGCCCTTTGCAAGCGCTGAAAACGCGAAAGATGCCTCAAAGCAAGGCGGTGCAGAGTCTACCAGGGAGGTTCGTCATGGCTCCTCCTGACCAGAATCTGATGATGAACTTGTTGGTGTGACAGAAATGATCGAATTGAAAGGGTATCATGGTTCTCTTGCGGGGGTGGAATTGGTGGGGAAAGTTGGCCTCGGCGGGCACTCTAGTAACAAGTCAGAGTCGTGTCCATCTCCTTTGTGCTGCAACATCTTTTTCTTCCACCCGTATAGCAATCTCTCGACCACCATTCACAAGCAAGACTAGACCAAAGCTATCCCCTAGAATCATCAAACCGCGACATTGTCCCATCGAGACCCCCGCTTCAGCTCTTTGTGAATTCCCTGCGTTGTGTTGTCGGCTTGTGCAGGCATGGCTGCGCCGCCAGAGATCACTTGCACCAATCTATCGGGCAAGTTCGTCATGGTGAATGTCTCGGCTCTCAAGTTTCTGGGTCAATCTGACAGTTTATGAGAACAAATCCCTTTCGGACGACATCGACTCCATGCTCGCTCTTCAGGGCGTGAGCTGGCTCACTCGAACCGCAATCAGCCTGGCTACAGTCGTCGTACGTTGAGGGCAGCGGGGCAATAGTTGTCGGAGGCTGACCTTATGCAGCTTACCATCAAAGAATACAAGCAAGATGATATCTACCATGTTGACATCAAGTCTGTGGCTTCGGGCCTTTCAACGACTCAAGAGAACCGCACGCTGGACTGGCAAGAGCGAGACCACCATGATCGCATCTTTGGGAACTGCCGGGGCAAGTCAAGACTTTGGAAGACAGGCGAATACAAAATGGAAGGCCCGGGTACACAAGAGGATGCAGTGTTCTTGGAGGCCCACAAACTCAAGGACGGTAAGACAGATTCCAAGTTCCTGGACGACGAACACGTTCAGAGCTGGGTCAAGAACATGGACCAGGCTGGCTGGCAGGCGGAACAGAACTGGGGTTTTGAAGATATCAATGGTGAACGACGATACACCCGACGAGTTTTGGTCTGGAAAGGCGGCGAGTTTCGAAGAGCCCGCCTCGTATATGACTACCAAGGACAGGCGGAGAAGAAGGAAGACGACGATGACGGCCTGGCATATGGTGAGGAATGATGAGTGATGACCATCCTACAGAGTAAACAGTGATACCCGGCAAGTATGGAAACATTTGTGCATATATTTTCAATGCACGTGCGGAGTGAACAATACGACTGTCAGACTCAATTTGGAATATGGCGCGCTCCACTGACATCCGGTCCTCGCAACAGTTCCCCAGAGCATTGTAAGGACACAATAAATTATAGTCCCCAGATATGCCGCCCGTGCGCGTCTCTGTGCGGATGGTGTGGGCACCAGCTTCGTATTATTTGAGATATGCGCACCCCCTCTGACGTCAAATACGCGGTTGGACAAACTCTTTTCCGACCCTTGATGAGCCATTTGCGCCAAGCCGTCGCGAGCGTATAGTCAATGCGGCATCTGTAGCGATGCGCTAGGCGACTTTGGTCCAGTATATGCGCTGACTGGAGGCTGTGCTGGCTGTGCTGGCCGTACTGGCCCTCAGCCGCCATATCCTCCTTCGCCTTTTTGGGGCAATTGGCCCGCCTAAAATGCCTCGCAAGCGCAACACACACCCCGGCTGACACCGAAAACGGCATTTACCAGGGCTCTATCCATATCATTGCGCCAAAAACAATAGGGGACAGATGTGTCTATATAACGGTAAGCTGCCCCCGTGAATTGGACAACTGTTCGTTTCCGTATCAGCCCAGAAGTCCAAACAAAGCCGTCAAACGAGTGATTGTGAATCGATTATATTCCTCCATTAGCATTTGTTATCACGACATTAAAAAATCACACCCAAGTTCAACAGAACATTCGGAACACTATCAATAAACACCCTCTCAATACACCAGTTTCCCACTTCTAGCTCCAACCCAATGGCTTTTCTCAATCATGTCCACTCAAGCGAACACGAGGTATCCCGCCGTCGCCGCAGCAGCTCTCTCCGCGATCTCCAAGCTCGAGCATATGCCAAATGGGTCGTGGCAGGCACAGTCAAAAAGAGCAGCCGACCCAGCAGCGGCTTCGAGGCGGAAAGGACCTCACGACACTGGTGGCAGGAGGAGGCTGCCCAGTCCGGGGTCACCATAAGGACATGATCGTGGAGATGGGAGTTTTATGAATGTTTTTGTTTTTTCCCATCAGTGGCCGATGCGAGAAGTTGGCACTGTGTCACGGCCGGACTAAAAAGGCGTTTGGGGTTGCTAAGAGCATTGGAAAGCCACGAGCCCAGGATGATATCTGGGTATATAACGCATGTCATGCTATGGTCCACAGGACATTTGTACACACAGAATATGACAAGAGCTCTTGTTCACCAAGTGCATTCTCAGCTGTTCTTATTTTTGAAGCTTAATGCCTATCCTGCGCAGAGGTTCTCTGCAAAACCTGTGGTACCTACTCGCTATTCGGTCAGCTATATGTATCTCGATTCTCAACAAGCTCTTGTGTCAAGTACTGCACATTCTCCTGAATGTTGTCCCAGGTCAGACACTTGTATACTCCAGGGATATCAGTATTGGTTGGAGCCAGACTACTAATGACGTCTACCATCTGAGGGAGCTCCCCGAATTGGGTTGACTTTGTGGCCTGCTAGCAATAAATCGGGTTCTGCCGCCGTCGCTGCCACCTTTCATCGTTGCCCAAACTGCTTTGCCCATGACCACATACCTCGGAGGGACAGAATGTCGTTGAATGACAGCGGGAGAAGACCGTCGTATCCGCCCCTGCCCGCCCCTGCCCGCCGCCTACCGAGTACACTCGGCCTTCTCCCCCGCGCTCCGCCAAGGCTCCCACCAGCCCCGCCAATAGAAACCCACCAGTGTCCGCCCGGCATTGGACCTCGGACACGGCAATTTCTCGTTCTTCTCGGACAAGCTTCTCCGCAAACTTGTACGAGGTAATGGGCTTTTTGCTCTTCCACCACTTGTCGCATCCCTTTATTAACTTGCCGCCCGTTGGCACCAGCATCGATTTGTTCAACCTGTGGGCGACAAGAGCTACGCTAGGTCCCCAATCTGTCCTTCGTACTGCCCTCCCGGTTTGGCAGCAATGGCCGCTCGTCGGTCCCTCCTACGTGCTGTCCCCGCATTGACAGCAAGACGGGCCACCGCATCAGCTGCGCCCCAGATCTCAACATCTCTCAGAATGTCGCCAAATGAGCAGATCGCACGGCGCCGACTGCATGCCACCACACGCCATCTCGCCGCCACCAGCACCGCCGTCGCCGACTATCCTACCTCTCACGAAAAGATCGCCAATGTTGTCGACACGCACAACTTCATTGACAACCAGTTCGTCCCGTCTCAAACTTCGCAGTGGATCGACCTCCATGATCCTGCCACCAACAACCTTGTCACTCGAGTACCTCAATCCACCGATGCTGAACTCAAGGCAGCTGTCGCGTCTGCGGAGAAAGCCTTCCCGTCGTGGCGAGCTATGTCCATCATTTCCAAGCAGCAAATCATTTTCAAATTGACACATTTGATTCGCCAAAATATGGATCGACTGGCCGCCTCCATCACCCTTGAACAGGGCAAGACCTTTGCAGACGCGAAAGGCGACGTCCTCCGCGGCTTGCAAGTCTGCGAGACTGCCTGCGGTATCACCACTCAGTTGACCGGTGAAGTCATCGAGGTGGCAAAAGATATGGAAACTCGTTCATACCGCGAACCCCTGGGCGTGGTGGCAGCCATCTGCCCCTTCAATTTTCCGGCCATGATCCCGCTATGGAGTATTCCTGTTGCCACCGTTACGGGCAACTGCCTGATCCTCAAGCCCAGCGAGCGAGACCCCGGTGCTGCCATGATACTTGCTGAGTTGTGCAAAGAAGCTGGATTCCCCGACGGCGTGGTTAACATTGTCCACGGCTCGGCCAAGACAGTTGACTTTATCATCGACGAACCTGCCATCAAGGCGATTTCTTTTGTCGGCTCCAACCGTGCCGGAGAATATATCTACACTCGGGGTTGTGCACAGGGCAAGCGTGTCCAGGCCAACCTAGGTGCGAAGAATCATGCTGCGGTGCTCCCGGACTGCAACAAGAATCACGCACTCAACGCCATTGCCGGCGCGGCCTTTGGCGCGGCGGGACAACGCTGCATGGCTCTTAGCACCCTTGTGATGGTGGGCGAGACGAAAGATTGGTTGCCAGAGCTTGCCGAGCGTGCAAAGGCCCTTACCATCAACGGTGGATTCGAAGCGGATGCCGATCTCGGCCCTTTGATCAGCCCACAGAGCAAGAAGCGTGTGGAGGACTTGATTAAGAGCGCGGAAGAGGAGGGTGCAACCATCTTGCTTGATGGCAGGGGCCAACACCCGCCCAAGTATCCCAACGGCAACTGGGTAAGTCCGAGGTTCCCTCCCCAGTCCATCCAACCTTTACTAATTCGTGCTAGGTCGGCCCAACCATCATTGCCAACGTCAAGCCTCACATGAAATGTTATACAGAAGAGATCTTTGGCCCCGTCCTGGTCTGTCTGAATGTTTCCACGACCGACGAAGCCATTGAGCTGATCAACTCCAACCCTTACGGCAACGGCGCCGCCGTCTTCACCCGCTCTGGTCCCACCGCCTCACTATTCCAAAAGGAACTCGAGGCGGGACAGATTGGAATCAACGTCCCCATCCCCGTGCCGCTACCAATGTTCAGCTTCACCGGCAACAAGAAGAGCGTGGCTGGAACGGGCCTTGCCAACTTCTACGGCAAGGATGGCATCAGGTTCTACACCCAATGGAAGACAGTGACAAGCCTCTGGAGGGCCGAGGATGCTCTGGCGACAGAGAAGCAGGTTTCCATGCCGACCCATTCGTAATGGGAGCCTAGGGTGGGGGAAAGGTGGAGGAGGATTCGAAAGGAAACTGACATCACGGAGGACAAGAAGACGAGGGGTCTGAAGGGGTGGTCAATTGTATTTGTTGAAGCAAAAAAGCCTCGTCAGAAGGGACAAAGTATATCAAATTGATAACCAGCATGGGGAAAACTTTTGGGAGCACGACTTTGAACGAGAAATACCGTGCACAGGTTGACCTGGGAAGTTTGCACAAGACGGTCTTTGGGCGGAAGTGATATTGCGAGAATGTGTAGCGAGTGCCTACCTACCCAGGTGCTTAGTTTCTGGGATCTACGGATGCACCGCCATCTCAACGCCTGCTATTCGGAATGGTACCTAGGTCTCATATGGAAGCTGGCTAGATTGTCAGCAAAACTCGACGTCTTCCGGAAGGAGCAAATCTCAGTAGGACTCTGACGCTGCCATCGCTAGCCAGGTTTGCAACAGAAAATTGGAACAATCAAAACTTTGATGCTGCATAATCTCATAGACTTCCCTCCCAACCAGTTTCACAGCGCCCGCAGCGTCGCCACCAAGCAGGCGCGATAGGGCTACCCTTGATCCGGCGAGCTTTGAGCTGATGTACATGAAAACATTTCCTGATGGAAACCTCCTTCAGTATTTGTCCCAGTGACGATATCTTGTAAGTTTCTGGCCGTCCGCCTCAGAAAAAGATCCCTTCTGTGCCTAACCACATGTGTATTGATCCCAAGCCCAGTAATGATATTGTCGAATCGCATATCATCTGGTCGAGAGGTCGAGGTTGCCTTCTAGCACCATTCTACTCGGAGTTGCCGCTCGATCGAGTAACTCTCTTGTTGGCCTCGGTCTTCGCCGTCTCGGCACCACTGGCTGCAGCATCCTGCACCTTCTCCTTGACATCGGTGGCAGTATCCTTCGCCTTCTGCGCAGCCTTCTTGACATCCTCCTTGCTGGGAACGGGGGCTGACCCGCCCATGCTTGTGAGACCGACGATGACAGCGATCAACAGCGCCAAGACACCACCAATTCCACCTGCAACCTCGGGCATGAACTTGATGGCTTCAACCGGATCCTTCTTGGCCAAGGTGATGAAGAGATCGAGTTTCTCTTTAACAAAAGTGACTGGGTCGTCCATGAATTTAAGGTCGGAGGGAGATTTCGGAAGGTCTTCGAGTGTGGGCTTGCTCTTCGCATCCTCGGCGTCTTCAATGGCTCGCTTGACGTCGTAAGTTTCGGCGCGGAAGGCCGCCGCGTCTTCAATGGAGTGACCAATATAGATGTTGTCGAAAGTAATGTCGGACTGCATGGTCCAGATTTCGAATCCAATCTGGCAGGAATGGTTAACGACTGCTCTCAATGGATCACGAGTAAGCACTTACTGCTCCGATGGGCTCGAAGTTGGAAGGAGTCTTGTCCTCAAAGTAATCGGGGTTTGGAATCTTGCGTGGTGCCCATGGTCCTTTGTAGGCAGGATTATCGATGAATGGTGCAGTCCACTTGCCCTTGTAGAGAGGGTTCTTCTTCATCGGAGGTTCCCATTTGCCGCAGCCAGAGACTTCGTCGCACTTTGGGTTGGGCACTTGAGGAGGGATCCAGTCTCCGTCTTCTTCGTCATCCCAATCTTCTGGTTTCTCAGCCTCTGGGTCAGGAATCGTTGAAGGTTCATCCTCGAGCCAGTCGTCGGGTTTCTCAGCCTCCTCGTCGACCACCTCGTAAGGCTGGTCCTCATCCCAATCCTCGGGCTTGACAGCGTCTGGATCGGGAATGCGAGCTTGTTCCACCCAATCCTCTGGCTTCTTGTCCTTTGGATCGTCAATTTCCTTCTCAGGGTTGACTGCAGGAGAGAAATCTTCGAGCAGACTTCCATTCTTGGCGGACTTGTTGTCGATCAGCATCTCGAAAGTGTTATCCGGCTTGACGATGAGGGTATAGAGGGTAGTGACTTTGCCAGTCTTGGCTTGAGGCGGACTCTTCAGGTGTTTCTCCTCATATTCGCCCGTCTTTGGGTTCTTATGCTGGAAGATGAAGTGGACCTGGGACAGTCGTCAGAGTAGTACGGAGGGACGAGCCGCCGAACTCACCTTGTTGGTAGCTCCGCACTTGTCAGGGCCAAACATGATCACATAGGGAGAGGCGTTGGAAAACTCCTCTGCATGCAGCTCCTTGTTCTCGCGGAGCAGTTTCATATATGCACCACCACACTCAAGACCATTCTGTAGCTTAACCTCATATTGAACGACAAGAGTCTTGCCCTTGTTGTTGATGACAGAAGGGAACTTTGCTGAAATGGCATGGTGAGCAGCTGCGTTCTTCACAACCAAGCCTTTGTCGCCGACAATGCCCGGGAGGACAGTCGGTTCTTCGACCGCCCATTCACCGACATATGCCCAATCCTCATCGCTCTTGGAATCTTGCTTTTTAGCATGCGAAGGAGTCCATCTTGTGTCCCAATCGTCGGTGAACTGTTCTAGGAAGGGCGCCTTCAGATCTGTGGGCTGGTCGCCAGGTTAGCGAAATGCAAACAATTAGATAACAAATACCAACTCACAGTGAAAGTTGGGCGTTCGACAGCACTCGTTGACGTCTCTGCCTCCTCTTGAGCGAATGCTGTGCCGGCGAGAAGAGCCGATGCATAGATGGCCGGGGCGATTGCTGCGTTGAACCGCATGCTGGGCCACAAACACTGAGGCTGAGGGACGAATGACAAGACAAGGGGTACAAGAAGCAGACGGGGTAGAGAAGAGAATGGAGGAGGTGAAGGTTGAAAACAGAAGGTCCCACTCCTAGTCGTGGTTATATTTCAATTCTCTTCGAGGGGAGTCAAAGCAAGGTGTCCTTTACGAGACCGACTCCACCAGGGGGGATTTCAAATGTCACGATCGGTGAAGCTCCTGCGCTGCTGCTGCGCAACAACAATTCACCAATTAGCCCCAAAAGGCGGGGGATCACGTGTCGGCATCGATTGGCCCCATTGAAATTTCATTTGGTTTCTTTTTCATTCTTTGCACGGTTCCTGGCCCCTTGAATGCAATCCAACGATATCTATTTCTACCACTACCTCAATGGCGGATCAAAAGAATGACCATCTCGTCCAATCTGACGATCCGGATCACCCGGCGAATTTGATCCCTCGACTCTGCAAACAGTTCTATTCCCTTGGTAGGTTGTAAACGGTAGGCGGTCTGCTTCGGCCGTAGAAACTGACTCCCTTTCAAGGATGGGTCACTGGAACTGGAGGCGGCGCAAGCATTCGCAAAGATGAACACGTTTACATTGCCCCGTCCGGTGTACAGAAAGAGCTTATGAGGTCTGAGAACATCTTTGTGCTTTCGTACCCGACTCCAAAGTACCCTCCATCAGCACGACAATATATTCGAAAGCCTCTGGATCTAAAACCATCGGCGTGCACACCTTTGTTTCTGGCCGCGTTTGAACGTGGTGCCGGTTGCTGTATTCACACGCACTCACAATGGGCTGTTTTGGTTACTCTGCTCGTCGAGAAGCTTCATGGCAAGGAGGCCTGTTTCGAAATCAGCGACATCGAGCAGATCAAAGGTATTCCTAAAGGTCCGGCGAAAGGCATGCTTGGTTTTCATGATACGCTGAGGATACCGATCATCGAGAATACCCCTTTCGAAGAGGATTTGACGGAGAGTTTGGAGAAAGCTATGGAGCTATACCCGGACACATGCGCGGTTTTAGTGCGACGACATGGAATGTGAGTACCCCGACCGAACGAGACCAACCAGACTCTGATCCCGCTTCAGATACGTCTGGGGCGACAATGTTGCCAAAGCCAAGACGCAGTGCGAGAGTTTGGATTATCTCTTCCAGCTCGCTGTAGAAATGCACAAGCTTGGGTTGCCATGGACGCTGAGAGGGTGATCGGGTGGTGCTGTGTAATGGCTGGCCGACCTTCTGAGTTGGTCCATCTTTACAACGGGAGATCTCCCTAAAAGCTACCTCCAGTGCACTCGCTACGAGGATAGAATTTGTGGCATTAGCTCTTTAGTGGTTATAGCGATGAAGTGCATGACATAAATAACACCACGCATCTGGCTACATGGGCAGCAGGCGTCAACTAGAATATCGATGGTTCAAGTGCGTGATAATTTTCGTACGGTTTTAAAAGCTCTGGAAGGAAGATTATCGTTTGCCAGTTCGTCTCCGACCTCTTCTCCAAATTGTAAATCCATCCAACGCTGCCAAATCGAACCTTAAACCAACGCACTCTGTGGGCCATCAATCGTTCGAACATTGTGCCCTGAGGTCCAGAGGTAACTCGACACAAATCTCGAGATCATGTCTACGGCAGCGTCAGCAGCATCCGAGTCGCAACGGCCGCCAGCATCGTCCGCACAACGAACACAAGAGGCCAAAGATGCATTTACGGCTTCACTGAACGCTGTTGGAGCCAGCATTGATGCCGAGTTGCACGCTCGGGCAAAAAACATCCACGCCAATGCAAAGGCTCTAACAAAGCAAGAGGATGACGTGCGGAAGGAGACAAAAGCCCTGGCCAAAGAGAACGATTCTTTGCAGAAGCTGCTCGACAAAACCAGCAAAGAGGTGCAGAGTTTGGGTGACTTGGACGATATCATGGCGAACCTTGACGCGGATATGGCCATGATTGAGGAAACCCTCCGACTGGTTGAAGAAGAGGAAGACGAACGTTCTCAGAAGAGCAACGTGTCGGGAACCAACAACTGACCACGACTGCATCAGTCCTTATTTTGCGCTTTGAGGTTGCTCTTTTCTCCGAGGATCGAGGCATACGGCGGACATGTCCTTCCTATCCCCGCTGCTTGGTCCCCGAAAATTCAAGCCCGGTACCACAGATATTCGCGCTTTTTGCCCCTTGTCTGGGCAGGGTAACAGAAGAAATTCCACTTTGTATGTAGCACGCCAGCGGGACTTTTCTTCGCACCTCCACTTGGCAAATCTAGCAATGGTACACTAGCATAGGCGATACCCTTTTCTCAATGACCGTAAGCAGGGTGGGTATAGACACGTCGAATCATATATTATCCAACATCTGCGTCCGTACCGGAAAATCGATGACTTTCGCCAGCCTTATACCGTAGCCTCGTGGGACCAAGTGGATGACGTAGTTGCCAGGTCTGTGCGGCCGCCAATCGGAGGCTTCCTTTCTCCGCGCAAGTAGACTTCCCCGGCTCCCTGCGACTCTGCCCTCTCACGCTGCAGTTACTCTCTGCACACTTGCGAGACAAGCGTCTTGCACTGGACGCGTGAACCGTTTCTCCATGCTCTCAGCATTCACTGCTCAGCCCATAGTCGAGCTGAAGCAACGCGACAAGTCAAAAATCGAGTCTATACTTTCTCACAGCGACCAGCTACTTGTTGGCCTTAACACCGGCGCCCTCCGCATATACAGAGTCAAAAGTCCTCCATCACGTCCCACTGATTCTGACAACGATCATGAAGAGCACAGGCCCACGACCGATGGACCAACTGCGACGCCTAAGCCCTCGGAACTGCTACGGGAGTACGAGAAGTTTTCAAAATACAAGATCGAACAGCTAGCTGTTTTCCGTGAAGCGAACATCCTGATCTCTCTGAGCAACGGCCTTGTCTCCATCCATGACCTAGGCACCTATGAACTCAATGAACAACTCACCAAAACGAAAGGAGCCAGCACCTTTGCCGCCACAAGCAACATTGTCAAGGATTCCTCAACTGGTGTGCCTACCCTCGTTAGCAGGTTGGCAGTTGCGGTCAAGAGAAGGCTGCTCATTTGGACATGGCATGATGGAGAGCTTGACGGTGACGCTGCCGAGGTTGCCCTCTCACACAGCATCAAATGCTTGACCTGGGCAACGGGTACAAAGGTTATTGCCGGGCTGAGTGCAAACTATGTCCTTGTCGACATTGAGTCTCACCAGGTGAAGGACATTGTCGGTCCTGGCAGTATTGGTGGTGCCCCTGGCCAAGAGGCCAGTAGGCTGGGAGGGACAATGAGCTACATCGGTATGGGTTCGATGGTCCCAGCACCACTCGCAACCGGTCTCGGAGAAAACGAAATGCTGCTGGCCAAGGACGTCAACACCCTCTTCACTGACCGCAACGGAGAACCCCTTCCTCGACGCCAGGTTCCGTGGCGTGTGGCTCCTCATGCGGTTGGATATTCATACCCTTACCTTCTCGCCTTGCAAGATGCTACAAAAGGTGTATTGGAAGTCCGCAACCCCCAAACACTGACCTTACTTCAATCAATTGATCTTCCCGGTGCGGTCCTGCTTCAGGTCCCAAATCCGAACATCAGTCTTGCCCATCAAGGGAAAGGATTTCTGGTTGCCAGTGAACGTGTTGTTTGGAGGATGCAAGGGCTGAATTACGATGCCCAGATTGATTCTTTGGTTGACGGCAGTCAACTAGATGAGGCAGTCAGCTTATTGGAGATGATAGAAGAGACCCTCATCAAAAACAAAGCTGGGCGGTTGCGTGAGATCAAGATGCAGAAGGCCCAGCGCCTGTTCGACGAAAAGAGATTCAGAGACGCACTTGACCTGTTCGGCGAGGTCTCTGCCCCCCCTGAGCGTGTCATAAAGTTATATCCCGCAGTCATCGCAGGTGACCTTGCGCATGAGGAACGTGATGGTGCCGTGGAAAGGGAAGCGGAGCAAAAGGCCGACGATAGCGCCCGAACAACGCTCAAAAAGACGGATATTGCCTTCAGCCCTACAAAAAAGACAAAGACGGTTCCCTCAGAGGCTGACGCGGGAAGCATACGGAGTGTGAAAACCGCAGACCGTGCAGGGGTTGAAGGCCTCTCGGAAAAGGAACTTAAAACCGCTGCTCGAGAACTGCAGGCATTCCTTGCCGATGTCCGCCGACGATTGCAACGATTCTTCAACCCGGATCAGACGGTGCGCAGTCTATCTGAAGTCCAAGTTGCCGCCCAATCCGAGGATATCCGGCAGATTACAGAACATCTTCTTGGGCTACCCACGCTGGATGATGTTGATCTTGCCGACAAGCTACGGGACGTGGCCAAGCTTGTTGACACCACCCTTTTCCGCGCGCATATGTATGCCACGCCCTCGCTCGCCGGATCGCTCTTCCGCATCCCCAATTTCTGCGATCCTGAAGTTGTGATGGCAAAGCTAGAAGAGACAGAACGCTACAATGATCTGATCGAGTTTCTGTATGGGAAAAGACTGCACAGACAAGCGCTGGAGAGACTGCGAAAGTTTGGACAAGCCGAAAAGACCGAAGATATCGATCCCCAGCTGCATGGGCCTGCAAGAACGGTATCATACCTTCAGAATCTGGGGCCCGATCTGATTGACATGATACTAGAGTTTGCTAGGTGGCCGCTGGAGACAGACCCGGAAATGGCCATGGAGATATTTTTGGGCGACACGGAAAACGCAGAATCACTTCCACGGGAGAAAGTACTCGCATTTCTCGAGGACATCAATATAGACCTAGCACTGCGGTATCTCGAACATGTGGTGGACGAGCTGGACGATCTGACGCCTGAACTGCATCAGCGGCTGGCCGCGCTCTACCTTGAACGCTTGAAAGACTCCACCGCAACGAACCGAGACGAGCTCCTGGATAAATTCCTAACATTGTTGAGGACATCTGATCAGTATTCTCCCGCAAAGACCCTGGGGCTACTACCTCGGGATGATCCGACGTTCTATGAAGCTCGGGCCATTGTTTTCAGCAAGATGGGAAATCACAAGCAAGCTCTGGAGATCTATGTCTTCAAACTGCATGACCCAGGCAAAGCAGAGGAATATTGCAATCAGACTCATCTCGAGGCAACCGGCAAATACTCCAGCAAGTCAGTTCCTCGTCGGAGACCTTCAACCACCGACCCAGTTGATGAGGAACCATCTATCTATCATATTCTCCTGAATCTCTACCTGAATCCTCCCAAAGGGGAGCAGGCGCTGTTCGGGCCAGCCATTGAGTTGATGGCCCGCCACGGACCCAGGTTACCAGCTAGTTCGACATTGGAGCTGATCCCTGAAGACCTGCTGGTGAAGGAGCTAGAGTTCTACTTCCGTGGAAGGATACGGAATGCCAATACTATCATGAACGAGGCGATGATAGTCTCGGGGCTGAGAAAAGTGGACGCCGTTCGAGTGCAGGCTGCCTTGCTACTTGGGGAGGGCGTCCATTCAGGCGGTCGAGGGCGCAAAGTGAGGATCGATGAAGACCGAGTGTGTGGTTTCTGCTATAAGCGACTTGGTGGCAGTGTGATCAGTGTATTTCCCGAGTGAGTTTGTTCCCTTTTCGCAACGGTTGTTTTTGTGCGCTGACGCTCGAGATAGCAATTCCGTCGTGCACCTCGGATGTGCAGTGCGCAAGCAAAGCGAGAATGCAGCCAAGGTGGTCTAACGCAGTGATATCCATAAGCCCGGTGACTGTGATACCCATGAGCGACTTCAGTTATTATGTATCATCCTGCTCATTCTCTTCGCCGTAGTTCTCCTCTTCCAATTCATCCTTCGACTTCTCCTTTGTTGTGCCGTTCCCGCTGTTTTGTCCGGGTTTTTTCTTGTCTTCCTCCATTTTTTCAGTCAGGAATTTGTTGATATCCTCCTGTAGCTTCTTGCTTGACGCCCGTAGTTCGGACACATACTTCGTTTTGGCTTCGGCGCTGAGCTTTCCGTCCTCCTCGATTTCTGGCGTTGATATGGAGTACTCAAAATTCCTCGAGCCAGAAGGCGAGTCGTAGGTGGCAGCGAGAGCCGCAGGGGAATTATTGGAGGTGCTGGACATGGTTCGCGAAGGCTGTTCGACTGCTAACAGTGGAAGATTGGAAGGGTCGGGCGTGTTTGATGGAAATGAAGGTGGGAACAGCGGGGGTCGGAGGGACTGGGATCTCCAACAGCAACACCGACGTCAACAACATCATTTCATCTGCGCATTCGTCCTCGACCCAGGGTTCCGACTTCTGTAGACGAGCTCAACTTGTCTTCTCAAGCGTGCGAAACGCGCGAGATATGTTGCTGGTGCTTGTTTGTCATGCGGTGCCTCCTGTACGGTTAATCCGGTGAACTCCATTCCACGACACCCTCCCACAACCCTCGAGACGAACCGCGTACTCGCTCTATGCGGCCATGGAACCACCTCCTCAGCGACGAACTGGACTGCGGTCACCAGTTCCTCCTGCCTCTGCCTCATCTGTTTCGCCTAACCCGTCACGCGCGGGCTCGAAGCAGAGCAACCGGCCTAGTTCGAGCGGCAGCGACACCTCGGGCTCTTCACGCCTCTCAGTCGTCAAGAGATCTCCTTACAACCAACATTTACCTACATTCGTTTCGCACAACAATACAAGCAATGCGTCGCTCCAGTCTCACCACCGGCCGTCTGCACAGTACATGCCTCGTGATGGCAGCGCAAAACAGAATCTAGGCCCTCCTACCGAACTGCAAAAGCACCGCCCGAGACAGCACTCACAGGGTTACTTCGAACCCTCAATGCCGTCAGCCTCCCTGGCAAGCCAGTCTCAACTCCACGATCACACCGGGATGCCTGCCCTCAACCCCTCTCAGATTGCAGCTCAGGCTGCCATGCAGCACCTGAACGCCACGAACCATTCCCGCAAGAGATCGCAGACAGTACCATTTCCCCAAGAGCAGAGCCAACAGGAAGGGCGGCGTAACAGCAGAGGCTCGGCAGGCTCTCACGAGGGACAATCCCCAACCACAGCTGCGGAACAACAATATCGCAATGGACTAATAGGCACCAATGCGGCGGCAACAGCAGCCAGCGTTGTATTCCCAAAAAATTTCGCATCAACTAGCCAAGTGTCCCTCGTGGAGGAGGAAAAGTCAAAGAAGGGTTTGAAGAGGTTTAGACCGAAGCATATTGTGCTGTCAAGGGACAAGGACAAAGAGGCTAAAGAGAAGCCGTTGCCGTCTCCAAACCGGTTGGCACCAAGTGGTCTGTCGAAGGTTATGAACGCCTCGACCACAAGCCTGGCAGAGTCACTATCTTCCAACTCCTCCTCTTTGTATCAGCTTGCCAACCCATCATCGTCAACCATCGTACCTTTTCCAGAACAAAGGGAGCAGAAAGACAAGACCCACAAGCACCATGGTCTACGCCAGAAACTGAAACTCAAGGACAAAGATGAGAACTTTGCCCTTCCATTATCTTCTGCCAACTCAAATTCGCGTCCGGTAGACGTCAACAACCCACAGTCCCTGTATTCCTTTGCTCCTCCGTCGCCTAATCCTTCATCTAACTTTGCCAAATCGGTCTCGGGGCTTGACCTTCGGCATGGAGGGCGTGCTCTTCGGGAGAAGAAAAAGGAAGAAAAGGCTCAGCAGGCAGCCTTTGCCAACCTCGAACCTGTCTATAGCCGAGGAGAAAGCGACACCTCGGAATGGCCTTCTCTCGGGACCAGCTTTACCAATCAGTCAGTCAGTAATTTCAACACGTACAGCGAGATCAAAGAAGCAGGGGCGAATTTTGGTCTCTCCAACATGTCCGCAGATGACGCTTGGGATCTTCTAAGGGCAAAGATATTGGTCACATTCGAAGGTGAGGAGGTGCGAATAGCAGTTGAAGACCTGAACAAGCTCGTCACGATTCATGTGCAGAGATGCGTGCAAAGAAAAGATCCTAGTATTGTCATAGGGGATCTAGAAGACCTCTTGAAGACTGGATTTCTCAGCCTCAATCACACCTTGCGCAACGTTGCAGATAACAGCCTTGTACCCCGGCTGGTGGGTATATGGATGGACGTGTTTGGCAAAATCCTCCCCTTCATGCAAGCTGTCTTCCTCCCCCTTGATCAAGAGTTTAAGGGGAGGGGCAGCATATTGACCAGCCCCAAGATGGCCGCGGAATTCTGGGGGGCTCTACCGAGCCATGAAAGTGGGAGCAAGCTGTCATCATCACCGGCCTCCGGTGAGGGTGCAGACTTTGTGGTTGCTGCTGGCGAGGAGCTGGAGGTCAGACGAATTCTGCTCATCAGCTACCGGGATACTATTGTGCTACCACGCTATGAGGTGCTCAAGTCGACCTTCTCGCGGCTGAGTCTAGACAGCATCAACGCATCGATCATGCAATTTGAGAACGGCAACAGAAATCGTGGTAACAGTGGCGGAAGTGACAGACCCGGGACAGCACAAGGCACTGAGCCGCCGTACGGAAGCTACAACTCTCAGAGCAGCACATTGCTAGGCAGCATGACGTCCGGCGGCCGGTCTCGCGCAACGTCCAATCTGTCTGTGGTGAGCAATCCCGCACAGGATGTGGCCTTCCAATCATTTAGTTCTCCGCCGGCAGCAAGGCCCACTGATAGTTCATCATCGCACGTCACAGAAACCGTGGGTCGAATGCTGCAGTGTCTCTCGGTATTATGTTCGATCCAGTCAGGAGACGAAGCCCAGAACAAGATGGAGGAACTCAACAAGCAACTAAAACTGAACTGGCTAGGTCGGGGCCGCACTGGTAGGAATCGAAAAGGCTTTGTTGGCAGCAGAGTCCGACCCATGGGACGTGGACTTGACCGCGAAGGGAGTCCTACACCGACGCCTACCCGACAGGGAACTGTGAGCAGGCAGAGCGACGATGCTGGATGAGCGGGCGTGTCAGTGTTGGAGCATATCCATACCTCAGTATGTAGGATTGCGGGAGATATGCCGTGCTTAACGACATGAATGAGATAGCGCAATGCGACAATCTCGACCTGCAAGCCTCTCGTTATCCATGCGTTAGAATCTTTGTGGGACTACAGCGTCCCCCCAACTACAAAAATGAACCGTAGAACGCTTCACTCTCCCCATCTACCAACATTCGCAAGCACACGGATTTGAAATTTGTGATCATCGACTCGAGTCACCTCATTCGACATAACAAAATGCCCTTTATTCAGTCCAGCTTAGATGGTACGGCTTTGCACTACGTTGACTATAAACCTACCTCAAGCCGCCCCCGTTTTCAGCCAACAGACACTCCGGCCAGGGACTGTAGCAACAGTGGCCAAACGCTCGTCTTCATCCATGGGTGGCCAATGTCCCATCAGATGTACGAGCATTTGATGGTACCACTCTGCGAGACGTATGGCATTCGGTGTATTGCATCCGACCGAAGAGGCTTTGGCAAAAGCGAGTGGAACACCAGCCGCAGTAGGGACATCACTTACGACACCTTTGCGCAAGATACCATTGACTTGATCGATCATGTCAAGGTCGGCAAATTCTTCTTCGTTGCGAGCAGCATGGGATGCGGAGAATCGCTTTTGGCCTACCTCCAGATGCGAGAAGACCTGCAGAAGGAATGTCAGGGACTGATATGGCTGGGTCCCAGTCTTCCGTTCCCGCTGAAGACAGACACAAATCCCATGGCGCCGTCTCGAGAGTTGTGGGATAGCATCTTGACCGGTATCCGCCAGGACCGCCCAGGTTTCACCAGGACCGCACTCCCGGGCGTGTTTGGCGTTCCCTCCAACATCGGCATCGAGGTCCCAGAGGCAGTTCTGCAAAGGTTCGAATGGATCATTGCACAAGCCGACGCTCTCGCTATTGAGATCTGCATCCAAATCATCGCACATAGAGATTTCACCGACGAACTCAAGAGACTGGATAGAAAGGACGTGAGAGTTCTCGTTATCCACGGAGACAGTGACCAGGGTAAGTGCATTCGAATCGTCGGTCTTATCATCCATGTTGCTCATGACTCTTTGCACAGGTTGTCCCGCTGAAGCCCATGCGAACCTCATTCCGAAGCTCGCAAAGCAAGCCCAAGTCAAAATCTACGAAAAGGCGGCGCACGGCATGTACCTCACGCATGCACATCAGGTCACCGAGGACATCCTCTCCTTCGTACTCGGACTCTGAAGAGCGGGGAAGGGTATCGGGCCCATCAAAGAGCACGACCACTCATACCTTATTGCTCGTTGGCCCCCACATCGCGCAAGCAACCTCGTATTCTCGCTTCTCGATCCATAACGTTATGGTCTGCAGCTCGGGCAAAGGTGGTTGTCTTCTTTAAAACCAGAATCGACACCGCTGACGGCGGTGACAATCTTCCAGGATCATGAAGAAGAAGCATCCGATATAATCCAAGAGTCAGAAATTACATGCTTTGCTGTTATTTTTGCGGTCCTCGGCGGCTGTTTTATTGATCCCTCCAGAACTTCACATGAATCACACCGTCTTCAGGTTGCTTGCTTAGGATATCTGTGATCTGGCGTTGTCATCCTCTGGAGTCCGTCCGTTCTTTTCGATTTATGCACGGAGTACACAGCCATGTCCGGAAATAAAGGTCAGGTCAAGCGCAAAGCAGTGAAGTTGGCGATACCGCAGCCCGGGGAAAACGCGGCCGAAAGGAAACGGGTACTCAATGTGCTTGCCCAACGACGATATCGCCAGAGACGGAAAGAGCACATCAAAAAGCTCGAAGCACAAGCAGCAGACGTGAATGGGGATCCCAACGTATTCTACGAGCAGAGTCCTCAGCCGAGGAGCCCTACCAAATCAGCAAACGCCGATGGATCACAGATAGATACTGGCAGTCAACCATCGCAGCCATCCTTTCAGACTCCAGACATATCGTTTGAGGACAGTGCTTGTGATTACCCGTTCGAGACGGCGGGGGAACCGGCATCGTTCCCTGCTCTCTCAGATGCCTTTCCAAACTACGACGCATATTCCTTCGCTAGCATGGCTACCGAGGAGCAGGCTCTCTGGGATACATCAGTACTATTGCCTTCATTGCCGAGCACACCCCTGTCATCATCGAAGCATACATCTTCGAGCAAGAGCGACACCTGGTCGCTGACACCTGTCCCAGCAGTCCAAGGGAGCCCGGGGACCGGTCAGACAACGCCTCAAGCACAGTCGATGTTTGACCAGGAGATGACATATTCCTTTCCTGATGAAGCGCACCTGGAGATGGCCGAGCTTACTTTACTGCGAGGGTGTATGGCGATCGCCAGACGCATGAAAGTCCAAGACATCATATGGTCCCTGACCGCGACGTCGCCGTTCGCCGATCCATCCACAAGCCTGGCACAATTCAGTCACTTACCGAGCAATTTGCAACCGACACTGATACAAATGACCATCCCACACCACCCAGTTATTGACCTTCTGCCATGGCCGCAGGCACGCAACAGAATGATCCAAGTATTGTCACAGCCCCCTGAATTTCGACCTCCAGGGGCAGCCTCGCCAATGGCACTACTGGACTTCGTGTATGACCTGGAAGACAGCGCAGAGGGGGTGAGAATAAGCGGCAGTAATCCATATTCAGAGATGAACTGGGAAGTCGGCGAAAAGGTGTTCAAGTCCTGGTGGTGGATTCTTGATAGGGATATTGTCCAGAGGAGCAATGAATTGCGTGCATCGAGGGGGGCGCCGATGCTAGGGAGCGGGAGTATTCTGGGAGAGGTGGTATAATGGACCATAGCGTGATATGACCAGGGTCAGGGCGAAGAGCTTGAGAGAGGAGGAAACCTTTTCTACGAAGTAATAATGAGCAACTAGGTATCATGTGGAATGACTGACACGGCTGGTGGCAATCCTCGGGTCGTCTTCGAAGGTCTGGCGTATCTAGGCAGGGTTGCATCCTGGAAGACAGGTCCCTGTCCGCTCGTTCTTTGCTATTTTGAGTGAAAACAAAAACGACCCCTGTCCGCAAACCCTCATATCAGTGCCTACTCATCTGAGGAGGAAGCATCGACATGCCTTCTTGCATATCGAGGACGGTACTCGGTCCTCAGTACATACCTCAGATCATCATGCCAACACAAGCGGGAGTGTTTGTGCTCTACTCGTAGCTTTTGGCCCATTCTTTTTCAATTTCCCCGTATTACTCGGTGTTGCGTTCAAATGTAGCGCGTGGTCTTTTTCTTCCTTCTTTCCGACAGTCGAAGGTTGACTGGTCACTACCGAGTACTCGTGTGGGCAATTTCATGCCAGCCACCAAAGCCCGACATGGCGGAGGTTAGGGCGGTGTGGTGCAGAAGAGGCGTTCGTCATGCATATTGCAATTTCGGGGTCATTCCCTCGCCCCACGATCAGCTCCATATCATTGGAAGACTAGGAAGCTGCTTGACCGGTACGAGAAGGTGGCTCTCTGAGGTTCGCACGCGGACGCAATAAGCGGACTTTGACTTGAATCCCCCGGCCCCCAATGTGTTTCTTTCCGATGTTCTCATCTTTCTTTTCTCCCCTGCTGTTCCGACCAAAGTTCATACACTTTATGCGTGCGAGTAGACCTTGGTTGGCTGATGTCTCTGGAGTTCCTGCACAAGAACAAGTCAGCAACAGCGACAACAGAGTCGCAGGAATAGCACGAGTACCTGGCCCTGATGGATCTTTTCATCCGTGATGCTACAATTCTCCGACAAGCAGGATCAGTTGGATTCGTTACCATGGAAGAGCTGTTTCTGCCGCTGACCGGGTCTAGCCTTTTCCAGCAGACTTCTGGGCCTCATTAGCGAGGTTCTCCTTGTCAGTTGGAACCGAACGGGCACTGAGTTCTTATCTGCCAGGGCTGAATTATCTCAGGCACTACTCCATTTAGCAAGATTCCCCTTGTTCCTAACCGTGGAAATGCCATGTGGAGAGTCTGGCCTTGCAGTTGTGGCCCTGCGCTATCCTGTGCTAGGCGAGCTGGACCTCTAGCTGCCTGTCGGTACCTGCGTGAGGCTGCAAGTTTCCCTGCATCGCGCAAGCAGCTTGTAGAGCTAGCTTCGCCTGTCAGCTTGCCACGCTTAGCCACTGGAGAGCCAGCAAGTCCCTAACAGTTCAGCTTTCTCGTCTGGGAGAACAACACCGGAACTCTCTTACCTTGGGATGTCTGCAAGTTAGGTTCAACACGTTCCTGACTTCGTCCACTCTTTTCTTCCCGCCCATTGCTTTGCCTTCTGTTCGCTCGTTGTTGTGTTTTTGGTTAATTACGATTGTTCCTGTTCCAACGGCCCCGGCGCAGAAAAGGCCACTGACCTCGACAGTTGCTTGTCGATTCCACTCATTTTTGGTTCACAATGCGTCGGTCTCTTGCTCTTCTCCTCGGTCTTGCCGCGCTGGGATGCGCCCAGGACAGTGGTACTACCGCCACGGCGACTGACTCTGCGACCGACTCGTCGACGACTACTCCTACCGATTCAGTCACTGCTGCTCCCGCCGTCACGTCCTCGAGTACGAGTTCCAGCGCAGAATCTAGTAGCTCAACGAATGCCACGAGCACGACGCAAGGACCTATAACCCACACGGTCGCGGTGGCTTTGGTAAGGAGCGCTCCAAAAGAGATTTGTGTCAAGGATTATAACTGATACGTCGAGTAGGGAGGCTTCACATTTGTTCCCGACGTGACTCTGGCCGAAACAGGCGACACGATCCTGTTTCAATTCTACCCAACCAACCACTCCGTTATTCGCGCAGAATATGGATATCCTTGCATTCCTTACGAGGACACGGGCGTTGACAAGGTCGGCTTCTTCTCAGGCTTTTATCCCGTTGATGCAATATTGCCCGACCCGCCTCAGTGGTCCATTGTGATCAACGATACAAACCCAATCTTTTACTATTGTGGTGCACCGGGATCGTGTATTAACCATCAAATGGTGGGAGTCATCAATCCCAATGCCACGACGTCCTTGCAACACCAAAAAGATCTGGCGTCGGAATCTCAGTTCATGTTACTGCCAGGCCAACCTTGGCCCGATGAGAGCGAGGATCCATTCAGTGCCACGTCGTCTGCGGCCCCTAGTACGTCGCCGACCGCTTCATCGGCAGGGTCTGCCCCAGCCAGTGCCACCAGCGGCTCCAGTGATAAGTCTTCCAGTTCAGGCCTCTCTAGTGGTGCAATCGCTGGAATTGCCATCGGAGGGGCCGCCGTGGCTCTCGCTGCCGCTGTCGCCCTCTATCTCTGTGGCCGCCAATCTCGCGCTCGCGGGTCCGGCAATAAAATAAATGACGACCGCCCCAACACAGGCCACGGCACCCAAGTTTCCTACAATCCACAAGGCCCGCATAGCCACCTATCCTACATGACCGATCCGACCAAGCATATGTCTATGCATAGCAGCGTCGTGGGCATGACACCCTCTCCAGCCCTGCCTGGATACGTACCTTCGCACGATCCCACAATGTCGCCTCCTCTGCATCCCGCGTATCCAATGCCGATGAGCGATTCTCTAAGTCCTGGCCCGATGGCGCCAGGAAGTGATGTCGCCTCACCACACAGTCCGAGCCCGAGTCAGATGTATGCAGTCCCAGCGTACAGTAGCGGTGTTCCGCAGAGCATGTAAGCATGAATCAACTACCGATCGAAGGGATCGGATCTAAAAACACGAAACGCTAATTGAACACAATAGGAATGGAACACCCGTCCACTCCATGATATACAACGCGCCGCTGCCCCCGCAGCATGTACACGAGATGGCAGCTTCGGAGCCTCTGCCCCATCCCCAGTCACCTCCGCCCCCTGGGGACGGAATAATGGGCTTCATCCGGAGGTCAAGCGTCAGTAAAGCTGGCGGAGTGGAACGGTACGGGTGAAGGGGCACGACGTCATCATTTTCCCCTTGCCATGGGCGATAGGACAGCCGATCGGGCCGGCCGGGGGAGAAGAAGCAGAAAATGCTGTACTGTAAGATATGTAGCTATGTGTTCTGGGAAGGCATCTGCGTGGGAATAATTACGCCGGGTCGATTTTTGACGGGTATCTATTATCAGATCAAAGCATGAGGAGACGAAAGTCTGAAGGCAATTCTTGCAGGCGAACTAAGCGTGTTATCTTTGATGTAGCCCAAAGTGTCTCGGGAAGGAAAATAAACACCTGGGATCAATACGAATCATAAATGGTCACTAATTTAGGCCAACAATGGTTTGAGACAGATCTATACTTCACACACTCTGTTTAAAACAATTGATCAAGACCGACTACTCGGCCACGGTATATCTTAATCTTGGGCTCTGATGGCTGTGACAGTCTCAATCGACGTCTCAAGAATCATGAGACCCCAGTAATCCCACCGTCAATCCCTTCATCCTCCGCTTCAGCAGGTCCTCCTCACTGCCGAGACTTATGAGGCTTTTGCTTCGGCCAAGATTATCCGCGCCCTTTGCCTTGTCTTCCTGTTGTCGCTGATTGTTCTCCCCCTTCGTGGCTCCATTCGCTCTGGCCGCTGGTGGTGTTGATTCTTTGCCGGAGCCAAGACTCGACATGATCAATGGTGCATCGTCATCCATACTTTCTCCTGTGGGTGTCCTTTTGTGATGCCTTGTTTCTGTTGTCGTCGCAAGCTCAAGCGAGCTGCCTGAGTCATGTGTGAATGTCCCCTGTCTTAACCTATTTTCGATCGCCGGACCTTCAAATTGATGAGGTGGCATTGCAAAAATATCCTGAATCCACTTCCCGCAGCGGAAGACATGCTTCCAACCCTCGGGGAAGATGCTTACAAAGGACACGAATCCGTGAGATATTCCCGGAATGAGGGTCACTTCAACATGATCCTTCTCATTAAACTCAGCTGTTGATTTCTCGAGGCCGACCTCTTGTCGCTCATGGAAGAGGTGAAGTTTTGCCTGGCGTAGTCGGCCGGCGAAGATGACGGTGTCATCAACCAGCGGGTCACGTTCGCCGGTCAGGAAGTATGTTTTAGGAAACTTCGCCAGGAGACCTTCAGAGGCGACAGCGGGACATAGCAAATGATCGGTTGTAAAGTCAGGTCGATGATATGGCCCCACGTAGAGGATGATCATTGCACGCATCATTTCTGGCGTGAGGATTCGGTCGCCAAAGTAGGAGATGATGCTGGAGACGGCTAGTCTTGTTTTGAGAGGCTGAGGCTTAGAGAGGGCGACAGCCTGCTGTTGTGCTTCGACGTCGGTGCTCCTTGTGCGAAGGGGTTTCTCTTCTTGGCCAGGGCTTTCTACTCGAGGTGCGAAGAAATCGTGACTGGGATCTTCCTCATCGTCGCTCAGGGGTCTTGGAGTTGTCGGGGTATATCGGCGATCGATGTCCTCACTCTTGCGCTTGATGAACCGTTCGTATTTCTTCGCGGTTCGCGGGTTGCGAATCAGCGCCATTTGGTCATCTGTCATCCAGCTGCCAATATTGAAGTCCAACGCCGGGTACAGGAGAACGAGCCCGGCCGGGGACGGCAGGATTCCTCGAGATGTGCTGCTCTGATTCGATTGGATGACCATCAAAGTCGTGCCACATGCCAGATTCCCACCTGCGCTGTCGCCCGTGATCACGATTCTGGGGCACGAGTCCGGTTTCATACCAATACACCGACCCCGAGTTGCCACGATTTGGGTGTAGACGTCGAAGCACTCGTTCAGTGCGTACGGGTAAGGATATTCGGGCGCCTTGCGGTAGTCGAGACTGAGAATTGGCAGTCCTGTTCTTCCGGCCAAGGCAAGCAGTTTGTCATCACTTGTCCTTGGATCCATGGCAACGAAGCCTCCACCTGGGATGTCTAGAACCACATTCTCCTGCTTCTCCAGCTCGGCCAGGGAGCCGTCGAAGTACATCCAGGCAACGACGGGTTCTTTGTAATGCGACTGCTTCGGGCGAGGAATTCGAATCCGCCGCGGCTTGTACTTGGTAAAACGAGGCCGCATTAACGCCGTGAAGAACTTCAGATAAGGTGTGGTTGGTTTGTTCCATGCGACTCGTAGATGATCGACCGTCAGAACGGCGCGAACTTTGCGTACTTTTTCATCCGCCTGTTCTGCCGCAAAGAGATAATACACCGAGAATATGATTGAGCATAGATCCCTGATGGTCTTGTTTCTGATGCGCATGGCGCTCCAAAAACCAGCGTCCAGAGCTGTGGTAATCCATGTTGCCCGAAAGTATGCTCTGCTGTACAGATTTGCAAGGGGTTCGGGGGATTCGAGGCCAACGATCTTCGCAAAGTTTCGGCAAATGTAGAGCCAGAGAAAAGTCAGGACAACAGATTGCCAGACCGTGAACCGTTTCGAGAGGCGTTGGGAGATGGATCGGATGAGGGGAGGGCCATGTTTGTCGCCTCTTATCAAGTCATAAGCAAGCATCCTACCAGATCAGAGAAGAGAGATTACCTCAGAAGGTAGAGTGACCAGAATGACACAACTGCAAAGACCTGGACTTTGCGGAACTGAGAGGACGGCCGGCCCAGCACATGATCTGCCCTCTCTAATCAGCACAAGGATTCCAGGACACGGGAGGTTCAGAAGCAGACCTATCATACTTGGTATTCACTGGGTTCCAAAGACCTCAATGATAGATTCAAAACGGGTGTTCGTACGGAGGATTGTCAGGGAATGCCAGAACAAGACGGCGCCATTCCAAAGCACGGACAGATCTGAGCTTTGTCCGCAGTCAGAACGAGAGTGGAAAAAGCAACACAGATGAACACTACTGGAGGCAAAAGCATAGAAGGCCACCAGCTGACGAGAAACGTAGAGCCTGTGACCATTATTGCGAACAGGACTCCTCTGACGTTGTAGGCCCGAAGTCCGGGTGGCAGTGGCATGCCGTGCATGCTCAGGTACCAGAAACGGCGAGCGAGGATGCGGAAACCGCAAAGCCACATCGCGGGCCGAAGTGCATGTGAAAGTTTGACCGTCAGGTGACAAGGCATCGAACATGTGAAAGAGGCTGAGAGGCCCTATGTACTCCGTACATACCCTAGGGACCTAGGTAGATACCTAAAACCACAGGGTGATGTGCTTAATCTAAGTTGAGAAGGGTATTCGCTGCACTCATTAATGTGCCGACCGTCTCCTAGGTATTACACGGTTTCATCGATAGTCCGTAGGGAGATATCCCCTCAAGTGTCTTTCCCCAAGCTGTATTAGCATTTCAAGACCCAACCACCCATCCTCATTCTGGGGGAATTTGCTGCACCTTCACCTCAATCTCGGCGTCCTCCAAGATGAGCCTGTCGTTCCCCCCCGATTCCTGAATCATATCTAACCAATCCATGACTCTAAGAGCCTTGAGGAATCTGGCTAATGTTGGGTGGAGCGTGTGGCACGGCCCGGGGCACATAAAAGACTTTGCATGCTGCCTTGTGCGAGCCCGCGAGGATAGTCCAATATGGGAACTGCGCGTGAACTCTCATCGTCCGCGCTGTCCCGACAGCGAGGTTGTTAACCGCTTTTCCACTGACAGCCATCAAGAGAACGGCAAATGGTTCCTAAACCAGCCTGTCACTCCGCCACCGTTTCCACCGTTGCCACCATTGCGACTTCCGCCACTGCTTCCACCTTGGCCTCTTGAGCTATGCCGTCTTAGGTCACTCTGAATGCTTGAATGGCGATGGGTTTCTGGGCGTTCCACGTCGTACTCTTGTGGTCTTCCATAATATGACTCCCTAGCTTCTCGTATCGTGCGGGGACCCTCTGGGATCGGTGCTGGGGGGTAACGACCGCCTTCAGGGCCATAAGCACGCGGACTTGATACTGAAGATGCTCGCCGACTGTGTCTCCGTCGTGAAGGTCCCGGCCGCTGGCGATCTTCTGGAGCGGTTATGGGTTTCCGACAATGGGGGCAAGTATCGTGCTCTTTCAGCCACGCTGTTACGCAGTCACCGTGGAACCAGTGATTGCATGGAAGGACGGTCACCTCGTTGCCCAACTCAACATTGTCCATGCATATCGAGCATTCAGCCTTCCCTTCTTCGCCTAGCATTTCTCTATCCACCTGCTTCTTTTTGAGGGATAGGATGGCTTCCTCTGACGCGGGCGGAGGCGCGGTGCTCCCATTGTGTTGTTCCATGAGCTGTGTCATAACCCGATCGAATGCTTCTTGACTGAACACCATGTCACCAGATCGAGCATTCGCGGGGTTGAGCATTTGTTGGAGAAGGTCGAATGGCAAAGGCGGTTGGCCTCCTCTTTGTCTATCTTCAGCGTCCGGACCCCGAAGCCCTTCCGGTTGCATTGATTGCAAAATGAGAGAGAAGAGACTGCGAAAGATTCAGCAGAGAATTAGCAGCACGCGTCATGAAACATACTCTTGCAAACCCGCCGGCTGCAAATGGAGAGGAGGGTCGTGTCGTCCCATCACGCCTTGTCCCCGCGGGAATCCAAAGGGGTCGAGAGGGCCAAATGGAACTGGCATGTCTCGATTCTGTAGTTCATCCAGTCGGGTAAGCAATTGTCCCATCTCATCAAGCGCTTCATAGAGATCATCTGTTCGTACATTGCGCCCATCGGTCCTCCATGAGCGGGTGCTGAGAACCATTCTCCCACTTCCACCAGTGGCCGTAAACTCGAACGTCGTGAAACTGGGTCCATCATCGTCGTTCGTGTCTTCGGACCAAGGATTATGGTTCTGTAGCCCAGTGTGGTCATGCAGGCCAGCGGGCAGTGATGACGGCGGTTCGGCGGGCAAAGGCAGAGACGGCGGTCGGTCGAAGTCGAAGTCGTAGGTAGACGGGGCTTCACTGGGTTCGAGCTGGTGCGTTATGTTAGCGTTGAGGTGCAGGTGAGCAAGGGAGTATGTGTACAATTTCGGTGAAGTCTCCTTCGCACCGAGGACAGGTGAGTCCTCCGTGCGCTCGATCCCATTCATTCTGGCACTGGTGACAGAAGACTCGTTCACCTTGTATTCTTGACATGACGAAGATTTGAGGTTGGTTGAGGCCTGACTTGATTGAGCAATGTGCTATTTCAGCCGCACGGAAGGTGTGGGAGCAAGGCTGGCGTCATCCGCAGGCTGGGTACTATGGCGTGGGTAGGTAGGTATGCGGAGCAAGGCGGTTCCTGTGTTTGATGGTCTGTGTGGAGAGTGGCGTTGCTGCTGCAGGAGAACGTGGAATATGTCAGTAGTGCCGATCGCACAAGGACAAAGTATCCTTCCTGACTAGGTGGGGAGGAAAGGGTCGAAAGGATATTGGGGTTATTGATGGATGAATCAAAAGATACAAGGTATTTGACCAGGAAGCCCAGTATATCTCCCGTTGTCACCTCTGGGGCGGGATTGCATCACCCGCACATCACTGGCTCAAGTTATCGATAAAGCAAACCTGTACCAGTTCCACTTCCTGGTAAAGCAGAACGCGAAGTGATTGTGGAATGAAAATACAGCCGACTTGCATTATACCCCAGACGGTGATAGGATCATCTGATCACTTCACTGGCCTGTTCATGTGCATTGTTCGACGCCGTTCCAAGTCATTCTTCCGGGCCAGGCATTTTCCTTTGCCAGGCAAGTATCATACACAGCCCGAAAGCAAACGCAAAGGGCCCAAATATGTGGTTACCTCTTTCGTGACCCTCTCATTAACATGCCTCCGACAATGCCTGCAGCAACAGCGACACCGCCAATGATTGCAACGCCCATCAGACCTTCCCTGGATACCTTGTCGTCAATCAATTGTCGCAAGCTAGCGGCCTGCAGATTTCCAGGCTCCTTCTCTAGTAATAACTCATTATACCGTCTCGCCTCAGCATAGTTGCCTAACTTGTAGTTTCCCAGAGCCAGATAGTATAAGCATTCTCTTCTCCTTTCGGGGGTCGTCTTGAAGATGTCAGAGAGCAGTTGAACGCCCAGTTGTTGCTCGCTCCGCTGGTTCGATTTGATCAAACCCTAGCACCGTCAGTCTGGACATCCGCACGGCTCAACCAGTTGAAAGCAATACCCATGCATAGTTGAATTTTGTTTGTACCCCCACATATTCGCCTTCTTTCTCGTACTGGGCGCGTAGAACTTGGAGTTCCGCCGGTTTGAGAGGGCTGCAGCAGATAGAATCAGACCTGACATCCCCAGAAATCGCTCATGAGGACCAACCTTTCAGCGTCTGCGGCGTATGGCAGATTTGACGGCATCGCAGCTTCAACCAGGCGTTATAAGGTTTGCGCAGGATAACGAGATAGTGATAGGATCCAAAAATGATTCTGTTGGGTGCCTTTTGAGCGTGCAGTGGTTCGAGTGGAAATCAGCGAGCCTACAGGGTGCAGTGGCTCAGCAGTCGGAGAAGTGGCTTAGGCATGACGTCTGTCGCTACGCCTTCTGGAACGCGCCCATCGAACTTAGGCCGCCACGCCGCCCACGAGGCTACGAGCTTGGCTGGTTGCTCCTCACGACGAACGTCAACAACGGCTACACAAACTACTCGTAGATCAGATCTTCTCAACCACTCGACGGCAATTTTGTTGCATAACCACATCATTCTTTGAGGCCAACATCAATCAAAATGCTCCTCGATGAAGATCCATCCACTGTAAGGGAACGATCTTGTCAAGTTAAGGACAGACTGACATGATGCAGCTTATCCGCGCAACGATCTCCAACTTCAACATCGCACCCGACAAGGCTGCCCTGTCGCGTGTCAACGACTCCCTATCCACCTTACAACAATCCCGCGAGCTTCGAATTCGAGATGCAGAGACCGTGCTGAGAAAGCTCTCTCGTCAATTGGCCACTCTTTCCTCCCAGCATAGAGAAGTGCTCTCCAGTCATGATAGCAGCACGCATGCTAGTGAGATAGTCCAGCTCGACACCAAAAAGTTCCGAATCGCCAAACAGGCTTCAGAGGTCGAAGCAGAGAGCGAGAGGCTGGAAGCCGAATTGGAGCGGTTGAAAATGCGACTGTCCTCTTTGGAAGAGCAAGGTGTCGAAGGTGACGAGCACACGCGCCAGGCCCGGGAAGTTGATGATCCTACCATGTACGTCGGCTGATGGAATACAAGAACCGGTGCTGACTTGAAACTAGATTGCGTCTTTGGCTGTACAGGTCACTTGGCATCGCCTTGGAGCAGGACGAGGCTGGTAACTACAACAAGGCGACAATCGCAAACACGAAGAAGGGCGATGTGCACGTTGTCAACATCGACCCCAAGTTCTCAAAGTGGTTTTATGCAGACTATTTCTGGCAAACGATGCAAGGTTGATTTATATGGTCGGTTACGAATCTGATGAGTATCCAATGAGGGGTTCTGGGGCGGGCGCAATAGAGAAGATCTTGCCTTTAGCATGAAGATGCCGCTTGCAGTTCCGAAATACATCCCTTGGTCAATTTGGTTGAATTGAGGAGTTGTAGTTGCCCAAGGTCGAATTTGGAACTGGCCACCATTATCTAAATGACCTGGTTCTTGACGCTGGTTCACAGCTCGAAATGGAGCATTGGAACTCCTACTCGGTACAGAGTACACAGGTACACAGTTCAAGCACGATTGCAGACGTACCTGGTAGGTTAGTCAGTCTGCCTTTTCCCTTTAGATCCACTGCTGAGCAGCTGCCCCAAGATTTTGTCTCCATGTTTCTGCTTCCGATAGAGTTTCGCATGCAAACTTCCATGTGACATTTCTCATCCTTGTGCCAACTGAAGATAATATTCACCTAATAGCGAACGGGTAACAGGCGCAAACAGATATTTGTTTCTTGCGTGGGGCCAGTTCGAATGACATTCCGAAAACGCCGAGCACTTTCGCAGAGTCTCGGTCGGTCGTGTCGAGGCTCCGATTCGCCCAAGAAAATATCAGCGTAATCTTCGGGAAAACTCAATATTCCTTGCCCGGCTACCCTTTTTCTAGCTGCGTCGAGCACGAGATCTTTCAATGCATCGGACCAGTGTCGACGCAATCTTTGACAATGCCGCGTAAACCCTCAACGCCCCTCAAGGTGAAAAAGAATCTTCTAGGCGAAGTTGTATGTCCAGATTAGACCCTTCTGTCGGTCTGCTTACTGACTGCTTGCGCAGAAAATCCGGCAATCATGGAACAAATACAACCTCTACAACCTGGCACGACAGATGCCTTATTCAGGAAGATCACATCATTTCTTCAAACAGAAGTGGATTTCAAAATCTCTGGCGCGAAACTATCATGGCGAACACATCCGCGAGAAACAATGGCTGCGAATGTTCGACAGGAGGATCCGGTCCGTTGTACCCATGGATGCAGAGTATTTGGCTTCCAATGATGGCTCGCTGGAATCTGCTGGTCGTGGCTCAGGGTTGGAGGCAAAAGGGAAGCAAAAGACGGCAACAGCAATACCGTACATGCAAATGACCTTTGCGCCGATGGAACGGAGATTGGACACGGCCATCTTCAGAGCCATGTTTGCCAGCAGCGCTCGTCAGGCCAGGCAATTTGTCGTTCACGGAGCGGTGAAGGTCAATGGGAAGCAGGTGAGCTGAGATCGATGAATCTTGATGCAATGTGCTTAACGCGAGCAACAGATGCGGTATCCGGGGTATTTGCTCAACCCTGGAGATATGTTTCAGGTTGAGCCGGAACGAGTTATGTGGGCAACGGGAGCGCCCAAAGTCCCGCTAAAAGCGACCAAGAGCGAAGAAGGCGGAGATGAAGACAACACCGAGGAAATTTCAGCAAAGTCTGCCGAAGAAGAAGCGGCCACTGAACAAACGACCGAAGAGGACGTCGATGTTGATAGAGACCCGCGCGAAGTGCTGAAAGACCTACGGGCGAAAGCGAAGAGTGTCCTCACAACATCAAAACGAGACATTGGCGCGAAGCGGAAGCAGGACCTTCGAGCGTTCTCCATCGCCATCAAAAAGCTGCTGTCACGATCCTCATCATCAACTATCCTTACAGACAGTCTTGAAGCTCAGTTTGCGGAGATCCAACATCAGCTAAACATACGGAAAGAGAACCAAGACACCGGCACGAGCAGCATGCCTTCTGCACAAGACGACAAGAACTCTTCTCCCGAATCAAGTCCAACGACAGAAACAGTGGCCGAATCGGTGGCCCCCGAATCTAAGCAGGAGGCCATCTTCACTGACGCCGATTACAACGAGCTCTATGCTGCACTTCGCTCTATGCATGAGAACCCTGTTGATGACTCGAAACCTTATGCCACTCCCTGGATGCCGCGTGAATACATGAGTGCATTTGCCTTTATCCCTCGATTCCTCGAAGTCAACCACAACATCTGCGCGGCCGTTTACCTGAGACACCCGGTTGCAAGACCAGGTCTGGCCGAGGTGCCCAGCCCCTATCAAGCTGATCTCCATAGTACGGCTTTCGCATGGTATCTGAGAAGGCGATGAAGATCTTTCGAGGATAATGAGGTTGACTTCTGTACAACAACTGTCATTGCTACATACCTAGGTAGCGATAGAGGCTGGCTAGACTCGCGTGTACAATGAGAAAAGCGGCTTGTTCATAAACCGGTCGTCTTTCGAAAGCTAGGCATCTCTAGCAACCATCTGCCTAGCATCTATCCATGAAAATCTTACAATTACAACAGCGGGTTCGATCTGTACTCTGGGGCTGTTTCGCCGTTGACCTCTGGTTTCTTCGCCTGCTTCTCCTTATCAAGGTCCACCTCAGAGTCCTCTAACTCCGCCAAGTACTTCTCCGCCTCGAGAGCAGCTATGCATCCGCTTCCGGCGCTGGTAATGGCCTGTCGGTACCGTTTGTCCTGCACATCTCCGGCCGCAAACACGCCCGAGATGCTGGTATAGCTTGTGCCCGGTTTCGTCAGAATGTAGCCATCTTCGTCAGTATCCATTTGGTCCTTGAAAATGGCGGTTGCCGGGTCGTGGCCAACCGCGTAAAACAAGCCATTGGCATCCAGGATCTCCTCTTCCTTTGTGACCACGTTTCTTACTTTGAGATGTGTCATGAGTCCTCGGGGTTTATCTTCTCCTTGCACCTCGACTGCAACGTGGTTAAACTTCACCGTCACCTTTGGATTCGCCAAGAGTCGTTTCGCCATGGTTTTTGAGGCTCGCAGTTTGTCCTTCCTCACCAGAACAGTGACGTGGGAGCCGTATTTTGTCAAAAACATGGCCTCTTCTGCGGCAGAATCACCTCCGCCGATCACAACGAGCGGTTTGTTGCGGAAGATGGGGACAGCGCCGTCACAAACTGCGCATGCAGATATACCGTTCTGCCAATAAGTCTCCTCGCCAGGTAAATGTAATCGTCTCGCATTTGCGCCGGTCGCAATTATGACGGCGTCAGCCGTGTGCGCCGGCTCGTCTGATTCTCCATCTTGGTATTCTCTCCATAAACGGAACGGCCGTGATTTCAGGTCGACCCTTGTGATTGTTTCGGTGATGACCTCTGTGCCAAACCGGAGGGACTGTGCCTTCATCTCTTCCATCAGCTCCGAGCCTCCAATACCCTTGGAGAAGCCTGGGTAATTCTCCACGTCGGTGGTGGTTGTAAGTTGGCCGCCCGCGGCGGTACCACCAGCGAGGAAGCCTTCATACATGACGGGTTTGAGCTCGGCACGTGAGAGATAGATGGCAGCGGTGTGAGCGGCAGGACCGGAGCCAATAATGGCGACCCTGGTATGAGGAGGCGCCATGGCGCGCAAAAGAGAGGAGGAAAAGCTCGCTTTGGCCGGGGATTGTTGTTTTTCGAGAGACACTGATGCGGCGGCAAGAGAGAGAGTGAGGGAGGAACGTAGAGGTCGTGAGACGCGGTGGATCTTGGAGTAAAACAGTTTGGCGAGTGAGGAGAACAACACGAGGGAGAGAGAAAGGAGGTCTTTCAATGTTTCGGAAAGAACAAAAGAGTGCAGAATTCCAGCAACGTCGATTGACAAATTGTGAGAAGTTCGTGTGTTTGGATTGCAAATCGCCAGAAACTGCGGCCAGTGGCGGCGATGGCGGGTCGAAGCGAGCCACCAACAGCCAACAGCGGAGATGCTGAAGAGGCATTATTACGAGGTACCCATGCCAAATGCAGGGGCTTTCAAAAATCGCTCCAAATATCGCCCGTCCTTGGCCTGCAGTGCCTGCCTTGATCACGGCATCATACACCCATCTGGTCAATTCATTGGGACGGCTGTTGTTCTCTTATTGTTACCTCGTCTCATACGCTGCTCTTCTCCTCGCTCGTGGAACTGACCTCAAAGCATTGGCCCGTGACACGTTAGACGGTAATGGGCTTGTTCAGTGCACTTTTCCATCCCAAGAAGCTCCCAATGCTCGTGGTTACCCTTGATGCACTTGGAACAGTGTACAATTTCCGGCAGCCAGTATCTGTGCAATACCTCCAGGTTGCCGAGAGCTGCGGGCTCAAAGCTAAAGTCGATCTCAAACAGCTAGATCGATCGTTCAGATCTTCCTTCAAGCACTACAACGCCGCCCATCCCAACTATGGCAAGAAGACACTCGGAAGTCCTGAGGAGTGGTGGACTAAGGTCGTCAACCGAGCATTCGGCGATCTCGTGGAAGGGGGAGAGGCAATGCTGCCCAAGGACTTGGGGTCTGCCCTCTACAAACACTTTTCCTCCAGTGCTGCTTATGAACCCTTTCCTGACGTGAAGCCCTTTCTCCAGAGCATGGCTGCTCTGAAGAAACAATACGCTGATCCAGAAGGACCTCTTGTGGCGACTGGAATTGTCACAAACTCGGATCCTCGAGTCAGAGTGGTGCTACAAGACATGGGTTTCCACGTCGGACCTTCGAGCATTCCAGATTTCGAAAGTATAATGAAGACGCACATGGATAGTCTCCGCGACCCGTCCAAAGTGGTCTTCAATAGTCCCGTCAGAGACTATTACAATCCCCAGAACGACTTCGATTTCCTTTGCACGAGCTACGACGCCGACGCGGAAAAGCCAGACGAGAAAATCTGGCTGGAAGCTCTGAGGCTTGTGTTTCCGATGCCTATTTCTCGATCTGAACAGAAATCTGAGCCAGCCTCCAGCATAACGGAAGCATTCAGAAAGGTCTCATCAGCTCTCAACCACCAATCCGACATTTCGAGGATGCTGCGGATCCATATCGGAGACGAATACTCAAAAGACTATGTCGGCGCCGTCGGTGCAGGGTGGGAAGCTCTTCACCTCGATCGAGAGGGAAGCAGCTCCGGCTTGGGGAGTGATGCTAAGGTCGTCCAGTCTCTCGACGAAGCAGCCATGGTTGTAAATCTGATGGCCCGAGACTATTTCCGTCAAAATGAAGACTAGCAGGCTCGTGGCCGCGGATCCGCGAGTGCATCGACTGTTCTCTGCAGTTCCCATCTGAGAAGGAATTGCACCTGCAGCCATTGGACCGGAAAGAGACGCACATCATTGGCACATCGCAAGTGCCCACGTTAGCGGCTGCCGGAAAGCCATGCCCAATGAGAAGATACCGCAGTGACATGCATTCTGCATCACTGATTAGAGCTTCTCTAGCGCTTCACTGACATCACTTACTCATCAACAACTTTGTCGATATATTCTTGTTCTGATCTCTTACCGCACCCTCGTTCCCAGAGTGACGAGGATTTCCAAAGAGCATACAATAAACATGGGACAGGGCAAGTTCGACCATCTTCCTCTCGCCGAAAAAGGCCCGCTCAAAGTACCTCTGTATGGCCGCGTACTTCTAGACAGCCCCTTTTACAACAAAGGGACATGCTTCACATCACAAGAACGTCTGGATTTCGGCCTCAAAGGCCTCCTGCCTACCAACATCCAGAAACTTGATGAACAGGTCATGCGAGCCTATCAACAGTACTGCAATCAACCAGATGACCTGTCCAAAAACACGTTCATGACCTCGATGGCCGAGCAGAATACCGTGCTCTACTATCGTCTGATTCAAGACCACCTGCGGGAAATGTTCAGTATCATCTACACTCCAACCGAGGGCGATGCCATAGAGAACTACTCTCGAATCTTCCGCAGACCGGATGGCTGCTTTTTGAGTATCAAACACCCCGACGAGGTAGAGGAGCGACTGAGCAAGTTTGTCAACAAGAATGACCCCGACGCAGGGGTCGATTACATCGTCGTCAGTGATGGAGAAGAGATCCTCGGAATCGGCGATCAAGGGGTTGGAGGCATCTTGATCAGTGTGGCCAAGCTGGCTCTGATGACCATCTGTGGTGGATTGCATCCTAATCGGACCCTTCCAGTCGTCCTTGACACGGGGACGGACAACGAAAATCTGCTGAATGACAGCCTTTATCTCGGCCACCGTTTCAGACGTGTTCGAGGAAAAGACTACGACAACTTCTGCGACAAGTTCATCCACACCGCCAAAAAGCTTTTCCCGAAGGCTTATATCCATTTCGAGGACTTTGGTCTTCCTAACGCCCGAAGGTTGCTCGACAAATATCGCAGTGAGTTTCCCGTTTTCAATGATGATATTCAAGGGACGGGGTGCGTGACCTTGGCTGCGATCATGGCCGGCTTGCATATCAATGGCGTAAAGATGTCGGAGTTGAGAGTGGTCATTTTCGGAGCCGGGACTGCTGGATGCGGGATCGCCGAGCAGGTGCAAGCGGCAATCGCCACCCAATCCGACAAGAGCAAGGAAGATGTTGCGGAACAGATCTGGTAGGGCTTCCTTGATTCGTGGAACACGAGCTGACTGCTTCAGGTGTGTTGATAAACCGGGTCTGCTCCTTGACAACATGGGCGATACCCTTTCAATCGCACAGAAACCCTTTGCACGCAAAGCATCCGAATGGCAAAATAAAGACACCAAGTCTCTCAAGTCGATCATCGCCGAAGTCAAACCCCATGTCCTGATTGGGACGTCCACAGTTCCTGGCGCTTTCACCAAGGAGGCTGTGCAAGAGATGGCAAAACATGTCGAACGGCCCATAATATTCCCTCTCAGCAATCCTACACGTCTGCACGAGGCCAAGCCGGAAGACCTCATCCACTGGACAGATGGTCGAGCTCTTGTTGCTACGGGCTCGCCGTTTCCGCCTGTCAAGCACAATGGCAAGGAGATCGAGGTGGCGGAATGCAACAACTCTGTCTGCTTCCCTGGGATAGGCTTGGGCGGCGTCCTGTGTCGAACAAAACTAGTAACGGATAAGATGCTCGTCGCAGCCGTGACTGCGCTGGCCAAAGAAGCTCCTGCTATGCAAGATCCGGAAAAGGCCCTTGTCCCAGGCGTCGAGCAGGCTAGGCCGGTCAGCGTCAAGATCGCAATGGCAGTGATTCGATGTGCGGTCGAGGATGGGCTGGCGCAGACGCCAGATATTCCTGTCGACTCTGATGAGGACTTGCAGGAATGGGTGGAGGCGCAGATGTGGGATCCAGTCTACCGACAATACGTGAGGCCATGAGATGCAGGATATCGCCCTGTTCATCCTTGCAAATTGCGACAAGTTCATGATGTCGCAGGAGATATCGTACGTTTGCACGGCCCCCATTTGGCACTCTCGTTCTCTTCAGTATACCTTTTCGCGGCACACCTGACATATTGAACGAATATGCGCTCTGGGGCACAGTGTCTCCATGCAGCTACATTCTTGTACAGGGTAACCCAGAGACGGAGCATGCTTTACCCCAAGGATGCAAGGAATTTCCTTTGAACAATGTAGAATGTGACTGGAGAGTTGCAAGAGGACACTCGATTCTCCACAGTGCGTTGCTGTAAAACAGGTGGCTAAGTGGCCAGTGAAAGTCCTTTGAAGTTCAGAAGATGATCACTGAATTCTGCCCATTGATGTGAATATTCTATTCTGTGCATTTTCGAATAGATCACTGAGAACCAGAGTTCCTGGCCCGGGTAACCATCCTATTACCGTCGTCAACATCAGATCCTGATCACTACCGCGATGTCAAAGCTTCGAGTCGCTCGATCACGACGTCGTCGACATCGAGATATCCACTGGCCCTGGTCTCCTGTCTGCGACGATTCGAACGCTCGAAGGGAAGCCTCAGCGCATGGCCAGGAAGGGTCGGAGTGGTATGGAAAGCAGTGATGAGATTTCCCACCTCGCGCTTGAAATCAGCCATAGGCCTGAACTTTGATGGGTCAATGGCCATGATGAAGTATCCGAACTCTTCCAGATTTGGGGGCAGTGCAGGGGAACCAGCCAAGATCCCCAGTAGCTGGACCGCGATAGCCAAACCGCTTCCTTTCGCACCACCCCAGACTGCTAGTGCTCCCTTCAACGCCTTCTCGGGATCTGTCGTCATTTCCCCGTTCTCGTCGAATGCTGTATCCGGTGGCAATTGCTCGTTCTTGCGCATCGCCAGCATCACTTGTGCATGAATGATCCGGGAGGTTCCAATATCGTAGATGATCGGGACACCATCAGTGGGGACGCCGATGCAGAAGGGGTTGGTGCCAACGAGAGGTTTGTAGGTGCCTTCTGGCGCCACCCAGGGGCTGCAGTTCGAGGCGATGATGGTCACAAGGTCCTCAGCCGCAGCCATCTCAGCATAGTAGGAAAGCATTCCAGTGTAGTACGTGTTGTTGGCTCCCACGGCTGAAACACCACAAGCTTTGGCCTTTTCGATTGCCACCTTTGTCGCCTCGTGGGCCACCAGATAGCCGAGAGTGTCCTTGCCATTGAGCTGGGCTGTTGTGGGCGATTCCGAGGTCACTTCGATGCCAGATGATGGCGCCTTACCGGACAGTCTGTCGGCAATGCTAAGGATTCGTGCGAGTCCTGCGATGCCATAGCCGCGGAGTTCGCTGTCAAGCAAATGGTCACGGATGGTGGGAATGTCTTCTTCCTGGTATCCAATCTCGCGCAAGGCTCGGTCTGCCAATTGCTGGGCTTCCTCAAAGGCGATTTTCATCTTGACGCTGCCTAGAGTACAAGAGGAAGTCAAATTTGGCGCGAGGCTCTCGGAAGGGAGATCCAGATTCCAACACCGGCATAAGTGTTTCGAGAGGAGACGTGGCAAGGATGGTGAGGGTGAAGCAGGCCGATGACCAGAATTGGGGAAATTTGGAGCAAAAGGACTGAGTCCGCCGAGGTCCGCTGTCCGCTTTCTCATTCTCACGTACTCCAAGTTCTTCAATGTCCTCTCCTCTGTATTTTTCCCAACGTGCGCGATGAAATGCGGCTCCAATTACGAGCGATATTGATCTTGTCCAACAGGCATAATCAACGCTCATTCTCACTGGCCTCGCAGCTTTACCCAGCGCTTCAAGAGGATAGCAGAAGGCCTGGCTGGCGGGGTCAGAACCTCTTCAAATTTTGCAATCTTTCTCTGCCACTGATCACTGACGTCCACAAGCTACTTTCCGCAAATAGCAGAGTCCTCAGTGCAATTTACAGTCGAGGTGAACTGGATGTTGCAATGCGGAGCAACCTCAGAATAGTCTTCACAGGCCTCATGGGCCCTGTCAGCAGAGACAGACAGTTAACCGGTGCGATCTCCTGTCCTAATGGCTGCTTCCACGGTTGAAGCAGAACCCAGGATACCCTCGCGACCTGCTCTGGTGGCTCACGTCGCCCAATCATTTTCTTTCGTTTCCAGTGGTTCAAGTTGTTAGCACCTGAGTCACCAAAGGATGATCTAGAGCAAAAGCCTGAGCCAAAACACGAAAGTTCCACTGGTGCAGCTCCGCATGGTGTGGGGCGAAACTTAAGATAAAGTTACCAAATTTTGGGCACGCTCAGAGGTATTTATATATATATACATTTATATTTCAGAGTGCTGTAGCCCGTAAATCGAACACAAACACCAGTCGATAACCTTAAATGTACAGTCGAAATCGCGCGCCCTTGACTTCACCGAATCGAACTCCAATATGGTTGCCCTCTCAGCTTTGGCCCATCTAATCAACGCCACAAGCATTTCCATCGCGAATGCCCCCCAACCTTCTTCTACATCCAGCCAACCTACAGACAATCCCGCTGCTACACTCCTTTCACGAAATATCATACCATCAGGCTGTTACGAAACAGTCGGAGTCGGCTGGGGTGATTTTCGTGTTAACCGAACCATCAATAAATGTTACCCCTACTTGGAACCTACCTGTGAGAGAATCGCCAAAGCTACGCTATCAAAGTGGATGGATTTCTGTGCTCAATGGGACTCGACAGGCAATAACGTGGTGAAGACCTGTCAGTGGAAAAAGAACAAACCATACAGCCTTTACAAGGACGCCCCGAAGGATGACGATCGTCGAAACATGCCCTATCGCGTGCCAGGACCTCTGAGGTGTTGCCCACCGCCGTACGAAGGGGTAGACGTGTCGGAATACGACATGTCAAATAGTCTGTGTAGGATGTGGAGGGTCGAAAATGACGGGGAGTACCGTTATTACTCCCAAAATTTCCCCTTGTATGGGATCTTCGACGAAGAATACAACTACGAAAACATGAACATATGGTCCTACGACCCTGAGACGCACACTTCCGATAACATCTCCCTCTTGGATGAAAAAGCGAAAGAAGATCTCAAGACGGATTACTCCCCCTTGACCTTAAAAGAACTCATCGAGGAGGAGAAGGAGGAAGAGGAGAAGAAAAAGAAGCCTCAACATCTCTCGCCGTTCTACTGAGAGGCACGAAGCGAGAACCAAGCCTCCTACCAGGTGTTGCATCCCAATGTTTGGCCACTGAATGCATGGAATGACACTGGTTGTACTCTCGCGGCATCTGAGGTTGAAAGTAAGAGCGTTGACTGAACGACGACAGTTTGGAGCTTCCCGATTCCTTGCGACATCTATCGGAAACGCAGCATCGAACGGGGATTGTACTTGCAGGAAAACTTCTGGGCGAGACCGACTGGTCGACACCTGAGACTCATGAATTCCCGACATTATATGGTGTTCAGACTTGGAACAGGCTGTTAGAGGGCTCCGAGGCTCTGGCATCAACCAAATCGTATATCTTCAATGTGTGTCTCGCCTTCATTTTCTTTTATTCGACACTCTCGCCTGGAAATACCTGCTAGATTGATGCGCATGTCATGGCTGGGCTCAGCTGCGGAAATATCTGCCATGACGGCCCAGCATCCTCCCGCGGCACTACCGGATGCGGATGAAAGAGAAGGTTGAGTGGGCTGAGATACAGAGCGAGTCGGGTTGTGGGGACACATCAATTGCACTGAGAATCTCATTCGCCAATTTATCGATGAATAGGTGCTTCAGGGAGAAACTTGGTACTATTAGGGGCGGTGAGAGAGATCAAAGAGGAGAACGCGTTGGATATTTCAGTCGTGTCACAACCAGAGCGCAGCTCCAGCCGTTCTTGGCACAACGCGAGGCTGGAGGTGAAGGCTGTCAGTTGCGCCGGTTTGTTTTTCATTGTCAGTTCGGGACCATTTAATATCGTCTTACTTCATTGTAACCCTGGAGAAGCATTATCTGCCACTGTATTCGGTTCGGACCATCTGTTTCGTTCTTCAACATCCCATACTTCCCGACGCCTGGCTATGAAGCCTTCACCTCTCCACGTACCTCCCACGTCGCATCCTTTCGTACCTCCACGAACCTAAGGTCTCCTGATTCAATCGACCCGCCGTACCAGGACATGCCCGGCGCTGGCCAAGACAAGAGGCTGCCCCAATGCGCACAACAAGTAGACACAAGAGAAGGGCACAATACTCGCATCCCAAATTGTGAGGGGCTATTGACGCCAGCGGCTGAGTTGCTTGTTTGCCAGCCTTCAGGGGTTGCAGCCTTCCGGTGGTGTTGGGGTCAGAAATGAATGCTACGGAAGACGAGGACCAATATCTTGCACAGTTCTGCGCACACACACCATGCCCCCAGTGTGAGGCAATTTCATCCTTGGGGAGGAAATCGGCAGTTCAAGAGATGGCGCTGTTCTCCGTTGTAGTGGTAGGGGGGAAATGAAAATTGGGCCAGATGGCACACAATTCGGTCAATGATTGACGCGCAGATCTGTCTGAAATACCTACCTAGGTATAGTCACAGTTAGAGCATGTATTGATTGCTCAAGACGGAAGCCCAGTCTAAGATCATCAAGGCCAGTTGAGGGGCCAAGCGATGACTTGTTTGTTTAGGATCTGCATATCTCTTCATTAGTGCTGCCGGCCATCTTGAACAGGAGTGCAAGCCCCTTTGCATGCTATAAGCGCAAGCGAGGATTCGAGCTACTTCGCCCTAGTTGAAGGGCCTAAGAGCTTTTGTACAGGAAAGACTCTCTAAGCGAGAAAATATGTCGCCTAGAGTGCCAGGATTAAAAAGGCTCGGAATGTCCTCCTTCATAGGGGCCACTACGACAACGGCTGATATGCTTCGACATGGTCTGCTTGAGCACTGAAAGCTTAGGCAATTTGAGTATTCAGTAACGCTCAATGCGCATCACTTCATATTTTTGATCCTTTTGGCTTGGATCTCCAACCACTGCGCATACTTCCACCATCAATCTCTATCACATTACCTGTGATATGGTTAGATCCACGACTGGAAAGGTATAAGACCAGACCGGCAAAGTCTTCAGGAGTGCCAATTCTGCCGGTGGGTTGAGTGCTCAGGAAGAACCCAAGGCTCTTTTGGATGCCAAAATTTGACATTCTAGAAGGGAATAGCCCACTTTAAAGCGGTTCGAGTTAGTCTTTCAGGTTGCGCATGGTAAGCCTTGCATCGACTTACGGGCAGATACAGTTGACCAAGATATTCTTCGGAGCAAATTGAGACGCTTGTTGCCGAGATAGATGAATGCAAGCTGCTTTGGAAGGACCGTCTGCAAGATGTAAATCTCTCACCCGCAGTAGAAGGCATCAGAAGTAGACATACAGCTGTAAGCGCCACTACCCGCGACGGACAGACCGCCTTCCCCAGTGGCGGTAGGATCACCCGTCGAGAGCCCGGCAATAGATGCTAAATTGATGACTCGAGAGGGATAATTCCCTGAGGCACTCTTTTGGAGAAGTGGTACGAGCCTGGTCCAGTTTCAGCATCAACATTCCAGCCCTTCAAGAAAACAGCCGTACGCGATAGTCAAGTAGAAGATTGCCTTCACATTCAATGCCATAATTTTGTCCCAGCCGTGTTCGGGAAAGTCATCTGAGGGAGCTCCCCTGTTCCAGTATGTGAGTGTCCATCATCTGTGACTGATGTGAAGAAAATTGCTTGCAAGATGAACCGTACCAGGTAGCGCCAGAGTTGTTTATCAAGACCGTCAAAATGTCGGTTCGCTTCTTGACCTCTGCTGCCAGTCGATCGCAACCAGCCTTGTCTTTGAGGTCGGCGACAATATACTCGCATTTGCCGGGACCAAGGTTGTTTAACCTTGCAGCGCACTGTAAACCATGATCTCAGCCGAGAGTTTCGAAGCAGGCCTTAGAGACTCGGAGCTCTCCCTCACCCGTTTGAGCTCGGACTCCTTTCGACTAGCTATAAAGACTTTGGCGCCGTTCTGCACAAATGCTTGCGCTGCGATCTCGCCCAGGCCGGAGGCCCCCCCAGTAACCAGCGCAACGTGGTGGTCGAATTTGAAGAGATTTTGTGCTCGAAGATCTGCCTGTGGCTCCATGTTGGCGGGCGGAATGACTATAAAGTCCAGAGGGTCGCCGCGGTGCTACCGTTGAGTCCCGGAGTGGCCAGACTTCAAGTCCAATAACGAAGCTTTCGCACACGAAGTTATTGCTATACGGCGTCGATTCCAGAATGAAAATGGAAATGCCGCTTACATTGGTATATAAAGAGGGTTCATTCCCGAGGGGGGTTGTCGGCTATCACCAGATAAAGACCTTAATGCCAACCTCGGCCCCAATTTCCAAAGGATCCAAGAATAACTCACCTGGTATAGAGCTTCAATTGCCGAGGCTAACCTCCATCTTTTGTACTGACCAAATTCCTTCATCGTCTGATCCCAAGCATACAGTCCCCAATGGAACAAAAACAAACCCAAAATACTAGTAGGGCGACTAGCAGTTTCTGAACTCTTTAGTCCTTCTTCCACTTCACTCCCGCTCGTCGTGCTGGCTCTTGCTTCGCTCTTAACACCGCCTCTCTCAGCTGCACCCGCCCCAGCCAAGGCCTGCGCAGCACTGATGCCATCACCATCCTTGCCTTCGAGGGTCATCCCCGGCGCACCAGCAGGGACACTGTTATGCTCGACGTCCTCATAAGGCCGACAGAAGTCCGTTTGACCCTTAGCAGCACGTATAACCCACGGTGGAAGAATCCCAGCTTCGATCTCATACGTCCAAGGATCTTTGCATTCTTTGTCCACAGGCCTGATCCGGCCACCGGAGAGCTTCTCAACAATCCACACGAAGATGTTGAGCAGAATGTAGCTGATGATCCCCGCAATAAGGCCATACGCAATGCTGTATGTGAACGGCATAATGGCGATTGTCAGGAATGCAGGAATCGCATCACCGATGTAGCGCCAGTTGATGTCCTCGGCGGCTTTGGCCCTATACCAAAGGCTTGTCAGTTGAAACCGGAGAAAAAGGCTGGAGGATTGACTTGCATGAGCGATCCAACCATAGTTAGCACACAGCCTGTAGCGTAAGGAGGAATTGACGCAAAGATTGGTGCAAAGAAGATGGAGATGAAGAAACACAGTCCGGTGGTGATCGCCGTTAGACCAGTGCCTCCGCTCTCCGAGATGCCTGCACCACTTTCGATACTATTGTACTGTCAGCATTGATGTCGCCGGGGGAGGCGTGAGGCTTCGGTCTGGTGGTACCCACTATGCAGTGACAGGTGGTGTTCCAAAGAGTGCACCAATGGAAATACCGAAAGCGTCAACAAGGTATGCCACAGCAGAGCCTTCGAAATCCTGAGTCTTCTCGTCAATGGCACCGCAGAAACGAGCCATGGAATACAGTGTGCCGGTACAGTCTAGGATATCAACGTAGAGAAAGGTGATGAAGGCCGGGCCCGAACTGTCCTCCATATCCCGAGATATTCCACTCCTGCACCGTCAGGATCTTCTCAATGGGATGGAAAGTGACAACCTTCTTGAAGAAATCGAACATCCTATCGCCAAGCTCCGTGTATGGGAAGTATGTAACAGGTGTGCCTCTAGGCCAGGAGATGATGCTGACCAACAAGATGCCGAAGATGATTGCGCCCTTGACACGGAACATCATGAGCATGACGGTGAAGAAGCCGCCACAAAAAATACCAATCCACATGGTGGGATTTCGCATTTTCTCGGACGAAGGATCGCAGTCGCGGATGTCGCACGATGACCGAGGAGCGTCTTCTATTTTAAGCTCCATCAGAAGCTCCCCACGAGGAGATGCTGAGGCCGAAGCCTTTGGTCTTTTGCTTTTCCTCCTGTACTTCGATAGGGAAATCCTTGAGGGTTGGAAACGAAGACCCTCTCGAGTTAAAGCCCCTAGATGCTCTCGGAAACGACCTGTTGGAGGCTGTTGGAGCCGCCCTGCTGAAGATCCTGCTTTGAGAGGGCGCAAGGCTCACAGGCATGCTGTACACACTGAATGGCTGGCGGGGTAACCGCGGGGACCTTGTAATCAGCTGGCATGTCTGAGAGATTAACAAGGCTATCGAAGTAATTCAGCCTTGTCGAGCAACGGTCGAGGAAGGTGAAGAGCATTGCATATGCTGGACTGTTTCTGTAAGCCTTGTGCAGCCAGCCACACCCTCTCCGCGGTATCGAAAGACTGGTTTCAAGTTCCAAAGCCTGGAGCCGCTTCAGTATTCGTTTCAACGTGTCGACCGAGTCCTTGAACGGACCAGCGGCGGAGTTCCTCACATATCTCAGGACACCAGGCCTTGAGCAACTCTGCGATTGGTAAATTCTGCAGAAAGTCATCGTGTTCGTAGAGGACATGCCCACAGTCTGTAAGGCGTTAGTTGGCCCACGGTCGAACAGTCGTGAATGAGGCTTCAGAGGTCACATTTGCATGGTTGCTGTTCCATTTAGTGATGTCGCCTTCGTGCACAGATGACATCACTCGAGCAACAAAACGTGCAACGGGCGATAGCTCTCTTCTCAATTCCACCGTTCTCGAGGTTTGGTCACTTGCCTACAAGATTCACAACGTTCTAAAAATCAAATCAACTAATGTTTCCCTACTGAGCGATGATAAATACAGAGGAAGAACTACTCGGCGAGTCTCGGGAAATTCTCTAACCTTCCCAACCCAGATAAAATCGCGTCTACAGAGACACCCTTCTACCGAAAATAGATGAAATTCATAGGGGTGAGCCTGAGCATCGGCCAGCGATGCATTACGACAACCAGTTCCCTCTTTTACGCGAAGATTTTCTGGCAGAGTTGCGAAACGACTTACAAAACACTCAAGGAAGGAGAAAGGAAAGTAGATCTGCGGTTGACATCAATGGGCTCGTCTTGAAAGGCCTCGAGTGTGGGCTTGGGCTGCGACAAAAGCCCTATCCATTGACCTTTCTCTGTAAGTCAGGCCTTCCACCGATATTACAAATGCCCAGATCGGAAGGAATGACGTTCATCAACCACAGCAAGCACTCCTTGAAGAAACACTAATCTTTCGGACGCTCATTACAGGACCGAGAGATCGTGCCATTTCCTTCCATTAATAGGAATGAAACCTGCCTTATCAAGGACCCTCCTATTCTTGTTTTTCAAATCGGCGAAAGTGATGTATTCACAAGGGTCGTCGCTAGAGCTAGGCAAACGTTACCCTCTATTTCATCGCATGGGACACCGCCGTTTCTACCTACAAACCCGTTCTTCAGTGGTTGAAGGAGAAAGCAGAGTTTCTTTGGCCAACTGTTTATTGTCACCAGAACCCTCGTTGCAAAGCCTGGATGTTGACGACAAGCTGTCACGCATAATGCAAAATAGTCGAAACACATATCCATGGAGCTCAGTGAATATCGAAGAAGACTTCCTTGGACAAATCGCAGCTTGGTTCGCTAATGGCGGCCTTTGGCACATTCGTTAAGCATCTTTCAGGGGCCACCAGACAGTTCCCATCCATTTGTTGACCGTCCGCGAGCTCTGACGCTTTCCAGGAACATGAAAATAATTCACCGGAGCTCTTCTCGCGAACATCTCAGTGACGACGAGAAGGTCGATTCTCAGGAGCCTGCCATCAACACAATCAGACCCAATTGTATGAAGAATAGAAAAGCTGGCGTTCTCATAGGCTATCACATCTTCTGGTCCTACACAGATAATAAGACCTGCATGAATTCTTGGCCATCTGTAGCTTTCGCTTGAGGTGTGACGTAATTTAGACGAACGAGCCAATAGGGAGAGAAGCGAACAGCGGAGATATTCATCTGAGGACCGAGCATCCCACCCTCAAGGGCTTCCCCCATTCTGCCTTCAGGCCCCGCGAATTTCTTTGTATACCATTGCTGTCTGCCTCATCCTCCGTCATTGCTCGTCAAGCACTCGTCACGATTTCCACTTCTCGTACATCCACGCAGGTGACAGTCAGCCTCGGCAGGGACCTGGTGTGCCCTACGACTCACGAAATGATGAAAAAGATATCAACCCCCAGCAGCTCGTCTGAGAAAAGGAAACCACAATCAGGGAGACATATCACAAAACGTTACGCTCCAAGATCCAAAACAGGATGTCTCACATGTAGGTACGAGAGATTCCTCAAGCTTTACTCTTCATTCTTACTAAACACCATTCAGAATCCGTCATATCAAGTGCGACGAAAATTTACCATCCTGTTACAGATGCTCATCCACAGGACGCAAATGTGACGGCTACGGCGAGCGATCGACATGTCAAGCCCAGTCCAGCGATGGCTTAACCCTAATGACTGTCACGTCTCGACCTCTAGTTCGGTCGAATGAGGACAACCGAGCTGAGGAGTTTTTCCAGATCCAAACCATTACCCAGTGGACGGAATTTTTCAAATCGGAGCTCTGGGACCGATACGTCCTACAGTTATCATTAACGGAGCCATGTCTCCAGCACGCCAAGCTAGCCCTCGGAGCCATGCACCGTTCACTTACCACCGACGCAACTGTCAAAGAATATGGACTCTTTGCCATTCAACAATACAACAAAGCGATCTCGTACGTCGTGCGTCCTTCGAAGCCGTTGCAGCCTATCGTTATCCTCGTAGCTTGTTGGATGTTTAGCTGCTTTGAAGTGATGCGAGGCGACCATAAGGTTTTGGGCCGCCATCTGACCAGTGGTCTGCAATTGATCTCTTCTCGCAGCGGCGCAGGACATGGAGACATGGCCCCGGAGTACGCACCCGATACCAATGCAGAGAATCGAGCCATCTGGGACTGTCTCATACAACAATTCTCCCTCTTGGACTTACAGATGACGATATATGAGCCAGACTGGATTGCTGCTTCGATGCAATACTACCAGCAACCTGGAGAATCGTTTTCATTCTCCTCGATAAGCCAAGCTCGGCGTCATTTGACAGCGTTACTGCTGAGAGTGATAGAAATAAAACGTCTAGAGATGCGTCAATTGGCAGGCGACGCATTGGAGAAGGAAAGCATCCCCAGCAAAAGACAGACCGTGCTGGCTGACCTGGACCGGTGGTCAATTGCATTTGAGTCTTTCGTCGGACGTGGAACAAGGACTCCGACAAAAGAAGACGTCCGAGCCGGGCAGCTACTTCAAATCCAACACCTTGCCGGATCCATCCACCTCTCGGTCACTGCATCGGACGAAGAAATAAGCTACGATAAACATCTGCCTAAGTTTCAAAAACTTGTGTCCTTGTCTCGAGCACTGATGGAGAGGTTGGAGATTTCGAGCATGAAACCCCCGAAAATTAAGAAGTTTCTGTACGAGCACGGCGTGATACCTTCATTATACCTGGCTGGCTATAAATGTCGCGATCCCGTCGTCCGGCGTGAAGCCCATTCGCAGCTTGCTTCGATCCAAAGAAAGGAAGGGATGTGGGATAGCGACCTGATGGCCAAGGTGGTGGGGCATATCATTACTGTCGAAGAGAGCAACCGCCTCGTCTGTAGTTCTTCTGATATCCCTGAGGAGGGAAGAGTTTGGAGGGAATTTATCCATGCTGGTGAAAGTTCCGAGCCCTGGAAAGTTATCTTCGAATTCAGGCTGAACGATGGCAATGGAACTAGGTTGGTCGAGAGGAGTCTAGACTGAGAACAGTTGTCAGGCCTTTCCGAGACGGAAATCTTATCTTGGAGTACTCAAAGGTACAAGAGTCGCATTTAGAGCAAATCACAACCTTTTAACCTGGTTTGTGAGTTTGGAGCCTTCGAAGATAATCTGCCTCCCCTCGTGTCGAAGCCGTACAAATATACGAAGCGCCGAATGAAATCGGGTGCTGCCGACCTTTCTATGTCAGAACTGTGTTATAGCCTTGAGAAGTAATTCGAATTCCTTACACAGAGGATGGCAGATCCTTTCAAGGCATACAACACATTTTTCGTTCCTTCGTAGTTGATGTCCGATCAGATTCTCAGTGTCCCGTTCTCTACGTACTATTCTGGATTGAGAAATGTCAAACACGTTTTCGGCAAAGCTCTGCCGAGATCCGGCAAAAGGCGTGACTTCCGGGCGGATCTCTCCTCCTGGAGTTTGGTCTGATTGGCCTGCTCGTCTATTACTACATCATACATCGTCCGTGTATCGTGGAGTTGCCATGTCAATGATGATCATTTGCCCTAAATTGCTGCGGGTCTAGAGTTATGTCATTGAGCATCTTTGCCCTACCCGAAACGACAATGGCGAGCCTAATTCTAACTGCTTTTCTTAGGAGATATGGCCTGAGGCATGGGATTAAGGAGTGGTGTACCTGACAATCATCTGCAGGGCCAGCACAGTGGGGCACCGCGAAGTATCATTCTATGTACGAACGCTGGCTGGTGAACACAAAACATACAGATTTTCAATTGAGAGGTCCTTTTTCAGGCCGTGCTGGAGACCACATTCAGGCGTCCTGCATACTCCCTGGTTTGGCGCATAGCAGTTGCTCATCTTCATACGTCTGTTCGTGAAGATGACGCAGGAGTCTCAGCGACCTTCCATCGTTATTATTTTCATCCTACCACATAAGAACCTAGTTCGTTGAAGCAACAGGAAGGGCCATAAAAGGGCCAACTCTGCCGCCAGCGAGGAGTGTTCTACCTCGAGAGCGGCAAGGCAACACTAGAAATCCAATACCTTGGAGACGGGACCATCATGACTTCATATTCTTGGAGGAGGCGCTGTTTTGACGTTGTGGTGGTAGCGGTGTCTCAGATGGTCCTGAACACATGCCATGTCGAGGCGAAGCCGTTACCCTCGAAGGCGATGATTACCGACTGGAATCAAGTACGTTTATTTCGGTGTAAATCGGGGTTCACGCAACGCCTATGTTTCTGGGTTTCGTTTTCCATGAGAGCTGACCAAGTGTGTCCCAGCTCACGCCTTCGCCCAACTTAACGTGGACACCATGCTTCGAGAATTTCACCTGCACCCGCTTACAGGTTCCGCTCAACTACTCAGACCCATCCATCGGTACAGCGGCGATTGCTTTCATCAAGACGGTGACGCAGAATGCTTCAGCTCAGAGCGTTTTGATAAACCCAGGCAAGATTGGAGAAGTCCGCAAATGCATATACTTGACTGACTCTGTTAGGCGGTCCGGGACAATCAGGCGTAGGAGACATTTTGGGATCAAGCCAGGAGTATTTGCAGAGATTTGGGCCCGGATACACCTGGGTGGGCTTTGACCCTCGCGGAATCAATAACAGTGGACCTCCAGTCGATTGCTTTCCCTCAAACGAATCAGCCCGGGCGACCTTCGAGACACTATTTTTCGGCCAGGTTACCGACGCATCTTCTACATCCTTAGCAGAGCAATACTACTCGGCAAGCTTATATGGTCAATGGTGTTCCGAGTCCTATAGATATGGAAATACCAGTGGACTTCATATAAGTACGCCGGCCGTGGCTCAGGATATGCTTACATTCGCTCAAGCTGAACAGCGTCTAGCCGGGAAACCCGAGGACGAAGCACAAGTCTGGTATTATGGCAAGAGCTACGGAACAGCTCTGGGAGCGACTTTTGCGGCGCTGTTCCCTCAGAATGTCGGTCGTGTTGTTCTCGACGGAGTTATCGACGCTCAAGACTACTATGAGGGACTCTGGAAGACCAATCTTTACGACACTGATGCGGTACTGGCCACGTTCCCAAAATTTTGCTACCAAGGTGGTCTGCAAAATTGTTCATTCTGGGGCCCATCCGAGCAAAACATCACAGACCGTATGCGCCAAATCCTCTCCAATATTAAACAACATCCGCTCCCGGTCTCCGGTCTTCAGCAGAATGGAAACACGATGGGACTTGCGACTTACTCGGACCTCAAGCAAAGCATGCTCCTCGGCGTATACTTCCCGACGCAGAACTTCCCTACTTTGGCAGAGATACTCACAGGGGCCGAAGTAGGGGACGGCTCAATTATGCCCGACATCCCCACGGACTACCTGTGGGGCCCAGATGTGAACGTTCTGATCAAATGCGTCGATTCTTATGGCAACACCAACTTCACGTCTCTCAGCGAATACCAGGCTTATGTCAACAACCTGACGACCATAAGCAAGTCCCTTGGGGACGCCTGGCCAAACAATGCCGCGACGGTTCTTTGTGGCTCCCTAGATCTTAACATACCGCGCGGCGGTAGTTTCCCTGGTTTGACACGTCCCCAATTCTTTCGTGAGAATCCTCTGACCAAGTCAAATTAAGGGCCCCTACCACCTTCCAGCAACCACACAAATTTTCCGCTCCTCTTCATCAGTAACGCTTTGGACCCGGTCACCCCAATTCGAGGGTACGTGTGCATAAAGGTTTCAACATATCGGAGAGGTTGCTAACACAAGCCTTAGTGCACAAAAGATGTCTAGAGGATTTGCGGGTTCCTCAGTTCTAATTCAAGGGGATGGTCTTGGAGTAAGTGATTTCTTTGTCCTCTCCCCACCAAAAAGGTCCGTAAAACATACTAAGGCGGTTTTCTTTAGCATACGGCATGGGGCAATGGCGGGTCTACATGTCTTTGGAACCATATGCGGGCTTATCTAGACTCTGGAAAAGTGCCGCCTACAAATACAACATGTGAGGGTGCTCCTATACCGTTCAGAGAGAGCTAGATCTTAGGACAATGATAGTAAGACATCTATTATAGTCCGTTTTCGGACTGTCACATCTTAAGCCCAAATCAGGGGGCATACATAATTGAGGAGGATATGTCTTTCTTATTATACTACTAGAAAATCTAGGAGAAACTAAGTCTACGAAGATTGACTCTTAGGCTAGCTACTTTAGTCTCTCAAGGCTTTGCGAATAGATATACCATATAGCCTCGCCTATTTTGATCACGTCCAGTCTAGTACTGATCCTAATCCTTAGCCTCGGCTGATATACCCCAGCGCTACTTTCCTACTCCTTCCCTACTCCTTTCAATCTTAGAGACGAATCTGAGGTTTCGTGTCAGTAGTGTCAAGTCCTCTATTTCATCGAGAACTCCATCTAGGGGCACGAGCCAAAAGTGGTCCAGAAGGTAATTAAATCTCGACATTAACGAAAAATGACTCTAGTAGCCTAAATCAAAGGGGAAACCTATTGTTCTAAACTGAAAGCAATTAAGAAAGGGAACAAAGGGAACAAAAAGGATTTATATACCTAGCGCCACTACTGATGAGAACAATATTTCCTGATCGTTGTTTCTGTATAGTGGGGAGCACAGAGTTCAAGCTTTGATAAGGGCCGTAGAAGCTGACCTCTATTTGCTCTCGCATCTCATCTTATGAGACACCATATTAGACAATATACGTATTGTATGTACATACGCTACTGTGGAAGGACTAGGGATACTCGTTGAGGAGACAATGACATAGCTCTTCCAGTGTTCAACCAGCGATGTAGTCTAGTGTGGCTTTCGCAAGTAAGCATTAGGCTTCCAGAGATCCATAATCATTCGAAAATATAGCTTAGACCCGCTTTGTACAGACTGTAGTATGGAGTGCGGGGCTCTCTTTAAGTGGTTAGTGACTTAACATAAGCAGTTCTCCGCCGTTTATATTTGTCATCATTGGCATCAATTTCCTTTGTACGGAGTATACGAGAACAACTTACTACTTATGGTAGATCACAATTAGGTTCCTCGCGAGCTGTAATCTGCGGTGTGGGAATATTTGGGTCCAAGTTACTGGATGGATTTGCCTGGAAGCAAGGTGACCAATCATACTGTAGATTGAAGCGTTAAGGCAGCAAAATCTGTCACATTGGGCGTATTCAACACGCCGAATACGTAAGTTGCGATATATACGACCCCTGTCCGACAGGGCCCGCCTGGGGCAATCGTCCTCAGGTGTCGGGGACATCGGGGACATCGGGAAACCACAGGACGGAATGCATTGTTATCATAGATTGGCCTCTAACATCATTCGCGTGCTGTTTGAACTGTCCAATTGATGTTGGTTTCTATATATTCCTATTTATAGATTTCTCGCTCCACTTCAAACTAATGGGGGCCTCTGATGCCTTCTTTCCAAACAGCTGCGATGCCCTTACCCTCCTCCCAGAAAGCCTCGACCCCCTTACCCGCGAACAGATCGCCGTTGACAAGAAGTAGATCAGCGCGCAGACCCTATCCAAGAGGACCCGGGAACGTCGTAGGATTCCTCGCGAGGCTGCGCGAGGCTAGCCAATCCGGCCGCGCGCCGGCGC